ACGACCACGCGCACGAGCACTCGCGTCGCGCCTTCCCCTCCACGCAGCTCACCCCACCCAGCCGCCCGCTCGTGTGGGGCGACTTGAACGTGATCCACACCACGGACAGCCACGGCTGGCTGCTCGGCCACCAGAAGACGTCCTTCCCGGAGCCCAACTACAGGTGAGTGCGCGCGCGTCTTGGAGCTCGCGGGACGGAAGGGTGATTGGTGGCCGGGACGCGCACAGCGGGGACCTGGGCGACTTCTCGTCGTTCGTCGGGCACATGAAGCAGCTCGCGCTCGTGAGTCATCTTGCTCGTCTGGACGCGCGGGGGTCTGGGGCTGACGCGAGGTGTAGGAAAAAGATGTCGACCTTCTCTTGGTCGATTCTGGGGACCTCCACGACGGTTTGTCTGCGGCGCGTCGATTTGACCGTTCGGCGATGCTGAGGAAGGCGCGTTCTAGGTACCGGACTTTCGGATGGTTTCCCGCCCGGCGGCGTGGATGCTCATGACGTGAGTAGTGGGCGAGGATGTGAGTGTGTGCGCGAACTAACACGTTGTACAGTCCAACGAGTTCCTCATGAAGCTCCCTTACGACATCATGGCCATCGGCAAGTGAGTGCAGCATGAAGTTAGTCCTAGCGACGGATGCTGATTCGAGCCGCAGTCACGAGCTGTACATCTACGCGAACACGCTCGACATGTACAAGAACTTTGCGCCCAAGCTGCACGGACGCTACCTCTCGTCGAACGTGAACATCACTGTCTTCGACAAGCATGGCCATAACGTCAGCGTCCCGGTTGGCGGTATGTTATTGTCCTCCCTGATGACGCCCCCCGAGTAGATGCTGAGGTTTTGAGCGCAGATCGTTACCGCAAGTTCAAGACTCGCAAGGGCCGCCACGTCACCTCTCTCGGTGTCCTGTTCGACTTCACCGGGAACGACGTAAACACCACCGTGCAGAAGGTTGAGGACATGGTCAAGGAGCACTGGGTGCGTTTAAGCCTCATTCACCTGAAGCGTGTCGTATTGCTCATCTTCTCCTGACACAGTTTGCGGACGCGATCAAGGAGGAGCCTGACTTGTTCCTCCTTGTCGGGTGAGCCAATAACCTTCCCTTCGTACCGTACGAGTGCTCACGTCCATGACAGCCACATGCCTGTCGTCAAGACCGATCACTGTGCGTTTTTCTACTGAGATTGGCTCTAGTCTCGATGCTGACTGTGGATGCACAGGGCCGACTGTCTTCAACGCCATTCGTGCTATTCACCCGACTACTCCCATCATGATCTTCGGTGGTCACACCCACATTCGTGACTGCAGTGAGCATCTTGCGGACTTACATGACCTTTGTGGAAGGAGTAGTATGTTGACCCGCTTCCAGTTCAGTACGACGGTCGCTCGATGGCGCTCGAGAGTGGTCGTTACATGGAAACCGTCGGTGAGTCTTTGATTGGCTTTGGCACGTTCGCATGCTAAAGCTCGTATTACTGCCAGGCTTCATGAGCATGGACTTTGACAAGAAGACCCACCATGGTCGCGGTTCCACCACTCCTCAAAACATCACTTTCAACCGCCGCTACCTCGACCCCAACCGCGTCACATACGAGGTGTGTTTTCTAAATCTTGAGTCTACGTCCACCAAAACCAACTCACTGTCTTGTAGTACCACTCCAGGCGCGGCAACTTCACCTTCGACACCTTTGAAGGCCATCAAATCACCAGGGGCCTCACCCAACTCGCAGAGCGTTTTAACCTCAGCATGCAGTTCGGCACCGCCCCACACGACTTCACGATCAGCCAGGCGCCCTACCCGTCCAACGACTCCTCGCTCTCGCTCTTCGTGACCGCCATGGCCGCCGCCCTCCCGCTCAACTCGACGCGCAAGGGCGTGCCGAACGTGATGATCACGAACTCCGGCTCGCAGCGCTTCGACATCTACTCCGGTCCGTTCACGAAGAACGACCAGCTCACGGCCTCGCCGTTCACGGACGCGTTCCTGTACATCCCCGACGTCCCGGCCGGCGTCGCGAGCCAGGTCCTGCCCACGCTCAACCACGCGGGCGCGAACGAGCGCCGCGCGCTGGAGACCCGCGCGTGGGAGGACGCCTACGCGCGCGGGGAGGTCGACATGGTCTACCGCGCGTGGCTCGCGGACATGGACCGGAGGAGCTTCGGGCCAGAGCGCCGCGCCGCGCAAAACGCGACGCTCGGATACGTGACGCAGGATGTGCGTGTCCGCCGTTTTCTTTCGCTTCGTTCTTGTGCTGACGGACCTTTGCAGTCATGCCCTGGCGTCGGCGACGACACCCTGCACACGCCCCTGGTATGTCTCGCCTTTGCCCGCACACTTAGGCCTTCTTGCTCACACTCTTATGCTTGCAGCCGTTCTTCGACGTTCCGGACTTCATCGGCACCGACGCCCCGGCGGGCGTCGCGGCCTCGGACCCGATCGACCTCGTGTTCGTCGACTTCATCGAGAACCAGCTGCTCGAGATCCTGAACGGGCTCCAAACGACCAAGAAGTACACGACCGGAGACGTGCTCTCGTACACGGACCTGCTCGCGAGCCAAGTTCTCGGCGTATATGCTGAGCAGTTCTGGAACTAGGCGGTTTATGCCCGCTAGGCGACAGAGGGAGGAAGTTGTTGTAATGTACAGCGATGCCTTTAGTCCATGTAGGTAATATGATAATGTACTCGGAATGGGCGTGGTCTGTGTATTAGTTCAGTTGTGCCGATTTACTCGTCCTCCCAAGAACGGTGTCTGGCTGGCCGCGCGCTGTACGCACAACGCAAGTTTTCCGCATTCCTATCGACCTGTTCCAGGGCCACTGAGTGTGCACCGATGGGTCCGGCCTTTGGCAACCAAATGGTCTCTCCAAATACCTCTGGGTGGTAGGTAGCGGTAATCTCATGTTGCATTATAGCATGTGACTAACATGGTGATGAGACTATCAAAACGGGCTACCCTCTGACCCAGCGAATAGAGTGCGTCGTCTAACTTGGGAGTGCGGTACAACGCGCCGGAGAGCATAGCGCACCTCGACTTTGCGTATGAGCAGGCCCGTGGTGGGTGCAGGGGGGCCTGTGTCGACGAGTCCGAGGGAAAGTCGAGGTCGAAGCCGTGCTTAGTCCCGCATTTCAATCGGCGTGATCGCCGCGCGAGTCGCCGCAGCAGAATGGTGCGTGGTAGTATGGGTCCCTCGCTATGGAGCACGAATATGGATGCGGCGGTTGGTACGAGCGCGGCGACGTAGGTCCGGCTCACCTCAGCCACCCCAGAGAACGTGTGCTTTTGGTCCAGCTGGTGTGTCCCCACAACCGTCTCCTCGTCTGTATCGCCTTGACTTCACCCGGGCTTCGCATCCATGCGATGCCGTGGATGGGGGAATGGTGAAGCTTTGGAGGAAGAGACCGAAGGACCCAATGACGATCGGATAGAGGTAGTCGGGGCTATCGGAGCATCCTTGCTGCTTGGTGGACATAGCGGCAGATCAAAGAAAAATATTGGAGAACGGGATAAGTGACGGAGAGGGAGAGGTGTTTCTTGAACGAACTCGGGGCTTCAAAGGTCCCGGTCCGGTGTCCAGCGCTTCTCGGCTGCAGCTGGTTTTTTTGGTTCAGTCCTTCCATGTCTTCAACCGTCAGTATTTGCCTCGTGTCTTGCCACTCACGAGCTGCAGTGCTCATCATGCGAACACGGACGGCCGTCGTGTCTTCATTAAGCAATCACCCAAACAGTCATCAGAGTAGCGAATCCAAAATTGATCGATAATAATGAAGGAGCAGCGGAAGGGAGTTGATATACCGGAAGACGAAGAAAGCTGAAGGTATGCACACTCTACGCACACATGTGGAATTTTCCTATGTGTGTGCTCATTCAGGTCCTTCGTGGCGTCTCGATCATCAGGCGACTTCCATCGTTCGCGAACCGTCGTAGGAAATGCTTTGTGCCGCGGCGTAAATTCAGAAGAAGCCAGGTGTACTCGAAAACCGACCAGCTGTATTTGGACGAGGCGACCGACGATCGGTGAGCCTCCCAACTCAGCCCCAGTAGTATGCATTTGACGCCACAATCCTTACTGACAGTGGTCGATTCAGTCCACCTTCGCAAGTTGATTCACTTCGGTGTTTCTGGGGCTTTCAACTTCCCCGTGACGTAGTAACATGTCTCGACCCATCCACTCAACAAAAACCACCTTGGTAGGTTCACTGTACCAATGTGAAATCCGAGCACTCTCCTCGCAGCAGACTCTCCGCTCCTCGTAACCGAACACCCCAACATGCAATGCTGCAAACAAACCTTCTACTGCCCGAAACCTCACATGACGTACGAGACAAGCCTCTGGGGTGCAGCGGGCTCCGCGATATTGGCGCTGACACCGACGGACATTAGTACTTCGGTATCCACAAATTCATCCGTGCCGGTGCATCTCATAATGCTCGCAGCGCGGCCGACCATATATACTTCGCCCCCCCAGATGCCAGCAAAGCCCTGACGAGCCCCATCTCCCCCTCCCAGCCAAGGTAGCTATGCTCTTCTCGTCGCTGCTCGCGCTCTCCTGCGCCGCCCTCGCGGCGCGCGCATGCCCGGACGAAGAGCACGGCCACGACCACACGCACGAGCATTCCCGTCGCGCATTCCCGTCCACGCAGCTCACCCCACCGAGCCGCCCGCTCGTGTGGGGCGACCTGAACGTGCTCCACACCACGGACAGCCACGGTTGGCTGCTCGGCCACCAGAAGCCGTCCTTCCCAGAGCCCAATTACAGGTGAGCACCTTCGGTCTCGCGCGTTAGAGGACGGAACGTTGACAATCGGGGACGCACAGCGGGACTCTGGGCGACTTTTCGTCGTTCGTCGCGCACATGAAAGAGCTTGCGCTAGTGAGTTCACTTTGATTTGGTGTGAAGCATAGGGCTGATGCGAGCTGTAGGAAAAAGACGTCGACCTGCTCTTGGTCGACTCAGGAGACATCCATGACGGTACGTTTGCAATGCGTCGTTTGCAATGAGCCGATATTGAGGAAGAAGCCATTCAGGAACTGGACTCACGGATGGTTTCCCACCCGGCGGGGTGGATGCTCATGACGTGAGTACGGATTGAGAATGTGGGTGCTCGCAGACTGACGCATTGGCAGTCCAACAAGTTCCTCATGGAACTCCCTTACGACATCATGGCCATTGGCAAGTGAGTGCAGGATCAAGTCGACATGCACAGCAAATGTTTAGGTGCTGATCCACAGCCACGAACTGTATGTCTATGCCAACACGCTGGATATGTTCACGAACTTCGTGCCGAAGCTGGAAGGACGCTATCTCTCCTCGAACGTCAACATCTCTGTCTTCGACAATCAGGGAAACAATGTGAGCGTCCCGGTTGGCGGTATGTTTCCATCTTGGGATTGTAGTCCCGTATGGTACCTGAGCTCGCGTGCAGATCGCTACCGGAAGTTCAAGACTCGAAAGGGCCGTAGCGTCACTTCTCTTGGGGTCATTTTCAACTTCACTTTCAACGACGTCAACACTACCGTGCAGGCCGTGGAGGACATGGTCAAGGAGACCTGGGTGCGTTCAGTTGATGTGTCCACCGAACAAGCACGGCTGTTTCTCATCCTCACTTCACATAGTTTGCGGACGCTATCAAGGAGGAGCCCGATCTCTTCCTTCTTGTCGGGTACGCCTACATGCTGCTTCTGTGCCCGTCGCGCGTATGCTCACGTTATTCGTAGCCATATGCCTGTCGTCGAGACCGATAACTGTAAGCGGTCACTCTTCAGGTGTTATCTTGCTCCCGTCATGACTATGAATTACCAGGGCCCACTGTCTTCAACGCCATTCGTGCCGTTCACCCCACTACTCCCATGATGATCTTCGGTGGTCACACCCACATTCGGGATTGCGGTAAGCATAAACTTTCTTGCCAGGAGTCGCGTCTTGACCGACTTTCATGATTAGTTCAGTATGACGGACGCTCAATGGCGCTCGAAAGCGGTCGTTACATGGAAACTGTCGGTGAGTCCCTCGCTCACTCCCGTCGCTTCCACGTGCTGAGGCCACTCGTGCTACTTTTAGGCTTCATGAGCATGGATTTTGACCAACACTCCACCACCCCCAAGGACATCACGTTTAACCGCCGCTACCTCGACACCAACCTTGTCACTTATGAGGCATGTGTCTCCGTTGTCCTTGGGCCCGTGTCCGCCAGAGCTAATCTGTCGTCGTGCAGTACCACACCCAGAGCGACAACGCCACCTTCGCCACTGTGGAAGGCCAGCAGATCACTGGGGGCCTCAATGAGCTCGCCGAAAGGTTCAACCTTGGCATGCTCTTCGGCACCGCTCCGCGCGACTTCACGATCGAGCAAGCCCCGTACCCGTCCAATGGCTCTTCGCTGTCGCTCTTCGTGGCCGCGATGGAGTACGCGCTGCCGCTCAACTCCACGCGCCAGGGCGTGCCGGCCATAATGATCACGAACTCGGGCTCGCAGCGGTTCGACGTCTACTCGGGGCCGTTCACGAGGAACGAACAGCTCACGGCGGTGCCGTACATGGATCTGTTCTTGTATGTTCCCGACGTTCCCACAGGCGTGGCGAGGCAGGTCATAGCCGCGCTCAACAAGCCACGCCATGCCCTTGAGTCGCGCGCGTGGGACGAGGCGTACGCGCGCGGCGAGGTCGACATGATCTACCGCGCGTGGCTGGAGGAGATGGACGAGAAAAGCTTCGGGCCCGAACGCCGCGCGGCGCAGAACGCGACGCTCGGTTATGTCACTCAGGACGTGAGTTTTTTTGGATTTCTCTGACGTGTCTTTCACACTGACGAATCTTGCAGTCCTGCCCTGGCGTCGGTGACGATACCCTACACACGCCCCTGGTACGTCTTTCCCTTCACGCACTCTTGGAGGCTCCCTACTCACATCTTCGTGCCGACAGCCGTTCTTCGTCGTCCCAGACTTCATCGGCAGCGATGCGCCGGCGGACGCCTCGGACTCGGACCCGATCGACCTCGTGTTCGTCGACTTCATCGAGGACCGGGTGCTTGAGATCCTGAACAAGCTCCAGAAGGACAAGACGTACACGACCGCGGACGTGCACCAGTACTCGAACCTCCTCTCGAGCGAAGTCCTCGGTGTATACGCCGAGAAGTTCTGGAACTGAACGTTCCAGAGGACCCTTGGATACTGTAAAGAGGAGGGTGGCGGACGGATTGTATGGCGTTCATGTATCGAGACCGCTTCGTTACGATGCAATCTATGTCTTGCCTCTGTGTATTGTTCTGCGCCCGCCGCGCAGACGGTAGCAACCTGTTCCCGCGCGCCGTCGAGCTCGGTTCAGACCTCTTCCGAAGCCGGTGATACCGCGCGCGCAGGCGGGACCTGCGTACGCGAGGACGCGCCGCGTCTGTCCGCGCCCCTCAAGCGCGCCGCACTGGCTCGTAGACCGCCGAGCCGCGCCCGATGCGGTTCCTCAGGAGCCCTGGGGAAGATGCGGTGGGGCGCGCGCTCCTCGCGAGGCTTGTCTTTGAGGAAAGGCCCGTGTTTTGCCAATGTTGGGCGCGGGCGCGGCGCGAGTTCTACCCGCTCGCCACGCCCGCACCGCCGCGCCGCCGTCGCACCAGTAAGCATATGTAAAAGGTGTTTCCCGACGCGCCAGCCCAATCTTGCCATCACGTCCGCTGTGTTCGTGCCGCCCTTTCCGCCTCGAGCATACCACCGGGCCCTCCTCCCACAAGTTCGTGCGCATCGTGTGCTGTTGCGCTCGTCTTTTTCGTTTTGGACATATCGTCGTCCTCCATCCCAACGCCATTCCTACCTTCCGTGTTTAGATCACAGCCCCTACTCTGCATGCTACTCTCGTCGCGCCCGCTGCCGCGCTGACGCTCTCCGTGCCTGGCGCGCGTCTCTTTCTCGGCGCCCAACTCACCCGACTACTGTCCCATTTCGACCAAAAGTTCATCGATTTTCGGCGTGACCAAAATTTCGATCTTCAAATGGGCAAAAGAAATCGTTTGCGATAGTTGGAGCAAATGTTCACGCCCCTCCGTGACGCGTGACATGAACTTTTGGTCGAAATGGGACAGTAGTCTCCTCTGAGTCGCGCCTGAATCCCCAGTCCGCCTCTCCGAATCAACGTCAACGCTCGCCGAACTTCGACCGCGAACGCGGCACACGTCAAGGCCTTCCGTCGGAGTAAGTTAGAAGACGGCAGTTCTTCAGTGATGAGCAAACGCCGACCGCTGGGACCTTGATTGGTGGCACTTCTGTCTTCGTTTCTTAGTGATCATCTGTCCGGTCTCGACGCCCCAACTTTGAAATGACGAGTCACGGACTGAGGGGTCAATGTGCACTGCGATCTGTGGTAGCCCATGGGGATGGCGCCTCAGAATAGCGTCGTTTCAGAACTGAATTGACAACAGACCGAGATGGTTTGAAGTACGTGAGTACCCCAACACCGACAACAGCGCCGGGGCTGAGAGGCAGGCGCCAATCACGTGAAACGACAGCAGACTGCATATAATAAGAACGTTTGCTCGAGCGGCACCAGTTGTCAGGGCTCCCTCCTCCCCTCTCTCTTCTTCATTCTCTGTGACCTAGCGCAGGAGGTACTTAGAATGCTGTTCGCGACTCTCTTGGCATACGCCGCGGCAGTGCGCGTAGCGCGCGCTTGCGGCGACCACGAACACGTCCATGAGCTCGCGCGTCGCGAGTACCCGCAGACTTACCTCGTCCCGCCGAGCCGCCCGCTCGAATGGGGCGACCTGAACTTCATCCACACCACGGACACGCACGGCTGGCTCCTCGGTCACCAGAAGAGCACCTTCCCCGAGCCCAACTACAGGTGTGTTGTCTTCTCCGCAGACTGTCGGAATGACGATGTGCTGACGGATGCTTCCAGTGGCGATCTCGGAGACTTTGCCTCCTTTGTTGCGCACATGAAAAAGACCGCCTTGGTGAGCGAAGGAGGTTCCCGAAGCGCGTTCCTGAGGCTGAAGCAGCACTGCAGGAAAAGGATGTCGATCTCCTCTTGGTTGACTCCGGGGACCTTCACGACGGTGAGGACTCGCGTCGCAATCGCACGTTCGTTCGGTTCCTCATTCTTTTCTGCAGGTACAGGTCTCAGTGATGGATACCCGGCTGGCGGCGTTGACGGGCACGAAGTGGGTGGATTTGTGCCCTCCCAAATGATATGTCATTCTAATATCTTTTCAGTCAAACAAGTTCCTGCTGCGGCTGCCCTATGACGTCATGGCGATTGGGAAGTGCGTGTGTCTGCTGGAGAGCGACAGAATCCCGAGCTGACTACGAGGCTAGCCACGAACTTTACATCTACAACGTTACGCGCGACATGCACACGAACTTCGCGCCCAAGCTCAACGGTCGCTACCTCACCTCAAACGTCAACATAACCGTCGTGGATGAGACTGGGGAAGCTGTCACCGTTCCAGTTGGCGGTATGCATTCCTTGTCAGGTGATGCTCCAACGCATTTCTGACGCGAGGACTCTTATCGCAGAACGGTTTGCCAAGTTCACTACACGCAAGTACGTTGCACACACTTGGTCTTTACTGTGTAAGACGCTGACAATGGACACGTGCTACGCAGGGGTCGCAAGGTTACCGCGCTTGGCGTCCTCTTCGACTTCACTGGTAATGATAAAAACACCACCGTGCAAAAGGTGGAAGACATGGTGAAAGAATCATGGGTTAGTTTTTTATTCACGAGTGATACCTTTCACATGCTGACGTCCTCCGCTTGGCCAGTTCGCAGAAGCCATCGCGGAGGTGCCAGACTTCTTCCTCCTCGCTGGGTACGTACCACTACTTCTGCCCGGGAAACACAATCATTGAAGCGTACATCTTGGTAGACACATGCCTATCACAACCAGTGACAAGTGTCAGTAGGTTTCACCATGACTGAGGTGTGAACCGTAAGTCTGATGTCAGTGTGTAGGGACCTACGTTCTTTCTACCATTCGGGGGTACACCCTAACACTCCTATCGTCATTCTTGGAGGTGTGTTGTTCATGTTTAGGTTCGAATACTTCATGATTGACCACGGATATTTGCAGGGCACTCTCACATTCGGAATTGCGGTAAGCGTTGTTCGGTTCCTAGGAGTCGGGCTCTCGCTTGATGCCCTCTTTAGTTCCGTTTGATGGTCGCGCAATTGCATTCCAGAGTGGACGATACATGGAGACCGTGGGTTGGCTCAGTAAGTGTCGTTTTGAACCATTTTCAGCAGGCCCGTTAAAATACATTCCCACTACAGGCCTCAACCTCGACCATGTCGATAAAACCAGCAACCTCACGTTCTCTCGCCGATACCTTGACGCCAACCGCGTAACGTACGAGGTGTGCATACCGCCGGTTTCAATTTAAATGGCTTCTGAAGCTGGGTGCGAGCAGTACCACACGAAGACCAGCAACCATACCTTCGACACCCAGGCGGCAAGTCCATCACGTCCGGCCTGCACCACCTCGCGACGCAGTTCGACCTCAACCTCACCTACGGCGTCGCCCCGCACGACTTCCACACGTCGCAGGCGCCCTTCCCGTCCAACGACTCCTCGCTTTCCCTCCTCGCCGAGGCGATCGCCTACTCGCTCCTCGTCAACAACTCGCGCGCCGCCGTCCCGCACGTCATGATCGCGAACACGGGCTCGCAGCGGTACGACATCTTCGCCGGCGCGTTCACGAAGAACGACCAGGTGACCGCGTCCCCGTTCACGAACGCGTTCGTCTACCTCCCGAACGTGCCCCTCGCCGCCGCCGTCCAGGTCCTCCCCGCGCTCAACGACGCGGGCGAGAACAACCGGCGGCGGGACCTGCGCGGCGGCGCGGCGCGGGGCCCGGACGGGTTCACGGCGCGCGAGCGCGAGGCGTACGCGCGCGGGGACGTCGACTTCGTCTTCCGCGAGTGGCTCGCGGAGATGGACCGCCGCCGCTTCGGGCCCGAGCGCCGCGCGGCGGCGAACGCGACGCTCGGGTACGTCACCACCGACGTGAGTGCCCCGCTCCCCCTCTTGCCCTTGTTCTCCTGCTCCCTGTCGCTGACCGTGCCACGCAGTCGTGCCCGGGCGTGGGCGACGACATCCTGCACAGCCCGCTCGCGGTGTACGACTTCCCGGACTTCGTCGGCACGCCCGCGCCGGACGGCCTCGCGGACGACGCGCCCGTCGACCTCGTCTTCACGGACTTCATCGGCGCGCAGGTGGTCGAGACGCTGAACGCGGTGCAGAGCGCGGTCGTGTTCGCGCAGGGCGACATCCGGCCGTACACCCCGACGCTCATCAACGCCGTGCTCGGGATCTACGCGGAGAGGTACTGGAGCTGAGCGCTGAGGGGGCGCGGGGGGCGCGGTGTATCGTGTATGGGGTGTCTTCAGCTTCGCCGTCGTTGCCCCAGCGGACGCGGAATGTGATGCGCGCCGTCGTCCTTCGTCCTTCAGGATGTTTCGGGTGTGTTCTGTTCTCTTCGCGGCCGTCTGACACATCGAGCGTTGGTGTTCGACGTGAGGATGGGTGTCGTGCCTTGATGCCGATGTCGGGACCGAGCTTCCTAAAGCGGGAACGTGAAAGAGAACCTCGACCGCATTTGGTTGGAGGACAGGGATCACATGCAGGCGAGCGTTCTATGCGACGACCAGCGACCGCGTTTCCACCGCGGCTCGAGACAATCTGACACTTCGCCGCCGCCGGTTACTTCTATGCGGCTATACTTATGCGTCCGGGCTTTGGCGGTGAACAAGGCCTGTCACTCATGCAGCCAGCATGCAACACTGGCATCTGCGTTGTGCGTTCGTCGCAGAGTGCTTATTGGAATGCAATGTTAATCTCCGTGGACTCCGTGCCTCCACCTGAGTCCAGATGTGAGGTTTTCTCTCGCACTGCAGAGCCCGGCTGCTGCAGGAGGGCCGTCGGAGTAACCTCGGACTTATTCACTTTGTGGTTGATCGAGTGGCACCGGGACCCACAGAACGACGTCGAGTGGCTGCCCCTAAGATAGCCACACACTCTGAGGGCAAGTGTGCAGGAAAACGTCTTCAAACGGGTGGGGGTTGGTGGGGGGTTCCCCACGCCGTGAACGCGCGGGGCTCACACTACCATCCGAAAAGAGAACCGTTGTTTATCGCGAACACCACGAATATCACAGAACGGTGCGACCGACCGAGCCAGCACTGAGAACGGTCTCTCGGAGGGCGGGGTGCAGGGAGCGCACCCCGCCCGCGTCGAGGCATTAGTAGCAAAGACTAAAACTAAAAGAGTGAGTTAACAGGGGTCGGGAGCGTACACGGACACGATACTACAACTTGCGTACAACGGGAGGCGCGGCGGGAACCCTCGCCGCCGTCGCGCGACTGGCCACATCTTACAGGCGAGGTCTAAGTAGAGGATACACCGGAAACCGGAAGAGAGCGAGAGTCGGAGGGACGGGACGGGACGGGAGCGCCTCGCGCGCGGCGCGAATAACGGTGTGTACTGAGGTGTCGCGGGTAGCGCAGGGGCCAGGGAAGGAAGCGGGTCGGGAGGGTCCTGGGTGTCACTGGGTCTGGGACGGGGCTGAAGCGGAGGAGCGGTGGAGGCGACGAGCGGGCGGGAGGTCCGCGGTGAGGCGCAGTCTAGCGGGGACGGGACGAGGAGCGTTCGGGAGAGAGGCGCAGCGATGGGCTCAGACGAGCGCGTCCGCTTCCTCCGTCTACAGCGAGGGGTGAGCGTCGTGCGCGACGTTCGAGCGCACGAAGAGAAAGGGACGCACACTGGTACTCGTCGCAGGTTCCGACGTGGTGTCGTCTGCCGGTGGCACGAGCCCGTCGACGGTTATCGCGGGCGCCGCTTCCGCTTCCGCTTCCACCACCGCCGCGGCGAACGAGGTCGCGACGAGCGTGTCGGGCGAACTCGTGCTGTCGCTGCTGCTCGTGCTGTCCGCTCTCGCGAGCCCCGTCCACGTGAAGCCGAGCGCCTGCGCGATCGCCTGGAGCGCGTCGCCCGCGTCGATCTGCGAGAGCGAAAGGGTGCTCGTGCTCGGGAACGCGGTGGAGCCCGTCGTGTCCGTCGTGCTCTCCGACTGCGAGCGGGAAAGAATGCGGAGTAAGCACGCGCGAAGAAGAATAAGGGCGGGGGCAAGGGAAGCGGCGACGGACCTCGACGGGGTTCACCGCGATCAGGCAGCCCATGGCGTGGCACTGGCGCGGGGTGAACATGCGCGGGACGGGCGCGAGCTCCATGCGCAGCGGCACCGGCGCGGCGTGCGCGGCGGGCAGCGCGGCGCAGACGGTGAAGGCTGGGCGTGGTGGCGGCCGCGTTCGTCAGCCACGAGGCAGGGGGCTCGGGTAAAGGACAGCGGATGCGTACCTCCGACGAGGAGCCCGGACATGGTGAAGGCGCGGGTGAGGATGAAGGTCACCATAATGCGAGTCGGAAGTATGAATGCGGAGCGGGTGGTGTTGACGTTGACGTTGAAGGGCGAGGCACCAGGGGGATGCAAAGAACGAGTGAAAGGCAGGAGGAACGGCGCTTCGGATGGCGGAGGGGACCCCTGGAGGACTTGTGGTTTCCTGACCGCCCGGGCTGGCCGGGCGGCGTATTATACACGAAGGGGCTCGTGCGCACGCGGCGGGGCGGGGGGGCCGTTCAAACGGACGGACGGAATAGGCAAGGGGGTCGTGCGCGCGGGTGGGCGCGAATGAACGGGGGAAACGGGGCTTGCGGGTTCGCGACGGGCGGGGTGGTGATCAGGCTAGCGTAGAAAGGGCAGCGGCGGGAGAAGGGAAGTCGAGGTGCGCAGCCTAGAGACTAGTCTGCCGTAAGAGTGCGGGCGGTGGAAAGGTCTGGGCGAACGGGCAAATCGCGCGAGGACAGCGGCTAGGTTGGGTGGTAAGCTCGGGTAAGAGCAGGAATAGAGCGGGATAAAGGGAGACCTAGCACGGTAAGTCCGCGGCTGGGGCGGGCCGCGGGAGGGATCGTGATGCGTCCGCTCGATCGGGGGGAGGTTGAAAGGAGTGGCCTAGTTTGGAAACGACCTTGGAGCTGGGGACGCACGTCCGTTGCCCCGAACGTGTCATCCATCGCAATATCGGCGCAGAAGCTCAGAAACATCACGGTTGCAAGATCTGCATCCAACGAGAGACGTCCGGTTGACTAACATCACGACATACGAATGTGCTCTGGTCGGGCGGTAAGTATTGAGTCCTCCGGAGTCCAACGGGCAGCGATTCACACCCGTTGGCGATCGACAGTCAAGCATCAAGCTTCGTACGGCAACAACGCAAGGTTTGCGTGTGCTACGATGTCCATTAGCATGGGAAGCTACGGAGTGAGTGATATGGGGCGTACCTGGAGATCGCTGGGCGGGTGAGTAGCGGATGCGCGGTTTGAGACGGACTTGTGCCAAGAAGTTGTGCGGGCTGGAGCGAGCGACATTGACCGTCAGCCTCGTGCTGGAGGAGCGTGGGCTGGCAAATCCCGGAAATATCGCCGGGTGTGGTCATCGAGGAGCGTCGCCTGCGCTGCGCGGAGGCAAAGTTCGAGCCCGCGCGCAGAGGAGAACAACGCTCGCCCGATCCGGCAGCGCAGACGCCCCGGCGAATAGTCTTCGGGGAGCCCGCCTTCCGGATCTGGCCGAGTCGCGTTCATAAAGCATGCGCCCAATCGGGCCACCGGCGCCTCCCCGCTCTCTCGGGATGGACGACAGGCGTGGGCGGGATTCCCTTTCTAGAGCAGCCCCTTCAAGAGTCCAAAGTGGCTCCAAGGCACCTGCGCGGGCTGCTCTGCCATAAGAGCTCCGTGCTCGTGCCCGGGTGGAGCAGCCACCGCTCACGAGCTCGCCTGAAGCCCGTCTCTTCCTCTGCCGCTAGTCCTCTTTCGTTCTTCGCGACTACCCGTTCACTCCTAACTGCCCGCCATGGTCCCCACCTTCATCCTCACCCGCACCTTCGCCATCTCTGCGCTCGTCTTCGGAGGTCAGTCTTCCTTTAGTTTCGTGGTGTGCGTGATCCTCATCCTTCCCGCCTTCTCCCGCAGCGTTCCCCGTGACCTACGGCGCTCCCGTGCCCGCCTCCGCCGCGCTCGAGAGGAGGCAATGTCACCGCATGGGCTGCATGATCGCTGTGCCGAATGATACGGTGCGTCTGAGACCCTTGGCGAGCTCCCTCCGCCCAGACTGACGCCCTTTCCCGCTCTCAAGGCTGACACTTCCAACACCAACGGTACTACCACCGCGTTCCCGGAAACGACAACGGTCCCTATGTCAGGCGATGCCATGATGGCCATCCTCACCTCCTTGTCCTCGACCATAGACGCGCTCAAAGACGGTCTCGTAAACGCCGGAGTGGTGTCCACAGACAACGTGCAAGTCGCCTTGGTGAGCGCACCCACGCCCCTCTTCTTTGCACAACGTCATTGAACGTTTTATTCCGACTCTTTCAGACCTCGTTCAGCGGGTCTGACACAACCGACGAACTCGCCGAAGACGCACCCTCCAGTCCGGTAACGGAGGACTCGCACCCAGTCTCCAGCTTCGCAGAGGCCGTAGCAGTGGCCGAAGAATCTGAAGATGCCCAGGCGTGACCTCTGGTGCGTTCCCGCGACATTGACCTTGTTCTCCATCGAGCATCGAGCTAAATGCCTCCGCGGCTTCCCAGAACAACGTCATCGCCCCCCAGTCCCCGGGCCGTCGGACCGCCCGACCCAAGATCCTTCGGTCTCTCCGACCTGCCCGCGACCGCGAATTCTCCGCCCGACCCTAGACTCGACTCTCGTCTTCCTCTTCTCCGCCGCCGCGCGCCACCGGCGGCGTGCTTCCGCTCCTTACTGCGTTCCCTCGTCTCCCCGTTCCCGCCCCCGCGCAACCTCGCTCTCCACTCCTCGCTGTACCACCACCCGTGCGCTGGGCAAGTTGCCTCCAACTCCGTCGCGCTTTCCGCGGTCGCACGAGCCCAAACCCACGCGGTGCGCGCGCGCGTTCGCACCGGTGCGAACGACGCGCCGCCGCCGCTCGCTCCCGCCGCCCCGATCCGCACGGACCCCTCCACTCCTTTAAATCCAGCCCCGCGCGCCTCGCTGTTTACTGGACCATCCATCTCTCGGACTCCACTCCGTAGATCATATGGTACTGTCTTTCCCCCGCCTCGTGTTAGCACGAGTCGGTGCACTAGTCGGTGCACTAGTCGGTGCGATGCTGTTGTCTTGTCATGCTTTACTGTCCCGTTGTGCTCTATGTCGTATGCTCTCACCGGTCGCCCGTCGGATCCCTGTATCGCTAGCTTCGTTCTCGCTTTCCTTCCCCGTTCCCCGTCTCTCTCGCTGATCCATAGACGGTCTTGCCCTCCTGGCGCGGTGTATTACTTAGCGTCCTGAGGCTGCGCGCGACGTCGTGCAGGCCCAATTCAGCCGTGTTCATTCCGGCACAAATGTCGTGGTGCGATTGGGCGTGAGCTCGCCGAAATGCGCAGTCCGAAAGGCATGCGAAACGAAAAACGATCTTGTCAGAGGCTCCCAGACTGCCACCGACGTACATAAGAGCAGTGCAGACATGGGTGTTTGTATAAGCACCAAGTGACCACTGTGGACGTCCAGGCGCCGGTCCGCCCCCGGCCTCGACGGACGTCCCAGACCAGTAATACGCCACAAAGCCCGGGCGCTGCCGCCAGGCTGAAACATTGACCGCAGCGGGCTCGTACCATTGCCCAGGAGGGATACTGGACGTTTGGGAGTTGTTCTTCCAGAGTAGGGCGTGAGAGAGAAAGTCATGGAAACCGCCGAAAGCAACGCGATCCTCCATGAAGTACCATCCATGTAGCGACGCCGTAAGGGACAAGGATTGTTTGTCCATCATTAGGGGGTAGATAGTTGTAGTAATTCCAGGATATTGTCGTTCAATCCGTATGGTCAGGATGTACAGATGCATTCGCCCATCGCCTCACGAGCTCGGGCAGGCCCAGATCCTCTGCGATCTGTCATCAAACGCCAATCAGTGAATATGCTCATAATAGAAAAAGAGGAGCAAAGGCTGACCTGATGCTTCAGGGCAGCGTCTTCCGCAGCGGCAGACGACCCGAAGACGGCATCGATCTCCTCCAGCGAGACGTTGGCCGTCTCGGGTACGCAGCGCGTCGCCCAGACGTAGCCAGCGGCGCAGGCGGCGGCGAAGATGAGGAACGTGCCCGCCGCGGAGCGTTCTATGAGGACGGGGGTAAGGAGCCCGATGAGGACTGAGGACAAGTCAGTCGTGACGTAGCAGAGTGAGGGACGGGTACGTACAGTTGTTGATCCAGTTGGACGCGGTGGAGAGCGCAACGCCCTGACTGCGTGCGGACAGGGGGAAGACCTCGGAGGGCAGGATCCAGCCGATGGGACCGTAGCTTACGCCGTAGGCGGCGGTAAAAGCGTATACGCACGCGAGGGAGGCGTATGCCGCGGCTGGGTGCTCCGACCACGAGCTGCCGTAGACGATGATGAAAATTGCGATGAGAAGGTGCGAGAGTGCCATAGCCAAGCTGCCCCAGCGAAGGAGTGGTCGGCGGCCTGGGTGGGGTAGTATGCCGGTGAGTCCTTGTAATAACCAGAGGTGAAGAACTTGTCACTTACCCAAGCGGTCGATATAGGCTATCGCAGGTAGGACGGCGATGAACTGTACGATGCCAATGCCTCCGGCAGACATCAGAGTCACTGAGTCTCCTTGGAGACCGAGGGATTGCATCAGAGTGGGACCATAGTAGAGTAGAGCGTTGATTCCACTCCATTCTAATTAATAGAGCTTGAGTTATGACCTCGACACTACTAGGCGAAGATTACTCACGTTGGAAGACCATCATGAGGACACCAATAAGGGTACGCCTTAAGAGTTTGGGACCAAATAGGCGGCGCCAGGCCAAAAGCTCCCTCTCTATGGAGCTAGTCTTGACGGAGCCGGCGCTCTGCTCAATGAGAGCCGCTTCGACTTGCATTTCGAGAAGCTCAATCTATGCGTCATTTGTTGGTGGATAGATGCACGGTATGCAAACAAGCAGCACACCTGAAGTAACGGGTCCGTATTCTGCTCGGAGGAAGGACGCAGACGGAGCTTGGCTAGGGCACTGAGAGCTTCGTCGACGTGACCCTGCGAGACAAGTAAACGAGGAGAGGCCGGTAGTGCCAAACACCCGAGCCCGAGAAGGACGCCCGGGATGAGCTGAATGCCGAGTGGAATGCGCCATGAAGCGGAGCCTTCTACTGTATGATGCAAGCGACAGGTTTAGACTCGAGGTGGACCAGCGCTGAAATAGACGTACAATCGCGAGTGAAGAACCCCGTCCAGAAACCAAGCACTGCTCCAAGAACTATCGCAAACTGCTCCAAGGCCATAAGAGACCCCCGCACTTCTGGGGGACTGATCTCGGCCATGTAAAGCGGAGCGAGCATACTGGATTGCGGGCCGGGTTGGAGAAAGCACATGAATAACCAGTCGGATTACTCGCCTCAATGCACCCACTCCAAGACCACCGATGCCTCGGCCGAGAATGAGATGATTCGGCGATTGCGCGCCGAATTGAAGAGCAGAGCCGACAGTGAAGACAGCTGAGAGTACATGATTATATGAGGCCACACTCAAAGTCGGGACGAATGTGCACTCACCACATGCGGCAAAGATGGACTGTCGCCGAGAGAACTTGTCGGCGGAGACACCAGCAAGAAGTGCACCAACAAGTGACCCTAGCTCCAGCGCCGAGGCTGCAGAATATTGGGTAAGGACACGTCTTGTTTACACGAAGAGAGGAAAGGAAGGAAGTGCGTACTCATAAGCCCCACATCCCATGCGGTAAGATGCCATCTTGACATGAAGTCCTTCATGACAAGGACATTGGCAATCACTCCTTGGTCGTACCCGAAAGTCAAGCCGCCAATTGAAGCAAAGACAGCGCACCCGAACACGTAGTAGTTGTGGAGCAGACCGGCAATGCCTCTAGGTCCATATGCATAGGTATAGGTCACATTGTCGGGTTGAACATGGAGAACGCCTCCATGAGGTATGTTGTGAGCATTTTGAGAGGGATGATACTCGAACTCTGCCTCCCCTGCTATGGGTACATATCCTCCGTGATGTCTGCTAGTCTCGAATGGACCTGAGGACAAAGCAACACATGTCTAGCGACTGGAAGAACGCACCATTATGTTATGATTTATGCATCACCTTGAATGCAGTCTAGAATAAGACGAAAAACAGCAACTGATCGCGCGTGGCAAGGTTGCGAGAAGGAGGACAGCAAAGAAGGGGTCGGAGATGAAGGAATTGAAGTCAAGCGGCAGGCAACAGAGCGACTGTTATGGCCAGTGATGGAACTGGGCGGCCCGAACGCTCACTTGGCGGGGCTCCTTTGATAGAAGGGCTGCCTAGGGGAGACTAGCGGGGCTCGTCCCTCTTGGCCTGAGCCACCACGGCCTTCTCCTCAACCTTCTCCTTCCCTCCCACCGCGAACCAGCTCTTCAGCCGACTTTCATCACCCCCTATCACCTCTTCCTACTGTTCTCACCCGCCATCATCTCTGGAGCTCTCAGAACGCCTGAAACCAGCCTCATGCTCTTCTACGGCCCAAATCTCTGACTGCAGCTGCCACCTGAATACGACGGATGGACGCACGCACGTTTCTGTGCATGATATTTTCTCTGGCTCCTCGTGTTATGGGAGAAGATATGTTGAATGATACCGATGGGTGAGTACAAGTACCTCTGTTCCACTCGTAACAGATGAAAAGTTCGTAGTGCGTGGCTTCCGGCTATGCACTATGAGCACATAAGCACTATGAGATGGCTCCCAGGTGGCGGAAGGCGGTTTGTCTGCGGCTCTGGCTATGCACCATGAGCCTATGTGCGCTATGAACCCATGCATTATGAACTTTTCATCTGAAGTCGCATCCTAATCCCTCGAATCACTTAAATCGACGTCCCTGTGTCTGCTGCCTTTCGTCTGTTCCCCGTATCGCGTCCTCTCATCTTCCCGTCGTCTTCGTCTTGACTCAGCTACAGACGATGTTCATAATAACGGCGTCCGAAATAGCTCACACATCGTTCCAGGAGCTTTGCTTACGATCCGGTGCTCGCCCACCGACCAAATTTTGCAAAATCCCTACCCGTTCAAGTCCTCTTGCTCGGGATCGTCATGACCCTCGTCGTCGTTCTCATTATCCACCTCGCATTCACTGCACAATACCACTGGCCTCTGGCACCGGTCAACTACGTCCTCCAAATGTCCGCCGTTATCACCCTCCTCATTTCCTGCATCGCAACGCTCCACGTCGTGCTCTCCAGCACAATCGACCAGAGTATGACCTGGCCGTACATGCTCGACTATGTTGCGGTTGACATGCCGCCCTTCTCCGACACCAACGATGGATGGACGATGAGCGAGTTGATCGCATGGCTGTTGATGAACGCGACCACATCCGGTCTCATTCAGGTGCGTGTTGCCTGCGTTCTCGGGGATGTGTCGTTGATGGCTGTCGTTGCAGATCACACACATCCAGTTCCTCACCTTGCTTTTTCCTTCGGTGCTCGAGAAACGCTTGATATTCTGTCTCCTGGGCCCCCTCGCCATCGTCTCCTCTATCATGCAAATTTTGCGAGTCACCGATGGCGAACAAATCAACAAGCTAGCTGCAGCGGCGCAGAACATCTGCAACGCAACATTATCGCTTCTCTTCACCGCTGCCCTCGTCCTCTGGGGCTGCGTGGTCAACCGGGGCGACGCATGGCGCACCGACGGAGGGACAGCAGCGTTTGGGATCGGAGCTCTCACACTCGCCTTCATCTCCACCGCCCTCACCTTCCTATACATCCCGAGCCGCGACCAGTACCCATGGATGCCGGCACTCACATGGGCTGTCATCCTCTGGCAGAGCTTCCTCGGCTGGTGGTGGTGGGTCGGCGCGGGCATGGGCGTCGGCGAGATCGAAGAACTCCTCCGGCGTGAGGAGAAGCGTCAAACGAAACGCCGCCTCCGTCTCGCCAAGCGCAACTCTCGTAAGGAGCGCGCCCAGACCCTCTGGAAGGGCGTCACCGGCGCCTTCACGCGCACACACTCCGACGCCCGCGCGCACGCCTCTGACACCAGCGGCACCGACGGCGACTCCTCCGACGGCACGACGGTCGACGACGTCCGCCCCTCGCGCTCGCACAGCACTCGGTCCACCGGCGCGGAGGAGACCGCGTCGCGCATGGACGAAAGCACGCGGCGCGCGCCTTCGGACCAGTCGGACGAAGGCTCGGCAAGCACAAGCGGTGGACGCGTGACCCGCTTCCTGAACCAATACCGCCCCGGCCGTTTCCTCTATGGCTGGTACCTCGGCCTCCGACACGCGCACCTCGCCGCGGCGCGCGAGCAGGCCGTCGAACGCGTCGAGCGCATCAACCAGGCCTACGGTCCTGAAGCCGCCGCGGCGCACGAGAACGGCGCGGTGGTGCCGACGTTTGGGTGGGGGCTCGGGAGCTTCGGCGTCCAGCGGCAGCGGCGACGAGAGTGGGAGCAACGCGAGCGCGAGGAGGCGGCGTGGAAAGAGTACGAGATGGATGAGTTCTCGGACACGGAGGAGCGGGAGGAGCTGAGAGATGGGCCCAGACAGCGAAGGAGGACACCGCAAAGAGCGGTGGGGGGCTTAGGCGCGGGACTAGGTGCAGAGCGGAGGATGGACGAGGACAGTCACCGACCGGGGTCCGTGTGGTGGTGGGGGCCGTTGCAGCGGTGGAGGCTGCAGGACTCGACGGACTATCGTTCATAGCCCCACTGACGCGCTGGTGAGATGATTTATGCTTGCACCAGTGTTTGTTGTTGTACACTTACTTCTTACACGTTTGCCCTCACAATTGTCTTTTTATGAATTCCCAAAAAGACCGAAGACATGCGATAGGTACGAGATTACAAACCGAGCATCCGGCAGACGGCAACGGTAGAGACAGCAACAAAAGCCGTCCGCACCATCCCGATAGCATCCTCAGCACTTGGATTCAGTGCTTTCTGCACGACATGGCGCCAAGAGGGGGAAGGAGGTGATATCTTCGTGGACAAAACACCTTCCTGCTCGTCGAGAGGCGGCGCCGGTTCGCGACCAGGCTCCTCCATCAGCACAGGCTCGAATCTGTTCGCGTCGACCGTTTCCACCGTCTCAGGCGCTCCGCGAACCCGCCGCGGCGGGATGACCAAGCCTGCCTCGCGCTGCATCTGCTCGTACACCGTCCCGCGCAGCTCGATGTGCAGCACGAGCGCCGTCTCCGGGTCGAACACGCACGGTGCGAACGACAACCGCACCGTTCTCTCCTCGTCCCCAAAGTCGCGCGCCATGCCCTCCCAGCCAGCGACGCGGTCCTCCGCCTGCGGCTCGCGCTCCGACCAATACTCGGCCCCGCCCGTCCAGTTGTCCATGTTCTCCGGCTCCGCCCACGCGTAGTGCTCCGCGGGCGCGTCGGGCCCCGCGCCCTCGGGGCGCGCCATCGCGAGCCACAGGCGGATGCCCTCGCAGGTGACCGGGTCGCCGAACTCAACCCAGGCGCGCGGGAGTGCGGCCGCGTCGTCAACGTCGACACCACCACCGTCGCCGTCTTCGCCCTCGTCTGGCTCGTCGTCGTCGTCGTCGTCGTCGCTTTCTGTCTCGGACTCGCTGTCCGAGTCCTCTGGCGTGCAGTCGTCCCAGTCGTACAGCGGGATGCGCACCGCGGCGAGCGCACCGAGCAGCCAGCGCGGGATGCGGAACGGCGTGCCCGCGAGCGTGTCGGGCGCGAACGAGACCACGCGCCGGGCAGGCTCCGCCGCCTCGCCGTCGCGCGGGCTCGTGTGGATGTAGAGGTCGCGCCACTCGGCCTGGTACGTCTCCCCGCGGAAGCGGAGGTTGGACAGGTCGCGGCCGAGCGCGACGAGGCGGGAGATGTCGGCGGATATTGGCTGCCTCCCGGCCTTGCTGAACGCGTAGCCGGTGTAGTACACCCGGCGCGTCGGGTCCTGGGTCTCGCTGCGGGGCGCGGGGTGCAGGAAGAGGCCGATGTGGTCGTCGTTGGTCTCGCAGAGGAGGACGGCGATGAGGAAGTCGCCGCAGTCGATGACGGGGAAGCGGCACTTCATGCCGTGGCTGGTGATCTCAAAGGAGGGGAGCTCCAGGCGACCGAACGGACCGTGCACGCGGCGGTCGCTGTCTTCAGGCTCGTCCTGCGGCGAACGTTAGCAGTGTGACGAACGCCAAACGCGGCACGCGCACCTCTGTAGGGAGATAGTTCTCGATGGGATCCCCTATCTCGGGGGTGTAGTACATGGCGTCCCCGTCAAAGTTGTTGGTTGACGTCGCAAACGCAAACCGTTCGTCGTAGATTGGACCATGGAAGTAGTCGTGCATATCTTTGAGTGACACGGGCTCGAGGTTGTCGGAGCCGGTCTCATAGATGGCCCCCCAGGCAAAGATAGTGGTATCCAGCGACTGCCTCGCGATCTCTTGCTGAAGGCGGAGGAATGACCGGCGTCCCTCACCGTAAAGGGTGGGCATGCTGATTCCAAAAAGACCGAGTAGAGAGTACGCTTCGTCTTCCACGCGCGTCGATTTACGGTTCGACGACCACGCTAACCGTTCCGCAACGGAAGCCTTGACGAGGGAATGGTCTCGCGTTAGGTAATTTGCCGCAATGTCGGTGATGTCTTCTAACAGCGTCGCTAGGCCTTCCTTGGTCCCTAGGCGTTTCCAGCCTTTGGACAAGAAGACGACAAGGTACGGGGCAAGAAGCTCTTGGAGGGTCCAGCAGCGGGTGTGCCATTTTGCCTTGCGGAACTCCGAGTCTTCCTCGTGGATGTTGTCGTCCTCACGAACGTCCTCGAGGTACGCGTAGCATACTTCTGAGTGGAGATACCAGGTGAACATCGAGTTGATGGCCTCCGAGAGCTCGGTACTGCTCTCCTTGTTGATGCAGCAGGTGTCGATCCAGACCCACGCATAGCCGTCGTTCTCTGCCACGAGGCAGCAGTTGCGGATCTTGGCCGACACGAGGTCTCGCGGGTTCTCGCCGGTGGCCTTGCAACGAGCCTGGATATCGCGTACGTCCTGGAATGATTGCTCGAGGTGTCCCCAAGTGTGAGATAGGATCGCGTATCCTCCAATGATGGAAGAATACTCCTCAAAGTAGCTGAGCTCTGCGCGATTCGTGCTTAGTAGCCACATGGCTACATGATTGATCAGTGTCAAGAGCGCGCACTTGTCGGAGAGTACGTACTTTGGAGAGCGAGAGAGAGACGACAGGAGGAGGTGGGGTGGCGAGTTGAAAAACCTTGGTGTTGACTGAGATGAGCTGCGCTGGCGTGCTAGAACCGACAAGCAATTAGTGCACGAGCAGTGCACGAGGCGCATAGCCTGCAGTTGTACTCCGATGTGCGGAGCAACTTCAATTGGCCGACCCGAGGACTTGGGAAGTTGAAATACCACTATCAATCTCCCATGAGCTTGGACGCCGGGCCCTGGTACGAACTGAAGGTTGGAAGGTTTGAACTTTGAAGCATATAAATATTCCCTACACCAAGTGCGCTGGGCCCTTACACAATGCTTGTCGACAGTATGTCCAAAGCGAGTGAAAGACGCATGCGTAGCGGCTACTCAATGGCTGTTTGAATTAGTCGTAGTAAAGGACGAAACGGTGACAGCCCAAGTCGACTTTGTGCGACAAGCGCCATGTGGAAAAATGGGTGCTTTCATTGGGAATCGAACACAGCGATTCAGACCAACGGACGAACTTTCTCATAAGCGTCTCCTCAAGTGTGCACAAAGTTACTTATTCCAGTATTTTCGTTCAGTTGTTCTCCGGACAGGTTTGATATATTGTACGAGCTCTATACCACAACACCCGCACTATGGAAGAGAAAACACCATGTCTTAAGCCCCTACTATGTAACAACCGACAGGCCTGAGCTGACGCTACATTAGTACATATACACCAGCTGCACCTAATCCTTAAGCAAGGGGGGTGAGCGAGACCAGAACAGTAGATAGAGGATAATGTTGTTTTTGGCAGTCATGACGTGTCCCTATAATAAAATCCTGACGCCTACATACGGTGGGCATGCGCATCTCAGCTGTGCGGGGTGGTCGTCTGGAAGAAGATTCCAACACCGCAGGAGGCGTCCAGCGAGCCGACCTCTTGCGGACGTTCCGCTGATCTCGCTCGAGCGCATCACACGGCCGGGATGGACTCCATGATGGACATTATAACGTTTGGGACGCCGGACGGTGAGCGCAGTGGGTGAGGACAGCTAGAGTGGACGGAGATGCTAGTGCGTGCTACGGAGAGTACGGAGTATGCGACCGGGTGCGGACAGGCGAGTGACGGGGCGGGCACGACACAATCAAGCGACGGGCAGGGCTGGAAGAGACCGAAGGGCCGCGGTGGCCCCAAGGGCGGTTGAAGGGCGGTTGAACGGGCCGCGCCTGTTGTGTGGGGCGGCGGGAGAAGGTAAATGCTACACTACGTAAAGTGCGGTCCCTCCTTTGAGGGCGGGCGCGGGCGGGGTGGGGGGATGGGGGTGAAGAGCAAGGGATAAACATGACGACGAACCAAAGGACAGCCAAGAGGGAGTGTGGGTGCGAATGTTAAAGGAGGAGATGAGGAGAGAGGGCAGCGGGAATGTATACCGACACAGTAGGAATACGAGCGCATCGAGTGGGTGCTTGTGATACACGGGTGTGACAAGGCTGACTATACAGAGATTGGAAGGATGGAGCGGAAACGAGAGTCGTGAGGATAGAAGGCGATCAGTACCAGAACAAGGCGCTTAGACGCCGTAACGGGCAGCAAGTCGCTCCTGGATGACAGGGGGGAACGTCGCGACGGCCGAAGACCAGCCGGCCGGGTCTTGCTGCTTGAAGCCGGTTAAGAGGTCTTGGAACATCTGGTTGAGTTCCGGCGAGGGCTGGTTCCAACGAACGATCGCGTTGCAGAACCACAACAAGCTCTGCAGGGACAGTAGTCGGCAGACGATTCGAAAAGGGACGGAACTATGAAAGAGGAAGGTACGAACCTTCGCGATCCCTGTGGGGTTGTGGTGGACGAGGGTGCACATGCCACGGAACGCAGAGTCCTTCTCCTCGTTGTCGCGGATTTCGTACAGTGCTTGACACCACGCCTGCGCGAAATCGGGCAGGAGGGGCGCGACAACGCCTGGGTGCATGAGCCCGATCCGCCCGATCGAAACCGCCGCGTTCTCGTGTAAGCTGCGCGGCGCCTTGGGGTGCAAGAGGATCGGGATCAGGCGAGAGACGAGTGGAAGGACCCATTGCTGGAACTCGGGATCATCTACGGAATCGAAGGAGGGGTCAACGGTTAAGAAACCCCCGGCATAGATAGATGACACTCACTAAGTCCGAAGCGGAGAGCGACCTCACCAACAGCCCAGGCAGCGTTGTTGCATGCGCTGATAAACTCGACCTTCGGCTCGGGATCGAGCTGTGCGAGGAGCTCGTGCATAATCGGTGGGACGTGCGGGCGGAGGAGTGGGAAGCAGTTCATGGCCATGTCGCCGACAAGCGCATAGCCCGACTGGCGGACCGCAGCGTGGGGGTGCTTGAGACAGACGGTGAGGAGGGAGAGCAGGCTCGGTTGACACTGGCTGATGTGCGGTTCGAGGGCAATGCCGAGACCTTGGGTGAGGCCGGAGAGCAAATCGAGAGCGACGACGAGGAAGGAGCGGTCGGGCTCGTCCATGTCCGGGTTCTGCTGATACGTCTGGTACTGGAGCAGTTGCGAGTTGACGATCGTATGACAGCGGTTGAAGATCGGGCTTGCGTACGGCAAGAAAGAGGGGCCCATCGCGATGGTCACGGACGCTAGGCACTACCACATGAACCCACGTCAGCTATGTCCCTCCTAGTTCAACGCGGGCTGCGTACCTCGAGCAATGGGACGATGTCCTCGTCGTCCTCCTTGAGCTTGTGCCACCGCTGGATGAGGGGAGGCATGAGAATCTCGACGTAGGTCGGATTCTGCAACGCTGATCCGACTGCATCCGCAAGGGTGCCGACAGCATCGTACAGGATGAGCATGTTCTTGTGTTGGTACTTGTCGAACGCGAAGACCAGATTGCGGAGCACTGGTTCCAAATAGGGCGCGAGCTCGGGGCCAGCGTCCTCTTCGAGCGTCGCAAAGGCACTGCATCCGGCTTCTTGTACACGCTTGTTGTTATCGAGAACCATTCGAAGGAGCTGTGTTGCTACGTCAGCCAGCGTCGAACTTACCTAGCGTGAAACCGCAGATTTCGAAGGTAGAGAATGTGTCTAGAATTCGCAGATGCAAGACTTAGCGAGAATCAGCGAATTCCGACGACATTCCCTATTCTCGAAATCGGTAGTTTCACGCGGTGTTAGCTTAGGCGCGATGCTTACCCCTTCGAGCGTGGGGATGAAAAACTGGTTCTTGTGCTCGTCGGAGACCATCTGAGTACACCAACTGGCGTATCTTCCAAGGGTCCAGCACGTTATTGATCGGACGAGGGGCTGCGGGAACTAGATTGGTCTTGCAAGGCATAAGAAATCAGAGCACATGCACACCTTAGAATCGTTGAGGGTGTTGATGAGGTAGGGGACGAGGGTAGGAAGATGAGGTTCGATAGCATCGATACAGCCTGGGTTGCGACACGAATAGGAAAGGGTTGGGAGGGGTACGAAGTGCACATCAGCGAAAGATACTCACCTTCCGCCATCGCGCCCAAAGCCAAGATGCCGCTCTCCCTCTGCAGCCAGTCCTCGCTCCACAGCTTCGCCCGCAACGGCTCCAGCAGGACGTTCATGAGGTCGGGCCCGAACCGGACGGCGAGGACGTCGAGCGCAGCCGCGGCACACTTGCGGAGGTTCCACTCGGTCGTCATATCGTCCGCGAACTCGTCGTCGTCTTCGTAGTCGTCGTAGTCGTCATCGTCGTCGCCCTCCGCCACCTCCTCGCCGTACGCGCCCACGCGCTTCGCGCCGTCGCCGCCGCCGTTCTCCCCGTTCGCCGCCGCACCGCCGTCGTGCTCGAGCCCGTGCGATTTGCCGCCGTAGTGGCGGGGCTTGATATCGGTCTCCTTGTCGGGTACCGCCGCGTCCTCCTCCTCGCCGCCCTGGAGCCAGAGCAGGTCGTCCTCGGTGTAGACCATGCAGTCGAGCAGCACGGGGGCGACTTTGTTGAGGAGCGGGTGCAGGTAGGGGGCGAGGTCGGGATCTTCGGCGAACGTGAGCCAGAACTCGCAGGCCTCGAGCGCGACGTTCTCGTGCTTGTCCTTCGTCGAGTAGAGCATGTACTCGGCGACGTTGTTCATCTCGGGCATGAGCTTCTCCGGGCGTGACGCGAGGAGGAGCACGAGGGCCTGGCAGACGTGTCGCCGCACTGTGGAATCTTCGTCCGAGGCCCGCTTGAAGAGGCACGCGATGAACGTGTCTAGGTGCGCGAAAAGCGCCTGGCAACCGATGGGGACGAAGTAGGAGAGACAGGCGATGGCGTGGGCGCGCATTTTGGAGGAGGGGTGTTCGGAGAGGACGAGGAATTTGGGGATCATAAAGTCCAGGGGCATGGTGCCTTCGATTTCGACATCGAGCTTGCGCGGGTAGTCTTCGCACGCTTTCTCGAGCGTGTTGAATGCCGCCTGCGGGAGGGCGGAGGTTAGTACGGGTCCGAACGGTTAATGAATGCTACTATATATCGCGCAGCCGATCTACGCCTCGAGATTACGCGATCGGCCTGCACCATCTTCTCGTAGGATTTCCGTCCACACAGACGAGAAGAAGAAAGGGCACGGCAGAGAAAGACGTCGCGAAAATCGGGTTGCTCGCAAGCACTGCGCCACATGGAAGGAAACCGCCACCGTACGAAAAGCAACACGGAACCTTCGAACGCGGTGGCGAGACGCGTTCGTGCGAAGAAAACCACGGCGTTACACATGTGGGGAATGTGAGGGGATCGGAGGATGAAAGTGTGGCGCGTACCTCTTGCATCTCCGCGTTCGGGGAATCCAGCAGGTGAACAAGCTGCTGGAGACACTCTGGCCAGTGCCTGGGCTCGAGGATGCCGAGGAACTGGACGACGTCCTGTGCGGCAGCGTTCCGGATCATGCTCGACTGGTCGCTGAAGGCGGCGAGTACTGCAGACTTGACATACGCAATGACCTCGGGAGAGGCACGGAGGATGAGGCGAGCATTGTTCTTGAGCAGGTAGCCCGCAATGGTACGGATCCGGTCGTCCTCTTGGGGCATTGCCGAGAGGATGTAGGCGAGGTAGGCGATGTAGTCGGGGGCGCGCGTGAAGTTGTTCAATTTCTAGGAAATGAGGGTGAAATGAAGCGGGATGAAAGGGCGGAAGGGAGAGACGACGTACATGGGTGATGGCGCGCTGGGTGACAGTATTGCGGGTGTCGGTGGAGTCGTGGATGGTCTGCAGGATCTCCTGCAGCCCCGCTTGCTGTGGTGTCCAGGAGGCCATGGTCGCGGAGGGAGGTCAAGATGCAGGCGACTAGAGCAGGCAAGCTGGGCCAACGCGTTCGCCCGTCCCCTGCACGGAATATTATTGACTGCTAACTCGCTTATCTATAATCTCCAGTCTAAGCCCAGCATCTAATGCGAATTACCATGTTGGAAGCATGGGCGCCAATCGGACTGACTGGTGTCTTCAACAGCAGCCTTAAAGTGGGAACCGTCTTCTTATTGCATTCTATGACTCGGACAATCTTTTCCGCTCGCCATCTGAAGTTGCTGGATCTTTGCAACCATGCGGAACGCTGCCCCTCGAACGCCCATGACACTCTCCACCCCACCGCAACGTGGACATGCCGCCGTCCGTGGCGTCGAGGTGCCGGCCGGCCGTGTCGCGGAGGTGAGGGTGCAGGCATCGATGGTAGCGCGGCATTGATCCCGCCTGCCTCGAACGGTGCGCAGATTCACCCCGGATGGGACCGGATGGGGACAGGGACGCTCATCGCGTGCGCGGTGATCGATGCAGGCTCGATAGAAGATCCCTGGATTTCGCGGTCTGTCTTCGGTACCTATCAACTCGCAAGACCATTCGACACCCCCACCAACAGGCAAGCATTTCTTATGTAAAGAACTCTTAACTTTCAAGAAATGGGGACGAAAAAGTTCATGCTAAGCCTCGAGGAACATAGGCCAGCAGTATACGGCCCCAATTGGCCGAGACCGCCTCGATGCTTCTCTTGGGAATCGAAGACGAGTACTGTACGGACGCCGCCGCGGATCCACCAGAACCCTGCAGCATGCGTGATTCCCAACAGAGCCGCCAGACTCATCGAAACCCCTGCAGCCAACGCTTCGAATCTCCGTTTTCCTCAGATCCGGTTGTTACGGACGTTTGCTCCCTTCCATGCAACAGCAAACGATCCAACGATGTGCTGTGGAAATAATTGGTTTCTACTGATACATGCCCCGGAGAGAGCGGACGCTCGCCCACCTACCGCGCGTCATATCGATACACGTGCAGGTAGGCGGCGCAAGGGCCGATGGTCTATGGACGTAGGTAAGAGGGCAAGTAAGTACGCACGAACGAATGAACGATTACTGTGCGTGCAATGGACGCGCTGTATGTTTCCGAACTGTGTGTGCGGGTGCGTGGGGCATCGAATGGCTAGTGGTATGAGTATGCGTACGGTGCGGATGTCAGTGTGGCGTGAAAGGCGAACGTGAGTAGAAACGACCGGCGGGTTTGGAGGGACGACGAGCATGTGCCCATACAGGGCCGAAAGGTCAGGATATGTGCAGAGCGGGAGGTGATTAGGAAGTTCGGGAGGACGGCGGCCAGCAGGCGCGATCCTTGCACACCTTGCGCGCGTCCCCCGGGCTCAGTCAGCTGTATGGGGGTATCTGCGGGCCCTGCGCGGTGCGGAGGGCACGAGAATAGGGTATGGTCATGACGAAAGCGTCTCTATTCACAGCGCGGTATCCAAGGGCCCCAAACGGGCGGGATCGCGGGGGACGGTCGTGGCCGCCAGCCACAATCACCGAGGTGACAACAGAGGTATGAGCCACCGGAAGGGCGCGCCATCGCGACAGCGTCCAAGGTGGCCTGATGGCGAGGAACAAGGTGGCGCTGGGGTAGGGTGTCGAGCGTCGCAAGTAGGCATCCGCATCCGAAGTGCCATGATGGTCGAAGGATCTAGTAGTGACTGAATCGACTCTTGAGGAGCTGCTTCCCCGTGAGGCGTTTCGTCAACATGTCGGCTGGCTTGCCACCGCCGTAAGTTACGAGAGCGGGCTCGTCCTCGACATAAGATGCAGCGTCCGAGTCGGTCTGGGTCCGTAGAGGGTAGAAGGAAGCCTTGAAGATCAGGTACTGCAAAAGTGCGAGGATGAAACTAGGGTGGCGACGTTAGTACAACGCACGGGGTAGAACGGCCGCAGGACTTACGTTGCGCCGAGGGAAGCGCCAATGACGATCTGCGTCCTAAGCGAGGGATTGTAACCACGGAAAACGATACTCTATGTACACAGAGGAGGTTTAGCGCTCACAAAGCGACGGAAGAATGACAGCTACGCACCAGAAAATGCGAGTCATTCCGGTCCAGGAGGAACCGAAGGCCAAAACTGAGACCGTCTTGCTTCTGGATGATTAAATCCACACCCAATGCAATCAAGAACGAGCCAATCGCAGCAGTGTTGATCGTCTGTGAAGGAAAGTACACGCATGGTCAACACTCGCCGTGCATCCCAGCATACATGCACATTTGAGACTCACCACTCCAACACGTTGCTTGACCAAGATCCCTGCTAGGCCGAGAATACTGAAGGCGACGATGACCAGCCAGTTGAGGACGTATGTTGGGATGAGGAGGCCTGGGCGGAGCAGGACGACGCGGAAACCTATGGACATGCCTCCGAGGGCACCAACGAGGATGATGCCAGCCCACCGTCCGAACGGGAGCACACCGGCAATAAAGCTAACTCCAAAGGCGCCGAGGACGATGATAGCGAGCACAAGATCGGGCAATCCGTCTGCGCTCACGGTGTTCACGAACGCGGCCCAGGCTGTGAGGAGAGACGCGAGGAAAGGGAGAAGCGCATTGAGTTGGAAGGTTTCATGCATGAGATGACATAGTAACGCACCTCCGAGGGCAACACCAAGTCCGACACCCAATCCTGTGGTGACCCTCCACAACCGGATGCCTGCGAGGGCGAGCGGCGCGCCCGCGGCAAATGCGAATCCAAGCCAGAGGATGGCGGGAAGGTTGAAGTCCTGCCCGCTCCCGTCTGTACCGGCACCTTGGGCGACAATGGACGATGAGCTTGGGTTGATGACCAACGTGCTGGATCCGTCCATCCTGACAATGGGGGTCTCGCGCCTAGAGACCGCATGTGTTGGAAGGGGAGTTGGAATCGCGAAGTCGGCGACAGGGAGGAGGACCGCGGGGGAGGGCGGATGGAGGAGGGGGCCTTGAGGAGTGGTGGGGACCGGGACAGGCGAGCCAGATGCGTTACCAGCGCAAGCGAGGAGGAAAAGGAAACATGACAAGACAGCAATGAAGTACGCTAATCTGAGTGGGCGTAGGCGGATGGAATCCGCCATCGGCCGCCGCGGTCAAGACTGTGTCGACGCCAGAGCTGGAGGAGTACCCAGGGCGGACTGAGGGTCGTTTGGACGCAGGGCCGGAGGTAGCGAGGGCGGGAGGGTGCCCAGCAGGCAGGAGGAGACGCAAAGACCGACTTGAGTGGGAGAAAGAGCGTTGAGGGACTAGATGCCCTGAGGAGGGGTGAGGGAAGAAGAGAGGTCTGCTCAGCGGCTGCGGTGGAGGGAGATCGCGCGGTCCAGACCGGCTACATAAAGCGAGAGGGGAGAATGGTGACGAGCACAGGGAAAACCGACGCGCCTCGATCAGCCTCGATATACTTTACACTTTGGGCTCTGTGTGCCCGTTGCGAGGCAACGTTCAGGTGATCATTCTCTCCGCACACCTGTTCCGTGCGCGCGATCTACATAGAAACGCAAGCGCGGGACTCACTTCGACCTGTCCGCTCTCTGGTATGGCTGCACTTCCTTTGCCGAATGTCGGTGCTAAGAGCGTCGGGCTCCGCAGCCGCGCGGTACTTCGGTTGGGAGGAGACATGTTTGGCACCCCCGCGCGCAAGGGTCGTCGAAGTTGATTCAAGTTGATGATGAGGCTTCGCCGTTGCGCGCACCGTTGGAGAGAACGGAAGACGAAGAGTATGGCACGCGCCTCTTCCAGTCTGGCGCGGAGCCAGACCCGGCTCATTGACTTGCCGATTGCCGGTCCTGCACGCGACTTCAAATTCAAGTCTGAAGGCCGACAGCTATGTGCAGTATGTATAAATTCTGCCGACCCCGTCAAGCCCACCTTCTTGCACTCCCACTCCCACCGTAAAGGCCTTGATGCGCCTTGATCGTAAAAGGAGGCCCAGAACTGACAATCGCCGTATCGCAGGGCAAGGCGGTCCATACCATTACTGAGGCTGGCACGCGAGCAACCAGGATCAACTTGGCATCGAAGATGCACCATATGCGGTGGTTGACCAGTAACGAACAAAGCTGTCCCTTGGATGGCGCACTTTCCAAGACGACGCCGCCGGTGTGTATAGAGCCAGCAACGGTTGCCGGGCAGCTTTGCAGGCAATACAGGCGTCGAAATTGGGCACATATATAACCGGCCCTCAAACGCGTCTCGCAGGAGGAGAGCAGGCCTCCGGGATAAAAACTCAACTCCAGAGTCCAGATATGTTGTTCACCCAGTAGCGCGTGGCCAGTGCGTATATAGCAGACCCGCGCCCACTGCTCACGAACCCTCGATGGCGTATGGGCGGCACGTTGGTTTCGCCGACGAACGGTGCCCTCCCCGACGCGCAAGCACTGTCTTCTTGGGGAAGAGGATGGTGTCTGCCGAGGGCGAGGGTGATTTTGAAAGTCTGAACCTACTACTCCGGACTGGAGTCGCAATAGGGGGCTTATAACTTAAATCTCTCTCCTCGATTGCCCATTCTTATGTAAGCGAAACATGAGTGCTTACTTGATTGGATCCCCGAGGCGCCGACCACTGCTCAACGTTAACCAACCATTGTCATCAACGACAACAAATGGCAGCAAACTACACCGTCTCTCGCGTGGTTGACATTCTGTCGCACCTAGGAGGCCCTGAATGCACGCATGAAGACCTTCAGTGGTCTATAGACATCCCTGCAGGGCAACAATTCCTCCAATGGATAGCAACGCAAGTCCCTGAGGTCGACTCGCCGTTCAACCTCGGCGCCGGGAAAACCTTGCACGCAGCATTACGCCCCATCGCTTTGAGTCAAGAAGAACTAGATCTGTAAGTTCTTGCATCGATTATAATAGGGCATATTCATAGTGGTTTTATTTCAGAATGTCGGCCACACGTGCCAAAACTAAGGCCGCCGACGAGGATCCTGTGCCCGATACGACCCGAGTTGGAGGACTCCTCAGGACTGCTGGACGTTACGAGACTCCCTTGCAAATACGGTACGTACTAAACTGATGACGTGTACGAAAATGCTCACATCGCGTCAAGGCACCGTCTCGAGACAGCAGAAGTTCAGGCCGAGGTCACGGAACGACAAATAGCTCGACTGAAAACTCGCCTCAAGGCCTCGAAGTAAGTACACCGGCTTCTGCTTCTGTACATGCACCCATTTGACGCACTCCTCTCTCCATAGAATTGCTGCTCTAGATTCAAAGCAAGCTATACATTCGCTGAAGAAGGATATACAGTCCGCGGATCGATCTATTGACAAGCAGCAGCGGCAAGTGGCGAAGCTTTCAGATGAGGTACAAAATACCATCTCTATCTGTACGTATATGGGTGATCGAATTGTACCACAGATAGATGATGCTGTTTCTCAGCATGTCGATTTGGCTTTGCGCGCCCTTGCCGAGACGTCTCTTTCAGAGGAGTCTCAGGAGTCTGGTTTCCTCCAGAAATCGAAAGCCACAATTGCTTCTCTGAAAAGTGCTCGTTCCTCCGCGGCGACGTCTACACGTCGACTATACGAAAACCTCGACGCCGCATACAGCTCGCTTCCTCACGCCGGCGAACTTCAGCAAGATGCCGCTCGAGTACAATCCATACTCGCAGATGTGTCAAACCAACCCGAAGCGCTTCTTCAAGCCGCATATATCAACCATCTGGAAGTAGCCACGAAGAGACTGAGCAGCTCAGCGAGCTTACAAGCGCTTCTGAGCGAATGTGATGCTTTTGAAGACGCAATAGACGCGAAGGACGGCGATGTGAAAGCTGACCTGGTAGTTGATGTTAAGAAGGAACTTGAGAATGCGGGAAGACTTGATCGTCTTGCTTTGCTAAACTTTCAAGAGAGGGGACTGGATGAGGCTTGTATCACTCGCTCTTGTTCAAGTCGGTTGGGCTAACTATTCTGCTTGTAGATTATCCAGTTCATGCAGGGCAGTGTCCAACCAGCGCTAGAGACAGTGCACACATGCCTTCGATCTCGAAGTACCCTTGCGATGGAGGCTGAAGCAATCGTCAGTGCTCTTATAGAAGAACTAGAAGACATCAATGATGCCGCAGAGTCCGTCAGAGGAATCCGGGAAACACCAACCCAAGGCCACTCTAGGGACACCGATGGCATCCTTGAATCAGAGTTCATCCTTCTCCTGAAGAGATTAATTGGTGCGTGCTGTAGTTACGTGCGGCGTGCGGCTTCACTGACGGTCCTCGTAGGCTCGCGGCCCGGCGTCGTCGAACGAGCGACTGTCCTTCTCAACCGCGAAGACGTCGATAGGGAAATCAACACGCTCACCCAGGAGATATCGCACGCGAGGTCCCAGGAAGACAAGTGGGTGTCAGATCTGCGTGGTCGCCTCCACAACTTGTGAGAGAACTTTCCCGCCCATCGTATGGATATCATGACACTCTTACGATACAGGTCATCGAGTACCGACCCGCTCGTTTCCACTGTGTACTCCAACGCTCCCGTGAACACATCTCCTCCATTTGCACAGCCGGCGCCCCTTGAGGCATTGTGCACACAAACGCGCGCCAGGGCAGAGGAGCTCGCGGCAGCGGCGGCTAAATTGCAGCAAGTGAGCAGCGTAATGTTTGATACATACCTACGTCAATTCCAATAACCAATCCCCATAGGTAACCGAGTTGAGCTCTCGGGACAAACGCAAGCTGGGCGTGTTCGTGGAGAAGTGGACCCTTTAGATCGCGGAGAAGTTGCCGCGGGACTGAGAGTTCTCATATGATATGAACCTCGGTTGAACGAGAAGTACTAATGTACCACTAGAGCTTATGTACAATATTTTGGGGTACAAGGAGCAGTTGGTGGGTCTCCCTCGAGAGTACATATACGATATTCGCGGCGCCCACTCAGCGCCCGCTTGAACTTCTTGACTTCGACGGTCATGTCCCAATCACTTCCCCACGCTCTCTGCTCGTACATCCCCACCAGCATGATGCTTTCTATGTGAGGCTACTCGTGATGACAATGGATGTCGATTTCGACATTCGCCAAGCCAACGCACAGGCCCTCGCCTATGTCCGCCGAGAATCTCTTGACATCTATAATCGTCTGCAATCTATCGCAGAAGACGTGAAGTTCGTTCACCAGGTCCACCGGGAATACCCAGATCTCCCTCTACTTCGTACGTCTGCTCTCGGATGATGCTGACTGTCTTACGATGTTAACGTATGTATAGCCAATTTACGGTGCGGCGGATGGTACGTCGACCCCGCCATTGTACGTCCCTCGCCTCCCGGTCTTTTTCACTGCATACCAACTCTAAAGACGTCCGTATTCTGTATTTTCTCACCTGCGTCGAACAGGCCACACCGGAGGCCGCATACTTCAAATCCACAGACGGGCACTTTGGCAATTGGTCCTTCAACCTCCGCCGTCCGAATCTGCAAATCCTGCATCTCCTCGCCCGCGAACGCGGCGCGCGGGGGTTCGTTCTTGTCGACTCGACGCGCGCAGGCAAGCGCATTCCGGATGCACTCTCGAAGACGGTGCCAATCTGGTGCGCGGTCGTCAATCGCGCGATGGTGCGGCTCTACCCCGACCTCAAGCAGTGTAGCGGCGGCGAGGAGGGATGGGATGTCCGCCTGTACTGCCCACCGGGGTCAGTAAGCGAGCAGGAGAGGGTGCAAATCGAGGCGAAAGTGGATGCGTGGGCTGGTGCATTAGTGGTATGTACTTCACGTTCTTCGCCTTCAAGCATTCCTTTAAACCCCTTGCACTCCCCCCAGCATTCTTCCTACGACATTCCGCGACTTCCGCATCCCCTCAGACCCCTCTGGATTACCCCGTCTACCACTGTCTTTCCCAGCCTCCCGTCTGGTGGTGAACAGAAGTACACCCCCATCATTTGTGTCTCCGCGTCGAAGCAAGTGCAGGAGGGATTGGAAAGGCGGTCAAACGGATTTTCGTATGTGCAAGGGTCCGGAGATGATCACGAGCTTTGGGGAATGGTGCGTCTTCTCGATCGTCGTATGCGGATCCTCGCAGTCCTCAAATCGTATCCCCTAGGGCTTGACCCCGTCTCTGTTTTGGGCACACAAGGATGAGCTCCTGGGGAGCGACCGCGGTGAACTCCCCGTTCTGGTGAAGGACCTCGTCACCCGAGCCACACAAGCACCCACTCGCGAAACATGGAAGTCGCCTCCATCGCCCGTACCTGCAGTCGGCGGTCGTCTTCTCGTTGGGGCAATTCCGGACATGCCTACGTTCTCCCCCGGCGGACCATCCACGGACAACATCGCCATTCCCGGGGTCGACGGACCTGTTTCGGTGGTTGCCATCACTTCCCAGGTTGTGGAACCGCCAAGTCCCGGAGAAGAGGGAGATGAACAAGCTCGCAGCAACGTCTTCCGGATGCACCTCGCTGAAGGCAAAAAGGGTCAACTCGCACTTCTTCAAGTCGTTCTCCCATCATGCAGCACGTACATAGGCGCGGCGCTGACGGCGGGACACTCTGTATGCGTATGCTGCGACACGGGGTCCGACGCTAGCGTTGGTGTGGTGCTGGCCGTTTTACAGATGTTCTTCGACGACGACGGGCGGTACGGAAATAGTCCTATGGCAGGTGGTGCGTAATTCGGCCACAACCCTCAGTGTACATGTTGTGACATTCGCTCTCCCAGCGGGGATCCGTGCGAGCAAGGAGAGTATCCGCACGCGATTACAGTGGATCATCGCAAGCCGGCCTCAGGCGAACCCATCGCGCCGCAACGTTGAAGCGTGTCAACGAGTTCCTACTTTCTGAGCCCTCCTTTCGACGGAGATGACGGCGACGATACCCTACTCTCATGATATACCCAGCACGACCCTTCCAATGGATATATGCGCACTACAGACGTACAGAATGCAACGTTCTTTCTGCTTCACTACCGTTCCGCCGGTTGGAGTGCCACGCCCGACACGTTGCTGTACACGAGCAGCCGGAACCCCGCCTCGACCCCGGCGTGGAACGTCGACGGCACGACCAGTAGCGCCCCTGCTGCAGCGTCACGTTCTCGATCAGCACGCCCGACACCGCGTCGGAGTATGGGCCCGAGTGGCGATGTGCCTGCCGAGCGCGGAGGCGGAGGTGGTGGGGGGATTGAAGACGGTGAGGTTGATCGCCGCCGACGGATGCGGCGCGGAGAACTGGAGACGGAACCTGTGCTGAGATGAGCGGGGCGCGCTGTGAGAGGAGAGAGGGGGCAGGGGCGGAGGAAGAGGAGATGCGTACGTGGCCTGCGTGGGTGCAGCGACCCGCAGCTCGTACATCGGGTTCTTCGAGTACGCGCCCGAGCTCGCCCGCCCCCCGCCGTCTTCTCCGTCCTGCGACGCGAATGTCAGCGAGTCTTGCACTGTGGAGGACGGCGGACGACGGAGACGCACCACTCGCCGCGGACGAGCTTGCTGAACATGCCCGCGCCCTCCTGCTGCACGGGCGTGAGCTCGAAGCGGTCCGAGCACTCCGCGCGCAGCCCGAACTTGCCGCTGTGGCGCGGCTCGAACGCGGAGATGACGAGCGTGTAGTCGCCCGCTGCGTGGCACACGGTTCTTAGCCCGATGATGGCGGAGAACGGAGGGGGCGAGAGCGACGTACGGGGGATGCGCCCGGCGGCGTGCGCGTAGCCGTAGCTGTACGCGCCCGAAGACAGCGCGAGGTCGTTGTGGCCGAGCCTGGCAGGAGGTGAGCCCAAGGGAGAGAAGGCGGGGCTCGCTACCCACTCGTTGATGCGCCCGCCTTGGGACCACGCGAGGACCATGTTGACGGGACGTGGCGGTCGGTGCTCACGGACAACGAGATCGTCGCCTTCGCGTCCGGCTGGCGGCCGCCACGCTCGTCGCTCTGCGCCCGCTGGACGACGTCGGGCGGCGCGGCGGATGCACGCGCAGGTGGTATTGAGGGTTGAGGTAGTAGGTGGGATAGGTGTGGTTCCCGCCGGCGGTCTTCTGCGTGAACGCACCCTCGATCTGTTGTTCAACGGCCGAGTGGAAGATCAGTGACCGGTCTTCCTGTTTGATGGCAGGCTCACATCTTTCGAATAGAGCAGCTCTTGGGGCGCATGGACCCACATCGTTCGGGAGTTCGCGTAAACGGTTAGCGTGAAACCGACGTCATCGCGCTCGCCCTCGTATGAAGCTACAAGGGTGATGAGTTGCTCGGATGGCGAGATTGGTAGACGTAGCTGTGTTTCGGGCAGTCAGTCCAAGCGAACCGATTGGAATCCCGAAAGGAACGATACGTACCAGTACATGCGGCGAGTTCGTATATTCGCCCTGGTCGCTACTCAGCTTCGAAAGATGCGCACGTGGAATATCGGCTTACTTTCGTGGACAGTTGTCGTGGTCTACTACTGGAATCGTGGCCGAAGCTGCCCCGCTCCCGGTGTGGGCCGTGAGCGCGATGAACTCCTCCTGAGACCGGTGGCTTCGCAGATGGCGTGTGAGTAAAATCCAGACCTCCTCGCCTTCCCGAGCGCCATTGGTGTCGTCGATCTTCAGGTGAGTGCGATAGTGCGCTGCGGGTGAGATGCGATTGAGACGAGGAAGGATGAGAATCCAAAGAGCATTGCGCACAGGTGGTACTGCCTCGCCCATCCCTCCTCCAGATGCTGAAAGCAACGCGTTGTTGAAGTTAGCACACGTTTCCTCAATGGGGATAGACCACACACCAGTGGAAGGCGTGCTGGTACTTGAACGTTTCAGGGTTCCAGCTCAGATAGAGGCCATCGAACAAGGAGAAAAGAAGTTCGATGGGCAGCTCCACAGCTCCTATACACAGCGTGAGATCAGTTGTCTAACGACGGAGGGCTCGTCTCACGTCGTTGGCGCGGGTCACGAGGATCGAAGCTGGCCCGGTTATCTTGACTAGTCTGCACCCAGGGGTCGAAGACAATGGCTCTCCGGTCTTCTCCCGAGTTAGTTATTCCTGGGACCCGGATGAATGCCGGTAATTCCATAAAGATAGAGCGATATACCAATCATGGCGTAGCAATGGGTCGGCAGAAGCGAGATCGGGAGGTTGCCGGTGGAGATACGTTGGCCAGTCCCGAACGTAGCCACGCATGTGCCTAGATTTAATATTGGAAGTAAGAAGGAAGCGCAAACTAGGCGACGGAACGACGATACCTTCGGTGTAGCCCTTGTAAAGACGATCCCATGTCTTCTCTCGCTGGAACCTCGGGCTTTTTTGTCGAAGGCTGTTCAGTGACCAGCTGATTCCGAGCTAGTGAAACCGCACAGACCCACGGATATCAAGCGCCTCGGGTATCCATCCTGCCAGTGCGCTAAGCACCATTAGAGCAGGCACGATTCGGCTTCATCTGATGACGCACTGCATGTCTGTGCTCGAGTCTCTGCACGGCAGTGAGACCATATTTCAGAGGGGTTCCGGAAGGTACTCACGAGCCAATGAAATCGTAGCCCCCTGCCAGTTTCATGTACTGGTCACCAGAAGAGCGCTCCATAATCAAGACGAGAGTTCACATGGTGCAACGCACGTACCGCTTTCTCCACGAGAGAGGGCCACAGCTGTCCTTTGGATCCAGTGGACACGCACATCAGCGGCCCGTCAGGGTATGATGGTAGTTGATCATCTATGCCTGTTTTCGCCGTTCAGCGGGACCAAGCTTCCATTCTCCGAGTAACCCACATATCTGACAGCGAAGCCACCTGCATCAGTCGGAGGGGAGGTAAGAGGCGAGAAGACGTACACGCCGGTGGCCGCCGTTGTATAGTATTCGAAGCTGATACTTCCCGGTGGCCGACGGGGCTGGAAATCCGGTCGCGTCCTGGGGGAAAAGCGACGAGAGAATCATCTGGGGTGCGTCAGCTGAGCCGCCCGGCCGTCGAACGTTCCGCCTCATGGCCGCCGCCGTACCTTCGTGCGGAACCGTCGACGGTGATCCGTCGCGATCACCATGGACGCGCACACCGAGCAATCCGATACGATGTGCTGCACGATGTCCTCGGGCTCGAGGGCTTGCGGCGGCAGCACGGCCGGCCTGCGCCAGACCGCACCGTGCGCGACTTGCTCTGCGGACAGCGGCGGCTGCCTGGACGCGGTGCGAGCGCGGGGAAGAGGTTAGCGAGAGACAAAAATAGAAGATGAACTATGACGGACTGTGATGAGCACGATGGCTTATCGGGGGCGTCCCACAGGGGAAAGTGCCCCTGATTGACGGCGGACTTCTGGAGGACGTACAGCTGCTCGCCTGCGGTGAGCACGGGCGGACGTGGGTGAGCGTCGCGAGGCAAACGTGGCGGGGCGGCGGGCTCACTCTCGGAGAACTCGTCCTTGGAGACGGGGCGGACGTCTTGCTTCACGGCCTTGATCTTTTCCGCGCGCTCGAGCGCTTTCGCGGCCTCCGCCTTGTGCTGCGCGCGGGCGCGGTCGTCGACGGAGCGACGGCTGAGGTCGAGAAATTGTTCGCGGACTGGACGTAGAGGCGAAACGCTTTGTCGAAGTCGCGCGCGAGCTCCGCGCCGGCCGCCTTCTGGTAGCTGCTCTGTAAGAAGGTGAGCACAGGGGCCGTGCGTGCGCGCAGGACGGCGGGGCGCTCACCTCGGCCTCTTGTCTGGAGACCTCGGGCATGTCTGAGACCATGCGGGTGAGTCTGCGCTGCCTGGTCTTCGAACCCGTCGGCTCTTTATAGGTCGTGGGCTGTGCTGCAGGCTGTTTATAGCCCGGCTAGGGCCGCCGAGGGAGGGTGAGCGCGCGCTGGGTGGGCGCGTATGACGTTGCGGTCATACGCCGGAAAAGCGGAGAGTTGTGAAGACTTACTGGACGCGAATGGCGGCAACAATGCCGACGGGAGGGCTGGGCGAGGAGGAGGATGGGATGGACGGAGGGTGAGAGAGAGAGGCGTTGTGGAGACGATCTTGGCGTGGACCGCCAAGTCCCGGTCGATGCCCCGCACAGCCACAAAGCCTCTTCTCTGCCTGTTTCGCTCTGTTTCGCCGATGACGACCTATGACGACCTGTTCACGCTGCCAGCTCGCGATAGACGAGTCTCAGAAATACCACCACGAAGGACGGCAGCGCATCGTCACTGAAGGACTGCCTACCCGCATCCGCATATCAATCAGTCTCAATGCTGATCTTTTGCTACTGAAAGAGTCTCGGCAGCTTCGGGACGTCGTGTTATTTGTCAAGTGTCAACGCAGAATTCTTGGGAGGCGCCAATTTCGCGTCTTTGCCGCTGAGTTTCAAGGGCACTTGGTGTAGTTGGTTATCACACTCGCTTAGCATTGTCAATTGCGAGAGGGTCCGGTTCGATCCCGGAAGTGTCCAGTCTTTTTCGCACCACGATGTTGTGCTGCCACGTACGTCCGGTGATCCGTAGACACCTGGCCCTTTCTAGTCTCCCCTGGGCAGCCCGCCCATTTCCAACTTTCATGTTCCAACGGGCTTGAACACACTCGATGAGCTTGACCAACGCGTGGTGCAGTGAAATGTCGGTCCTTCCGACTCCTGCGGCGCAATGGGACTCTGCATTCCTGCCCCAAACTCATGCGAGCCACATTCTGTGACCAGATCTAGTATGCTGCGCATCATGTCAAACATCGAGTCATGTCCGCGGGCGCCAGTACGGGACCTTTGCAGTCGCACGCGCGGAGCCAAATCATAGCAGAATGAACACTATCACTTCCCGGACACTTTCCACAATGCACGCGGCGACTGCGGCTTCCGACCCGCCAAGGTTATAAACTCACTGCTGTGTGGCTCCTGAGCTCCTTCGCCTGTCTTGTCCTCCCACCTTGCCCTTCCTGTGGCATCATGTCTCGCAAAACTCCCGGAGACAGTCGACAAGTACGTACCTCCCCATGACGCTTTCCTCGGTACGGCAGGACAAGAGAGCACTGTCGTCCTCGAGACCGCTATCGACGCGGAAAATATCCCGCTTTTGAGCGCGTGGAAGCAGCTCGCCGCCACTTCTGTCGAGGCATCCATCGCAGGCCGCCCCGACCTCTTCCAGTTTTCCAACAACCCACTGTCTCCTCTTCACCGCTGTGCGTGCACCCGTACGTGTCACCCTTCCCGAAGGTGTACGCATCGGGGACCTCTCCATTCCATCGTACACCGGCGCACATCAGTGGGCCAGCGCCCCCATTCTGCCCAACGACCAGACGGCCTTCGCCCGTGTTCTAGATGCACTCGACCAGAGTCACGTCCAGGCCACAAAGGACGCACCGGACACATCGGACCAGCCTTCCTCCCCACCCACCGACACATCCCCGCCGGCAGACGAGCCCACCGCCGAGGGCACAGAGCTCGGCGCTCCCCTCGACCCCATTCCAGCACTACCGCAGCAGCTGCCCCCTGACGAGCCCACCGTCCTCGTTCCCAAAACCATCGGCGCCCTTTACATCGCCATGTCCCCCGTGCCGCGGGAGTTCACAATCGGCATCGCGCTCCTCCCCCGCCACCGCGGGCGCGGCCACGCGCTGCGCGCGTGCGCGATCGCGACGCAGTGGGCGATCGAGTCCCTCGGCGCGCACCGCGTCCAGGCGCGCATCCTCGCGGGGACCCCCACGACGCGGCACGCGGTCCGCCTCTTCTCCGCCCTCGGCTTCACGCACGAGGGCGTGCAGCGCGGCGCCGTCGTCGGCCCCGACGGCGCCTGGGCCGACGTCACCCACATGGGCGTCCTCGACACGGACTGGATCGTCCGCGCGGAGCACGGCGCCGCGCCGAGCCGCCTCTGGGACCAGCTCTTTGAGCGCCACCAGCTCGAGCGCGAGGACCTGCTGCGCTGGGAGGAGGCCCAGGCCGGGCTCAGGCCGCCGAGGAGGAGGGGGAGCATGGACACCATCCGGGCGGTGGACGTGGGGGACATGTCCGACGCGGACACGGACATGGAGTCGGAGATGTCAACTGGGACGCGCTCAACGCGGTCGTCGTCGACGGTGCCGTCGCGCGCTTCGTCGCGCGCGGAAATGGCGAGCTACGCGGCGTCGTTGAGCGAGATTCTCGAGGAGGCCTGGAGGCACCGCGCAGGAAGCCAGGAGGACCCGTTCAGCGACGAGGAGTGGGTGGACTTTGGTGCGTCCGGCGGTTCGCGCTCTTCGGGGGAGCCGCTCTCGAGGCCCACGTCTGCAGCAAGCTGGTCGTCTTACGGCACGATTGCGAGCACGTCGTCTTCCGAACGAAGTCTTGTCAACCACCTCGAGGAGACCGACCTGTAGTACGATATGTATCCTTAGCCATGCAAGTGTACACACCAAGTTCCATATACGAGGAAGTTGTAGCCTACTCACAAAATACATGTCCCTGATGTGTTGCATAGTTCAAACCGTGTGAGGGAGAAAATACAGTATTCAGTCGGAGTTGATCGAACGCTGAGGGGTCTTCAAGCGGAGATGCTCTGAGTCAACATTGCGCCCAAGCGCCCTGCTGCTCACTTCTCTCAAACTCTCATCGCCGATCGGAGTCCAAGTGCATGGTTGCTTTCGTGCGTCAGTCTAGCCTAACAAGCTGCTAGCTTTTACGTTCAAACAAGCTTACATGGTCGCAGATCATCCCCGATGTGGCTTCTTAGCACGGACAGAGCGGAACTGCGAGCGTTCGCATCTCCAGACGAGGTTCCCGGAGGTTACGCGATCCTCTCTCACGTCTGGGAAAGCGACGAACAGTCATTCCAGCAAGTACAGGCATTCCAGCTTCAAGCCACTCTCATCAGCGGCAACCCGCGCGACCTCGTCTCCCCGAAAATCCGGGCGTGCTGTCTCCTCGCCGAACGCCATGACCACAAGTGGGTATGGATAATACGTGCTGCATCAACAAGGAGAGCAGCGCGGAGGTCTCCGACGCGGTCAACTCCATGTTTCTCTTCTACGCCTCCGCCGACGTCTGCTACGCGTACATGCGCGACGTCCCCGGCGGCTACTTCTCCGAGCTCTTCTTCTCCATGTGCAACTCCCCGTTCCGACACAGCGCCTGGCACTTCCGTGGATGGACGCTGCAGGAGCTCCTTGCCCCCGGACTCGTCCTGTTTCTCTCTCAAGACTGGACCGTTCTCGGCTCCAAGGCCGATCTCGCGGAACTGCTCGAGGATATCACGCGAATCCCGGTCGACGTGCTTAGAATGCAGCGTGAGCTATCCTCTGTCAGCATCGCACGGCGGATGTCGTGGGCGGCGACCCGAAAGACGACCCGCATCGAGGATGAGGCGTACTCGCTCATGGGTATCTTCGGAGTCAACATGCCCGTGCTCTATGGGGAGGGAAAGGAGGCGTTTCGGCGGCTGCAAGAAGAGATCATGAAGCACTCCGTCGACACCTCGCTCTTCGCTTGGGGCACTGGGGCGTTCACAGAAACAGAAATCGCCACTGCTCAGCATACCGTACTGCCCTCTGCGTCGTGTGCCATGCATGATGACCCTGCACGCTATCTCCTTGCCCCGTCTGTGTCGTGCTTCGCCGACTGTCACAAGGTAGAGTGGCGGGCGCCTGTAACCCAAGTCCCTCCAGTGAGTGCCTATTCACCTAACAGTTGTGAGCTGGCGATGCTGACGATGTCGCAGGACCCAAGTGGGATGCAGCTTGACATGCCTTCCTCCAACTGGATAGGTTTCCCCACATTCACCCACAGCCCTCACGGGATCCTCGGCCACGTCCCTGTCCTCCCTCTCCCGTCTGGGCCGGTGGCGGTCATATTCTGCACCGTCGACGAAGACACCCTTCTCCTCCCTATGTACCCCTGTCCAAAAGCCCCGGACCCCTCACGCCCGTTGTACCACACAGGGCCGCCGGAGTGCCGCCTCGTGCGCGCCGGCACGGCCGCACTCCAGGGCGTCACTATCTCGCCGCACGCCTTCAAGCGGCTCTACTTCGCGCACCGCCCGACGAGCTGCGCGCCCCGGGTGCCGCGCACGCTCGCGCTCGTCAACGGCGCCGCGTTCGCGCCGTTCCGGATCTCGCAGGCGACGCTCCGCGCGCTCGCGGCGCAGAACACGCGCTTCGTCGCCGCGACGGACGTGCCGTTTCCGTGGGCGGGCGCGCCGCCGTTGGCGCTCGCGCTCTGCGCGCCGGCGCGCAAGTACTTCTGGGTGCTCGCGCTCGGGCGCTGCGAGGCGCGTAAGAGGGTGCCGGACCCGAGCCGGCAGCCGGTGGGGGGCGGGAAGCGGGCGGGGCCGCACTGGGCGTCGATCCAGCAGTGCAACTACGAGTACAACCGGATGCCGACGGGCACGTGTGCGGACATGCACTCGTGCGAGACGGACCACGTCGCGGACTGGCCGGAGGGGAAGAAGACGTTCACGGGGTACAACCCGGGGTGGATCCCCATCGACCTTGTGTTCTCGCCGTGTCCGATGAACCCGACGGGGGAGACGCTGGTGCTGCATATCGACGTGAGGAAGGTGAGGGCGGCAGGGCCTCCGTCAGTTTGACGAGGACAGTGATAGGGAAGAGAGATTTCAACTGTATGTACTGTATATACATCATTCGGACGGGACCTCCTGGCCAACATCGGATGTGATCTGCTGCAGAATCAGAGTTCCTCCCCCACTATTGAGTCGGCACTGAGTGAATGTGAATTCGAGCCAAATGACCCGCGTCACCCCCACTGCCAGTTGAATGACGCCCTCGAACCGGCGAGTACTAGGTGACCCCCAGTGCACAACGTGGTCAGTAGGCAGTCGTGACTCGGCACGGCATAGCCCTGGGCGATTCCGATAGTCCCCACCGTCCGACGTCGAACCATCCTGCGGCGGGCCTGCAACGTCGTTCTCGAACCGTACCGCCACCCAATGCCCTTCGTCACGCCTCCCACATTCCTGCGCCCGCGGTTCGGAGGCTGCCCGCCGCCCGCGCACCTCCCGAGCGTGACGAACACGCGGTGCCCCGGCACCCACTGGTGGTGGAACACGAGCGTGAGCGGCGGCTCGCCCGTCCAGCCCTCCGCGCCGCCGCGCGCGACCCCCACGACGTCGACCATGTGCATGCACATCCCGGCGCTCCCGCGCCGCGCGAGGGTGTCGAGCACCGCGGGGGGGACGCGGAACGGGGAGGCGATCGCGCCGCTGATGCCGGTGAGGATCGCCGGCGCGCCGGCGCGGGCGGTCTCGTGCGCGCGTAGGCGGGGCGCGGGACGAGGTAGACGTCGCGCCAGGTCGGGGTCGGGTACGCGGCGCGGTCGAGGCCGTAGAGGTCGCGGAGGCGGAGGATGCGGAAGAGGCCCCAGCCGCAACGGTAGAGCGGGCGGGTGTTCCCCGGGGTGAGGCTGGAGGGGTCTCGGGAGATGACCAGCGCGAGGGGCTGTAGAGGTTGGAGCAGGCGAGAAAGGCGAGAGAGCAGCTGGGGAGGTCGATGAGGGGGAGATGGGCGAGGACGCCGTGCGGGGTGATCGAGAACGTTGGGATGTCGTCTGCTTCGTCGGTGCTTCCCTCCTGTTGTTGGCGATGTCCACATGAGCGGTGGTCCACGGAGATGAAAATGCACCTACAATACGGGCTCTAACAGGGCCGTCGAATTCCGCCCCCGTGGAAATGTTAGACGGTGATTGTGCGAACAAGTACGGTTGGATCTTGCCGGCAGGACTGGTCAGGTAGTGGTCTGGCTGGTCGGTAGCCGTGAGCAACGCCGGTGCTTTCTCGTGCGGCACGTAGATCCCCACGCGAAGAGGCTAGGGTCCATGGAAGTCTTCATGATTTCGACCTGAAGGCGGTAAAAAGACCCCCTTCCTTCTCCGTACAAAATGGGCATCTTGATCCCGAAAAGCCCCATGAGGCAGTACCCTTCGTCTTCGGGGCGCGTTGTGTACCTCGGTCCCGCCCATTCTAGACGGATGGCGATGCTGATCTCGCCAAAGTCTTGCTCGAAGTTGAGTACACTGACAGGGACGCCTGTTATCTCCCGCAGAATCGGCGCCAGGTCCACCTTCGAGCCCATGGGTGTCCAGTCGAGTGCGTAGAAGACGACGTCTTTAGGTGCAATGAGCTCCTGTAGCGTCCACCCGCGGCTGAACCAACGGCACCGCCAGAACTCTGTCATCGAGTTGTCCATTCGGCGCCCGGGGGGGACGTCTGAGAGGTAGACGTAGCACCGCGCCGCAGAGGCGTAGTACTCAAACATGGCGTTGATCGTCTCCGAGAGTTCCGCGCTACTCGATTTGTTGATGCAACACGTGTCGGCCCAGCCCCATTCGAAACCGTCCGCCTCGGCATGCTCACAGAACTGCCGGACTTTCTTCGACACGAAACGCCTCGGGTTGAGCTTCAGGAGTGCGCAGCGTTTCCGGATGAGCTCCGTCTCTTGGAACGTTTCTTCTACGAGGTCCTCGTCCCAGCAGTGGGAGAGGATTGCGTAACCCCGGGTATGTCGCTGGGCTTGTTGAAGTAATGCAGCGTAGCAGACTTGGTCTTGAGTAGCCACATGCCCTCCTGATAACAGATTCTCAGTATTGAACCTCAAGAGTCACTAATTCGTTCGTCTTACTATATACCTGAGTCTCTACTCCAGATTGAATACTAATTGGTGCGATGACGAAGGCGAGCCCTGATGGTGCAAGTGCCACGGATGTAAAATCTACACACGATCGTCAAGAGCGATCTCCTCACCCGTCTTCAGGAGAGATTTGGTCAGTCTTCGTGGTGGTACAAGAGAGAGGTGTAGTGTAGGACCGACTCGCTGATGGGCGGCAACGATTTGATTGGCGCTTAACAGAACTATCGCCGCATGTCGAGTCTTCAACTTGGCAGGCCGACCCACGTATAAAACACAACGCTTCAAGATAGAAGATTCAAATCAAGACTCATGAAAAATACTACTGCTTTATCCTGGCAAGGAGTCTACGTTGGTATATCACAACCCTCCCGAGTCGATCCACAATCCTTGACTAGAACTATTCGAATCATCGCAACGTCCATGTCTGCATTTACTGCCCTCGAACGGCGTCCGATGGTGCGTATTCAACGCCAGATGCGAAATGCCGGAGTGAAAGCGCGCCTGTCGGCCACCGCCCCCTCTGCACCCTATCGAACGTGAGCGCGATCCACAGCGTGCCCGCAGAGTCCCCGACGGAGGAGTCTGGTATCGGCCTTTCGAAGCGCATCCGCAGCGACGGCCACCGCGCGATGTGGTCGTCGGGACACCTGTGCGGCCTGTTGGGCTGGCGCGCAGGGTGGAGGAACGGCCGTTTGGCGTGAACGTTCGCGGCGGCGGCGGCGTCCGCGCCGGTCTCCGTCTTCTCCTGTTCTGCGCCGCTTGGCCAGTCTCCGCCTTCGACCTTGATGGACGCCCAGTGCTCCTCGTCCGCCCCGTGCGCATTGCAGAGCCCGAGCTCGAGCCTGACACAGCAGCGCACGAGGTTCTGGTGCTGGAAGACGAGCGCGCGCACCGTGTTCCGGTCGTGCATGGGCGAGCTCGTGTCTACGGCCTCGTTGAGGAGCACGGTCTCGAGGCGGAGACAAGAGCCCGGGCCGCGCGCGAGGATGTCGCGGATGGACGGCGGGAAAACGAAGGGCGAGGAGCTGCCCAAGGACGCGAGAGTCGTAGTGGGTGACGCTGCCGTTGACACGTGGGCGCGGAACGGCGCGCGAGGGATGAGGTAGATGCTTTCCCACCGCGGTGTCGGAGGTTCGGTTTCGGGGGTGCTCGACTGGAGGACATCGCTGAGCCGGACGACGCGGGTGGCGCCCCAGCTGCAGGTGTATACCGAGCGGACGGCACCAGCGCCGCTGAGAGTCCTAGTGAGGAGCAGCCCGAGGGCGCCGTGCTCGTTGGAGCAGGACAGGACGGCGACGGTGCATGTCGGAAGGTGTGCGACGGGGAGATGGGCGAGAATGCCGTACGGAGTGGTGATGAAAGTGGGGATGTCGTTAGCCTCATCATCTGCATCTCTACTCCGATGGGGGAACTGGATAGGACCATGTCAGTTCATTGTTGGCGAGAGGGTGTCCAAGAAATGCACGCACATTTACCGCTTTCGTGGCTCCATCAAAGTTGCATGCGATGGAAAAGTCTGAGGGCGCTGGGGCGAAGAGGAAGGGGATGATCGAAGTGCTGCGACTTTCTCCCGTTGGCGGGGAAAGTGTAGGTGCCATTGAGGATAGGGTACTGGCCGTGGTCGAGGGCGCATACGTTCCCCACAAGAACAGGGTTGAGTCCGTCAGGCTTCGCATGACCTCTTCTTGCAGACGGTAGAATGCATTCGAGCCCTCCCCATAGAGAACCGGCATGTTGACCCCAAAAATACCCATCAAGCAGTACGCCTCGTCCTCCACACGTGTTGTCCACCGTGTGCCCGCCCACGACATCCGGCGCGCTACGCTGACCTCCGCGAGATCTTGCTCGAACTTGAGGACACTAGCGGGGATACTAGTGATCTTCTCCACCACAGGGGCGAGCTCAACCTTCGTGCCGAGTACCGTCCAGTCGCGAGCGAGGAAGACGAGGAAGCGGGGGGCGATGAGCTCTTGTAGCGTCCATCCTCGGCGGTACCAGCGGCTCTCCCAGAACTCTGAGGACTCACTGCCCAGGTCGCACTTGCTTGAGACGTCGGAGAGGTAGACGTAGCAGGCTTGCGAGAGAGCGTAGTAGCGAAACATTGAGTTGATCGCCTCCGAGAGCTCGGTGCTGCTCGTCTTGTCGATGCAGCAAGTGTCGACCCATGCCCAGCGGTATCCGTGCGCGGCGGCGAGCTTGCAGAAGTCCCTGATCTTGGGTGAAACGAAACGGCGTGGATTTAGCCTGAGGAGCTCTGCACGCTGCTTGATGGCGACGATCTCCTGGAACGTTTGCTCGGCTCGATGTTGGTCCCAGCAGTGCGAAAGGATGGCATAGCCTCCCTGGACGTCTTCAGGAGAATTGAAGTATTTCAAGGTGGCCGTGTCGGTGTTGAGGAGCCACATATGGTCACGTTGGGTCCGCGGGAGTGAGCTGAGCAGCGGGATGACGAAGGTCAGAGCTCCTGAAGGGGTATGGGGAGTGGTCAACAGAAACGCCAGCAATTGACAGATGGACTGCGGACGCCCTGTGTCCGAGTCACACGAGGGAAGGAAGCTGCGCCCAGATGCGGAGAACCAGCACAAGCGTGCCTCGCCCAGCAAAATATTCGTTGAAAGACAGCAAGAAAAGTCAGGACAGAGAGAGGGATGGACATATGCATGCGAGGTGAGATGGAGGTGTCTGGCCCCAGCCTAGGCGCAGAAAACGTGTTCAGGGAGGACAGACGAACCAGCATGTCATTCATAGTTGCTGCCCACCACCAACGACCTCGACCCAGATGCCACGACTCGTCTGCAACACAACTCGGAACTTAAGATCAAGTCGGGACAGATGGGGGCGAAATGGAAGCCTTGGAGAGGGTTGGCAATATACAGAGGCTGGGAGAGCAGGGTATAGAGCAGATAGTAAACGCCAGCGCAGATGGTTGTGGGCAACGCAGCTCACGAAGTCAAGAGTGGATAAAAACAGCACAACGAGTGGCAGCAATGAGATGCTGACTAAGCGAACATACCGACCCCCGGATGTCCTCATTCCGAAGTCTCTATACGATACTCGCTCTGGTCGTATCCTTGGCTTCACCCTGGCGATCGTGCTGCTAGAACCGGCCTACTAAACCAGAGTCTTGGGAAGGGCGTATTCCGGGCCTGTTCGGTTTGCGAGTGCGGGTAGTCCGGCTTTATCAGGACGCCCAATTTTGAATCCCTCCCATCACCACCATGGCCTTCCCTGGCAGTGGAAGCTCCACCGAAGCGACCCTCTTCTCTGTCCTCCACCTACCACGCTTTCGGTTTAACTTCAGTATACCATCTTCCAGAGCAACAAGAATACGACATCTGCTAGAGCGATGAGAGTGGTGAGAAGAGACAGGGCACCAGGTGCGTGGCTGAAAATTCTGCCCACTTTTCGCCTTCTCAAACGTCGTCCTTTTTGGAAGTTCCCCGGAACACAATGCTCCAGGACCTCAGGGACTTCACCGAAGAGCCTTTTTCTATGCCTCCAAGCCCTGCAAACCCTGTGCACCTCGCGGCCCAGACTCCCTCTGTCCAGGCTCCCTCTCGTCGTACTACTGCTCCACACACACCTGGATACTATGACGGAGGGTACCCTCCATATCAGAATCAGATATACCCGCTATCCAATGGGGGTGGTCCCGGTCAGATTCAGTCCCATAAATGTACGCAGCCTAATGATACCCCTTCGAACCATGTTGCGTGGAACTTACACGGAACCCAGGGACCCAAGAAGATCAAGATCAGTACGACGAGAGGGTACGCAAGAAAGCACTGAATGAATTAGTCGAATCATGGATGGACCGGCTGCAGCTTATCAGTCTCATAGTGAGTTGTGCACCTTGACGAGCTACCTCTTTGTTCGAGCATTTTGTTTCCCCAGACAACATTCTTCGCTGGCATGGAGTCTCAACTCATCGGATCCACCGTCCCCGACAATCCAGGCAGCGATCCGAGGATAAATCAAGCTGCCAACGCCGCACTCGTCGGTGCGCTCGTCATTCACACATCCGCGGCGATCATATCCTTCCTCGCCGCATTCTTCCTCATCCGCTTCAAACTCTCTGTAGCGAAGCGGGAGGAGCGGCGCGCGGAGGGCTTGAATTCAACCACCACCTCATCCGTCCAGTCCAACAACTGGTACCTGGAGCAAACCGGGCCCCTCCGCCGCGGCGCGGCCCCGACGCACCTCCTCGACTTCTGCCATTCTCTTTGCATGTGGCTGTCAGCGATCGGCTTCATCCTTGCGCTCGCGGGGATCGTATGCTTCGCATGGTCTCGTCTGTCAACGAACGCCGCGGTGTTTGCCTCGGTGTGCACCGCGGGGTGCGTCGTCTCCGGGGTGGTTGCGATGCTGTGGCCGGCCTCTGGGCCGCACCTGAAACCAAAAGCGTCTTAGGACGTTACTAACGATACCGCAATGACTGTATGCTATTGACTGCGAGTCGTTCTGTGTCTGTACTGATACCTCAGTATACCCAAATAATTTCTTGTGCTCCATGTGAATAAAATGCACTTGCTTTGCTCATCTTACCGTCGATCCGCTTCTAATCTCTTAGGCACGGCGCATTGTTGGTCACAATTGGCGGTACCAATAATCCCAATAACACCGTCGAATGGCGCTTCGCCGGTTCCGTTGTCTTTCGATGACAGTCCTTCCGTGTGTCTCAAGGCAACCAATTCACCAGGCCTCTACACCCACACTCAATCGCTGGTGAGTATTCGTCGTCGTCTGCACAAGCAGTCCTTGCTAACTTGTCTACAGGAAGGTCGCCATCGTCTTTTAGGAGCTCGGGCTCACCTACGGGAGCGTGCACCTCAGCTTCGAGACGGATGAGTAACCGGGCGCCGAGTACACCAATATCACCCCGAACGGACGCATCCCCGCGCTCGTCGACCCCGGAAGGGCGACCTTGTCGTGTGGGAGTCCAACGCGATCATCTTACAGTTCGTCGAGAATTATAATAATGACGCTCAGAAGAAGCTCGCCGTCTCCGACTGTGAGGGCAAGTACACACACCTCCGCTCGGGCCCCCAGCAGTGCGTTCTCCTCCTCTCCCATCTCAATTGACTGCGTCGGCTGATCGTGCCCCGTTTTATAGTCCGGCCACACGGTGTGGTTCCTCCGCATCCACCCCGAGAAGGTCCCCAGCGCGGTGGAGAGGTACCAGACGTGTCTTTGGCGTCCTTGACGGCGTGCTCGTGAACTCCCGGGCTTCCTCGTTGGCGGGAAGCTCTCTGCCACGGATTTCTCCTTCGTCGTCTGGAACCGCTACGCGTTCACCGCAGACATTGAGTTCGTCGAGGGTGTTAATGTTGAGGCCCATTACCTCGCCTTCCATGCGTGAGTAGTTCTGTTCGAGCCGTTACGATATAGTCGGGAGGCTGATGATAATCACGACGGTAGCTGGCATCGGGGGCTCATGGACCGCGCGGTAGTCAAGGTCTTTGTTATCCAGGCCGAGTTGATACAGAAGTAGAATTCGGGTAGTGTTATATGCGTCATACACAAACGCGAGTTGCGTTCAAGAAATTTGTTCTATATTTCCCAGTTGCGTGGCTTACATAACTTTGGATTAACGGGAGTCGAGACGCAATAATCTCCCATGAGCCACTGCCATTACATCGTGAGGAGGAGGGATGCCCCTACGGCAGTGCCAATACCACCTCTGGAAGCACCGACATGAATATCACGAGGTGGATTAGTACATTCTAGGTGGTGACCACCTCTCGTTGATAGTAGGTGCAGCTTCTCCTTGAGGAGAAGGGTCGGGATAAGGTGAACGCCAATGCGACTGCAGCACAAGATAAGATTACATTCGCAAGGTGTATAGATCGACAATGATTTGGTCACGAAGAGTACAACAGCAAGATAGTACACTCTAGAAAAAAGAAACGATGAGTGAGGCCCAACGCGCCATCAGTCAAAGCTGGGTGGAAGCTGGGAGCAGTCCGGGATTTCCTTGAACTGCCAGCGGACTGTGGTCGACGAGTCAGCGCATATCATCAAGGTAAGAGAAGACGACTTACAGAGCATATGGTCTCCGGCGTCGTACGTGTAGCCAAAGTAGTCCTCCCTGTGGAAAGTCCTCTTCGGCCACCGTTTGCCGTCGTCGTACTCGTCGTCCATATCGTCGTCGTCCTCATCATCCTCCCACTCTTCATCTTCCTCACCCTCCTCTGAGTCAACCACAGTTTGGTCGTACGTGACAGGGCCAGTGTTCTCCGTGATCGCCTCTCCGCGCTCGATCGCCTCCTGATAGCGCTTATATGCCGCCTGGGCAGCCTTCCAAGTTGCCCAGCGCGGGACGCGCGCCCGACGGTAGTCCATACGGTTGCCCATGCGATCCATGTTCTCGCACTCGGTCGCCACAAAGAGCGAGGATGTGGCCGAGTCCCAAGCTAGTCCGTTGACGTCGTTGTTGCCGGTAGAGAGTTCGTAGACGCACTGCTTCGCTCGAATGTCCCAAAGCTTGACTTGGTGCGATCGCGTACCAGCCGTGAACAGCGCTAGAGGGTGTTAAAGTTAGCTTCGTGCGATCCGAGACAACCGGTATACTCACTGGGGATACCGTCAGGATGGACCAACACAACGTCCCCACAGTGCGACTTCTCTCTCTCCACGTTGAACGTGAGAACTGGCAATGGGTGACGGACGTCGAACATGCGTGCATAACCATCTGTGCAAGCGGTGACGAACAAGTTCGGGTTGCCCCTAGAGTCCGTCGAGATGTGCGCGACCTCCCCGCCGTGCCCCAAGAAGCGGGTGACGATCCGCCCACCGGCCTCCAGGTCAAGCATAGCGCACGACACTTTATCATCACTGTGGGCGCCAAATAGCACATGCCCCGTTGGTTGGTGCAAATGGAGGACGTTGGGCGAGAAATTGGGATCTCCAAAGGGTGTGGAGGTGGTGGGAACGGTTCCGGTTGACAACTCGATGTCATCACCGTCGTTGTCGCGCCAGGTGTCTTCGAGGTTAACCTCCCCAGGACCGATGAGCTCGCCCGGTTTGTCTTGATGGGTCTCCAGAGCGTCAACGTTCCATACGGCTGCGCGACCTTTCCCCGCACGCGCGAGGCGCCCGTCCGGAAGGACAAGGATTGGACCGCGGAACTGGCGGGAGTTCATGGTGTGGACATTTGGCAGCTCGTCGCGACGCCTCCCACGAGTGGTCGAGTTGAAAGAGAACGACTTGACACGGTCGTCATCCCCAAGAAAGATGAGCTTGCGTGACTCGTCAGCTGTGATGTAACGGGCGACTTGCGCCAGTCCTGGGTCCATGCCGCCGCCCTCGAGGGAATCTTCGGATTGTTGTCCTAGCGGGTACCACTGCAAGCACGGATCGCGGAGTTTCCAGCCGCTACCGCCCGAGAGCGCCAAGATGGATCCTCCAGATGACAGTGACATATCCCACGGACCGGATGCAAGGGAGTCGATCGTGAGTTGAGCACGCGCCTGGTAAATCGTGTGCGCCAAGGGGGTCAAGGTGGTAGTGTTCGGAGTGTAACCCTCTCGGAATCGCGAAAGGCGCGTTGTCAGGGGGTGGGGGTGGAGAGAATCGATCCAGGATGGGGCATCGGCCAGTCCTGGGAGGTTCGAAATTGGAATCGATGGGCCTGTCGATGTTGTCCACAGTCAGTTTTCCGTGTGGCAAGCATCCAGTGTAGCCCCCCATGCACGCGCGCGAAACTGAAACATGGAGTGAACTCACCGGTACCAGGATTCATAGCGTTCAGCATGCGGGAGAAGAGCTTGAGCGCATCGACAAGATCAGAGCCTGTGTCAACGGGTTGATAAGTGGCCCGTGATGCTCGAGTTGGAACAGACGCACCTGGGTACTCCATTGAGTCCTCCAGCAACGGCTCGTCCTCCGAGTGTGCAAAGGAAGACGTCGGTAACTCGGACTCTGCGCTGCGCGCGTACCAGATTGCATCCATAAGAATCTGTTCCGCCTTCTCGACGATCCTCGGGAGATCGGGGGACCCCTTGCGCTCTGCGTCACGGACGACAGCGCAGACGTCCTCGAGGGTCTTTGTGAACTGCGTGCGGTGGGGTTCTGTATCTCCTTCGTCCGACATGTCCTCGTCCCGGCATGCATCGAGGCGAAGTTCGAGGCTGTCGAGGCTCTTGAGCCACGGGTCCGGGGTCGCCATGGCAGAGGGGATGGCGTTGGAAGCTGGGAGGTGGGGGAAGTTCGTCTTATATGCGCCCCAATAAACTTTAAATGGGCTAGGTCCCCAGCCGTCAAGCCAGCTCCGTTGGCGCCTAGATCTGGCCATCTTGGTAGCGGCCTGAGGGCAACAAGCTGGAGGGCCATCTTATAACATTCAACTTCGCTCAGCATATAGTGCATAATTCTGAACACAAGAAGTGAGCATGGAAGAGAAGGGAGAGAGGGATAATGCAATAACTGCGCCTGGGTGGGTTGTTGTGACGCATCGCGACGCGTCACAAGCCACGTGATCGTACAAACGCGTCTAGTCGCTTGATGCATTTGAATTTTAAATCCGGCGTCGGTTCAGCCTCCTCCTCCTCCTCCTCCTCATATGATTGCATCCACTCTGATCCCACGGCTCGACGCCGCTACGCATGTCACGTTTTTGTGGCGGGGGGCTTCCTTGGTGAAGGCTGGATACACGAGAAGGCTCTGATGATTCACAGTGGCTCCGAAGATTCAAGACAAGGTGAGCACCATGATGCTTTGGTACAACCCGTCGCGTTTTACTGATTATACAACGGTATATTGCCTCGTATGACGGCGCGTGTTATCTTCGCCTATATCGACGCTTCAGACAAGATGTTTGTTCCGATCCTCTTTTTTTGGCAGGTCCGATACCGTGTTATTGGAAAGACATCCATAAGAATTTACGGACGATTTAGGGCGCAGAGAGCCCTAAATCGACGCGTGCCTGACAGATCCGCGGTGGTCGGGCTGTCAGATTGGAACTCCGACGTCGCAGGGAGGTCCGTAAATCTCTAGCCGCTCAGAAATCTACGGAGGGGGGGGCCCCCCTCCGTAAATCTTCCAAGTGCCCTATTCGTCCCAAAAAGGAACTTTTTTAAGACTCCGACTTGCCTTTTTCGCGTTTCCGCGCTTCCTCGTCTCGTCCACTTCGCCGTACTCTGTACTCCCCGCTACATAGTCTCGCGCACGACACACACCACGCACAGCCCACCCGGTGGCAAAACGATGCAGCCACCTGCGCGGTGCAGCGGATTCATGCCCAGTAGACACCGTCTTTTTTACCGTGTTATCACTTGCTCACGACACCCCCAACGCCTACATTTCCTCCTCACCTTGCAGCCACACCCCTCGAGGTCCGCCGCGCCGGGGAACTCACGCGCTCGCGCTGCCGCCACGGCGAACCACGGGCTCGCGCGAGCTTTGCGCGCCCCGGACGCCATTGCGTGCGTCGCGCTCAAGGACGAAGAGCTCACGGCGCAAGCACGCGAGTCGTCGCTGTCGTAGCGCTCCTCGATTTTTTCTTCTCCCAACTCGCCCCCTCGCCCCCGTCGTTATCCACAGTTGTCTGCGCGGCCGCGGCGCGCGATGCCCAGCGCATCAAGTGCCCCGCGCGGCGCGCGCGAGGGACTAGTATATACAACCGCGTTTCCCCTGGGATAGATTTCCGAGTGAGGGTCAGTGGGAACAGGAAAGCACCACGAATTGGCGGCGGGATTGCGCCCAGTGCGAATCTGCTCGCTCGCGCGTGCGTGCATGGAGACTCGCGCGTGCACGCGCCAGCAGGCGCAGACGCGCGGGTGTCAAATAGGCCGTGGCAGAATAGGGCCGTTTGGAAACACACTATAGTGCGCGAAGATGGCTCCACCTCCGCGACTCCGCTGCTCCACGGCATCGCGGCGCGCTGGTCAAACGCCCGTCACGCATCTGCAGTGTGACCGGGCTGGCGCACGCGAACTGACTGCAGGTCGCGTCCCGTCATCGATCATCGTTATAATGTCCACGCTAACCATCGTGATGAAGGCGAGGGACTCCGGAGAGGTTAGGAAGACGAGATCGGCGCGGTGATATGATCGCCTCAGCGGGTGAGCAACTCCGCGGCATGTTACGGTGACAGTCACGCGGGGCCACTGGCCAGACTCCAATGCTCCAACTCACGATTACTCCGGTGCACCATCGTAAGATTCCAAACGGCCCTAATTTACGGAAAGCACCGCACACAGACGGGCTTATGGGAGGGGCCATCCGCCCACGTCAGCGGAGTTTCAATTAAAATCAAGGTTTACGGACGTTTACGGGCTCTGAGCATCCGTAAATTCTTATGGATGTCCGTCCATTGACATTGACTCGTAACGCCCCTGAGGCCAGAGGGGCTGTGACAACGATGGAGCATTGCCTCTTCGTGACGTCACTTGCGCTGCGTTCTTCGACCCCGACCACCACCATGGCCAGCACCACGTCCGCCTCGAGGCTGCAAACTTTCACGGAAGAATGGCTTCCCGGCTGGGACGGCCTCAACTTCTACACACGCACGTACACGCCGGCTGACGGCGCTCCACGAGCGGTCGTGCTCTTTGTTCATGGCTTTGCCGAGTACATCGGCCGCTACGAGTGGGCGCACGGCGTGTACGCCACGCGCGGCATCGCGGTCGTCGCCTTCGACCAACGCGGCTTTGGTCTCACTGCGATGGGCGATAGCGCCCACGTGAGCAAGGCGAGCAAGTACGGGAAGACGAGCTGGCGCAACCAGTTTGCAGATATCGACTGGTGGCTCCGCCACGTCCGCGATAGATTCCCCGGCGTGCCTGTGTTCCTGATGGGCCATTCGATGGTGCGTCTTTCTCTTTCTAGGCTATGTGCGGTCTTTCGTCGCTGACCGGTCGTCATCGTAGGGAGGTGGCCTCTCACTTGGCTTCGCGACCCGCACCAGTCCGCCCCCAGCGCCGGACGGCGTGGCACATCTTTCGGGTGTTATTGCCTCAAGTCCTCTCATCTTGCTCACTCATCCCAGCAGTCGCATCCTGCGCTTTTTGGGGTGGTTAGCTTCATTTGTCCTGCCTTCCTTCGTGATTCCTGCCCCTGTCAACCCCGACGTGAGTACACATAGCACTTGCGAAGCCAGACGTTTAATATTTCGAGCTTTTAGCACCTCTCTCATGACCTAGCTATAAACGCCGCAAATGCCAAGGATCCTTTATGTCCCCAGAGCGGTTCTGTCAAAGGCGTCAACGATATGCTCAACGGCGTACGTGATTAACCGCATCATCTGTCCACATCCGGAACTTACGCTTTTGCACGACAGGGGGAGGAACTTTTCCGGAATTCGTACAAGAATTGGCCAAAGGAGCTACCTGTATGTCTTCCTATTCCGCAGAAGAGTTGGTATTTACTCCCTTCCCCACAGCTTTACATGGTGCATGGTACCGGCGACGAGGTAACGTCTTGTAAAGCTTCCGAGGAATTCTGCGAGAAGGTTGTCGCAGATGATAAGACTTTTGTTCCTGTAGAGGTAAGACATATTGTGCCGCCTTGCCTCTCTTGATGCCAAACTCAAACCCTTTCTAGGGAGGATTCCATGAACTAGCCAACGAAACCCCAGGGGGCATGAAAGACAGATATGTTGACGGCTGCATTGCCTGGATTCTGGAGCACGTCGAGACCACGCCACTCACTCAACTCTGAAGTGAAGTGAACTGCTCCAGGCTGAAAATATCCTTCCGAGTTTCTTGCATCTTCGGAAGATATGTTGTACGGGCATCGCCATGTACTCAGTACACCACAGAATCCGATGGTCCCCTATTGAATGCAGCCTGTGCTTTGGATTTATTGAAACCGGGTCATCTAGAGTCCTGGCACCCCCGAATAGTTCCGTTTCGCGTGCTGAAGTGACATGATCGCGGCCGCTGTCCTGTCTTGGCGTCGCCACTGGCACCAGCTAGCTCCATGCATCTGTCACAGCTGGCACTGCCGCCCATTGGCAATTCACAGGTCGCGAATCGCCGCCCACCGGCCTATATAAGGCATACTTTGAAAGATCTGCGTCCGAATCGAGCCAGCTGCGCGTCTTCCGCTTTCTTCCTCTACCCCCACCACCGTACCGTCGCCCGACGCGAGGATGTGGCTGCTCAGCACTGACCGCGCCGAGCTGCACTTCTTCGCCCAGCCCTCCTCTGTACCAGGTGGCTACGCTATTCTCTCCCACACCTGGAGCCAGAGCCGCGACACCCCCGAACAGTCCTTTCAGGACCTGCAAGGCATCATCGCTCGATGCAATGCCGACAGCAAGAACCCACGCGACCACGTCTCACCCAAGATCCGTGAATGCTGCAAGCTCGCAGAGAAGAACAGGTACCTCTGGGTCTGGGTCGACACCTGCTGCATCAACAAGGAGAGCAGCACCGAGCTCTCTGAGGCGATCAACTCCATGTTCAGCTGGTATGTCCTCTCCGAAGTCTGCTACGCGCACCTCGAGGACGTCAGCTCGGACGACACGCCCGAAGGGGAGGATTCCGAGTTCCGCCATGCACGGTGGCACCTGCGCGGGTGGACGCTGCAAGAGCTCCTCGCGCCCGCGTTCGTGGTGTTCATGTCGCGGGACTGGAAGGTGATCGGGACCAAGCACGAGCTCGCGGAGACCCTCGGGCAGATCACGGGCATCTACCGGACGCACCTCACGCGCGAGAAGGCGTTCCTCAGCGCCTCGATCGCGGAGAAGATGTCGTGGGCGGCGAAGCGGAAGACGACGCGGACGGAGGACGAGGCGTACTGCTTGCTCGGGCTCTTCAACATCAGCCTCCCCACCTTATACGGCGAGGGCCGCCAGGCTTTCTTCCGCCTCCAGGTGGAGCTCGCGCGGCTCTCGTTCGACACGACGCTGTTCGCGTGGGGCGGCGTGCACGACTCGGGCGACGACAAGTACCCGCAGGAGCCGTTGGAGGAGATATGGTCGGGCTTCCACGATGTGACGCACTACTCGCGGTACCTCTTCGCGCCTTCGACTTCAGACTTCACGGTGTCGACCCCGTACTACACCCCGAGGCTCAACGCGACGGCGGTTCTTCAACCGTACATGTCGTGGCAGTGGACCGAGGATGTGAGTATTCCATCATTGCCCTCACTGCTCCACAGTCTGCTCATGAAGAACCTACAGCACGAGAAGGTCATCGACGTGGCCAACAAGACAACCGGACCTTTCGGCAGCCTCGAGCTCCCCTCGTTCAAGTTGACGAGTCATGGCATGAAGTGCCACTTTCCAGTCGCCGAGGTCGACGGGATCACGATCATGGTGCTTTTGGTCGAGACCGATGACAAACACCTCGGCATGATCCTGCACCCGGCAAAAGCCGACGAGGTCCAAGACCCGAGCCAGCAACTGTTCTATGTCACCTGGGCGTTCAAGACCACCGAATCGTACTCCAACTGTCGACTCGCAGAGCTCGGTGGGGACCTCTACAACCTCAACTTCCGCGGCAAGGACATCAAGCCCGTCTGGCGCGACATCTACATCCACGCCGGGCCGCGCACGGAGGACCGCACGGACCCCCCGCACCTCGTCCTGCGCCTGATGCACGACCGGATCCCCGCGCCGTTCCGCGTCCCCCGCTGGCTCGTCGGCGCGTTCGCGTCGATGCATTTCCTGCCGAACAGCGGGACGTCGACGATCGACGAGGGCGCGTCGTTCGAGATGTGGCTCCAGTTCGTCAACACGCAGATCTCGGAGCGGATGTGGGTCAAGATGGGCCTCTGCAAGCAGGCGTCGACGGACGACGAGCCGGTGCACTGGGCGTGGGGGACGACGGTCGGGATCGCGGCGTGGAACGACGCCTGGGACAAGCCGCACGACTGCGCGACGGACCACGTGGACGAGTGGGAGGGCAAGTGGCGCTCGTTCGGGGACGAGGAGCGGACGATCAGGCTCTCCTTCACTCAGGACGGCCACAACAAGCGGACGCGGGTCCTCCACATGGAGCTCGACGGGACCAAGTACAACGAGCTCCAGAAGCAGGCCAACGTCTCCATCTGCGACATGTCCTACGAGGCGCTGCTCGCAAAGAGGGAGGGCTTGCGCGCGATGCAGGTCCAGTGGCTCGCCCCCAGCGGACATGCCCCTACGCCTGCGTACGCCCCGACTAGCGATGGCGCCTATGTGACGGATCCGTCGTCAGCCGCAGCAAGGCCCGCCGAGCCTCCATCGTTGGCATCACGCATGGGCATCGCGGGTTTGACTTTGAAGCGTCTCGGGCGAGCCAAACCCCTCACCGCCCAGTTACACGACACACATTTGCGCTAGGCATTCACCCATAGCGCGCATCCCACAATTGCCGAGTCTCTCCTCTGCGATCACACAGCACCGCGACGTCGAAGGCCGACACTCCCTCCTGCCATTCACGTCCGGCGGTGACTCACGCTTCCGACCGTTGGCGCAGGATCCATGCGGAGCGACGAATGCGCTCTTGAAGCCACGTGGAACACGGGCTGGTGATGGACGGTACGGATCGCCCTCCGAGGTAGAGAGCGAGCGAGCATTTGTAGAGACGTGCAATGTAAGAGGTATATAGCATGCAATGTTGGGTTCTGCTACTACCCAGCCCTCTCCCTTGACATTGAGGACCTTTGATTCAGTGGGGTGAATGCGCGCTGTACAAACTTAGACACCATGAGTCTCATAGAGCACAACCCTTGCTCAAGGATTCAGCGGTCTGTGGTTGGGAAAGCGTGGTTCATTAGAATGATCATCAGGCCAGCAACACTTCAACTTACACAAGCGGGATAGAGGTCATAGGTCCTGAAACTATGTGAGCGACCCCCGGCATGAGAGCGCGAACCACTTTGAGTCTTACCTGGTGCGGCGGTCAACGAGGGGAACGGAGTGGCTGTACACGCGGGCAAAACGTCGCCCATCGAGAGGCCAGCGGGGAGAAATGGCTGGAAGTTGACGGCCGGTGGGACCGGGATGATGTTGGTGCAGTTCGTCATGAACGCCACGTTTGAGCCCTGGCCGAGCAATGCAAGCGTGTTCATGACAACCTTATACTTCTGTAGCATATTCTGGCGGTCCACTGCGGCAGGCGGCGTTCAGCACCTCATGAGACATACGGGAAACTGCCGCTCACGAAGCATGTGCTGGAACTCGCAAGCGGTGCGGGGATCCCTGTAGGCAGCTGCGTGTGAGGATTTTGCAGCAGTTTCGGCACTCACCGACACTCACCTTGCCACCGCAAAGTCCGAAGCGAGACGGAACTCCCCGGGGTAAGGCGACAGCACCCCTCCTGTGGGAACCTGATCTTGGCCCCCAGGGTTGATGGTACCGTTGAGGAGAGTTTCGACAAAGAACTGGGCGTCGAAATCGTAAGGAGTCGAGTCCAACGGCGATCCTGCGATCGTCTATCCATAGCGAAACGAACGACGGATGAGTGTGCCCGTCCAGAGAGCCGAGACTACAGATGAAGATCGTACCGGATCCACCGTGTTCTGCGTGCCAACAGTGTGCGAGATGAGCATCCACACGAGCTGAAGCGCGCTGAAGCCGATATCTCCCACACGGTTGATGATGGTGTCTACTGAGTCGGTCGCTTGAGGGATCAGTCCGGCGGGTGCGGGCTTCGAGTCGTTTTTGCGCCCCGAAAAGAACAGGAGCTGGGGCCCCCCTTTGCAGTTCCCAACACCGACAGCGCCCGCGAATTGGATACTAAAGCAGGATGTCAGACCTCGACCGTACGACCATCGATCGAGATCAGGTTCGACTCACAAGTCCCCAAAGGACACATTGTAGCGGAGCGCGATCTGTCGCTCGGCCTCGATTATCTCATCCATGCCGTCGTTGGCGGGGTCCTGGAGCTCTATGTCTGACCATTGCATGATGGAGCCATCTGCGGGCCGCGTAGTGAGTCCCTGTTCAGCTCACGTGGATCCTGGCGTACCGGCTCCCCCTCCTCTGTGACCCTCGTCTGTCAGACAACACGCGACGGGTCCAGGATGAATGCGACGCACCCAAACTTTCCTGCTCTGACCAACTTTGGTGAGTATCCAATCGCGTCGTGGAAGGTGAGCTGTTACAATACAGTTTGGTCAATGGGGATTAGGCAGATGCGGAGATAAGAGGTACATACTCGAAGCGCTTCGTGGGCATCCTCATTGCATTCACCACCATCGAATCTGGAGAATCATCAATGTAATTGGGGAGAAGGCAAGGTCATGTGTAGAGAGCTCGCGTACAAATTCTGCTGGATATCATCAAGCACGTCGAGCCAGACACAGCACTGGTACAAGCGGGCAAAGTGTGAAAAGACTAAACCATACCCACAGGAAGTTGCAACACATACCGCGTCTGGAACAGCTACTCCGTTGTTTCCAGTACATGGAACGGAGGCCGCACTACCGGACACAAAGAACAAGCCGAGCGCAAGAGCCGATGCCGTGAACAGCATACCTGAGACGTAGGCCGGGGAAGGAGATGCTGGTGTCCGGGGAAAGCCACGGGGCGTTATTTATGCTGGAAGCGACCCCGTTCGAACTTAGCAAATGGGCAATCATCTCCGGCGCAATATTCCACCCGGGTGATTCTACCCGATGACAACGGAACCTGCGGTGTTAAGAGGCTCCAAGATGGCGACTCCATTTGGGTCTCGAGAATCTAGGTCTGAAGGTGTATTGTCGAATCCGGGCTTTTGACAGCCCCGGCCTGCTCCTGAACCGAAGCCGGTGGCCTGACAGGTAGGATATCGCCTCTTCCCCAGCGGTAACCGACTGACCCACAAACGTTGGAAGAAGGCCCAGCTGTCCGTCAGCGCGTCGATTGATAATTGAAAGAAGAGCTTCGATGGCGAGGTCGCTCGGGACCGCTCTGTTGGCGACTCGGCTCTGCGGCCCAACCACGATAGAAAGGAAGCTGGCCCCCTCTGAACACGCCCTTGCGTTACAAAGCCTCCAGCATTCCCGGGAATAACGCCAGGCCCGTCCCACAGGCGCCCGTCCCTGACATAGAGTCGAGCGCGTGCGGGAACGGCCCGAGCGGCGGTCCTCACGTCGTGCGCGTGTCCCGGGACGTCGCTCACCTGCAGGTTCTAAGTAGGGCCAGCCGGCAGCGACGATCGCTCGCGCGGCCTCGGGGGAGCAGAGACGGGCGGCCGAGGGAAGCTTGGCCCAGTCTTTGCCAATTCCAAAGTCGAAAAGAAACTTCTCCAAGGAGGGGCAGAGGAAGAAGAGGAGTGCGGGAAGGCGCATCCGTGACGCAGAGTGAATTCAACTTCGCATCTCATTCCATAGTGTTATACTAGATCCCACCACAACTTCAAGTTGGACTCGACGCCGGTTAGACACCTTTACTTAGATGATGTTATCAGACGCACGTACGTCACATTTCATGCAGATGTGGCACGGAACGTGTTCTTGAGCGTACAGAGGCCTCGTACCTGAAAGACTCGTTAGCTCATGCCAGCGAAAGTTTGAGGGTGTCAGGTACCGCAGTGCCGACAACGACTCAGGCTTGCTCGGGAGAAACGCCGACCTGCCCTGGTTCTTCTCGTACCACGAGCGGAGCGGAGCATCGTGCACGAGCAGCACTCTCCAGCGCCGGTTCTCCTTCATCGATGAGGCGTCCAGGGAAGTGCCCTTCTCCCAGCACCGACGACGTAAGTCCAGGCTCCCGTCACCGGCGCGTGCTGGAATGGGCCCAGCACGGGCCAGCCGGACGGGTCAAGGAACGTCGTGCGCCGTGCGGCCTCTTGAACGCCATGCTTGGACGTATTGCTTGCGCGCTCCATGCCCCACGACATCCACAACCTCCGAGTCCCGACCCTCTCGGACCGGCATGTTCTAACTTCCCCGCTACGGGTGCCGGAACTGTGGCTCTTGCGCGTGGAGGTCGTCCGTGGTGGGCGTAGCAGCCTTCGGCGAGCACGTACCGGCTGAACGTCGTGGCCTCCGGCAGGCCCGCGCTGCTCTCCTTGTGGACTCCATCCACACCCCGCTGAACCCGTCGCGCCCCGCGATCTGACAGCACATCCGGATCTTGTCCCCGACGAGGTCGCGCGCGTTCGCGCCGTCGACCTTGCGCACATCGCGCGATGATGCCTTGCAGCCTTAGAAGGTTCGTTCCGGGCGAGGTTCTTGAGCCCACGTGTGGGAGAAGATGGCGGGTGTGGAGGTCGGCGCATACGGTGTTGAGCAGCCACATCACCAGGTGAGCGGCGAGCAAGGTCGCGCCCTACGCCAGCGAGCCCGGAGAGAAGGAAGGCTCGGCGCGACGGCGCAAGACGGCCTTGCCAAGATGGGTTGTCCGCGACTCCGCGCGCCGCTTCAGATGATGGGTCCCAGACGCACGGGTGCGGCAAGTTGGTAGGAGGGATTCTCTGGTAGACGTGCCGCGTCAGAAACGCGATTCCGCGAGGTCATGATGAGGGGCGGAGAGAAGTTGGAAGGTCCGGCAGGCGTTACATACAGGGTGCCGTCCAATCCCAGCGCGCTTGATGCCCACTGACCATGTATCTATCCAGAGTGCAATAGCGAGCGTTTATTAAGAGCATGTAACGTATAACAAAGCGTGTAAGGAACGTGCTGGCAGTTCAAAAGAGCGTGCCGATGGTGCGGGGGTTTTTTCTTCTTGCGAGCGCAAGGCTCCCAGACCCGCCGTCAGTTCTGACCCTCAGCCACTCCGATGGCAAATTCTGACGACAATAACGGAGGACCCACGCAGCTCCACGAGCCACCTCACAGCGGGTACTTGAGCGAGAGCTCAGTCATGTACTCCATCGCGTCCGTGCGGAAGTCGTCCGCCGTGATCGCGGTCCGCTTCAGGAGCCCCCCGAGGAACGTCATCAGCTTCGGCTCCGCGACGCTGTACTGCGGCCACGCCGGCACCGTCTTCCCGTTCGGGTCGAGGCCGGTCGCGAAGTTGACGAGGTAGTCGGTGAGCTCGCCCCCGCCGAAGCTGTTCAGCTTGTCCGTCGCATGGAAAGAGCCGAGGAGGGGGACGGACTTCCACCGCTTGCTCACTGTCGTGCGGCTCGTCGCATCAGCGCCGAACACACCTGGGGGAAAGGACGCGCGAGGGGGACGCACGGTAGGACCAGACGGGCTGGGCGGCGGCGCGCTGCTGCGCGAAGAAGCGGCGGGGGGCGGTGAAGACGAGGTCGCCTTGCATGGCGGCGAGGCGCTTGAACTGGGGCGAAACCGCGTTGGAGCCCCCAGTGCCGAACGGGGCGCCTTGGGTGGGGTCGCTCGGGTAGAGGGTGAGCAGCTTCTCGAGTTCGGGCTCGGTGATGCTCGGGATGTAGTTGCCCACGACGTAGTCCCGGAACTCGGCGTCCGTCGTCACGTTGAGCGACGCGAGCGAGAAGAGCGTCCCTTCGTCGTCGCAGTTCTGTGCGCGTGGGTGCGTGGGTCAGCGATGGTGTGCGCGGGTGTAAGGAACGAGGAAAAGGCACCCCGGTAACGAAGGGGATGTTGGCGACGCTACCGGCGAGGACGAGCTTCTGCGGGATGTCGGTGAGGAAGACGCCGTCGACGCGCGGGGTCCACGCGAGGTTGAGGGCCTGGTACGACAAGTACGAGGGCGAGCTGTCCATCGCCTTCTTGAGCACCTCAAAGTCGACCGTCCGGAGGCATTGCAGGGTGTCGGCGGTTCCTGCGCAGCCGGTCTGGGAGACGAGCGCGTCGTAGTCGGCTTGGCCGGCTTCCATGTCGCCGACGGGGATCGGCGAGCCGCTCTGCATGAATGCGCCCCGGAAGAGGCCTTCGGTGTCGCCGCCGTTGGTGACCATGTGAAGCGCGACGGAGATCGCACCGGCGCTTTGTCCCCAGCTGGTGTTCACGCGACGTCCTTAGAGATGGCAGGAAAGAAGGGTCATGTGGAGGGCGCACGTACATGGTGACCTTGGTCGGGTCTCCGCCGAACTGTGAGATGTATTTTTGCACCCAACGGAAAGCAAGGCGTTCTGGGGAACGTCAGAATGCCAGTCACACGAGCATGTGAGCGAAGGCAAAACATCACTCACGATCGTGCAGGCCGAGGTTGCCGACGCCGGCTTCCTTCACCTCTTTGCCGGGAAGGAAACCGAATGCTATTACATTTTTCCGTTAGTACCTGTGACGCTTCAAATTTGAGCACCTCACCAGAAACGCTGTATGGAATATTGAGCTTACGGCTAAACGTTTTTTCAGTACAAAGCACTCACCGGTAGTTTATGCTCACGAATATCGTGGGCTTGTTCATGGCCATTGAACGTTTCACAATCACACCACCATCGTCCCTGCAAAAAACAATCAGCCAGCATTTCACCGTATACAGAAGCAGCGCACATACGAGTTCGAGCTGCCGTTTTCAAAACCACCTGCAGGTCAGGAACACACGGACGCATTAGTTGATTTGAAATTTGTGCCGGCCTGCACCTACCTCCGAAGATCCACTGGAAGAATCGTCAGCCGAGAACTCGTGCTGCATGGGAAGTAAGTAACTCACGACGGCGACAGGCAGATCGTCTCCCGGCTTGGTCCCATCGGGAACGATCACGCTGAGAGAGAGGCCTACAGCAGGTGTGCCCGAATTTAGCGTCGTGAGCACGCAGCCCTGTGCATGTGCAAACGTACAATCTTCGTCCGAGGGTTCAATGGTGTCGATAAAGGTGTTGACGACGAAGTCGACCACTTCCGACGCAAGACCGGTCAAGATGGGAACAGTGAGCGACTGCTGGGGGCACACTGGGCCTGTGGAGGTCACGGTGTGCGTGCCTGTGTACGCGTCAACGGGGACTGGAAGGTTGAAACGCAGGTCGCCGACACTGTAAGAAACATCCGTCAGCGATGGCATACGGGGACGAGGAACGAGAGGAGGACAGACGGAGGCTTGCCGAAGGGGATGCTGAGGAATTTGTTAAGTTTGCCATCCGCCTTGCCTATGAAGGTTGCATCGTCGAGGGTCACTGCCGGAGAGGCACGCTTGTCAAGGGCAGCGGGAGCAGCAAGGGCCACGACAGCAAGGAGAGGGAGCAGACAAAAAGAGTGGAAGGACGGCATGGAGAGCGTGAGGGACAAACATCGAGCTCGACGTTCAAATAGTTGAGACCGAGAGCAAGCATCGTTCCTGTAACCAGTATGGCGGTTCCCGAACCTTTAGAAGCACAACACTGTTCTGTTTGGTCAACCAGGGGATGGACAAGCGCGCTCATATATCGAAATTTGATAGGCTGTATAAGAAGCCGAAACCTCGGGGCAGGATGACGACCCGGATTGAAGCGAAATCACTGAGTAAGAGACTCTAAGGTGTGGGTGCCGCCGTGCACATGGTGGTGGACTTGGGTCGTCGAGGTGGATCTGCCATGGTGGAGGCCTTTGCTGAGGGACGGAGGAGCGCCAAGGCCCGAGAGAGCGTGCACGCAAGCGCCCAGGGCGGCAAATGCCGGGCGAGTGTCGGGCAGGAACACGTCGTGGCAGCGGACGCGGTCCTCGTCATCCTCCCCTGCCAGGCTTCCCCGTCCATAACGTCCTTCGCCATGAACTTGTTCCGACTCTTTGGTGCGTCTCTCCCTCTCTCGACCCTGCCGCGTCGTCCGTTGTGTCTCTCCTGCTCAACGTCCCCCTTTGCTAGGCGACTTATCCCATCTGGGGTCCATATTTATTCTGCTGCACAAGATCCAGACGACGCGTTCATGTCGAGGTGAGCCTTCGCCTTCACCACGTGCGGCGCCCCTTGTGGTTTTTGGTGGACAAGGAGTTGGCATTTGTGCGTGAGGGGTGCTACACACATGATATATTTTGTGTTCAAGTTGGAGCCGAGATGGCGGGAGACATAGCCATTCGGAAGGCTCGCTGCGCACGTCTGTCGTTCGGCTATTGAGGGTTTTCCCATCACTTTTCGCCGTCTGGTACGGTCGTTTCGACGGAAACACGAATGCTGACCGTCGCGGCCAGGTATCTCATTCAAGACACAAGCGCTGTATGCGGCCGTGTTCATCACCCGCTACCTCGACCTCCTCTATGAATGGGTATCCTTGTATAACTTCACGATGAAGCTCTTTTTCATCGGCACCAGTTGCTACATCCTCTACCTCATGAAGGTCAAGTACCGGTGAGTTTCTGCCTTCCTCTCAGCATTCGCGCCGCAAGTCGCTGCTCCCCCCTCCCACCTCCAAAAGACGGGTTTGCTCATGGTCCCCATCTCCCCTCCCAGGCCAACGCACGACCCATCGATAGACACGTTCCGTGTCGAGTACCTCCTAGGACCGTGCGCGTTCCTCGCCCTCATCTTCCACTACAGGTTCACGATCCCCGAGCTCCTGTGGTCCTTCTCCATCTTCCTCGAGTCCGTCGCCATCCTCCCCCAGCTCTTCCTCCTCCAGCGCACGGGCGAAGCGGAGGCCATCACCACCCACTACCTCGCCGCCCTCGGCGCATACAGGGCACTCTATATTCCTAATTGGATGTACAGGTCAGTCCTCTACGTCATTCCGCCACGTGTCCGCGTCGCCAAGTTTGTCTCCCTGCCTCACCTGTGCGAACATCCGCGTGCATGCCCGTCGCATAGGACGAGCGCCGCAGAAGAACCGCTGTTTCGGCTCGGTGATCGTGCTCTCGCTAACCCAATCGTCTGCAGGTACTTTACTGATGATATGGTTGACCCCATCGCCGTCACTGCCGGCCTCGCGCAGACCGCGCTCTACCTCGACTTCTTCTACGTCTACTTCACCAAGTGCGTTCCCCTCTTCTCCGCTCTTAATGCACCGCTGACCGTGCATTGTGTTTGCAGGGTGCTGCAGGGACAGAAGTTCGAGCTGCCAGCATGAGTTGTGCTGCGGGTTGGTTTTTGTGTCGAGTCGCCGGTCGAAAATAATATATTCGCGTTCGCGTCGCCCTCTGCTATGTCGTGAGGGAGCCCTTGCATACCTGCTATCGACGGGTCACAGAGGAACGAGGGATGAATATGTGGGCTGAAGAAGATGACTATGTACATTAAGGTATTTGGGGTGGCACGTGAATATCTTTGTGCGCCCAACATGATTGCCTGTATACCGTTCGCCGCATCTGTGTTCTCCTTCGACATATCCACTGAGTCCAAAATCATTCAGTCCGCAGCACCCGTGGCCCCTCGACGCTTGAACCGCGCCTTCACGCGGTGGGTCACATCCTGGAGCAAGCTGGCGGTCTTCGTTCGCGTCATGGTCTCTACGCCAGGATCCACAGTCGACGGCTCGCCTGGGAGCTGGTAGATTGGAAGAGTACGGTTCGGGAGAACCAAGTCCGATCCAATGGGGTCCGTGGGGGCGTTGTGGGGCGCGGTGGGGGGAGGGGGGGAATTGTCAGGCTGGTCGCCATCGGCCGACCCCACAGGCGGAGTCCCCCGCCCGCTCGAGGCCGCAGAGAGCGGCCGCGGTCCGTCCCGCAACAACGACAGACGTTCGCGCCGCGCAGCATGCGCTCGTAGACCGCCCCGCCGAGCGCGACGTGGAGGACCCGCGTCCGCGCCGGGCTGTGGGGCACCGGCCGAACGAGAGCCACACCGTCCGCTGCGCGCGCTCGCCGCCGAACGCGCGCGGGCCGTCCCAGTCGTCGACGTGGTCCGTCGCGCAGTCATGCGGGCGGTAGAGCCGCGGCCGGCCCCACGTGGTGCGGTCGAGGGTGACGAGCCACGCCCAGTGCACCGGGCGGGCGGGCGTCGAGGCGTGCTTGCAGACGCCGAGATGGATCGTGATCTCCTCGGGGAGGCGCGTGTTGACGAAGCGCAGGACCATCTGGTACGGGCCGCCCTCGGTGACCCTCGCGGGGCCGTTGTCGGGGGAGAGGCCGGCGGAGGCGAAGGCGCCGACGATCCAGCGCGGGACGCGGAACGGGGCGGGAGTGAGGTCGGAGAAGAGGCGCAGGATGTAGTGCTGGAGGTCCATGCGGTATCGAGGGGGCTGGCTGGCCTGGATGTAGAAGTCGCGCCAGACGGGCTTGATGCGCTTGCCGCGGAACTTGAGCTTGTAGATGTTGCTGCCCAGCTCGGCGAGACGACGGCTGGCCCAATAGGTCGGTGTTTCGAAGGTCCAGGAGGTGTAGAACAATGGATGACGAGGATCCTTCGCCTCGACCCTCTCGGCAGGATGCAAGATCAGGCCGAGATGTTGTTCGGTGGTCTCGACGAAGAGGACCATGACTGTGATGCCGTCCACTGTGGCCAGCGGCGCTCGACACTCCATCCCTTTCCCGGTGAGCGTGAACCCTGGGATTTCGTGGCTTCCAAATGGCCCTTTTCTCGTGGTCATTGGTTTATCCTGTGAATGTATGTTCAATCAGTATTGTAGAACATTCGGATGCCTCTTAAACATACTCCTCGAGCCCGATGACACGGCAAGTATGGTTGGAGAGCCTCCTCCGCCGACAACTGGGGAGTCCAGTACGCAGACGGAAGGGTGAAATATGATGGAGAGGTGGCGAAGAGGAATCGAGGCATGATACCGCTACCCACGAGAAATCCGTCCCACATGGATTCCAACGCGGCCGGTGTGCGGTTTGCGTCTTCTTCACCGTGCACGCCTCCCCAAGCGTAAAGAGTCGCGTCGGAGTTCCTCCGCGAGAGCTCGACTTGCAGGCGATAGAAGGCTTCGCGACCCTCGCCGTAGATGATCGGTATCTTGATGTCAAAGATCCCGAGTAGGCAATACGCCTCGTCCTCGACCCGCGTCGTCATTCGTCGTGAGGCCCAGCGCATCTTCTCCGAGATTGGCGCGGCTTGGAGGTGAGTCTGGCGGGTGAGGAATCTCTTGGGAATTCCAGTGATTGCTGTCAGGCGGTCGGCAAGCTCGTGCTTGGTCCCCATCGGCTTCCAGTCCTTGGATACGAACAGGACAAATGCGGGGGCGAGAAGCTCTTGCAGCGTCCACCCCCGAAAGTGCCACCTTGCCCGACGGAAGTCCGAGTTCGGGGCACTGAGGTCGTCGTCGGCACCGACGTCGTCCAGATACGCGTAGCAGACCTCTGAGAGGACATACCAGGTGAACATCGAGTTTATCGCCTCCGAGAGCTCCGAGCTGCTCGTCTTGTCGATGCAGCAGGTGTCGATCCACACCCACGCGTACCCGTCGCGTTCCATCGTCTCGCAGCACATCCGAATCTTGTAGCAGACGATATCGCGGGGATTCTTCCCGTCTGCTCTACATTGCGCGATAATGGCCTGAAGGTCCTGGAATGTTTGTTCGGGACGGGCAGGATCTTGGCTCCAGGTGTGGGAGAGGATGGCGTAGCCCCCGGGGACAGAATCTGCGCTGTGGAAGAAGTGTAGCTCTGCACAGGCGGTGTCAAGGAGCCACATGGAGACCCTGTACAAGAGGTGTGAAGCTTTGAGCTTCGAGAGGCCGAGCGACTGGAAGCATACGCACCTTGAGAGACAGATATCGATACGCACTGGAAAGGCAAGCTAACACGGGTACAGAGCGACTCCTTCCAGCGCGAAGGCGAGGTCGGGGGGTGGCAACTGAGGACTGCGTGAGTCCAAAAGTGCGCTCAAGAATGGTTTGAAATGAGAACCACCATCATGATGCCCCGCCAAACACTGGACTGCGGAGGCTCGTCCTTGGGGATTTGAAGGTCGTTTGGCGAGCCCGGTGAGCGACGGGAAGCCCGGGAATTCGGAGATCGAGGATGCGCATGCTTCCCAAGTGAGTCGGGACAGTATGTGGTGGTGGGCGTGGTTGTGTTGATGGAGAGAGTGGGCTGGGGTAGAAAGCAGGCGCGCTGGCTCGAATGAGATTCTGACCGCAGGACGCGTGCGATGACGTCATCAAATTGTCCGCGCAAGCCGGTCGGCAAAGTCCAGTCACAACGCGAAATGAGCGACGCGGTACTTACCTTGTTGATGCAGAGACTCCAATAAGGACCATACGTACTTGACGGAAGCCGTTGGAGCGTAGCTTGACTATGGTACTCATGCCTTCTACACAACGATCTCTCTCGTGTACTTATGTACTCGATGTTATGTACATGGGGTTCTAGGTGGCATCCGCCCTCAGCTCTAGGGCCGCCGTCCGAACCGCGCTTCCACGCGACCATCTATTCGCGTGATAAAACCAACCGTTTCCTTCGTAAGGAGCGCCGAAATCAAGAGTTAGCTCTACAGAACAATGTTCCCAGCGAGAATAGAAGCCGTCGGATTGAAATAGCTTCTCGCAACTATTCTAAGAGGGAGACAAAACGCTGAACTAGGCCGGCTGAGTTGTGAGGCCCTCTGAGCTGGTCCCTGGCAGAGCCGAAGTGAACTCAACGAAATGGATAGAGCCATTCCGGTGGACGGTGGACGGGGATAGGATGACTCCGGAGCTGACTGCACGGGTTTGACAAAGTCCGCTGACGGCTCGAACACTTCGGCGAAAGACATTGCGATCCGACCCGGCACGACAGACGCAAGCTGCACCGTCCATCTTTAAATGTGCCATCGTGAGCGGAAGAATTCGGAGCCGTCGGCCGCAGGGTTCCGTTGCCAATCCCTTCCTTACGGAAGATGATGCCGGGAGGCGGGCGCCGTGCTCGAGGCGGAGGGAGGAACCAGCGGAAGCTTGAACGCTGCTGGAAGGCGCACGCCCTGCGTCGGAGTCATTGCTCCTGCAGGACACACTAGATCCGGCGGAAGAAATAACCTCGCATGGTGTGAAACATGCGTCGTCCTGCGGCGAAGGAGGCGCTTTGCGTCTTCATCTTGTGTGCGGTCCTGGAGATGACGAGCGACTCTGCATCTTTCCTAGAAGCAACAGTAGATTCCCCGGGGATCACAGAACTTGGTCTTCCACTGGTCTCGTACTTGTTTCGTAGACGCGCATATGCCGGACCACGAAGCGGAGATGCGAGGACGTGCATACCCCTAGGGCTCGCCACACGCGTGAACGTCAGCTGGATGGTACGCGCGCCCGTTGTATCGCTGAACACGCGCGTGCCATGCGTCCATTCGGACAGAGCGTTGGCATTGGCTCGTGCTACAGACGTAAGCTTCTTGCTTGACTTCTCTGTGACTGGCCGGGGGGTGTTTTTCGCGGCAGGAGTGATGGAAGAGGGGAAAGTAATTGACGTGGGGAGCTTTGGCGGTGGAGAGCCAGAGGTGTTCGCTGTTGATGACGAGGGACGAGTGAAGTCCACACAAGCCCAGGGGACGCCAGCGCGGATGCCAACGGTCAGACAAAATCCTTCAGTTGGGTCGGCGCGGTGTCGAAATTCGAAGGATGACAGGTTGACACGGAACCTCGTCTTGGGGTCAGGCCGGATGGGCGAGATCCTCTGAGGCGCCACGGGCAGGCTCTCCCACATCGCGGACGGGAGGTCGCTGCCGCCCTTCCCGCTCGAGTCGACGGCGTCGCGCAGCCCGCGGCGCTGGAGGAGCGCAAAGCCGTGCTTCTCGAACTCGGCGTGGAGCCACCGCGGGAAAACGAACTTGAACGCCGTCGTCCTCGGCTCCTGGTCCCGCGCGGTGGTACCGTCCACTTCGTCCTCCTCCGCACCTGGGCTGGTTTTCGTGCCAGGGCGCGAGCCGACGTACGCAGTCATCGCCCACGGCGAGCGCGACGACGCCCGGTGCGAGATGTACACGTTCTGCCAGCGCGCGACGAGCGATCCGGGGTGCGCGTCCGCCAGGATGTAGGCCGCGAGCGAAACGGGCGCCAGACGGTACCGCATGCGCGCCCACTTCGCTTCTCCCGCGATGGTGGTCCCGGTGAAGAAGCGAGTGTATTCGGGTTCCAAAGTGTGCAGCCGTCGACGGAGGAGGAGACCAAGTGGCGCGATCGGGGAGGGAACGAAGTGTGGAGAGAAGGGCGGTGAGGAGACCTCCTGGCAGGCCAGCACGGCGATGGCGAGCGTGAGGCTCTCTTTGTATCCGGAGACGACGAACAAGTGGGAACGGATCCCTTGAGTTGTGACGGAGAAGTCGGGGAGGTACTGGGCTGTGAGGCTCTGTTGCTCTTCGGGAGACATTAGGACCTGTATAAAAGTCAATAAGCATTCGAAGAGGTTCAACGTCCACAGCGCGTATGCACCTTGTCAGAAGCACGGATGCCAAGCACCTTCAACGCCTGCGACGCAGCAAGGTGCAGCGGGATGGGCACAAAGTTGGCCGAGTTGCAGAACGCGGCCGGCGACGGGGCGAATATGTGGCTTTCTTCGTGGTAGTTGCTGAACACGAGCCGCTCCCGGAACAACCGCGTGCCGAACGGGACGACGCGGCCCCACGCGAACACCGTCTGGTCCGAGGTCTGCGTCAGGATCTCCTCCTGCAGCCGCCGGAACGCGCGCCGGCCCTCGCCGTAGACGGTCGGCATGTGGACCCCAAAGAGGCCCATGAGCGAGTACGCCTCGTCCTCGACACGCGTCGTCGTCCGGCCCGACGCCCACCACATCCGCCGCGCGACGCTGACGTCGCCAACGGGGCGGCGGTGCACGAGCACGTCCGCGTCGACGCCGGTGATCTCCTCGAGGAGAGCGGCTATGCTTGCCTTGGTCCCGATCATCTGCCAGTCGCTCGAGTAGAAGAGCACTGTGCGGGGCGCGATGAGCTCTTGCAGGGTCCAGCCGCGCGTGAACCAACGGCTGTCGCGGAACTGGGGTGTCCACTTGCTGAAACGCGTCGAGGTGGATGATGGGAAGATAGATTGGGAGGGGACATCGTGAAGATAGGCGTAGCAGACTTGGGCTTGCGCGTACCAGGCGAACATGGAGTTGATCGCCTCGGAGAGCTCGGCGCTGCTCGTGCGGTCGATGCAGCAGGTGTCGATCCAAAGCCACTCGTATCCGTGCGACTCGGCGAGGACGCAGCACTCGCGAATCTTTGGTGACGCGTAGTCGCGCGGGACGCCGGTCGTGGTGGTGGACCGGAGCGCCTGGAGCTGCTGGAAGGACATTTCTTGCCGCTGCCAGACGTGCGAGAGAATGGCGTAACCGCCTTCAACATCGTTGGGACCGTTGAACTGCTCGAGTTCGCCGGTGCGAGTGCGGATGAGCCACATGGTGAATGCCAGCTTGGTGTCTGTGTTGAATACGATATGGTCATGAGCTCGTGCGATTTACGAGCACTGAAAGGTACGCACTAGGGATTTGACCGGAGGAGCATCACGGTTGCACGCGATGGCAGAGGTTGGAGGACAAGCCGTGTTCAAATCGGATTGGTCGCCTACATAGTCCAGATGGCTTTGATGGGATAGCGCCCCGCCAGCGAGGCCTGACCACGGACATACCGGAAATAACCAATTCGTATTGAGTTCGTAGGCGTTCAATTTGCAAACGCAGAAGTCCTTCCGAAGGCACATAGTCAGGGGAATGTAGGTAATAAGTGATGGTTGGGTAGGAGAAAAGCTTTGTATATGTTAGCTTTCCTTGCTGTGTTCGTTGTGAAAGAGGGGTTTGGACTGGTGGAGGTTTGGTGGTAAGTTCTTGCTCTGGTGCCTGATTCACGGCGCTCTCGTTTGCCACTTATCGGCTCGACGGAGTATACTTACAGCCGCATCCTGTATCGCTTACGTCTACCATGTTATCTTCGTGATCCCACGGACTTGATACGCACTAGAACCTTTATGCATAACGGTTCACCATCACTCGTACTCGTTTGTTGCTCGCCTACTATTGGCTTTACTATTAGATCTATTGCCTTAGCTACACAGTATTGAGTCTGGCGCTATCCAATGCTATCGGTATCATTCCTACTCCCCTCATCATCTGTGCGCCACACTCCAAGAGAAGACGGATCCCAAGTGAGTATGGCCATATCACAGCTTGGACCCATCCCCCACCGGTCGCGACCCGGAATTCTGCGCCCTCTCTAGCATCCACCCCGTGCTAGCCTCAGCGTACTCCTCCTTCATTCCGTTCGGCTCGCGCATGACTTCGTGGTATCCACCCTACAAAGCACTACTCAGCACCAATGGTCACCCGCATAGAAGCCACACCGACGCACCTCGAATACCTTGTACTCCTTATCCTCCGCCTCGACCTTGTCGAAGAAATCGCGCGAAGCCTTGGGCGACGTGATCTATATATGCACAGCGTGGTCAGCACCCCGCTGTCCTCTAGACCTTTAGTGGGCATGCTCACGCGATCGGCGGAGCCATGGAGGATGAGAAGCTTCGGAGATCGTCAGATTGAGTAGGCGGCGAGGGCAAACACATCACGCACCGGCATGTTTTTGGGCCAAGACTTGTAGTCCTTTGCGAGTAAGTGGTCACCCTATATGCGCACACAATGAGCGCAGGAAGCCGGACAATGGAACTATAGACGCACCCCGCTGAGCATGTCATTCACTCCCCTGAGGTCCCCTTCTGGATGACCATAGGGTCCGCCACATACTTCTGGTTCTCGGCGGTGTCGTGCGAGAGGTCCTGGGAAGGGGAAGTGACGTTAGATATGGATATATACACGCAAGTAGGCGATAACACTCACGTCTGCAATGAGCGGGGTAGCAACGAGGGTCCAAGGGAGCACTCCGCTGGCCAGGCCTCCGACGACGCGCAGCGGCTTCGCGGTTGGAGTCGACTGTTGCACCAAAGGGCTTCCCGCGATGATCCCCGACAAGAGCGCGAGGGTCTCCTGCTTCGGCGGCGCGCCAGAACGCGTCGCGAAGGCCAACGCCAGTCCCCCGCCCTACACCGCCGCCCACACATCAGTCCCCACGACGCCCACAAAGATCGCCTCGGGCGCAGAAACACGAGCACGCACCATGGAATGCCCGTACAGGAAGAGCGGGACGTCCGGGAACGCCGCCTTCGCGCCCTTCTCGAGGAACCACTCGATGTCCGCGAGCTGGAGCGGCCAGCTCGTCTTCGCCCAGGAGCTCCCGCGGCTGCGGTGCTCCTTGTCGCACGCGGTGCGCCCGAAGCCGCGCTGGTCGTACGTGAACACGGCGACGCCGCGGGAGGCGAGCGTCGTGTGCAGCCACTCGTGACGCGCGCAGTGCTCGATGAAGCCGTGCACGAAGAGGACCGCCGCGGTGGGCGGGGCCGCGTTCGGGGCGCGTAGGTGCGGGTGTAGAACTGCGTGCCGTCGTAGCCGGCTTGCCACGCCTCGGTGTATGTGGGCGCGCCTGAGGATGAGGCGTCGGTCATGGTGAGAGTGAGAGGGGGAGAAACGCGAGGGGGTGGTAAACGAGCGTCGACCCAGGACAAGGGCTGCTTGGTGCTAGGCGCTGCCAATTACGCGCCAGGCGTGATCCGGGACAGGTGCCTCGGGGAACCAGGGGCATGCTGGGGTGGCGACCGCGCATACTATTACCATATATGCCACGCAGAATTTCACGACTGAGACTCATGCTAGCTGTACCAAGTGACATCCGCCCTCTTCGCAAGCTGAAGCCTACCGCCATCAGAAAAGTCAACACAGGCGCCCGTTACAGGCACTACGCCTACGGTATGACGTCAGTCAATTTTAATTTGCGTCCACGGAACACTATTTTCATCAGGTAGAGCGTCTTTACCGCGGAGCAGAACTCGAAGGCGAACCGAAATTACATGGTATTGGCTACGATAAGAAAAGGAGACAGCATACTTACGAATTTGAATGTTTCAAGACCCACGAGACACAATCATCCACGAAATGCTCCTTCACGCCTTCAGGTTCATACGCAAGCTCATGGAAGCCGCCCTGTGAATGTATCCGACGTCAACACTTGGAAGCAAAAGCGCATGGCATGGCATTGGCTCACTGTGTAGGATTTAAACTCTTTGTCAGGTGCATCCAGTTTCTTAAAAAATTCGTCTGATGCAGCATAGGAAGCGACCTAATCCGATGTCAGAGCTCATCCATGACGGCCAATGGACGCCGTCAACTTCATACCTTGTCCTCGGTCCCATGTATACCAATCACCTAAGAGCGAACAGATGATTGAACTTACACGGAAGAGTCGAGACACAAGTGTGAAAGCGTGCAAACACATACCGGCATTGCTTTAGGCCATTGCTTGTGATCGTACCGCAACAAATTCTCGCCCTGGTGCACAGCAATGAGCACATCAACGATCTACGAGGACGTCCGTGCACATCACTCACACCACCGAGCATATCATCAAGACACCTCAGCGAACCTTTGTGGAGGATACGCGGGTCCTTGGAGTTCGCTTCATTCTTCACGGGGTCGTGAGACAGATTCTAATCGCGTTTCGCGGAGTTAGACACGAGCCCACAGAGGTCTACGACCACTCACATTCGGATTGATGGGTGTATGCAAGACGAGATTAGGCATGACGAAACTGAGGAGCCACCCTGCCCACCGCACATGCCACGCCGTCGGCTTCGTGCGCAGAATGAACGGACTCGAGGCCACCACGCCCGCCAGCATCTCCACCGCGTCCGCGCTCGGGGGCGCACTCTTCCGCGTCACGAACGCCAATGCCAGCGCCCCTCCCTTCGGGACGCGCGTCAGCGTACACAGATACTCAAATCAAGAACCTCACGCACCATAGAATGCCCCATGAGAAACACCGGCAAGCCGGGGTACCGATCCTTGACGTGCCTCACCCACCACTCAATGTCCCCCAGCTGCTCGCGCCAGCTCGTCCGACCGTAGAGCGCGCCCGGGGTGCGCGCGCGCTCCTCCGCGTCGAGCGCCGTTCGCCCGAAGCTGCGCTGGTCGAAGGTGAAGACGGTCACGCCCCGCGCGGCGTACTCGCCGTGCATCCACTCGTACCGCGCGCAGTGGCCTGAGAAGCCGTGCACGAAGACGACGGCGGCGCGCGCGGGGCAGGGCGCGGAGGCGTACGTGCGCGTGTAGAATGAGGTGCCGTCGGGGCCCGGGAGCCAGGCTTCCGTGAACGCGTCGGGCGTGGAGGTCGAGGCGGTATCCATGGAGTGCGGAGAGATCTGAGGTAATGGAAGGGTAGAGTGCGCGGGAGACGGAGGGCAGGGAAAGCGAGAGGCGGAGGTGCGGTCGCCGTGCGTGGGGCTGGCCGCAAGCGGTGGGTATGTACATGACTTCGCGCTGCCCCAATGGATGGTCCAAGCTGGGTGGTCGCAGCTCCGCGGCCTTCGACGGGTGCCTGGCTTCGCACACGTGTGAGCGGCAGGCGTTGGTCAGAAACCTTGTTGGCGGCGCGCTCGGAATCGAAGACCACATTCGCGGGCTTCTCGTGATGCGTTCAGAGTCTTGTCCGTTTTCGCTGATGCGCGCGCTGTCCAATGGACTATGATACGAATCACAGAGCACTTGGTACTGAAAGGATGTCCATGGAAGAGACCCCAAAACCGACCGACTCAGCCTCCTTGATCGTTATGAGCAGATGTTGACGTGCGTTTAATCTGCATGCACGAATATCATCAGCAAGTGCATGGTGCCAGAGACGGCGGTACGCACATCTCAGACAGTCCCATCCAATGCACCAGCGTCGGTCCGCTTCTCAAGTCTGGAGCGTATGCTGTTGCTATCTGCGCCTTCATTCGACGTGGACATGGCTGTATGCACGGCCGCAAAGGAGAGCGTATTGAGGGGCATCGGGCCGGTCTGAGCCTCGCTCTGTGAGAGCGGACGCCTAGCCCACTGGATGGTCCCGACGCTCCCAGAGCTCGTCGACGTCGACCCATTTCTCTCGAATTCCCATCCGAGGCCCACACGCACAGCGATGAGCATGAAGGTTACTCCGAGCACCGACGGCGCGCAGCTGGTGCCGATGATTTGGAGGTTGGACTTGACGCTGTACACGACCACGAAGAAGATGCCCCATGCGCTGGAAAGTTTGTCAGAAGTGCCGAAGATAACAGTGCAGAAAGCTCACGTGTAGAGCGCAGCACTTTCTACGAATATAGCCAGCGCGCCCTGAAGGGAAGCGGTCAGACATGTTCTTACGGGCCAGCGCCGGCTGTCCAAAGCAAGTAAGTACCTGAACATTATCTCCGGCCTGCTGAAGTCCGGATCCGACGATCATCCTGTTCGTTGACCAGATGCGGTAGGCAATGACCACAGTCCCGTAAATGTTCGTTCTATCATTCACACATCAGATATGAGGAAACCGTAGTGTCAACGGCACTCACCCAAATGTCATGGTCGTGTAGGCTGTGATCCAGCGGTTGATCTTGGGGTCAAAGACGGTACCTCCCGGCTCGCTGAGCAAAAATTGATGGATGAGACCGATACCCGTTGCTGGCGGAGAAGTCATGACCTAGTTCAAGCCGTGGAGAACAACAACGCACCTACAAGTGCCACCGTGGTCAACAGAGGCAGCGCAATGATCCCCCGTTGCCGTCCCCAGACGTGCCACACCCTGTAGGCCTTGATACGAACAGCTCAATATGTGCACTTCAGTCATGCGGCACGTACTTACAATGACCAGATCCCCGATAAACATGTCGATGAAGAGAAAGACAAGTCGGATGACTTGCGTGATCTCTCCGAGGTCGCTGATGAACGCCTCCGCTTCGGAGCGCGTTTCGTGGTAGGCGATGGCGAGAATCAACCTCCGCGCAGTGACGATACAATGCTGCAAGTACTTCAGCACTGCTGGGAAATCAGGACCGGCAGATACGCACCGCAGTAATCGTTGCGAAGAGCAACCCAGTGGCGACGATGAGCGGTGAATGTCGCAGGCTCCACATCGCCGCCGCCCACCTTGACAAGCTTGACACTGAGCTCGACGTTGCCGGCTTGCTGTGTGCTTCGCGGTGTCTCCGCAGGAGGAGGGCGAGTGAGGTGGTAGAGAGCACGAAGAAGATGCCGAAGAGGATGCACTCAAGAAAACCTGCGATGAGGTCCGCCTCGACGACGCTGACCATCGCTGAATGATGTGGGGCCAGAGGTGGTCTCAAGGGGCCTTGCGTCTCAAGGTATAACTTGATATTCCGTCAATAACATAGGGCTTGACCGTGGAGCCCGAGAACGGCGATGATGAGACGACGGTGCGGGCCAGGGATCGATGTGCCTGAGGCTGTCAAGGATGTTGAATGGGGATATGTCACGCGCTCTGTGTGGTCGGATTCGGAGCGCGGGTTGTGATGTCGGGATGCCGAACCCGACAATGAGCTTCAGAAGCCATATGGTTGCGACATAGCCGCTTGAGTATTGGTCACCTGTTGGGGGTAAGTGAGATGAACGCAATTTGACTGAGACTCGTACCGTGGAGATTCTGTACTGCCATGTATCGCTCACGATTTGAAGGTGAACACTCGCGCTGATATCGGGTAAGGCAAAGAGTCTTTTGTAGAGTGCAATATTTATCATCCGACGAGTCCAACACATACACACACGGTGGGCCACAACCGCACAGCCCTTCGAAAGTAGCGATCCGCATTTCAGAACCGCTTGCTGTCGAAAGCTCCACCGAGGCCCTGCATCGTTCGGCCCATACTCCCGAACGTCCCTCCGCCGAGTCCTCCGCGCGATTGCCTGAGCGTGTGCTGTTTGTACCCGTAGAGCGCGCCGGCTACGACGCCAATGAAAAGGAAGAGCTTGACGAACGTCCAGGTCCACGACGAAGATTGGCTGATCCCGAATTTACGACCAGCGTTTCCTGTGAGTTTGTCGCGCTGAGCGTCTGGGGAGGAGAGGATGGCGGAGTAGGTGGTGATGCTGATGATGCTGGAGGGTAACATCTATGAGCGGCGCAAGCGTGAAAAGAGGGTATTGTGAGGCTACTCACTCGTGATTATCCGAGACGTCACCGGTGAGTGCGGAGAAGCCAATATAAGGGGCAAGCGGAAGAGTGACACCTTGAACAGTGAAGCAGTCGGTCCACTCGTCCCCTAGAAGCATGTGTGAATATTACGCATGAGAGGGGAGCAATTAGAAAAAATACGCACAGGCCTTATACTGAATCTTCACGTTCAAGTACTGCTCACGAAGGTAGGTGATCTTGAGCTTGGTTGCAACATTTGTACGCCTGAAGTTTGCCTATGTGCGCGTGGTTGAAGAGCAGGTATCCTGATATGGATAAGCACTCACTGAGCATGCACCAAGGGAGTTCTTCTCGCCGTCGTTATCGAGGTCGTACGATGTCTTGCCGTCTCCAAGCATGGCGTTGATGCGCGGGAAAGAATAGGGATGCCGCGAGTTGGCGTAACTATGGGAGGGCATACAGTTATACATGGCTCAATTAGACCAAGAGGACTGGAGACTCACGTGTCAAGGAAGAGACCCAGGCCTTCAAAATTGTCTGAAACGTCCGCCTATGAGTAGCTACATGCAACCGGACGCTCTTCAAGCTCACCTTTGCTACCGAACACAGGGCCCGGCTGAGCGCGATCTTTTGTCAGCCAGATAGCAAGCCCATCGCCGTACAGATGGTTGTTGTCACCCGATACCTAGTACAGAGTAAGTCGGCAATGAAAGCAGCGTGCATGGGAAGGGTAGGCTCACTTTGAATTCGATCTCGAGTACGAAGTTAGACGCAGTGAGAGGGGCACGCGACCAAAGCCAGCCCTAGCAAAGAATCATTCGATATGATGTGTTAACAACCAACCGAACGGACAACACACCATTTGAGATGCCCGGGCACGCGTGAGACGAATGTATTTGTTGGTGTTCTGCGGAGGTGTAGGTTGGCAATTCAAGATACGACGGTGTGGGAGGGACATACGACGTAGGCATCGGCACCGAAGTCCCACCAGCTGCCTCAAGTTGTGAGAGTTGGTCCAAGGAGGGGCAATAAGATAAACGGACCGATTTTGCAAGTCTTGGTCAATGTATGGGGGGTATATTGAGTGTGTCCGAAGTGAGATGGTCTGTCATCGGAGTAAGCCTCCAGTCACACACACCTCCTGCTCAACACGTGCAGGAGAAACACCAGAAAGCGACATAATCGATAAAATTACACACACGATCAATAGTCCGGTTGGCTAGCTGCGCCTTGTCGTCGAGCGCGGCCATGATGCCCAAGGGAAGGAGGAGACATGAGAGCAACGTCTTGATGAGCATGGCTGGAAGGTTGAGGCGTCGCCAGAGCACCACAGAGAGGGGACGGGGAAGGGAGTGTTAGCAGAGAGATGGGCGATAGTTAAGTTAGAAATACACAGCGAGAGCAGGTGCGACGACGACGGGGCGGGTGGTGGATGCACGTAGCCGTCCTGTGCCTGGAGCTTTCAGCTGGCAGAGTACGTACCACGTGACTGGTGATCGGGGTCTCTTATGGTGACCTCGAGGGTCCTCGACGTCCAGTCGACGTCGCACACACTCTGCTTCGACTTCCCAGTACTATTCCTCTACTCTTCGTATTTGCTCTCATATCCACACCATCGACGTACCAAGTCTAAGACCCTTGCCAATACCCTGAAGGTTGTATACAAGCATATCAAGTAGCCCTCACCTGTTCGATCAAAGTGCCGAGTATTGGCGTCTGCTAGCGGAGGATAAGATGGAGGGAGACTGAGGGCTCGGCAGCGATGTACGTATCGTATGCATATGTTGTCTTTACTATCTGTACTCATTCACTGTTCTTTTTTGATCCGCTGACCTTACAGTTCAGACACCCAACATCACTTTCCTATTCCCCCTCCTTGCCATGAGACGCCGAAGGATTCGAGAACCCGCTCTGGATCTCGCGTCGTCTGTTCTCTTTGGACAGTTGGTCCCATCTCGAGCAACCCGCATCAGATGTCCTTCAAGTGCACCTGCCTTCCTACCGTAGCGGCCGCCCTCGCCTGCGAATGCGCCCCCAGTGGACCCGAACTTGGTATTTCCGATGGCCGCGAGCAAGACGGCGGGGGTCGCGTGTCGGACGGCCAAGATATCCTCTGGCGAGTTGCAACTCTTGTCCATTCGTCACTTCGGAGTTCGGACGGCCTCGCGATGCATCGCTGACTCAGGTCGCAGAACTGCTCATCGGAGTGACGCACTCTCGCCGCTGTACGTGCTGGCTGCGCGGCGACCGCGAAAAGTCTGCGCCCATGCCGACTTCTAGCGACATCAACCCTCAGGCGACCTCGTCCTCTCAAAGCAGTGCGCACCCGGTGTTCATGTTGTGGAAGAATGAAAGGGTGATTTGTCCGTCGCAGGCGCCTCCACCAAACCAAGGGCTACTGGTGGAGTGTCTGCGGATGTAGCGAGACGATCTGGAGGGCATGCTCGCGCGTGTCGCGAGGCAGCACACGGACCATGAGGCGCCGATTGGTTCCAGGGCGTCAGCAATGTCGATGAAAGGTGCACGATGGATAGCCAATCCAAGATTTGTTCATTGGCTTTGACAAGGGCCCCTCAGTAAAGTCTATCCCCTTGAACTAGAATACACATCCAATACGTCTCGTCACTCGGTGTATGCTGTACCACGAAGTACGCACCTCTGCTTGTCAATGGAGTTATGCAGCCATTTCCCCGGTGAATGGTCTACAGGGATACATAAGGGTGTTTGATCGGGATCACCGGACAAGGTGACCGTGTGTACATATATGTGGGCGCCTGATCAGTGCCCACATGCATTGCTTCGGGCCCGACTCGTGGCGTTCTCGAGCTCATATTGTTCCCCATTTCTCACAACCGACTTCAGCTTCTTTTCTGCTTTCCTCAACTGTGATTCGCTATTTTATCCAGAACCCACAGCTGAAGCTGAGCGCATCTATCAAGATGTCACAAAAGTGCAACATTGGCCCTTCGGCGTGAGATAGTCGCGAAGTCTTCCCGGCTGTCAGCCCGTCGTCACTTGCACGTAACGCAAACAACGTTTTAACGTCCTTCCGCGGTTCACTGTCTTTGTGCTGTACCTTCTTGGTGAAGAGACGCGCTTGTACAGGGTGAGTATCGCATGCCTTGTCTCACTTCGGTATTGTTTACGTTTGCTGCTAGTAGAACCTGCAATGTGGCTTCTCAGCACCTCACGAGCCGACCTGCACTTCTTCTCGGACCCTAGCTCTGTGCCGGAAGGCTATGCCATTTTATCACATACTTGGAGTCAAGTCCCAGGACTTCCAGAGCAGTCATTCCAGGATACACAAGCCATCATCGTCAGGTGCAATGCCGAAGGCTCCAATCCCCGCGACTTCGTCTCGCCCAAAATAAGGGAGTGCTGCGTGGTTGCGGAGCGAGACGGATACCTATGGGTGTGGATCGACACTTGCTGCATCAACAAGGAGAGCAGCACGGAGCTGTCGGAGGCAATTAACTCGATGTTCAGCTGGTACGTCATGTCCGAAGTCTGCTACGCATACCTCGACGACGTCGGCTCCGACGACGACCTCTACTCCCGACACTCGCAATTCCGTCGCTCTCGGTGGCACACTCGGGGATGGACGCTGCAAGAGCTTCTCGGACCGGCATTCTTAGTGTTCATGTCGAAGATTGGAAGCCGCTGGGGACAAGACACGAACTTGCTGACCGCCTGGCAAGAATCACCGGGATTCGCGAAGCGTACCTCACTCGTGAGCGTCCCTTTTTCGACGCGTCAATTGCCGAACGGATGTCCTGGGCGGCGAAGCGCAAGGCGACGCGGGTGGAGGACGAGGCGTACTGCCTCCTTGGGTCTTCAACATCAACATGCCGACGCTCTACGGGGAAGGTCGTCAAGCGTTCTACCGCCTCCAAGTAGAGCTTTCGCGACAATCCTCCGACACCACCCTGTTTGCGTGGGGCATCTCTCATCGGTCCAACCACGACAACCTCCCAAAGGAGTCACTGAAGAAAATTTGGGCTGGGCTCCACGGTACGACTCATCACTCGCGCTTCCTGTTCGCCCCCTCCCCCTCTTCGTTCATGAAATCCGATGTCTACTGGACTCCAGGGCTCAGTACCAACGGGGTCCTGCAGCCCTATCTGGCTTCGCAGTGGACCACAAATGTACGTGTTTAGTTTCTCCACAGTTTCGAAGTTCTTCTGATGGTGATTTGTAGGACGAGTCGGTGATCGGTGCTCACAGAAAGAAGACTGGGCCTTTCGGACGGATCAAGTTGCCTACTTTCAAGCTCACAAGTCAGGGAATGAAATGTCATTTCCCAGTGGCAGAGTTCGCCGGCATTACGATCATGGTGCTTCTAGCGCAGACCGACGATCAGCACCTGGGGATCATTCTGCATCCCGCAGAGTCGGACGAGATTCAAAACCCAAGCCAGCCACTCTTCTACGTCACTTGGGCCTTCAAAAAAGACGACTCCGCTTACAACATCTTCCGCCTGGTAGAGCTTGGTGGAGACCTTTACAACCTCACGTTCCGAGGTTTTCCCATCGATGCTACCTGGCGCGACCTCTACATCCATGCTGGACCACGCATACAGGATCGTATTGACCCAGCGCACCTCATCATCCGCCTCCTTCCCGACCGCTTTCCTGCCCCTTTCCGAATACCGCGTTGGCTCGTCGGCAGCCTCGCCTCCCGCCAGTTCGTCCCAAGCACTAGTATCTCCAAGACGGACCTGGGTGCGGCGTTTGAAATGCGGCTCAAATTCTCCTACCTGTCCGAACGCATCTGGGTCAAGCTCGGCACTTGCGTCCACATACCATCCGACGTCGGTGTTGTACACTGGGCATGGGCGATCTCCGAAGACCTCCGCGCACCCGGCGCACCATGGGATCGCGCGCACGACTGTGCGACGGAGCACGTCGACGACTGGGGCGGCGCGCCGCGTGCGTTCGGGAACGAAGACGGACCGTCACGCTCTCATTCACCCGGTGCCCACATAACCCCGCTGGGACTCGAGTGCTCCACCTCGAGCTGGCGGTCGAGTGTACTCGCCGCTGCAGTCTCAAGAGCGCGCAAGGATCCCGCTGATGCGCCTCAGTGCCTCCAAACCGCGCGTGGCGCCGCTTCGCCAGTCTACGCTGCTCGAATGGTTCAAGCCTCTGCCTGAGCGACGAATATGGATGTCGCCCGTCATTCACCGCGACCTCTCTCTTACAGATGCCGCCCCGGGCCCCCTCGCCAGCGCTGTCGGCCGACTCTGAACACTCGTCTTCGACGGTGCCAACCTATGCGTCGTACGGGCATGACGAGAGGGACAGACACGGATGGGGCATCTACTGAGGTCGTCTTGCCTACGGTGAACGAGCTCCCGGCCTCCCAGCCTCCACTACAGCATCTAGCCTCCGCTGGTCCGCCCTTCACACAAACTCTTCCTTCGTCATCGATGCTCCCCCTCCCGTGACTGTCTCTACGTCGGCACCCCCCACACCAAACTCCCTACCCGTCCGCCTACGGAGATTGAAACGGACGACGACATATCCATGCTCGATACTGTTGCACACCTCTATACCCGTTCACCACCAGCGGAAGGCGACACGCAGTCGGAACAGTCCGCCCCACCGTACGAGGCTCACGTCAACCTCGTGCGTGCGCAGTGGGCGACGTACGCAGACAATGCCTCATCCAGCGAGTCCCCCCCGCCCCTCGCGCGCCACCGGCACCAACGCCAGCTGTCTACTGCTGGCCTGGTGGGCTTCCCATCACAAATCTCCGTGCCGTCTGCCGCTTCCCCGGAGCCCATCTCTCCCTCCCAGTCGCCCAGTTTTCCAGTGTCGCAGACCGAGTGGCGGCCGACGAAGGACGAATCCACGGCGATGCGTCGGCTCGCGAAGAGGTTTGGGAGTTTACTTGGATCGCGCCCGAAAAGGAGGGAGTCGAACACGAGCAGGGGAGACAGCAAGACCAACGGCACTGGCACCGGCAAGGGCAAGAGCGTCGACGGGTGAGCGGCGTCGACATCCCGTCGCCCGTCATCCGAGACATCTCCGGCCCACGCGATCTCGGACGCGACTCGACAAGCGGTGCTCACGAGTGCTCACGCCGCCGCCGGCCGGCGCGCCGGACGACGGCCCCGACGGGGGGCCGGTCGGTCGCACGAACAGGCCGGTGCACGAACGCGTCCGATGGCGTGCCATCCGTCGTGCGTGCACTTGCTGCAAACCGTTCTCTCTTCATGATACACAGACACGCTCTGGATGGACGACGTGGACGCGAATTCCGAGGCCACCGTACCGCACCGCACACGGACGCAAGGCTGTCCGGACTCACAAATATGCTGTCCATCGCCACATGATGCAGCGAGCACCCCCGGCCGTGCCGTTCTAGCCTCGGGCGTTTCACTCCCCCCATCCGCGCCTTGTCGCTGTCGGCGCGACGGAAGGGACGCTCGGAGCGGCGTCTTGTTTTCTCCGGCTTACGGATCGCTCGTCCAAGACGGGATAGCGGGCGGGAGATAGAAGACGAAGACGTAGGTCGGAACACTGGAGAAGCAGGCGTCGGAGGTGTCGAGGATATGTACGCGCGCGGGCTTTGCGCGAGCGACGGGCCGATGTGCGCAACGGCCCTTGGGATGCACGTTCGCCCGTGCGGTCTTTGGTACTTGGAACTCTCGGTGATCTGCCGGTACCGACTGACGTTGGGTTATGCATGTATCTTATTCTATTCCGGGCTTCGGGAAAGACATGTGGCATATGTCCACCGAACACACAGCCCGTTCTTGCTGTCCGCGCGCGACATCCGCGGGAGGCAAGTCGCCATTTCTGAATCCCCTAGAACGCAATAAACGCACTGCCTTCAGAATTTACTTCGGTTGCGATGGATGTGCGGTCATGGAGCTGACGGATGCTCGCATGAACGGTGTCGGCATCCACCGAACCTGCCAGGCCCGAGGACGCTCAATATCGGCTGCCCTGACTCTCGATCAACCCTGGTCCGCAGGCGGTTGCTCGCGGCTGCTCGCGGTCGTGGAGGAGGCTCTCACGGATGCAAGGATGGCTCGAAATCCGCGTGCTCAGCACTCAGTGCCCCGCGGCCCTCGATGCCGGGGAAAGAGGACGGACAGGGTCACGGTACACGGCGGAGACGTCTTGTCCGTTCGGGTTTGCGTCATGCGCCCGGCCGCTGAATGGACGCCGATGGGGATGATCCGAGGAGCCGTCGTTTCGGAATCACAAGCGTCGCGCGCAGGGACGACCGCGTCCGTCGCGCTGCAACCCCCGCCGTGTCTGTCTCGCTCCTGCCTTATTCCTCGTCCTTGGGCCCTCCGCCTTGTCGCTCTTCGCGCTAGTGTGCTTCCCTTGCTTAGTCCTCCCTAGTCTTGTCGCCTGCCTATAAGACCGTCTTCTAGCCTGCGTGACATCGCCCTCAGCACCATCATCCCCGGGCCTTGCGGGACACCCATCGGACAATAGTGCACAAACAGACAAGCTCCCGTGGCCACTAGTCGCACCTCGCGCCTTATAACTCCCCCATCCAGTCCTCATCTCCCCGACTCTCCTCGCCCTCTCTCCCCGTCTTCTCTTTCCACCTCTCAGCCCAGCCCCCCCCTCCTGCAGCACCCCGCAAAGCACCATGCGCGCATTCGACAACCTCTACGAAGAGCCCGCGTTCGAGGGCGAGACCACGGGCAAGGAGCAGTCTATCGCTGCTGCCGTCGTCGGTGCCGCCGCGGTCGCGGTCGCGTCCACCGTCGCTGCGTTCCAGTACGGTGCTTCGCCCGCCTGGCTTTCTGCTGCGTACGTCCGTACATCCCCCTCCCCGTCCCTGGCTGCTGACTGACGGGCTCTCCCGCCCCCCCTCGCCTCCATTCGCGCGCATACACTTGCACCACCCGCTGCTTCCCCGTCCACAGGCTTGCAGGCAGCCATTGATTGGGCCCGTATGCCGCGCACTCGGCGTCCCCGCGGACTGACCGCCGTCCGTATGCAACACCCTGTCCCGACACCCCTCTCCACCTTCTCTATCCTGATTTTGGGAAACAAGACCTGCGCGATGCCAAGGTCCCGCCGCGCCTGCCCAAGGTTCGTACCGTGCTCCACCGCACGGCCCGTGTGACCGCCTCGAGCCGCACTAACCTGCGCCACCCGTCCATAGACCCCTGCCCATCCTCCCCCGCATCATCATTTCCTACCTCAACCGCCCTCCGACCGCTTTTGGATTTCACTCGCGCGCCTGCGCTGTACGCCCACACCGTCTCGTCTCTCCGCTCGTCAACCGTCATGCAACTAGTCTACCGCTTGATTTCTCCTGGAATGTGAAAATCGCGAGTCACCGGATCTCCTAGCATACAAACCAAGCTCTCCCCCATACATCGGATCTCGTCATCTCTTCCACCCACTGTACAGTCGCCGCCATGCCATCGTCCTGCTCTGTGATCGCCATCCAATCTATCTATCGCTCCCCATCGCTGTATCATCACCACGTCTCTCCCGGTTTGGCTTAACTAGGCCAGGCATCGATCCCCTCGGTCGCTCCTACTAGCTACGCACATACTCGTTATCGCCGGTCTCCCATCGCTTCTCCTTCGAGTCTTGTCTCTGCGTTTGCACCCCGTCCACCTTAGCTGCGCACCCGCGTTCCCCCCACTCACTTCCTCTTCACTCGTCACTTTTCGCTCCCGCTGTAAGTACATGGTGAGCGGCGTGGGCCCGGCCGTGCTTGTAGGATATATCAATAGGAGCTGTACGATTACGACGACGAGCCGTTCCGTTCGGCTTGACCACACGATCTTGCCATGATGTTGTGCTGGCTGTGTTCTCTCATCATCAAGACCGCCCATCTAGCCTCGCTAGACCAGCACGGGTTGTGCTAACGGTACATGGTACAGAACGCGAGCGAACGAGCTTTCGCCTACAGGCCCTAGAGGTTCCGCACCATGCATATGCATACCAGAGTATCAACCTGCGTCCAAGCATGCACATTCTCCGAACTCGCCGCCGTGTCTGCCCTCCCAGGTCTCAGATCTCCGCTTCGCCTTCCGTCACTCATGCTCGCGTCCACCCTTGGTCCGCCTTCCCTGCGGCTTCCACTGACAGCGTCCCCTGCAACGACGCGTTTGGCTCGGGAAGCGGGAGGGCGGCCGCCCCCAGCGCTAGAAGTCTTCTAGGCGGTAGATCTCGTACGCAACCTCCTCGTACGGGTGCACCTGCGGGCGCGAGACGGTCACCAACGCTGAGGCCAGAGGACGATGACAAGCCCACAGAGGTCGGACGGTCACCCCGACGGCGAGCGACACGGCCCGTCGGCGATTGATGTCAGAGCCTAAGTAATGAGCGCTTCCTCCGTCCGCTCACGGTGCAGGGTCGCGCAGGGTCGCGCGGCCCCGTCCGCCGAGCACTCGGTGAGACCGAGAGAGAACCAAGACACGTGCGCACCTTCTTGAGCTCCCGCACGACCGCGCGGACGTCCGCGCTAGTGCTGTGTCACATACAGAAGTGTTACATACATCCTCTATATAACACGTTATATGATGTAAGTAACTAAATAACATGAGAGGGTCCAGGACCCATGTCAGATAGTGTTATTTTCGGGAAAATACCTTCATTCATGTCCTTTGTATGCTTATGCTCCTTGGCGTGTTTCCCAGTCAGAAGGCAACGAACTGGATACGCAGTCCGCAGGTCCGCGCACCTAGGGACACGCGCTTATCAGAGGCGCCGATCCTCTTCGCTCTTGATTGGCACTTAGAGATCGTAGGCTTGTTCCTAAGCTCCAGAAACTTCATAGGCGTGTAGAAGATGTAATGGGTACACATAGACACCCATGATCTGCACCGTGTAGGTCAAAGTAAATGATGCTATGGCCGCTGGTATCAGGATTCAGGTAGGCTGAGCCTCATGCCAGTTCTCGTGCCGTTCCCACCGTGTGCGTGCTGTCGGAGGGGGTATAGCTGCGCAAAACTGCCCTCTCTTCATCTGCAACCCCCATCTCCCTCGATATCATCCCCCAAAGCTGCGTTGTGAGTCGATACAGCAACCCAGACCTGTACAATTTCGACGGGACGTCCCAGGTTGACACGACCATTGCGAACGATCCGTAGCACTGAGGTCCCGTTCGCCACCCGCACTTCAATCTGTTGGGCCGTCGTCGACTATGTCAAGCTCGACAGCACTACCCTTTCCAAGCTCCCCATAGATAGGTAAGTCATCTTTGGGTTCTGCGGACCACTGCTGGATAACATGTCGGACGTTGAGGACAAACCTTGTGGTGTTGACGACCTCTAGTTGCACAGATAACACACCCGCACCTTCCTAACACGCTCTTTTGCATTGATAACATGTTTATAGCACGTCATGTGACATATGTTATATACATGTTAATACACTTGGTTGTTACATGACATCGGGGCCCTCCTTCGAAAATAACATGACAAACCTATATGACAATCTAACACAGCGCTAGTCCGCGCCTTCGGCCCCCTGCGCGTCTGCCGCTTCTTTCGCCGAGTCAGAGGTGTGCTCTGCGCTCGCGCTCGAGGCCGGTCGCGCGGCACCGAGGACGAGGACCTCGACGCGGTGCTCGTCCACGAACTCGGGCGCGCCGACGGCGCCGATCGCGGGTGAGGCGCCTTCGGTGGGGAGGAACTGGCCTGTGCAGGGATCGGGTCAACCGTCAGGCCTTCAGGGGGGGCCGCGCGAACGCGCACGCCGCGGACGAGGTTGCGTAAGTACGCCGCGCGCGGAGAGAGAGAGGGAGCGGGAGTGAGAGCACGCACCGGTGCCGGGGGAGACGAACGCGCAGCGGGCGTACGCGCCGACGCCGCCGACGTGGAGCGGGAAGCGGTCGAAGAGGTGGGCGAGGATCGGCTGGGTGTCCGCGCGGGGGGCGAAGAAGACGAGCTTGTACTTTGGCATCGTGCGTGGATGGGCAGCGGTGCGACTCGAGGCGACGACCAGATCCACTCAAATGGCAGCGACAGCACCTGTGTCTCCACTGGATTGAGATTACGATAAAGAGGCTGCTGCCATCGCTGCTATAGTGTAGTGGTTATCACTCGGGATTTTGAAACAGTCTTCCCGAAACCCAGGTTCGAACCCTGGTAGCAGCTTGAATAGAGCAGTGTTCCACTTTTTCTGCCTCAAGTTTATGGCAAGCATGTGACCGTTCACACACTGTCAAGCGCGCGAGAGGCACGAAGGAAAGGGACGACGACGTCGTTCTCGACGCTTGTCGTCCACGGTCCACCTCTCTCATATAGAACGCTCGGGACGACGTCACAGCCCAATACCCCGCCTTAAAAGCTTTGACATCCCACCTCGCTCACATTCGCATCGCCCCTTCTTCATCGACATTCCCCTCCACATGTCCGGGTAGTAGCATTTCGGTCGCCGTGCCATAGAGTCTCACAAAAGGTGAGTTTTTCCCTCTTCTCTGCAGTACGTGTCTCCGCCGCGGTCGAGGATGTCCTAGTAAAAGGGTCGACCCGCCACCCATCCGTACCCCTCCCGCCTCCCTTCTGCGTCCTCGCGTCCTCTCTTCCCGTCCCGCTCCCCACGCGCCCTCCTCTCTCCGGAGGCCCTTGCGCCCCCGAGCCCCCAAAGCGTTCGAACCCCGGCGCGCCGCCCCAGCCCCCCGCGACGCGCCTTAAGGCCGGACCCACATCATCCCTGCCCGCCGCCCCCCGTCCCCCTGGGGTGGGGGCACGGGCACCTGCGAGCTGCCGCAGGCGGCTCGAACGTTGGTCCGCGCGCCGCGAGGCCCTCGGCGCGCGGACAAAGGCCGAGTCGACAGGTGTGTAACGTCGGAAGCCGAGCCCGTGCGGCGCGCGTTCCACGCCGTCGCGGGTGGTCCCAGACGTGGTGTCTTGTTTCCTCTTGTTCTCGTTCTCTTCTGTTGTTCTTCCTCTCGACGTGATAGGACCCGGCGTTGCGCAGGCAGGCCGGGGCGCGCGGCTTTAAAGCGTCCGGGCTCGAGCACGACGCCTGAGGCGTGTGGTGTCGCGCGTAGAAGTGGATGGCGCGGGGTGCGCGGCCGTCTGGTTGGATGGATGGGCGGGGAGTCGGTGGTGGGTTGATTGGATTCGTTCGGGCGTAGAATTGGGAGGTGGGGTGTGGGTGCGCGTTTGTGGTGGTGGGAGAGAGATCATATGCACCGGGCCTTGTGCCTACACTGAGACCTGCAGTGGAGACACGTCTTTTGTGTTTTGTGTTGGTGTATGCGCACTGAGGATATTCGCTGATCGCCCGATTGTCCTTTTCAGGTCAGTGCAAGCACTTGTTGTATTCTCTCTAGTGGTTCCCAGCTAGATGGTCTGTGCTATATGGGTGGAGAGATGTTAACGAGAGCATCAGAGATGGATGGGTTTCGTACGTGTTTTCATCTGGAGGCCCATCCTTTATAAGCGTCTCCGTCCTTCATGCCAGACCCGCCCGAAACTCGTCGTTTCCACACACACCATAGTCACGGTACTTGCCAACTAACATACTGTGTCGCAGTTACCCACCATGTCAATAATACAATATGGATTCAGCCTTGTAGTCTGGAGGCTACTCCCCTCCATTACCACCTACACTCTCCGCACCATCCACCTCACCTTCCCGACACTCCTCGGTCGCACATCGCCTCCTGAGGGCTCACCAGAATGGGAGCGGCACTACAGTTGGCTTTTCAACACTCTCGGTGGCGCGTACTTCCTCTTCACACTCAGCGACGCGCTGGATGTCGGCACAAACTACTACCAAGTGCTGAAGATCGCGCCCGACGCAGACGAGCAGGCTCTCAAGCTTGCCTTTCGCCAGTTTGCACGCCGGTTCCACCCCGACCGTGTTGGCCCGCAGGGCGAGTCATTCTTTATTGAGATCCGGGATGCGTACGAGGCATTCAAGTCGCCCTTGAAGCGCTTCGCATACGATAGGTGCGTGCGCGGTCAGGGTGAAGGAGAGCGTAGACTGACGAGGATGGTCGAGGTAGATTCGGACCCGATGCGTTGCACTGGTCGCACTGCACGACGCCGTCGCAGTTCATCCACTATGGAATCATGTCAAGCCTCGGTTTCTACGTCGTTTCCTCAATCGTTCTTGTCGCCTGCACCTTCCTCGGCCATACCCATCCAGTGACCTACGTACGTGTCCGGCTATCCATTCAATGCCTCAAATATGCTAAGCTCACTTTCCGGTACAGTGGCGATACCTTCATCTCGTCTTCACCGCCATCTATGAGCTCGTGCTCGTGCTCAGCCCCGTCTCCGCCCCCATGGCTCCCGGAACGCGCCCACAACTGGCCGCCACGCTCTTCGCCGCCCCAGGCGCCCGATCGCACACGTCCGCGCTCGCGCTCGCGTGGCCCCACCGCGCGGCGTTCCAGCACGTACGGCTGCTGCACAAACTCTTCATATCGGTCCAGCTCGCGCTCGGGTCTTTCGCGCACGCGGTTCTCCCCGCGGCGCCGCCACTCGACGGTGCGCAGTCCGCGATGATCGCACGGGCGAGGGAGCTCGGGGAGGCGGCCGAGGCCGTGAAGAGGGAAAGTGAGTGCAGTTTCCCCCTTCGCCCGTATCGTCTCTCACCCCACGTCCGACCCACCCGCAGCGGACGCGCACGTCAACACGCTCCTGCACACGATGCGCGGCGCGCGCTCGGACGCGACGTTCCCGTTCACCGGCGCCGCGCCGGACGCGCCGCCCGCGGACGACGCCGTCGCGGCGCTCGCGGCGGAGCTCGAGGACGTCGTGCTCGACGCGCGGCTCCGCGCGGAGAGCGTGCGGCTCGGGAGCGTCGTGGAGCAGAGCGTCGCGCGCGCGCGCCGGCGGCACGCGCGCCAGGCGAAGGAGCGCGCGCTCGCGGAGGAGGTGGCGCGCGTCGCCGCGGCGGAGCGCGAGCGGGCCGCGGCGGAGAGAGACTACTGGACCGCCGGCGGGGCGTATCAGCACGGGAATGGGAGCGCGAGGGGGAGCCCGGTGGGGAGCCCGCGCCGCGTGCTGTCGAGCCCTCAAGCGAACGGCGTCGCGAACGGGAGCGCGGCGGGGTCGATGTTCGCGAGCGCAATGACGAACGGGAGCTTGAATCTGAGCCTGAACGGGTCTGCGCTCTCGAGCTCGGCGGCGGGCGGGGGCGGGGGCGCGCTCGTTGGGCCGGGGGGCGTTCCGGTCGGCGGGCAGAACGCGGGGTGGCTTCGGAAGCGGTTCGAGAAGACGAGCAGTCAGGGCGTCGTTGGGTACATTCGCGGGCGGTCGCGGTCGCTTGGGTGACCGAGAGGTTGAGGTATTTTTCGTGGCTACGCGTGTCCTAGTAATGTGATATCGGACGTGGAGCCAAGTCGACAGTCTGCATGGTTGTTATTCCTTTACAGGGATTTCGTTAACAGTACACCAGTACACGCTTCGGCTCCTTTGGTATTGTTGTACTGTGATCGAGCAGAGGTGTGCTCTCAACCCTCTGTATTTCGCAGAACTTCAGTGTGGTCATTCTTCGTCTCCTCACAATCGCGGTCGGTCTGTACGCTTGGCACTACGTGCAGCAACATTCCGGAGTACACGGCGGCAAGCAGCGAAACTTATTCACATCTTCGTTCCAAGGCCACGCATGTCGACAGCTCCAAGTATTAGCAGAGTATACAACCATGAGGGCTCTCTCGAGCCTCTCGTAAATCACCTCTGCTGAGTATTGCAATCCCTTCGATACCAAAACATTCTACAGTACACGGTTTTGCCTCTCTATGCCGCGGTCGGTCCCTACTGTACATGAACATCCGAATATTACTACACACCCCCGAGCCGACGGTAAGTTTGAGTTTGCAAGACGATCCTTCGGTACGCGTAACTATGGTGGGACACTATCGGGAGCCACGAGCCGGAGTGCCTCGAGCAAAGGAAGAAGATGGCTGAGACGGAGTTTGAGGGCATCGAGGTCGCTGGCGCTGAGGCTCCCGAGGTCTAGGGTACGGGGATCGATGATGGGGCTTGCAATGGCGTCGCGCAACCGCGCTGCCGGGGTCGAATCGGCGTTTGTAGTCGCTACTACGCCACGAGGGAGGGCGGCGTTGGTGGAGAGGGAAGAGGACGTGGTAGGGGTGGGCAAAGGAGTATGAGAGACCGGGAGTCCTTCAGGTGTGAGCTGCACGTCGAGAGCTTCACCAGTACCAGGACGCGCGGACTCCAAGGCGGCGGCGGCGGCGAGCGATCGTGAGGGGTCTTCGCGGCCGATCCAGACGTTAGCCTCGCGCTGCAGCTCCTCGTACACCGTCCCGTGTAGCTCGACGTGGAGGACGCGCGTCTTCTTGTTGTGGCGGTCCGTCGTGAACGAGATGCGCACCGTCCGCTCCTCGTCTCCGAACGAGCGTTGCTCTCCCTTCCAGTCGTCGACGTGGTCCGTCGCGCAGTCGTGCGGCCGGTCCCAGCTGTCGTACCACGTCTTGCGGCTGGCGGTCATCGCCCACGCCCAGTGCATCGGGGCCTCGTCCGTGGACGCGCGCTTGCAGATGCCGGTCTTGATGCGTATCCGCACGGGGATGGACGCTTCTTGGCACAGAAGCACGCGCTCGTGCGCCGCGTTGTCGTCGGTCTCGAACACGGAGCTGAAGACGAGAAGCTGGAGCGCAGAAAGCTCGCCGATGAGGCAGCGGGGCACGCGGAACAGCGCGATCGTTTGGTCGTGGCGCATGCGGATGATCATGTGCGGGGTGTCCGTGCGGTCCTGGGTGCGCGGCGCGGCGCGGATGCAGATGTCGCGCCAGACGGGCTTGAGCGACTGTCCACGAAACGTGAGGCTGTCGAGGTCGTCGCCGAGGTCCGCGAGGCGGAGGACACGGTGGGAGTCCGTGGTCTTGAACCGCCAGGAGACGTAGTACACTGGGAGGTTCGGGTCTTGGAACTCGGAGGGCTGTGCTGGACATAGGAGCAAACCGACGTGTTTGTACGGGTACTTGAACGCTAAGAGCACCATAATCGTGGGTCCGTCGGCCTCGGCGATAGGAAAGTGGCATTTCATGCCGTGGGGCGTCAGTGTAAACGAAGGGGGCGTGACTGCACCGAACGATGTCACCCGGTTCCTCACGTCGAGGGCCTTCTCATGCTGTCAGACTGTCATGAAGCAGATAGATTATACAGACATCAGAAAGTGACTTACTTTTTCCTTCAGGGTAACTGCCGCGGCATAGAAGTAGGGGATGTGGAAGTACGCGGGAGAGGGCGCAAACAGATATTCATGGAAATCGTGGAAGTTGTCGACGTTCCCCTGCGATGGCGCCTGCGCAAGAGTTTCATCCGACGGCAAGTGCACGTTTCCCCATGCAAAGAGCGTAGTGTCATATGAGAGCCGAACGATCTCGGCTTGGAGCCGGATGAAAGCTTGGCGGCCTTCACCGTACAGTGTTGGCATGTTGATGTCAAAGAGCCCAAGGAGGCAGTAAGCCTCGTCCTCGACGCGCGACGTCTTCCGCCTCGACGCCCACCGCATCTTCACGGCTATTGACGCGGTGAGGAAGTCCCAATCCCTGGTGAGGTACTTGCTGTAGATGCGCGTGATCCCCTCGAGGGTCTCCGCGAGGTCGTGCTTGCTTCCGATCGTCTCCCAGTCCTTTGATAGGAAGTAGACGAGCGCGGGAGCGAGAAGTTCTTGTAGTGTCCATCCCCGGGTGTGCCATCGCGAGTGCCGGAATTGAGAGTTTGTCGCCTTAGGGTCGTCGTCGGAGCTGACATCGTCGAGGAAGGCGTAGCAGACCTCGCAGAGGACATACCAGGTGAACATCGAGTTGATCGCCTCCGACAGCTCCGTGCTACTTTCCTTGTTAATGCAGCATGTGTCTATCCAGACCCAGTGGTAGCCGTCGCGCTCCGCGGTGATACAGCACATCCGGATCTTCTCGCAGACGACATCGCGGGGGTTTGTGCCGTTCGCCCTGCATTCGGTTGCGATGCGTTGTGCGTCTTGGAACGACTGTTCTGGGTTATTGGGATCTTGGCTCCAGGTGTGAGAGAGGGTCGCGTAACCTTTGGGAACGGCGGCCGGGTCGGAGAAGAAGTGTAGCTCGGCGCGTGCCGTGCTGAGGAGCCACATGGATAAGGCTGGATGCAGGTTGAGCGCTTGAATGATGTACTAGGGGTGAAGGACGTACCACTGGGGATGCAAGACGCTGATCGACGTTGTTGAGAGAAGGTACGAAGGAGGTGCTGGCAACGAGGTGAGAGACGCGAGCTGTGGAGGCACGTTGAGATCGAACAGATCCGTGGATGACGGGCGACAATTGTGCATACCGAGTTCAGGTAGGAGCGAAGGATGAGGGGTACTGCCAGGGATCTGGAGGGAAATAGGATGAAAAGGGCGTCGTGAGGGTGGTGGTCAGTTGCGACGAAAGCGCTCGGTACCTGTGCAACAGCAGCTGCTAGGCGGATGTCCATGTCAGCATCCGGAGCACGCGGAGTCAAAAACGAACTTCTTTGAAAAGCAAGCGCGGAAATGAGCGGTAAGTACTCGATGATTTAGTAAAGCACTCACAGGGAGCCCTGCATAGCAGACATGGTCGCGCCTAGCAAGGAACAGACCCAGCCTGAGCGGCGACGACCTAGACGAGACCGACTGTCCCAGCATCTAGTCAACGTGGGCTGACACGCACAGCGGGGCAGGACAGAACTGGTAGAATGCCCGGAACCTTAAGCCCGAGACTCAATTCAGTCCCAAGTGTGTCACGGTTGCATGTCACGGAAAGTATCGAGGAAATGATCAAAGACGGCGAGAAGCAAGTCGGCTGGCGGCTGGACAGGGGTGCAGACAGCGTTCCTGGTGTGGGGGTTTGGAGAACGGTGCATGTGGTGGAAAGCGAGATCAAAGTCGAGGTCCGACGAAGTCGCAATTGGCCAGTCGGAGGCACCGGTCCGAGGGAACACCGCGTGTCTCCCGGCGAGTCCCGAGTCCAGCTCAGCTCCCCTCCGTCGTCGTAGGTGCTCGCAGCCTTTGGTTTGCGCACTATCTTGCTCGGGTGGCCATAAAACAGATTGTTACAGTGCCATCTTGACTCATAACTGCGGATAATTTCTGCGATGCGTATGATGTACATCCACGAATAACTAGTACCGCAATGTATGTAGCACGCGTTCTCATCTGAACGATTTCTTTGCTGGCATCTCCCCATGAACGACACCCTGTCGATCGAGGGCGATACACGCAGACCGTGCAGACCAAATTCAGGGACGCAGGCTGCAGCGTGCGGGAGTTGTGCGACCCAGCCATCGGAGGCGCTATGTGCACGCCAAGTGTCAGGACTCGGTCCTGGGTTAGGGTCACTACTATAGGCACGAGTCTCCGGCATACGCTACGCTAGTCTTACTACCGCCATCGTCGCTACCCCTCGTGTTGTATCCCCGCTATACACGTGGATCTAACGCACCTGCGACGGCCTCAAGACTCACCCGAGGAACACCACCCCCGGATCCTTACACCAAGCGACCAAGCGGTGCCACCCTCAACCCTCTGTACGTAACAAATGATTACGCAAGGGAGAACGATGAATGCGTCTGCGCTAAATCTCGAGCCTGTGGTACGCGGGGCCAGCTGCGTAAATTTACCTCTGCTGGGTTCCAAGCATTGCAATCCTTCGATCCTTGCTTATCAGCGTACAATATTGCCCACTATGCCGCGTCGTTCCCTACTGTACATGAACACCCGAGTGTTGTGGTCAAAACTACACACCCCGAGATGACTTTGCACGACTAAGGCCTCCGATACGGGTTACTACGGTGGGACATCCCGACTATTGGGAGTCACCAGCCGGAGTGCCTCGAGCAAAGGAAGAAGGCTGCTGAGGCGGAGTTTGAGGGCATCGATGTCGCTGGCGCTGAGGCTCCCGAGATCTATGGTACGCGGGTCGATGATGGGGCTGGCAATGGCGTCGCGTAACCGTGCTGCGGGGGTCGAACCGGCGTTTGCAGTCGCTGCCACGTCACGAGGGAGGGTGGCGTTGGTGGAGAGGGACGAGGGCGTGGTGAGGATGGGCGAAGGAGTGTGGGAGACCCCGCACGCTCTATGGCATGCGAGCTGCACATCGAGAGCATCACCAGCACCAGCAAGCGTGGACTCTAAGGCCGCGGCGACGAGCGATCGTGAGGGGCCTTTCCGGCCGATCCAGACGTTAGCCTTGCGCTGCAGCTCGTCGAACGCTGCCCCGTGGAGCTCGATGTGGAGGACCCGGGTGTGCGCGTCGTAAGCGTCCCTCTTGAACGAGAGCAGGACCGTCCGTTCCGCGGCTCCAAACGAGCGAGGCCCTTCCTGCCAGTCGTCGATGTGTTCCGTTGCACAGTCGTGGGGCCGGTCCCAGGGGTCATCCCACGTCTTGGCCTCCGCTGCCACAGCCCACGCCCAGTGCACAGGCTGCTCGTCCGTGGCCCGCTTGCAGAGGCCCACTTTCACATCAATTCTATGGGCGGACTTCGGGTTTGAAAAGCTGAATTCCTGCCCGAATGACGTATCCTCGTCATTTGTCGATTTGAAGCTTTGGACACGGAACTGAAGCGAGGTAAGCGCGACCACGATCCAGCGCGGGACCCGGAATGGCGCCGAGGGATTGTCGTGAACCAGATGGAGGATATTGTGGGGGGCGTCATGAATGCCCCCCTCTCGGGCCAGGCCCGGATGTAGACGTCGCGCCAGACGGGCTTGATGACCGAGCCACAGAATTTGAGATTGTACAAGTCCCCACCGAGTTGGGCAATGCGGATTAGCGTACATTTTGCCGGGACCCGAACGCCCAGGATACGTAGAACACCGGTGTTCCCGAAGGACAGTGTTTTTCTTTTTCTGGACAAAGAATCATGCCGAGGTGTTGATTCAATGTCTCGACCAGAAGCACCATGATGGTTATCTCATCTACCTCGGCGATGGGAAAGCGACATTTCATGCCTCGACTAGTTAGCTCGAACGAGGGGGTTTCGAGGCTTCCGAAGGGCCCGGTTGGCTTTTTTGACATGTCCATCTTTCTCTCGTGCTGTCGAACTGTCATGAGTAAACTGTTTGCTGCATAGTAGACACAGGACACTCGGCTCACGGTTTTCGTCCACTGCCACGAGTTATACGGCTGGAGGACGTTTGTTGCCGGGAGCTTCGGGGTGTAATAGCAACTCGACACCGTGAAATCTCCAGGAGAGGACGCCAAGAGATACGTGTGGGGTGAAGTCCCGTAGGCGGACCTCCTCCTCTTCAGCGTCGTCAACGGGGGCGTATCGGAATTGGATTTGTACATGCCTCCCCATACAAAGAGTGTCGTGTCCAATGAAACCCGACTGAGCTCGACCTGGAGGCGGAAAAACGCTTGACGGCCCTCGCCGTATAACGTCGGCAAGTTGACGTTGAAAAGGCCAAAAAGGGAATACGCTTCGTCCTCGACCCGTGTCGTCTTCCGCTTCGCCGCCCAGGACATCTTCACCGCGATGGATGCATCGAAGAACGGTAAATCGCGGGTGAGATAGTGTTCGTCGATGCCCGTGATGTTCTCGAGGGTCTGCGCAAGCTGGTGCTTGTTCCCAATCGTCTTCCAATCCTTGGACACGAACAAGACGAACGCGGGTGCGAGGAGCTCTTGCAGCGTCCATCCCCGCGTGTGCCATCGCGCGAGCCGGAACTCCGAGTTCGTCGCCCGAGGGTCGTCGTCGGAGCTGACGTCGTCCAGGTACGCGTAACAGACCTCGCAGAGGACGTACCAGTTGAACATCGAGTTGATCGCCTCCGAGAGCTCCGTGCTGCTCGTCTTGTCGATGCAGCACGTGTCGATCCAGACCCACTTGTAGCCGTCGCGTTCGGCGGTGATGCAGCACATCCGAATCTTGTCGCAGACGACGTCGCGAGGGTTCGCGCCGGTATCCTTGCATCGTGTGATGATGGCCTGGAGATCCTGGAACGACTGCTCAGGGTAGGCGGGATCCTGGCTCCAGGTGTGGGGAGGGCCGCGTATCCTCCATAGACGGCACCTGGTTCGGAGAAGAAACGGAGCTCTGCACGTGCTGTGTCGAGGAGCCACATGAATAAGGCTGGATGGAAGTTGAGTGCGTGAATGAAGTACTAATGGGCGAAGGACGTACCACTGGGGACGCAGGACGCAGGTCGACGTTGTTAAGAAAAGGTAGGAAGCAGCGTAGTGAGAGACGCGAACTGTGCAGGCACGTTGAGATCGAACGGATCCATGACGGGCGACAATTGTGCATACCGAGGTAAGGTAGGAGTGGGGGATGAGGAGTCTTCCAGGGATCTGGAGGGAAATAGGATGAAAAAAGCGTCGTGAGGGTGGTGGTCAGTTGCGACGAAGGCGCTCGGTACCTGTGCAACAGCAGCTGCTAGGCGGATGTCCATGTCAGCATCCGGAGCACGCGGAGTCAAAAACGAATTTCTGGAAAGCAAGCGCGAAAATGAGCGGTAAGTTCTCGATGATTTAGTAAAGCACTCACAGAGAGCCCTGCATAGTAGACATGGTCGCGCCTAGCAATGAATAGACTCAGAGCGGCGACGATCTATACAAGATATCAATCCGCAGGCGATACTTCCATGGATCAAAATACGACTGCACACCCCACTGTCCCAGCATCTGGTCAACGTGGAGACACGTACAGCGGGGCATGACAGAACTTACAATAGAGTTTGAGCTGTACCGAATGGTGGAATACCCAGGGAAGCAAGCGAGATTAAAGTCGAGGTTGGAGCACACTAGACGAGCATCACGCAGAGGAGGAAACGATAAGTTGATTCGAGATGCCACGATAGACAGTGGACTTTACGAGGCAACAACGACATGTCTCCCGCCTGCCAGAGCCACTTTCCCATCGGCACCTACGTGCACAGGCGATCCGTCCACAGTCACTGCCCCACGCGCTCCCCTGCGGAGCACCTGCGTCGGGACGACGACCGCCCCGGACGTGCCATGCGGTACGTCTATCTCCAGAGTAAACTTGCCTTTCTTGCTCGCGGACCACTTCGCGCCAAACCAGCCGAGTGGCGTCGTGAAGCCGCCCTCCGCTGCGGAGAGGCCGGAAAGGTGTGGCGCGAGCCGCCACGTCGCGCCTTGCGGAGAGGTGACGGTAAGGCCGAGGACGTAGTACGTCAGCGCAGACGTCGGGCCAGAAGACCAGCCGTGCGCGTGAGACGTATAGGCGGGGTCGTAGTTGTAACCACGGTAGCTTCGGTACCTGGTATCGGAGAGCATGAGGGAAACAATCTTAACGAAAGACAGGACACGTACGAGAGCGAGCCGTTGGCGGTGAAACCTTCAAGGAGGGTCGACTGGACGCTGAGGTTGGTGTAGAGCATGTAACCCCATTCACGTCGAAGAAGATCCATTGCACGTTCGTCGTTGCCTGAGGCGAAATGCGCCTGGAGCTAGCGGCGGCGCGGTGAGCATGGGGCTCATCAAAGAAAACGGAAAGGGATCCGTACCTCAAGTCCGCTAATGAAAGGAGAGATAGTGTCCGGGAGCTCGGGTGCGACCGGCCCCAGGTCGTTCCAGTTCTTTGTCAGACCTTGACTGACAGATTGCGCTTGCGCCGTCGTCATCGTGAGGTTGTATAGGACAGCCATCGAGTTCGCGTCTTGAGGACACAAAATTGTTGTATCGTTGTCTCTGTACATTCCTTCACTAGGAAGCCAGAAGACGTCGTTGAAGCGCCGCTTCAGCGCTGTTGCGTTCGTTGACCAGGCTTCGGAGAGCGTAGCATCTTCCACGTGCGCCGCAAGATCTGAAGCGGTGACGAGGACCTGCAACCGTGTCAGGACTCAGAACGAAGTGTATATGCTGTGTGGGCGGGGACTTACTTGGTATAAGAGAGCATTCCCCTCCGCGTTGATCCCTCCGCCACCGAGCCGTGCCCAGTCACGGAGACCAGTGACATTCATCAGTCCATCCGGACCGACCTTGCCCTCGAGGAACCCGACAGCCTTGGTGTAATTGGCCCAAACCGTTTGGAGCCATTCGATGTCGCCGGAGTAGAGATAGTAGTTATGTGTTCCAATCAGAGTCCATGCGTGATACGTGTCGCTGCCGAGCTGGCTGAGAGGAGGCCCAGACTCGGGAAGTGCCCCAGTCCGGGGATTGATCGCGGCGAACATGGTTGATAACGCATTTCGGGTGGGGAGTAGATCGTTGGTCGATACGAATTGAGTAGGGACGGCGATTCCCATGTCTCCGGGCCATACAGCTCTATAAAACGTTGACTGAGACACATTTTGAAGCAGTACTGAAGGTTGGATACTGACCTGTCGCGTTTTGCGCCATCAACGATGATAGGACCTGCTACCCCTAGCGTCGCATTGTTCGCCCAACCTGACCCAATCTTCTTCAGCTCGTAGATCGCGCATATATATGGCTCAAACTCACCTGGAGACTTTACCGTTGGGATCTGTCGCCCAGTCTCAAGTGGCACAACATTTGTTTGTACTGTATATGCGCCAGCATACCACAACTACATGACGTTTTCAGCACGGATGTTCACGTCTGCATGACAGCAGCACATACCTTGGTAAGGAAGTCCCCGTCCTCGTACACCGGATCGTGCGCGTAGAAGTATCCACTATAGTCCCGTAGATTCGCGATGTGCGGCGCAAAGGAAATCGCACATGTCACGTTTGAGATGGTGACGGGGTCGTCCGAGGTTGAAACGATTGTGAGGTAGCGGAAACCGCCACGAAGGAACTTGGCAGGCTGGGTCCAGAAACCGTGAGGCAGAGGCGCAGGGACGTTCAGAACTCCGTCGTACGACATGTTCGGCGTAGGATAAGTGGAGTCGTCTGAAGTGAGGGGGCTGATGAACATGGGCGACTCCGTGAACGACAGGGCGATGGACGACGCGTCCGTCGTATTGCCAAAGTTCAACGAGATAAGTCCGCCGACCTTCAACAGAGAAGTTGGTGAGCATATGAGTGGGAGAACAGGGACTCTACGACGCACCTCGATACCGAAATCAAGCGCAACCCATGAACCGCTCCCCACCAGAGTCGCACTACCCTTCGATGCCAGGTTCCGCGCACTCCGCACCTCTCCGTAGACCTCCTTGACCGCGACCGGACCGACCGTCCTGCTCTTCGGCGCGTAGTTGAACGCGTCCCAAGGGCCTGCGGGCGCCGACGCCTGGGCGACGGCGAGCGCGCTGACTAGGAGGATCCAGGCTCGAGAAGCCATTCCTTCGCTTCGCTTGCACACTTGCGCTCCCCGTCTTTTATGGTTGCCCTGAAGCCCCAAGGCACGTCACCCTCCGCTTGCGTTGGCGGACATCACGGGGCGAGCGGGCGGGCCGTCGTCGAGCATGACCCGGTCTGGTGGCCGCGAAAGGGGGAAGTGAATGGATGGTGATCACCTCGTGGACCATCGCGCACTGGACGCGCTCCTCGGAGGAATGTGTGGTCATGCGGGGAGAACGCGCGGGTTTAAAACGCGTCGGTCCGGTGAGCCAGGTGACCATGACCCGACAGCGGCACGAAGACGTCTTGTGTTGCATCGAAGGGAGAGGTCGCATACCGGAGGTGAGTGAGAGACGACATTAGAGGGTAGGAAGAACGAGAATGTGAGCGTCCAGGTGGAGGAGACGGAGATAGGTCGTGCACGGCTCTCTGACGTCTGGCGTTTGCCGACGCCATGGCCTGCTGGAGCGCCCAGGGTGAGACTCGCGCGGCTACGCAGGTGGCCAAGTACTCACTCGAATCTGGTTCCCAGTCACATGAGTGAGACAAACGCGAGTGTCTGGTGTTTTTTGCGCGTGCTGACCGGTTGCGCATCAAAGGGCTGGAAAACGAACCCCGTGGGCAGTTTCCGTGCTCAATCAATCAAGTGCAGCATTTTCCTTCGGCTCGAGTCTCCGGACATTGTGCCAATGTTCGCGCGCGGAGGGACTCCTGGAAAGGTGGATATGTGGTGCTATGACGAAGAGGAGGAGTAATTTACGAAAGGTACATTCTGGTTTTTACGCAACCTCTGGCGATACCGAACAGATCCTAGATTCCACACTCCTGGATGTCTGGGCTCTGGAGCAGCTGCGCGCCCTCCTTCCACAACTCCTCAACCTCAGAAGACTGTTCTTCCTGAATTTTCTCTGGCTCAACACCACCGATCACTCTTACCACCTCATTTAAAAGTAAGTTTGCATGTTATTCAGGCGATTCGACTCTCGTCTTCATATAGAGCCTGTAGGAGTACATGGCGAACACGTAGTTGACTAGATGGTAAAACAGACCGAACAGCTCTTACGCGAGCTCTACCCGGACGATGAGAAAGCATGTCCAAGATTGGGAATCACGGCGACGGCGGTAAGGTCTGCCCTGCCCCCACTTTCAACGTCGTACTCTGAGCCAACCCTATCTTTGTAGACCCTGACAATATTAGGCGATCCTGGAACATCACTGAGTCAAGCATTTCGAAAAGAGGGAGCACCTGTTGTACTTCCGCTCATAATCCTGCTCCGTGGCATATTCGGCTCAATCGGACGAACTTTCGGGCGACTCACTCATTACGGCTATAGAGGAGATCATTCAACAGAGAAGATATCGTCTCTCTCCTCTACAAGCGAAAGATTTCTTCGCGCATTCTCTCGAGGGCCTTTGGTATCTGTAAACGTACGTCTCTCATTGCTTCAAACAGATCTCTAAGTTCACATTCATGGGATAGCTATGACCGCACTATCGGCTGGATTGCTCTAGCCAGCACCAGCAAGCTCTCCACGCACAACGGTCTGCCGATTCACATCGCCGCGGCATCAAAGCAGCGGTCCCCCGTCAGCTTTGTACGCGCGCTTCCTTATTTCTTCTGTTCGCTTTCTCTGTGACAAGGCGTCCCAGCCGAGGAGACGGCAGTAGGGCGGCCAGCTCTCATATATGTACGCACCTCGGGTCCCGGGCCATTCGATTCCCTCTTTCCCCCCGACTCGTTATTACCGTTCGCCCGTCCGCCAAACTCGGTCTGCTCGACCGTCCGACCGCCGCCAGCCGATAGCCACCCGTAGACCGACGTCCCACCGACTCTACTCTTCGTCAACTAGCTTATCTCTTTATCTCGCGACGATCGCTTGCGACATGCCTGAGCAAATCACCCTCTACGGCCACCCGGTAACTTCTTAACGCTCTTCCCGTTGGTTCAACACGGGCTCATGTGTCTCGCAGTACTCTCCCTACTTCCACCGCGTCGCCATCGTGCTGGAAGCGACCGGGGCCAAGCACCAGTGCTACACTGTCGACCTCGTGGACAGGTCGGTCTGGGGCAGCATCTCGCCCACGGGCAAGGTAGTCAACCTCCTCACGGTCCACTGTCGTCTTCTCACCACCCCCAGATTCCTTTCATCACCTACGGCGGCCCCGAGGTCCCTCCCGACCAGCCCTCGCCCGAATCCGAAAAGATCCCCGAGTCGCTCATCATCGCGACGCTCATCGCCGAGGAGCACCCCTCCGCAGGCCTCATCCCCGCCGATCCGGTCGCGCGCGCGCGCATGCGCCTCTTCATCAACGAGTGGGAGTCCTCGGGGTCGGCCGCGCTCCGCGCCGCGCTCATGGGCACCGGCCCCGTCGACGCGATCCTCGACGTCTACGCGCGCCTGCAGGCGCGCCTGGGGGCGAGCACGAAGTTCGCGGTCGGGGACGCGCTCACGCTCGCGGACGTCGCGGTAGCGCCGTACCTGCCCCGGAACGAGTACCTGATGCGGCACGAGATCGGCAAGTACCCGTTGGGCGACGGGAAGAAGTTCCTCGACCGCCTGGCGGGGCCCGAGTTCGCGCGGTTCCGCGAGTATGCGGAGGCGGTCAAGGCGCACCCGAGCGTCGAGAAGACGTATGATGAGGTCTGTGGTCCGCTTCTGCGCAGGGTGATAGTGCTGATTGTGTACGGCGCGGTTTGTAGGCCGTTTACGCGGATATGATGGGGAGCAACCCGTACTTCAAGCGCGATTGAAGGAGCAGGATATGTGTGGCGGCGGCGGAGTTGAGCTACCGGTGGACAAGAAGTATGATGGACGGCCGGAGTCGAGCCCTTCGAGGGCTTCCAGGTCGTTCGCAAATAAGGGGGGCCTCCTCTTGTACAACTTCAGCATTGTTGTCTTTATTGCCTGGAGGATGTGAAGACGAGGGCTCTTCAATGTCATGGTCTGGAGCGTGTTCACCGCCAGGAGAGCTTGAGTACGGGTGAGGGGTAAGATTGAGAGGGGCTTCGCTATGTAGCGCGTGCCGTGCAGTGCTGTCGAGCTGCGCGACTGCCACACGACGGGCAATGCAGGCAGCCTGCCTGGAGGAAATGCGGACGAAAATTGGTAGAAAGCATGCCTTTCGTCCAGCTGGGCGCCTGTGTTTCTGATAGATCGATTGTTTAACTGTCAGCCGCATTTCGTCCCGGTCGAAAGGTAAACTGTCCGTACGTCTTTGTCTTTTGCGCGACGTTGTGCAGACCGAGGTCACGCGAGTCGTGAGCTGCGTGAGGCGGGGACGCGCACGTGCGCTGTGCAATGCATGACGCGCACGCATCCCGTTTGTGTGTTGTGTATTGTGTGAACTGGGGACGCGCGAGTCATGAGCTGCGTAAGGTGGAGACGCGTGTCGTGCATCACGCAGCATCAGGACGCGCGGACAGTTTAACTTTCAACCGACACGAAATGTGCACAAACAGTTAAACAATGACCCTATCAGATGCATAGGCGCCCACCCGTACGAAAGGTATGCTTTCTACCAATTTTCATCCACACTTCCTCCAGCCTGCATTGCCCGTCGTGCCAAGAACTGCTTGCGCGACATCGCCGCCAAGGCTTTCGATCAACAAACTCACGACGGTCGCGAGATCGAAGAATCCGTGCTGGCATCGTCGTGTGGGACAAACTGAAGGGGAAGGTGGTGGCGCGTGGTGGAACTGTGCCGAAATCCGCTGGAATGTGCTCGCGTTCAGCTTTGCGTGCTGACAGACGCAACGATTTGGGATCTGGAGACATGGACGCGCGACGTCCAGAGTCAAGTTGATAGACGCCGGTCTCACAGAGCCCATCGCGACGCCGCACGTGCCTGCTGAACGTTGAACCGTATCCTCCTCCCCCACAAATGCCCCAAGCACTCATGCTCGCTCCCGACGTATGGAACCCTGGAGACAGTGGGTGCCTCCTCATCGCACACTCTCAGCACCTCGCTCACCGCACTCGAATTTCTCTCAACTTCCCTCTCGCAGAACGCTGGAGTGACGCGCGCTGTTTTCCCAGCGGCCAGCGGCCAGGATGGTGCGCGTCGCGCCCCCGCATCTCCCGCCACGCCGTCTGTCCAGGCCTCCAGTTCCACTGTCTCGCAACCCTTCACCCCCCAAGTTTGACTACGTGGTCACCACGTTACATGGTCCGGCCTCTGTTTCAACCCTCTGACGCTTTTGGTCCCCGTCGTTCAGACCGCACCTTTCTGAACGCCACTACGGCGCAACAGTAGGGGCACACAGTAATGAGCCTCAGTACCATGCTCGAGTGAGTAGCTCTCAATCCATGTTTTGTTTGTGTGCCGAGTGGTAATTGCCGACGACTTCACATTGTATAGCCTCGTGTACTACCGTCGCCAGTCTGGTAAGTCCTAGATCCCATATATGCATAATCTCCTGGTTCCAGCAAGATCAGGACAAGTCTAGTTTCTGTCACTGGACGCTACTGCGTCTCTTTTCCGCGTGGAAGAAGCCGCATGCCATGAGTGTCAATTTCTCGTTTTCGAGTAAAGTCAAATGAGTCGATATCCGATGTCTCCAGGGTCCCGGTCCTCACGGTCCTTCCCTCCACCGTTGTACAGGCGCATAGCGTGTAGATTGGCTACTAGTGCACCCCACGAGGATGTTTGTGATGCGCGGACAATTGGTCACAAAGTAAGGCCACCGCGGGGCGGAGTTGTGAGAGACCGGTCTCTCACAGCCGACCGTTTGCAGGTCAAGATCTCCCTCCACGCCACACATGGTGCGCGCACGGGCGCGACATTGCCCTCCACCGACTTCCCATCCGACCCGCAGACATCGTGGCCGTGCGCGTGGCGCAGCTTGAGTTGAAGATGTGTTCTATGCGCAGGAAACGTCGTTCGATAGAGCACCGCGCGCGCACATCGCCGGAACGTGCTGTGAGCGAGGGAGGCAGGGCATTTGTTGGGGCGGCGGCGTAGAGGCCGCGCTCACGCATCCCGCGGCGGCGGCGGCGGTGGATTCTGCATCGCGGGAAGGGCTGTACCAGTGCCGCAGGACGCACGGAGAAAGTGACTCTCCAGTTCAAACTCACTCCCGCAACAGTCTTCTCTGACCGCTCTCTGGCCGCTACGGTTTCAAAACAAACCCAGATGCACAACTCAAGACCACCTGCCTCTCCTCTATGATTCTTTCATTCAGTCACGGAGCGACCTGGCGCTGACCGCCGACCGAGGCAGGTGAACGTGTGGGTGGCGCGGCGCCACAAAGCGTTTCCATAGATGCCGGGAGAAGTTTAGGTTCACGACGACCGCCTCCATCGTGCTCCCCGATCGCTGACCAGGCAGGCAGCCTCTCGTCCAGACGCACGTCCCCTTCGAAAATGACGCATCCAAGCTAAACTCCGCTCCACCGACCTCCATCGCCATCTTCTGGTGAATGTTCGAACTGGTCTCACTGCCTCCGTCCCCTCACAAGGTTTAAGTTATCAGCCAAGTATCCCCGCCATAGTGTCCCGGCGACTTGATAGCTTCGCGGCAGGCCCTAGGCACGCTACAGGCTTTTAAAAAGCCACCCACTCCTCCATCCCCCATGCTATCGTCTTCCTCGCCATGCTCTCAGTCCCTGCCGCGCAGCAACAGTATGAGCGTTTCCACTCATTATTTCACCCGACTGACATCGTCTCTGCTTTCTCCAGTTCGCAATTCAATGGTCCAGCATAGGTAGGCTATTCCTTTTAAACGGACTCTCATATCATCGAAAGTTCACTGTTCGCTGTGGCCATACTATAGCTCTGCTGTATTACGATTACGCTCTCGTGTTACCCACCGAGATCAAGTATCTCTGGAAACGCAAGGAGCTATTCAAAGTCTCCACACTCGTGTACGCCTTGTGCCGCTACGCGCTGGCCGCGAACGTCATCTTTCTGCTCAACATTGCCGGTAAACTCGGAAGCCAGGTGAGCATGTCGTCGATCGCGCCATCCTCGATTATGATGCCTAACATCAGTCAATCTAGTACGTACTGCCGCTTTGTAGGGCAAAGGGCACGGACATAGATCTGAACGATGTCTCGTAGCTGCGATACCTGGTACAAGGTCCTCGGAGTCATCAGCGTTCTCGGGAGAGCGGCGGTTATCTGTGAGTGTACTTGAGCTTCATCCTTACTTCCCTTGGCTCTGTGCTTCTGTCTTACCAACTCGACGACCAGTCACATTCTTGATGCGCACATACGCCGTTTGGAACCAGAACAAGGTCATACTCATAGGCCTTGGCTCCATCGGCCTTGCATGCGTCGTACTGGACTGCGTGCGTGTTCATTTAGTTTCAAAACTCACGGTTACTGATGGGGGTTTGCAGATGCACGTTCCCGGCCTGAGATGCCACGGCTCATCGAGCATACAGATGTGAGTCGGAGATCTCCAATTTTGTTCGTGACCTCATCGACGTGCGACTCTTCTCCAGCGTAAACACACTCCTGTCCATCCTGGTGTGCGTCTTCGAGGCGACGGCAACCATCTTGACGTTCGTGCGCAGCATCCAGGCACTTCGTTTTGGCGGAGGCGCGATCGCGCTCAAGAGGCACACGCTCGACTACCTCATCGTCGAGCAGGGTGTGCTGTACTTCGGGTGCGTCGCCTTGCTCCCAGGCCGTTCAGAAAGTACGCTGATCCTCCCGGCGCTCCTGCTAGGCTCGTTTCCGTCTTCACCGTCGGGGCCACCGTGCTGAACTTTGTGAGTGCATCCAACGCGCGCGTGCTCCACACCGCTGATCGTCGTGCCACGCCCGTCCCAGAAAGCCGCCGTACGTCTCCCCGAGCACCGCCGCGTTTGACTAACCATGAGCTGATGCCGACTTGTCCACCTGTCCACTCGTCCACAGGGCGGCTTCACGCAGCGCCTCCTGAACGCAATCACCCTCCCGTGCGCACGCCCTGACGCGTGGTGTGACGTCATCGCTGATCGCCCTCCAGGCTCTCGGGCATGCTCACCGCGCGCTTCATCCTCCGCCTCCGCGCGTACTCGCAGGACCCGCAGCGGCTCGGCGGCGGCTCGATGCGCACGAACCTGTCGTCCTTCGCCGCGACGACGGCCCCCGCCGCCGACGGAGGGGGGCGGGGCTGGCACGCGAGCCTCGCGGACGAGTTCGGCGAGGACCCGCTCGGGCTCGTCTTCCGCGCGGTGGAGTCGCGGACGACGGACGGCGGCGAACACGGCGACGACGACGTGGAGGCCGGGCGCGCGCTCGAAGGAGGGGAGGGGGAGGGAGAGAAGCAGCAGCGGGACCGGCGCGCCGTGAGGGAGCTGTTGGGGCAGACGCGGATGGGCCTGGAGCGCGACGCCGGCGGAGAAGAGTTTTGGGACGAGAAGAGGGGCTTAGGGACGACGACGGTGTTCTCGGCGGAGACGGGGACGTACGTCGGTCGGTCGAGCGTCGGGGATGGTTCCGAGGGCGGTGGTGGGCATGCTGATACGCAAGAGGGACTCGCGGGTTCGAGTTCGGGCCGGGACTAGCCTCAGGCTGGCAAATCAGCATAACGGATAGGTCACGATAAGGAGGTTGTGTACGTGTAACATATCTCTGTCATTCTTTGATAGATCGAGAGGCGGTGCCATAAGGCAGGGTGCCATAAGAGTGAACTGTGGAGAGAACGACGATATTCAGTTGAGACACGCCTCGGTCTGGAGCTCATAGATGACGGTCGGTGTCGTCGGATGTGTATACCAATGCTATCAAGTGGTAGCAGTACTACAGTGTCCCACGGGTCCTTGGGACAGACCTCGGATCCCCCTGATATACACTCCCAATAATCTTGAAGAAATGGCACTTCAGTGCGCACTGATGTTCCATGTAGCTAGAGTAACAATTCCAGCTGATCCCAGAGCTAATTGAGACCATGAAAATATGTTTTCGCATTTCCGAGAGTGTGAGCAAACTCAGAGGACATGTCGTTGGGAGAGTGGAACTTTCTTGAGGCTCGGAGATTGATTTAATGACTTCCGTTAATGTTAGCTCTCTCCCTGCGGGGTTTCAAGCGATCACACGGCTGGGCTAGTGATGCCGGACATGTCCCAGGTTTCCAGCGTTTCTGGCGTCTTTTTGGGCGACATAACGCGTACCACGTGACACTCTCACACGACGCGTCGTCCTGTCTGGCCCCTCCGTGTCCTGCATGGAAACCTTACCTGATAAGTACGAGGGGGAGGCTGTGGTACGGATACGGGATGAAGGTAACAGTGGGGACGAGGAGGACGATGAGGAGGATGGCATTGAGCACCACGGCCGCGACGGCTCATCGGAAGCGCCAATGCGCGTCGTGGGAGATCCATGATCTATTGCCCGATATGGGCCGTCCCAAGGAGGGGTGGGTTTGAACTTTCGGGCCATATGTCATTTCTTGTCGCACTCGTCTCTTGTACTTCAGATCCCCCTGAAAATATCCATGTATGTAGCTACTATGTGAGACTGTGTAGATATGAAAAATAAGCGACCGCTGATACAAAATCGCAGAGATATCAGCGGGACTGTTTTTGGTGTCCCAAGGACCCGTGGGACACTGTACGGTCGAAGTCCGGGGTCACCGACTGAGGTGAAGATCGCCTCTTTGACATAAGAGGCGAAGGAAGCCGCCCACTGCAGACCAAAGTAAAATTTGCAATTCGTTCAATGTATACAGCACGATATGACCCCCCGTCACACCTGCGTGCGTCGTCGTCCTCCCACCAATCAATCGTGCCCACGCCCACTAACCACAGGTGACAAACCGCTTGATCGAGTGTACCATCTTCTTCCATTCGCGCTTCAAGGCGGATAGCAGAGTGTGGTCCGTCGAAGGTCGAATTAATTCGACCAAGGCAAACAATTCGATCATATGGAGTTTGAGCGCATCGATATCGCTTTGGCTGAAGCCTCCACGCTGAAGCCTACGAGGGTTGATACGGAGGCCCACAAATGGCGTCGCGCGACTGGTCTGCAGGAGATCCAAGGTCCACCCCCGATGCAGTAACGTGAGAAGGAATTTCGGTGAGCGGAGCGCCAGTGGCATGGGGAACGGCGGGCTGTCGGAGGCTGGTCTGCTCGTTGATGGCACCACCTGCCCCTGCGCGCGGGGGACCGACGACCTCGTCCGCAGAGGCCGCGGCGAGCAATTTCGATCGTGAGGGGTCTTCCCGGCCGAGCCAGACGTTGGCTGTGCGCTGCAGCTCGTCGTACACCGGCCCATGGAGCTCGATGTGGAGGACGCGGGTGTGCGCGTCGTAGGCATCCCTCTTGAACGAGAGCAGGATCGTCCGCTCCGTGTCTCCAAACGAGCGAGGCCCAGTCGTCGACATGTTCCGTCGCACAGTCGTGGGGCCGGTCCCAGGGGTAATACCATGCCTTGGGCTCGGCCACCACCGCCACCGCCCACGCCCAGTGCACCGGCTGCTTGTCGGTGGCCCGCTTGCAGAGGCCCACCTTCACGTGAATTCTATGGGCGATAGTGAAGGTTGAAAAGCTGAATGTCTGCTCGAACGACACAGCTTCATCGGTGGTCGATATAGAGCTTTGGACGTGGAGCTGAAGCGAGATAAACCCGACCACGATCCAGCGTGGGACCCGGAACGGCGCCGAGGGATTGTCGCGAACCAGACGGAGGATACTGTGCGGGGCGTCCATGAGGTCCTCGCTCTCAGGCCAGGCCCGGATGTAGATGTCGCGCCAGACGGGCTTGATGATCGAGCCACGGAATTTGAGGTTGTACAAGTCCCCGCCGAGTTGAGCAAGGCGTATTAGGCTATATACTGCCGCAGAATCAGCCTTGAACCCCCAGGATACATTGAAAACCTCCTCTTCTCCCGGATGAAGAATTATGCCGAGGTGTTGATCCAAGGTCTCAACCAGAAGCACCATGATGGTTATCTCATCTACCTCGGCGATGGGAAAGCGACATTTCATGCCTCGACTCGTTAGCTCGAACGAGGGTGTTTCGAGGCTTCCGAAGGGCCCGGTTGGCCTTTTTGACACGTCCAAATGTTTCTCGTGCTGTCGAACTATCATGAGCAAACCGATTGCCTCACAGACACAGGACACGCAGCTCACCTCTTCCGTCCACTGCCATGAGTTATACGGCTGCAGTACAGCTGTTGCCGGGAGCTTCGGAGTGTAGTAGTACTTCGAGCCCTCGAACTCTTCAGGAGAGGACGCCAAGAGATACGTGTCAGGTGAAATCCTGTGGGCGGGCCTCATCATCTCCAGCGTCGCCGACGAGAGCATATCGGTGTTGGATTTGTGCATGCCTCCCCATACAAAGAGTGTCGTGTCCAATGAAACCCGACTAAGCTCGACCTGGAGGCGGAAAAACGCTTGACGGCCCTCGCCGTACAACGTCGGGAGGTTGACGTTGAAAAGGCCGAAAAGGGAGTACGCTTCGTCCTCGACCCGCGTCGTCTTCCGCTTCGCTGCCCAGGACATCTTCATCGCGATCGGTGCGTTCAAGAACGATACATCGCGGGTGAGATAGTGTTCGTCGATGCCCGTGATGTTCGCGAGGGTCTGCGCAAGCTGGTGCTTGTTTCCGATCATCTTCCAATCCTTGGACATGAACAAGACGAACGCGGGTGCGAGGAGCTCTTGCAGTGTCCATCCCCGCCAGTGCCATCGCGCGAGCCGGAACTCCGAGTTTGTCGCTCGGGGGTCGTCGTCGGAGCTGACGTCGTCCAGGTACGCGTAACAGACCTCGCAGAGGACGTACCAGTTGAACATCGAGTTGATCGCCTCCGAGAGCTCCGTGCTACTCTCCTTGTTGATGCAGCACGTGTCTATCCAAACCCACTTGTAGCCGTCGCGTTCGGCGGTGATGCAGCACATCCGGATCTTGTCGCAGACGACGTCGCGAGGGTTCGCGTCGGTCTCCTTGCATCGGGCGATGATGGCCTGGAGGTCCTGGAACGACTGCTCGGGATGGGCAGGATCTTGGCTCCAGGTGTGGGAAAGGGCTGCGTATCCTCCATAGACGGCACCTGGTTCAAAGAAGTAATGGAGCTCTGCGCGTGCTGTTTTGAGGAGCCACATGGAGAAGCCTGCCACGACGGTGAGCATCTCACTCCCATGAACAAAGATCGAACGCATACGCCTCAGGAGTGGTGATTTCGTTGCTCGGCGATATGTCCACAATTGGAGTGCGAATGGAGTGGAGCCTAAGAGCATGTTCAGTTAGAGAATGTGAAGAATCGAGCAGTGGACGAAGAGAGCCGTAGAGGCGAAAGGACGCCGGATGACGGACAGGGTGTCGGATAGGACGACGATGGTGGATAGGATGATAGATTGGATATCGATCTAGGACGATACGGCGGCATAGTACTGTACAATGCGTGGGAACGTAGTATACATGACTAAGCATACTGGTAGTGCCTCGGATGAGGGCGTACACCGGGACACTAGGAACCAACAGAGAAGATACGGAAGTTGAACGAAAGCTGCACATACTACGAACGTGGGGCGGCACTGCAAGAAATCTAAGTAGGAAGGCGAGGGGAAGGTGATGAAAGGTGATAGCAAGGGACTAGGCGCGAACGGCAGCCCGACAGCCGCGTCCCTCTGGCATAAGCTTGAAAGGCACACCCCCGCCGTGAGGCAAATGTCCACGGGGAACAGGTCATGTGGAAGAAGCATTGGCGGAGATTAGAAGACTTCTCAAGGTAGGGAAGATAGACCAAGTGACCCACGCAGACCCTGACGCAGCGATGTGGAACGAGCTTTGAAGAGCCGCACGCGGCACCAGCTTCTTCAGGAGACTATATGATGTGTCCAACGTGTTCTTGAACCATAGAACAGGCGTTTTCTCAGTTTGACATCTGCAGCGGTCCGTGAACGATCGAGAACTCACGATACAGTTTGAACTCTGTCTGATTTTAGGCGCATCCTGATCAAGTCAGAACCGCGTGCGTAAGACTGGATTGAATCTCATCCAGAGTAGATCGATTACACTAATCACAGGATGCGGGAGTCGGACGGGGCCCCATAAAGTAAGATCGTCCTGATTAGACACAGCGTGGAGGGATTGAGGATCGAAAGTGCTACACGTGTTCTATCTACTGCCACGGTATATAAGGCTGGAGGACCGCATTGGAGCCTCGCCTCGAATTATAACAAGGAGGAGTCGCAGGAAAGCGCACGAATAGGACTTGCTCGTAGTCCATCACCTCGTGGAAGCCGGACCAGAGAACTTCAAGGATCTATTGAGGCAATGTGCGACGTGTACCGCCCCACCTGAACATCGTAGTGTCGGATGAGATCAGCATGGAGGCTAAAGAACGTTTGACGACCCTCACCGTACAGCGTGGGCATGTGGATGTCTGAGAGCCGAGGAAGCGGTACGTCTCGTCCTCGACCCGGGTCTTCTTCTGGCCAGCAGCCCGGGACATCTGCGCGATCGACGCGTCCAAAAACGACCGCTCGCGTGTGGGGACCTTGCAGTGGATGCCTGTGATGTCTTCGAGAGTTTCTGCGAGGTTGTGCTTGCTCCCGGTCACCCTCCATTCCTTGGACGTGGAAAAGACGAATGCGGGCGCGGGGTGCCCTTGCAGCGCCCAGGCCCCACCCCAGCGTGTGCCATCGTGCGCAACGGGACTCCGAGTCTTCTTCGGGGTTGTCGCCAGAACCGAGGTCGTTAACGTACGCGTATGTAGCAGACCTTGGAGAGGACATACCAGTTGATCGTTTTCGACATCTCCAATTTGTTTTCCTTGCGAGTGCAGCAAGCCTCGATCCAGACCCAAGAGTATCCGTCCCGCTCCGCCACAACACAGTCGTGTCACAGACGAAGTCGCGAGGGGTTTCCCCGGCTTTCTTGCAGCGCGCGACGATCGCCTGGACGTCTTGGGACGTCTGCCCGGGGTGGGCAGGATTTTGGCTCCAGGTGCGGGAGAGGGGGCTCCAAGGACGAGGTCGGAGAAGGAGTGAAGCTAGGCGGCCTGAGGACTGGAAACGCACGCTTAGAGTTGGGAAATAGTGGTATGGAGATAGCAAGCCTGTACGCGCATGAGCTCACACGGACACAAAACATGATGTAGAAAAGATATACATGCTCTGAGGGTGAGGTGGCTCGGGAAATGTGTGGTCTCTTCAAGAGATGCGACTGGAGAGGCGAAGGAGATGAGATGGTGACGTTGCTTGGAACGCGTCCACACGTCCAGGCCGGTGCCAGAGCAAGAACGGGTCCATGGGAGCATGTTGGAATTGCTGGTCGCTATAAGCTTTGTGGAGTTGCTAAGGCCGGAATGGCGAAGTCAAATTACGGTAGCTCCCCGGAGCGAGCAATCCTCAGGGCGAGCCCGAAGCCTGAAAAGAGGAGGCTTGGGCGCGCATATGTAGGGGCTGCGAGAGTGGGCTGCGAGACTGGTGGAGGGTACTGGAAAGTCGTTCAGCGACTGTGAGGGAAGTGGATGTGGACTCAGAAAGGACTTCGTAGCGTTGTGGCTTGAACGGAGTCCCAGCGTGGCCCTAACCCCAGACCTGGGTCTTTGGTTCCCAGGCCTTTGCATCAGCTAGGGCCATGCACCCGATGTCGTGCATTCAACCAGCGGCGCCGAACGTACATTCCCGTTCAACACCTTCATCCGACCTTTCAAACCACATACTCTGCCCGACCTCCTCAGCGCCCGCCTGCAGAGGCATGTGCGAAGCGCGATGCGGCGAGGTGGCGGCAGCCGAGATGACGAGACGCCAGATCGGAACGGATAAAGAAGTGTAAAGCAGCTGCCAACAGTGACACAAATGCAGTAAGACAAAGAGTTTTTGTCTCTTCCACCGGGAGCCCTTCCATCATAGCCAAGTTGTGATCCCTCATCTAGATCATCTCGTCCAATCTCGCAGGTAATCCGGGACGACCCCGTCGCCGCACCGCTCGAGAGGTGGCACCTAGTAAGCATAGGCACCTGATCAGCGCCCACCCTCACCGTGTTCCACACAGCACCGCCAAAACTTACCGTGCCGTCGCGCAAGAACGCCCCAATGCGCTCCCACGAACATTCTGACGGCCCAAACAGCTGGGCCTGAGCAGCGCGCACAGCGATGAGACCCGAGATTCATGGAAAATCGGGATGAGCACTAGACTGAGGGCCAAGTCGGGAAACGCACCGAAAAGAACGCCTGCGCAGTGGCAGCGGAAGCGTAGGGCAGGTGGCGCAGCTGCTCCGCGAGCGAGATCTGCGCGCTCTTCTCGTGTATCACGAGCAGCCGCTCTCCGGAGCCCGCGGGAGGAGGAGAGAAGGAGGAGAGCCGCTCGACGGCGCGGTGCGGCCACAGGTGGCACATGTAGTCGAGCGAGGGGAACGCTGCGGGGACTGAAAGACGGGCGCACCGAGGTCCGAGGTCAGCTGCGGGCCCCGTTGCGTAAAAGGAGAGAAGGAAAGGGCCGCACTGATGAGAGGGGCGATTGGCATCCCGGCCACGAGCTCCTCGTTCGTTGGGCCTGCCGTGCCGTGTTCACCCGCGATGTCTCCGCAGCGAACGGGCATCATTCCCAGCGTTCTGAGGACGGTCAGTTCGGGCCGTGTGCCGGGGGCGTCGAAAAAGTGCGAGAGGTCGCGCGGCGGGAGCTTGAAATCGTCCGAAAACATATCGTCGTATTCGTACGTGTGATTCGTGTTGTCGTAGACCTGTTCAAGGAGGGCTAGGAGCGCTTCGTTTTGCATATTGACTTCTAACTGGTTCCTGCGTGGACAGAACGCCGGTGAGCGGACCGTGAAGCATTGCAGGTAGATAGAGGACCTACTCCCAGTCTACCATAGTCGTGCGTAAGGTCTAATCGGACCCAGGGACAAAGAGGTCAGGGATCATAATGAGTAAAGTTAGTAGTGCGATGCTCACGCCGAGTACCAGCTTCAGGTTCAAGATCACCAGAAAGCTCATTGGCCACTCGTCACCACTTGATGACAAGTAGCATCCCGTCCCGCTGGCCGCACTACCAGCGCAATCTCGAAAATAGTTCGTAACAACATCGTTGGCGTGTTGCATTTGAGAAACCCATTGCTAGCACCTCTTCGTCAGTAGATGTATCAACCGGGGTTTAAGCCGCTAAAGTACCTTGTAAGTTTCTTCCCGGATGGACTCCTGAGGATCTGCAGGAGCATCGAACACCATTCGTCCTACGCGCTGAATGCCCGAACGCCTACTTTAAGCTCAGATGCAATGGCATGCCGCGAAGACTCACACCAGGGAATACTGTGGTCACATCAAGTGATATCAGCGTCAACTCCCACAGCCGTCAAAACGATCACGCACGTTGCAAAATATAATCACCGATCACGCTTCCGTGTCCACCGCCCCAGAAGTTGACTCGACTGTCAGGGCCGTCGAAAGCATCCACCAGCGCAACCGCATCCCTTGCTGTGGCAGCTGTGCCGACATACTTCAACATTTCTCGATCGGTTTTGTCGAGACAATGCTGCACGAGCTTCTCCTGGATCGCAGCCCACGCCACGGTGTCGCGCGCAGTCGGGACCGTCCCGTAGTGCAGCCAGTCGTCCCAATCGGGAGAGTAATCGAGCGCTATGGCAGTAGAGCGGAAGAATTCGGCGCGCTCTGCAGCGTCTGTGAAGCATTTGACTGCGCTGGGACTGGGGCGGGCAGATATCTGAGCGTTCAGCAATCCTCAGCGAGGTCAAGAGCGTATAGAAATTCACTCACACCGTCCCGTCCTCGGCCCGATCCAACGCGCCGCGGATCCTCCAGGTGACGATGTCGTACGCGCCCGCGGTGCTGTTGCTGGCGAGGGAAGAATATGGCACGAACCAAAGGTCCACGCTCTCCTCGTGCCGGTCCCCTAGTAACGGAGATCCTGCCGGATCAGGTTCATTAGCGATTGTCCATACGACCGAAGATGCATGCCGAAACGAACCGGACTGGAGCAAGATCGTCCCCTTGCGTTCGACGTCGGGGCTTGCCGGAAGTCGGAGGTAACGAACCTGGCCTACACCGGCAGACGCATTGTGATAGTCAAGCGGTACGCCCAACAGCCCACACTCTGGGACCGTGGACGAATTTCCGGGGTGCATGGCACGAAACATTCTGTGAATGTGAGGGTCGAAGCAGTCGTCGAGAATCCGCAGCTCGCCGATCTCGAGCGGGAGCGCGTTCGGTGGCATCATCGGAGACTGGGAGAATGTGAGATGGACCAACCTCAGCACGCGGGCTAAGGGGTGCCGAAGGTGCAGAACACTAGTGATGAGTGTACTTACCTGGAACGTGTCAAAAGGGTCGAAGAGCTGGGAATGAGCACGAGGAACTAGCAGAAGCAGCTGCGACGCAAGCGCAAGAAACTCGGTAAGTTGTCGAGACGGCATTTCTGGGAGTGAGGGGCACGCGGGGTGTGAGGGGCACGGACGAGGAGCAATACTAATACATGGCTGGCCATGGGAGCAGATCCGACTCATGCCATTGTCGGACCCGCAATTACCTCCGTAGCATCTTTGACATAACCTTCCGCCCAAGTACACCCTGCAGCAACGTGTTCTCGGTACTGCGGTCTTGAGATGCATAGTTGATTTGATGAGTCGATGACCGCAGTCGTGCAGACGCATCCGCGGAAGGGAACGGGGTGGGTACTGGCGCCCGTTAGCGAGCGTCCGAGCGTCAAAAGGATGGATGGTCTTATCTGATCTATTATCTTATTTGCGAACATTTGGCCTGGTGGCGCAAGATCACAGATAAGTAATGGAGACGCACGTCTCAAACGCCTAGCTTGGCAACAGTGCGCGCGCTGTCGGTCCCCATACCTTGCCATCCACTTGCTCCCGCATCGAGGACGTGCGGTGGGGTAAGCGCGCGTAGGACCCGCGGAACACGTACGGCAGCAGGCGCGAGGGGACGGTTCGGACGACCACGGTGAACCCTTCCTTTGTCGACTTCTCCGGGCTGCAGGGGCTCAGTGAGCGGTACGGTTACGTTCATGCACTGCACGTACCCGACGGGGGACTCGTAGATCTGGATCACCAGATCGCATACTACGCACGCACACTACATACTATACCATAGCAGCATGTCATTCGTTCAATGTAGCACCGCCTTCCTCTCGTAGCTGAATCCACCGAACTTGACCTCCCCGTCAACCAGCGCCCGCAGCTCCGTCAAATCGCACCACGAAGCATCCGGCTCGTACTCGTCGATGACCGCGCTCGCCTCCCAGTCCTGGCACGGCTCGGGCCCATCCCACGCCCTCTCCCACCACGTCAGCGTCGTCAGACGAGTCCCGCGCGCAGCTCGGCCGGACAGCGTCCCGACAAGCGCGTCCCGGCGCGCGACCATCGAAGCCCGCAGCTCGTCTTCCCATCCCTCCCCGCGCGCGTCAAGCGCGGTCCAAACTCCGTACCCCTCGTATCCTGGAGCGGCCGAGACGGGGAAGTGTACGACGAGCGTGGCCAGGTTCGGGCAGAGCGGACTCGAGTCCGAGGGGGCGCCGAGGGCGTATAGGGCGTCGCCCGCGAAGATGCCGTGGAGGACCAGGTGGGTGATGAAAGGGCACCGCCGGAAGAGAACGGCGAGCTGATCGCGGCCCCGGAAGGAGGGCTCTTCCAAATAGAGGGTGAGACCACTCATCGAGGGGGCCGCGCAGATGATGGAGAAGAGCCCGTCGAACCAGTCGAGATGGGCGTCGGGTGTGGACAGGCACCCGCAGTAGACCGTGAAGAGGATGCACTCCGGTTGGGTGCCGCTCCAGCCTGAAACGCGGATCCAGGAAGAGTCGTCGGCGACGGCGCGCAGGACGACGGTTGAGTAGGCCATAAACGGCGTTCGTTCTTGTACGTTCGCGTCTCGGGAGAGGGCGTCCCACAAATCATTGTTGGGAATGGAGAAGGGGAGGTTTAAGGAGATGAAGGTATGAGCGGGCGGAGATATCGAGGCTAGGAACGCGGGGAGTATGGATGGATCTTGAGAAGACCTGATGATGAGTCGGTACAAAGAGGGCAAGTTGGCAGTTTGCGACGGGCCGCCCCAGCCAGGAGCGAACTCATGGAGCATTTCCATGAGATTGACACGGATGTCTTGTAGCCCGGTGCACTGTTCCAACGCGGAAACGAAAGATGCGAGAGGAGTTTCCCCGGTATGACGTGATTCAAACCTAGAAAATGGGCTCAATGGTGTCATCCTGAACACTGGATCGGTGATGCAGACTGCTTGAAGGGTGGGCCGCGAGAGGTACGTGAACATATCGAGGGGAACAGAAGACAATGTTCGGAGGACGGGGAGATTCCAGGATGTGTCCACGCGTTGCGGGGCTGCATCGTCCGTCCATACTGTCGTCGAAAGGCGTTCGACTTGAATTTGGAGGGTCTCGAGACTTTCCGCACCATGTTCCAGAAGGGAGAAAAACGCCCAGAAGGCTTCCTCCGAGTTCATTTCCACCACCAGGCTGACAATGCGGCCTGTATGGGGTGCCAACGCTTCTCTGATCGCCTTCGGGATCCCTCCAAATAATACGAGGGGAATAGGGAGAGCCTTGGACCACGATAACATCGCAGATGTAAATTCGATACGGTTCTGTTGTTGTCGCGTTGACAGTTCGCCGTCGTACCAGGGAGAGAGGTCATACAGCGGCCCCATGGGAGATACCGCGGCGGACGCCCACAGACGCGGGGTATCGAGCGCAATTTCACGCCAAGTGCGGCATGTGTGCGCGAGCACGAACGGGTTCTGTCCGTTGTAGACGTATTGCTCGAAGATTTCCGCGAGTATCTCTGGGGGAAGGGCGCAGTGGATGGGCGTGAGGGAATTGTGGAGGGAATGGAGAGCAGATGCGAAGCGCAGGTACTCCTGTGCGCGGGAGCAGACCCAAGCTTGTACACCACTTCTTGAGAGACCAGCGAGCTGTGCGCGGTCGGAGGAGGGTATATTGGCGAAGGCGGGAAAGGGGAGGGCGTCTGCGACAGCAGCCATAGTATCAGAGCTAAAAAGAGCCAGATGAGCGTGTTACTCAAGAAACGTTAAAGCAGACCCACCAACGCACCTGGGGCGACCGAGGTGAGGAGGAGGAGGTTGTTGGTTAATTCAGCTCACTGTGTGGTGACGTGGCGCCCGAGTCGCGTGACCCCTCCTAATTATTTTAAATTTCACATCTGTTGATCATCACAATCGTATGAAGTCCTCCCCGACAAGTAAATGATGTTCGACATGGTTCTCTATCGCAGGTTGACATTGAAGATGATCGGGCTTGATTAAATCGCACCCAGGCACCACAGTCGGGGATGACGAGGAGGCTGTGTGCCGATAATTCTAAGTACTCGGAGTGAAACAAATGCGAATATGGATAACATCAAGTCAATCTCAAAAGCGACAAAGGAGCAAAGGAGTGGATGAGGGCATCATATAAGTGTAGGGTGTGTTGGATCTATATGGAAGTCCGATGCAACCAACCATGTAATAAGCGGGGCTATATGAGGTACTTTGAAATAAATAGCCGTTTGGTGTGGTGACTAACGTGCTGCCTTACTGTCTACTGGATGCGAAACCTTTCAAGAAGGATGGGATCACGTCGTCGCCGCACCGCGAGACGGGCGGCGTCTGGCATCGTATGCGGAGCGTCATTAACATTGTCTTAGCAGATGCCCAGACACTCACCGAGCCGTCGAGGAGAAAATCTGCAATACGTCCCCATATACAAGGAGTCGCCAGAGTAGACGTCTGTTCAAGCAGTGGCAATTAGAGACTTCAAATAGAGACGGGAGAAGGGAGAATCGACGCACTCCAATCGGGGCTTGCGCAGTGACTGCCGACGCTTCCCGGAGGTTCGGCAGCTGCTCGTGAACGGGCACCAGCGGGTGCTCTTCGTCGATAATGACGAGGCGCTCCGGCGATGGTGACGGCGCTGAAGCGCACACGGCCTCCCCCGGCGGAGTTGAAGTTTGTATTGCAATGGGAAGACTGCAGAAAGTGACTGTTCCCCTACAGTGCTGAAGTTCGACAGGCGTTCCACTGCGCGGTAGGGCCAGAGGTGACACATGTACCTGGGTGATGGAACTGGGATGACGGGCCCTATAGTGAACGGGGTATCAACTAGAGTGGCGATGACCGAAGAGGTTTACCACTGTCACTTACTCAGCTCTGGCGCAATCTGCGCGTTAGAAAGGAGGTTGGCCAAAGTTGGGAACGTAGTCATCTCGCGGGAATCGGGTTCCAGTGTAAGGTCTCCACAGACTATGGGCATCACGTCCAGGATCTCTCCCTGCATGAAGACATTATAATTCGCCAGTTCTGAGAGCAAAATACTGAGCATCTATGCTTTATGGTCAGCACAGACTCGGCGTGATCCCCGACGTGTGACTTGCCTTGTTCTCAGACTCATTTCCACGTTCACCGGCATCAGTATGCTGCTTCATAGCACTGTTTGTATGGCGGACATGCCGAGTCCATTGCTGACATGTTTAGTTGAGCGAAGGTTTTTGTCTCGGAACGGAGGTAAATACCGAATAGGAGTGCTCGTTGGCGTACGCATATGGGTTGCGCGGACTCTGCAGCACAATGCGGCCGGCACGCTAGCACGGGGGGCCTCGGTCAGGCGCGGGGACGAGCAACGACGAAGATGGACATCCGTACCTGGGGGAACACTGCAGAAGACGGCGATCAGCCATCGCCCACTAATGGACGAGTAGTATCAGAGTCGACGCACGTTTCAGAAAATAGCTGCCAATCAGCGACGCCTGCCCTGTCCCCAGGAAGTGGACGGGCCTGCCGGGCCCGTCGAGCGCATCCGCGAGCGCGGCGAGGTCGCGCGCCGTCGCCGCCGTCCCTACGTACTTGACGAGACGGGCGTCCATGGTCTCGAGACAACGCCGCAGGATCGTGGCTTGGAAAGTGGACCACAAACGCACGTCCTGCTCGATCTCGTACGTGGCGTTCCGTTCGAGCTTTCTCCCGCGGTTCGGGTCACGCTTGAGCGACTGGGCAGTCTCGACGAGGATGTTGTAGCGTTCCCCGTCGCTGAGTGCACAGTGAACCTGCCCGGGTCTTTGAAGGGAGATTAGAGTTATAAAGTTGCTTGAAAGGAGAGTGGCTGAAGGCCTGCTGAAGATACGTACATGGTCGCACCGGCTGGATCGGGCGCGCCGCGGACTCGCCACGTCACGATGTCGAACGTATCCCCCGTAAGACGCCTTAGTGTCAAGGCTCGCTCTATGAATGCATCATGGGAGAGTTTCGCGTATTCATTAACGTTCATGGTACTTCCGCCTGCGAGGTCTGCGCGTTGTCCGTTCAGCGCCAACGATACGTTGCGCTCGAGTGAAACACGCACCTGGGCTGAGGAAGATCGTCCCTCTGCGAGACTGGGCAGAGCGTGCTGGCAAGCGGGTGTAGTACACCCTTCCCGTCCCTGCCGACCGGTCCCCGTAGTCCAACGGGACCCCTAGGAACCCGCACTCCAGGCCCAGCGAGTCGTCAGCCGGAGGTGAGCCGCTCCAACTATGCCACTCCCGGCATTTAACCGGCCGGAGTTCTCCAACAGCAAGAGGCTCGATATCGGCCACGGCAAAAGGGACTACATCCTTGACTATGAACGCATGCTGGGAGATGCACGACTCAGGTTCACGACGACGACGAAGCTGCGACAGACACTCACCTGAGCAGACTCTTTTGGTGGCGACCATGAAGTCGCCCCCGTGTGAAGACCTGGAAGAGCAACTGCCAGACACAGAGCCCGTCGCAACGAGAACATGTCTGAGGCCAGGGGAGGGGATAGTATCTGGGAAAAAGGATGAGATGTGGCATCTCCATATATAGAGCATCGAGCTTTAGAGTTCCTCACTGTGCAGTTGGACGCCGAGGTACTAGGTGCGCATACGCACGCCACGAGATGCAAAGAGATGGTGTACGTGGAGTGCCAAACCTTAGAACCGCCAAATCAAGATGCAAAGGGAACGCTCAGGCCTCAGGGGTCATGGTGTCCTTCTCGCTCTCGGAGTACCTGATGCCAGCAAGAAGCGGCATAAACGCCGTCAGTCTTGACAGTTTCATCGATGGCCGGAACAGCACTCACCGGAATATCGGAGCTTGGTCCTACGGGCGTATCGCCTGCGGGAGAACAAAGAAGAGAACCGCAGACTGGGTTTGATTTTGGGAGGCGTGGCGCTGCTCGTATCTTTGTCATGTTGAAGGCGCAATTAGAGTTGGAGTGGAGGCGATGGTCGGGGGAAGTCAGCGTCCTAGGCGAGAGCAAGGGCGTGATTAACCAAGGAAAAGACAATAAATTAGAGGTATTGTACTCCATCGGTCGACGTGGCTACAGAAACAAATGAGATGAGAGCATGACACGTGGCGCAGACAGAGCGGACCGGGAGAGGAAGCTCTGCATCCGAAAAAAAGGATAGGGAGTGCGAAGGAGTGGGGGGGAGACACATGTTGTGGTGACGGACGAGGTGGACTAGTTAGGGATAGAAGGTGGTGGTGGTGCGAAGGAGCGTGACGTGACGAAGGTGGCCGAGGGTGGAACAGTCACAACAACGATCGTGGGATAGAACAACGCACATCAAGAACGTACGAAAACAAGCATGTGCGACCAGAGTACGAATCGAAGATCACATACAAGGAAAGCCGGATCTGCCCATGTTGACAAACATCTTTGTGTCAGCGTGCACCTAGAACAGACAGACGAAGTTGCTGGGGAAGATATGGCGGCCAGGCTGTCTCCGGCCTTCGTCCAGCAGTTCGCCGCTCCACCAGCCGTCTTCTGGCGTGGCGGTGACTGCGATGATGTCGCCCTCTTGGAAGTCGAACTCTTCCTCGATCGTGGCACGGTAGTTGTACATCGCCTTGACTGTGACAGAAACAGTCAGCGTGAGCATGGGCCATCAATCCCAATAACATACCATAGAAGAGCACGCCACGACCATCGTCGGTATACTGCCCCGTGGGTGGGGGCTGGTTTCCTGCTGGGGCGGCTGGCGGCTGCGGTGACGGTGCTCGTACTTGCTGGGGTTGCTGCTGGGGCGGCTGCTGGGGCGGCTGATAATACCCGTTCATGGAACCACGATTCGAAACGACGGCCAGCGAGCTGTCTGTCGACGGGTACCCAGTGTGTTGGGGTGGCTGCTGGTATCCTGGGTATTGCTGCTGAGGTGGAGGCGCACCATATTGCGCCTGCTGTGGCGGCGGAGGCTGCTGGTACGGAGGTTGCTGGGCGGGTGGTGCACCATACGCAGGGGCACCGGCGTACTGCTGTTGGGCCGGGGATGGCGCGACGTACGGCGCACCATTTGGGCCGGCGTTGTAGCTCGGCCGGCGTTGCATCTGCTTCTGCTGTGCGGGCGGCGCGCCGAAGTTCTGTGCGGGCGGCTGCCCCGCTGGAGGGCCTTGTTGGGGTTGACGGAACTGGGAGGCCATCTCGTCTGCCACGACGCGCCCACTCGGATCGAGCTGGATGCCGATGCCGGGGCTTGTCGGGCGCTGTTGATGGGCGGGCTGCTGGGGGATCGAGATGGAGCCCTGGCGGGCGTTGGAACCGGAATGTGTATGGCCTTGACCGGTGGGTGGGCGACTGAAGCTATTCCGGTGCACCGCGGCGGGACTTGCGCTGCGTGAGATCTGCCCGAATGGTTGAGGACTCGGGCTCCGCCCCTGCGCACCGATGCCCGCCACGCCGCTGGATGTCGGCCTCGCAAGCTTGCCTCTTGAGGCTCCGAGATACTGTTCGAGCGGCTGTTTGACCTGCTAATGGACTTGCGTTCGCCAGGAAGGGACTGCTGATAATCGGCAAGGACGGTTTGGACAGACATGCCGCCAGGACCAGTCGATTGAGGGGGTTTCATGAAGACGTTAGTTATTGGGTTGGGAGAAGCAGGCCGTGACGTCGCTGCCTGTGGAGGAAGCGAGCCAACGACGAACTCGGCAGACTTGCGGTAATCGCGGTTGGTGGCTGGCGCTCCACCTGGGGGAGGAGACAGCTTGCCGGTAGGGTCACGGCGAGACGCAATCGAATCAGGAGGAGACTGCTGTCCCGAGGGCGCCTTGAATTGCCCGCTGCGGCGCACAGTGCCTTGGCTCTTCAGCTCATTCATCTGCCGGGCAATCGGGTCATCGTCTTGTCCCACCCGGGGGTTCATCTGAGAGCCGTTCGACGTCGGACCGACGTGAGCCTGGGGATCCTTGGCGAGGTCGACTTCGTAAGTACCAGCACCGACCTTCAGCATCGTTCGCGCGGTGGGGTCAATGGGGTCGGCCTGAGGATCCGCAGGACGCATACCCACATTCGGTGTTGCGCGGCCATTCGTCATCGAGCCACCGTTCGGTGGTTGCATCTGGTCCTGCCTCAAACTCTGCCTGCTGCGTGTGTCGACATTGGAGAGCTGTGGTCCCGTCCCTACACCTGTCATGTTCACTGGATCCTCCTCAGGCTCTGGCGGACCCTGCTGAGGGGGTAAGGGCTGGCGAGGGCGTCTTGACTGGCGGACGAAGGAGGATGAGTGGGTAGTGGGGCGCTGTGACGAAGCGGGCTGCGCATCGGGGCTGGAGTAGTCGATGAACGGAGGGGGGTCAGGGATAGCGCCACCGGTTCCATAGTCGCGTACGAAGCCTTCCATATCCCTCTCGACCTCGAGCTGTTCCAGTGCGAGACGAAGCATCTCACAAGACTACGACCGACACGAGGTGAACAGGGAAAGCGGTGGTAACGTTGAATGCATGCTTACCTCGTCGTCAGACACACAGACCGTCGACACTGCATTCGCATATGCCCACATGTTGTCCTTCATGAACTCGATGCGCTCCTCCTCCAAATCCTGGCAAGTATCGCAGAACTCCTTCCAACTCCGCTCCCACTTTTGCATTGTGTCCTGCAGCGCGCGCGCGAAGTTGGCGTAGTCCCGCTGGTTTGCTTGTACAGTCTGCTGCGCGCGTTCGAGCTTCATGTGCACCTTCTCGAGATCGCGGCCCTGGATAAGGGTGCTTTGGGCGGTGTAGGAGTTGATGCGCATGCAGTCCTGCTCGTACTTCTCCCGGGCACGAGCGACGTAGCCCTCTTGCGTCTGCTTGTTCTTCAGATCCTTTTCGATCGCCGCTTGAGGACCACGCTTGTGCTGCTGCTGCTTCTGAATGAAGTTCTGGGATGGTACTTCGAGTTCGGCCTTGATCGCCTGAGCAACAACCAAGTGGGACGCTGCCTGCTTCTCCGTCTCCTGCTTCAAGGTGTCGATGGCAGCCCGGAGTTCGCTAGGGGAGTGTCGGTTGGGGTGTGAATGAGCCGACGATGGATACGCACCCAATCTCATCCCTGCCCAGCGTGAATTTCGACAGACCCGCCAATCGTTTCGCGTACTGCTCTTCGATAATGGCCCTGGAGGTGCCTTAAGAAACGGACAGCGAGGTAGAAGAGAGAGCACACACCTCTCTTTCCAGAAGTTCTTTAACTCCTCTACTGTCCTCGCGCCTCCGCGCATCCGCGCAAACAGAACGTCCGCTCCACCATCGCCGAGGCCCCAGAACGCGTTGCAAAAGTCGTTAGAGCGTGAAGTAGGATCGGGGGAACCAGAGCGAGCAAACTGCGAGAGAGAGGTCGTGGACGCCTGTCGCCGGGCAGACATCGTGGTCGTCGTTGTACGGGGGTAGGCTCTCGATGTTTCGACAGTAGTGGCAGGCTGGGAGAGGTTTGATCTCCGACGATTTACTTGCGTTTCGGGGTTTCAATAACTCTTCACAGTGCAGGCCCAGAGATCAAGCGCCGCTTCCGCCCTTTTGATGTTCATCAACGCATCCATGTCGCCCTGCTCCTGCCGTACCCTCACACCGCCTATGTCTCACAGCCATGTCATTTTGCATATCACTGGTTTCATCCAACGCTTCGGCCGACCAATGATTCGTGTCCCGCACAGTTTTGAAACAGTGACGCGGCGTAGCATGGATATCCATAGGTCTCCGGGTATGCAAGCGTTTGTCCGCAGTCCGATGTGCAAAATGCCGAGCACAGCTGCAGCCTGCGACTAGTCGCGCATCGCCCTGACAAGCCCTTCCAGCACCGTGACTCCGCTCCTCACCGCGTCCACCACGACCACCTGCTCCCCAGCGCAGCCCCCGCGGATGGCGCGTTCCATGCCGCTCATCCCAGCGCACCCCATGATAATCGTCCGCGCCCCTCTCCCGACAATCTTCGCCGCCGCCACGCCCAACGCTCCTGTTACGATCTCCGCCCGCGCCTCATGCAGCTCGAGCGCGCTCATGCCGGTGCTCTCCACGCCCACGAAGGCGCCGCCGAGGTCAGCCGACCCAAAACGGCTCCGCACCCCGTCGGTGAGCGCAGCCTCCCAGTACTGCCCCGTTGTCACGACTCCGAATGGCCGTCCGAGCGCGAGGGCGTGCATGATGGATGCCTCGAAGATCCCCAGCACGGGTTTCGTAGTATGCTCTCTGAGCATCCCCACCAAGGGATGGTCGGAGAAGCATGCGACGAGAAACGCGTCTACTTGGTGGTCTTCGGCCTCGCCGAGAAACGTTTGCAACGAGGCGAATGTGTGCGCGGCCGAGAGGACGGAGGTCGTAGAGTCGTTGACCGATGGCGGTGACTGGTCTGGGCCCGTGTGGTACCGCAGACTCAACGCCGGGTGGGTGAGGTTGGCGAGGATTGGCTCCAGAGCTGTTGTCATCGACTGCGAAGAGTTCGGGTTGATGATGACGATGGAGATCAATCCTTCGGCGCCGTTTGACATGTCGTTGGTGGTCGGATGAGGGTGTGAGCACTGAGCGCTTGTGTTGCGCCGTGTGATGTTGGTATGAAGATGAAGATGAGACTCCTGGGAAGGAGACCCCATGAGCTGCCTCACTTAAGAGCTGAGAGTGAATATCTCGTGTCAGCAGACCCGCCATCTGCCATCGGTTCGCAGGCTTTTACTAGTCAGTATCTTCTTCCGTCTATCTGGAGACTTGTATCCAACTTTATCAATATCGAAGCCCGACTCCAGACGCTCGTAGTCGTAGTATGTAATAACCAACTGGATTCGTCAGGTTGGGAGTTTTAGCGGTATACAGGTAGGCATATCCCTTGGATGATATCACTGCCTCTGTGTTTCATTGTTTTTACTTACTTCTATACTTACACTGAACGAGGAATGCAGTTGGTCATATATAGGTCGGCAGGCTTGAGCACACTAAGCGTCGCCAACTCGACCCTACTCGACCTGGCGCGGTACATAGAGGCTCCGGGGGATTGAATGTCTAAGTATATCCAATTATTATGCGCTCTTACCGGGCGTGCCGGCCCGCCAACGCTATGAAATCCGCCTTTTGACAGCAGTCTCCCCTCTGTGGCTTTCGCTCTTTGTGTCTCCTCCTCGCAGGCTCAAGAGCCTGGCATCTGCAACCATTGCTTCTCCATCCAGAACCGCTGCCTCTACCCTCAGGAACAAACTCTCGTCAGCCACACAAAGAGTGCACTGTACGCCAATCCGTCGCATTCAGTCGTCCTACACCCGACACACCATCTCAGAAATCTCTCCGACTCGACATCCCAACAAAAAAGGCCTCCGCTGGGTTGAACCTCAAAGTCTGGCCGAGCTGGAAGTGGCGGATCGCCTCTCAGCCGTCTACTCGACGCGCGTGCGCAAGCTCACCAGTCGCCGCTTCCCCATCCCCGTCTCGGACAACATCACATTTCGACTGCTTCTCGCAAACCTAGTCATGAATGCCCAGGAAGAAACCTCTACTCCGGCGGTGGAGATACTCCCTAGCAATGACAAAAACCCTTCGTCCGTAGGGCTGAAGAAGGTGACCCCGTATTGGCACCCGTACACGACGATGGCGAAGGGACGGTGGCTGGGGCGGGAGCTGCTGGAGGTGGTGTCGACGGAGTACCGGGACCGTTCGATGGACTTCTATGTGCGTTTAAGCTATTTTCTCTTCAGCCTATGAAAGTTTCAACTTTCATTTGTGGGTGGCCTGCGTACGATAGGCGGCGACGTGCTCGGCGCACCCCGGCCCTTCAAGACCATGTATGTTGACAACTATCGCGGTTGCAGCGATACGCCATCGAATCGGGAGTCACCACCATCAACGGTGTTGTCGCCAAAGCCGACCACATCTTCCAGAACGGCGATAGACTCGAGTCAGTGCTAGTCTACTTGCACCATGCATGGGACGCTCATTTTGTGTATGCAATTTGTAGGAATGTCGTGCATCGACACGAACCAGCGGTCACATCAACGCCAGTGAAGATCCTTCATCATGACAAAGAGCGCGGCTTTATTGTAATCAATAAGCCTGGTTCGATTGTGAGTACACCTACCTCTGTCTGGTTCCAGCATTTACCGACGACGTCACATAGCCGGTCCATGCTACCGGAAGATACTTCTACAATAGTCTGGCGGAGATCCTCAAGAACGACTTTGGCTTCGAGAAGCCGTACAGTAAGTTTTGGATCATTCTTGAGTTAACGCTCTCATTCATGGCGAGAACATAGCTGTCAACCGATTGGACAGGCTAACATCGGGACTCATGATACTACCCCTCAACGCGAAGCTCGCTACCAAGCTCACCGAGGAGTTCGTGCAAGGGAAGGTGAAAAAGGAATACATTGCGCGTTGCGAGGGGAGGTTCCCCGAGTAAGCACCACACATGTCCTCGATTCCCCTCAGCACGTTGACTCTACGGCAGGGAGGACGTGGTCTGTGAAGAGCCTCTCCTCACTATCGACAGGCAGATGGGATTGAACGTCGTTCACCCTGAAGGAAAGGTGAGTTTACGCGTCTACTTCCTGGTCTCGACCTGATATACATTCATGTAGCCCGCGAAAACCCTCTTCAGGCGCATACGATACGATGAGTACAACAATACCAGCGTAATCCACTGTGAGTCCATAGTTCTGTATTTTGATTATGTCTGTGGCTGACGACATTTCTACGCAGGCTTCCCTCAAACCGGTCGATGTATGCGCCTCTCTAGTCTTTGGGTAACATCTGGCTAACACGATGGGGGCAGCCCACCAGATTCGCGTACATCTCCAGTTTCTCGGACACCCGATCGCAAATGACCCTCTCTATTCGGACCCAAGGATCTGGGTGAGTGCAATCCTCACGACCTCCCTCTCGCTCTGCTTAGACTTGTTCCGCACGATGTAGGGCGATAAATTAGGGAAGGGCGGCATCGACACCACCCCCAGCGACGAACGCTCCGCTCCCCAGGCGCCCGCGCACCTCGTACTGGACGGCCCGAACCCTGAGTCCCTGTCCCCGAGCCCAAACCAGTCCGGCGACGCGCCGCCTTCGACCGAACGCAAACTCTTCCCTCGCGAAACCGGCCACGACATCGGCATGGGCGCCCCAGTGCCGCTGTCGGCGCAAGCGGTGGACATCATCACGCGTCTACGCAACATGAAGGACGAGGACGAGGATTGGGGTCGCTGGCGGGACGTCGTCTTCCGCGCGAAGGGCAAACTGATGCCGAGCATCCTGCGCGCGCCCGTCCTCCATGAACCGCCTCCGAAGAAGAGGGCGGGCAGGCGGAAGGAGAAGAAGGCCGCTGCGGCGGCGGCGGCGGCCGAAGCGGAGAAGGCGGCTCTGGAGGAACCTACCGACGCGACTCCGGCCCCGGGTACAGACGTAGCGGTGGAGGAAGACAATGCCACCGCGCCCCAGGCAGAGGCGACACCGGTCGCAGACTCCGCCCCCGCTGAGGACATCAACAAGCCCGCGCAAATCACTGAGGAAGATGTGATGAAGCTTGCTGCGGAGGACGCTTCGGCCGCATCTCAAGCACCACCCCCTGCCCCGGAGTTGATTGTGGACAAGAACGGGATGTACTACTGCTCAGAGTGCTTTGTTCCGTTGCACGAAGACTCGAAGCCGGAGACGTTGTACATCTTCCTACACGCACTACGGTACACGACGAGTCTGGGAACATTCGAGACGGAGATGCCGGAGTGGGCTGCAGAAGGCTGGGATTGGGCGCGATAATGGTATCACATCGAGATGCTGACTCGCAATACGCGACAGTTGTGCACCGTTCTAACATATCACTACCCAGGGCACCAACAGTGCTATAAGCTTTTGATCACCATCTATCCTAGCTCCGCTTTGAGTCTTCCCGATCTTGGGTCAAAAGCGTTTAAATCCACGTCCTTCTACTCCTCGTGCTCCTCCGCCCGCTCCCACGTCTTCTCGGCAGCGTCGCGGACATAAAAAACATCCAACAGCGAGCGCGCTGAAGACGACGTAGCCGAGGTTGCCGCCGAGCCAATTGTGCTCCAGCGACGACGCAAAAAGCGACGTGGACGCCGCAGGCCCGATTGCGCGCGCGACCGACGCGAGCACCTGCGCGATCCCGTTCACCGCGCCCAGCGACCTGCTGTTCGGCGCCGACGAGTGCACGTACATGAACACCGTCCCTGACGCGTCTCCGTCAGCAATGGTGCCACTGCTTGACACACAGACCGCTGAGAGACTCACCGAACGACATGTCCATGATGCACAGCATCGTGAGCTGCAGCACGATGAGCGCCCACACGGTAAGGTCACGTCGCCCGCGGCACGCGCGACGGCGCTGATCGCGGGGAAGAGCGCGAACATGGGACGAACGCGACAATGCCCGTGCGGAAGATCGTCTTGGGGCCCCAGCGGTCGACGGCGGGCGCGAAGCAGAACGCCTGGAAGAGCCGTCGAGCACGCCGACGGTGCCGAGGATGATGCCGATCGTCGGCGGAGCCATTCCAAGGCCCCCAGGCGATGGGCGTGGAGAGGAAGAGCGGGAAGAGGGCGAACCAGCCAACATCGATGAGGGCGAGCGCGCCGTAGTGAGCGACAGAGAGCAGGACGGGGCGGATGAGGAGCGACCGGAGAGGGGGAGGGGCGTCCTCGTCTCATCAGAAGCGACGGCAGTGGAGGTCGCTGGAGTTGAAGGAGCGGTCTGGGAGGAAGAGGGAGAGCGGCTGGAAGGGGAGGATTCGACAGACCGACGACGTTTGGGAAGGTCTAGGAGAAGGGCACAGTCAGGTGGGTGATGTTCGAGAAAAAGGACGGAGACAACTTCTCTCAAAAAGACGGCGGTGATGATGAAGCAGACGGCGGTGAAGGCAGATGCGACTGCGCAGGGGAGGAAGTAGGGGTACTTGCCCCAGAACGGGTGTGAGAAGAGGTTGGGCCATTGGTCCTGCGGGCGCGCCAGGATACCTCCTATCATAGGCCTGTAATCGAGGTTAATGGCTTCACAAAGCGGGTGGAAGCCACATACGCGATGGTCGCGCCGAGTGACCAAGAGATCGGCAGGCAAGCGAAGCCTTGCGCCATATTAGTGGAATCAGTGAGTTCTGAAAGTGCATAATGAGCACAACGATGTTGTAGCGAACGACTCGCACGCACCTCCTATGACGCTCTTCATGACCCGGTGTTCCCGTTGAGCACACCAACAAGGCTCCGGCTGTTGAAGCCGTCATGATTCCAAGACCTTCGACCATCGCGCTCGGAACTCACCTAACAATCAGACCAATGAAGGTCGGGACAGCCCAAAACACAGCATCGAAATTACGACGCCAAAGAGGCCGACGAGCAGCACCGGCTTCCGACCGATGTGGTCCGATAGACGCGCCCATGGAAGACGAAAAGGGCCTCTGTGGCAAAGAAAATCGATTCCTACCACCAGAACATTAGTATCGGCGTCACAGCACAGCAATCCGAATCAAGAACTTACGATCATCCCGGCGTAGTAGCCCACCTTCTTGGGATCTCCGCCCGTGATGTCGAGTTCACTGATAAGCTACACGTTGAAGGAAGCATCGGACGTCAGCACTAATAATCACGTATGCGACAACGAAACGAGAGTACCTGGTTGATGAAGGGAAAGATGGTCAGCCCACTCATGGGCTCGCTGATGTGCAGCAGCATGACGATCCCTATCTGCACCATAGGCAGGGGTGTCTTCTTCTTGGGCTCGGCCGGGGCCCGAGCCTCCGTACGGACCTTCGCAAGGAGGGGGGCGGTCTCATCGAGGTCCTCCATGACGCAGTCTCCGTTGGACGTAGTAAATGCAGGAGCGAAAATGTACTGCGCTCCAGATGGGACACGAAACGAGCGAGTGGGAGCCGACGCGCTGCTCTGCTTATATGCACTGAACACCTGTGGGCGTTTGGTTGCTGGTCTTGTAAGGGTCCAATACGCGATACGGAATTGGCTCACCGAAGTCCGGAATGACTCCGCGCGAAGTTCCCGAGCAAGCTCAGAGTCGAGGTCTAGCCACCAGAGTGGAGTGGAGGGCGCTTCAGTAGGTCTGGAATTCAAAGCTGGAAAGAAGTTTTTGCTAGAGGATGAGTCATTCCGTCAACTTGAATTGCAAAATCACGTAAGCTTACCTCGATGCCGGGAAGGGGATTACAGAGCTTCAGACCTCTTGGAGACAAGGCAAGAGCTCCGGGGCAAGTCTGAAGTGGTGCAAGGTCAGTACGAGCTGCGCACAATCTTTTGTGGCCTCCGATCACCGGTGGCGGAAGTTGAATCATTGAGCCCAGAGGCCGGGTTTGTCGGAGCCGCGTGGCTTTACGCTTCACGCGGGCCCGTTGGAAGACGGATCGGCGGCATTGTGCTAGCCTTACAGTAAATCTGGGTATATCCTGCATGAAGTATGTAAGCAGGTCTGCTAGTCAACCACGAGTACAAGTGCATGCCAGGTCTGTCAGACGCCGACTTGAGTTTTGCTGGTTCAGGTGTTCAACGTTCAACGTTCAGCGCTAGCCGGCATCTCAACAAATCAAGGCGCTGATTACCGCTTCTGAAGATCTGACGGCCGGCCTGTCTTGCACGTCGCGTGAAACGACGGTTTCTTTGTAGTTTCTATAAGGATTGTGGAATTCCATAGCTACTAGTACTGCGAGTAAAGCTAAACGTGAAATATGATAAAACATCACTCAGCGATGCCTCTCACTCTATCTGCACGTCTGCCTGAAGCACGTCAAATCGCCCTCCACTGAGACACACTCGGGGCCGCTCCAGGCTGGGTTGGGTCGGCGCTGGGACAGGGGCGGGCGAGGCGCTCCTGCCTTCTGGGCTGACAACGAACGACGAGAATCCGCCGACGCTGCACACGTCTCTTCCAGGTAGCTTCCAGACGGGCGACAAGGGCGAGTAGGCAGTCTTCCCCGAGAAGTTCAGCTTCACTGTTGTATCTCCCTGGATGGCCGGTTCCACGACTTGGGTGCTGATGTCCAAGTCAGTGAACGTCTCAATACGGGGTGGGGAAGTGGAGACGGACGGAAAGGGGGATGACCGAGGTGCAGGCAAAGTTTTTTGCGCATGAAAAGCGTAGAACTTGGGCACCCGTTGATCTTCGTAGGGGATACGAGGCATCTTCAGAGGTAGGGGGACAAAACTTGAAGGAGAACGTTCCCGTATGCGTAAGCTGGATTCGCCTTCCAGCGCGTCGGCACTGGTCAGGCTAACAACTGATGAAGACGAAGCCGATAGTTGGCGAAGGCGCTTTTGCCGTGCCGCATCTGCGAGGTCTTGGAGACGAATGTTCGTGGTGACCGACAGCAGACTGCCGCGGCTGAGGGCAGATTGAGCGCGCCGACGCTCGCTGTCATCGTTGTCGATGGCTTTGCCCCGCCCGATGCTAGAGGAGGGTGCGCGATGCACCGAGGCCGCACGACGCTCGCGAGGCTGCATCATGGAGGTTGATATTGGCTTCTCGGAGAATGCGCGTCTCCTGGTGGGGAGAGTAGTAAGCGTAGAACGCGCGGCTACCTCTGCGTAACTGCGAAGGGACGTCAGCACATGAATTATGCCCATTCGCGAAGCACCCACGTCGGACGACCTCTCGCAGCCAAACCCTTGCCATTGCGGGAATCTTCGGACAGACGAGGTGCGCTTGGAAGCGGAGGCAGAGCCGGAGATGTCGGGATGACCTGAGGGGCGCTTTGCGTCCGCCCTCTGACGACCGCTGCGAAGCTGCGCTCAAGCGCAACGTGGGTAGTCGGGCGTGCGTCTACCCCACGCCTGTTCCGGCCGACCTCGGAGAGTGGGCGACGGATCTGGAGGTCATCGCCGAGCGGAGGGCAGACGGCACTGTCGATGATGTCGCGGTCGAGGCGCGCGCGAAGCGGCGGGAGGCTAGCGCTTAGTTCAACGGAGATCTCGCGCAGCTCGCGTCGAGGGCCACTACTTCGATCGTCAGTCCGGATGATGCGGATGAAGAGGTCGATGCTTACATATTCTCGCTATACTGCTCTGCTGCGAGTGCAGCGAGATTTTCCATGCTGCGCCGGTCAAAACTTGAGTGCCGCCTTGACCTGCTGGGTCTGGCGGAATCGTTGATCATCGACAGTGACTTCTCGATGCCCTCGGGTTTAAGCGAGAAGTGCTGTCCCACCAGCCCTGTACGTTGAACGAGCACCTACATACATGTCATGAGCATCGGTGATGGAGTAATTGTGTCCACATATACGCACCCATGACGACCGTCGAGATGATTTCACTTGTAGAGTAGGAGTGGATGCAGAGACAACAGCCTCGTTGAAGACACCCGCTACACGGACGGTGGACGAAGAGGCATGATCGGAGTCGCCTTGACATCTGCCTTGCTCGTCATGGTCGATTGTCGGCGGTGGTGAGGTCCGAGTGAAAACGCCTTCTGGATACGAAGAAACGACAGGTGGGTCACTAGATACCGCAGCAAAGGCAGAGGCAGAGCTAGAGATAGCATTGGCCGAGAGAGCAAAAGTTTCGTCACCAGTCGAAGAGACAGAGACTCTTGAAGGAGCAGGAGCAGGAGCCGAAGAGACGGACAAGCGTTGCTCAACAGTAGACGCAGAATCTCCACAAGCCGGGCCGCATGTAGCAAGCATATCGGAGCCCGCACAGCAATCTTCGGAAGCGGGTGCTGTGTTTGTTTCGCGTTCCTGAGGTGAGCATGGCGTTGCACCGAGCTGTAGAAAGCCAAGTCCAATGCTTGATCCGTCTGAATCAACTTCGGGCGTCTGGTCGCGGTGAAGGAATAGGGGAGAAGAGTCCAGAGTAGGGGGCGATCTGAGCTTCGACTCTGGGCGCAACGTCGACCACCGCAACAAGGGGGACCGAGACATGTGGCCGCTGCTGTCCGAGCTTTGAACTCGTGAACCAACGCCCGAAAACCAGCGCGTTTGAGGAGTACTGGTTGCAGACACGTCCGAGGGTTCCGTGACTTCGGCAATGTCGCTAAGATTTTCAAAGCGAGGGTCCGTCCAGGGATGGGACGCGTAGTCTTCCGAACCCGAAGGTCCCGCGGTAGAGTCGTCGGACTGATCACCAGGGAGTGTGAGGGTAAGATAGCGAGAGGGGAGGTCGTCCAAGGAAACCGAGTTGTCGTGTGCAAAACACGTTGAGCTGTATGATGAGGCGAACGGCGGAGAAAACGACACATGTGATGCAGCCTGTGCGTCGGCGATCGTAGCCTGTTGGAAAGTCGTAGGCTGATTACAGGGGTGTAGGGCACGGGTTTTGTAGGATGTTACGCGATGAACTGGATGTATGCGTGCATTTGCACCCAGAGAAAAGGGAGACTCGTCATCGGGGTGGGCTTGAAATGGAGGAAGCAAGAGAGGCGTATGGCGACGAGCGGTGGGGGAGGGATAATGAGTGACACGTTCGTCTTGATTTGAGCCGACGCCTTTTGAGAATAGAACGGGAGTGCTCGTGAAATCCAGGACCGGACGCGTCTCGGCGAGAGGTTTTTGTGGGGGTAAGCCGTGGGGCACCATTGGGGGACAGACACCGCGATCCACAAGGTCCATACGAGAAGTCGCCAGGAAGACGTACCCAATGAGCCCCATTATTCCCAGTCCAAGAAGAGTCGCAAATCCAGGCGTAAAGCAGGACACAATCTCCACGAACGCCTCCACCACAGGTCCAAGTCGTTCATCCGAGTATGTTACCGTATCTTGGGTCCATTCTTGGGATGCAGAGGTATTGAGAAAGACTATGCCTTGAGATATCTTGAGAGATCCTTCTGGCAGGGTCTTTGGAGGCGCATAGTGGGGCAGTCGATATTGAAATGTAAGGATGGATTGAGCCCATGGCGGTGGTGTGTCGAAGATGATGAAAAAGAGAGGGACGGCCGATGCCAGCATGCTGAGTATGCTATCAAGAAACATGGTGTGTGCGGGAAAGAGGTAGCGCAGTGGAGGGATATCGCTAGAGGAGGTGGAAGAGAGAGAGAGAGAGAGAGCGGTTCGGCGTCTCCCCTAAAGGGAGATACCCCGGAACCCCACTTAGACAAGCCCAGTCGCGGAAGAGAGAAGTACAGCTGCGTGCAGAAAGCTTGTCCAGGCGCTGAAAACCGCGACGCGCGTCGCGAGAAATGGGAAATTAAATCGAAATGGTCGAAAAATCGCCAACGGTGACGCGAGCGCGTTTCTTCTCCCCCTTTCCCTCGTTAGATCCCCCGACGTCCATAGAATGTTGAAGAGCGCATCAGGCGCGTGTTTGGGTATGGTATGACGCTTTTCCGCGTCCTCAACGGCCAAGCTGACGTGTTTCGCGGCAGACTGTGGTCTGGTGGTGGTACACGACGATCTTATCCCCGTCTGCCACCTTGGCGCCCCGTGAGCCACCCCGAGGCTGAAATCGTGCCCATGAAGCATGCGTCTGCGATGCAAGGAACTTGTCACATCTATGGCGACTGTCGAGAAGGCGTTGGCGGAGGTGCAGGAGCGGGTGGGTACGTGTGCTCAAGAGAGGATGCCGCCTTCGGTGAGTGCCCCATTGATATCATGCGTCCCCCCTGTCGTCACAGCATAGTTATACTGTCGCTGTGATCTATGGCGTAAGACGTTTGTATGCCCAGATTTTTGTGGCTACATTGGGAGAGTCCGTGGTAGTTCACGGTGCAGCTCGCGCTCTCACAGACACTGCCGTCCTCGCTTCGTGCTCCCAGCTTCATTGTCACGAGGATGCTTCAAGTCCTCATTACGCGGAACAGTTGGTTGGGTGGTAACGAGCTGGAGGGCTCTCATAAACCCATAGATAGAGGGGATGTACAGTACTTGTAGGATGTACATGCCTTCCAGTTTCGCCTTGCCATTCGAGTGTTCACCCAGCCCTCCGAGCGACACCAACTGTTCAATAGGCACCTGTTACTTATGCGAAACTTGAGAGGCCGTCTGGAATCAGGGACCATGTGGTTGCGCCCACGATTCTGGAAGTAAGCTCCGGTCACGGGGAGTACATGACGTCTTCGGTGTGGCGCAGGAGACGTCAAACCGCCCAAGAACTCAGCCATAAGAATATATTCAGCTTCCTATACATCGTCAGACACGTTTCGAGGGGTGGCAAGGTGGCAGACGGGTCGTGTACCACCACCAGACCACAGTCTGCCCGAAACACGTCAGCTTGGCCGTCGAGGACGCGGAAAAGCGTCATACCATACCCAAACACGCGCCTGATGCGCTCTTCAACATTCTATGGACGTCGGGGGATCTAACGAGGGAGAGGGGAGAAGAAACGCGCTCGCGTCACCGTTGGCGATTTTTCGACCATTTCGATTTAATTTCCCATTTCTCGCGACGCGCGTCGCGTTTTTCAGCGCCTGGACAAGCTTTCTGCACGCAGCTGTAGGGACTTGGCGACTGAGTGAGTCCTTCGATCAGCACGTGTGCGTGTCATTTCTGAACTGTAATTTGACCTTTGCTTGAACTACTACCACTTGGTCTTGCACTGATCTGCAGGCGTATGGTCTTCGCAGTCGTTAGTTAAATAGAACGATGAAGGGGGGCGCACGGAAATTGTTCAAGGTTTTATTGCAGCCAACAAGATCGCGCGTCGCGTGCTCAGTGCGACGCGGGCTCCGACCTATGTGGCCCCCGGTTCGACCCTGTGCACGACGACGCCAGGCGTTCATTCAAACAGCATCTAATTTGATGGAGCCCAGTACGTCCTCCTTGAGGCATATAACTCGCCCAGATGCCCGGGTCCATTCCAACACCATTAGCTTACGTCTGTGCGCCAACTTCTTCAAACTCGCGCTGCTGTCCGCGGAAGCAACCATGACTATATGCACGACCATGTCGGCCACCCTCTCCCATTGTTCGTTCTTCGCTTATACTTCGGCTTCACAAGTTTGGACTAGGATGCGCTTATTGCGTTTTCCCAGCTCATCCCCATGATAGCTTGAGGATCACCGCGACACGCAATACATATGCCCCCCCCCTGCACTGGAGGGCTAGCAAGCCCGAATAAGATGTAAGACGTCCTCCAGAATGGCCTTGTATACGCATAACGGACCTCCTGACCCTGGCACCGGCCTGAGTGCCGAGATGTCAGTGGTTGGGCCACCAAGGTACCGTAGTACCGTACGTTGTTCATGGACGCCCTTTCCTCCGCACGACCTCCTGAGTCTTTATTGTTCCCCAGCGGCACAACAGATGCGGCGCACGATGTTGTTGTACATCACGCACTGTGACCATGCACAGGAAGCCACGGAACGGGCCAGGCCGGTGCACGGGAACAACATCGTCCAAATTCGTCGTCCTCACGGCCATGGCACAGACGCCAAGGATAATCTCGATAACACCGCTGGCCTTTTGTGTCTAGTGCCACCTCGGGTCCCTTGACGATGAGCTGTTGTTCCTCGTGTGCAGCGTGAGTAGCTTCTTCTGATCGTGGTGGACCCACAAATCGCTCTATATGTACGGCGACTTCGTGCCGTACATACACACTGAGTACAACCTCGGCTGCACGCCCTTGCACGCCTCGAGCCACCTGCCTCCTCCCTGCGTTCGGAATTGCTTCCTCGTGTATCATACCCGGACGCTTCTCCCGAAATGACTGCTCACCGAGAGACGCCAGGTCCTTCAGCCTATAACTCAATCCACCAGCTCACCGCTCCCGCCCGCCCCGTCCCTCCAGTCATCATCGACAATCTCCTCCTCCGGCGCCCGGACAGAAAGAGGTAAAGAGGTCATCCCAGAAACCACTCTTTTCTATCCACGGCACCGAAAAGGCATGGGAGAAAGCCCTTGAAACTTCGAACATCCAGCGCGAAGTCCCTCAGGAGTCGGTGCGGTTGGATGCGAAAAACGCTTGCTTCAGCCCAGACACGACACTTAACGACAATATGGCCTATGCCCCTCACGACCTTTCACGACCCTCACTTCGGCAACATCCTAGAAGCAGCCGCTCCCGCTCCTACCACATCGCCGTTCCTCACAGACCCCGCAAGTCCATCTACGATGTTTTCGGAATGTGGGGAGTTTCGAACCCGCGCGAGGAAGCCGGTGAAGAGAAGAATCTCTCGATCACGATGGACAAGTCCGTATGGCCGCACGAAGCAAGTGAGTCCGGGCCTCTCATGCCAGACGCCAACCTCCAAGCGCGCCAACGACTTGCGGACGTGCTTGGGCTCTCCCCTCTCCAACACCCCTTGGAAGCGGACGCTGTCAAGCCGCACACTTCCCCGGTGCATGGGCGCGTACGCGGGAAGACCTCCCGGCGCTTGCAAGGCCTCGCGGCCTCGCGGGGCCTTCGAGTGCTCGCTCCTGCAGCACCTCTCAATGCGGTACGCGCGGTCGGGCACGCCATCAGCCCACGCGGCGTGCGCGCGCCATCGTCGGAAGCCGTCGTTGGCACCGCGCGCAAGCAACATGGAGGCCGCGCGACGACGAGCAGGTGCCGCCCTGGAGTCAGATCCCAACCCTGGACCTCTCGACCCAATCGCGCGGGCGCCCCCGCGGGCGCGTTCCCGCTCCCGCCCCGGACTCCATTCCCCAGCCCGTGGCGGCAGCCGCTCCGCCACACGCACACGGCCACGCGCGCAAAGAAGAAGCGGACATGAACGCCACGACTAATGCAACGTTGCACGAGCACTCGCAGCACACCCCCGGCGCCATTCCCAGAGCTCCGGACTCACCTACCTTACCACGAGCCCACCGCCCCGCCAAGACGAGCCCGCGCCGCGCGAACAGCCCTTTTCCCCGCCCCTCGCTAGCTGTGGTGCCCGCGAGCCCGAGGTCCCACGGACGATTCGCACGCCGCGATCTGCGGAGGCGCGCGCTCCGCTCCTCTTCTCGTCATTCCTTCTGCCGTTCACGCCCTCTCTATCGCCCACCACGCCGCGCGCCCCCGAGCCGCGACATGAGCCCCTGCCACCGTCCCCTGTGTCTGTCCAGCCAGAGGACGACATGGATCCGGAACATGGGCTGAACAATCTGGCTCACGCAAACCTGCGAGACCATTTGGATACCGAGAACCTCGTGTGGCGCATCGACGTGTGCGCAGACGCGGTCGTTCAAACGTCCCTTGTGAGTGCATTCGTTTCTGCCTTGCTCGTACCATGCTAACCCCCTTGCAGTGTCTGCGGGCCTGCCCGCTGCTTAAAGATCCTGGCGCGATCGCCGAGCTGTGCGAGCACCGCTTGACGGAAACGCTGACGCGCATCCGTCGGGCTCTCGAGAAGACCCCGACAACTTCATCGTCCAAGGGGAAAGGCGCCACGCCTGGCTCACCAGCCACTGCCAAATCATGGCTTCTCTGGACAGGTGCGCTACACCCGCTTGTTCTCCCGCGAAGGCTCCCACTGATCGAGCACGCCCTCCAGGAACCTCGTCCACTTCTATCGGCTCGTGGACCATGTCAGTCACACGCCTCCCCGCATCCACCGCCTTGCGCGTGTCCTGGACAAGCTCGAGACTTACGACAGGAAGTTTGCGGATCTCGCCCGGCGCATCGCGATCTCGCACGAGAAGCTGCGCGCGATCGATCTGCGCACAGTGCATGAGTTCTTGGGGGGCGTCCGCCGCCAGGCGCGCCAGAAGCAGGCTCAGATCCGAGAAGACATCAGGGAGGCGAAGGTCGCAATCACGAACCTTCGCAGGCAGAGGGAGGATGTAAGCGAGGACGCGGACCGAGGGTCGGGGCCGGAGAGGCAGAGACAAAGGAGAGTTTAACGTTACCAATCACGAACCATCGACGCACGCAGGACCACAATGAAAATCTCTCATCGAAACACTGAACGAACCAAATCTCGACATGGACACGACATTGGAGGGTTGACGGACATGTACTCGATACTCCATCCAGGTGTAGCTCTATAACCTCGCCGCTCTTCACTCGCATTTGTACCACTCATATATTTCATCGTTTACATTTGGAAACTTCTTCATACTCTTACTAGGACCGCTCGCGTGCTACTCGGCACAGCGGGCATGTTGTCGTTCACTGTCGTCATCTTACGGTCTACTTTGCTCTTTTCCTGAACATTCTCTCCTCTCCTCGCGCGATCGCGGCCTCCCTCAGCCTCAAGATGTCGACGAAGGCAAGCGCGTGGTCCTATTTATTGAATCGGGCGAGAGCCTGGTATCGAGGAGGAGCTCGATCTCGGAGCTGAGGCCTGAAGTCTGTGGGACTGCAGGTCAGTGCAACGGTCCGGAGGCTTGGGCTCGAGGAGAACGAAGCCTGATGATCCGCTGCGGATGATTCAAGTGATGCGCCGGCGCAACTTGAGTCGCTGTGTGGCTTGGATTCCACGCTGTCGCACCGGAGGAAATGAATGGATTGAGCGAAATACGACACTTGCGCTCCCTTCCAGCGACGGTCAGATCCCCATGCACGGACGCGTTGGATGGCTTTTGAAAGGCAAGGCGTTTAGATATTGACGGAGACGTATCTGCTTGCACTGTGTTCACTGAAAATCTTTGCGACGTGAAGCAGTGGACATCATATTTCAAACGCACGAGCAGGTTGACATCACTGTAGCGTAAATGGCACTCAACTCTAAAGTCGTGCAATACAGGGTAACCACGATATATGAGTGGTCTACTTCGCAAGACAATGGATAGGCGAGTGGGTGATACAAGGATCCGCAGGGAAGGTTCCGGTCGGTGGCTATGACATGAAAAAGTTGATGAGCAGCAAGAAATGAATAGATAAGGGGACAACGATCATACCAGGATAGGAGAAGCAGCTGCACGAATGGAATGAGATTCACTATGGCATGCGACATGGAAAGTGCTCACCTGAAGCGACCACCATGGTAAGAGCGAGGATAATCTGCTTGAACTGCATGATGACGGAGATGTGTCCCAGGTGAGTGCTGCTGAGAGCCTACCTCCGTGGACCTATATACCCTGTTCCGCCGTGCGTTTATGCAGCCAGCGTCTACACGACTGAGTCACAGCTGAGCACGATACATGGGGCCGAGGAGACTGCATGCTGTTAACGTTGTGAGAACACGGTGAATATTTGGAGTCCGGCTAGGGTATGTCGGATGCATGAAACAGGCCAGCTTCCGGCGAGTTCCCACAGCGAGACAATTTTTCACAAACATACGTACACAGCACTTACTCCACGTCCACCTGTAACACGTATAGAGTGATTAGACGGACAGGCCCGCAGTCTATGAACGGCATCGTGTGAGAATGACAGACAGAGAGTAGTCAGGAACATGGTATGGGAGCAGCGCACCTGAGCGTTAGAATAGTTTGGGGCCCGATGCCGGGCATAGTCTCTCATCGTCAGAATGGAGACCATCTAGGTTTTCCGACGGTTCGGGCCGCCTGAAGGATATCGAGGAAGGCAAAGCACGTTTGATGAATGCAGGTGACAAGGTACATCGTGAGAATGAAGCCGCTCAACTGGTGCCATCCATTAGCTGGTAACCCGGCAAGGGTCGCTCACAGACGGATGCGCGTCGCGAGGCCCCCCAGTGTAACTTGAAGCCTCAGGCTGCTTGCGGCGCTTTCGCGGAAACCAGGAACAATGAATAACTGGCTCTGCACATATTTATTCAGTCGATGATAGATGCCTATTGGCCTTATGTGCCCTGAATCACTCACCCGTGAGCGGGACGTATTGTCGTGCACGCTGAAGACTGTAGACAACCGCGGAAGCGCCCGTATATCACAAGCGCCCCTTTTTGAGGCGCGCGGGCCAGATAGGCCGGCCCTAAACTCAACGCCGCCTGGCCTGGTGGCATTAATATTGGCAGGCGCGTACTCTCTATGCTGCACAGGGGTTAGTAAATCCGGGAACGGAAACCAGACCTCATTTCTGGGGACGAGGGAGGGTGGTGCAGCTCTCGTGACGGTCACGGCGGGAGGACTTCAGTTTGGCGGCAATATTGTTTTCGACGATAAGCCAGTGTCTGGATTCGAGGTAGGCGCGTTCCCGGGAAGTTAAGAGTCACCATTAAATGCCAACATATACTCACAGACCGCAGCGAGCGTACAAGTCCTGAATTGCCGAACCATCTATCCCTGCTTCTCTTACAATCCCATCACTCCTCTTCTTCTTCATCTTCGTCTTCATCATCATCGTCATCATCCTCGGCCTCGTCTTCGGACACCTCCAGCCCCGCGCCTCGCATGCGCTCTTTGTCCTTCCGCCGCTTGCTGTTGAGCTCGTCGAGGAGCACAAGCAGATCCTCCTGCTCCTTCTCGACGTCGCGCTTGCGCTCGTCGCTCGTCTTGAGCTGAGTGGTGAGCGTCGCCACTTGCGTACGGAGGGCTTCGACCTGGAGCAGTGCCGTATCAGGATCGTAGGGTCGCCGTGAAGGCGGGGCACGGACCTCGGCAGACGCGCCGGAAAGCGCCTTGAGCTGACCCTGGAGCTTCTCGATCTCTGCGTTCTGGCCGCGGATGACGTCGCGCAGGGACGCGATGAGCATCCCGCTCTCTTGTCCTGCACCCACGAAGTCAGCTCCGTGTCTGGCGCGGGTGTGTCCGACGCACCTGCAGCAGACGAGAGCGCGTTGGGCTCCACGGCGATGCCCTTCTGGATCGTGTCTGTGCAAGTCAATGTCAGCTCGCCTCGGCGTCTGCGGGTAAGGACGCGGAGACGACTCACAGTAGTTCGACTTCCAGAAATCGACGAACGCCCAGTCGAACCAAAGTTCGCCTTCTTCTGCGTCAGCTTTTACCACCCCGGCAGAGGCTGGAGGGGCCCCGCTTGGGTGTTTGTGGCCAGGCGCGGTCGGGGAGGCCACTACAGCGACGTCGGGGCCGACGGCCTTGAAGCGGTCGTCGTCCCGCAGGCGGACAATGCGGCCTGCGAGCGTGTCAATGCCGAGACGCATGAGGATCGGGTGGATCGTCGCCCTACACGTCACGGCGTCAGCTTTGGACAAAAAACGGAGGACCCGAGAAGGTGCGCACCTAGTGACTTCTCCGGGCTCGCGGTTGAACTCGTAACACACCCCAAGCAGGAGCGCACATAGACCGGGAATCATGTGGTCCTCTTCTGCCGTCTGGTTGATGGGCTCAACAAGCTACGCATCGCTGACGTTAGTCCCGTGTTCGAGGTAAGCGAGCCGGAATGAAAGGCAGACTTACCGCGCCCAGGGCTCCTGCCTCCAAGAACTCGCGCACAGCCGGCGGATCCTCCCACAACCACTGGATCAGCAGGCACAAATACCCGACACAGAGTCGATCCCATTCCAATGCCTCCCGATCAGGCAGATCGGTCCGTGCCCGCGCGAGGAACGCCAACGAGAGGTGCTCGCTCAGGATTTGCAGAACAGACTGTGGCTCGTCCGCATCGTCGTCTGGCGGGGGAGGTGGTGCGGAACCGCCATCAGCGGGGACGAAGAAGGTGCCACCAGACGCGCCTCCCGCGGACGCCTGCGGGACGATAGAGCGGGCAAGGGCCTTGGCTGGCGAAGAGTAGCGAAGGAGGTGGGCGAAGAGGAGTGTGGCGAAGTGTGTGGTGGTCACCGAGGGGATTGTCAACGGAGATACGGGGACGGTGGTGAGTGCGTACAAGAGAGGCGTGACTGGTGCCTGTGAGCCTAAACTAACATTAGAGAAAACGGGAAATTGGAAGGATAGGGAGACCAACCAGGTGGCGTTACCATCGCTCGAACGATGGCTTCTGATATTTCCTCTTTTTGCACGAAGTTCTGAAGATGACGTCAGTATATGCGCCCAGCACAGATTCCGGGGAGACTACCTGGAACACGGTAAGCGAGGCAGTCCGAAGCTCCATGTTGTCCCTTGTTCTCCGCTCCCCGTCAATGATACCGTTGTACTCGCCCTGAAGCACGAGCTCAACAAGGGCATCGAGGGCAGATGATGGTTCCAGGCGATCCCATTCCTCGCCGTTCGTGTCCGGCACGGGCATATACGGTGTCACGGCCATCTCAGCCAAAGGCAACGAAGCCAGGTTATTTGGCACTAGGCGGAGAGCCTGTCGTAATGTAGTCAGCGCGCATCGAACAGTCCCGCAGTGAAACGACATACATGGGTTTTGATAGACGTCGGCGCGTTAGAGCACAGACCCAGCTCGACCAAACAACGCGTGCATGCCATTGTGAGCCCGTCGGGAGGCTGTGAACTCGATTAGATGCAGTGCGTCGACAGAACAGAGGAACTTACCCCTGCGTGACGCGCCAGGAGACCGATGACACCAACTACGAGGTCGACGTTTGTGGGCTTCTGCGGGACATCCCAGAGTTGTAGCGCAAACTGCTGTGGTGTCGGTTGGTCCAACGGCAGTGATGCGGGGAACCCGACAAGGGAGAGGAGGGCAGGCGGTAGTGATGAGCCGCGGAAGTAGCTCTGGAGTGTTACCGGATGACCAAGCCATGCGTGGAGGGAAGCTCGTCAGGGTGACAGGATGCGCAAAACATGGCGGCTGACCGTACATGATTCGACTGGTTGAAGCGTAGTAGGCCGTCCACGCACGTGAGGGCATCCTGGACGACCACGCCGCCTTCCGTGCCCTGCTCGTTCACGACGATGTTGAAGAGCTTCTCAAATGCGCCTTCGAACGCCATAATCTTTTGGATTTCGGGACTTTGCGAGATAAGGGTTTGGATGGTGTACATCGCCTCTGTAGACACATAGACTCTGTCAGTCGACAACATAACCTCGGTATATGCTATGAAATCAAAGCTCGGCCGCCGTTTGTGCACACCTCATCCAACCCTTTCCTCCTCCTCTCCCGCTATACAGTGACCGCATGAAAGAAGGCAGGAAGATGCTCACCATTTCGGATAATCTCTCGCTTCTCATCCAGCAGCGTAATCAGGCTAGTAACTCCAACTGGCGTCTTGAGGAAGTACGCTTGCACGGTTTGCCTCCGATTCTGGAGCAAGAGTCCGAGGAATTGGAGTGCAGAGAGGCGGATGTAGTACGACCGGTCGGCCATGAGCGCGAAGAGTTTCGGCGGGACCTTCTCGTCCGAGAGCACGGCGTCAGTGAAGGCGTACCCGAGCTCGCGGGACTGCGCGGAGCCGTTCTCGTCGACCTCGCAGAGCGAGATGAGGGTCTCGAGTACTGCCTTTCCGATGTCCGCGTCGACCTCCGCATCGTTCTGCAGCACATCGAGAAGGCCGAGGAGTGCGCGTTCGCCGACATCGGCTTTGCAGTCGCGGGCGAGGCCCTTGAGCGCGAGGACAGCTGCGCGGCGGTCGGCAAGGAGGGTGGAGGGGGAAAGGCGGTCGGCGAGGCGGGCGATGGTGTCGGCGGCGGACTGCGGCTGTCCGGTCGGCCCGCGGAGCGCGACGTTGATCTGGGAGAAGAAGTCCATGCTCGCTGGTGCGGAGGATGAGCAGACGTCCGTCCTGCGCAGCGACGAGGGCGCTCGACACAGCGCGCACGGGGGACACGCTCGACACGTGGTGCCGGAGCGAACTGGGCCGCCCATCCGACTTTCTCGGAGCCTCACACCATTCGAACCATAGAATATGGGATGCCTAGGGGAGACCACATTTGAACGACTGAAGCCGTGTTATATAGCATAGGCGATCTACACATCTCTCTCTCTGGAATGGTGCCACGATAAGTAATGCCAAAGGCGTACGATGCCAATGCGTTGAGTCCAGCGCCGCCTCCTGCCGCTCACCCTTCAATGCTACCGCCCACCCACTCTCCGAATGACACCCAGCGCGTGCCTGTGGCCCAGGGCCGGTCCGCATGCGGACTGTGAGCAGGTACCGCGCAGTTCCGGCAGCGGATCCATGCATCTCTTCACGTCACTGTGTTCACCGTTCGATAATACACGTTGGGAGTGCGTAATCTGAGACCACTTCAAGGACAATTCGGGACTCAAAAATTTCTGTTCCATGTGGCGTGGACAGATCGTATGTCGGGGACCGAAGTACTGAACTTTCGCGACCCCTTTGGCATGGGTGTGTGATCCGCGTTGGCGTCTGTGATGTTCACCGATGACCGTACCTGAGGTGGCAAGACCGTACATGATACTGATGACCGTGTACTGCTCCGCACGCTCGTGTACGCGCGCGCAAGGCCTCCCAAGTTCCGCCCCCAACAAGTTGGGTGATGCTTGGCGCGTGCGCTTGGAGGCGCTTGGTGCCGCCCGTAGGCGGCAAGGGGCCGCTCGGCAGTGTCCGGCGCCACTTTCGCGGGGAGAGTCCGAGGCCAGCAGAGGCCAGCACGCTTGAAAGCTCTGCTCCCTTCAGTAAACCGTCCACCTCATCGTCGCGCCCACGAAACACATGGCTGCGGTCGCCTCGAAGCAGACACATGCACTATGTTCCTAGGAGTTGACGCCGATCGGGGGCGAGAGTGCCGGCGAGTCGTCGAAAGCGCCTCCGATCCGGAAGTTGTCGCCCGAGTTCTCTCCCGCAACCGGTCATTCCGAATACACAGGCGTGCGCCCTGCCACGCCTCTCTGACACACCTCTAGGAAGATCGGCGTGGACGCCCTGGGCTGTACCCCGAATCTCAGATTCTACCTCTCAAATGCTCATATTGCCATGGTATTCTGCTCGCCGAGCTTCTGCCCTGCTAATTCCCCGCACCCACGACAATGTCCGCGACCTCCACTCTCCGCAATGGAAACGGACAGTTCCACGACGAAGAGGTCTGTCTCCTACTCTGTAGTATTGGAACGTCTACTCATTATGCAAAATCTCAGAGCTCTCACGAGAAAGGAGAAACGCTGAGCTTGCGCTGGGAAGGACTCTCTTACTCTGTCAAGAAAAAGTCTATTCTCGAGGGTGTCTATGGAGAAGTATCGACTGGCGAGATGCTCGCAGGTGAGATTGGTCTCGCAGAGCGTCTTTGGTGGAGTTTCTGGCTGATTTCGTGTTGCGCCGACTAGTTATGGGCCCATCAGGTGCAGGAAAGTCCACGCTCCTCGACCTTTTGGCCCGTAGGACCACGCCGAGCGCCGGAAACGTGCGTCGATGCTCCGCACTGATGCTCCCCTACGCGGTTATACTGACTTCATCAAGGTCTCACTCAATGGAGAGAAAAACTTCGACATCAAGCCCCTGGCATCCTACGTTGAACAGAGTGATGCGCTTTTGGGCGTGCTTACAGTGAAAGAAACCCTGTACTTTTCTGCTCGCCTCAGGTACGCCACTATGTTTCATCGGAACGCTGGCCTGACTCGGCCTTGCTTCTAGCTTGGATCCCTCGACTCCGGCCGATGTCATCCATAAGCGCGTCGGGGCCACCCTTCGTGACCTTGGCCTCACCGAAGTGGCCGACAACCGCATCGGGACCGCGATTCAACGCGGAGTGTCGGGCGGTCAGAAGCGCCGCGTGACTATCGGCGCATCGCTCGTCACTCTCCCTCGAATTCTCTTCCTTGACGAACCGACTAGCGGCCTAGATTCCCGGACAAGCACCGAAGTGCTGTCTGCGAGTGCGTCAATCCACTTCACCGTCGTCGTTGCGTGCTGATGTGTTCATCCCCCAGTCAAAACATTTGCACAGCGTCATGGAGTGATAGTGATTGCGACGATCCATCAGCCGAACTGGGAGACGTTCTCTCTCTTCGACAAGCTGCTCCTTCTCGCCCATGGAAAAGAAGTATACTATGGCCCCATTAGTGCGTTTCTAGTTCTAAATGGCAGCACCAGTCTCTTAATACTCCCCACAGGCCGCCTGGACGCATATCTCGCCGATGGCCTCACCCATCCCGTCCCTGTTCACGCAAACCCCTCCGATCACGCGCTCGATGTCGTCAACACGGACTTTATGGCTGACTCGGACGAAGCCCTCACACACGTCACACACATCGAACAAGCATGGAGAGACTACGCCGCTCGCAATCCACAATATCATATGCTCAATGCGCGCTCCGGCGAGAGCGCCCTCCAAATGCAGCCGGGTACCAAGTATGTTCAAGGTTTCAAGGTCGGATTGAGCAGGACGTGGTACCTCATCCAGCGGAACTGGATCAACTACAGCCGCAACTTGCTCGCTTATGGCGTGCGGCTGGGAATGTACCGTGAGTCACTGTTCTTGTCCATTGATATATTTGGTGTTAATATAGGGTGTAGTCGGAATGGGCATCTTGCTCGCCACCGTTTGGGTCAATCTCCCTCAGACCTCTGCCAAAATCGTACGTTCCCTGTGTCTTCGGAAAATGTCTCCCCTCTGACTTGGCTCAGAACGACCGCCTTTCCGTTCACTTCTTCTCCGTCGCGTTTCTCGGTTTCATGTCCGTCGCTGGCATCCCCGCCTTCCTCGAGGAACGCCAGGTCTTCATCCGCGAGCGCCTCAACGGTCAGTACGGCGCTGGGCCCTACGTCCTCGCCAACTCTCTCGTCACGCTCCCCTACCTGTTCGCCTGTGCGCTGCTCTTCGCGGTGCTCAGCTACTGGTCGATCGGGCTCCACCCGGGTGCGGGCCCTTTCTTCCGCTTCCTCGGGATCCTCTTCCTCGCTGTGTACGCGGCCGAGAGCCAGTCTGCGCTGATCGCGGCGATGGTGCCGATCTTCGTCGCGGCGCTCGCCCTCGCGAGCTTCCTGAACGGGTTCTGGATGTGCGTCGGCGGGTACTTCATCAAAGCGGTCAACCTGCCACGCTTCTGGTATTACTGGGCGCACTTCATCGACTTCCAGGTGCGTGCCCCTCGTGTTCGATGTCGTGGTCTGGAAGACGGCTGACACGGGCATCGTCGCAGACGTATGCTTTCGATCTGCTGGTGTATAACGACCTCAGGGGCCTGACGTTCGCGTGCGAGACGCTCGCCGACGGGTCATGCTTCTGCGATTACCCGTCTTCGCTTATCGCGCAAGGCCAATGCGCGCTTGCTGGGGAAGATGTGCTTAATGTGAGCTCCAGTGCATCTAGGCGCTATTGTCGCTGACGGCTCCACCAGTGGCTCGACATCAACGGGATCTCGTTCAAGCTGTACGCGTCTATTCTCCTGATGATCGCCCTGGTCTACCGCCTTCTTTTGTTCATCGTTCTCTCTGTGAAGAAGCGGTAGTGGCGGATGGCGTCGCGCGCATTCTGTGAGGATCGGATGTCCTGACTATATATTGTCGGGTGGTTCTGAGTATACGATACACATATATTCGTCATGTTCTTCAAATGGGTATACATGCTAATCCACCCCGAACCCGCGCGCCAAGAGGCGGAACCCGCCAGTAGTGCGCCCCCATCCTCGCCTCAGCCCTGGATCGCCCCTCGTCCGATTGAGCAGGCGCGCCGCCGAACGGACCTCGCGCCGGCCTCGTGTTTCGAATCGCCACCGCAAGGCTCTCCGGCTCTAGACGGGCATTGGGCGGAGGGCCACCAACTCCGTGGCGGCCGGCGGTCGGGGAGCCGACACACGCGTGTACCTGTCCATGTCAACAACTGTCCGCGCAGATCCATGAGGAAAGCGACATGACATATTAATGGGCGCCGGCGTTGTCGATATTCGGAATAGAACCCTTGACTGTCTACGCCCACGGAGGATCCGGATTGGGCCCGCTGAGGTCTTTTCTAACCCGGGCTGGAGCACGAATTATTGCACGTACTGAATTATGATACCTAGTATTCGACCACGGACGTGGCGAAGCAGTGTCAGAATAAATTGGCGACGATGATAATGGTCCTTACACCCTAAGCGAAATCCGGAAGGACATGGCATTTATGATACTGGCTTGTAGAATTAAGAAAACCTGCTGTAGACAGTGGGGAAAGTCAATACTACGAGGACGTACAATAAGTAATCTATGAAGAATCCATACACCACAAGAGTCCGCCGATGCGCCCCGAAAAGAGAACAAGAGAAAACCCCGTCAACGCGCCCCGCGCCCCTCCATGCCTTTGCCACGACCCACTCGCTCATACGGCCCCGCGCCGCAGTGGCACGCACGTCGCGGAAAGCGCTCGCGAGCCCGCTCGAGCGAGATCGTCGGACGCGGACGACGCCAAACTCCTTTATGAACGTCTTATGCGCGGTTTCGCAGCCGTCGACTGAGGGCACATTCCGCTCGTCTGTCGGTTCTGTTCATGATTATAAAGCCTCAGCCTGCGGGGACCACGTCGATGCCGACTCGATCAAGCCATGGTGTCACATTCAGTAGTGACATTGGAGTGACAAGCGCGCCAATATCGAATGGACCCTCCCAGTTCTAGCGCTTGACTTGAGCTACCCACTGAATTTGCTACTTCGTCCACGCTCCCGCTCCTCCCGCATCACCCCGACGGCTCGTTTGTGGCGAGGGCTGCACTCGAGTCCGTCCGGGGCGGCCTTCAACTCCCCGTATCCGCCACGGTCCTTCCTCAAGGCATCAAGTTCACCAGAACATCGACCACGACCGGTTGCGCGGCGTGATGTCTGGTCGAGCGAGGAAGTAGTGGCATACGCTTTGACGGAGGGGCTCGATGCCCTGACCAGTGAGCGTGTGCTATGCCCTTTGCGCATTCATGACAACCTCCACGACGACGGCCACGGTGAAGACGACGGCTCGCCGGCCCACCCGGCCCATCCTCCAGCGTCCCCGCCAGCCCCCACGGCCCCCAGTGCCATCGCCGACCTACACTTGGTGTCTTCCACTCCGGTGTCCCTGATCTAGTCCACTTGACCGCCCGCCAGTGCGGCTCTACTCTCGGTAAGTCGTCTCGTCCTTGTGCTTGCGGTCGTTTGTTCAAACGTTTACTCTTTCCTCCCCCGCGTCCCTCCGCTCCGCTCCAGGCCGTCACTATGAACCAGGTCTTCGTTTATCCTCCACCTAGCGCGTGTTTGCTCCGTGAGCCGCTCAGCCGCGACGCCCCTCCACGCTCCTTTTTGCTCGGCAACTGCGGCCGTCTTTGAGCTTTCACTCGTCTGTTTATCTCTCTAACCCCCGCAGACCCGGAGCCCCCCCGCCTGGGAGGCTCGATTCAAGACGCCCCGTCCCCCCTCCTTCCCACTGCCCCGCTAGTCGTCCACCCTCCTTCCCACTGCCCCGCTAGTCGTCCACCCTCCTTTGCACTGTGCCTGTCACCTCCATGGGTCACGTCTCACTTCCCTTTCCTCGTTTGTCGCATGTCACTGTTTTTTGTGTTTGTATCACTTTCATATACCATCCTCATGCAAATTTGTTGAAGTTCCGATGACGTGTGTCTCGTCGCTGTTCAGGCCAAGCGGCCTCGTGCTCTTCGCGACACCGTCGCGCGTGCACGCGATGAGAGCGCACTCGTCCACGCGGCCAATGCCGCGGGCCTTGTCCCCCGCTGAAGCGCAGAGGAACTCGCAGAGTACATAATAATACCCCTGCTCATTCGTGGAGGCCGCGTGGTATGCGAGGGATGTCCTGGCGCGCGCGGGGGACGTCGCAGTACTGCTCGCGGCACTCCGCCCCACAACGCCCAACGTAACCTGCTCCCGGACCAAGCGGACCAACTCAAACCCAGACCATTAGTGTCTTGAGGAAACTTGAACCCAATTTCAGGAGAAAGGCGATGGCGACAGCGACTGTGACCGCGACGTCGACAGGAAACACGACCGCGAGAGCGACGCGCGCGCTCTTTATCTCAGCCTGCCGCGGGCGTGTCCTCAACGAGCCACAACACTAATCTATGCATCTGAGTTGGCGCGCTGGGGTGAGTTCATCCAATGCACGAGGAAACCGGGGCTTAGCGCAGGGGACTCCGGCTGCCTGAGTCCCCCGCGCGAGCTCTTTGAAGTGCCACAAAGCCGCCGCCTGCCTCCGAAATGCAAATGAGGCATCTTTCTTGGTTTTTGGATGCCATGTGCGAGCCCCGCGCGCCACAGTGGGTGCTGCTGTGCGCGGCCGTTGTTCAGGTTCTCACCCGTCGGATCCGGCCGTCCGAGTCGCCCGCACTGCTACCTGATCACAACACAAACACCCATATATTCCTGCAGACCCCACACACGCACCCTCTTTTCCTTCTACACAGTCAAGGCATTTTACCTTATATTGCTTCTATGCTTTGTAGAGGTTGATGAAGTGGCCTCCCCAACGTCATTCCTTTCCCACAACCCGGTCTGATCGGGCGACTCCGCGGGGGTACCTGGCTGGACCTGACCGGACCTGGTCGCCCAGACGGTACCTTCGGGGGAATTTGGGATCCGGTCAGCCGACTTACCCGAGCGCTGAAGTAGGAACATGCACTCTCATGCACTGAGGTGGTATTCTTCCCGTGTTTAGTCGCAGAGCTTCACGTCGGAGTGTTGTTCGCCGACGAATTCCCGTACTTTGTGTGGGGCATCTGAGTTTGCTGGACACTCGTCGGGGCGTGTGTGATCACGAAATGGCCGGGGGCTGCACGTGCACGGCGTCGGAATCGGCATATATGAGCATATACGACTCCTACTGTGTTGTTCTTGTAGATCATCGCATGCGACGCACAGAGCGAGTCCAACATCAGTCAGAGCTGGCTCGGACGGAGCTGGTGCGAACACTAGTTATCCATGCTGTCCGTCGCGAGCAGATTCTCAGCGCTCTACTTGTGGACTCATTGGATGAGTGCAGCGAGCATGCGTTTGTGGAACGCGAGCACCATCAGCAAAAAAGCAAAATCATGCGATACATTGGAAAGGCTTCAAATGACCCACGGAAATTCGAAGCCCTTCGAATTTATCGTAGATCTATGCAAGTCATTCCAACGAAGCCCGGTAGGTCGACGAAACGGGAGTGTTATTAGTATGTCATGTCCCTGAACATACACAGAGAAGTAGGTGGGAGCGACGTGAGCAGGGGCCGGATAGTTCGAAGTATGCGCGCCCTTTGCGCGCCCTGGGTTGAAACTCGCGAGCGCGGCAACCACGTGATCAGGCGGCTATGGCAAACTTCGCAAGTCCGACCGGGCTGTCCTCGCCTCTTCTTCTCTTCCTCCCTCCTCCGTTGTCTTACCGCCCTCGCCATTTCTCTCCCTCTGAGACTGCAACCTTTGATGCCCTGCTCTTTCCGCGCTTTTCTACACCCGGACAGCAAGTGCGATGCAGGTCTGAGGCAGCAAAGTACGTTCACGGCCTCCCCCTGATGGTGTACCCTTCTCACCCTCCACATCCCAGATGATAACATCCCCACTTCCAGTATATCGAATCTTCGTCACCTTCTCACCGCTTTCTGCACGCATATATCCACCTGCACACTGCGCAACGTTGCGCTATCAGCGAGATTGGGTGCGTGTGGCCCCAGTGCGAGCCCGGGTCTCCGACGCTTGATATCGAGGACAAGGGGAAAGATCGGGGAAGGTTTAGACGGGATTATAGGCCATGATACGGTGAGAATCTGGTCCGTCTTTGTGTATGTGTTTCCTCATGAAATCCTGCTGACGATCCCCCGCATATACCTCGTGTTTGCTCACCTCTCCTGTGTGGTGAGCAATTCGTCGACCGTCTAGAGCTCGCGTTCAAGTAAACCGGCCCTCCCTCGGTTTGAAGGTGGCCCAGTCAAATATCGGCCTGGCGGACAACCTGTTTGGTGAGTTCCCACTACGTCCTTGCGTTGGATTCTCCCGAGACCCCACAGATCCTCACGGACATCCTTGCTGCTGCGTGCGCCCACCACGTCGTGTTTACGTTCACGGACCGGTGCGCCCCTCTCCTTTCACCCGTGTGCTCATCATTGAGACGGTTACCTCACGCCTTGCCGATGCGCCGCCTCGCGTCCCCGCGCTTGCGCGGGATCCCCGCCGTCGTCCGGCTCGAGCACGTCGCGTGGACGGTCCGATGGATATCCTGCGACGAGTGTGCAAGGGAGGCACTCCTCGCGGACTTCCCCAGGCATGGATGTGTCGGGAGCGTCGCGCTCTTCAGGCGACTGGGTGGCACCTCCGCGGCTCGAGCAAGCGCGTCTCACCGTTCCTACGCGCGTGCACGAGGGACGTGAACGGCAAATTGAAGGTCTTCATTGTCGTCGTGTGCGTGCAGGTACGTGCCACCGCCTCGGTAGGCGGCGTGGGCGTTGACGCTTACGGGGACGGGTGAGTGCGCCGACTGTGCGGTGCCATCGAACTTATGCACGGTGCCACGCAGCTGCCTCCCTTCCTGCACATCCTCGGGCCGACTCCCGCGTGTAGCATGCCGCACAGCGAGGTCTTGATCGCCAGGATCACAGATCTCCGCAGAGCGGCCCTGTGTGATTATCCTACGCTCCATGTATACATGTCTGTATGTAATAGTTACTTTGACCAATACAAAGTTTCTTCCTGTTGTATTTGATGTGTGAACGAAGGTCAGACGGCCGACGCCGGACGGTGCCAGGAGACCTCGGAGCACTGGACATTGGAATGGCTTCCAATGACTCCGAAGACATTGCAATGACTTGCAACCCTCCAACATAGCTATCTATTGAAAGTACAAAGATTTTGTAACATTCCAGACATTTTATTCACTTCCAAGCCATTCCAATTAAAACGCTTTTTTGCTGATGACGCATCGAGCGTCGCTGCCGAGGGCCGATCGACATAAACCTGAGCGCGTCTGCAGGAAAATCCGAAGGGAGCGACGCAGAGATTCGTTGCAGGTGCGCATCGCGTCGCCTCTTGGCTTGGGCCCTCTTTAGCAGAGCACGTCGCGTCGCGATGCCTTGTGGGGCGAGACTCGGGGTGGGGCGATGTGGGGACGAGAGCGCCGAGAGAACGATATCGATGGCGCGGAGCGGAGTTCGCGCGGGTGTCTGGATGACGCGTGCACGTGCTAGCGGCGGCGATGTACATCACCGTGTGACTATTAACTCTTTCCCAGAGGCCGTATGCGTCAGCACCCTCTACCTCTGCATCGCTGCTTTCACCGTCTGGTACCTCCCGCTTTGGTACCCCCAAGGTATTTATACCCCAATACACACAAGAGACCAACGAGGCTGAGCGTTGCTTGTAGACACTTGGTCTGTGCCTGATCCGCGACTACGTTTGCGACCGCTCCGTGCTGACTGGCAATCTGATATGATGTTCGTCCCGTTAACGGTCACCTCCTTGAAGAAACGCTGACTGATAGATATAAAGGGCACCTGCTCATCTTTGCAGATTCTTTGACTACGAGGGTTTTACATTTACCGTCATCAACCCCTCTGCCGTAGAATCCCTGCCGGGGCTTATAGTCTCGGATCCTCACCTCAACCTCACCCCGAGGGACCTCAGGAAAGCAGTGTGGGCGACGAACAGAGCTCCGGAATTGGCCTATATGCTCAAAAAAATTCGCAAAGAGTCCCCCATCCTCGCTGGTGTGAGTTCCTCTTTGCTTCCAATCGTCAACACTACGAACGGCTACATGCTTCAACCGAACGTAATCAACGACTGGCGGATCCTCGAAGCCTGCCTCCTTCACACGCATCAGTAATTCCGCAAATGTCTGGTTGCCTGGATTGCCTGAAGAAAAACATTCAGACATTTCAGACACAGACCAGGCAGTCAGGCAACCAGCCTGCAGACAACCACGGCTCATCACTCCGTAAACTTTGGGCCCCTTGATGGGCCGCCTCTCAGTGGGCATCAGCATTCGCATGAGCTGCCACATGCCACTCGCTCAACGATGAGTGCCAGCGCGACAAGCCGTATGTACATGAGAACGAGCGGCAGGTACCGCACTCGCGAAAACGTTGCCATCGTGAGGACTTGGCATGCGCACGACGAGCTGTCGCGTGCACGCGCATCGCGCGCAGTCCGAGCCGATACGCGCCGTAGGGACACGCGCACCTCATCGAGCACTGTCCACGCAGAGAGAGCGTGCCCATGCCGCCCAAGTATCCGTACAATACGAAAACTAGACCTAATAAAGAAAGAAGACGCATAAACAGGTTGTGGGAGGGCGGATAGCTCAAAGATGCCTGAGTCGTACTGGCAGCGGCACGGAAGAGATAAGCTCCCAGTGGACGAGCGCGAGAGGCCGGCCTACTCACCTGGTGGCAGCACGGAATAGATGACGTGACGCGGAGTGACCCAGCGTTCTCGTCATGCTGTCCGGGAGAGGGGCTCTGTCGCGGCGTGTAGGCTTGCCGGGGCACCCGCTGGGTCCCAGGATTTCACGCGAGCGGACGCGTCGGAGCCTGGCGGCACGTTGACGACCTGGCACGGTGGGTGCGTGCCGGCGCGGTGTCGGAGCCTGGTGGCCGTGTCGACGGTCATGGTGTGGGGATGAGCCGGTACACGGTGAGTACGCACCTTGCGCTTGTCCAGCCAGGTTCCGGTCGGTGCTGCCATGCCGCCCGTGCTGTCAATTTAACTTGTGAGACGTGTTCAAAATGTGCGAATCCAACCAGCAAGTCCGAAGTGCGCACGCATATATCAAGAATGAATTGCATTGCTCACCTCACGGCGTTGATAAGTTGAGGGCATAGTGATCACCCGCCTCGTCCCACACGTCGCACCATACAACAGGTCGATCGTGCCCTGCGGTCTGCTCCGCAACGTGTCTGCGTGCTTCGCCCTCACCTTCATGTTGCCCGAGGGTCCGTCGTAAGGCTCTCCAGCGTGGATTTGGAGAACTTGCACCACGAGCCTTGAAGCCCCATGCGCGCGAGGCATGTTTGGATGTGCGCGCGCCGGCTGAAGCGTTCGGAGCATGATCGACGAGTGCGCGAAGTGTCCGCCGGTCTGGGCGTAGGTGGAGTTGACGTTGAGCAAGCAGGGGGTGTAGGTCAGGATGACTTGCAGCTGCGACGCGGAATGAGCAAGGACTGTCTGCCTAGAGCCTAGCGCCGCGCACCAATTCAAAGATGCGCTCGAGAGTCGAGACTGTAGGCGCATGATCGGGTTCTCGTACTATATGCGGGCCGTCATCCGAGTGTGTCGACTGAGTCGTGAGCAGGGAACTGGGTTAGATGTTGTAGAAGGTGGAGTTTATGGGTGGCGGGAGTCGGGACGTCTGCACAGGGATTGAGTGAGCACACAGGGGTGGACATTGGAGGCGACGCGAGCTCGGAGCGGAGAGAGGAGACGCACGGTGCACCACACTGCCAGGATATTTGAGACAGGAAAGCGGAGTGGGCCGCAATGAATTGTGTGCTGTGTGAGAGAGGGCGTTGAAGGCGATGACAGAGGCGAAGCTGCGGGTGAGGAATAAGAGCGAGGCAAGAGAGAACAGACGCACATACGCTCAAGCGTTGAGTCGCAGAGGTAGCCGGCGCCAAACGGCGCCGCATCGATCTCTTTCCCTTCCACCATCTGCCTCCCTCCTCCCTCCTCCTCTCCTCCTCCTCCTCCTCATCCTCCACTCTCTCCTTCCCGGAACGACTTTACTAGGAAGCAGAAACCGCCATAGAATGTTCCTCAATCACCTGAGAAAGACCCTCCAACAATGCCAAGTAAGCCTACAGTCTATACATCCCTGCAGGCGACTGACCTCGACTTAGCTCCATCCTGCCATCAGAGCTCACGCGGCCGGTATGTACTCGCTTTCCTCACGCGCACACACCCTGCACCATCCCCCACATGCCCAACCCCTCATGTTCGCCGTCACACCGTCCCAAACCTCTTCCAACATTCATGAAGCCGTCCCTTTACCTTGTATACAGTCTGGACCCGCCCATTTTGGCGCATATATGCGCCAAAACGGGCGGGTTTTACCTTCGTGCCATCATCACACACAGCAGGTCGCCTGTCAGGCGAACGTCGTTGCTGTGAACACCATGTTGAATGCCGCGTTGGGTTCACACGACCGTATCAAAGGTGAGTGTGTTCAAAATATGTGCATATAATCTACTTACATGTAACACGAACTCCCCCGGGACCACGTCCGACTTCCCGCGCTGGTGCTGGTGCAGTGAGCGTATGCTCCCCGCGCGCCCCGCCCCATGCATCGGGAGTTCCCGCGGTGTCGCCTGCGCACACAGGTCCCTGCGGCGGTCCAGCGTCCCCGACGGCGTCGACATCACGTCCGTTACGACCGTCCAGATACTGCCCTGCTTCGTGACCCCGCGCCGGCCGGCCGCGGGCGATAGCGACGCCACGAACGACGTATGGTCAAGTCCTGGCTCCGAGTCCGGCTCCGCGCGGGCTCGCGGCGCGGATGGGCGGCGACCCCGTCGTTTTCCCCGCCGCCGTCCTCGGAGTTATCCGAACGTGGATGCAGAAGGCCCCCATCGCCCAGTCCCACGCGTCCTCGTCCTTACTGGTGCGCCCAAGAGCCCGTGCGGCGCGTCCGCACAGCTCGCGCCTGGTCTCGTCCCCCACGTTCCCCGCCCACCCAGCTCGCGTCCGGTTTCGCCCGCGTCAAGCGTCCGCATCTTCCCTTCAAACTCTCCTGTCTTGCCGCTCTTGTCCCACGACGCCGTCCCTCGCAGGTGCACGTTATTTCGACCCCGAGCGTGTACCCCTCTCCCTCCCACGCGGCCCGGATAGATACTTTTGCACACCCGCGCACGGGTCTGACACGCCTCCGGGCGTCCCTCAGTTGCTCAGACTGACTTGTACGTCCTTAGACACCGTGCTCCCTCCAACCGGAACATCTGAACGGCCTGCGCGCGCGTAGTCCCAATTCGGGAGCTGGACCCGTTCGCGTACGCCGCTGCGACGCCGTAACGCGGGCACATGCTGCAGGAGGGAGAAGGACGACGAGACGAAGGCGTGGGCGAGTACCATGTGCTGGTAGCGTACGGCGAGCGCGTCGACGATGACGACGGGCGCGCGCGCGCGTTGGCCGGCCCAAACGATTGTCCTATCGTACTAGAAATCGCATTGATTTGTTTTCTACATGGATCTGTTTGCTGGATGTCAGAATCAAGCCGCAACAGCGACCTGGGAGTACGGTCTCCCGGTTGTGTGTCTGAACACCTGGTTGTCTGATTTCAGTGTCTGATTCTGTCTGGAATCACGTCTCGCAAAACCCTGCCTGAAAATTTCCGTCTTGCCTGGTTGTGTCTGGTTCGCATTCATTCAAGCATGTTCCAATCGAGCCAAGGTCGCTGCTTCGTTCGGGTGTCCTAGCAAGTCGACGTACGTTTTTGTCTGGGTTCCCGCTGAGGAAGAATTCGCCGACGACATTCACCCTGAATGGCGCTCCCTTGAATTCCGTCGTTTCGTCCCCTATGAAGCTGTAGGAGCGCTGTGGAAATGCCCTGATTCATGCAAACGATACGACCCATATTTGGACGAGTGGGACATTTGCGAGGCCCTATCCAGAAAAGCTTCCTCTCTGCACGAAACCACGGACGACTCCTCCGAGGTGTGGGATATGACGCCTGTACCACCTCAGCCGGACTTAGGATCCTCGTTTTACGACCTCCTTCTTCGCTCCCTGTACCCCACTGGCCAGGACTTCCGACCACGGTTCGAGCTGTTCGCGGACTTTCTACGATTCCGCTATGGACTCATCGCGAGCCCCCAGAAGGACGCCCACCTCGCGTATGACACCTACGGACCTGAAGCCCTGCGGAAATTCTTCGGCTTGTTGGAGGAAGACATGCCCATGATTGCCACCGAAACCTTCCAGTACGCCAGCGTCCTCGTGACAGCCCTTATCAAAGACAAGGAACGTCCCTCAGCTCCTGGATTTATATGGGACCTCAACCCCTCGTCGTCTGGACACCTCGGGAGAGCTCTTGGTTCTGGCTCCATCCACTTGAGGCCTCAGATTTTGAACGACGGGAAGTTGGTACGGATTCGTTACGGCAACCCCGATCCATCCAGCCACTGGGATCTGTTCGTCGATTCCGTCACCTCTCTCGAATTATACAGGCGACGGTCACATATATCCTCTGCTTTCGACGCTATCGGCCTACTGTCTTCCCGCGGCACACAATTCCTTATCGCCTCCAAACTGCCGCAAGGCCAACAACACCAATCGCAAGTTGTTGACTTTGACCCGGATTTCCTCGGTCGGAGCGACCCCAAAGTTCGAAAGAACAAATTCGATTACGAAGCCTATGAAATCCGCGCGTCAGAACTTCTTGCACTCCCGCGGGGACGAGCGGCAATACAGCGAGGTGGCATCGTGTGGAGGATTGCCAAAGAACTTCTCGGAGAAGAACGCACGGCCGACTTCCACCCTTCCGACGATCTGTGGAGTTACGGTGCTGAGCACCACCGCCCTGGGCGAACAGCGGTGTACTCCGACAACCTCTCTCCATACGAGCTGAAAATAGTGTGCGGGGTTTACAAAGCCGAAGCAGGTATAGATCACGCTCTCATAAAATGGTCAGTGGCTGAATAACCCCATAGGTGAGGTTTCGTGGTGGCCCACACCCGACCAGTGGGACAAAGGAGGATATAACGTTGGACGCTGGACGCCCTTCGCCGAAGAATGGTTCCAGATACGACTCGACAGGATCAGATGCAACGAGGAGACAGTCCGATCGAGGGCTGAGTGGAAGCGAGGAATCAAAGTCTCCTCTGGAGCAATCAAGTTGCGAGACGCAGTCCATGTCGCGAGCACCATGTTCGTCACGAACGCACTTGCAGGTTGAACTGTATTTCTCTCCTTTGCGCACGCCGCGCGGCCAAGCGCGCGTAGCTCACGTTGTACCAAACCACCGCCGACGCAAACCAACACCAACCGGCGCACCCCCAATAGTCCGCGTGACGAAAAAACCTCTCCGTCACCGTCACCCGCACCACTATCTCACCTAAACCCCCGCGCGCTGCCGCTGACAAGACCCCGCGCAACGCGCATCGACGCGCGCGCGGCCCAATAGCCTCGCCGACAGTCAAGCCCACTTCCTCAGACACCCCACATTTCCCAGCACACATAAGCTCTTCTCCTTCACCTCCCCACGTTCCATGTTTCGCTTTAGAACTTCCTGTACGCCTCGACGCCCTGCGTCTCCCGCTCCGCTCCGTTCTCCGGCTCCCTTCAGTCTCACTTTGCGATATCCCAGCCCACTCGATACCTTCCACATGCTACCAAATATCCCCCTATGTCTCGCCATCATGGTTTTTGGCCACGCGGCCGCTGCGCGGCCCCTACTACACACTCCCCCATCATCCTCTCAGTCTTCGTTTCGATTATGGGTCTACCGCATTTCCCTCGCCGACACGCCCGTTCTGTAGCCTCTCGGACTCCGTTGCTACGACTCATGCACCCTCATGTATGTATTGTAGCAGATGTTGCGTACTATCTACGGTTTTCACGCCCCCATCAGCCTGCGTGCTACTCATCTCAGTTCGCCGTCAAAGTCCACCGCAGCCGCCGCCTTCCGCCTCGCCGCCGCCGTCCTGCCGCCTCCCGCATCCTCTCTGCTCGCCCTTCTCTCTCTCCTTCTCGCGCTAGCCGTCTTCTCTCGTGCCGGGCCGACTCCCCGCGGTACAAGCTCGACGAGCTGCTACTATTACAGGTACCAGTTGCAACTGGAGTACCAGATGTACAAATGCGCCCGCACGAAATGAGAACTGACCAGAGTGGCTGCAAAGCACGCACGGTAGGCCGGACCGAGCGATTGAGTGCGAGTGAGAAGGGCTGCCTAGGGGAGACTGGTGCGAGTTAGGGTGTGGCACAGACTCGGTCGGCCGGGACAATGCGTGTCGGTGTGAGCACGCCTCAGCACGATCTAAGTATCAAGCAGCGCAAGCGGAATGGCGGAACCGTCCCGGCGGCGACGCTGACGATGCAGGGACACTTCGCGCCTCCCACTCACGGCTACCCAACTCCCACTATCTCCCACCTTCCACCTCGTTTCCCTCCTGTATCACCCACCCGGTCGCGACCCGTCGACACTTGCAACAAGCGGACGCATGGGCCGACACGGACGACCCCTCACTGAACAGGGCGGCGTATCCATCCGATCGGCGCTCCTCGATGATTGCGTATACTCACATTGTGGGCGCCGAGCCAAGTTGCGGCCTGTACGGCCGGCGCGAGGGTAGCGTGGGGCAAACCGCGACTGGACGAGGATGTACGTTGCTATATAGGCATGGCCGGCTGGCGCGAAGGCAAGCCGACGCGCGAGCCTCGCTGCGCTCGCGCTTGCCCTAATTTTCATCCTCACCCTTTCTCGCACCATTGACCTCGACCTCGCCCACCCGCCGCCTTCACCCTCACCCTCAGCCGCGTCTTTGCCTTCGTCCTCGTCCTCGCCCAGCCCTCGCGATCTTGCCCGCGCCGCCGACCTCGCCCTCATGCTCCGCCTGCAACGCTCCGCCAATGGCGACGACTTTCAAGTTTCCCGCGCGCCGTTGGGGTAACGGTGACGGTGCGGTCGCTAGTGCTCGCGTTGATGTCCTCGTGCAAGGCCACGGGCGTATATGCGCCCCGCACCCTCAGTGCCATGCGCCGAACGCGAGCCAGAGCGCGAGGGCGATAAGCGCGCGCCAACCTACCATCTGCTTTTCTGTGTGCCACGTGGACCAAAGAAAAGCACTACGGGTGATTTGAATGAAGTGGAGCACCATTAGAAGTGCTAGGAAAATCGATTAGTGAACAACCTCACTTTCTCTATGTATATATATATACAGCACGCAGAAGCATGCGCGGATGGGGTAGCGGTATGAGCGCTCGATGTTCGGCAAGTGGTAGCCGTTCGGACGCGTGTTCGACTCTCAGTCATGTCTTTTTATATTACTACGCTCAACTGGGAGTCTTCCAAGACGCTGCTTTGCTGCTCCCAGTGCATCCAAAAAGGTCCTGCGCAGCTCCCAGCAGCCCTAACAGACTACGCAAAGCGGCGAATGGTGCGCATTTTTAGAGGGTCCCATATCTTGCTTTCTAGTTCTATTTCGCTGACTATATGTCGCGTGGTTATGAATAGACGATACACATAGATTCGATATGTCCTTCAAACAGTGGGTATACATGCTGATCCACCCCGAACCCGTGCGCCAAGAAGCGGAACCCGCCCGTAGTCCGACCCCTTCTTTGCCTTAGCCATGGATGGCCCCCGTCCGATTGAGCAGGCGCACCGCCGAACGGACCTCACGCTGGCCTCGTGTTTCGAAACGCCACCGCAAGGCTCTCCGACTCTGGACGGAGAGTCACCAACTCCGTGGCGGCCGGCGATCGGTGGGCCGACACGCACCTGTCCATGTCACCAACTGCCCGCGCAGATCCTTGGGGAAAGCGACATGACATATTAATGGGCGCCGTGCGTATACAATTAAGAAAATCTACTGTGTATGTGGACTGACTGCTAATATGAGGACATACAATACGCAATGAAAGATCCTCGCACCACAACGGTCCGCCGATGCGCCCCGAAGGGAGAACCAAAGAAAACCCCATCAGCGCGCCCCCTGGCCCTCCACCTTCGCCGCGACCCACGCGCTCCACATGCGGCCCCGCGCCGCCTCCGAGCCCACGCCGCGCGCGAACGCGACGACGCGCCACGCGTCGCGGAAGTCGCTCGCGAGCCCGAGCGAGACGCGGACGACGCCGAGCTCGCGCCCGACGCGCGCCTCGAGCGCGCGCAGGGTCGCGTCCGCGGGGAGCGCCGCCATCGCCGCGCGGAGGTCGAGCATCGCCGCGGCGCCGCCCGGGTTGCACATGCACCCGGTGCGGAGGGAGATGCGGTGCGCGGCCGCGGCGTGCTCGATGAAGGAGTTCGGGATCATCGTCCCGTGCGGCTGTGCGGGGCGGAGTGCGACGGTTAGTTAGTTCGTGGTAGACACGGGGGAAGAACGGCTCACGTCGAGGAAGAGCAGCGAGACCGTGGAGCCCGTGTCGGATTGCTGCCCGATGGTCTTGACGGCTTTCTTTGGACGGCGCGAGAGCACGCGCACCACGGGCGTCCCGGTCGTGTCGTGTCGCAGCGCTTCCAAGCTCGCGATGAGGTATCGCGTGAGCGCAGACAGTCGGATGGGGAGGAAGGGGAGATATGCGGAGAGGAAATGCAGGCCATTCGTGATTGCAGGCATGCTAGTGTAGTTGATGGTTCCGTCCTAGAGGGAAGCTCCGCGTTAGTTGAATCTTAAGTTGAACGATGGCGCGGGGAAGAGAAAAATTCGTGTGCGATTTAAGCTTAGCGACTCAATGGGAGCAACGCTTCTCACGTACGATTCGCTAGTACTCACCTCGAAACGTTCATGAACTACTTCTGAGAGCCTTGCGATGGCACCCGGAGCCTGTACCACATCGACGGTACCGCCTGCAAACCAGGGCCGCTCCAGCTTCGCGAGAAAGCTCTTTTTGGCGATCAAGGCTCCGATGCCGGTAGGAAAACCGAACATCTTATAGAAGCTTACGGCCATGGCGTCCACAGGATGTTCTGTGAGCGAGAATGTTGATGTCGGAACAAGCGCAGCGGCGTCGAGAAGGGTGCTGAACCCTCGGTTTTGAGCGAACTCGATGAGTGACAGGGGATTTTTGGTGTTGGTGATATTCGACTGTGCAGTGAGCGCAAACAGCGATGGGGGAGCATTGGCATCTGGAGGAGATAATTCATTCAAGGCAACCTAGACCACCAACGGAGATCAGAGAGTTCCGAATCGTGGGATCCGAAGGAGTGACGTACCATTGCATGTGCGGGATGACATCCTCCTTCGTTCGTAGCCTCGATATAGTGAACCTGCGCATTGCCGGCTTCTGCGAACTTGCGAATGCCATGTACGCTATTATGTGAGTCGGCGCTGAGGATAAAGTTGCTTCCCTGGCGGAACGGGAAGGACTCCCCCACGAGCTTGAGCGCGCCGGATGCGTTTTGCGTGAAGACGACGACATAACCTGGCGGCGCGTTGAAGAAATCCAGAACAGCTTGGCGCGCCTCGTTGGCGTGGCGTGACGATAGTTGTGAGCTGTGAACGAGATCGGATAGTCAATATCTGAAAACATCTGCATGTGCCCCAGGACAAGGTACTCACGAGTTGTTCACTGAATGGGTGTTCCCAAGAACGTTGAGTTGGAGAAAGTCCGCGTGAACACGAACAAGACTGGCGGGGTAGACGCATCCACCCATGTAGTCGACATAAGTCTCCTGACTGCTGTCTATCCTTGCGAAGTCGGTACGGCGGAGGGCATCGATAGCCCATGTGAGTTGGTACTGGGGGTACTCCTTTATGAACGTCTTATACGCAGTTTCGCAGCCGTCGACTGAGGGTACGTTCCGTTCGTCCGAGAGAGCGTATATCGGTGTGTTCTGTTCCATTAGGGGCGTGGTGCGCTTCTCTTGCCGATGGTCGGAAACGTCAAGAGATGGATGGTACCAAGAGCGCTGTTTCTGCAGTGTGTGGGCGGACGGTGGAGGACATAGGGTATGGGTGGAGGTGCTGAGCGCGCGAGATGTTGCATAATTATAGGGAGTAGCCGGATAGAAGTTGACCTGTTCTTCTCGAGAGGGTTCTTTGCTGGCAGAGTACGGGAAAAGAATGTCGGAGCAGGACCGAGAGCGCGCGGAAGAGAGAGAGTTTCCCATGTTGCAGACGGGTGAGCCAGGGTGGAGTTGAGAATGCACGAAAACTTGTCAGCTCAAGGCCTCCGCCGCCGCTATGATATATAAGATATGCCTCAGTCCATGCTGTGAGTCCGTGATAGGCTCGAAGGCTCCAGACGACCCGCTCAAATGAGGTATTTCACGCCGCTGTTGCAGTCTCTTGCCTCTTCGCATGGAGCCAAGGGCCGGTATAGGAGGATTTCCGTGTCATGCAGTGCCATGGTGCATCGACGACACACTGCCGCAAGACCTCGAGGTGTTTAGAGTCGACGGCGTCTAGTGTTTTGAGCCCTCACGGAATCGTGAACTGGGTTAGAGGGAGAAAGAGAACAGCGAGCGGAGACAAAGGATCGGAGGCGGAGTCGTTGCCCCCGTGCGCTGTCCGCGAGCGGAATGATCTCCCCGACGACCGGCGCCCTGCCTGTCACCGCAGCTCGCAGCTCCGGTATGTAGGCGCCCATGGGCGCCTTGGCAGTCCGGGCGAGTGGCACTGCTCTGCTCTGGACGACCATCTCCGACTCTGTCCTCCGCTCATCCAAGCACTCAGCAGCCGGTGCATCATGCCAGCCCACGTCTTCATGACACACATACGGCCTCGTGCTCTTGGCTCTACACAGCAGCCTCCGCTGTGACCGCACACTTTGGCGTTCATGCTCCGATTCCATATGCGCCTACAAGTCAAGTACCCAGCGGGGTGCTCAATATCCCCCACCAAATCTCTCTAGAACTCCACTTCTTTCGTCATCATACCACCACCATGTCCGCCACCCCCCCTTCTCACTTGGATAGTTATGGTGTCCACAGCCGCGACGAAGAGGTTGGAACTTCACACACTATGCTCCTCGAATACGCCCACTGATCAAATTCACAGCTCTCTTATGCCAAGCGAGGGTCCCTGAGCCTGCGCTGGGCAGATCTCTCATACTCAGTCAAGACCAAGACCATTCTCGAAGGTATCTACGGAGAGGTGTCTACGGGTGAGATGCTTGCAGGTAAGACCAATATTAAATCATGCGAAGACCATTGCCTCATGCACCCTCACACCAACTAGTGATGGGCCCATCGGGTGCAGGCAAGTCAACCCTGCTGGATCTTCTAGCTCGTAGGACCACACCAAGCGCCGGGAAAGTGCGATATCTCGCACTGGTTACGCTCGTAGCTGTACTCAAGCTGTACTCACGTTATCTAGGTCTTGCTCAATGGGGAAGACGACTTCGACATAACTTCTCTTGCGTCATACGTTGAACAGAGCGACGCTCTTCTAGGGGTGCTCACAGTGAAGGAGACCTTGTATTTTTCTGCACGTCTCAGGTACGCTGCCATACCACAGTAGAACATACGCTCTCTCTGACCTCCCTACGTAGCCTGGACCCCTCGACACCGGCTGATGTCATCCACACGCGGGTAGAAGCATCCCTTCGTGACCTCGGCCTCACAGAAGTGGCCGACAACCGCATCGGGACCGCGATTCAACGCGGAGTGTCGGGCGGTCAGAAGCGACGTGTGACTATAGGCGCATCACTCGTCACTCTCCCCCGGATCCTCTTTCTTGACGAGCCAACGAGCGGCCTCGACTCTCGTACAAGCACCGAGGTGCTGTCTGCGAGTACGTTTGTCCGCCCTACCGTCTCTGTTTGCTGCATGTTGACATGCTCGACCTACAGTCAAAACATTCGCACTGCGTCATGGGGTGATCGTTATTGCGACGATCCATCAGCCTAACTGGGAGACATTCTCTCTCTTTGACAAGCTCCTCCTCCTTGCCCACGGTAGAGAGGTGTACTACGGCCCCATTAGTGCGTGTTCCGTAATCCCCGTCGGTGGCACCTGACTAAGTCTGTCGTGCAGAGCGTCTCGACGCCTACCTTGCTGATGGCCTCAATCATCCCGTCCCCCTGCATGCCAATCCCTCCGACCACGCCCTGGATGTCGTCAGCACTGATTTCATCACCAACCCCGACGAGTCCATCTCACATATCGCACGCATTCAAGGAGCATGGGAGGACTATGCAGCTAGCCATTCGGAATATCACATGCTCGACGCATATCCGCCTATCGGGAACGGTATGCGAGTGAAATCAGAGGCGAAGTTGGTCCAAGGCTTCAAAATTGGCTTGAGCCGGACCTGGTACCTCGTCCAGCGGAATTGGATCAACTACAGCCGCAACTTGCTCGCTTATGGCGTGCGGTTGGGAATGTACCGTAAGTCACTGTTCTTGTCCATTCATATATTTGGTGTTAATATAGGGTGTAGTCGGCATGGGTATTTTGCTCGCCACCGTTTGGGTCAATCTCCCTCAGACCTCGGCCAAAATCGTACGTTCCTTGTGTCTTCGAACGATGTCTCCCCTCTGACTTGTCTCAGAACGACCGCCTTTCCGTTCACTTCTTCTCCGTCGCGTTTCTCGGTTTCATGTCCGTCGCCGGCATCCCCGCCTTCCTCGAGGAACGCCAGGTCTTCATCCGCGAGCGCCTCAACGGTCAGTACGGCGCTGGGCCCTACGTCCTCGCCAACTCTCTCGTCACGCTTCCCTATCTATTCGCCTGCGCGCTGCTCTTCGCGGTGCTCAGCTACTGGTCGATCGGGCTCCACCCTGGCGCGGGCCCTTTCTTCCGCTTCCTCGGGATCCTCTTCCTCGCTGTGTACGCGGCCGAGAGCCAATCTGCGCTGATCGCGGCGATGGTGCCGATCTTCGTCGCGGCGCTTGCGCTCGCGAGCTTCCTGAACGGGTTCTGGATGTGCGTCGGCGGATACTTCATCAAGGCGGTCAACCTGCCGCGCTTCTGGTACTACTGGGCGCACTTCATCGACTTCCAGGTGCGTGCCCCTCGTGTTCGGTGTCATGGTCGGGAAGATGTGCTGACATGGGCATCGTCGCAGACGTATGCTTTCGACCTGCTGGTGTATAACGACCTGAAGGGCCTTACGTTCGCGTGCGAGACGCTCGCTGACGGGTCATGCTTCTGCGACTACCCGTCGTCGCTGATAGCGCAGGGCGAGTGTGCGCTCGCTGGCGAAGACGTGCTCAATGTGAGACTCCAGTACTTTTGTGGACGATTCCCGCTGACGCATTTACCAGTGGCTCGATATCAACGGGATCTCGTTCAAGCTCTACGCGTCTGTTCTCTTGATGATCACCCTGGTCTACCGCCTTCTTTTGTTCATCGTTCTCTCTTTGAAGAAGCGGTAGTGGCGGAGGGCTTCATGGGTCGTCTACGAGACGGTGATTTCGTTCTTTCTCCTTACGTGATTGTACGTGCCGTGGCTACTAATGTATGAGTCGTTCTTATGCTTACGCAGTGCAATCCTATTCCACGTCCGGTCTGAAGCCGACGCTGCGATGGGGGCACGCACTATGCCCCCTCCCACCTCATTTCCGAATGACCACCTGGAAGCTGGCCACGAGGTGTCGAATAGATCGACCACCAGAATCTCTGTGATGGCCGGCGTTCGGGGAGCTCTCCCCACAGAAGCTCTATATAAGTATCGCAGGTATCTCCGTGCGCAGATATCTGCGCTCTGGCGACGACATCGATATGGGCGCCCCATCCCGCCGGGCTGCCCCTGGCGCAAGGCAGAGAGAGAGAGAGAGAGAGAGAGAGAGAGAGAGAGAGAGAGAGAGACAGAGAGCGGTTCAGCGTCTCCCCTAAAGGGAGATACCCCGGAACCTCACTTAGACAAGCCCAGTCGCGCGCCGGCGCCCGAACTCATGCTGTGGGTGTCCCGCCGTCCGACGGGTGGCCGCACGAGCACATGTAAAGAGAGAAAAGCGTGATGTCTTACTATACTACTAGGATATTGATCGGTCATCACAGAGCAGGAAAGTGTGCCCACTGCCTAGTCAAGTCGGTGGCCAGCAGTGCTACCGCGTCAGGATCTTTGATCCAGGCCGCCAAGAAGCGCATGTCGCCCTCCCAGGACGTCGCTGTTGTCCACAGGTGATGGATACCCGGGTACGCACTCTGCAACTCCTCCAAAATAGCCTCCCTTCTCTCCGCCAGACCCTCATTCGCACATCTCAGTAAGAGATGGCGAGGCGCTGCGACACCATCCCCTTGGCAAGCGGCAGTGCAGTGTGCCGAGCGCCTGGTGTACTTTTTGCCGGCGTCGATCTTCACACGATGTACGACTCGGGCGCCACGTCACCACATAGCGAGCCGGAAACAACCTCCTCTTCCTCCTCATCTAGGTCGCCCCTGCTGCGTTGGTGTGTCTGCTTCAAAGTTTCTTGAGTAACCCACCCACATGGCTCTGTTCCGCTCTGACACCATGGCCGCCGTCGCAGACTCCGCCCTCCCCTTTCCCGCCTTCGCGGCTATACCCTCCTCCGACCGTGCACAGCTCGCTGGTCTTTCAAGAAGTGGTGTACAAGCTTGGGTCTGCTCCCGCGCACAGGAGTACCTGCGCTTCGCATCTACTCTCCATTCCTCCACAATTCCCTCACGCCCATCCACTGTACCCTTCCCCCAGAGATACTCGCGGAAATCTTCGAGCAATACGTCTACAACGGACAGAACCCCTTCGGCTCACACACACATGCCGCACTTGGCGCGAAATTGCGCTCGATACCCCGCGTCTGTGGGCGTCCGCCGCAGTATCTCCCATGGGTCCGCTGTATGACCTCTCTCCCTGGTACGACGGCGAACTGTCAACGCGACAACAACAGAACCGTATCGGATTCACATCTGCGATGTTATCGTGGTCCAAGGCTCTCCCTATTCCCCTCGTACTAGTTGGAGGGATCCCGAAGGCGATCAGAGAAGCGTTGGCACCCCATACAGGCCGCATCGTCAGTCTGGTGGTGGAAGTGAACTCGGATGAAGCCTTTTGGGCGTTTTTCTCCCTTCTGGAACATGGTGCGGAAAGCCTCGAGACCCTTCAAGTCCAAATCAAACGCCTTTCGACGGCAGTAGGATGGACGACGCAGCCCCGCAACGTGTGGACACATCCTGGAATCTACCCGTGCTTCGAATATTGGCTTCTGTTCCCCTCGATATGTTTACGTACCTCTCGCGGCCCACACTCCAGACAGTCTACATCACCAATCCAGTGTTTAGGATGACACCACCGAGCCCATTTTCCAGGTTTGAATCACGTCACACCGGGGAAACTCCTTCGCATCTCTCGTTTCTGCGTTGGAACAGTGCACAGGACTACAAGATCTCCATTTCGAAGAGATCGAAATGCTCGAAGATTTCGCTCCTGGCTGGCGCGGCCCGTCACAAACTGTCAACTTGCCCTCTTTGCACCGATTCGTCATCACGTCTTCGGAAGATCCATCCATGTTCCCCGCGTTCCTAGCCTTGGTGTCTCTGCCCGCTCATACCTTCATCTCCTTATCCGTCTTCTCCATTCCCATTCCCGGCGATGATTTGTGGGACGCCCTCTCCCGAGACGCGAATGTGCAAAAACGAACGTCGTCTATGGCCTCCTCAGTCATCATCCTGCGCGACCTCGCCGATGACTCATCCTTGGTCCGCGTTTCCGGCTGGAGCGGCGCCAACCGGAGCGCATCGTCTTCGACGTCTACTGCAGGTTCCTGTCCACATTCGACGCCCAACTCGACTGGTTCGACGGGCTCTTCTCCATCGTCTGCGCGGCCCCCTCGACCCGTACTCTCCACCTCAGTATAGAAGGGTCGTCCTTCCGGGACCCCGATCGGCTCGCCGTTCTCTTCCGACGGTGCCCTTCCATCACCCACCTGGAGCTCCGCGGCATCTTCGCGGGCGACGCCCTACATGCCCTCGGCGCCCCCTTGGATCCGTTGTGCCCAACCTGGCCACGCTCGTCGTACACTTCCCCGTCTCGGCCGCTCCAGGATACGAGGGGTACGGGTTTGGACCGCGCTTGAGCGCGCGGGGATGGATGGGAGGACGAGCTGCGGGCTTCGATGGTCGCGCGCCGGGACGCGCTTGTCGGGACGCTGTCCGGCCGAGCTGCGCGCGGGACTCGTCTGACGACGCTGAGGTGGGGAGATGCGTGGGATGAAGAGCCGTGGAACACGGAGGCGAACGCGGTCATCGACACGTACGAGCCGGATGCTTCGTGGTGCGATTTGACGGAGCTGCGGCGCTGGTTGACGGGGAAGTCGAGTTCGGTGGATTCAGCTACGAGAGGAAGGCGGTGCTCCAGTGAACGATTGATATGCTGCAACGACTGGTATGTTTGTTTGTTTGTTTGTTTGTTTATTTCTGTTAACGCTGGAGGCGAGCCATGTAGGCGATACATACAGTCTATCTAGCGGGAGATGCGTATACGGGACGGGACGTGCGGACGGGGGGGGGGAGAGGGTCTAGCCGTGCGCAGTCGAACGGGGTGAGTGGGTAGCGAAGGGGGCAGTGGGTGCGGATGCGAGAGTGGGGTGAGTGCGGAGGGTACCATACATGACCTCCGCTCCGCCCGCCAGATTCGCCAGCTCCTCCGCGGCCTCTGAGCGCCGGGAGAGTGCTACTCGAGTCGTGTGTTTCGGCCTCTGGAGCGAGGCGGCCGTGGCCTCGCGGTGGTGGTGGTGGGACTGGTATGGTATGTAGTGTGTGTGCGTAGTATGCGATCTTGTGATCCAGATCTACGAGTCCGACCCGTCGGGTACGTGCAGTGCATGAACGTAACCGTACCGCTCACCAGCCCCTGCAGCCCGGAGAAGTCGATAAAGGAAGGGTTCACCGTGGCCGTCCGAACTGTCCCCTCGCGCCTGCTGCCGTACGTGCTCCGCGGGTCCCACGCGCGCTCGCCCCACTGCACGTCCTCGAGGCGGGCGCCCGCCGCGGCGCGCCAGAAGAGCGTCTCCGCGAGCGCGTCGCGGTGCGCGACCAGCGTCGCGCGGAGCACGTCCGTCCACCCGTCGGGTTTTCCCGCGAGCGCCTTCCAGAGCGCGTGCCCTTCGAACCCGGGCGACGACGTCACGGCGAAGTGGACGCGGAGCGTGCGCAGCTTCGGGCAGGGCGGGAGCTTGTCCTCCATCGTGCGGAGCGCTCTGAGCACCGCGGGCGCCCAGGGGCCGCTCACGACCAGCTCCTGGATGGACGGGAACATGCGGAGGAGGTTGTGGTAGTGGGAGGCGTCGGAGTAGAAACGGTCGTGGAGGCATATCGACAGCTGGACGAGGGCGGACTGCGCGCAGAGCACGGACGCCAGTCCCTTGAGCCTCCTGAGCGGGAGCGGGCAGTACTTGTCGCCGGTCTGGATGACGTCGAGGATCTGCCTGGACTTGTCGTCGATGCAGGTCACGGCGAGCGCCTCGATGGTCCGCTCCTGCCCCTTCTTCAGCACCGGCCATAGATACGCTTGGGTGACGAGGCGAAGGCGCGGCGCAAGAGCCTTGCACTCGAGGAGGTCTTCCCATACGGTGTCTTCAACGGGATCGACGTCGAGCTCGAGGCGGATGAAGGGCAGGTCCGAGACTGAGAAGAGCTGCAGGAAGGTGGGGATGGTGCATGTGGTGCGCCCGACGTGGATGCAGAGGCTTTGCAGGGATTTCAAGGAGACCTGCGTGCTGCTCCTCCACGCAGCGCGGGCCGCTTGGTCGTTCTTGATGCCATTGAGCGTCCCGCGCAGTGAGCCTGTGAAATGGAATGAGACGTGGCGCAGCTCCGGGCAGCCTCTGAGCGCGTCGACCAGCGCGGCGCCAGGGCGAATCAAGATGGGAAGGGGGGATGAAACGAAGAACGGCTGGTCCGGAGGATGTGGAATGACTGGCAGCTTTTGCAGCGGTCTGGTGATGTAGGCGGTGCGCAACGTCGGACGACTGACATAGAGGAAGAAATCCACTGGGATGTGTGGGAGGGTGTGAAGGACGGGAAGATACGCCTTGGAGACCTTGCTGCGTAGAACTCTCTGCTGGGGAAGAAGTTTGTCGGCGTGGCGGCCACACGGATAGAGTTTCTAGTCTGGAAGCCGCGCTGTTGAGAAGCATACAGAGCCCTTGTATGGTTGCCACCGAGTCTATGGATACGCTGAGACTCACGATCCGACCTGTATGCGGCGCTAGTACGTCTCCGATAGTCCGAGGAATTCCCCGTATGTCGAGGGATAGGGGTACGGCTTTGGAGAGCTGGAGCACCGCAGTGGCGTACTCTCTGCGGGCTGTCCGCGCTGTGTCGGTAAAATCGTCCCAGAGAGTAAGATCGAGGAAAGGTCCGGAGGGGGATAGTGCGAGAGCAGCCCAAAAGCGCGGGCTTGAAAGGGCGATTTGTCTCCAGTACTGGCATACGTGTGCAAGAGCGATCGGGCGACCCTTTCCTGCGGTGGCGTGATAGACGAAGATCTCTGAGAGGATCTCTGGTGGGAGCGCACGATGAAGAGGTGTGTCGGCGTTGCGAAGAGTCCGATCAAGCCGTTCGTAAGCCCCAGCCCTAGAGTACAACCACGGAGAAAGAGAGGCGACAGATAGTTGGCCGAGGGGTGAACCCTCAGCCGACCGAACAGTTGTGGCAATGTCGTCTTCCGAAGAGATGGCCATGTGAGAGAAAACTTCTGCGAGTGTGTCGGGAGAGAGGTCCGAGCGGGTTGCTTCAGAGGCGCTATAGACATGGTAGAAAGTGGATCCGAGACGACGATAGTTATCCGCTTGGGCAGAAGCCCATATCCGCACGTCAAGGTCGGGGAGACTTGTGAGCCACACGCGCTCAGAGGCGGGTATGCTGCTGGAGAAGTCTAGAAAAGGAATGTCTTCCGTCGTCGAAACCATCGGATTACTGGTAGTGGGATAGAAGTTGTAGCCGCCAGAGAGAGTGAGTGCTTGAGGAGAGATGATGATGTCGGATCAGCGCAAGAGGTGGGCGCCACTGAGAAGCGAACATCTTGGCGTCTGGCGCTCAGAGTCGAGGCACGTGTGCTTGAAGGCAACAAAGAGCATCGCAGTGTCAGAGCACCAGCATCTTCCGAATCCTAGTCAATGGTCGTAGTCAGAATGTGGACGGCAACATATGTTGTGTATTCGTGGCCCGTGGGTTTCAATATTCACGATCGGAGACGTGATCGTCGAGTAAACGTGGCAAAGCCGACTGAACAGCGCGCGCTGCCAGTACATCGGCAATCTCGCCTGTGCCTCGCAATTCCCATCCACGTGGTGCAATTTTTCGGCCGCAGAACATCACAGAAGGCACTCTCATGAGCTTCCAGACCATTCTCGGCTCGCCTTCAGCAGAGACACCCCCTCACACGACCAAGGACGACACAAGACCCTGCACACCACAGTTCAAACGTTCACCTCCAACAGCAGATATCGCATTTGTCCGCCACAATACTGCTCTACAGCTACAACCACAACACACACAACCCCAGGTTTTTGGGTTATTTGATTTTTGGTGCTCCCGAATTTCACGGCTAAGGGAGACGCACTGCTGTTAGCTTCGTCCCGCTACTATGGTGCGTTCATGAATGCTCACAAACCGATACCAACTACTGCCAGGATCTATCCGCAGCGCATCGCGCCTAGAAGACATTGGGTCAGCGATAGGACCGCGCTCGACGAGCCACGTACGCACCTGCAAGACAAGACCTCCTACGCGGGGAAGGGGGAAGAGAACGGGGTGATTGAACTGTTGGACCGCAGTGGGGAGCGGCGTGGATTTATACTCCTGCTGTTCGCTCATCATCACGCGATGCGCGGATGTGCTGCGGTACCCGTGCGAGTGCCCGCGGGTCAGTTGACTTGCTGCAGCACTCAAGTTGAGAGCCGGAGGGTGCTTCGTGTCAAGTCTTCATTGATCGGCGGATGACCACAGTGCCCTAGTCCAAAGGTTACACAGATCTGGCGCACATCGCTGCCATTCAGCAGTGACAGCAGCATGTACAACCCCTGAGTCTGTCGGCGTTCATTCAACCTGCTGGACGGTCCCAGCCCGGGGTGGAACTCCGGACACCTTACAGCAATGGCACGGAGGGGGTCACCGAAAAGCACGCGGTGGGACACCGGGCGGTCATGTGTGTGTGCTGCAAGAATAGTGAAAACATCTATTCATACTCGTGGAACGGACAATTGGGCACGTGTAGAGCGACAATCAAATTCCGGACTAGTATCAATGACCGCGATTTTATGCTGGCCAATTTTACAAAGAATAACAGTACTCGCTACGTGTAATCTTAGTGCTGCGATAACCAAAGCTCTCCCTTGGCGTACACTCGTAAACCTCCTTCACGAACGTCGGGATCTCCGCATCATCCACATCGGTGTGGGTCGTGTTCGCACGGCCACCCACGGTGATGAAGAAACTTGCACCCGTCGCCATCTTCGATCCGTGGTATTCGAGTACGAGCGGTGAGTGTACCGCTCCAGCGCGTCCGCTCCCTACCCGTACTCTTCGTCGTTGTCGTCCACATCCATCGTCTGGATCGGAGCGCGCATGATTCTCAGCCGTAGCGCCCTCAACACTGCCTCTGGATGCGTGCGGGGACCGGAGCATCGCTTGCTTGCTCCCGCGGACGCAACGCGCGACCCTCGCAGCCCTCCAGCATCGACGGGATATTCCGCGTAGTCGGCCATTCGGTGCGCCACTGACATCGACTGCGTATGCCAATGGGGCCGTCTGGAGTTGCGAAGCGAGACTCCGGGGGATGAGGAAGAGTCGTTCGTGTATGACGTCCGCTCCACTGGCGGAGTGTAGACGTCGCTTCCGCGTCGATGGCGCGGGAAGGTTAGGTGTCGGTCGAGGGCTCCACTGCTAATCAGGAGTGTCAGCATGGGAAACGAAGCGACGTCTGATACACGGACGTACATTTGGGAACCACGAAAGTGAGTAGTTTGTCTGTCAGAGGGTAAAGCGGGTGACCCTCCGATAAGGGATTGATGTCCACAGGTGGACACATGGCGAGTGGCGAAGGGCGAAGGAGATAGTGGGTGAGTGCCGGTTGGAGGCGATGATGGGAGGAGTGATGAGAGTCCCCAGACATAGGACCTACATATTTATACCTGTACGATACGGTCTGGGTTCAAGTGGCCAGGTTGCTTCACTTTGTCGGACCAAGCGTGAGCCACTCACCAGCCCAGTGATGCATCCGACGTGAGGCAACGCTATTCTCCCGCTTCGAGCAGAATACATAGAATCTCCAGCGGGAAAGAGAATGTGTGAGCGCTGACCTTTGCAACAACCAAATACGCTAACAAAATGACTCACAGAAGGCTGTCACGAACGCGTGGTCCGCCCAAGGTTCGTCAGGCCAAAACTGCGACATGAATCAACAGCGACTTCCTAAACTTAAGAATTTCCCAGGCAGTAAGCCCTGTGCGCATAAGGTACACCGGGAACTGTTATAAATGCAAGAATTACTTCCACCCATGTGGTCAATTCGCGATCTGTCGTGCGCTTCAGTACTGTTTCAGCGAGGCGTCAGTATGCCAGCGAAAAACACTCACCTCGAAGTAAGTCTAGAGAGTTGAGCGCTGCAGTAACTCGACCCCCACGCTGAGGTCATGAAAATGTGCCATTGGATGAATCGTCGAGAGCGTGATGAAGCTGCTCATGTGCAAGTTGTGTACAAGAGCGAGTGCTCTGCGGGAAAAGTTGCGGAGTCCAACGCGCCGATCCGGGGTCCTGGTCCGTGCGCGCGACGGGCGTCTGAGCGCCACCCGCCTACCCGCCGGGCTTCTCGGGTGCCGAACTTTGCAACGTTCGAGGGCCATCTCCGCATACGTTCGGACTCCAGCACTGAAGAACGTGTGCTCGCACACGCCCTCTCGCGCGCGGGCCACCATAGCCTGCACTGACGTCTGAGAGGCACAGCATCGAATTACCATACTAGGTCCTCTGGTGAGCCACAGGCCGACCCTAGTCCCTTCCTTAGTACTAGCCGCTTCCTGTGGTCGCAATTTTAAAGTGGAACTGGAAGGTTCGGTCGTATTTCTGCACAATGCTGGCTCAATTTGCTCTGACCACGGGGCGATATCATCTTCAGCCGCAACAGCACCTCCAAACTTTACTGCATCCCGGGCCGTTGATTTCCTCCGACGCTGTTTTGAGTGAATATACTATCACCTGCACCACTCTCTTTCGCGTTCCTGTCACGAAAGAAGGGCCCTTCCTCAGCGTGGACCTATAGTGGATGTTGGAGGAAATCGCGCGCCGAGACATCACACAGTCACGCAACTCGGACACTGTATGCGAGCGTGCAGGAATATGATTTGCGGAACAGGCCCTCGCCAAGATGCGAACATGTATATTGGGGAAACAATGGTAAAATTCCCTATTGATGGCGTCTTTTTTAGGGGAGCACTGTCTAAAATGTGTTACATACAGTCGATGCGAATTAGACTGTTCCCCTAACAGGTCTGATGGAGGGTATCAGGGATAGGAGGGTGGCGGGGGCCGCCACTATCGCCTTGTGATCATAGGTGTTAGGTTCCAGTGCTCCAGGATCATACTAGAATAATGGGGAGGCCATTTCAGCATGTGTGCTTGAATATGGGAACGAATTGAATAGACTCACAGTCATCAAGAGCAAGATTGGTAGGGCCGAAAATGCGGAGGCGTTTGTAGCGACAACCGACGCCCTTTAGACTCAAGGCTCATTGGTAGCCATACCGAGAACTGAGCCTGTAGCCGCTCGAGGTACCCACCGCCGTAGGACTGTGGGCGCACGGTGCACACCAAGCGTATCCTACCCGTGGTATGACGAGTTGCCGATGTATTGGATTGCATGGAGTGTACGTATGCAGGGAAAGTAGAGGCATAACCCGAGTATCCTGGGGACGCAGAGGCGTAGTAGTTGTGGAACAGCCAGCGCGCTGTGATAAGCGGGCTGAGATATATCAGGAGAATCTGTCTTTTGTAGCAGATCAGCGATCGGAAAATTGAATGGAGGCATGTCGCTGAGAGGCGAGGGCGTACCAAAGGACGAGCGGGACGATCAGGCGCACATACCTGAGGCTCCCGCACCCGCGGCGACGCCGGGCTTGATCCATCGCGGATAGCCATTCCTTCTGCCATTTCGTACGCTTGAATTCGCCTAGCGAATTAGGATAGTCTTCCCGCGCGCGCAATGCCGGTTGCGGGCTCGCTACGCGAGAGCCTAGACGAGCGATCCGTACAGTCTGCCCGCCGTTGAGACCACCCGCTATTAATGAATGATTGCGAACAGGGCGTCAGCATGAGATAATCGAAACAAAATCTGAGATGCAGACGCACGTCGGGGACTAATGTTGATGAGTATTTTCTGTCAGAGGACAAGGCGGGCGAGAGGAGGGACTGATGTCGTCGGGTGAACTCATGGTCAGTGGGCGAGAAGCGCGAGGATGTTGGTGAACAGTGAATGAGTGAAGGCGATTTGAGAAGGAGCTGTGAGATACCTGAGGCATGGATGCTGCGTATTTATACCTGCACAGACCCTGCCAGTACGGTCCATGTGCGGGTCACTTTCCGCGGTGATGTGTTCGACGTACTACACAACACAATATCAATTTACACGCTCGGGACGAGCCCGAGCAAAGACCTTGCATAGACCCGTCACTGGCTCGTTGCTGCCGGTCCCTGCGGCAGAAACCATGGCATCTGGAAAGAAGACCCGATGTCCTAAGCGGACTCCGTTGTTACCATGAGGCCTTGGCGTGGATGAGGGGCTCGAACCCTGAAACAAAATTGGTGACTCGGTCATTCGGAAAGTGAGCTATGTGCTTCCAAGTTGATTATCCAGATAGTACGCTTATGTGATGCAGAAGATTTTCGGTTTATAAAAGGTTAAGAAATGAGCATCAGACGTGTTGCAAGGCTCCCTAGAATATATGAGAGTAGTTCTTTGGACAGAGCACATATATCATCCTACCCACAATAGCTCATCTACGCTGTTAGTCACCGATATATTTGCATACGAAGGTAAAGCATAGTCTTCGTGCTCGGTATTGTTTATCCTGTGTAAAATCTCGGTCTTCTGCTGCGCAAGTCGTCTTTTTGATCGTTTTACTGTGTGAAGTCCTAACTGAAAGAAATCGACAGTGAGTGTGCGCAGCACTGCACGCCGTGTACCAACAAGCTCGTGTACTGGATCGTTATTTAAGGCCATTGGCGTGTGCATCTTTGTTATTCTTGGTTTCTGGAGCCTTGCGACGAGTTCCAAGCAAGTTGTGTGAGTGAGAAGAAGAGGCCGACGCGCGGGGAGCCCGGAGCGCCCAGAAATCCGGCGCCTCTAATTTCACGTTTTCTGCGTTCGATTCGAGCCCAGTCTCGGACGGAGATCATGGATGGTAGTTTCCATACCCGTAAAGCCGCTTCTGTGGACCATATTGCTGCTCGATTGTAATCATGAAGCGATACTGGTGCCAGAATCTTCCAATTCTGGGTCTGAGCGCACCCTGAGACAATCTCTTTTTGTTTTTTTGGTGGAGCGCATGAGACTATGTGGTATTTGCCGTAAATGAACCAGCGGCCATGGCCTATTCTCATCCGACCCAAGCAATAGTAATATTACCTCCAGCGTGACGGCAAAGATCAGCAACCGTGCAATCGGCGGGATGCTGATATACATGGAAGGACGTGTCCTCTCGACATGGCGAGCTACTAGTACCCCACGCAAGCGGACTTTCGGGAGGAGGCTTGGAAGCCACAGGGGCTTGGAAAAGGCCCCGGTGAGAAAGAGAGCCCTGGGTCATGGTCAGATGGCATGCTAGTGTGTCGGCGCGGATCGCCCAGCGGATCGCCCGAGGACGTTGTGGCGTCACTGCCCTCCAGGTGGTAGAACCCGCTGTGGCGTGATGTCGTCTTTCCTCGGGCGTGAAGGGAACGGCATAGTGCGAAACTACATGTATGAGCCGACCCGGACGCTAGCTAGAAGCACAGATGACCCGTAGAATAGATTTTGTGCCGACTCCGGACATAAATAGCGAGATGTGAGAAAGAGCGTGGTACGTACAATCAGTCCCAGGCAGCGACAGTGCAACGAAACGATCAGAGAATCCTCAACGAGCGCGGCTCACCGGGCAGAACCGTGGGCCTCTCCAGCTTCCCCACACACCGCGCCCCCGTCCGCGATCCACTCCGCCCACATGTGCGCCCGCCGGTCCTCGCGCGCCACCGCGCGCGCGAACTCGAGCACGCGCCAGACGTCGCGCCAGTCGCTCGCGAGCCCGAGGCTGAGGCGCACGACGCCGAGCTCGCGGCCCATGTGCGCCTCGAACGCGGCGTACGTCGCGTTCTCGGGCAGGGACGCCATCATGTCGCGGAGGCCCAGGAGCGCCGCGGCGCCGCCGGGGTTGCACATGCACCCGGTGCGGAGGGCGAGCCCGGAGGCGGTCGCAGCGTGCTCGATGAACGAGTTCGGGAGCATCTCGCCTGAAGGCTGGGGAGAAGCGGGAGCGTGAGTGGGTGCTCTTGGGCCGCCGATTCATTTCAAACGGCTTACGGCGAGGAAGAGAACGGCGACCGTGGAGCCCGTGTCAGCTTGCTCTCCGACCGATTTGACGACCTTGCCTGGTTTGCGTGAGAGCACGCGTACGACGGGCGTTTCCGAGACGTCGTGCCGGATGGACTCCAGTGAGTCGATGAGGTAGTGTGTGAGAGACGAGAGACGAATCGGGAGGAAGGGGAGGTAGGCCGAGAGGAAACGCAGGCCATCGGTCACCGCGGCAAAGCCAAGATAGTTGATTGTTCCGTCCTGCGGGTAAAACATGTAGTCAGCATGTGGTCGTGCTCCATAAGCCAAAGCGGCCACTAGCCGCTAGCGAATAGATGGATTAGACCGTCGTCCGCAGAACCTGCACCAGACGACTGGAGACTAGAACCTCCAGATTTCAACCAGGACACGCGCCCTGGGCAGAAAACATAACACACACCCTCGGCCTCCGAACCGGCTCAAACGCGGCCCACCACGCGTAACCACATCAAGCTAGCGTTGTGGCGCGGAGTCGCGCAGGCGCACTGCGTCCGCAAATCGCGCTAGCAGCCACACAATCCCCAACGGCCACGACCCTGCACTGAACCTTGCAATCGACCGCCTCTCACGTTCAGGGCACATCACAGCGCACAGACTCACCTCGAACCGCTCGTGCATCTCCGCCGCCATCGTCACGACCGTCCCTGGGGCCTGCACGACGTCCACAGTGCCGCCCGCGAACCACGGCCGCTCGAGGCGCTCGAGGAAGTCCGTGCGCGCGACGAGCGCGCCGACCCCGGTCGGGAAGCCGAACATCTTGTAGAAGCTCACCGCGAGCGCGTCGACGGGGTGCTCCGCCAGCGAAAGCGCGAGGTCGGCGCGAGCGCCGCGGCGTCGAGGAGCGTGGCGTAGCCCGCGCGCGCGCGGTGGCGAGCAGCGAGAGGGGCAGCTTCGAGTTTGAGATGTTCGACTGCGCGGTGAGCGCGAAGAGCGAGCGTGGGGCGTCCGGGCCAGGGGGGGCGGTGGTGGCGGAGGATGGCCTGCGCGCAGGAGGGAGGCGGCAAAGTCAGCGTTCGGGTAGGTGCCGGCGACGCGCGGCGACGCAACCTTGTCTCGATGGACCAGGAACGAGGCGCGTGGAGGGCAGAGATGGGGAAGGCTCACCTCCGCTTCGGCGGCGTCGCATCCGCCGACGTCCGTCGCGGGCACGTAGCAGACGTCCGCGCCGCGCGCAGACGCGAAGCGGCGGAGGCCGTGCACGCTGTTGTGCGCATCGGCACAGAGGACGTACGCGCTGCCGCGCCCGAAGGGGAAGGCTTCACCGACGAGCTTGAGAGCGCCGCTTGCGTTGGCAGTAAAGACGACGGTGTAGCCGGGAGGGGCGTGAAAGAAGTCGAGCACAGCCTGACGTGCCTCGGCGGCACATGCCGCCGACAAACGGGACCTAAGAAGGCGATGATCAGAGCGAGAAAGCAAGACGCGCGGGCCAAGGCTGGAAAACTTACGGGTTGCTGACGGAGTGAGTGTTTCCGAGGATGTTGCGCTGCAGAAATCCGGCGTGCACCCTGACGAGCGAGTCGGGGTACAGTGACCCGCCCATGTAATCGACGTACGATTCACCAGCGCGGTCGAGACGCGCTAGTCCGTGCGTCGGAGCGCGTCGACGATCCATGTCAGTTGGTAGTGGGGGTACTGTTTGAGGAAGGCTCGATACGCCCCTCCCGCAGCGTCCTCCGGGGCCCCGGGAAATGTAAGCGCGTAGACCGGGGGTGGCGCCTCGGTGCCGGCAACCAGGCCAAGGTTGCTGTTGCCGAAGGTTCTCTTCTCGCAATCACCGATAGAAGAGTAGTTTCGATCAGGATAGGGGTGGGGGCCGCGTGCAGATGGGTGTGGGAAGGCGTAGGGTGATCTTCGAGGCCGTAGCTCGGAAGTGGGGTCTGCGCACCCGAGAGTGAGTACAGAAAACGCTTTGGAGCGTTTCCGATGCAGGACGGGGGCGTGCGTGGCTGTGGCGACCCGGGAAGGGTGGTCGTGGCGAACGTCCGAGAGGGGCCAGAAGAGGGAAGGTGGCTGCTCGAATGAGAGTTGCCCATGTGAGGTAGTGTGCGAGATGGAATTGGGATGTCGCGGAGGGATGCTGGTCGTCCGAGTGGATGGGCACGGAGCTCAGTGAGCTGCCTCTCTAGCCCCAAAAGCCTTTATATGTTTGGGTTCAAGGTTCCGTAGGCTTCAGGGCTGGGGCATTTGGTTCCTGTTCAAGACAGTACCTTGGTCCTGTGCATCAAAGGAATGGGAGCTGGCTTCGTGATCTTGGCGATGCGCGCAACCACAAGGTAGGCAGGCGCCCCGGCGTACCATTCACGGACGAGGTGGTCGATCTGACACATGAAACGAGTGTCGGCGGGAACACCTTCACCTTCCGCCGAGGAGCCTTTGTCACTCATACTGTGCTGGGAATAGCTCAGGAGGCTCCGATAGATTGCTCGCATTGTTATTCGGCGCAGCAAGGCCCATCGCATTCTAGCTCTATTGACGGTAGCAGAGGCATACAGCCAAGTTATTCGGAATACATATGGCGGGGAAAGGTACATCGTGATTAATCATCACGGCGCAACTTTCCCGGAGCCTTTGAAGTGAACCTTACTGTAATCACGACCACCTGTACTCTGGCGAGCAAAAGGTGAATCGAAGCGTTAACGAGAGGTTCATGCTCGGAGGAGCACGCCATACGACATCATCGCGGGAGCGGTTCACCTGTGCTCGGAGCCGTTCGGTGGTGAATGGACGCAGATGGAGAGGATAGGCCTCAGACGTGAGCCAAGACATGAAAGAAGCTGACAGTGCACTTCGGTCGACCTGCTGGTACATGTGAGCCTCTCTACCGACGGCGAACCGCCTCGATCAACTGGTCGGACGCACCTCGGTGGAGAGGCGGGCTCCGTACTTCCCATCCTACAGAATGGGCGCGACTCCGTCGGAGGTTTTCATCAGTTTAGGCAACTTGCTTCGAGTGATCGGTAGCCATGAAGTGAAGGCCCACGGTTAAGAGCAGTTAAAAGACTCAGGTTGAGTTCAGAGCTGGCATTGGAATGGGACGATGACTCGAGAGAAGACGTACGGGCTGGCCCCTATCAGTCGAAGTGGTACGCTGTTATTCGGCCTGTTGAGACAGCCGCACACACGGGTCGAAGCGCGTCCGACTATGGGGCGACCGTCCTTACTTGCGACATGGCTCTATGAAGATGGGCGTCACGCGGCCGTGACGCGGAATGAGACGAAGGTGGCAGGGATCAAGTAAAGCATCGCGCACCCAGAAATGAACGACGGCAGTAATCGTCCATGCACTTCAAACCATGCTTCACATGAGCTTGCTTTTTCTAACGAGCGACGCGTCATCGGAAACACTCCGTAGATACGTATTAGTCCCCTTGCAATGCAGCAAATATAGAACACCTACTCCGCACTTGCAGCGACGATAACAGTGCATCAAGCTATTCGTGGGGAGCGTGGGTTCGTGAGAGGCGATGAGATTACCAGATCTACCAAATTTACTTCTCGCACCCATGTAGGGCGCGGTCAGAGGACGCTCAGATGAGCGCAAGATGGAGGAAGCGGGAGGGACGTGACGCCAGCTGGGCACTCCGGAGTCCGAGTCCCAGCAGGCGGAGATGTCTCACAACGGCCACGTGATCATGCGTCCAAGCGCCCATCACAACTGTTCGTCTGTTCCACTGTCCAGCGCTAATAGGAACGACGAGCTCCCTCTCTCCCTTCCCCCTTGGCCTTGACCCTTCCCTTGCCGTCCCACTCCACCCTACTTCAACATGTCTACAGCACATAGGCCGACATGGGATCCTGCGCAAGCGAAGGACGTGAAGGGGGGCTCCCGACAGTTCTCCGTGCGCGACATGGCCGCGCACACGAAGCTGAAGTTCCGGTGCGCCACTCTTTTTCCATACGTTCGCGTCATGTAGTGACCGCCAAACGTGCATATAGCCAACCGGGCCAAACTTCCACAGCGGAAGTTGCGAAGCGCGACCTTCGGGCTGAGCTGATCGAGGCGGAGGCTGCGGCGCGCGACCGCAAGCGCAAGGCAGAGGGAAGCCCCCGCTGGCGGTGGAGAACGCGACTGCGGGAGGCGCGGCCGCTGCGGCGGTGACGGATGGGCAGGACGAGGAGTCGAACAAGCGGAGGAAGCTGCTTCAGGATGCTTTGGAGCTGGACAAGGATGACGACGAGGACGACGAGGACGAGGGAAAGGGTGGGGACGAGGAAAAGGGAGGGGGTGACGACGAGTGTGTTAATCTTTCCACTTTCTGCTGCGTGCCCTCACCGGGGATTATGGTGTCCGCAGGGATGATGACGACGACGACGATGACGAAGAGGACGACACGGCCGAACTTCTACGCGAGCTGGAGAAGATCAAACGCGAGCGTGCGGAAGAAAAGGATCGACAAGAGCGCGAGCAGTCCGAGCTGTCGGCTGCAGAGCGCGACGCCGAGATTGCGACCGCGAACCCGCTCCTCAATCTTGCAGCCGCGCTCGGGCAAACGCCGAATGGGGTAAACACGACGAAGCCAGGCACGTTCGCCGTGAAGCGGAGATGGGACGATGGTGCGTGTGCGAGGTGCTCGTCAAATGTGGTCGGGGTTCTCATGAACGCGGGTTTTCCTAGACCTCATCTTCAAAAACCAGGCGATGAGCTCGCGGGACAAAAACAAGGAGCCACAGTTCGTGAACGACCTGCTACGGACAGAGTTCCACAAGTTCGTCCACCATCCTTCGTGCTGTTACACCTTAGTTGCTGACTATCATGCAGAAAGTTCATGTCGAAGTTCATTAAGGTGTGTACTTTTCTCTTCGCTTTGCTGCCATTTGGCTCAGACCTTGAGCTTCATAGTAATGACCAAGGACTCCGTCACTGTACTATCTTATCGTTTCTCTGGTATCGTATGATCATGTTCCTCGGACTCCCTCGGACCTCGGATTCGTTCTTGCGCTGCAAACGCAAGTCAGCAACTCAGGACTACCTTCTGGCACCACAAATCATGCGCTCGACCACTTATCAAACCTACACTTGGCATATGCAAGTTCACTGTGGAACAGCGAAGTTTGGATTTCGTACAAGTCGCGCTTCGTTTGAGGTGTTTCATGGGAACAATGTGGAAATGTTCTTGAGTACGCCCACTTTCGTCCGTTCCTCCATGATGTTCGTCTGCGTGGTGGACCTAATCGGGTTTACTCGCGGCCACGAAGTGGTAGAACCCTGTTTGTTATCAGGTGCCCTATACAATCTCAAATCATACAGCGGTCCAGTGGACACACTGTCGACGTGAAGGCTGGGCAGAACTCAAGGTATAAAAGGTCGAGATTGAGGACGTACTCTACAGCATCTCACCGGACTTGCTACGCCTCCACACCCACTTCTACTTCAAGTATCCTTGCTTTTCAACGCGAACACGCAATGGTCGCTTGCTCTATCACTCGCATTATCGTCCTCACTTCCCTTCTCGTCGGAGGTAGAAGACTTGCTCGCTCTAGATAGACCCCATCGCTCAATTTCTCGTCCACTCTAGCCTTGACTGCTCCAGTCGCTACTCCCGACGAGGTCCGTATACCTTTACAAGTTCAGATTTCGAGCTTCCCACTCAAAGCTTCTGATCCTTCCCGCAGACTTCCCTGGCTCTAATCGGACGTCAGTGCCACCGCATAGGCTGCCTTGTCACGACCCCTGACTCCGAGAAGGTCTCCGAACCCGAAGGTCAGCAGCCTCACATACCCATGGTCCACATATTGAAGTCGCTCACTGACGCCGCTGTAGTATTCAATGCCGACCTCGCTTCGGACCAGAGCGTCATTGGTGGGGACGAGGCTTGAAGTTGACAAGGTGCGGCTGGGTCATTGATGCCTGCCATTGACGATGCTTACTATCACCCCAGCTCCCAACGACGCAAGCCTCTGCCTGACCGGGTTCAACCGGGCTGCTTCGAGTGCGGCGTCCGTCACCGCATGACCAAGCCGAGCCTCTACCCTTTCGATTTCCCCCATATTTATCTTTCAATTCCGACGTGTATGATGTTCTTACGCCGCTTCGTTTCCATGTAATGAAATACAAGTCTTTCTCCAACCAAGGCCTTGAGTGTCGAAGCATCCGGAACATTGAAGTCACTTTCCAGGGCCCGTGCTGAGGTTCTGACGGAGTAGGTTTCCTCGTGTATGCATACAATTGATACTAACTATCTCGATAAGCCACAGCAACTTGAATCATACTTGCTCGTCCCCTCGGGGCTTCGCAACACTTATTCAGGCAACTCCATCGCTTGCAGGAGTGTATGCGCCCACACTCCTTTCGCCTAACTATCCGACCCCGCATCCCTGCATCCCAGCTGAGGTCAAAATCTTCTGCCCACATTCGGCGTACCCCAACAGACCGCTCAGCATCACCAGCCTCCGCCCGGAGCTGACGCAAAACAGCGCTGTCTAAGGTCAGTGGCGCGACGCTGAGACTCGTCGGTGGCTGTTGAGGAAGCGCGTGGTGGCACCGTGGTGAGAACCACCAGATGATCTTGAGATGATCTCTCAGGTGCGCCCACAGTACTTGATGCTCATCGTCAACACCGCTAACGTCTGCTGTAAGGCGGTCTCGGCCAAGCTCGTGCTTACAAGGGAGCCGAAGGCCTTCTGACCGCAGATGCGGCGGACGTGGATGAAATCGGCTGGCGGGGTGATTTGTTGTGATGTGTGAGTCGGGCGTAAAGCTGACAACATACGGGTGATCCAAGTCAGAAGAGCCGTGAAGAGTGGAGCTATAAAGCGAGGGCATACGGACGGAGGGTCGGCAGACATCTGCTCTTCGTTCGGCTTGCGACCACTCCCCCTCTTTTCCTGCGCCTGGAACCCATCTGCGTCGTCACACTCGTTGAACAACATGGTCGCCTTTATCATCACCCGCTCTTTTGCCATCTCTGCCTTATTCGTTGGGGGTAAGCTTCCACTCCACTTCGACTGCTTCAGTATGGGGCTGACCGATTTCGTGTCTTAATTTGCAACAGCATTTTCTGCTCCCATCGCCGTCGGCCCTTTTGCCGTCAGGGTATGTATGCAAACGTCGTCTCCTGAACGACCGGTCTAATCCTCATATTTCAGTCCACGGGAATTATTGAGGCTCGACAGTGCCACGCCATGGGGTACCTGGCCGTCGCAGACCCCGAGTCTAACGGCTTCACTCCCATTTCTGGAGTGTCTGAGGAACCCAGCAACGCCGCCTTAGATGCAGCTGATGTATGCTCCTTCTCTCTGATCGGCACCGTCCACTATGCTCACGCAAGCGGTTGTCGTTCCGCAGTCTTCCCCGGCCATCCAAACGCGCCAGTGCCACGGAGAAGGGTGCCTCCGTGTTGTCGAAGAGCGCGAGGTTCAAAACACCCCTGCTGTCGTGGCCGCCGAGGCTCGTCAGTGTCATAGTATGGGCTGTCTCAAATCCGACTCGGAGGAGGAACGGGTGCACATCTAGAAAGATCTTGCCTCCCATACCCGGCTCGGCCTTGGTTCGAGCGATTACTTGATGGCAACCTTTTCCTTATTTTCTCCCATAGTATTGCCTTCGTGCTTCGTTCGCATTAGTATAGTACGGATGAATAAACATACACTGACATATAGCGTTCTCTGACTGTCGGTCTGTTCCACCTGACTTCCAGACCATGGCTCGTGATATACTGATAATTGATTGATTCATCGAGAGTTGCCGAGCGCTGTGGAAAATCCGAAGCGCCAACACTGACAGCCCTCGTGCCGCGCCGCGGTCCGGACTAGGTGTCCTCGGACTTACTGCGGCTCTTGTCTTCCAGCAGCGACTCGAATCCGGAAGATGACGATGAGGCGTGTTGCGGGCTCGTCTCGACGTCCCGAGCGGTGCGCCTCGAACTTCGCCCCGCTGCGACGCTGCGCTGGCCCGCCGGGTAGATCCGACAGCGGCGATTACATCACGCATGCGTCGCGCAGAACCAGCAGTGCAGACCGGCGACGTCCAGTCTCGGCTGCCCCTCCCTCCACCTGTTCTCCGTTGCTCTCTCCCCCTCTTTCGTTCCATCTTTCTCTGATACCTCTTGGGCCCGCAACATGCCTGACATTCTTGTGCTCGGAGCGACTGGTACGCCGCCGTCCCTCCCCGCTTGTCTACCCAGTATCCATACTTTCTATAGGCTACACCGGCCGCTTTACCATTAAAGCCCTCGATGAGCACCCTCAGCGCGACCAGTTCACCTACACATCGGTGTGCGCTCGCTGGCCAAAGGCGAGGCGCTGAAGAAGCAGCTTGGACTGGACCCCAACGTCCCTCTCGTCGAGGTGATGTACTGAACGCGGATGAGGTCGACGACGCGGTGCGCAGCGTACAGTTGTCATCAACTGGCGGGGCCGTATTGGTTATATGGGCAGAATGTGCAGAGGTGCGTGTGCTTGCTGGGTATATGCAGTATCCGAAGCTGAGGCGGGTGCGCCAGATCGTGTGCGTTGCACGGAAAGCGGTATGTGGACCTGGCGGGCGAGCTGCATACACAGAAGAGGATGATTGAACGGTGAGTCTTGCGTCCTTGGAATGTCTCATGGGGATGGTCGTGCGCGTGCTGCGTGCTACGCCCATGTACGTGCGTGGGTTGCTTCGCCAACTCCAGCACTTATGTGTCCGCAGTCCTTCAGAAAGGGCTATATACTGACACATCGCTCCCGGTTACTAGCTTCGACTACCTTGCGACAAAGACCGGCGCGATCCTCATACCTGCATGCGGCTTCGACTCTATCCCAAGCGACATCCTCGTCCATCTCTCTAACCGCACGATCAAGAATGCGTTGGGTCCGACAGCAGCGTTGGGTCTCTCACAAACATACTTCTCGGTCGGAGGCGGGTTCTCTGGCGGTTCGGTCGCATCTCTCATGGCGGAGCTTGAACAAGTTCCGGGCCATTTGGCCAAGGAGGCTAGGAGTGATTGGTCCCTGAGTCCTGGTGCGTCTTCCTACTGCTCGTCATCCTCCTCTCGTCTCAAACCCGGTGCTTCAAATAGTGCGTGGTCTCCCATGTCCGACACCCTCCCTCGCCACGCCCGTGCCTTTTACGTCCCGCAACAATACGCCGGATGGTGGGTCATCGCGGCCCCCAATCGCGGTTGTGTCCAGCGCACGTGGGGTCTCAACGAGCTCGCGGTCGCTGCCACTTCCTCCGCGAGTGTGAAGGAGCGCAAGGTTGCGGCGCGTACGGCCCACAGTTCCGCTACGTCGAGTACTTTGTCACCGGCACGTCGAAAGTGACGGCCACTGCGGTGAGCGTGGGGATCCTGGTGTTTTTCACATTAGTGACATACTGCGCGCCGGTGAGTGAACTCAGCTTATCACGAGAGTTTGTTGGGCTTGACACAGGGATGTTCGTGCAGGTGCGATGGTTGTTCAAGATGCTCATGCTGCTCCAGGATCTGGTCCGTCGGAAGCGTAAGTAGTTTCCCTAGCCCGCATCATGACTTCCTCTGACATGATTTCCGTAGACATGTCAAGGAGGGCACATGGGAAATCACGAATGTTACCGAGTGTGCGTCTTCACCGGGCGTGTACGCCAAATCACCATGCGCGGTACTGGTAATGTGGGCTACTACAAGACTGCATGTGCGTCATTCACTCTTCACACTCGCGCTGTCATCCTCCTCATCTCTATCCTCGCATTGAGCGGTCGTTAACCTTTGTACATTAGACATGCTCGTTGAATCCGCTCTCGCACTGCTCCTTGACGACGCCTCTCTTCCCGAGGCAGCGCGCGCAGGCGGTGTCCTCACACCCTCGACGCCCTCGGGGGTGTCCTGGTTAGCCGTCTCGAGGCGCACGCGAAGATCCAGTTCGAAAGCCAGATAATCCGTACAAACCCGGAGAGCAAAAAGAACCGGTAACCCTGGAATTGTAGCATACATGACCCTGTGCTATCTGCTGACGTCGTTGTAAGCCCATCCCTACTGTTTACTACGTCCCACCCCCTCTCCACATCTGCGCTCAGCTTAACCTCATACATTGCATGGACAGTCTTGGATGTCTCTTACTGTCTCGGCGTATATCATTCTTTATCCTCGCCAACAAAAGTTGTGGCCCGCCGGCTCGGGGTCCACGGACAAACCCCGGAGTATTCTCGGCCGAGTCAAAATGCCAGCTGTATCCACCTCCGCGCCTATCTGCCGTCTCTTCCTTTCGCGCAGGTCTTGTGCACTCTCCTCACCCCTGCGATCAGTCAGTTGGCCAACCCAGAGCGCGGAATTTCACCTCAGCGAGCTACTAGAAGACCTCGACGTGACATTGGCGTCTCCAGATTGACAGTCCGTCTTCCGGATAGTGAGGACGTAGGGTGCTGGTGGAGGCTCAAGGTACTCACGCTCCACGGCCCCTGCTGCGAGGTCATAATGCCGACATGGGATCCAGTGAGCATGGGGCCCCAGATTCAGTGTGCGCGCTCCGGGTCGGTGCCGTTCTCGTAATTTACAGCGACCCGCGACTATGAGCACTTATAAAACGGTGGTGGTCTGGTGGTGGTACGTGCCTTCACCTCGCCCTGTATCCCCTCCCCGTGTTCATTTCCACTGCTCCCAGCGATGCCACCGTCTTACGCGCTCGCACTCAAGCTTCCAAGTGTGCCGCCGCCGCCTCCCTCGCCCGCGTCGCGTCGCTCGGCCTCATGCCCCCAGCCGTGGCTTCGCGGAAGCCGCGACCCAACGGCCTGAGGGGTCGACGAGGACGCCGCGTAAGGAGGGGACCATCGCGGAGTTCTTCGAGAACCTCACACACCGCGACGCCGCGCTTTCGCTCCGCCGCGCTTTGCGGAGCTCAAACGCTCGCTCGTGCGCGACCCCGCGGGGCTGAAGGAGAGCTGGCGGGCGGTGCTGGCGGACTTGGAGGTCGAGGTGCAGGAGATCAAGCGGCGGGGGAACGAGGTGCGTGTTGTTCATTGAGGTGCTTTGAGGCGGGCGCTGAGGCGAGGGAAAGACGATCGTGTCGGTGATGTATGAGGACATTGAGCGGGGGTTGTCGGAGGAGCAGCTCAAGCAACTGAAGAAGACAGGCTGCATCATCGTGAGGGGAGGAGTTCCGAAGAAGGTACGTCGGGTTGGCCTCTACGAGCGATTGATGTGATAACGAGGCCTCCAGGAAGCCGCCGGCTGGCTTGAAGGCCTGAAGCAGTATATCGCCGCGAACCACGACAAAGTCAAAGGTGCGACCGAGTTGCGTCTATGCGCTTACTCTCTTTCGCTTACTTTTACTCCGCCTCAGGAACCCCGCCCGGCAACGTGACTTGGTTCGAGATTTACAACTCGCGTCCTCAGACGCTGCTCGCACGCACCCCGGGCTCTTGAAGACCCAGGCATACTTGCTGTCGCTTTGGCATTCCTCAATTGACACCCCTGTGTCTGTGCGCACCCCCGTCTCGTATTTTGATCGGATCCGGATCCGGCAACCGGGCCCTAGCTCGTTCGTGCTCGGCCCACACATAGACGGAGGGAGCATCGAGCGGTGGGAAGACCCCGGGCTCCGGAAGTGCTTCGAACGCATCCTAGAGGGTGGGGACAGCTGGCGCAAACACGACCCGTTCGACATCGCCCCGCGCCTCAGCGCGAACCAAGACCTGTACAATGCACCGTGCGTTTTCCCCTTCCCCTCGTCCCTCTTTCGTGGACGCTGACGCCGACGGGGCCCACAGGAACCAATGCACGATCTTCCGCCCCTGGCAGGGCTGGACCGCGCTGTCGCGCACGAGCCCGGGCGAGGGGACGCTCGCCTCCTCCCGCTCCTGTCGCTCTCGACCGCCTACCTCATCCTCCGGCCGTTCTTCCGACTCAAGCCCGAGCTCGCGCACCTGAGCCCCATCCCGCTCGAGGCGGACGCGTGGGAGCTCGACCTCGACAGCCCGTCGTTCCCCGGGAGCACGCCGGCATGACGCAGGCGCTGCTCCCGCACCTGCACCCGCACCTGCGGCTGGACGAGACGGTGGTGCCGATCCCGACGGTCGAGCCCGGGGACCAGGTGTACTGTGAGTGCGTACGCGCGCTGGTACAGAGGGAGTGGCTGACGTTGCGCGCAGGGCACACCGACGTCGTGCACGCCGTCGAGGGCGAGCACAGGGCACGGGCGAATCGTCTGTCGTTTACATCCCCGCGGTGCCCCTCACAGAGAAGAAGTGAGTCGTTCTGGCCCGCAAGTGGCCGTCGCCTTTGAACCTGACCTTCTCTTTCAGCGCCCTGTACATCCGCGACCAGCGCGAAACGTTCCTGAAAGGCCTTCCCGCTCCGTGAGCCCAGGTTTCAGAGCGTGCAGTCACCCAAATGCTGACCCATCATTGACGCAGCGACTTCCCCGGAGGCGAGGGTGAGTCCCGCTTCGTTGGGCGTGGTACTTCCGAGGACGTCACCACCGTTGAGGGTCGGCGCACCCTCGGCCTTGAGCCTTTTAGCTATCCGCCTGCGGCAAGCGAGGGTGAACGGCGCATGATTGACTTGGCAAACAACACCCTCGGGTTTTGAAGATCTGACCGACGGAAGCTCTCTGACTCCGCTTTGGCTGTACTTGCATTTGGACCATGTGTATTCGTACGGATGATATGCTCTGATTGAATTTATGACCCCCGAATGCAGTATCATATTGAGTACGTCTCCACGCGACGGTGTAAATCTGTTACACTCACTCACGCCTCTCCGACTGTATTCCATGAGCAGTTGCGCGCGCTGAAACCTTCAGTTAGCGTCTTCGACCGAAGCTTGTATTGTTTGAGCAAGCTTACCCCCTGAGCTGTTTTTCAAGTGGTGATTTGACACGGGTGCGTCGGGCAGCCGATCGGTCCAGGTGGAATCTTGACGCGAGCCTGAGCGGGCAAAGTCAGCGTCCAAGTCCTTCGCGAAGAGGGCGTGCGTGTACCTCTAGAATAGCTGGGTTCGGAAAGGCAGTCGCTGCACCCCAAAAGAAATGAGCACATATGTACATGACGGGCCAGTCCTTGGACTGGGCCCAAGTTGCAGAATCGGACATGTGTTCTTACCCGACACAACCCCGAGGGCGGCAGTCAGCAGAACGCGGGTGAAACGCATGACGAGCGTGATGAGGATGGCCTCAGTGGGTGTATTGCACCTTGCTTTGCAAGGCGAGGTACTTATATGCCCTCGTGAAGCTTTGACGAGCACGCGTAGGGCCAGTCCGTATTGCGGTGTACGTGATGAGCCTGGGCAGCCACTGTCGGATATCTAGATGGCCTTTTAGTCGGCGCGTTTCAGACCGGCGGCGTGAGTGAGCATTGTGCTGTGCATTACACTTCTCGGGACCCAAGTCCCACGCAGTCAGACGGCGACGCTGGTCGCGGAGTCGGCGCTTGGACTGTGCGAGGGTTCTCTCATGTTGGACGAAACTCCCGCCGAGAGCGAAGCCCTCGCGCGTGAGGCACGCAAGCCCCAGTACCTGGTCGCCTCCCCGAGCGCGACTGCGGGCTCAGGCTCAGTGCCGAGCCGTCGACGAAGAGGATGAGTGCAGGCGAGGAGCTCCTGGGGCGTCCAGCTGCGGGTGTGCCAGCGCGTGAGGCGGAAGGCGGAGGTCCGATGATCTCGATGAGGGACCACGGCGGGACGTCCTCGAGGAGACGTACCAGGAGAGCATGGATTTGATCACCTCGGAGAGTTTGGAGGAGCTCGTCTTGTCGATGAGGCGGACGTCGATCCAGATGTACGCGCAGCCGTCGGCCGTAGCGTGGATATAGTTATCGTAGCTATGAGAGCGTGTGGCGACTGAGTCATGAGCTCCGTTGGGGTGAGCGTCGAACTGCTCCTCAGTCGCTTGGACATCTTGCAGGTCTGCTCGTTGGGTACCCAAGTATGAGACAGCAGCCAAGGACGGACGAAGAACCAGTGGAGGGAGAAGTGGAGATGGGAGTCGTGTGCGCAGAGAAGCCACATTTCGCCCCAGAGTTGTGGGATGATTGTCGCGGAGGATGCTTCTGTATGGTCGGGTTCTTCAGTCAGCACGTACCACTAGCATCCAAATACCGCGCAAATTGAGCTGTGCCGAGCCAGTGGATCATATCCTTCTTCGGCCATTAATATTTCACCATTCGTGTCTTGACGTAGACGGTAAAAAGGTATTGTGGACTGCCTTGAACAAAGCACGATCGAGTGGGCACCCGGGGAAGACGCCCATCATGGCAAATGGCCACCACCACATATTTCAGAGAAGTCGGAAATTGCCAATATCAATGTGCGTCTCAAGGCTATCCACCTGTCTAGGGAGACAAGCGAATCCCCTTCGAGCGCGAGCGGCCAACAGTCACAGCCCGCACGACCGGAGGAGCTACCGCTGAGACCCGACCGAGATATCTGTCCAAACGAATGTCGCATTACGTCTGCAGGAGACTAAAAAAAGTAAAGGGATGACAGCTACCACAGAAGACGAACTGATCGTACACGAGCTTCCTCTCTCCCCCCAACAATGTAAAAGGCGCATGGGAGATACCGGCAGCCACGCGCGGCACGCCCCACCGGCCCTGGTATACGGGCGCGGCCCGGTGGCTGCGTATACAGGGAACGAAATAAAGGGAACAAGGAGAAGACACGGCTCGCCGCCCGAGCGCTCAGATGATGTACCCGTTCGGGTGGTCTTGCTTCTTGACGTACCACCGTTTCGGCTGACTGTGCATGATGTCTGTGCGGAGTGGGTGATCAGGCAAAGGTCAGCGGCCTAGCTCGATATCGAACGCGGAAGCAGAAGTAGGGCGCGCACCGATTGGGCTCGTGAAGTTGTGCAAGAACGGGTGGACGTCCTTCACCCCCGCCTGCGTGCCGTTGTGCGCCGCGAGCGCGCTCTCCGTCAGCTGCGGCGCGCACACGCGGCCCTCGAGGATGACGCCCGAGGCGCCGCGCCGGTTCGGGGAGAACGTCGGCGACGGGCTCTCGACTGCGCTCCTCATCCCGCGCAAGCCCGGGTCGACCTTGACCAACCGCCGGCCGTCGTGGTGGTCCTCCGTGCTCGGGGCCGCGGGGGGGTAGAGGGGGTAGTCTAGCGCGGGCGACACTGGGAAGGCGCTCTCGCGTTCTTCGTCCGTGCCGGTGCTGTAACGGTACTTCGGCGGGAGCGGAGAAGCACCACCCCGAGAGTGGGAGTGGTCAGAGTAGTGGGAGTCGCCGCGCGGGCGCGAGTAGCCTTGTTGGGCCGACTTCTCGAAGGTCGCGTGGCGAGACTCGGCCGAGGCTTCATTGGAGCGGGGGAAGAAGACAACGAGTGTGATGGCGGATGAGACCACGCAGCCGATGGCGGCAAGGGAGGTGAGCATTTCTGTCCAGAATCTGCATTTTGAACGTGAGTTATCAGCGCCGTGAAATATCATAAGCTACGCACGGGCTCTCATTGACGTGCTGATGGGGGCGCACACCGTCGACGGCGAGGATCAATAGGGGGACAACAAACAGGAAGCGGAAGACGACACGGAGGCACTGATGACGCTGTCAGCTCATCGTCAGTCATAAATGGTCGAAAACGTACGTTGAGCTCGTGGAAAGTCGCCAAACGGGTGAGCGTTTGCTTATCGACTCCATGGCGCTTCTATAGCGCAGCGCCAAGAAGTCAGCAGTCGAACGGCTGCGCACACAATTAACCAGAGTAACGCACCAGCTTTTCACAGAACGAAGGGAACGCCCAGAGTATAGGCATGAACCAGAGAGTGAGGGAAAGGCTGCCCAGGCTTCCGGCGAGGAACGTGAAAGCCTCACACTTGGTCGGGTCTTCCCGGGTGAAGATTGTGACGAGGGGCATGTACGTGAGGGCAATGACGGAGCCACAATCCAAGTCCTAAAGTACAAGCTGCGGAACCAGTCCTGCTGTACCGAGCCGGAGTTGATGAGGAAGAGCCAGAAGCACAGTTCTTCGAGGTGCGTAACTCTGTGAGGTCTATCAGAAAGACATGCCAGGAGGACGGAGAAGATCGGCGCACAGTTCAAAACTCCAACCGATGGTAAAGAGCAAATAGAGCGGGAGGATAGCGGACTTGTGAAGGGGACTCCACATTTGCCATGGTTTGGGTACAACTGCGATAGGTGGACGTCAGGCATAATCGGCGATGTTGGTTACGAGGAGGACATACTGCCGTAGAAAGGAATGTCAATGAAGCCCTCCTGATACTTATCACCGCAAAACCGAGCGCATATGCCATTATACATGGCACGCTGAATAGATACGTATACTGCAGGGTGGCATATAGTCAGCACAACCGCCACTGGAAGTAAAAGGCAAGCTCTACGAACCGTCATGAGTCGCTTGAAGGCCCCAGAGTAAGGGCCGTTGTTCCATCTTCGGCTCGGGTAAGCTGAGAGCACTCGAACGTTATGAACCACAGGCAACATACCTCATGCAGCGAAACTTGTCGTATTTCCACAGATGGTAGACAAGAAAGCAGCCGAGCTGTAGCAGACCACATGAGCGCTTCAATGAAGCTGAAACAGCAGAGCATTTACGCACCAAACAAGACATGATAGCCCACACGAGGTACGTTGCGGGGGTAGTGTGCGACATGGCGAGTGTATGCAACAGGTCAAGAAGGGCGAAAGCTCGAGATGAAGGAATGTCAGACTATTGCGCAGAAAAGTGGGTACCGGAACCAGCGGAACGAGAGCATAGAGTGAACGGCTCGCGGGGGTGTGGGCAGATAAATGCGCCGAGGCGTCGTTCTTGAATCCACCTCGAAACCTTCCTGCACCGGAGCGATCGATCTCTGAATGGTCGCCACCGTTCCCGCCGTCCAACCACGCCTCCGCACGACCTGGCGCCCATAGCATCCTGTCACCTTGCGAGCAACCTTTCATCCACGCCTTCCGGTAACCCAGCCTTTCCTCGACTTCCAAGCTGGACGCCAATCCCCGCATTCCTCAAGCGCCAGAGAATACTGATACATGATGGTGGAAGCAACAGCGAAAGGGACTCACAAGTGTGCCTGGTAGGCCTGGCGAGGGGCCCGAGGGCAAGAGAAAGGCAGGGCGGAGGGCGCGAAGGAGGTGGAGGAAGTAGGGCAGCCTGGGGAGCGCGGAGGGCGGGTGTCGGGGTATATGCGCGCGCGGGAACTCGTCCGAAGTGTGCATCGGGGCGAAAGATCTTGTGCGACGGAAGGAATCATAGGGTGGCCATCAGATGGACATCACAAGTTGACGCAAGGGGCAGAAAGACCCGGCGACAGGACCACGCGATCCACCAGCGCCGCCCAGGGAAAATAGCTTGCGAGTCTCCAGTCCCGCGCTGGGTGTCGCGCGACGTGTCGGAGTTGAGGCTAGTCGAGCTGGCCACATGGCAGATGCTGGCGAAGGCGCAGGTTTGACAGCAGCCGGAACGGAAGTTCGAACCTCCGTTGAGCGTGGCGAAGCTTGGAGACCAATGTCGACGATGGGCGTCGGAACTGGGCGGTCTTGTGTCTGAAGGGGGTCGTCATGCTTGAGCTGATGGTTGAGCTTTGTAAGGTGTTGCAGGGCGTTCCGAGCATTGCCGAGCTCAGTGATGCGGAGATGGACAGGATGACGAGAGATCGCTCGAGATATTTGCGTCGATCCCTCACATCACTGGTGCCTTTTCAAATCTCCCACCGCCGTTCCAACCCCGATCGCTGCGGGATCCAATTCTCTTCCGCGAGCTGAGCGCTGAGCGCTAGCATTCCCTCCCACACGCCCTGATGTCGCTCGCCACACCCACCCCAGACGACCTCGACGAGTTCTTGCTATCATGTAGATACGGAGATGTTGAAGACATCCAACAGTTTGTCGACAGATTTGGATCCGATGCCCTCAGCACCGCCCGCGACGAGGTTGGCAACACCGTCTTGCATATGGTCTCCGGCAACGGGCACACAGGTATGTCTAGGCCTCCTTCTCCCCCCATCTTATGCATCGTCTACCTCTTGTTCGTCTTGTTCGCGACGGTCAACTAATATGAGGAAGGCGTTCAACAGATGCCCTGAACATCCTGCTCCCCCTTGCTCCCCCGTCTCTGCTCTCCGCGCGCAACAACGCCGGCTCAACACCACTGCACTGGGCTGCGCTGAACGCGCACCTCCCCATCGCCCAGGCGCTCGTCAAATGGCCTTCGGGTCCAGGTGCTGACCTCATCGACATCAAGAACGCGGCGGGGCGGTCTCCACTGGGCGAGGCAGAGAATGCCGGATGGGATGATGGTGCGCGATGGCTCGTCGAAGTGATGAAGCTCGACGAGGGCTCGGTAAAGGGCGAGTCGGCAAATGAGAAGGATGATGAAGAGCTGAGAGAAGCGGCTGCGGCCGGTGTGGAAGTCGAGATCGAGGACGCGGAGGGTCGTGTCGCAAAAATGACCATCGGCGCGGATGGGAAGGAAAAAACCTCAGTAGAGAACACATGGTGCGTGTCCAGCTCACTTTGAAGCGAAACGGGGCCCTCAAGTGTACCTCTCAATAGATCTGCATGAGACCCTCAGGAGAAGGTCGTGCACATACCATCAGGTACGATGCCGTTTGTACAATCAGCTGTCTTCAAAATCATATTGTGCCTGTCGGGGTAAGCATCCCATGTGCACAATGTCAACCATGGAGCCTTCCAGTCTTGCATCCGTTCAGTAAATTCGCCCACGTAAGATTCTCTTCAACTTGTCATCTCACCTATTGTCTCGAACTCCATAAGGAGTCCACTTCCCATGGTGTGCTATTGCTGCGGATAGAAGCCTCGTCGCCAACGCTCTCCAGTCTCCCCGAACACACAACCGACGGCCGCGAGGATTGGCAGAGGCATGATGGCGGCGTAGCTGCGGAGCATATTCGAGAGTGGGTGGCCTGCCATGAACCAGTGTACAAGACCATATGAGTCGTTGTCGTAGTGCTCAGTTGCTGTGTTATTGTTGGTGATCTGCTGCGATCTGTGTTGCGACTTTGCTACCTCCCCAGATATTTCAAACTCGCGGCAGTAATACCGGGATTTTTAAGCGTCGGTGTTATCGCACTGAGCCCGCGTGGAAGGTCGGTTAGTATCTCGGGCTCGCCGGGGAGTGCTTGCGCATGTTCTCGTAAATGGTAGAAGCGACAACACCGGTGTCGTTAATCGTAAATATGTGTGAGTGTGACGATGACAGCGTGTCCGTCGCACTATGTATTGCGTCCTCTGAGATAGGTCAGAAACAGTGATTCTTAGCTCTCGGGATATAGACGTATGTAAATTGAAATATTGATCAATGATGTAGACATAATTTCCTACTGGTTTGTTCTGCATGATGACTGACAGAGCCAAAGTGCTTCAATGGCTCGCATCCATGATGTCATCCACCGCGTGGAGCGTTGAGTAGCACATCTCAGCTCCTAGCCCTAGGATTTTGTTAGGGTTAGGGCTCGGATGAAGCGTCCGATAAGCGCCAAGTGTGACCCGGCAAATGCGCGCAATTTCTATCCTTGACTCCCACATCCACCAACTCTTGCCGATTTTCTTTCGTCGCTCAGAGACTGCACGAGAGTGCCATTCCAGCAGGTTCTCAGAAGATGCGCAATCTTTCCCTGTGGAAGACAGCGGTCGTCTCCCTGCCTGAGGTCGAATTTTCTTCTTCTGACGGAAGCGCCGAGCCGAAGCAACCGAAGGAGTCGGCGTCGCGGAGCGTCACTGCCATCGCGCTCGACCTGGACCAAAACGCCATCCTTGTGGCCACCGAGCACAAGTCTGCTAGCAGCGATGGCGAGGTTTCCGTTACCATCTGGAACCTTTCCAACGATCCTTCCAAAGTGCGAGTCATCATTTGCTTTCCTTTACACATGGCTGATTTTGCCACAGGTACAGGTCACTGAGCTCACCACCTTCACCACACCGACACTGGCCGCATCAAATCCTTGGGCTGGAGGGTCGACTTCTACGCGCAAAATCCCCCAAGATGCGTGGCACGACCCGGAGGTGCTTTCGCTGCACGTCGTCCCAGACGAGCACACCCTCGTCGCCGTCACCCGCGCCGGGGACATCGTGACGATTCCGCTTGATGATGATGCTCCAACCGCAGAAGTTGTGGGCTCCATCGACGGAGGTGTTATGGGCGCCGGATGGAGCCCGGATGACACAGTCCTCGTGCTTGTCACAGGTGATCTTCTCGCATGAACGGCCTGACAAGTTCCGGAGCTGATAAAATTTGATCAACATTAGGGGAAGATAAACTCATCTTGATGACCCCGACATTCGATATCCTCTGGGAGGGTCCCCTCCACCCCACCGACTTTGGCGAAGGTAGTCATATTACCAACCAGCTGGCAAGGTTCGACTGAGCCCCGCCTGCAGATGCGCCCATCAACGTCGGCTGGGGCTCCAAGCAAACGCAGTTCCACGGCTCCGCAGGAAAATCTGCCGCAGCCTCGACGGTCCCGATCGCATCCGTTGGCGCCAGCCCGGACGACGACGGCCACGCGCGCGTCAGCTGGCGCGGCGACGGCGCTTTCTTCGCCGTCAGCGTCCTCGAGGGCGCAAACGAGGTCCGTTTCTCGCTGTTGTCCTCACCCTACCGTCGCTCATTCGATGGCACCCCCATATACAGACGGAGACGCGCCCGCACCGCCGGCTTCGCGTGTACTCGCGCGACGGCGCGCTGCAGAGCACCGCCGAGCCCGTCGCGGGGCTTGAGCACGGGATGGCGTGGCGACCCTCCGGGGGCCTCATCGCGAGCACGCAGCGCTTTGGCCGCGTGCCCGGCGCCCCCAAAGAAGATGGAGACGCTGGACTGGGACAGGGGCGCGACGGCCGGCACGATGTGGTTTTCTTTGAGCGGAACGGCTTGAGGCATGGAGAGTTTGGGCTGCGCGAGGGGCTTCCGGTGAAAGACCAGAGCGGTCGGGAAGTACAGCCAAAGGCCTCTGACCGGCGGAGATGGGGTTATCGCGTGAGGGAGGTTGCGTGGAGCGCGGACTCGAACGTGCTGAGTGTCTGGCTGGAACGCGAGGGCGTGGATGTCGGTGAGGCGATCGATCTGTGAGTGCACTGGTGGTTGACTTAACCCCACGTAGTGCAATTATGGATCACGTCCAATTATCACTGGTAAGAGTGTCATCTGAGACGGGGTATGCTAGCGCTAACGGACACAGGTACCTGAAGCAAGAGATCACGGCTTCATCAATATCTGAAAGCATCTCTGGACGTTTCACCAATGTCAAATGGCACCCTGAAGACCCATTGTATATCATTGTGACCACAGCTAGTGAGTGTGGACATGCGCTGCGTTGATGTTTCCCTGAACATCTTCCCCATCAGCGCACATCCTGCTGCGCACGTATTCCTGGGATACGTGCTCATCACAAGCTGCGCCTCCTTCGGATTCCGGCTCCGTTTCAGTAATTGATGGAAGTGAGCATTTTTGTTCGTAGCTTTTCTTTTCGCAGCTGAATCAATGTTCGTAGTCAACGCCCTCTTGACTCCGTTTAGGACGCAAAATGTACCCCCACCGATGGCCGCACACACGCTGGCCTTTGATGCACTTTCCAACCACGCTATCCAGCCGCCGGTCTTCCGCAACGCCACCCCTGTGCATGCCGCGTTCTCACATCGGCGAGATTTACTGGCCGTTCTCTGGGAGTATGGTGTCCTCTGTGTATACGACCTTCATACGCGACTTGTACCAGGGCGAGGAAAAGTGATGGAGCCTGAGCTCCTCTGGACGACACGCGAAGCCCACGACGGTTGCCGTCAGGTCGTGGTTCTTGACGACGATCCTACCCAGCCGGAGAAATACAGGTTCGCCATCCTGGGCGGTGGCCTTAATGAAGATTGGATCCTGGACGTCGGATCTACGCCGTCGTTGGAGAAAAGTTCGTATGTACACGTGCCTAGAAATATGGGACGGTTGGCGGAAGGTTCTGGACGAGATTTGTTCTGGCAAGCACCCGACGGTCGCATTCACAGAGGTGAGCTCATCGTGATGCTCGGAAATATCTCCTTCCTGAAGTTTACTGGCTTAGTCGATACCGAAAAGGGGCACTTTGATGAAACCGCGAAGCTCCCTGAGTTCTGCTTTTGGAGCGCATCCGTCGCTATCTTGTCCTCCGCACACCCCGACCCCTCTCTCACACCGCACGTCGCTTCTTCACCCACCCGCTCTTCATCGGCCTCTCGCACAGTAACAGGCTTTATGTCGCCGACGGTCACACCTCCCTTACGCTCGCGAGCAACGTCAACTCCTTCACGCTTACCCCGGGTTTTCTCATCTACGCCACTACCGCACACCTCGCGCACTTTGCTCCCATCAAGACCCTTGTCGCGACCCTCGCACGGGCTGCTGAGGCTCCCGATAACCCGGTTCCAGAGTTCGAGACGCGGAGGGTCGAGCGTGGGTCGCGGATCGTGACGACGGTTCCGAGCGCGATGAACCTCGTCTTGCAGATGCCGCGAGGCAACCTGGAGACGATCAGCCCGCGGCCGCTCGTGCTGGAGGTCGTGCATCAGGACATCGCGAGGTGCGCCGCGCACTCTTTTGTTGGATGTCGGGCTCGTGTTGACCGTGGAATCCAGTGGGAACTACGCGAAGGCGTTTGCGTCGTGCAGGAAGCACCGCGTCGACCCGAACGTTTTCGTGGAGCACGACCAAGAAGTCTTCATAAAGGGTATCCCGTCCTTTATTGAGCAGGTTGCCGACGTGGACTATATCAACCTCTTCCTCACGAGCCTTGGGTAGGCGGTTCACGTTCTTTGGAGTTCCGCACTGACGTCATCCCAGACAAGGTTCGCTTTCGTCTGAGCTGGTCGCTCAGATATGTGATACGATTCGAGTCGAGCTGGAACGGATAGACCTCAAAAAATACGTGAACTCAATCCTCACTGCTCACGTCGTCAAGAGGCCTCCAGACCATGAGGCTGGCTTGGCGCTGCTGCTTCGGTTGAAAGGTCAGTTCTCGCAGCAGCTTCCCTGGTATGACGCGGGCTAACATAATTTCACGCCAGAGTCAGAGCCCAATCTCGTGGAAGACGCTGTGAAGTACATCATTTTCCTCGTCGACGCCGACAAGCTGTTCGACACGGCGCTTGGAATGTACGACTTCTCGCTCGTGCTCATGGTGGCGCAGCACGCTCAGAAGGCGAGTACGAGACAGCGCGAATCGCCGTCATTTCATCCTAATTTGAATCTTGCTAGGATCCGCGAGAGTACCTTCCCTTCCTTCGCGAACTACGTGCAATGGATCATCACTACCAGCGCTTCAGAATCGACGACCACCTGAAGCGGTACGATAAGGCATTGACCGGTCTTTACCTTGCTGGTACGTTGTGCCGATCAAACGCGATCCATATCAATATCGATCTCACTCACCACCTCATCGGCAGGGCCCGAGAGATTCAAGGAGGCGATGACTTACGTCGAGAACCACCAGTTGTACGAGCCCGCGCTATCACTGTGGAGAGACAGCGACAAGTGGCACACCGTTCTCTTCCACTATGGTACATGGCTCTGGGGGAGGAATGAGCACCGCGAAGCTGCCTTCGGTACGCATCTCCCCTCTGGTCGCACCATCACTTGCTCATCATCATGTAGTCTTCCGCCAAGCGAACGAGCCGCGGGAAGCAATGAAGCTGCACGAAAAGGCTCTTGACTGGCAGGAACTCTTCGAGCTCGCGGTTCATCTCGACGTCCCCGAAGACGAGCTGAAAGACATAGCATACCGCGTCGCCGGTGCGCCGTCCTCTACTTCCCTGCCTCCGCCCCTTCCATCGCTCACATGTTGTTTCAGAAGCTCTCACTTCCAAGAAGCGAACAGCTGATGCCGCGCGCGTCCTCCTCGACTATGCCAAGGACGTTCGCGAGGCGACGATCGCGCTCGTCGAGGGCGGTCATTTCTCGGAAGCGCGCCGGATCGTCAGTGCTTTCTCCTTCGCTCACAGGTTGCTTTCACCCGCTGACCTTCCCTTCGTAGATCGCCCTCCATCGGGAGCCCCAGTTGTTGGATGAGATCGTGCACCCGGGTACGCTGGAGTGCCGCGCGCGCATCGGAGAGGAGCTCGGTGAGATGCGCGAGCAGCTCCGGAAGCAGCTCCAGCGCGTGCGCGAGCTGCGGGTGCGCAAGGTCGAGGAGCCGGGTGCGTGGTTCCTGTTTCGGCTGGGACCCCGTCACCGATTCGATGTACTTTGCAGACGCATTCTATGGTGTGGAAGACGCAGATCTGCATAACGTCGACGTGATGACGGACGCGTCCATGGCGCCCACCGCGTTCACCCGGTACACCGTCGCTCCATCCGCGATGTCCAAGACGTCTTCAAAGTGAGCGCTTGGCGACATGTCAGTCCTGAGCGGGTACTGAGGGGACGATACAGACGCAGCTCGCGGTCGAAGAGGAAGCTCGAGCGTAAAGTCGGATCTGGCCGCAAGGGCACAGTAGACGAGGAAGATACCTGCTCAAGTCCGTCTCGAAGTTGGTGACGAGGTTTCAAACGGCCCAAAGTACGTTCAGCTTCCCCACGTGGTGTTTTGTGCTTACTTTGCTTCTGTCCGTAGCCGACAGTTCCAATGTCCTTCCGCATCTCCTGCAGTTCACAGACGAGCATCGCGCGGAGGCCGCGTCACTGCAGCATGAACTGGAAGAGTTCGCCAAAGAGCTCAACACGGCCCTCGAAGATATCTGGACGAAGACCCCAGACGTCGAGGAGGGTGGGATCCCCAGAGTCAGGGCCCACCTCACCCAGATGCTGGGCCGCGCGCATGGAGGCACACGAAAAGCGCACGCACGTCAACCCCGTCGACAACGTGCCGAAGCCGGAACTCCCTAAACAGGAGTGGAAGCTCCGCCTGCCGAGTTCGCGCGTCGGCGGTGGGGTGGCGGCGTAGGATATCGGAGTGATGCTGAGCAGTATGTACCATTGCACTGTATTTTTATCTTACATCTCTTCGGGTTTCGTGCAACGGCGAGCTAAGACCACAGCCCTGTCGGCATGCTGTTTCCCTTTCTTGTTGTCTGCGTCTCTGTCTCTACTATGCGCTCACAATGCGGAAATTCAATCTGAGCTTAGTGATGCAATTTGGGCGCGATTTGGCTGAGGTGCGCCTTCAGAGTCATCATCTCCCACACTGACATTCTGACACGGTCCCAGTGAAAAGCTGCGATCTCAGACAGCGGCTGCGATGCACCGCTTGTGCCGGTATCCAAACTCTCGCCGCGTAATACGGCACTGAAATACACATGTTTTCGCGCTAATGGACATGGAGTCTCACACTAGTGAACGGCGACGAACTGTGTTGAGCCACGAACCATATAAAGGTTCACCTCTCAACGGTATAAAAGGCACGTCCAGCGTTTTAGTGGCAGAACACCAATCTTCCGCCATGCAGCAAACCCGCATCCTTCTTTTCGTCCTCTTGATGGTCATGTCCGGTAAGCTCCCTGTCGGCTTTCGTACTTACCCTTATTTGTGGCTCAATACTCGACGTAGTTTCCGCCGGACCCTTCTATCCACGGAGCGTTGGAAGAGTATGCTCTCACAATATGAGGTGCCATCGTTTCAAGATACTGACGCTGCATTCAGGAGCCAAGCCCTGAGCCGTGTATCCCTTGTGAGGAGTAGGAATCGTGAAGGAGGCACGGCTGTCGATGAAGTAGTCGCCAATGATGATTGCTTGAGCGGTGTCTGTTGGGCTGATTATACACACGGGAGTTATGAGTATGCTGCATTGCATCTTAGGCAACTACACGCGGTGATGTTGCAAGAATATATGTAACGATTGAGCGCCCCCCTCCAGCACTGGCGTCGAGCTCCAACGCGTACATGGTGAGCGCCAATGATAGAACGCGCCCAGTCTAGCGCCAAATGGACTGTTTGAGGCAGTGCATTCGATGTTCCGTCCCACCACTGCGCACTACCTAGCATCGCCATCAGTACGTCCTTACGATCCAGCCAATGGTGAACTCTAACCGTAAGCCATAAATACCAGGTGCCCTGATGACCGCGGCAGCCCCAGACACTCTTCCGTTCCCTGGTTTTGCCAGCCGCATTCTCGCCTCCTCGTCGGGCTCTCTCGGTCCCTCTCTAGAGCCGATCCAGGCTACCGTAGCCTCATCCCTACACCCCTTTCCCTCCATAATGCCGCGACGCCCATATAAAGTGTCCTTCCACCCGAGGAGATCTTTGTTTGCTACGGCTCCGCCAGCGAGGACTTGGAAGCTATCATCACGCATGTCTCCCGCAGCTGGTTCTGGGAGATCGCCCTTGGATACCGACGACTATGGGCCTCTATTGCTCGTCCTTACACCGGCCCCCTTCGTGATCTCGACTACTTCCCCGTCTGTCCCAGTCGGGGCATTAACAAGCGTGTCGCGGCGTAGGCTGTCGCGGTTTCAAGTCCTTCGCTCTTTGACTGAACGTCGTGGGAGGAATCCCCCCTGCCATTGGGAGGGTGTTATCTCGACATATTTAACTGATTGTTCCCCTTGATCTCTGCATGGACAGTGCGGAGACTTTGGAAGTGCTCTGCTCCCCCCCGATTTATCATGTGGATGCTAACCCTAATATTGCATTCCACATCCTTCGCATCCAGTCGATGACTTGAATCTTACAACCGAGAAACTGGCCACTCGCGTTGGAGTTCTCGAGGACGTGTGGCGTGTCCTGAGGGGTGGCCTCTGCGGTTGCTCTACGACGCGCCACCGAGATAGGCGCGTGTTTGATGGACAATGTTAAGATTATTCCTGCTCTCGGTATCATCATCTTCCTTTTCAACAGCCCTTACGGAGCTGAAACCAGTGCGCCGGGGTTGTCGCCAGGCCTTGGCGTGCAATGGTCAGCTTGGCTAGTCCCGTCGTGCCGCTAACTTAGCCTCCTGGCGGTCGCAGATGGCATTCTCCAGTTCGGCCTTACTCTGGAGACGAGCCCGTATCCAGCCGGTCTATGCGCTTTGTTTCAAGAGTGCGACATATCCACGTGTCCAAGCATGTTATTGAAACCATCACCAGGGTGCGTGAGTGGCTTTCTCTTCGTCGGACCAAGCGAATCCGCTTGGACACTTGCAACTCAGCCGGGTCTGCGTCTGTACAGGTATAAATACTCACACTAGTGGAGGCACTGGGTCTCTCATGTCTCCCGGCTTTATCGTCTCGTTAACCCACACACTTCTCACCCACCAACTCCTCTGCTTCTTGACTTCGTAGCCACTCGCTAAGGATTCACCATCAGTTGTGCCTCCGTGCATTTCCAGCCTTGCCCTCTGACAGAAAAACTACTCAGGACTATGGAATCTGGCCGTACGTTCCTATATCAGATATCGTGTCGATTATATCATGCCAATGACAACCTTCTCTCAACCTGTCGGCAGTCCTGATCCTTGTCGGCGGTCAGGTCCTCGCCCATGACTGCCACCAGGCAGACCGTTTCATGCTGCGGGTTAGACTGTACGACCCGAGAGTGGGGATAGCTTATCACCGAACTTGACCATCCGGACCAAGCCCCGCGCTTGGCTTGTACACTCCCCTACGTTCCAGGATATCATGCCGTCGTTCTATGTCGCTGTGAGTGCATTCGTTTAATCACCATTTTTAACGCTTGCTGAAGCAGCATCTTATTCAGTTTCTCCGCCGGATAACCGAGGATCATCGCGCCGATGTATGGGCCTCACCCAGGTGTCGGCATTGGCACACACAATCGACGTCAGGGGTGCACCCAGTTCTCGTGGTGTTGCTCAACCATGACTTTCTGGATGCATCAGCCACACACCTTCGCGCGCTATCGCACACGGTCGTTATCAATGGAGTACGCATAACATTTGCCATACTGTAACGTTCTAGATAGTGGCCACCATAACATTGCGGCCATCAACAATGTATTTTACTATATTTTGATCCTTTACAAGCGTTTTGATCGAGTGCCTTTTTTGAGTGGGTCCGTAATGGACACCGTACGAGTTGCGCCGTGTTCCCGGTTCCGGAGATGCGTGTTGAGCTCCTGTGGTGGCCAGGTGAACCGGCGCTCGGCGCCTACCCTTTGGGAGTGGTATAGTGGAGTCTTACATCTGTGACCAGCTGGGCTAGCAGTTGATGCGCATGTCGGCGAAGATGTAGTAGTATGTGAAAAAGCATGTCGTATGCGCGCGGCGGAAACGGCACTTGACCGCCGCGCCCGAGAAGACCGGGAGGTTATTGACGCTCGCTTGATTCGGCAGGTGCGTAGCAACTCCACTCTCGATCGCGCCATCGAGCTTGAGAACTGTTCTCGACGCCGCTCTCGTCTGTCGTTATCTTCTCAGCATCGGAGCCACTCCTCACACGCGCCAGACCCACGCGGATTCATAGCTCCGATGCTGCGGTAAGTCATCCGCCCCCCTCAGGTTGTCCATAACGCACGTCCTCATGGTCTGTAATGATCACCCCCTCGGATTTTTTCTCACATTACATCGCGAACCGCTGCACATCTGACCAGTTCTGCAGCGAGTCCGCTTCTCAGTGGAACCTTGCTGCAGCTGACCCGCGGGCACTCACACAGGTACCGCAGCACGCTCGAGAACCGCGTCAGAAAGACGAAGTTAACGTATAAAGCCAAGATGCCTGCAACCACCGCTCCTTCATCACAATGACTCCCTTTCTCCCTTTCTCCTCTCTCCTTCCACGTAGGAGGTCCTGTCTTGCAGGTGCGCATATGATCTGTGGAGCCCTGTCGGAATCTATCGCTGACCGCGCGTCTTCTAGGCGCCGGTACGCCCCCCGGGGATAGGACCTGGCAGTAGTATGCATCGGACTCTCCCTCGTAAGTATTGATGTAATCATACGCATGTGAAGCGGGGCTCATGACATTGTGTCTGTCGTAGCCCCGGTTTCCCGAGGCTGCAAAAATCAAATAACCAAAAAACATGGGGGAGCTGGGTTGACTTGTAGTTGTAGGACGGTGTCGTAGTGGGTGAATGCGATGATGTATTCTGTCGGTGATGAACTGTGGTGTGCCTTACTTTGCCTTCAGCTGGACAAGCTGTCGCATCGCTGCTTGAAGCCTGTTCCGTCGTGTACGAGGAATAGGGTGGTGTACGAGCTAGTACGTAGATGCGCCCCGGCTTCGCGCGGCCCGCAGGCGTCGGTCAAGCGCCGTCCACGATTTGCTTCGTGGCACGCGGGTGGCATGCACGAGCTCGCTGCCCATTCTTTCTCCAGTTCTCCGTCATCTGCCGATACATTGCAGCGCTACAGCCAGGTGCCGTTCTCAGATCTGCGCTCCGACTCCTTCACCCACTGGTTTCCACCGCGTCCGATTGGTCACAGCTCGTCAGTCATTCGGACAGTGAATCGGACGCAGGGCTCTCGACTGGCTGGAATGATACAAGCTTGCTATACTCGCCCTACTCACCAGGTTGCAAGGGTCTGGCGAGGCTCGACTGCGATGACAGGGATGATGCGGAGGTCAGAAAACGGCCGACCGGGCCGGAAGAAACACTCAGACGCTGGTGGCGCGCACGGACCAGGACGTCATCCGTTGACGAATCCGCGTCGGGGACCGAAGTGCAGCTTTTGAAGATGAAGTCGGAGTTTCTGATCAGTGCCAGTGAGCCTCCCCAGTGAACGTCGAGATTTGTGGACGGAGTCGCTGGCCTAATAACTTCGCTTCTACAGGTAAAAGCCGCCCGACACCCTTACAACAAGCTCGCGACCATCGCATACGCAGATGAGCAGCTTCTCGCCTCGACCATTCCTCTCAAGCCCACTTCATAAATATCTACCTCATTCACTATATAAAACACGCTCACCTTCGCCTGTGCGCGTGCGCGCCGCTCGCCGCCTCACAGGTCATCGCACACCCTCTTCAGGCGCCGGCACGAGTCCTCTTGGCCAAGTCACCCACGGCCGACGCCGAGGACTCGAGCGCGACGCTCCTCCTGTGCCCGTCGACGGAGTACGCGAGCCGCTTCGTGTTCGATCTGAGCGCGCCCTCGACGGACGAGCCCCTCGGCTCGAGCGCGTTCTTGAGTGTGGCGATCGGCCAGCGGAGCAACGCGGGGCTACCGTTCGCGGTGGTCGGGGGCCGACCGCGTTCGCGGGCTTCGCGCAGATCCCGACGGTGAACGAGTGCTTTGACATCGACGAGGGGCAGCTGACAATCCGGCGAATGTCTCCACTAGGTATATTGCAACCTCAACTTGAAAGCGATGGGTACGATGAAACAGAGGACGACACCTTTGGTAAGAAATGTTTATTGTAACAGTCGTTCCCTCCCTCCCCTCTTGATCGTTATTCCCTCGCAGGCCGGCGCTCAACGCAGGCGCCTGTCTCTTGCGCTGGGAGCGCGGCCTCAACGTCGCGCAGACATCGGCGCTCCGCTCACAAGGGCTTCGCGCGAGAGATCTTCTGACGCAGCGAGGTCACCGGTCAAGCTTTCAGGTTTCGATCAGGGTGCATTCAGGTACGTTCTGCCAGCGTTCTGCACGCGCACAGGGCTGGTCATGTCGAGGATGTGCCGTGGTCAGACTAGAGCGCAGAGAAGTTATCGAAACGCGCGTTCCGCGGGCGGCCTGGGCAGGTTTGACTCCTTCGAGTGAAAGCGTCCTCTCTGTCGGACCCAACCTCCATGTCTTGCTCTTGCACTCGAGGTAAGCACCAACACACATTGCATCACTCGCATCGGGTCTGATTCAGACAGTGCCAGCTCGCTACACCGACCGATGCCCATACCGTTGAGCATTGCGCTGTCCCCGTGTCGCAGTGCTTTGACATGCTGATTTTAACTTCCCAGGTACTTCCAACGGCGGAGTACGGGGAGCTGGTCCCTAACTGGTCCCCGGTCGCCGGCGACGTACGCCTAGACTCCCCATGAAATCCCAATTACGCCAGTTCTACGACATGCCTGTGAAAGCGACGATCTGTCAGGAAGCACTTCTGCCAAGTCAACGGTCACATTGAACGCGGACGATAATCGAGTTGGCAACAACAACATCCAAAGCATTGAAGCCCTCAAGACTGCCGGAGATCAGCCCTGTTCTCTCGTGTGTATGACCAGAGCCTGAGGCGAGTAGGAGTCAGTTATACGAAGCGTCCGCGGTTTGACAGCAACGCAGCAACGTCTGGTAAAATCCTCAAATATATCACTTCCCCCGTCCTGACGACCCACTTATGCGACATCCACGGACGATGAACAAAGGTTCGTGTCTTCTCGCACTCTAGGCATCATTAAACTTCCTCGGATTGGCGCGCCCGACAGCCCATGTGCCTCGGATTTCGCGAGAATGTTCGTGGAGGTATTCAAACCAACCGGCACAGAGTACTACCACACGCTGGGGTAAACGTTGGATGCCGTTGACATCGGATTGTCAATAGTGGGAATGTGCACCGCCAGTACGTACCTATGCACAATGTCGGTCCCTGACTGATGAATGTCCAGGTTGCCGAGCCATTGTCATATGTATGCAGAAGCAAGGTCCACCTTGTAGTGTTCAAGGTTCACGTGACGGCGCCCATACCAAATCCTGCCGCCCTGTAATGAGCACTGGTGAGTCGTGGGTCACAAGCAGTAAGCCTGTACTTACCGAGACCTGTCCAGGCGAAGGGGTCACTGGTCTCATGACTCTGAGTAGCCACAGAATATCTCGCAAATTAACGTGTCCCGGAGGTATAAAGGCCCTCACTGAACGGCGACAAACGACAGCAAGAAGCAGCCGCCTCTCGCCTCGACACATCCTCAGCTCCCGCAAGCCCCTCGACGCACACCGCACCCACCCACCCCCCCATCCAACCAACAATGTTCTCCATTGTCCTCATCACCGTCGCCCTCGTCGCCGCCGCTTGCGCCAACCCGCTCCCCGCCTCCGAGGTCAGCGTGCACCCCCTCGCCTCCGCCTCGGGCGTGACGACCGCGGCCTCCTTCCCCCTGCACGACCTCGCCTCCTCGCTCGGCCCCGTCCCGGCCTCCGCGGCCGTCGGCACGACGCCCGCGCCCTTCTTCGCCAAGTCGCCCTCCGCCGACGCGGTCGAGGCGACGTTCCCCGCGACGCTCCTGCTCTGCCCGGGCACCAACTGCGCGAGCTGCTCCGGGTTCGACCTGAGCAGGATTCCCGTGAACGTCTGCTTCGCCACGAGCGCGTTCCGGAGCGTCGCGATCAGCCAGCCGAGCAACTCGGGCCTGCCGTTCGGCGTGGTCGTCGGGCCGTCCGGGTGCTCGAGCTTCGCGCAGATCCCGACGGTGAACCAGTGCTTCAACGTGAACGGCGGTCCGTTCTCGGACTTCGCTCTCATCCAGTGAGCGCGGAGGTGAGTGGGCTTGGGGTTGGGGCGCACGAGATGCACAGGCTGATTGATTGGCAGCGCCTCGCTACGAGGTCATCCTACGACCCCACGAACCGGGCGATGAAAATGACGGAGTGGAGGATGAAGTGGAGAATAAGCGAAGAAGACACGAGTCTCATCATGTATTATGGTTCTTAGGTGTCCTCGGGTTTGCGATGTTTACTCCTAAGGGATTCGAGAGTAAATGTCATGTCGAGCCTTTGCATAAAACTAGTGATCTCACTCAACGCAGAGAAGCCAGACAGAAGAGTCTCGGTCCAACACAGTTGGATTCCAAGATTTTCTTGCAATCGCATACATGGGTATCCATCATAAGAACGAATCGCACTTCTTAGCAGCACCGGTATATACCCTCTCCGCTTCCACATCACCTTGCCCAAGTTACAATTCGGTACTCTGGTCTTACCGAATATTGTGGCTTAGCTTTGTGCTGACCAGTGCGATTCATGTTCCCACAGAAAGTCATGTGCCCGTTGCAACACGCATTATGTAGCGCAGGATATGCGGAGGAAAAGCACTGATACACGTTGATGCATAGACTATTGCGAGAGCGGGACTCGAACCCGCGTCCCTGTTTTGGCGCCCTAAACCGATCAGCCACCTTATAATAAAGTGCTTATGCTTACTTATAGCCTAACAAGATCCGCCGTGCTTCGCGCGGCGTCCAGTTGGGATGCGATAGAACAGACGCACCAAACGGGATTGCGAACACCTCACAGGGCACAATGACGACCGGGGGAGTGGCACACTACCCACACCTTTAGTTGGCGTGCTCCTGCACCCCGAGAGCGAACACACTGCCGCGAAGGAAAGTCGCGCGACGAGCGCAAAAGCGTGCGCTGCTAGAACGCGCGCCCAGGTACTACCTCCCGGTCCGCGCGCGAGTCCTCCATGTACAGGCGTGAACTCCGACGGGTCCTCCGGAACGCTGCCGCCGCCGCCCCTCCGTCGCCGCACCCGCGCACGGCGCGTCGGAAGGCCGCCCATGAGCCGAACGCGCGCCGGAGCGCAAGGACCATGAGCACGAACACGGGCGCCGTGCGCGGTGAGCCTGATCGCGTTCAAGTGGCGGCGGGCGCGGTGTCGCGGTGCACCTTCAGCACGAGTGACTCCAGCTGGGCGTTAGCAGTGTGTGGGAGTGTTGGAGTTCGGCGCCAGAGGTGCAACCTCGGGCCGCTCGCTTAGGTAATTGTGTAGGGTGCCCAGAGGGGCCCAAGCGCGACACCCTCACCCTCCGACCTGTCTCGATCGCGTCCTACGACCCCGAAATCCCACAGGGAGGACTCGTGCCCTCGTGCGGCTATCAACAACATCTCCGTAATACGTTGTTCATTCATCTCACATCGCCTTTTTTATGCTCTACAAAGGGCCGTGGCCGAGGTATTAGTCAAGCAGAGATGTGGTGCATAGAGTCACTCCCTGTGGTAAGGAATAATCGCGAGTGGTTCGCGTTTTGTCTCTGAAGCGGCCACACGGGCTCAAGCTCAAGGCGTCGCGGAAACATATAAAAGTTCCCCACGTCTTCGATCCACTCCTCAACGTCATCCCTCGCTCATCCACTGCACCCTCATCTTCTTTAGTCGATTCGACAACGCCACATGCTCCCTATTCGGGGTCTCGACAGCCTGTCTCCCGTTTGCCCTTCCCCTCTGACAGATAAACTACCCAACTCCTTCGCTCATGCTTGTAAGATCACTCGCATGCTTTGTCCTTTGGTATTCCCGCTTACAATTCCTTTTCTGCGTCACAGCTATATCGCCCGTTTCCACTGCGTGGGGATAGGACAACGCCTCTCGTTACGAGACGTTATGCACCGTAGTGAGTGCTAGTGACGCGTCCACTCTGTAGTGTACATTTTCATAAGTGTTCTTCCCTCCAACAGTGTACGGGGTCCGACGTACACCCACCTCGATGATTGCTTCACTCGCTGCAGCCGCCCCTCATGCCCGAAGGCGGATACAAGATATCCGCCGCGCCTCTTCCTCCAGCCTATGCTGATGGAGGTCCTATCGGGAGCCAGGACAACGGATACGAGTTCGGTTCGATTGGCGATCCTTCAACATCATACGTGTCCAACACACGTACACGGGCCACGCAGAGTCGCCATCGCGGCCCGGAACCCGCTCTTGTGGGGTGGGGATGACGGTTCGACCTAACTTCCCCATCTATTGCGAGTCTCGCGCGTCATCACATCACGGTGCGCGAAACCGACCGAGGCGGTACGTGTTTAACGCCGACCCGAGCTGGGTGCATACTACTCACAGAGACATACTTCAGACAGAACATCCGCAGGTTGGCCGACGCGCGGGCTCGGAGGAGGGGCAGCCCTCTCAGAGCTCCGGAAAGTGACGCAATTCGCCGCGCTGCTTCACCCTCAGGGACACAACACAGAGAACATACCGACGAAGTCGAGATGGACAACGTATCCCCCATCGCGCGAAGAACGCCGGGACCGAAGGAGTGAGTTACGGCGGTACCCCCTGCACTCTTCCCCGCGCTCCTCGCGCCGCGGCAAACGCTCTGTCGTCGGCCCATCAATCAGTACGTCGTTTTTACCCTCCACCTTACAGGTCGACGCCTCACAGCCTTCCCGGAAGAGCTTGGACTCGCCGGAACGTCGCGGGACAGCACTGGCCAACTACACGCACTATCGCCAATGCGGAGGGATTCGATCTCCGACGACTATCTAGCACACAGCTCGTACAGAATGTTTTAAGTAGCGGCTCCCATAAAAATCGATCGCGAATGGTTACTGTATGCGTTGTGAGGGACCATTGTCGCTCGAGCTCCGACTTCGAGGCTTGTGCACCGTCAACGTCTAGGCTCTCTCTCGAACAGATATACACCTTGAAGTAAGAGCAAGCGACCGGGACAAAAGCAACAGGCGAGGATCCTGGCGGGAAGAGAAGGACGACATACAGCGGGGGGATTTTACGTCGAGACATGGACGCCAGTCTCAAGTCCACGTCTCAAGTCGGCCTCTGGAGTCGCAGCAGGTCGATTGACGCCCGATCAGGGACGGACAGAGCGCACGGGCCAGGAGGAAGGCGCCTGTGCTGATCTCGGACTCTGCCGCGATCTCCCCCCGGCGAAATTGAATATCGAATACTCACCGCTCGTCAGGAGAGTGTTCTGGTCCGTTTCCGTCTCCCGCGTAACTGACGGGATAGATCGAGATCAGTTACATGGATGGTCTAGCCCCTTCACCATTCGTCCAGTCGCGATCGGCGACGAAGCCGCGGACACCTCAAGAGACACCACCACCCCCCAGTCAACACTCTCGTTACCACCAGTCCATCACGCCACCATTCCAAACGTGCCGCGCAAGGTCGTTTGGTCGCGATCCGTGGATCACATGCAAGGTCAGATGACAGTTCGCTTAACCTTGGCCGTCAGCTGTCGCCTTGATGCAGGGCCAGGTCTCAAGATCTCACTCATATGCCGTTGCTTCGGGAATTGTTTCGACGACTTGGAGCAGTCCATCTTGGCCTCCGCAAGGAACGCCCACTCATAATCGGCTTCCCGCTGTCTCACATGACATGACGCGTGACATCTGCGCTGGGACTCCAGGTGAACTCCGCCTCCGTTCATCGGCAGCCGCGGGTGGCAAGACGTGGCAACACAACGCCATTCTACGTTATATAAGTGAGCGCGCCATCTCGCCTTCCGTATCTCATCTCCCTGGCCAGCTCGAGGACACTCCGTAGAACATCACCACACCCCCGCACAACGCCATGGCATACAACCACTTCGCCACGCCTGATCCGGAGCTCGGTCCGCTTGTCCAGTCGATTCTCAAACCCGTTGGCCTCGACATCAACGACATGCAGGCGTTCCGAAAGGGGTTCGCACTTGCCGGAGACGCGCAGCGAAAGCTCTCAGCCAGCGACTCTCGTGCCGCAGGTAGATGCGACGTCGATTCCTCGCCCGATTTCATCTGCTGATCTGTCGCAGCGGAGGCCCTCGTCATTCGGGACCACACCATCGCCGTCGACGACGGCTCGTTTACTGCGCGATCGTACCACCCGTTGGAGCCGAAGGACGGCGTATACCCCCTTTTCGTGTGGACCCACGGCGGAGGTATAACGCTTTGATCTCCCTCGACTGCATCTCCGTACTGACGACTCTTTACAGGCACGGTCGTCGGAGATGTGGAAACCGACGACCTCTTCTGTCGTCTAGTCGCGCACGAGCTGAAGATGACCATCCTTAACATCGACTACAGGTCGGTGCTCGACGCCTCGCCGTCGTCAGTTCGCTCACAAGATCGCTCTACCGCACAGACTCGCCCCCGAGCATCTTTTCCCCATCTCGCTCAACGACAGCTACGCCGCGCTGAAATGGGTACTAAGTGCCGTCTACGCAATCAACCCCACTCTCGCTCACATACTCTCTCTCTCTCCAGTCCGTCCTCAACGCGAGCCTACTGCACGCCGATCTCTCCAAGGGCATCATCCTCGGCGGCCTTTCCGCAGGGGGCACCCTCGCCGCCGCCGAGGCGCACCGCGCCAAGTCCGATCCGTTCTTCGCCGCGCACAACACCAAGATCTCCGGCCTGTTCCTGCAGTTCCCGATGCTCTGCCAGCCCTCGCACGTCCCCGAAGAGTGCGTCCCGCCGCGCGCTCCCCGCCCCACTCGCGCGCGCCGCTGACCCGCCTCGCCCCAGCTTGAAGGCGAACGTGACCTCGTTCGTGCAGTGCGCGAACGCGCCGATGCTCTCGACGGCGGACCTCGTCGGGGTCTGCGGTGCGTCCTTTCCCCCCCCCTGCGCGCTCGGCTTTACGGGCCCGGCCTGACGTCTCGTGGGCACTGGACGCTAGTGTATACGGGCGCGAAGAACGACGACCCGGAGTTCGCCCCGCTCCTCAACACGTCCTTCGAGGGCCTCCCGCCCACGCACATCCAAGTCGCGGGTCTCGACCCCCTGCGCGACACCGGCCTCGCGTACGCCGAGCGGCTGAGGGCGGCGGGGGTGCCGACCAAAGCCATAGCGTGAGTGCACCTTAGGCCTGAGCGCTCTGTTGCGGAATTAGGGCGTCGTTGACCGGTCCTCTGCAGGTACCAGGGCGCGACGCACGCGTTCCACTACGACTTCCCGCAGACGGCGATCGCCCAGAGGTGGGAGCGCGAGGCTCGGGAAGGCCTGCGGTGGCTCATGGAGCAGGCGAAGACGTCGTAGCGCACGTGGCGACCGATACCCAGCGGCAGGAACGATATTTAACTCGAAGTAATTATGACCACTGTGAGCATAGATGTGGATTATAATCACCCGGGCGCGATGGGTTCTTTTAATCCGCGTCGTGGGTGATCGTGATCAAGCGCCGGTTGCTTGCAACCACTGTTCGACGGAGCGCCCTGCATCACGAGACAGGTCCCAGTGGCCAGCTTTGGAGCGCCCGCGCATGAACGGAGGATGGATCCCGAGGGCCCTGAGACCAAACTGAATTGCTTTCTAGCCCTTGATCGATTCGGTGACCAACTCATCTGAGCACGTTAATCTACGAGGGTAGATGGCCAGATTAGCGCGCGTTAGGGCCTCCCATGCATAGCATAGACCCACATCTCGAGAGTTTCCCCCACCTTTCGCGCGGTATTTCTGCAGCTATCTCTCGCAATTTTCCCGGGCCACCGTAAAGACGCGGTCCTGCTTGCACTTCCATCTGTGCGACGACCGACGAAAGCCTCCAGCAACACACCGTACCAGGGCGAATGCTCATCCCGTCCACATGCGCAAACGCACCGGCGGACGCGCTCACGCTTTACATAGAGATTCTCGTCCACGCGACAGAGCCATACAGTCATGCCACCTTGACGAACCACACGTCCCCAACCTCCCGCACGCCCGCTCCGCGGGCCCCCCGCCCCGCCGCGGCCAGCTCGTCCGTCACGAGCGCGAAGCCCTCCACCGCGCCGCTCTCCTCGTCGACGACGAACTCGGCGCGGCCGACCGACATCACGCTGTCCTGGAACTCGAACGGGGTCCCGTCGCGGCCGTACCCCCGCGGGAACAGCTTCGGGAGCACCACCCGGAACGTCGTGGTCGCCGTCGACGGTGCCGAGCGCGTCATGCGGACGTGCGAGGACCAGACGCGGGGCCACGCGGCGTAGATCGAGTCTGTGGCGTTGGCGCGCACGTCGGAGTTGGGAGAGGCGCCGATGATGGGCGCGAAGTCGGCGAGGACGGCGGCGCAGTAGCTGGACGTCGATGAGGGCGCGCAGAAGGTGATGCGTCCGTAGGCCGGATCCTCGTACGTGCCTGCGAACGCGGCGATGTCGGGCCCAGCTTGAGTGGACGAGCCTCCGTCCTTAGTGGTGGAGGGAGGTGAGTGCGCGGTGAGATCCGTCGTATACTGGAAGTTCACTGGGAGAGTCGCGGCCCCGTCCAGCGGAGGAAGATCGAGCGCCTCGTCGATGATCCGGAAGAGCACGCCTAGGTTGTCGTTCTGCTTCTCATCCATGTTCACGAGCTGAACGACGCCAAGGTTTTCGGCGGGAAGGAGAGCAACAAGGGCCGAGAAGCCGGGGATGGCACCGAAGTGCCAAACAACCTGCAAGTGGGTTAGTGTCCGTCATGGCAACACAGGATAGGACACGATATACGCACATCATGTCCGCGATACGCCATCCGGAACCAGCCCATGCCATAGCCCATGATGCCCAACGGCCCTTGCGGTTCACCACTGACGATCGCGCGAGCGGTCATCATCTCCGTGAGGACCGATGGCGGCAAGACGGTCTGGTTCGTATACGGGTCGACACCGCCATTGAGCAACATGGTCACCCACTTAACCTGTGGTCAAGCCTCACAGTCAGTGCATGCCTCGGCTCGTTCGGCAAATACGCACCATGTCTTCAGCGGTTGTGATGATGCCTCCCGCACCGGCAAACAACGCTGAAGCTTCCTCGGAAAAGACGAATGGAATTCTGCGCGTCCCGCGCGTCCAGGACTGCGTGAGACGACCGGTCGCGTTCGCTGTGGAAGGAGAGAAGAAAGTCGAGGACATGTTGAGGGGTTTGAGGATCCGCGAAGTGACGAAGTCAGGGTACGATGTGTTCGACAGCTTCTCGATCAAGTGCGGTCCGATCATGAACGCCTACGCCATCGCTCAGCAAGGAAGCACGTCTCCATCTCCAGGTAAACAACAGACCTGGTTGTTGTACGCCCACTTCTCGCGCAGCTCAAACCCTGGCGAAAGGTGCTTCAACCGACGAAGCAGGTCCGCAGTGGTGTCCCCCGGTGCGTACGAGAAGTCGTGTCTGTTGCCAACGTTGGCGTGAGAGGCGCATGGGGTCTATATGCACGCCTACGAACCTCGCCAGACCAGACAGGTGTGAAAACCCGTCCCGAAGGGCCAGGTGGCGCTCTGCCACCTCATCGGACAGCCCACTCGCCCGGAAGCAGGTCGTAGAACTTGCTGTCCCACTGGAGCGGCGGGGCGCCCGCAGGCAAAGGCGTGACGTTGCGGCCGTGCGCGAAGTCGTCGATCAGGAGTCCAATCGATGTGACCAAGAATGCCTTTGAGCACGATGCGATGGCGAAGAGGGTCTGATGAAGGTGCAGAGACGTGTCAGCATACTGAGAGTCGTGCTCTGGATCTCCGACCCACGTCAGAAGTCAGGTCGGCACCGTTGTCTTCTTCCGTCCTGTTTCCCCACGTCGCGAGCTCGACGACAGGCTGTTTGTCTTCCCCGAGGCGGACTACGCCCATAGATAGCCCGGGGATGGACGAGACATGGAGGATGCGTTCAACGAAGTCGGAGACAGCCGGAGTGATGATGGTTTTGGTTTTGCCGGACTTGGGTGCGTTCGGCGTCTTGAGAGGGATTTGGTCCGCAGCCCCATGGGCGCACTGCACGGCGCTGCTTAAGAGCGCATACAAGCACCCCCATCTGACTGCAGTGACGGTAGCCCTCATGATCCTGTTGAACGGACAAACTTGGTGCCAGAAGCGATACGTGCGGGGAATCGAAAAACGCACCAGCGATGTAACAGTGCTGATTGAACAGGTACTCAAAACAGAGGGCTATATAAGAGAACTGAGATCCCCCACGCGACGGCTAGCGATGATGTCCGTCAAGTACGGGCTCTGAAGTAAGTACTGCTCGAAGAATTCCGGAGTTGAAATTCAGTGGTGGATGCGCTTTGGCGCCTTTGATGGCGGATATGAGGAGCCAAAGTCGCATACAAGCATTGAGAGTCCGGGGCGCTATTAGAGCGAAGCAGCCAAGCAAGTTCGACTGGGCGAAGAGGAGAATGGAGGTCTCGGCTGAAGACATGTTGACGTTCCAAGCGCCTGACTGAGCGACCAGGCTCTGCTCTCACGCGTCTCTCCATTGGGCAAGTCATTCCCAGGCCAGCCCTCCATGGCGACAAGCGGAACAAAAAATGTGCCCTCGACGATCAAATTCCACCACACCCCCGTCTCATTGCAAAACGTCCACCTATCTCCCGTACAGCACCCCCTCAAACCCGGACGAAGAAGGGGAACGGGGGAAACGAAACGATCCTCCTTGCTCCCCTGACCTCTCGGCACCGTCAAGCGCATCATATCGCCCGTGCTCGACGTGCCAGCGCGGGCCTAACCGAAGTCCCGCGTCCGGGCTAGCAGCCATTTGAGCCCCTTCTTGAGGTCCGCGTCGATCTTGTCCGCGTACCTCGCCGTGGGGAATACCATGTGGAAGCCGTGCGGTACTCCGGCGTACCTGGCAGCGCGCAGGTACGTCAGCCTCTCCTCTCGACGTACGAATGCACGGATGGAAACTTACACGTCGATTCGAGTGGGCACGCCGAGGTTCTCCAGCTTGGCGGCGTAGATCATCGCGCCATCGCACCCTGGGTCCATCCCGCAGATTTGCATGTATGTGGGTGGTAGCTTCAGGAACGACGCATCCGGGTGGAGCAGCCCAAAACAGTTGGGATCTGTTGGGGGAGTCTGCGCCTTCTCTGTGATATGTGTGCATATAAATGACGGGGCTTGGCCGAGGGTATCGGATCGACGCACCGAACATCTCGTACAGCTGCTTCGTGGAAAGGATGGGGGCGTCCATGTTCTGGTCGAACGACGAAAACTTAGAACGAATGCTGCAACGGGTATACGTGAGCTTCATCGTTGGAGAGAGATCACTTCGTTCACGCACTTTTCAGGTATTCCATCGGGGTGCACGAGGATTGGCATCTGAAGCACGAGCCCGGTGATAACGCTGCCGTGGGTGTAGAAAAAGGGGTCTGACACTGCTCGGTGGACCAGCGCGCCCATGACGGTTCCGCCGGCGGACATTCCTGCGATGATGAAGCCCTGCTTCAAGTCGGCACGGAGAATGCTCTTGTTGAGCACGATCTGGAACCAAAGAAACCTCTGTGAGCTTCGAGACTACGCGCCCATCTCCGCCGGAGAGCGCACTGACCCACTTGAGCGCAGCATAAGTGTCATTATGCTGAGCCGGGAACGGGTGCGTCGGAGCAAGCCTGTACTCAATGTTGACGACGGTGATGTTGAACTCGGCCGCGAGGATGCGACATAGGTAATCATCGGTCTCCAGGCTCCCGAAGACATAACCTGTCAAGAACGCAAGTTCTGTCAGTGCGCGCTGCGGGACCGCCTAGAGCGCTGACACCGACCTCCTCCATGCGCCCAGGCGAGGAGCGGGTATGTTTCGTGTCCCGTGAGTCCGACAGGATAGTACGCTCTGACGGCGATCGTGCCTCCGTCCACAGGCACAGTATGGTCGGATACGATAAGTACTCCTTCTGCAGCACCAAAAACCAAAAGCCTTCAGCGCGGAATATAAGCCAGCGTGCGCTCACTTACCAGCGGGGAGACGAGGCCGCTGCACGGTCCTGTACAGCTCTATGAACGGCCGCTCGTACTCCTCTCGTATCGGGAGCGCCTTGTCGAGGTACCCTTGGGGCGCGGGCTCGATCGCGGAGATGAACGGCACTATCTCCGGAATGGGCATAGCGAGATGGTTGTTCTGGGACATCACTAGCGAAGTATAGTCGTAGACGAAGGGTGCGGAGAAAATGAGGGGTTGGGGGCTATGCGAGGTCAGCGGCGGCAGTGCGGTCGCTGAGGTCCTCGCAATGTCGTCTGCGGTCGACGGGGTATGGTTGAGGAGGTCGAGGATCGGGCGTAGTGCCGCGGTCTTATACTTCCTCCTCCGAAGCCGCGCGAGGTCATCCTCAACAGCGAAGCGCGCACGGTTCCGGTTGAGTCAACGGCAGGTCTCGTGATCGGGCCCCGGGCGCCCCCTCGAAGGCGGGCGGATGACCAATTCGATTCGTGCTCGGACCGGCCCGAAAGTGAACGCGGGAGAGGCGGACGCCAACACCGCCGTTCCGTTGCGCGCGGACATGAATTCCGACCCTCCGGCCAAGATTGTGGATTCGAAGGTGAGTCACTCGGAAATACCGCGCATGCATTGACTCGGGGGCTCGCGTGAGGAGCACTGATCGGAGGTTTCAACTTGGTCGCAGCCAGGGATCTGCTACTTCCGCTCCACCGGTGTCGGAATGCGATCCCTGGCCTCATAAAGTGTCTATGCACCGGAGAGACATATTTTGTCAATTTAGAGCGCTCTGGCGTCCCAAGTGACACCCGACTTTCAATGTGCCCTCGCTCTCTCAAGCAGCCACTTCAGGCCCTCTCTCATGTCCTTGTCGAACTTCTGCCCCAGCCGCGGCTTCGGGTACGCGTAGTGGAACGCGTGCGGCGCTCCCCTGTACCTGCGAGCCCCCGCACCTCCGTCAGCACTTTCGTTGCATCCACAGGGCGCCCGGAGATTTACTCACACCTCCACCTTGACCGGAACCCCCGCCGCGCGCAGCCGATCCGCGTAGACCAGCGCCGTGTCGCGGAACGGGTCCATCCCGCACACCTGCATGTACGCCGCCGGCAGGCCTTCGAACGACGGATGGAGCAGCGGCGAGTAGTCCGGGTCGAACGGCTGCCCCTTCTGGCATACTGTGGAGGTGACGAGGGCGCGGCGCGCAGGGGCGTCAGCGTTTCTCTGGAGCGGCGCCCCCGAAGCGGACCGCGCGCACCTCGGTACTCTTCCACCTGGCGCATCGACAGCAGCGGCGCGTCCGCGTTCTGCGCGAACGACGTGCAGACCTCCTTGTATCTGCGTGTCACAAGCGTTCAAGCGCGTGCGGCCGAGGGGGGGGGGGGGGGGGGTGAGTGACAGACTCACTCTTCTGGTATGCTGTCCGGGTGGCACAGCGTCGGGGCCTGCATCAGCTGCCCGACGATCCTGGTCCCGTGCTCGGCGAAAAAGGCGTCCCCGCGGGCGCGATGCGTCAGCGCCGCGGTGAGGATGCTGCCTGCGGAGAGCCCCGCGATGATGATGCCTCGCTGGAGGTCGAAGTGGAGGGAAGGGGCGTTCGCAACTGCCTGCGATGTGACAGCCGCCCCGCGTCAGCCACTGGCCGCAAAGCGTGTCCCCGAAGACTCTTACCCATTTGAGTGCGGCGTACGAGTCGTCCCATGGTCCTGGGAAGGGATGCTCTGGGCACGGCCTACAAAGGGACATCAATTTGAGATTGTTGGGGGAGAGCAAGGGACTGCGTACCGGTAGTCGACGTTGAGCACTGCGAGTTTGAATTCGTCGCAGAGAATGCGACAGAGGTAGTCGTCGGTCTCAACCGATCCGTATATGAAACCTGGAAATCATTCCAGTATATTTCCGCGGAAACCGACGCAAGCATAGGCTATAGCGGGGCGTACCTCCGCCGTGCATCCAAAAGAAAAGAGGAAAGCCGCCGGTCTCGTAGCCGGTAGGGTAGTAGCTTCTGACAACAAACGTCCCCCCGTCTGGAGTGGAAACTAGGTGATCCTTCATCGTGATGGAGTTGTCTACACAGGACTGAGCAGCCAAATCATGGGCAGGCGATTAGCGACGCACCAGTTGGCAGACTTGGAGCTTGCACCTCGCGAAGCGCGGCTGCGAAGAACTCCTCAAACCATATCCGCCTGTTCGGGATGTCTGACGTGAAAGATGCGGGCGGCGGAGGTCTGGCGGCAAGCAGCGGCGTAAGCTCGGCGTCTGGGTCCGCGAAATGGTTGTTCGCCATGGTGGCAGATGGCGTGCGAAGCGCTGTAAGGGAGACCGCGCCTCGCGCGTCGAGTCTTATAGCACAGTACTACCAGTGGGGATTCCAACGGAACTGGAGAAGAATGTCAGCCCGTCCTTTATGTCTTCTGGTACTGACAGTCTGACTCAGAGATCGCAGGCCTCAGGTCACTTGACAGGTCCGGCACCGGTCGCCGGATGCGTCGACCCGAGCTCCGAGGCATAATATCAATGTGCGAGAATCTGCAGAGTGAACGGCGATTGAAAGCACAGAGAATGAGGCATATACCACGATCGGTCACGGTGGTGCGGAAGAAAGTGCCAAGTTGGACAAATGAAACTGCTCCAAATTTGGGCCCCTAATGTAGGGTTAGAAGACCAGTATCGAGTGTGCTACAAAAGCGTGTCAAGGCGGATAAAAGCCAGACAGCCTACGAAATGGCCCCTTGTACTACGGCGTCTTCGCCTGCTCCATAAGCCACCGCAGCCCGTCCCGGGCCTCGCGCTCCCACTTCCGCGCCAGCGCCGTTTCCGGGAACGCATAATGGAACGCGTGCGTCGCGCCCTGGTACCTGCAGATAACCGGTCAACCCAACTTCTCCAGATTCATAGAGCGCTCATGGTGCACTCACCCTATGGCTTTAGTCGGGACCCCCGCCGCTCTCAGCCGCTCGGCGTACGCGAGGCCCGTATCGCGCAGAGGGTCTATACCCGCCGCTTGGATGTGCGTAGGCGGGAGGCCCTCGAAGGACGTGTTGAGGAGCGGGGCGAACTCCGGGTCGTCGTTCTTCGCGCCCGTTAGTGCTAAGGTCGACGCGGAGGCGTGAAGACAGACTCGCAGCTGAGTGCGCAGGAGAGCGGGACGTACCGCAGCCTTCCTTGTGGAGGGCGGTCGAGAGCATGGGTGCTTCCGCGCACTGGTCAAAGGAGGTCACGTTTGCCTTCAAGCTGGGGCGGTCGTGTTAGCGTCGCGCGAGCACGGTGAGCGGGCGACGGACACACTCTTCGGGGATGTCAGACGGTTGGCAGAGCATCGGAACCTGCAAGAACAGGCCAGAGATCTTGGTGTTGTGTGCGGCGAAGAACGGATCGGACTGGGCGCGGTGCACCTGAGCGGCGGCGAGGGCGCCTCCGGCGGAGGCACCTCCCGAGATGATGCCCCTGGAGAGATCCGCGTGCAGCAGGTTTGCGTTGAGGACGGACTGAACGGAGAAAATGTGAACGAGGTTCAGGTTCGGCTCCATTGTGTGGACGGTACATACCCATTTCAGCGCGGCGTAACTGTCGTTGAGCGGAGTGGGGAAAGGATGCTCGGGAGCGAGCCTATAGCAGAGCCATCTTGTGAGCAGACTCACGATGGCGAAGCGTCAAGCACCAACCTGTAGTTGACGTTTACGATAGTCATCTGCAGCTCGTGCGAAAGTAGATGACAGAAGGGGTCATCGGTTTCCACACCTCCAACGATCATGCCTGCGAAGAGTGGTCAGTACGGAGATGAGGCAAGAGAACTCAAAGCATTATACCTCCACAGTGGGTCCACACCAAAAGGGGGAATACGCCATCCTTCGGCTCCGACGGGTAATAACTCCGCACAGTGAACGACCCGTCCTCCGCGGCGATGGTGTGATCCTGTGCGACGAGGGCCGCCTCTGCGAAGGATCAAAAGACGAGATCGGGGAAGAAATCGACGTTACACCTACCTGCGGCACGAAGCTGACTGGAAAACGCCGTTCTCTGTGCGTCTGCGAAGTGTTCGAACCCCTTTCGAAACGCCTTCAAGTCTTTGAGAACGTCAGAGGGTTGAGGTCCGATCGCCTTCAAAAGGGGATCGAGCTCTGGATCAGGCATGGCGAAGTGGTTGTATGCCATGGTGTTGTGCGGGGGTTTAGTGTCGTTCTACGGAGTAACCTGAAGTAGACCTAGGGAAATGAGACAAGGGAGGTGATCCGGCGTACGTACTTATATAACGAAATGGATCTGTGCTACCACCTGCGCCCCCCGATGAGGGGCGGTCGAGGTCACCTGGAGTCCCACCGCAGATGTCATGTGCCATGTGAAACACTGGAAAGCGGATTAGAAAGCTTCAAGATCGGGCATTCTTTGGGGGGTCCAAGGTCAGCTCACCAAGGTCGTCGAAACATTCCCCCGTATAACGGGAAATGAGTAAGACCAATGTGAGAAGCGGCTGAAAGCCGAGGGTAAGTGAATTATCATTTGACCCTCCACGTGATCCACGCACGAAAGTTGATAGCAGATCTCCGTCCCTGCCCGAGTCGCGTCGATGATCATTTGTTTAGGTCGAGGAGGTACTCACTGTAGCAGAGGCACCGCCGTGACATCTGCAAGATCTGGCGCTGCCCGAAGAACGGGTCGACGAGCGTCATCAACGTCCACAATGCCAGCCCCAGAGGCGCTGCTGCTGACGATGGCGTCCTTCGAGAGGCCGGCGCGACTGGGTGCGGGGTTCGCTGGTGTGTGGATAGAATGTCGAGACGACCAGCGAGCGGAGCGCAGAAGGAACTCACCCGCTTCGGGAAACAGGGCTCGGGTGTGAGCCTGCGGGGATCAGAGTGAATGCCTGGGTCACCGGTTCACCTGTGAGAGGTATTGACGGCGGTAATGCCTAACTGTTGGGCGTAACAGACGTGGTTTTCGGAAAAGATAAATTTTCGTAACAAGGGAGTCTGTCGAGAGTTTGCTGCGTTCGGTGCGAATTTCGCCTTGAAAGCGGGTGATGCATTTTAGACGGCGATCGATGTATGTTTCAAAGGCTTCTGGCGGAAATATGGGAGAAGTTACGCGTCACCATGGGCAGGATATCGTGGTCCGAGTTTACAGGGGGGTCAACGACCGCGCTCGACAATGTGCACGTGTCAGCGCGCGTCTACCCATTTTCAAAATGCCACGTGGATGGCAACCAGACCGCCGCCATTCGAATTGAGCACTGTCTTGTTCTGGCTCTGCTCTTCTCTTTGAGAAGCCCGCGATGGCGACTTCTGCCTCCGCACACCACACAAAGGGAACAATGAGCGACAATAAAAGCAACCACAGGATGACTCCCTCCGTCAACGTGGCTGGTAGCCGAGCCCGACCGGCTATATGTAGCCCGGCGTCTGACCACTCGCTCTTGTCACTACCACCACCAACCTGTCCGATCCCCGACATGCCGGAGCCACACACAGCTCATCCACGTCCCGCCCAAGACATGTACGCCGTGATTCGTATAAATCCCGCGGAAACGGTGAGGCAACTCGGCGACTCAGTCGCGCTGGACGCTGCGCGTCAAATGCAGACGAAACCCACTGTGCGCCCGCAGGAGGGTGATTTTAACCGTTATGAATGGTCAGTTTTCTGGATCACTATCAAAAATAGTGATAAGTTGGTGATTGGTGGTTCTGGTGGTGATTTTCCCTTCACCGTTTTTGTCTAGCAAGTTCACTATCTTCTGAATGATGGGCCCGTTGCTCGACGACTGAGTGAAAGCGCCCAGGTCGACAACCCGCTTACATCAGCATGGCAACGCTGCGTCGTTCTCGGAGTCTCCAAGTCCAGTGTCTCCTCCACTACACCACTTGCTTGCGTCTCCCACCAAGCCTGCTTCACCCTTATCACTGGCACCCTCCGAATCCTCGCCTTTGATCTCCACAGCGGTTACCGCCACACCTGCTTGGTCCCCGTACCGTCGCCTCCTTGCGGGCCCAACTTTGTCAGGAAGACCCCACCTGCTGACACGGGTCCTTGAAGGCGAAAAATGTCGGAGCATGCGCTTCATCTGACGTCCAAACAATCAGTGGAAGAGCCCAGGAAGGCCAGGAGTGGCACTGCGGGGATTTCCCCCATGGCTGGGTACAACATCCGGTTAGTTCAAGTGCTTATATCATCAATGCTGGACCTGAGCTGGTGGACACGAACGAGGCGTCCGGGACTCGGGATCTAGCACGGCCTACAAGATTAGCGAAGACCTTCGTGTCGACTCGAGCGTTGGGCGTCCACACTGTCCCAGGTACGTCTCTGCTTTACTCCAGCACGTCCTCGGCTCAATAGCAAACATCCCTTCCCCGAACATGGACCATGCGTGCCAAACACCTGCCGCTGTGAATGGGCCGGCCGTAATGTCATGCCCAAGAACCTCTCGCATCCGGGCTGGTACTACCTGACTCACCGTGTGGCCACGCCAACACCGGAGAGCGTGGCGCAGGGTCCGTACCGCTGGGATGTACCGCGCGGGGGAGGAGCGACAAGGGAGCGCGCGGAGCATGGCCACCCCCGTGAAGAGCACGACGCGAAAGCAGGCGTAGGTCACCCGAGGAGTCGGTCGCTCTACGCAAGCGCGAGCATAGAGCGTGCCGGGCGCATTCGCCTGCGCAGATCCTTGTCTGGACGTCCCGCTCGCGCAACATCGTGGTCGTCTCCGGGGTGGGCACCGCCGCCGCGCCACGCCGTGTTGGGAAACACTCCCTTGACGTTCCGCGCTCTCCCGACGCACGTCCTGCAAACCACTCACCCTTCGCACGTGTGCGTCTCCTTCGCCGTCGCGTTCCAGTGTCCATCCCCAGCGCGCGCACGACACCCCACACCTTGTGCACGTTCACGCGCCACTCGTGCCACGCCACCTCCGCGGCGCCTCAGAACCGTCCAGTGCGCGCACCAGTCTTCACCCGGGCGAAACTCTTCTACCCAGGCCACGCATCCTGCAAAAGTCTTTCGCGGGGACGCGCGAATAAGGCCGACCTCGAGCGCCGGCTCATGTGCTGGTCCGTACTCCGTCGCTGTAGAATATGTCGATGAGTGGCTCGTCTCATTGTGTGTCCTCACTGACTCGCGCTCGCCGCGCTCTCTCCACCCCCACACCCCCACAGTCTACCGCTGTACTACGACTGAAGGCGCAGGCGTCCGCGGGCAGGCTGTGGCGATCGGAACGCGGGTACCATGCCGGTGGACGTCGCGATGCCTCACCCAGCTAGCGCGCACCCCATGGCCGCACTTCCAGCAAGAATGGAGCGCAGCCGCGCACGGGCTACGGGGGCTCATCCGGCACGACCAGCAGTTGAACGTGCTACTGATCGCGCAAGACCGGTGGTGGTATCCCGCTGCAGATCACAAGGACCTACGTGTATGGCCACGTCTCTTGTCCCTCTCCAGCTTTGCTTATCACTCCTATCCCCCCACAGTGCTAGCGCGTCCATCAGCTGGTCGACGCACGTCATCGTCGACACACTCGGTAAAACCATCGAGCTCAACACCCTCGGCTCGCGCTTTCACCCCCGCCACGTACTACGCGATCATGCTCGACGTCGAGCAACACTTGCGGACCCGGCCAAGCTCCTCGCTGAAACGTTCTCACCTCGACAGGCCCGTGCGCGAACTGCGTGCGTTCAAGGGCGCGTGCGTGCTTGCGAGCCCGGTCTTCAACTGGCTGTTTGAGATCCTTCGGCACGGTGCGTGCGGGCGTGAGGGCAGGGGGCGCGCGTGTCTCTGACAGAAGCAGGCGCAGCTTGTGCTGCTTGTCAGCTGGGCGAGTTCGGGCGAGGCGCACAGTAGTAGTATCGTGTACAAGTACTGTACAAATTCGAATAAATGAGTACTTTTATCACCATTTTTGTGAATGTTTCCAACGTGAATATCCCCAACACAGTGGGTGATCGAATGATGGTGGTCCGACGGCTTAGTGATTTTAACTGAGCCAAAGATGGTGATTACCCGCCTCTTGAACGTTGAATCGAGCAAAATCTGGCTCACTTTCACCATCTAATCACTGATAGATGGTGAATACCCCCTCAGCGCCAACGGCACATATTTGGTAATTCCCACCATCGAAGATATGGATTTTCACCCAAAAGTAGATGGTGATCAAGTGGGTGAAATTCACCCTCTCCTGGGCACGCAGTGACCCTATCTTGTGTGGATTGAGCAGGTGCGCCACTCCTGCTCTCGACAAACGCTCACTGACCACCCCGCTGAACGCTCAGGCTCATGAAACAGTCTCGATCAAGGAGCGTGAATTCTACCCCTATACCATCGGGTTCGTCTCTCCCCACCTCCCGCACGCCGAAGACGTGGTCTCCGGGTGCACGGGCGTCGCACAGATGTGCGTCCCCATCTGGCCCGACGATCCTGCTGCCGCCTCTATAGACAGAGGCGACGCGAGCTCGGGCGGTTCAAGCGCGGCGTTGGAGTTCGTCCTCACGGAGCCCAACCCGTTTCCTTTCCGCGGATGTTTCCACTGGCCGCTGGGCGCGCGTGTCCTCGTTCGACCCCATGCCGGCGGGTGGTCACTGAGCCCCAAAGCAATCAAACTCCCGGAGGAGTCGCGGCTGGATTTGTTCGAGTGTTGGGCCGCCGGCCTCGGCGCGGATGGTGACGCAAAGGTGCAGAACCCGTGGGGCCTGTTTCTGTGTGCGGACGGTAGCCACGGATTTGATAGTGGCTCTCGAGGCTCTGTCGACGGCATTGGAGCTCCCAAAGAAGGGCAGAATGCGTCCAACGGGGACAGGTTGTCGCCCCTTGAATTCTATCTTATCGCTGAAGAACAACGAGCACACTGTGAACCCGCATCCTCAAGCGAAGAGGCTTCATCCAAGGCAGCCGAAGATCCTGTATTGATCCCTGTCGTGCACTTGCACTATGAGCTGGTCGACCATCTCACCTCCGCCGGCATCCCTGACCCTAGAGATATGTTGGCCGAGTTGGAACATCTCAAGAGGTAAGTGCAGACTCACGTGTGATACGACTGGCCACCTTACTGTTTTTCAAGCATCTTCGACGATTCCCATGCGCGCATGTCTGGCGAACGTTCGCCGGACTACGGCAAAACGCTCGACCAGGAGGACACCGACGAGTACAGCTTTGTACAAAGTTGCTCCGAAGAAGGTATCATCAAGCCAACGAAGAAGAGATCTTTACGCCGGGTTTTCAACAGCGCTGTCAAGCGACTCCGGCACTCGTCGCCGGAGTCAACGTGAACGACATTTCGCTGCGTATGTCACCACGGGGGCGCGTTGCTGGCGTATCATCACGTGTGTTAATAGCGATTGCAATCATGTAGTACAGTGCAGTAATGTCTTGGCAGTGGTGTCATTTACCGGGGATGCCTGGAATCCATCAAGTTGACAGCCTCGTACAATCTCTCGCCCCAACCGTCCTTGCAGCGCGAAACACCTGAGCGATTCCGTCGTACGTCTCTTGGAGTACTGAGTCGTAGTTCCGAACGGTTTAGAAGCATGACGACCGTGTGCCGCACCCAGAGGTATTCGGTGTTTTTTAGGCTTTCTATCTCAGTGTGATGACTGCAGGACAGATGGCGGACGCGAGGTATGGGATCCTGATAAACGAGCGGCACACGACTGACTCGGCGCTGTGTGTCATTCTTGAGCTTGAAGCTTGAATGTTGAACCTGTGTATCGTTGTGGTGCGAGTGTGCCTTCTTACATCAACTACGTACCGCCACGGTTCCAAAAGATGTAGTAACTGACACGGGAAAACATCGTTGTCAGCCAACGGTCTGGGATCTGGTCCAAACGACTTTGCGGGATATCCTAATGTTTCGGGTACTGTCGGGGAAAAGCGGGAAACGCCGTCAGGCCCCCGAACACCAGCTCCACCTACTCTTCCCACTGTTGACCGGCGCTTTCTTCTTTGTCTCTCCCACCCCATGCAGTGATCACGACATTATCACACATATACCTGACATCGGCGGCTGGTAGACGACATCATGAAGCATTCTCCATCTGCCAAGTAGCCGCGACGCGATATGGCTCTTCGGTTCATTCTCGCTCGAAAGGCCACCCAGGGACCGGCTTCACGGCCCAATTCCAAGCTTGCAGGTGGGCTCCAGGCGGTCTCAGCCGGTCTCAGCCGGCGTGATGGATCAATCAGGCCTATCTTCCCGAAGTCCGAGTCTCACAGCGGCAGTGCTCTGGTGTGTGCGCTGCATCTGCGGCCGTTCTTGTTCCGAGGTGCTGATAGCACCTATCCAAAGATCTTGGGCCGGCCGCCGACGCCGCCGCCACCCGTCACTGAAGTACTGAGGGCCGTCGAGTATGGCATGGGTAAAGTAGCGATCTCGCTGTCCTTTCATTGGCAACACTGATTAATCGAACTTAATATGTCTTCTTCAGTGATGAAGAAGCGTTTAGACAGTTGAACACTCCTGGGGAACGTGATGCCGTCAAACAGGGTCTGAACCCAGGTCGGCGTGGTCTTCTGCGTTTTTCTCAGCAACGACCGCCGTGCGATCTTTATGAACCTTAACGTCTGACTTTTGGTGGATAAAGGCTCGACCTCCTCATCCGGTCCCCCTTCTTCCTTCAACCCTTTTCTGTTCTGCATTTCAAAATGAACTCCTCCCAGTCCAACCAAACAAGCACCGCAGGGACGAAGGCTGCACAAGTGCTAGTATCTCACATGATGGGACCCGTTCTTCCGGCAACGTTCATCGGGCTCGTGTACGTCCGCTTTTCTTCTCGCGGACCTCTGGAATTCCACGACTGACAGCAGCGCTTCAGACTATACGGAGTGATTTTGCACCAGTCGTATCGGTACTGGAGAGCCCATCCCACAGACGCTCGCGCGATTCAGATCATCGTACGTACCAGCACTTGGACGTCTCTCTTCCGCAGTTGGAATGACACACATCCCCGGAATGAAAGGTTCTAACACTGTGGTGAGTGCATCTTCGAGAGATTCTTGGGAACAGTCACTAATGAGTGGAATAATCTAGCTTGCTCGAGACGGCACATTCCATAGATACCATGATCACGTGGTGGGTGATCATATCGATTCAAATTACGCTCGTCCCGGCTCTCAAAGGGCGTTGCAGTTATCATTATCTGGTATCCAACTACTTCGACCCTGGGGCTCTAAACCAAAATGGGTGGTGAGTTGACTACTTTCGCACATATCATCTGCACTCAGCTTGAACTTGACAGGAGCGTGAACGTGAGATATGCTTTACCGCCAATGAGACTCGCCGCATGCTGAGCGTCACATTCCATTTGGTTCACAGATTCTCTATACACTATCGGTGAGCGTCGTACCCTATGCGTAAGCCTCATCAAATGAACATGATCCCTCTTTTAGAGCCTTATTTCCTTCACCGCTCAACTGTGAGTCGTCTCCTAATTCCTCCGGTTGCGTCACATTGAATTCGTACCGGTAGCTTCTTCACGCGGCGAGTAGGCCTCAGTACGTCGTGCCGTACAGGAGGCCGGCTTCCAATAATACCATTCCCACAGTTTCTTCAAAGTTCAAAGCGGTTGCAACGATATGCGTAAGTTGAACACTCTGCATCTGGGTGTAAATTTAATGCTCGTTTCAGGCAGTTTTGCTGACGGTCAAGATGGGTCTGCCACTCTACCTTGTTTCCTTGTTTCCAACGTTCTAACGCCAGTGTTAACTGTTATGCAGTCGCAAGCATAGGTGCGTGGTCGTCTTGCCATAGCTCGAGAAGCGAATCCCGGATACTGATTTACGGTTGACAGTTTACATGAGTCAAGGGTATGCATTTCGTTACACGCCAAATGACGGCTCCAATAATAACACCTCATTTCGTGCAGATTTCAGTACAAGACATTCAGCCTTTGGCAGTCTCATGCTCAGGCTTGTTATCTCTCTATATGTACGTCCTGTGGTCATGTTTCTGACGGCACCCTAGACATCCCTCCACCTCGCTTTGGGTTGTGCAACGGCGGTGGACGCTTTACTGGCTGCATCGTACTTATCCGTGATCATCAAGCACCCCGACAGCCGCAAGCGGTGCGCCGCTTGGATCGATGGTCCGACTTCTCTCTAATCCATGGCTGGAACAGCGAATCGTCTTGGATAGCTATCGTCACGAACTACGTCATAAACACAGGCGAGTCGTCTTCGAGTCAGCAATACCAGAACAGTTCACTCACGCCTGTACAGGGGCCCTTATATTGTACGCGTCGCGATCCCGAGTCCCGAACGTGCTCTCGACAGTTCGCTGATTTCCCCATCACAGCTTGTTCAGCCTCGCCACCATCATCGTCGTACGTCGCCTCTCTGGCATCGCCGACATCCCTCTCCCCGTGCTGACCAGAGATGCCAGGCCAGCATCCCGACGGTGCGCTGGTGGTGGCGCGCCCTCGAGATAGTGACCGCTCGACGTACGCCTCTCCCCTCCCTCAGACCCCTCAGTGCACCCCCGCTCACCCCCCCGCTCCCTCCGCAGTGTACTCCATCACCCTGCTCAGCATGTACGTCCCGAACCGAGCTCCCTCAGTCGGCGTCGCGGCTGACCGCGCCCGCGTCTCGCGCGCGCAGCCTCAACTCGCGCCAGTTCGTCTTCAGCCGGCGCGTGGAGGTGCGCGGCGACGGCGCGCGCTTCGGGCGCGGGATCGGCCTCCTCGCGCGCGCGACGCACCTCGCGACGGCGGAGCGCTGGGACGTCCCGCAGCTGCCCGCGGAGGCGGCGCCGGCGACGTTCGACATCAAGGTCACGACGGGCACGGAGCGGTACGTCGACCCGCTCGAGGAGACGTCGGTCGGGGCCGTGTCCGAGGACGGCTTGGTGGGCAAGGGGGACGTCGAGGACAAGGAAGTGAGGGCGGGCGAGGTGTGAGTTCTCGCACGCGCGTGAAGCGGAAGGCAAGACTCGAGAACGAGGACGAGCGCTTCTCATCGAGTATGACGTCATTGGACCTTACGTTTCGTACACCCCGTCCGATACCGCTTCAATGATACATAGATCAGAAGACACACTCCGTGCTAGAGGTGCTATTTACAACCTGCAGAAGACGCACAGATCAGCAGAGCGCACAGATGACCGCCGAAGCACACTCACAAGACCGCGCGGAGCCCCGTGCCAGGGCCGCCCGACGAGGCTGAGGCTACGTGCTGAGCGTGAACGAGGGGACGGTGACCGAGCCGCCGAGGTTGAGCGTCGCGTAGTTGAAGATCCCGAACCGGTACCCCATGAAGAACTCCCAGGAGTTGACGAGCGTGAGGGACGCGCCCGTGTTCGTGAACGTGCTCCCGTCGTAGCTGTACGAGAACGAGGCGGTGCGGCCGGAGCCCGCCGCGATGTTCGCCGCGATCCGGAGCCACACCGTCGTCGTCCCGCTCGGCACGCCGAGCCAGACCGGGGACGACCCGCCGCTGCTCGTCGTCCAGCTGTTGTTCATGTCGAGCGCGAGCCCGGTCTGCACCCGGAGCGCGTACGTGCCGTTGTCGCGCCCGATCCCGACCCAGCCCGAGTAGTCGCGGAGGAGGACGAGGCCGGCGCGGTCGCCGTCGAGCATGCCCCCGAACGAGAGCTTGATCGTCGCCGTCGAGGACGGGCCGAGGATGCGGTGGGTGAGCGTGTTGCGCGCCTGGTAGAGGTCGTACGTGACCGACGCCGTCGAGAGCCTGAGCCCGCCGGAGCCGACGGAGAACTTGCTCGTGTCCGGGTTGTGGTTCCACTCCCACTGGGGCCCGAGCGAGGTGAAGGAGTCCGTGCCGGTGAGCGACGGGCGCGGGTTTGCGGTCGTGGGGTCGGGGTAGGACGCGCCCCAGCCGCCGTTGACGAGCTGTGGGGGCGCGTGGTTAGCGTTCGTCACGAGGCGATGTGGGGAAGCGGAGAGCACGGACCGTGACGCTCGGGAAGTTGTCGCTGCCCCAGGTGATCGGCGCGAGGACGGGGACGCGACCGCCGGGGTAGGCGTCGACGAAGGCCATGTAGTACCAGTTGCCGTTGCTGTGCTGGACGATCCCACCTTGGTGGGGGTTGCCGGTGCCGGAGACGGGAGTTGCGACACTATTGACGAGAGCTTTGGCCGTGTACGGGCCCCATGGGCTGGAGGCCTTGAGCGTGTATTCGACGCTGGCGGGATGGTCCGTCAGGATGTAGTAAAGACCGTTCCGTTTGTACATGCGTGTCCCCTCAAGGGTGCCTGCCCGATAATGAGATCCTAGTGAAGGAAGCAGGGAAGGTAAAAACGTACCCTGGGCGCTTGTAGGGGTGTAGACCAGCTGCGAGCGGGTCTCACCATTGAGACCGGAGTTGAGCTGGGCGACGTAGATCGAGCCCGATGAGCTGTAGGAGACATAAAGCGTCCCGTCGTCGTCGACGAGGAGGCCGCAGTCGTAGTAGCACTTATTGATCGTTGCGTGCTGGGTCCAGGTGCCGTTGACCGCGGAGGCGGTGTAAATGTACGTTTTCGCGAAGTCGATGCAGCCTCCCCAGATCCACTGGCTAGTGTGCGAGTTGTAGTCAAAGAAGGAGGCCCAGATGCCGTTCACGTATGCGCGCTGGCCATTGGTGAGGTCGTACTTGCTCCCGAAGTTGAGCGTCGGGACGGAGTGTCCGACGTACTCCCAGTTGAACAGATCGTAGGAGCGCAGGATCGGCGCACCAGGAGAATAGTGCATGGTCGACGCCGAGTAGTAGTACACGCCATTGACGTTACGGATGTCGAGGTCGGCGAGGTCGTTCCAGATGAGGGGGTTGTTGAACGCGCGGGTGAAAGCGGGGAGGAGCGCGGCGACGCCGGCGAAGATACTGGCGAAGCGCATGGTAGGTTTTGAGCTGCGTCTGGCGGAAGGGAGCCAAGTATGAGCGTTATATACGAGGTGATGGAGGACGGTGCACGCACCTGAGCACGGGCGGATTTCGGCACATGTAGATGCTCGTGACGACCGTCATGCTGTACGACGCCGACGACGGTCTGCCGGCCCGTTGAACAAGGCTCCCATCATGCGGTTGACCTCGCGGATGCTCGGGGTTTGTAAAGAAACAAGAAGGTCGATCAGACACTCTACCGCCGGTTTGACGGTCCCGGCGGGCGCTACCTACACCCACGGCGGGGCCGCCTTCATCGAGGAGCACCAGGGGGCTAGACAGTCGTCACCCGAGTTTCGCCGGCATGCAGGGAAGCTGCGCCAATGAGTACGTCCGGTCGTGACACCACGACTGGCGAGTGGCATCAATCACCGGCATTTTGCCACTCCATGCCGATGTCTCCTCCGTTGGCCCATGCTCTTTGGTTTGCCACTACCACGGCCCCTGTGCTTCGTTTGGCGTCTTATATGGAGGAAGGGTAAATGCCTCCTTACAGTGTATTGCCGTATCTGTGTGCCCCGAGCAACAGACTACGAAGTCTCGCCTCCCATCGATGTCAATACCGTTAACAACTGATCATGAAGTGTTCTGAGGCCCAACGCTCAGCGCTCAGCATTGGGACATTTGCGTACCATAGAAGACAGGGAGATTGCGACATCGAATCTACGACGTGAAGGCGCAAGACCCACCGCGCATAATTATACACGTAGCAACTTAAAGCACTTTGAAGAGAGATAAGCTGCAAGTAACGGAACCCATGAGAGCTAGGACCAGACAGTGTGGAAGATGGTGGGAGCGCTGCACATAGAACGGAAGGCGTCGAAATAGCCCAACGAGGCCTGCGGCAAAAGCCGCGTCGCACGTGGCGGAGCCCCAGTCCCCGCTGTGGCTCCGCCGCGCACCTCATTCTCAACGTCTACTCTTCATCTCCTTCTCTAACACGCTCGGCCTCTCTTTGCACCTCCTGCTGTCTGGACCTTACTCTTTCCACCTGTCTTGCCGTCCATAATGGACAACCCTGCTTCGCGCGGCCACGACAGACCGAGGCGCAATGACGACCGCGCTCGCTCGCGCTCACGCTCCCCCGACGACGACCGCTCGCGCCGCCACGGACATGGACACAGACGCGGGCAAGGAGATGGGGACAGAGATAGAGACGGAGACGGACGCGGTCACGGTCGCTCGCGTTCGCGGTCCCCACGAAGGCGCCCCCACAGCCCCGCGCAGCGGAAGTCGCGCTCGCGCTCGACGTCCCCTACTCGCCGGAAAGACCGCGGTGAAGAGGGGGGAAAGGGGAAGGAGCGGCAGCGGCAGCGCGGGAACCCTGCGTCGCGATCCCCGTCGCGCTCGAGGACAAGGTCGCGGGACAGGGGGAAACGGCGGCGGTCGCGGTCACGGTCGCGGTCGTCGTCAAGCGCGTCGAGCGACGACGACGACCATCGACGACAAAAGCGCAGGAAAGACAAGCACAAGCGGAAGCGCAGCAGGAGCAGGGACAGGAAGGAGAAGAAAAAGAGCAAGAAGGAGAAGAAGGTGCGTCGTGCTTGGTGCTCCAGAGCTTGGCCGTGTCTCATGCGGCTGGCAGAAACACAAAACCGGCGCCGTGAGCCACCACCAATGGGGCAAGTACGGGCTCATCAACGAGACTGAGTGAGTGGGGTTCCTTCGAGGTCCTTTCCCTGCACTCATCCCTCGCAGCTTGTACAACAAGGAGCAGGAGTTCCGCGCATGGCTCGTGGAAGAGCGTAAAATCAATCCCGAAACCACCTCGAAAGACCAAACGAAAAAGGAGTTCGCTCGTTTCGTCGAAGACTTCAACACTGGTATGTGTCTTCCTGCTCCTGCTCCTGCTCATCATCACCCCGTTCCTAATGGCCTCTTTCTCTCTCCGCAGCCACGCTCCCCCACGAGAAGTTTTACAACATGGATGAGTACGAGCGCCGCATGGCTTCCATTCGTGCCGGAGAGTATGTTCCTCCCGCGACCGACTCCTACGACCCCAACGCGGACATGCGTGCGCTTCAAAGCTCGCACAAGCGACGCCCGGTGGAGACGGACACGTATATGAACAAGGAGCAGTTGATGGAGCTGCGCAGAGTGCAGCAGGAGCGTATACAGGTGCGTCTAGGTCTGCTGGGGACACCCCTTCGCCAGATCGTCGGGGCTAATAGGCCGTCTCGGTGTTGTCAGGCCGGGAAGATGAAGCTGCTGGGGATGGACATCAAGCAGAACATGGGCGTGCGGATGGACGGGACGATGTTCGATGGCTGAACATTGAAGGAGGATGTCGTTGGTGTACGTTCCCCCGTTCGATCCTATTCCCAACACTCGCTACCAATTGTACAACTCAATCTTTACTTGATCATCCTCTCCTTGAGTGTTATGCCAACATCAAGCCCACGAGGCTTCATTGCCATCTCGGTGCTACCGGACGGTGAACGCAAGTCACCTGCAAGTGACGAGCAGAGGAGGTGACGAGGGAGTCAAGTCCTTCATCGCCACAACGGTGCCAGCGCAGATAAGGTCGCGTTGTGGTGATACTCGTCGGACCATGGTAGGTTGAAGGCCGCGAGATTCGAGTCTAGCACGGTTCGTTCACCAGTCTTGTGGCGTGCACGCCCCGAATCGCGAACACTCATGATTGTCAGCCACCTCACATACAGCACCCTAATGAACCTTCTGTGACTTGAGGATCAGGCTCCTCAACAGCGTGATTATGATTTCACGCCGTTCGCCAAGACACCCACACACGCATCCACCAGTGCGCAGCGCGTCGTTGTCCGCCAAGCTCACAGGAGACGTGCAATTCTACTGCGCAGACACGGCCTTGATGGGCGACGTGAGAGAGGCAGGCGGAAGTAGGAAGCTACAGGTAGAGCAGAAGCGGAGGTCAGTCGCCATGCTTGGTTATGTTGATCAGCACGGCTTGGTGCGGCCGATGACCTCACTCACGGACCTGGGTCGCATCGACCTGTGGTCTGAACCATCGTCGAGTTTTAGCAGCGAGATGCAGTTATTTCCTACTTCCTTTAACATCCTCTTTGCTACTCATCACAGTACTTTACAGGTGTGTATTTGGCATCGCTACTAACCTGCGGTCGCCATCTTGCTTCCACCACAGATGCCCTCATACAGTGTCCACTGTGCGCAGCCGCAGCGGTGTCTTAGATGCGCAAACACAAGTGATTGTGGCGATCCCGTGCGGCAATCACACTGGGGTTTCGAGGGCACGTGAAGCGCCGTGTGGACTCCGCGCGCGGCCTCTCCATGCCTGCAGACTAGGATATAAAACCCCATGTCTTTACGTTGACTGAAGACATCCTCTTCTCTCCTCAGCCTCCATCCAGCCTCCTTCCAACCGGCTACCTTCACGCCGCACATTTCCCTCGCTTTTCGTAACAAAGATGATGCACCTTTCGAGCTTTGTTTTCATTGCCCTCTTTGTTCTTGGAGGTAGGTTTTGCGTACTTCGAAGTCATCGACACGTTGGGATGCTGATAGGAATATCCGTAGGCAATGCTGCCGTCGTCGAAAGGCGCCAGCTCACCACCTCCCCCGACGCCGTGTCCGAGCCCGGTTCCTACAGTGCCTCCCCGACCGAGTACACCTCCCCCAGCTACACAGTCTACGCCTCCAACGGGCCCTCCGATTCCGATTCCAGCAGTGCCTATGCGACCACGTCCACCCGCCGTCACGGCCACTCCTCAGTCGTCGCCTCTGGTGAGGCCGGGTCCGCTTCCCCCAGCATCACGGTCTACGCTTCCAATGGGCCATCCGAGTCCGATTCCTACAGTGTCTCCCCGACCGAGTACACCTCCCCCAGCTACACGGTCTACGCCTCCAACGGGCCCTCCGACTCCGACGGTTCTAGTAGTGCTTCCGCGACGGCGTCCACCCACGGGGGCCACGGCCACTCCTCGGTCGTCGTGACCGCCTCCGGCGAGGCCTCCTCGTCCGGCGACGGTTCCAACGGTTGCTCCGAGACCGCGTCGACCTTCCCCAGCTCCCCCAGCTTCACTGCGTCCGCCTCCAACGGGCCCTCCGACCCCGCTTCCAGCAGTGCCTCCGCGACCCACCAGAGTCACGGCCATTCCTCGGTCGTCGCGACCGCCTCCGGTGAGGAGGCTGGGTCAGCCTCCCCCAGCATCACTGTCTACGGCTCCAACGGGCCCTCCGAGACCGGTTCCTGCAGCGTCTCCCCGACCGGGTCCTCCTCCCCCAGCTACACGGTCTACGCCTCCAACGGGCCCTCCGAGTCAGACAGCTCCAGCAGCGCGTCCGCGACGGCGTCCACCCACGGCCACGGCCACTCCTCCGTCGTCGTGACCGCCTCCCCCAGCATCACGGTCTACGGCTCTAACGGGCCCTCCGAGTCTGCCTCCAGCAGTGCCTACGCGACCGCGTCCACCCACCCCCACGGTCATTCCCGGTCGTCGTGAGCGGCCCCAATGGGCCCTCCGAGTTCGGCGTCTCCAGCGGCGGCGCCGTCGCTCCGACCTGCAGGTTCTGAACACTCACATTGAATATCATCGGAGTGCTGCGGAGCCGGGTGCAAGAGCGCGAGCGGAGGGAATGAGGGGTGAGGAGATAGATGGGACGGACTGTTTCGGCTGTAGACGTTGCAGTTTTTGATTTGCTTGTGTGGGGGTCGTAGCTGGGTTCCCTTGGACATTACTTGAATAGTCTTGCGATACTTCATGCTTTTGCCACTACTACACATCAAGTACGTTCTCGGCCGCATTTGTCTGATGCGACCAGCACATACGGGTCGCCGAAGGGTTGGAAAAACACCACGGGATCTCCGTGACTTCTACTGTTTGAGGTGTGCGGGAGAGGGCGTGGACAAGGGACCGCCTCGCCAATCTCTGCTTGCGGCGCTCGCACGGTCGACGCTCGGCAACGCTGCCAATGCCCCCGTGCTTGGTTCAGCTTGCGGGCGCTGCCCCGATTCGACGGTCTTGGAAAGTACATGGCGTGCGGGGCACGCACCCGCGGGCATGTTTGTCGCACGTGGGTTCAGCGCGTTCGGAATGGGGTGGCCAGAGTAAAGCAACATTCAAGCGCCCATGCTTCCCAGGGAACGAGCGTTAAGAGACTCACCAAATAGTATCACGCGATTGCAGGCTCTGAGCCACGTCGTGTCCTCAGCCACCCAAGGAGAGGGCTCTGCGTTGCTCGTGCCTGAAGCTCGCAGAAGCGAACCGACAAGAGATACCACCCTCGCGGTAGGAGCTCGAGGGCGGGCAACGATTGCTGACGACACGACTGTTCTTCGCGCGCATCATAAGCTCAGATTGACGTCGTGCATTGGTCGAAGCTCTCGCAACCCGCGTAATCCAGTTGAGGGCATAAGTGTCGCGTCGTTACCATGCGAGATAGTGATATGCACGTAGAAACATGTGAATGCAAAGAAAGCAATGAGCACGAGCAGAACGGTGAACAGGACAGCGAGAATGACATGTGTAAGAGGAACTGGCGAAGGTCAACGACAATCAGACAACGTGCGGCCCTCGGAGTCTGTGCCAGAACCTGCGCATATTGCGCCTGAGACTTGCGGCTGCAACAAAGCAAGTTCGTAAGGTCGCAAGTTAGTAAGGGTGACCAAATATATAAAGTCAATAGAAACTTACGCTTGCCAAGAAACTTCGAGAGCGACCGACGTGGGCTGTCAGACCGCGAAGACTCTCCGCTTGTGGAGGATGACCCCGGTAGCTGCAACCCCACGTGGATCGACGAGGCAGACGTTCCTTCACTTGTGGGCACAGTCGCTTCGGGGGAGAACGACAGAGAGACGGGCGAGGGAGCCGGTGATAATGATGAGGGAGCCGATGACGACGACGCAGGCGACGAGGGAGTAGACGGCGGAAAAGCAAGCGGAACACAGGCTAGTGGTGGAATGGAATACGGCGAAGACATCTGCAGCTCCTTCTCGGACGTGACTAAGTGGCCATCCTTTGTTTCTGAGAGCGGCTGCTGTTCGTCTTCAGCTGAGTACACTGTGAAGCTACGAGAATATGACTCGTGTATGACCCTCGAGGACGACGTTAGCACGCGAAGGGCCACCTAACAGCGCCACTTACTTGATGATCTCGTCACGTTCCTTGAAGATGTCGTTCGGATATGGTATATCTTCCTGCTTCAGATGATTTTCGAGATCGTACCACAGGTCTACTATTGGTAACAGTTCCGGATCGTCGGCGAGCTGTGGCGAAAACATGTCGCCTAGTGGGTCGTTAAGGGGTAACGATTTTTGGGAGGCGGACTGGGTCGGCTCGTGTGATGATGAAGGCAGATCGGCCATAGAGGAGCTCGAATCGGAGCCCTCTTCTACACCATGGTTCATCGCTGCGCATATAGTGTGTGTACGACACTCACCTGAACTCTCTGTCTCAAACGCGTCCTCCACCTCAAGGACAGCCTCTCCACCACTCCGAGCCTGACGACCCGCCTTTGCCCGGGCCGCGTCTTCTTCCCAATATGCGCCCATCCGCATCAAAGAAGCACCAGGGAGAACGTACCCATCATCGACATTCCAGCCTCCCTCTCGCGGACGCACCCGAATCATCATCTTTGTCGACGGCCAGTGGAAGCAGTCCCGGAAGGCGAACGGACTCGGCCGCGTGTGGATGGGTTTGCGGCCAGTGGGGTGAGTGTCATTGGGGAAGATGGGAATACACATGTCAGGCTCGAAGCACTCGACCTCTTCCCGGGGAGGTGGGACAGTGCCGAGGATGTCGACGGTGTAGTAGAAGTAGGCGGTGCCATAAAGTCCAGGAAGTCCCGATGCCTTTGGTTCTCGTGTGAGCACAAGGCAGAGTGCATAAGCAAGCGTATGTTTGGCACACCTCGCTGATGAAGACAAGGTATGTTTGCGGCTGCATCTTCTCCGCAGCGGCAAGGGCATACGGATCTCTGAGGCGCTGGACCATGGCTACCGGATCAATACGCATGGCGGCGTAGGTGGATGGGAGGGGGCAGAACTGGCGGCGCTGTACCATGGTGAGTAGCGGTGAGGGGAAGTGGTGGTCCAGGGGGATGAGGCAGACGGGGATATCAACACCGCCCGACGGAGCCAGAGCGCGCGGCGTGGCAAGGCAAAGCCATATTAGGAACAACCAGGCTTCCACAAGCGCTCCCGGCTCACTGGTCGGCGCCGGTCTCGCCGAGCATTGCCTTCAGACGGTCAGTCAGAGCTTCTGGCTGAAAGAAGCACTCCGGCAATAGATAAGCACTGCGCACACCCGGGCTCATTGGACGCACAAGCTCTTCATCCTCTCCCCTCATGTTCCAGACTTGTACTGACGAATGTGTTGAAGACAGCCCTGAGTCGGCCCGGCCCCCCACGGAGGACTTTCTCGCCGGCGACGTATGTTACGTCCACGAGTCTGTCGAGGCTCCGTTTCACGACCTCCTGATATCTTCTGGGATGGAGGCAGTGGAGGTCCCCTCGGAAATCGTCCAGAAGGCTCGTAAGCTCCAAGTCAAGATGTACGCGCGCGACTCTCTGCCAGGACGTCCTTGCGTCGTCATGCCTAAACGTGGTCTCTCCAAGGCTTCAGACACGACCGACCGCATCTGTCTTATGGCCTCATTTTGGAAAACAGATGATGTGTTTTCAAAAATAGACGCAGGGGAGATCGCTGCAATCTTCTCGATCTGGTGTCTTCCCGTGTTCTATTCCTCAGAGCACAAGATCCCTATCCCTCACGCAAGCAGGTTTGCTCCGCAGGGCCATGTTCATATGCTGTCCGGATCCACTCTGCGTCAGTCACGCGTCATTCTGCGGTCTTTTCGGAGCAAAAACAAGCTTGAACATCATCTTTGGAAGAAGCCCGGACATCAGCGCTTTTCGAAACAACAGCTCGGTCGCTTGATGGACGAAGAAGCGGCCGCATGGCGGAGGTGGAGCGAGAGAGATATGAAAGTGATTTCTGCCGAGGCCCAGGCTTTTCAGGTCAGTACTGATATGTTTCTCACTGTTCAACACATTGGAGTTGACCCTTCTACTGTAGTTATGGTGCGAGATGAGAGCGGTACGGAGATAAATTCATTTAGGCTTTGTACTCGTCTGACGACTTCACTATGCAGTCTCATAAATACGATCAAGGTACCCCATATCCGAGCACGGTATCAACGAAGACTTCTCGCTCATTGGTGCGCATAGTACCGTCGGGGGCGACAACGATATCATGCGGCTGACTGTTCCTCAGCATCAGAGGTCCCTTCAACTGAGGACGGAAAAAAACGCTGAAACCAGCAGAGAATTCATCGTCGTCCAGCCACCTTCCACTAGTGGTAGTCAACACGCACAATCGCCCCTCTGGACCAACCACAGCAGACCTAACTCCACTCCCAGCTCACCGACTTCTGAACCGTCCCGGAGCACGGTGCGCACACCCCGCGCTTTTGATGAACGCAAACACAGTTCTCATATGTTCTACTTCCAGCTCTCGAGCCCTTCGGAAGGTCCAAACTCTCCGTCCGGACAGACTCGTCCGCCCTTCCCACGTGGTTCTCCCCTCAAGCGTTCCGTGCAACCCCTTCCCGAGGTACCCCGTCTCTCCTGTCAGATCAACACATCGAGTGCTTACGCGCCCGCCCCTCGCACGAAGACAACTTCGGAAGATGAGCCCGGCGAGCCCGAGCCCGATCCCGAGCCCATGCAGATAGACAGAACTTCGGCCTCCGTTGCCGGTGCCTCTACCGAGAACGCAGGCCAGGCGAGCACCCCAAGCCCGACTGATATCGTGACAGTGAGCACGCCGCCCGAATGCCTACAGGTTGACTCTGACGTGCTTTTCCTTCTCAGTCGGACGGAGAACGTGGAACGTTTGGGAAGCTCATCGATAGCGGCAGGGCGCTCGTGCAGAACATGGGATCTAGAAGGCGGAGACGGTATCACTCGAAGAAGGCAAACAAGAAGAAGTGATCGTTTGCGTGTTTTACTGACTCTGGAGTCCGTGAGCAACCGGTTCCGCGATTCTATGTCGTTGAGACTCAAAACACCCTCCTAGGCACCTCTCAACCGGAACAGAGCGAACACCTGAATGAGAGGACCCGTGGGCGCACATATGGTGCTTCACTGAAAAAGCAGCGCTCTGACGACCGTATGTACTGTACAGTATCGAAACGACGCAGGTCGGTGGGGGTGTACATATGTAAGCCTGCATACGTCAACGCCAAACCGGGACGGCGGTTTGTGTGTTCCATCAGTACGTTGACGTCGCCATATTTAGTGGATATGGACTTGAATCGTCGGCGCGACTCGAGCTTGAGTTGATCGTTTTGAGAGGAGTCGACAGGGTCCGAGGCACACAGCGGGAGAAAAGGAAAAAGGAATGGCGGATCTCGGCCCAAGTATATGACGTCAATGGGCACGATTGAGCGCTTGAGCGCTGAAGCGCTGACCGCTGGGCACCGGCGCCTTCTGGGAGCATGTCGAGGCGCCTACTACAGTGGACATGTCGTGACGCATTCACCACGCGCGATGATGGACATGGGACTCCAGAAACCGGAGAACGGTCACCCCCATCCAAAGGGCGAACACAGAATGATGACATATGACATGGCCACAAGCCCCACAATTCAGGGCAGGCTCGAATCCAGGTGTTCAAAGCTGGCTCAGTGATCGGCAACGGGCTCCTCAAATCCTCTTCTGCCCCATTTCACCCTTCCATAGACTCGCAATGGCTCAACAGAAACAATTCTGCCCTATGACACACATGTACGCTGCCGTGGAGATCGACCCCGTCGCCACAGTTGATCACCTCAACGATCCCTTGGCGACTGCCGCGGCCAGTCGTCTGAAGCCCAAGACATATCTCGCCTACATAAGCGAGGTACGTACTTCTTAGATGAGGGTACCCTAGGTCTGATTTCCTTTTTCTCTGCAGCCAGTGGGCATCCCAGGTCTTTTCAGTGACTACTACTACGTACTCGACATCATCGGCACAACCCTCCCACCGCACGAAGAGGAAGAAGGCTTTGAGCCCGAAATGTGTGTACCTATCTACCCCAACATTACCCACCCCACTGGCCGTGAGCCACTCCCTTCGATTGGTCCGGCGCCCTTCCCTTTCGAGAACTGCTACCATTGGCCGTCCACGAGGATGATGGTTCGTGTACAACCGCGGGACATCGGCTGGGACGTCGATGACGGCTGGATGCTACTCCCAAGTTCGTCGTTCACGATGAAAATGCATTGGTATGCAGATCAGTGCAAAGTCAATAGCACCTATGCGCGTCGGGTCGAGGCGGCGAAGATTTCAAAGAGCACCCTTCGTATTGGTGAGTCGTCAGCGTTATCAACTACCCCTCTTCGCACGACTCATTCTCTGTGAAGATCCTGCCGTGAGTACGACGTCGGCCTCTACCGAGTCTTCAACTCCACTCACCTCCCTCACCTCCTCTCCGACGATTCCACCCCAACCACTGGCTCCGTCCGAGTACCTGGCCGAAGACCTTCTGATGCCAACGATAAGTGGGATTTCGGAGTACAATCCGGTGGTCAAGGTCGCTTACGATCTCCCCGAGCACCTGCCAGAGGAAGACCACATTCCTTACCCAAACGAGATGTTTCTTGAACGGGGAGTTCTTGCCAAGTGAGTCTTGTTTCGTAACTGTTACTCACTGTACTCACATGGTTGTCAGAATTATACAGGATTCCAACATTCGCAACGGCACGGATGAAGCAGAGTCTGGTGGGTCGCGTCCATCTCTCTCATCAACCTCGAGCTTCGCATGCTGATGATATACTCACCAGAACACCCCGGCAACGATCCCGGATGGGGAGTGCAATCCATATGGTGGCGTCTATGGAATGCACTGTCACGGTTGGTATCCAACCCATCCTCATAAACGTGATGTGCCGCGGACGACTCTCGAGGTGCACCCTTGTGTCGTCCCGCTTCCCACATTCAAACTTTCCCAGTTCTCAGGTACATTACGCCTGGAGGGATGACTGGGGAGAGAAGTGACAGTCGCTCATAGGGACTGGATCCGGTGGACTGTACTACTAACACAACTACGCTCCGCCATGTACTACCAGATAGCTTCGTACAACGTGTCCCGATTTAAATCCCGTCCACAAACACCCTATGAGTGCGCTAGGCCGTAGTGCGATCACACCCGCCTACGTACCTCAGCTTGCTAAAGACGGGGTCCCAACTCGATGCGCGCCGCTACATGCACTAGGCGTCAGCACAAGGCCGGGGGCCGACAACTGTAGAGGCCCGCACGAGTGGTGCCGGTGAACGCTCAGCGCACAGTTTCGGGAGCCATAGGGTGCTCTCACTTTGCGTCCGGCACGCAACGAGTGTGGCGGGCGGGCCGTCTATATACCCATGCCTCCAACAACGTCGAGGCTGAAGCCACAAGCCGGTCTTGCTTGTGCTCTCGTGCGCGAGAATTGCCTTACGGGGGTCGGTAGTGGCCCACGTCCAGTCCTTGAGCTCGACGAGGACCCCTGCGGGAGCAGCGCGATGAGCACGCGTAGACGGAAGGAATGGGATGACGCACGGTGGTGGCCGACGTGGCTAACTCCGAGCTGCTTGAGCGAAGACGGGTGCCTCGTGCTTGATAGACGGAGGAAATCACCGTCCTGAACGCGATGCCGACCTCGACCCGCGCTCCCTCTTGGTCTCGCTCGAAACGGGCCAGGGCCGCCTTAGAGGCCCGTGCGGCGAGAGGACAGAAGACGCACCGTGTTCTCGACCGGCTTAGGCTCGACGAGCCCCTCGTTCAGAGGATTTCCATTGGCGTGTCCGACGTGTGGTGGGGAGAGGAGGACGGAGACAGAAAGGGTTGGCAGCGACGGTGCGTGCGATCCATAATCTCGGAACCGCGGATCCAACTCCAGCCTGTAGACGAGGTCCACGTTTGATCCTGTATCGCGAGATTTTCTGCACGTATCTCTAGGAGGAGGATGGAGAGACGGCGTTCAGTGTTGTCCCGATGAGCCGGCAACACGTGGCGAGCACTGTCGAAGGGGGAGAGCCTGCCTGGGGCACGATCTACTTGAACGGATGGCGACGATAAAGGTTGGTGCTGAACAGCGTGGTCAGAACAAGATAGAACGCATACAATCATGCCACTCACCATCTCATCGGGTTGGCTGAGGCGAACGAGGCATGGTGGAGGGACTTGTGCGGACCAGCGGCCTCGACGCCCATCCATTGCGGAAGCGGCAGCCTTGTACTTGGGGAGGATGCGGCTGGCTTGAGAGCGGGGTCGACATCGCGGGGGGCGAACTTGGTCCGCGTCGAAAGAGGGGCAATCCGGGGTGCATGAGAGTGTCTGGAGGGTGTGGAGAGGTGGAAGAATTGGTGGCCGGTGTAACAACCGGATTATGTAGATGAGGACCGCGCTCGAGCAAAGACAGAGATCTGGCGCCCACACCTCTCTCAGTCTCCACATCACCTTGCTCGCGGCGACTCTTTCGCGCCCCGAGTCGCCGAACAACTCCCCAGCACCCCCAAAGCACCCCCTACCACTTCCGCAGCCCTTATGTATGCGCGCACAAGCCCCCTCTCTTCGAGCCCCCTCTGCTGCGGGCTCGCTCAGGAGGGCTACCACAATTTGACTTCGCCATTCCGGCCGTACATAGCAAGTCCACAAAGCTTATAGCGAGCACTAATTCCAACATGCGCTTCTAACATTGTTACTACGTCATCCCCCCTGTCTTTCCCACCGCCTAACAAGACAGTGCACATCCTTTCCCCGAGCCATCTCACCCTCCGAGTATGTATAGCTTTTCTACACTATGTTTTGTGTCTGTATGAGCCCATGTGCGTACGGGCTTGCTATCTCTACCGCGCTGTGTGTGATTCCGAACTCCAAGCGTGGAAACTGAGAGAACGCCTCAGGTTCTGTGGTTCAAGAACACGTCGGGCACGGCCTGTAATCTTCTGACGAAGCTGTTGCGGCTCTTCAGATCCTCGTTCCGCATCGCTGCGTCAGGGTCTGCATGGGTCGCCTGGTCTATCTTCGCCACCTTGAGAAGTCCTCTAATCTCCGCCATTACTTCTCCATCTGACCTGTTCCCCGTGGTCATTTGCCTCGCGACGGGGGCGTGCCTTTCAACCTTATGCCAGAGGGACGCGGCTGTCTGGCTTCCGTTCGCGCCTAGTCCCTTGCTGTTGCTGTTCCAACACCCCCTCGCCCTCCTACTCAGATTTCTTGCAGAAATATTGCGACCCTCTTCCAGTGCCGCCCCACGTTCATAGTATGTGAAGCTCTCGTCCATCTTCGGTATCTTCTCTGACTGAGCATGCTCCTAGGCTCCACTCCATTCTCACTTGCATTGTGGACGTATCACTGAGCACCTGGATCGCCGCTCCTGAGGCGTACGCGTTCGATCTTTTTTCATGGGAGTGGGATGCTCAACGTCGTGACAGGCTTCTCCATGTGGCTCCTCGATACAGCACGCGCAGAGCTCCATTTCTTCTCCGAACCAGGCGCCGTCTATGGAGGATACGGGGCCCTCTCCCACACCTGGAGCCAAGATCCTGCCTATCCCGAGCAGTCGTTCCAGGACCTCCAGACCATCATCGCGCGATGCAAGGAGACCGGCGCGAACCCTCGCGACGTCGTCTGCGACAAGATCCGGATGTGCTGCATCACCGCGGAGCACGACGGCTACGAGTGGGTCTGGATCGACACGTGTTGCATCGACAAGACGAGCAGCACGGAGCTCTCGGAGGCGATCAACTCGATGTTCAACTGGTACGTCCTCTGCGAGGTCTGCTACGCCTTCCTCGACGATGTCAGCTCCGACGACGACCCTGAGGCCACAAACTCTCAATTCCGGCGCTCGCGATGGCACACGCGGGGATGGACACTGCAAGAGCTCCTTGCGCCCGCGTTCGTCTTGTTCATGTCCAAGGATTGGAAGACGATCGGAAACAAACACCAGTTTGCGCAGACCCTCGAGGACATCACGCGCATCGGCGTGTACTATCTCACTCGCGATGTACCGTTCTTCGATGCATCCATCGCGGTGAAGATGTCCTGGGCGGCGAAGCGGGAGACGACGCGGGTCGAAGACGAAGCGTATTCCCTTTTTGGCCTCTTCAACGTCACCTTACCGACGTTGTACGGCGAGGGCCGTCAAGCGTTTTTCCGCCTCCAGGTCGAGCTCAGTCGGGTCTCGTTAGACACGACACTCTTCGTATGGGGAGGCGTGCATACATCAAAAGACGATACGCTCCCGCCAGATACGCTGAAGATGGTGTCCCGCTTCGGGACTGTACCCCGCGCATATCTCTTTGCGCCCTCTCCTGAACAGTTCACGGTGTCGGACTGCCATTACACCCCGAAGCTCCAGGCAACAACTGTCCTTCAGCCGTATAACTCGTGGCAATGGACGGAAGAGGTGAGCTGCGTGTCCTCTGTCTACACGGCAATCAGTTTACTCATAATAGTTCGACAGCACGAGAAGAATATGGACGTGTCAAAAAGGCTAACCGGGCCCTTCGGAAGCGTCAGAATGCCCTCGTTCCAGCTAACGAGTCGAGGCATGAAATGTCACTTTCCCATCGCCGATGTAGGTGGGATAACCATCATGGTGCTTCTTGTCGAGACCTTGGATCAACACCTCGGCATGATTCTTCATCCGGCAAAAGAAGACAGCAGGGATTCGGGAACACCGGTGTTCTACGTATCCTGGGCGTTCAACTCCGCGGCAACACGTAGGCCTAAGCTAACACGCCTTGCTCAACTCGGTGGAGACTTGTACAACCTCAAATTCCGTGGCTCGATCATCATGCCCGTCTGGCGCGACGTCTACATCCGGGCCTGGCCTGAGTGGGAGGACCTCATGGACGCCCCGCACAATATCCTCCGTCTGGTTCGCGACAATCCCTCGGCGCCGTTCCGGGTCCCGCGCTGGATCGTGGTCGCGTTTACCTCGCTTGGGCTGGGCCGCGTCAGAAGCGACATATTGACATCCGACGAGGATGCGTCGTTCGCACAGACATTCAGCTTTTCGAACCCGAGGCTCCCCTACGGAATTAATGTGAAGGTGGGCCTCTGTAAGCGGGCCACGGACGAGCAGCCGATGCACTGGGCGTTGGCGGCGGGGACCGAGGCCGGGACGTGGGGCCGCCGCAACCGCAACCGGCCCCACGACTGCGCGACAGAACACGTCGACGACTGGCAGGAAGGGCGGCGCTCGTTTGGGGACGCGGAGCGGACGGTCTTGCTTTCGTTCAAGCGCGACGCCTACAACGCGCACACCCGCGTCCTCCACATCGAACTCCACGGGACGGTGTACGACGATCTGCAACGTCTGGCCAACGTCTGGGTCGGCCGGAAGGCACCCTCGCCCTCGCAATCGCTCGCCGCCGCCTCTGCGGCCGAGGCCGTCGGTCCCCCGCGTGCAGGGGCAGGTGGTGTCATCGACGAGCAGACGAGCAGACGACAGCCCACCGTCCCCCATGCCACCGACGCTACGCTCGCCGCAATTGCTTCTCGCGTTACCGGAGCGGAGGTGGGCCTGGGATCTCCCGCAGACCAGTCGTTCGACGTCATTGGGAGCCTCAGGATCGACCCTCGTAGGCTTGAGCGTGGGGGCCTCAGCCAAAGCGACATCGATGCGCTCAAACTCCAAATGAGCAAAATGTCTGCCTTGCTCGAATCACTTCGACCTTCGACGGACGACACTCCGCTTCCTTCGAAATCTCCCTCTCCGCTATCCACCGGGAAGCCATGGTGGAGGGAGACGGCACACTGGATCATGCAGTTTGTCACCGCTGGTTAGTGTGTGGGCACGATTGAGGGATGGGAGGACGACAATGCATGCAGAAAGGATGGTGGGTTGTATCGTGCTGTACGCATTGGACTGGTTGCAAGTTTTAGTACTACCGCCGCTTGATAGCATTGATGTACATATCCGATGACATCTCCAGACCAAGACATGCCCAACCGAATATCGCCATTCTCTCCGGAGTGCGCTCCTACACCCTTCCCTCTTATATAGCACCCTGTGCGCCGAACCACGGACAAATATCGACCAAGGGAGGATTCGAACCAGTTTGCGGCAACCTGGGGCATGATAACTGGCGACCGACGAATGCAGAACATCATGGAAGACGCGGAGCCGGACGATGTGTCGCCGCCGTGGTCTCAGCCAAGCTTGTGGCACACGCCCGCAACGCATCGCGCTGTGATGCAGAACATGGCTCCAGAGATCCTGTCAAGAAAGCGGTGAGCAACATCTCAAAACACACCTAAACGCGGCGCACTGACCTGTGAAGGGGTACCGTGCCCTGACGACATGCCACTACGTCCCACCGAAGAGAACGTGTGCTTATACTGCACAACTGCAAAGCAGGGCCCTAACCTGGCAGACTAACGCAGGAGCGCTGCACTCGCACTCGCCTGTGCGTGATCGGAGCGACTGCACGCAGGAACTGCCGACGCAGCAAGTTCTTCGTGACACCAAAGGCCAAATGCAGTGATAACGACTTGCGGAAAGCACATACCGTACACATGCAACATAGAGCACGGGAAGCCAGAGATACGATGCGCGAGCGCCACCAAGCGTCTCTCAAAAGTCAACGCGTAATAACATAAAGCTGCCGAACCCCGAGCAACGTCTCTCCTCTCGGGCCCTCAAGTCTTGTCGTCCTGCGTCCCGCGCCGCTGCCGCACCACGCCCCGCCGGTCGTCCTCGCCGCTCGCGCGCGGGAACAGCTCCCCGTCCGTGTCCGGGTTCCAGTTCGCGAGCCGCAGCGACAGCCGCGGCGGTCGGTACGGCACCGAGCTCCCGTCGCCCTCGTCGTCCGACTCGGCCTCGCGCAGATCCTCCGACCGTAGGGGGACCGGAGTCGGGTAGCTGACAGCGGTTCCGACCGAGGTCACCTCGCGTCGTGCCGACGTCTTCGCGGGGGCGGGAGGTGCGGGGGCTGCAAGGGTGGGCTGAGGCTGAGGCTGAGGCTGAGGCTGGGCAGGAGCAGGAGCAGGAGCGGGTAGGGGAGATGGTGGGAGGGGAGTGATGTACGCGGACGGAAGCGGTTGTATCTGCGCTTGTGCGAAGCCCATGGGGCCAGGCCCAGGGACGTTGTGCATGCCGGGGGTGGGCGGCTGGCTGCCTTGGGGAGGGAACGCGGTGGCGTACGGACTGGGGGAGTGCCCTGGGGTGGTCGTGTGCCCGTGGTTGGAGCCTCCGTAGCCGGGCGCGTACGACCCAGGCGTCAGCTGGCCGGCGGGGAGGCCCAGGTTGGTCGGGTGCGCAATGGACTGCGGGCGCGTGGGGACCGGGGAGCCATTCGGAGAGGAGGAGCGGGAGGGGGTGGACGTCTTGCCACCGACCAGACCGTACATGTACGGCTTTGGCTCGGGACCTGGCGCGGGGTAGTTCATTTCCGAGCGGTGTATCCACGAGGCGTGCGTCGATGGCTCGAAGTTGGGCATGTGCTCCTTGTTCCACAGCTGCCGGATCCCGTCTTTGCGACGCCTGGCAAGTTATAGGATCGGACGTCAGGCAATGAGACCGCGACGGCAATAGTCGTGTCACGCACCAGCAATACCAGAACAACACAGCCAACACGATCAAGCCGACAAATCCTCCGAGCGCGCCTCCAATGACGGGTCCAAGAGGTACGGTTGAGCTGTCGTTATTGCTATTGCTATTTGCACCAATCGTTGGGGAGAGAATCTTGGTCTCGGTGGAGGTGAACGTGAAGTACGAGACTTGTCCATTCGGGAGCGTTGTAGCAGATGAACCGATGATGGTGGAGACAGACGTCGAAACGCCGGAAGTGGTGGTGCTGGTGGAGACAGAAGTGGTAGAATTGCCGCCGCCAGTGGAAGGGCATGGGGAGAAAAGAGTGGAGATCGGTGTGGACCCGGTCGAGGTGACCGGAATAATGACCGAGCTTTCGACTGTGGTCGTGATTGCCTCTGCGTGAATATTAAACGTTAGAGAACCGCCCGATTCAAAATCATTAAGCAAGCCGATGCCCAGGAACACCATCTCACATCTTCTAGGGTGCGATGCAACCTCCGTGCATGCGAAAGACAACCGCATACAAGATGAGAAGACTCACCGACAACCGTTGAGAGAGAACTACTCGTTTGGAATCCGACGCAGGTGGTATTAAGGTCGATGCCAATAAAAAGACTAGTGCAAATGGAGGTAGTGAGCGTTGTAAGAGTCGGGGGGATGGTCGTCGGGACCTCGGTGGTAGAGGTCGAGTCGACTGTCGTTGTGAAGACGCTAAAAAGCGTCTCGGTGGGGAGGGGGGTGCATGTCGCAGCTGCCATCAACGCGCGCGAGTCTCAGCAGAGGAGGCGGAGGGGATGGCGGGGACGCGAGGCGGAGGCGGAGGTGAGGAGGAAGAGGGCGGAAGGCAAGAAATGCGGGCAGAAGTCACCGAGCGACTCGGAGTGATGGACGCCGGGGTGTCGAACGGGCCATGTGAGGCGATGTGCGACGCTCACTCTCTCTCCGGCACTAGCGGTCTCCTGGTGCGCCGCTCGTGTCTGGGGGATAGCGCGCGAGTCGCATCTGTGGCAGACATCGACGCGATCGAGGAGGAGGAAGGCGTCGCATACGGGCGAGAGGCGGCCTCAGGCGGCCGGCTCGAGTCTCGGAGTCCAGGCGCTTCATGATCTGGCCGATCTCAACCGTGGCCGTAGCTCCGAGACTGTGCTCCGCGCCCTCGGACTGTTTCCTCTCAGTCTCTTGAATCTTCTGCCCGTGCCCCCATTCGGTACTCAGTCCTCACTTCCGACATGTGGTGAGTCGTCAGCGCCGCCGCCATTGCTTGACTTGATTGGCAAGTGGATGACGCGCCGCAGCAAACACATCCTCAACGTCCAGGTCGCGATTCGTGCCCCATGTTGCAAGCAATGGTTTGACTGTGCAGAGTGTCACGCAGAGACGCAGGACCACCGGCTGGCGAAGGTCAACGAGATGGCTTTCCTGTGCAAGAAGTGCAAGAAGGCGTTCCGTAAAAACATGGAGGAGTACGATGAGAGCGACGAGTACTGTCCCCACTGCGACAACCACTACGTGAGTGTTCGCTTGAGTTGTCATGCAGGAGGGCAGGGTCGATTTGCGGTGGCATAGGTCATCGAGGCCAAGACTCCGCAAGCCGTCCTTGGAGTGGAAGGCGAAGATGCTCGAGTGGATGCCCGGTATGTCCATGTCTCATCTCTCAGTATGGAGTTGTGAGTTTGAATGTTCCTCAGCATGCTCAAGGACGATCGTACCAAGCAAAATCCTTCTCGCTCCTTGTTCAATATGGATTTCTCTGACCGTGTGGGGTAGCCTCACTGCCCTTCCTGCAATCGTCCCCACCATTGGTGCGCTTGCATCCAGCCGCGTCGCTCCTCCTCCCACTTAGATATCCATACAGCTTGCTATGATACTTGATGCATCATTCCTGTCCAATTATCATACCCGCAATGCACGTTTTATCCTTACCGTGACCCATGGTGTTCATGTCACGAATGTATAATACACACGTTCCGCCAGAGTGGCATTGACCCTACTTCAGTATCTGGTCGTGATCGATCCCGTGCACCTGAGCGCATGATGGTTGTGTTGATATCGGTGCCGAGCGGGAATGTAAACTTCAGGCCACAAGCTTCAAGGCCTCAGAGTAATCGGAGGCTCCGAAAACAACGGGGTGGCAATTTAACGCCCGTCCATCTGTTTTCTCGACGCACAACCAAACCCGCGTCGCACTCTTCTCCCGACCACCACTCTCTCTTCTGAGACACTCTCCAGCGTCCCCACCTCTCAATGGCTCCCCCACACAAAAGTGCGCCGCCGGGCCCTCCACCCAACTCCCCACCCCAGCTCGAAAAAATCGCACCAAACCGACAAACACGGCCGACCCCAGCACAAGCAGCACCCTCCCCCCGCCACGGACGGCGCCGGCTCGTCCGCCGCGCCGGGCGTGCAGAAGATCAAGGCGGCGCTGCGCCAGACGCGGCGGCTGCTCGCGCGCGACGGGCTCGCCGCGGACGTGCGCGTGCGGACGCAGCGGCGGCTGCGCGGGCTCGAGGCGGAGCTCGCCGCGCGGAGCGGGCGCGGGTGGAGCGCACGATGGCGACGCGGTACCACCACGTCCGGTTCTTCGAGCGCCAGAAGGTCGTCCGGAAGATCGGGCAGGCGAAGCGGCGGCTGGCGGAGCTCGAGGGGAGGGGGGAAGAAGGAGCGCAAGGAGCGGAAGAGGGTCGAGGAGGAGCTGGCGGGGCTGAGGGTGGACCTCAGCTACGTGCTGCACTTCCCGAAGACGCGCAAGTACATCTCGTTGTTCCCTCCGGAGGCGCGGAAGGGCAAGACGGATGGGGAGGGGGCGCAGGAGGGTGGGAGGAGAAGAGCAAGACGGATGCGCAGAGGGAGGAGATTAGGCGGGAAATGCGGGCGAGGATGGACGGGGGAGAGCTGAGCTGGGAACCAGAGGTCGAGCTGGAGAAGGGGGAAAGGAGTGGGGAGAAGACTGCGGTGGGTACTTTGGCGTCTTCGAAGGGGCTGGGAAAAAGGGCAAGGCGGTCGAACCTCACAAGGCGGCCCAGGGTGGAGGTGTTGTGGACGACGACTTCTTTGCCATGGAGGAAGACGCGGAGGGCGACGGCGAAGAGGAGGACAATGACGAGGAGGAGGATAGTGCGATGGATAACTAGTTCGGTATGATAAGTCGCTGTCGACTGTTTAAAGCTTTACTGATCTCCTCCAGGATTTTGTGTAGCTGCATCGACTTCATTGTCATTCCTCTGCAATTTCGTTTGTTCTCTTCCGCCTGTGGGTTTTTCCACCCCGACGCGTCAAACGGCAGCCGGGCGGTCCGGACGGCCCCGCAAGGTATTGCATCGATGGATGGCGTTGCAAGGAATCCGAGACGAGCTCTGGTGTCCTCAAGAGCATGCTCCGCGAATTGACTTGCTCGTTCTGCGCCGACAGTCCCTGAACAAGCTCTGGGCCCGCATCAGCTGCTCGCAGCGATCCAGGGCACACACAATCCCAGCCAGCACAGGCCAGCACTAGTGAAAGCGTCCATCGGCGAGCAGGTCAGGCGACGCGCGCGGTGTTCCGACCGTCTCTCGGTCCGGCGGGCCGCTCGATCCACGGGGCTATGGGGCGTTGGCGGGCTCAGAATCCGCGGCGGTGGTATAAAGGGCGGGCGCATCGCGCGCATCGTCGCTATCACCCCCTTCCATCGCTCTTACCCACCGTCTCCCCACGATGTCGTTCGGCAAGGTGATCCCCTTCAGCTACACAGACGCCCCGCTGGCCATCCCGCAGATTGGACTAGGGACCTGGCTGTCGAAGCCGAAGGAGGTAGAAAACGCGGTGCGTCTTTTTCTCTTCTCACGTGCGGGGTCTTCGAGGTGGCTGGGATATGCTCGAGCGGGGCAGGACTGACGGCGCACGCGCAGGTCGAGGTCGCGATCCACGCCGGCTACCGGCACATCGACTGCGCGATGATCTACCAGAACCAGGACGAGGTCGGCGCCGCGTTCAAAAGGTCATCCCCTCCGTCGTCAAGCGCGAGGACATCTTCGTCACCACCAAGCTCTGGAACACCTCACACAAGCCCGAGGAGGTCGAGAAGGAGCTCGACGAGTCCCTCAAGCAGCTCGGCCTCGACTACGTCGACCTCTACCGTGCGTCCTCCCTCTTTTCCCTCCGTGTATGCGCGTCGCGTGCTCACCCGCGCCCCGCGCGCAGTCGTCCACTGGCCCGTCGCGTTCCCGCCCGTGCCGTTCAACACCAACCTCGAGCCCGAGGACAGCGCGAAGCCCGGCTGGGTCCAGCTCGACCTCGACACGAGCCTCGTCGACACCTGGAAGGCAATGATCGCCCTCAAGAGCACCGGCAAGGTCAAGGCGATCGGCGTCTCCAACTTCGCGATCCCCCACATCCGCGGCATCGTCGAGGCCACCGGCGTCTGGCCGGCCGTGAACCAGATCGAGGCGCACCCGCTCCTGCTCCAGGATGACCTCGTCGCGTACTGCAAGGAGAACAAGATCCACCTGACCGCGTACAGCCCGCTCGGGAACAACAGTACGTGCTGTGGTGCCATGTTTTTCAGCGTTCTGTGCTGACGCGCACGCGCTTTCAGTGGCTGGTGAGCCCATGCTCACGGAGTACCCCGAGGTGAAGGCGATTGCTGCCAAGGTCGGCGCGACCCCGGCGCAGGTGCTCGTCGCGTGGGGCGCGAAGCGCGGGTACTCGATCATCCCGAAGAGCGTCACCCCCTGTGCGTGTCCTTTCGTCCGTCTCCGGGCGTCGATTCCGGGCTGACGCCGTGCGTTCGCGACAGCGCGCATCGAGTCGAACTTCCAGCAGGTCGAGCTCTCGGACGAGGACTACGCGGCGCTGTGCGAGCTCGGGCGCAAGAAGCGCCGGCGGTACAACATCAAGACGACTTACCCCGTCTTCTGGGACATCAACATCTTCAGCGAGCCGGAGGAGGCGAACACGACCAACCAGGTCAAGATCGCGTGAGCGTGGACTGTGGCGCCTGTATGACCGGCGAGCGGTGTACTTATCTGTAACGATGTATTGTATCCGATTCAAAGAAAGTCTCCCAGATATGTTTGGGCAGATCGTCATCATTGGAGGTGACAGCCTCACCTTGGACCTACTGCTCTCGTCCGCGGGCCGCTCGTTATGCGCCGCTCAACAGGGTCGCAAGATGTTCGTTTCACGCGGGTACAGTCAGACCGATCGTATGGCTGAATAACAGGAACGCATCATATAAGGTGAACCTCGGCTTACCTTCGACATCTTCGATTGAGCTAATTGATGTAAAGCGTTGTAGTTATGTGTAACACTATACTGCGAACTACTCCTTGGTTGCCTTTGTCCGCAGTGCCCCGCCGCAGCCCTGTTGTTACACCTTCACAACGATGCTACCGTGGTCGCGAGTGGGAATGCGCAGGGCCAAAGCTCTGAGCGCTGTTACCGGGAAGGTGCGTCTTCTTTTGATCTGCCTGTGTCGACGCCGGCGTCAGCGCCAAGTACATGGCAGAACAAAAGGATGCGTTGCCTACAACAGCCAATGGCGGGGCCTGAACCACCTGAAGGGGTACAAGACACAAGTTTTTTGTCATCCTTGAACCTCATGTGCAAAACGCAATTGATTTAGGCTCCCCGCGCGTGCCACTGTCAGCCCCTCCACCTCCGCTATCCCTCCACTCACTCTATGGAAGAAATGACCGTATCTCCCCCCTCTCAGACGGCCTGGGCCCCTTCACCTGTATGTACGTTGCCGTACAACTAGATCCGGCCGCAATGGTTCAACATCTCCGAGATCCTTCGCACTGACGGCCGCCCAAGCAATGCGCCCGAAGACATACCTCGCTTCATCACCGCCGTTCGTGCTTGCATATCTATATCACAATAAAAACTGACGTTTTCACAGTGCATCAACATTCCGTTCCCGTGGATGCGATGGTTCAAGTACGAGATCGCCATGCTCGGAAACACCCTTCCCCCGTTCGACGAGGAGGAATGCTTCGAGCCGCAGATGTGCGCCCCAGTGCTGCCCAACGACTCGCATCCGACGGGACGGACGCCCCTTGTGACGCACCCCAGCCCGTTCCCGTTCCCGGGCTGCTTCCGCTGGCCGCATGACGAGATAGACATCCGTGTGCTCCCACGCGAGAGTGGTTGGGACGACGAGACAGGATTTTGCCTCAAGGGTGCTGCCCAGATGAAGCTCTGCGACTACTGGGACGCAGACCGTCCACGGCAAGACGAGCTCTACGTGCTACGGCTGCGCAAAGAGAAGGCACTGAAGGCCGGCATACCGCTTGGTGAGCCGCGATATACTGTTCGCGTGCGCCGTGAAAAGCTCATCATCTGATTGCAGAAGGTGCCTCGAACCCCCTACTATTGCATCCCGGGTAAATAAATGCTGACGCGGGGATGATCCTTCAGATTACGTGGAAGATTGCGACGGCTCTTCAATGACCTCGAGCAGCGAGGGGAGCGACATTCTGCGCTCTGCGTATTCAGACGAACCTGATGAGATGATCCCCATCATGGATCTACGCTACGAGTTGGCCGAATACCTGACGGCCGAGAACATCCCCGACCCCAGAGGCATATACGAGGAGATAGACGAGATACGAAAGTGGGCCCAATTCGATCTTGCCATGACACTACTCTCATGCCTCCTGACAGGATTATTGAGCAGTCGTACAGTCGCAGCTATACTGTGTATAGTAAGGACCTGAGCGGCGATGCCGTGGTCCAAACTCAGGCCGTTAGTGTGCTTCCTGTTCAGCATGCTTATCACGAGGCCCTCGATGAGGGATCCACGCTGCCCGTACCCACGATGTCCGTTTCGTCATCGCAAACGGCGACCGCACCCGGCGTTGACTGCCGCCCAGAACGTGGAACGCAAGCAGATGGTGGAGTGTCCCAGGAGGTGCCCGGATGCGAGAAAGCAACGATCTCTTCACGCCGTAGTGAGTTTAGACCTCATTTTAATACCACTGGTCGTCTCAACGATATGTTCCACTTTAAAAGGAGTTCGTGCGAAGACAGCAAGAAGGATTGGTGTAACGTCCGGGGCTACATATGCAGCCTGTTTTGTCACCCACTCCCCGTCTGGCCCTGAGTTCCGACTGCACTTATGTCAATCTAATCGAATCATTGGGAGCGCTGGAGCATTGGCTGTGACGGCGCGAGAGCGAATCTCGGATAATCCTACGAGTACACACAGCTTCAACATGGTGCGCCTCCACAGGAATTGCAGTGCACGTACGTCTCTCTCGCTTCTTCGTCGGTACCGTCCGGGCGTGGTATTTTTTCCTGGAAGAAATAATCACGAATTTCATATCACATATCCACAATGGGTATGAACTAGGCTCCGTCAGGTCCGACGAAAGTCCACGAACGCCCGTGGCGACTCGACGCAACCGGGGGAAGTAGGCTGTAGACGGATGACTTGTGCCTTCAGTGTAAAGAGCCGGACGAGAATCGTACATACATTCTCCGGCGACACCGCTAGTCAGTGTCATCAGTAGTTCCGCCCGAGTGTCTGGGTCAGAACGGAGCGAGGCTTGGCCAACGGCAGCGGCGCCGTCCAGACTTGGATTGGTGTCCGTCTTCAGGCGGTTGTGGACGGGGCCGTCAACGAGGGTCATTTGGGACGACGGAACGCCATGAACGCACCTAATCTCATCTCTGACTCTGGTCTCTGTCCTCCGCGACGCTGATGCTACGTATACCGTTCCGTATCTTCGGTGGCGAGCGGCTGGCAGTTCGGGGGGTCGAACCGCCGGTGCCATTTGATGACGTAATGCATTCTCCACCAGCACCACGCGGTCGTCCTTCTCAGGCAAAGTGGTTTTTCTTGCCTCAAGGCCTCGGGCATTCTTTCGGTGCGAATTCCTCTCTCGTTTCCCCGGCGGCGTTGTGCGTGCTCCGGACTGAGGTGCCATGGCTGAGATCTGAGATTCCGCTAATCGTCCTAGTAGAACCCATGCTTGGAATCTGCCGATGAGGCTCTTTCCGATGTCAGTCTGTGACAGTGGTGAGTTCGACCCTTCTATTGGGCGCTCGAGGGGTCGCATATGACCCCGAGCACGACGCAGAAGAGCCCGCCAATCCAGTCCCACTGTCATGTTCCTCGATGGGTCCTCTCCTTGGGCATGGACCGCAGCCGCCTCCGTCCTTGTCGTCATCTTCTGGCAGTCTCAAGCACAAAAGCGTCGTCGCCTACCTCCAGGTCCTCCACCCTTGCCGATTTTGGGAAATGCTCTCGACGTGCCCCGTCATCACCTAGGCCTTGAGTTCTGGAAGATGACGCAGAAGTACGGTATGTCGCCCTCTAGCCGTCCGCCGAGCACAGCGGTGATGACTCTCATCCCAGGCGACCTCGTCTATCTGAACGCCCTCGGAAAGTCCATGCTTGTCATCGGCTCGCAGAAAGTCGCCCGGACCTGCTCGAAAAGCGATCTGCGAACTATTCGGATCGCCCTTGCTCTGTCATGGCAGAGCTGTGGGTTTTCTCTTCCTTTGGCATCCAACCCTTTCTCATCACATCACACCCCCAGAACAAAGTTCGACAGAATGTTTGCCGTTCGCTGCTACGGCGAACGTTGGCGCCTCCACCGCCGCGTTTTCCACGAGGCTTTCAACGTCGACGTAGTCTCCCAGTTCCAACCCGTCCAACTGAACTCGGCTCGGCGCTTCTTGCTCGCCCTCCTCAACTCTCACCACGATATCGCTGCCCGTCTGAAATTGTACGTCACAGGACTCCGCCCGCGCCCGCACTCTGGTGGGCGATCCGTGAACAGGCCCCTTCTTATCGCTTCACAGCTCGATCGCCTCAAATCTGATGCGGGTCGCGTACGGCATCGACATGACCGAGGAGAACGACAAGTACTTCGACATGGTCGAACGCATCTCGGAGACCGGCGAAGCGATCTCCGTTCCTGGCCGCTTTCCCGTCGAAGCGATCCCGAGCCTGCTCTACCTCCCTCGTGGTTTCCTGGCGGAGGCTTCAAGGCGATGGCCCGCGAGGCTGCGGCGCACTTCGAGACGTCCCTCAGCACGCTGTATAATATGCCGTGGAAGGAATCGTGAGTGCGACGACCGACGTGTCCGTCTGATGCCGTCGATACTGACGTTCCTCGCAGGACTTGGGCGCCGCCAGAGAGTCTTTCGTCTCTCGTTTGCTCGACGACGCTAGCAAGTACGACTTGGAACGAGCAGGCGAGCGCGATCTGAAGTCTTTCATCGGCGATCTTACGATCACCATCTATGCGGGTACGTCCCCGACCATCTGCTTATCCGTTTGTCCTGACGTATTGATCGTGCAGCTGGCTCGGATACTGTGAGTACCGTTAGTCGACTCCTTCATCAAACTCACCGTGCCCATTACCTCAGAGCAATGCTGCGATGCAAGCCTTCTTCCTGCCATGGCGATGTACCCCGACGTTCAACGAAAGGCCAAGAGGAGCTCGATCGCGTCATCGGAGCGGATCGTCTGCCCGACTTCTCCGACAGAGAGTCCCTACCGTACCTCGGCGCGCTCCTCAAGGAGCTGATGAGATGGCACGTCATCACGCCCATCGCCCTGCCCCACGCGGTCATGGAGGACGACATATACAACGGCTACCTGATCCCCGGCGGCACCGCCGTGGCGGTGAACGTTTGGTGGGCCGTCTTCATCCACCGCCTTCCTCGACCGCTTCACTCATGGAGACGCGTGTATTCAGGGCCATCGCGCGCGACCCCGAGCTGTACCCCGACCCGGACGCGTTCCTCCCGGAGCGGTTCCTCGACGCGCACGGCCACTGGACCCCAGCAAGCCCGGCCCGTCCGAGTGGGCGTTCGGCTTCGGTCGCAGGTACGCGTGCCCGCTCGCGTTTCCCGCCGACCGCTGACGCTCGCCCAGGATCTGCCCCGGGCTGCACTTCGCGGAGGCGTTCCTGTTCATCTACGTCGCCTCGATCCTCCACGCGTTCAGCATGCGCCGCCCGTCGACGCCGACGGGGCTCCCCTCGAGCTCGTGCACGACACCGCGACGATCGGCGTCATAATGTAAGTCCCGCGTTTCTGGTCGGCTCTCGGCTTGCTGACTGGAGCTGGACCTGGCCTTAGGCATCCCCCTCCTCATGACTACGTCGTGAAGCCTCGCTTTGCTCACGCCGAGCAGCTCATCAACGAGGCTCGGTGGGAGACCTGACGCGGAAAGAACCGCTTTCACGTGTATGTACATACCCCTAAATCCGATTACGCGTGGCTGTCGCGGACACGATGCGCGCGTCCCCGGGGGATCCGACACTTGCGGTGTCAAGTAGTGTCGACACGGACGAGGGGCGGTTGGAGATGATCGATAGTCCTGTGCGGCAGCTGTCCTCTCAGCACGGTGGACCTCCGAGGAGCGAGAGTCGTGGTTGCGACATATAAGAGCCCTTACTATCCCGACCCTCTACAAGGCTAGAGCGGAAGAGCTTCGAAAGCGTGCGCTCGCTCCTCTCTTCCGTTTCGAGTTGATGCCGATATCGTTCGTTCAGGTATAGACGCTAGCGCGCGTTCGATCGCGTTCTCCGCCCAGTTAGTCTGTTCCGCTCCTCATCCGTCATCAGTCTGCAATGACTTTGATGCCCCCGGGTCCACAAGCGCACCGACTCACCATGCCATACGCAGACGGTGCCGGGCCGGGTGTGTCGAGCCGACTAACATCATCCACAGCAGACGACGTTCACATTCCCAGCCCGTGGCGGCCGAAAGATCTATGGCGGCGCATGAAAAGGCCCGCCGCGGATCTCGTCATTGCTCCCAGGACATACCTTTCGGTGAGATGGTGCGCTTATAAGGCGCTAGCGACCTATGCATGCCTCTTTCCGAGCCACAGATCGTGTCGGATCTCATCCGTGAACCTCGTCCTTGCGCACGGCCCAATCGGCAGTGACCTCAGTCCAAGTATCCACCCCAAGCCTCCTATGCTTATTATATACATCATATGTTAAGCCCTTCCTTCTGCTAGACTACAAAGACTCTAGGCTCAAGACAGAGTTCGTGAAAGTTCGTGCAGCAGCCATGCTCAGTCACACGAGGTTGCAGAGCACGAGCTCAGCGCCCTCCGCGCCGTGGACGAGGAACCTGGAGATAGGAAGGCAGGACGTGAGCCCGGCGGCGCTAGAGCGTCAAGCCCAAAACGTACGCGTCAGGTCGCCAACCGCGAGGCCGCGGCCCCGCGGCGCCTCCTGCACCGAGTAGGACCGTGACCGGACATGGCGGTGCGAAGGCGGCCGTGGTGGCGGCGAGCACGCTGGGCCCCCGTGCCGCGGACTGCCTCGCTTGCAGTCCTTCACGATCCTGTACCGCCCGTCAGTATGCTATACTCTACATAGCAGGACCAGGAATGCTCACCTCTGAATATCCCTGCAGTACCGCAAGAACTCGACCGGGCTCGGCACGTCCTCGTCCCGCGCAAAGTGCGCGGGCAAATCGAGCCACAGGTGACGACCGGCTCGCAGTCGTCCGAGTGCGCGCCGAGGATGCTGGGCATCGTCGCGATCGTCGGGAACCGCCTCGACATCGACGTCGCGCCCGAGAGGCCGGAAAAGCTTGAGAGGCCGGAATTCCGCGAGATGCCGGAGATGCCGGACAGCGCCATCGATACCGCGACCGAGCGGGTGTAGACGGAGTCGTACGCTGGGGCGTCGAATGCGTCGAGGTCGAAGTCGGGCGTGAGGCGAGGTGAGCGCCGAAGCCCACGAACGCGGCATAGTCGACGTCAGCGTGTACGTTCGCGTCGGCGTCGGCGTCGGCATCCGCGCCAGAGGAAGAAGCCTTGTCGAATTTGAATGTCGGGGTCCCGACGGCGGTAGTGCGCCCAGAGTCGAGCGCGGCACCACGCGACCCAACGTGGGTGTCCTCCGAGGTGGAAGGGCTTCCCGAGAGCGCGCGGGCACCTGCGCCGATGGTCTGCCAGCCCGCCGCGTGCCACGCGTTCTCCTGCTCTTCGTCCCCGTGGCCGTAGCGGATGTCCGCTTCCACCCACAGACGCTCCAGTTCCTCGTCCTCGAGGCCGCCCATCGTCCGCGCCCCGCTGGCCAAGTGGTACTTCGCCAGCGCGGCCTGCAGCGTGTGCGCGCGCGACCGCGCCTTCGCGGCGCGCACGCGCGCGCAATCCCCAGCGAAGCCCATCTGCATCTCCACGTACTCCTCCACGCTCAACCGCCACTCCCGTTGCTCCGCCCCCGACCGCCCCCAGCTCCGCTCGGTCCGGCTCGCGCACGAACGCAGAGCTGCGCATCGCGCCCGTGCCAATTGTAGCAGTTCTGGTACGGAAACGACGGGGAGCCCGCTCTGGCTCCAGGACGCGGCCGCGGAGGAAGTGAGGCCGCGATGTCGGTGGTTGGCGCCGTGACCAAAGCGGAGGTGGTGGGCTTCACCGGTAGACGCGTGCGGTCGGGGTGCGCGGCATTGGGGAAGACTGGGGCGCACATGCTCGGCGTGTATCCGAGCTCGTGATTGGAGGGCCGGAGGGATGGCCGACGGCGGCGATGATGAGCTTTGTGGTCGCGCTGGCGGTGGCGTGCGGGGCGCGATGGCACTCGTAGTCTGGCTTCGATTTCGCGTCAGAGTGCGACGTGAGCCACGGGAGGAGGGCCGAGTGGAGCAGGGCGAGACCACGGCCTGGACACCGCGTTGAACGCATGGACGCAGACACAGACGAAGGGAGTGGCTCACCTCCTGGATGAACACAAGACACTTCCCCGCGGGTCGCAATGCGCGAATTGCGGCACACGCTTGGTTGTCGAGGAAGGGGAGTGCATCGAGCGTGGCTTCGAGGTCCATTTGTGCTACTGCGTAGCGGAAGGGGCGCAGGAGCTGGAGGCCATGCTAGGTCGGAGGGTGTGAGGTGCCCTTGCAGAGCTCGTAGATTAAACGGAGCTCGGTTGGTCCCTCCTCTCTTCTCAGTCGGGGTCGTGTGGTCGTGTTCGTAGCGAAATGGTCGAGACTGTGGATCAAGGGGGCAGGATGGAGCGGGGAGCGGAGCGTCGTCAAGCCTGCGGAGGTATATATGTCAGGCCCAAGGCACAGTGGAAGCAGAAAGGAGGAAACTTCAAGCCTCAGGTGCTGTGGCACGCCAGAAGGCCGCGGGCCACCTTGCTGGGCTCGGACTGGCTCGGCCACCACACGCTTACTCGACAGCACTGACCCAACAAGCGCCCTTGTCATTTTGGGCACCCTGGGTGGCCGGAGGGGCCGAAGGGCCATGCGACCTCCGCAGCACCACGCACCACATTCGACCATGGGGGAATCCTGATTACGTCCACAGAACGACTTCTGTGGACCTTGTGCCTTCCCAGTAGAGGTCCGCGCGATCTGAAGCCTTCGTGCCAATCGATCTGAAGTGAAGGACTCACCACGAACCCCCAAACATCGTCGAGACGCCAAGCACCGACGGGACAAGGAGCACGAGTGAATCTTGTGACCTCGAGATAGTCAGGTGGAACGTGAGTGGAGGAGGATCGCGCCCATTCACTAAAACGAACTCACCAAGTCTTGTCATCGTCTCTCTTCGCAGTCCGGACCCCGCATCCATGTTCCAAGCCTGCATTCAGGCTTGCAGCATAATGTATGCACTTGTGCCGAGTCTGTCATGCGTGACGACGGCTATGCTGGTCTCCATAGAAGAGCCTTATCATCTGGCTTCGACGAGTCTCTAAATGCGACCCTTATGAGAGGGCGCCTCGACAGCTGCACGAGAGATACCTACCACGCCAAATCCATGCAATTTCTTGTGTGCAGTTGTCAAGTGGATAAAGATAGAAGACGAGAAGGAGAAGTATGCTGCACAAGTAGACGTTGAGTAGACGGTGTCGAAAGCAAGCAACACTAAGAACAAATAGGACTCGCGCGCGCTTCGTTTGGCGCAAAGATTAGATAGCGGGAATCAATGTCTTGAGGGCCGGTCATGACGCGTCGACACGCAATCGCCGCCGAGGCTCAACCAACCGTCCATGTGCATCAGTACACCTCGCTGCCAGATGGATATAGGAAGAGTATCAGTGCAAGTTTTGAGGCTCTTCCCCTGTTCATTGTTCAATTAACGGTCGAAGCTGAGATAACATGGTGAGTAAGCTCATTCATGGAAACCCGGCCAAACCGCGCTGTTCGTGCTGTCAGTCTCATTTCAAGTATACAGAGGCCTGTGCTGCTCCTTTCCATTGATTGCAACCAAGATCACCGAAGTTCGACCTCCGAACTCCGCCGTGAATGTGCTGAGACAGTGTCCTGCGATTGTGCCAACAAAGCGCGCATCAAGCACGGTTTAGACATGCCCGACTTCCATCACTCCGACACCAGACACGACGTACTGCAAGAACGACGCTTCGCATTGCCCATTCCCTTCGACCCGCCACCTTCCCACAGGCCGGCGCACATCGACGCCGACGGTCTCTAAAAGCACCCGTCTCCCCGCATGTCTACCGATCTATCCTTCGTTCCTCCTCTCACAATGAGCTCTTCTTGCTTTCCTCTTCCTAGTTCTTACGCCGTTGCAGAGATCGACCTGGAGTCAAGTTTTCGCAGCATCATTGACCCCAGTGCGCATCTGGCAGCACGGGAGATCAAGACGACCAAGTGTCTCGTTTACCTACACTCAGTACGCCCTCTTCCTCCCTTTCCCTGGCACGTCAATTTGCTCAACATCTTCTCTCCAGTTACAAGAACTTCCAGCACCCTATGCTCCGGACTTCGTGTACTACGTCTACCTCGTCGGCCCCACCCTCCGCCCCCAGAACCCCTCCCTCTGCCTCACGACGGACATGTGCACGCCCATCTTCCCGAACACCGCCCACCCGACCGGCCGGGCGCCGATCCGCCCCGACCCCGCCTTCCCGCTCGCGAACTGCGCGCACTGGGCCGGGCCCGACGCGGCGCTGTGCGTGCGCGTCAAGCGCGGGCGGTACGCGCGCGCGGAGGCCGTCGAGCTCCCGGACGACGAGTACCTCCGCCTGGAGCGCGACCGCGCGGAGGACGCGTTCCGCGCGCGGAGCATCGCGGCCGAGTGCGCGATCCTGGAGCTCGAGGCGGCGCGGAGCGGCTCGACGCGACGCGCGCGGCGGAGGACGCGCTGAGGCAGGCGAGTCTGGAGTCGGACGGCGCGCCGGCGGGGGGACGATGACGACGAGCGGGAGTCGTGCGCGTCGGCGTCGTCGCACACGACGTCGGGCGACCGCGGCACGTTCGGGGAGAGGCGTGGACGGTCCGGCGGGAGGGTAGAGTCGCGGTCAAGCTCGAGCGCTCGTCGACGCCGTCGTCGCTCTGCTCTTCGTCGACCACCTCGCTGTCGTCGTCTTCGATGGGCTCGTGGGACGACCTCGCGGACTTCGACTACGACCTGTTCGAGCCCCGCGAGGGCCCTCGCAAGTGCCACATACCGGTCGTGAACATCTGGCTCGACATCGAGGCGCACCTGCCCCCAGGGCACGTCCCGGACCCCGTCGAGTTCATGCGCCAACACGAGGCGGTGTCTCAGTGCGTCCCTCCCTCTATTCTTACTGCACATGAGCCCACGCTCGCACACTCTCCACATCGAAACTGACATCGACGAGCAGGCTTCTGCGCGAGTACCGGACGCCCGAAGTGGTCACCATCCGGCTCGACCTCGGCATGATGCGCCTGTCCGACTCGTCCAGCGAAGACCGCGCCCGGCAACTTCCCGTGGCGCTCGCGCGCCAGCACTCCTACCTGCGCCGTCTCCCGCGGCGTGTCCCCCTGCCCGCCGCCGCCGCGGACGACGACGAGAAACAGAGTTTGTCTACGGCCGGCAGGGCTTCCGTGGCGGAATACAAGGCGAGACCCGGGGCAGGCCTGCGAGGTCAGTCGTCACGCGCACCCCGCGCACGCCCGTTTTCATGCTTCTCTTTCGCATCTTGCAGGTGTCCCCAACCGGTTTCTCGCCGCGCTCGCGGCGCGTTGCTGTATGCCGTCCGCGTGCGAACCGTAGCGTAGGTGCTAGCGCGCCTTCTGTGTCCGTGAGTTCGCGCTAGCGCGCCTTCGCGCCGCAGGCCCGGCGCCGAACGCGACGCGCATAACTTATTCGCATTACTTACCAGTTCTCAGCATCTCATTACCGTCCACCACATGCATGGCTCGTCCTTACTACGTTTACCGCTCCCTTAATCCCGCCGCGCGCGCCCGTACTGTACCCGCGCAGATAAGTGCTGAGTCGCAACATATCTCCAGTTTATGTAATTTCCGCTCGAACGTCCCCAAGCACACGTTCCCGCACGGGCGACGCCGACACGCACACAGAAGCGTCCTTCCCTGCTTTCGCCGCGCTCCTCGGAAGGGCCTGCCCCGCCGGCGCTCCGGTCCGCTGCGGACGCCGTGCGTCTCGAATGCGGGCCTCGAAGGTCGCGCACCGATATAGGCATGGCAGGTCCGGCAGGTGTGTCTGCGCGGGTGGTCCCATGGGGGCACCTCCCGGGCGTCGGAGATTGCGAGCGAGTGCGTGCGCTTCGCGCCTCAAGGCCTGACGTCGGACGTCCGCGGGACTCTTGCGCAGGTGGACACCGGCGATAAACGTCATACGCCGAGGGCCGGCCTACGAGAGAGAGGCCTGTCGAGGTGGACGGCGTGGCATATATGTGTGTGTTTTCGGGGCCAGCAGCGAGTTGCAACGGACCGATGACGAAACTCGGGCGTCTAGAATCCGTTGCGGGCACGGCCGGCCGGGCCGCCAGACCGCGCATTCCACCGGCGAGCGCTATTGGCGTCATTAGTCTCGAAAGCTTCAAATTGGTCGTCAAAGCTTTGCTTCCCTTCGCCACCCTGATCACGCATCGAACACCTCATGCAACCGAAGAAACGGCTTATCAATGTCACCGTGCGGGAAATTAGCAAGCTTGTTCCATCCTCAGTCTCGCACGTGCGTTACACCTTCGACTGACCGTTGACGATGGTGCATATAAATAATCCTGGCCCCGGTGGGCACTCAGCTGCGCTTCGCCAGCATCAAGGTGCTATTCTTGCACGTTCGCACAGGAACACATCCGTGGCCAGCTCCAGAACCGCATTTCATATAACAGGAGGCACGCATTGGTTCTCTTCTCCCGCGTTGTCGCCTGGCAAGTATCTGGAGAGCTCCCGCAGGCGTTTCATGAGCTCCTTCTCATGTCTCGAACGCTGTCTTGAACAGCTTTGATGAGAGCGTGCGGAGCCGCTCCCATCCAGGCTGTTCTAGCAGCATCGAAGATCAGTTCTCTGCAGAACCGAGTGGTCCTAGGATTCCACCTGAGTTCCGACCTCAGAGGACCCTCGAAAGTTGGAAGTCCATTGGGAGTCTGTGTCCCATGGAGACTTGATATCTTTATTGGTGCCTTGACGTGCCCAAGTTGCCGTGTGTGTAGTGAATTGTGCAGCTTGGACAGCTGTCAAACGGAGCACACGTTTTACAGGGTCGTGGCCACGCTTGCCGGTCTCTGCGAGGCATCATCCCACATCGCTGCGGGTGTCGACCGCGCACTAATGCGCGCGGATCTCGATCTCTGACACGTCCATATGCAATCAACCCCGTAGGTAGGCATGCGACCGCGAGAAGCTGCCGGCGATGAGCGGGAGAGACAGCGCGGCACCGCCAGGGGCTCGGCGTGCGCTTCCGGCCCGCGCCCAAGCCGCAGAGCTACGGCCTACGGGGTCGTTCGCCAAGTATCGTGTTTGGGGAGCGGATTCCTCCACTTCCATCCGTTTCATCATCCGTGCTAAGACCGAGCTCGAGGGCTACGAGCGACGTTGCTCGGAGCCCCGCCAGAGGCGCGCATCCAAATGCGGCTGACGTGGTATTCGTGCGAACTGTGCCTGGCGCGGGTCTCGCTGCTCGTCGTGACGGCAGGATTCCCTGGCTCCTTGCCGGTCCTTGGGCACCTCTCAAGATCTCACGGGCCCTTCACGGCTGCACTTGCATCGCGGCGCGAAGCCTTCCACCGCGCGCGCAGACCATCCAGCGCAACCGCGGAGAGCACTTCACTCCCGCGCGCACGCAGCCGCCCACGAAACGGGATTGGCTCGCGCCCAGCGCGCGTGCCCACCTCGCCCCACAAAACTCGAACACCCGTCGCCCGCGCAGAAACAGAGAAGCTTCCCGCTCGTCCAATCTCGAGATTGCGCAGGGCTGGCCGGCGCTGTGGGCCGTATGGCCCCGTCCGCGACTCCGCGCGCAACCCACGACCAGGGCCCGGGCGCCAAGAGCATATCTTCCCGATCAAAGTTGCCCCCGTGCCGAGCTCTCGTACAAGTAGAATACCCGGGACACTTCGCCGCCCCGAGTCCGAGCCACGCCTGCGCCCTCGCCGCCTCCCCCGTCCCCGCCCCCGACGCGCCGCCCTCACCGTCCACGGTCCGCTGCAACTCGCGACTGTGCGCGCCGCCTCGCCATGGCCTCCAACAACACCACCGGCGCCCTCAGCGCCAGCCAGGCGAGCAGGCTCCGCCACGAGCTGACGATGCTCGCCGACCAGCGCGTTTTTCCGGTGCTGGTGGAGACCGCGCTCTTTGGTGAGCACTTCTGCAGGATTCTGGGGAAGGTGCACGTCGGGTTGACACTGCTCGTAGCTGTGTTCACCCTGCTCTCCGGCTTCTCGACCTGGATACTTTGGTGCGTCTGTTCCCTTGCTGCTCCCTTCCGGAGGCGCTCATGCTTTTCCACCTGTCCGTTATGCCACTCGCCTGCGGTCCCGCGGACGCACGCAATCTTGTCCTACGGGATCTACACTCTGTCTTCCACGCCTCCACGTCCTTCGATCCCGCCACCATCAGCAAACGGGGGATCCGCGCGTCATGGTCGAACCGTATCATGCTCTTCTTCACCCTCGCCATGTACGCCATCTCCACGCTCGACTGGGCCATCGACATCAAACTTCTCCAGAACGACCTCCACTCGCTCACCCTCGTCGGCCTCGGCGTTCGGACCCCACCGTTCGGGCTCTCGAGCCCCGCGCTCCTCACGCTGCAAGGCATCACGAGCGTCGTCTGCGTAAGTCCCGCGCCCCTCGTCCCGCGCGCTCGCACAGGCGCTCGCTGCTGCGGAGCTGACGCGCGCGCGCGCCCCGCTGCACAGATCATCCTCGGCGACGCCGTCGTCTGCTGGCGCGTCTGCGTCGTGTGGGCGAACCAGCGGTGGGTCACCGCCATGGTCGCCTTCTGGGTCCTCGGCTCGATAGGTGCGCGTTCCCGCACGCGGCCTGCGCACGCGCGATGACATCAGGAACTGACCATTGCCTCGGCCCGCGCAGGCGTCTTCACCGCGTGGAGCGTCATGTTCGTCGGCTTCTACTACCCGGTGCCCCGCCCGTCATGGTCCTCGTCGAGCACAACAACATCCTGAACGCGTTCGCGTTCTCGTGGTCCGCCGCGACGAACGTGTGGGCGACCACGGTTATTGGGATCAGGGCTTGGTGCGTTTCCGCCTCTCGCGCTATTTGCCAGATCTTCTGACGGTACCCCGTCCCTCGCCGATGATCCGTCCGTGCTCTCACGTCGTCATATCCCCTTCGGAACGTTCACCGCCCCCTTCCTGCCATCTACAAATGACCATTGGTCTCGCGCGGGCGCGCGCCACAGGCGACAGCGCCGCGACTTCCGTCGCCACATGCGCAGCTCGGGGCTCGCGGTGCACAACATCCTCACCCTCCTCGTCGACTTCGGCGTCATCTACACGATCTTCATGGTGCGTCCGAATCTCCTTCGCCCGCGCGCGGCGCGCGCCTCCCACCGTACGGCATCCCGCCCCGTGCGGATCCGCGATGCGCCGCGCGCTGATTGGTGCCTTTCTGAATATATCCCCGCCCCCCAGCTCCTCAACGTGATCGTGCTCGCGCCGCAGCTCAACGGCGGCGTCTTCTTCTCCTACGTCGTCCTCTTCATGCAGCAGATCACCGTGCGTCTCCCTCTCCATCCCTTCGTTCCCGCGTTCTCCCCCTCACGCGCCGCCCCCGCACGCAGGGCATGTACCCGACCGCGGTCATCGCGCTCGTCGCGCTCCGCAAGTCCGCGCTCGAGCACCACTTCACGTACCCTCCGACCAGTCCTCGTTCCGGAGCCCCGCGCGCGAGGACTCGCTCCTCCCCTTCCACGTCGCCCCGCCCGCCGGCGCCCCACGGGCGGCACGACGACGCTCGACGGCGGCGACGGCGACGACGACCGCTGCCCGTCGTCCGCGTCCGCGTCCGGGTTCGGCGACAAGCACCGGCGCGTGCTGGCGTTCCGCCCCGGGGGCACGGGCGTCACGAGCGCGACGAGTGCGGCGAGCGAGAAGGACGCGTACGCGTCTGGGCGGGCGAGGAGGGCGAGCTGGAGAGCCCGGTCGAGGGCGTCGCGGAGCCCGATCGCGAGGCGGAGAGAGACGCGGGGCACGGGGACGGGTGGGGTCGGCGAGGTAGTCGCGTGGGTTCCTCGTCGCTCCGTCGTTCTGTCGCTCTCGTCGCTTGTCCGTTGCCCGCTGTTGCCCGCTGTTGTGCTCTGCTGTGTGATATGCATCCTGCGCCTGTCTGCGTCGTGCTCGTCGTCAGTAGTCTCCAGTCCTAGAACGTGCTACCTAGCTATACATACTTGCACCACCTACCCTGTCCCACCCTACTCCCGCTCGTTTTCTGTACTCTAATCCGCCGTCCCCCTCGGCTTTGAACATTACGCAGACTTACGCCTACGCTACGCTTCAAAATATCCCTGGATGATACCACCCCTGTACTTGTTCCTCCACACGCGCCGCCCAATTTACTCTACCTGCAACGTCAACTAGGTATCGTGCCTGTCCTTCCCACGGCGGCCCTGTCCACTCTCGAACCACGATCCGGGATTCCACCCGCACCGCATCGCAGGGCGACATAATGAAGAGAACCATCCCGCAGTTTTCCCGCCCTCCGTTCCGCCTGGTCAATCCCGTCGGAGCAGTCGGCGGGCGCGGAGATGGGCCTGACGGCGGCCTCGCGGCGTCGTCCACAAGCCAATAGCGCCGAGCCCAGCGGCCCGGCCAGCACCCGTCCACGACGATTTTAAACGCCTGCGTGTCTCTGTTCCTCCCATCGTCATCAAGTTGCTGTTCGCCGTCGAGGGGCGACATCAACGCCGATTGATATTCTCATATTATATGGCACAGCGGTATCAAACTCTCGCAGGCCCCCCCTCCGCGTTCGCCCCCAATGTCCCAGCTCCAAACTCGAACGCAACGCCCATACCGCCGGCGGAGATCCCGCAGAGCTAGGCCATTTCCGGTCGCTTCAATCCCGTCGCGGAAGTCTAGGGGTCCCCGGTGAAGGCTTCATGTGCCGGAGATGATGGCAAGTGGGCCACCTTGTGCGGCAAGTCATGCTCTGCGTGGTGGGAGTGGCCTGTCCTTGGAGCGCAAGAGTAAGTGTCTTTGCTTATGAATGCTCGTATTGATATTGACCCTCGTTTCTGCCTGTAGGCGAGCACGGACGGAAAAGGCCGAGTCCACTTCCGGAGAAGCCCCCGGATTGGCGAATTGCACACGATGTTCTCCATGCAGGAACCTACCTTCCCGGTCTATCCAAGACGACACAAGCCACGCCGTCTTCCTCCTGAACAATCGCCCCACCGTTTCCGTGCCGTTCGGCGAGCACCCGCTTTGAACCTGCTATGTTTGTCGCCGCCATTGTCTTTGTGACGCCGAAATGATTCGCACTAGGGCGAGAGGCGCAGATGAGGCGTGTTCCGAAACGCGCCCAATTGAAAGGCACGTTCACCCCATCATGCGACCGCGGCTCAACAGACCTGTTAGGACGAGCTTAACGGAAGTGCCCCGTCCCAAAGCCAGTCGGAGATTGAACAACACATGGGCCGGGTCAGAGACGCCGAGAACCGGGTGAAGAAAAGTTTATCGTGATGCCTGCAGGCTCGACCGTCATGCCGCGAAACACGCGTCTGCAACGACGCGCCTTTGCCACGCTTTATGATCCCTCGCTCTCAAATCCTTTTCCGTCCGTGCCTTCAAAAACCCCCCGTGTCCGCTCCGACCCGCTATTATTCCCCCTCCTCCGCCACCTCCAGAAACCCGCTTCCGCATGACCATCGTCAAGCTCTCCGTCCCGGACGTCAGGTCCTACGTCGTTGCCGAGCTCGACTCGAAGCCACGCTGGACGGAGTCGCGGATCCTGCCGTGCGCGCACGGATACAGGCGATCACGCCCGCAAAATGCCTCCTGTTCCTGAACCACGTACGTGTTCTCCTCGCCTTCCCTTCTCCGACCCTGGTGCCCTACGCAGTGCTCAAGGGAAACCACCCCTATGTTCTGCCACACAGCACGACCCGTCACTGGAACCGCGCACGCATGCACCTACACCGTTGACCTGATCGGCCCTGGCTTTCGCCCCGCCGACCCTTCAAAAGGCCTCACTCCAGACATGTGTGCGCCGATCTTCCCGACCGCGGCGGGCCCCACCCACCGCGCGCCTCTCCACACCGTGCCCGCGTTCCCGTTCCGGAACTGCGCCCACTGGTTCGGCACGGACATGTCGCTGAACGTGCGCATCGGCGTGGGGAGCGGCGGCGGCGGCGGCAAGCCTGGCGCGGCGCGGCGTCGCGCGCGCACGCGCCGTACGAGCTCCCGTACGACCAGTACCTCCTGCTCGAGAACATGTACGACGAGGACATCCGGCGGGGCGAGGACGCGCTGTTCGGCACCGGGGCCCCTCCGCCGCGGCGGACGTGCGTTCGGTGCAGTCGCGCGCGTCCCGCGTCTCGCAGCGGCCCTCGTTCGACGGCGAGAGTCTGTTTTCGGACGGGGAAGGCGGTGCGCGCCTTCCCGTGCTCAGGGCGTGGACGGACCTGCCGGCGCACCTCGCACCGGGCGCGGTCCCGGACCCGCTGGTCTTCGCGGAGCAGTACCGGGCGCTGACGCGGTGCGTGCCCCTTCCTTCTCTCCCCGCCCTGCCGTCTTCGCCGCCTCATCTCCGCGAATCCCGGTGCGGCGCGTGCTCACTCGGGTTCCGTTTCAGGATGCTGCAGGGCGACGTCGCCGCCGCATCTGGCGCGGGCGCCCCGCCCTGGTGGTCGACGGACAGCAGCGGGAGCGGCGAGCACTCGGGCAGCAGCGGCGCGTCGTCGATGACCGCGCCTGCGCCGCCGCGCGGGGGACATCCGAAGAGCAAGAGTGAGCGTCCTGCCCGACGAGCCTCCCACAGCCCAGCTGAACGTTCCCGCAGATCTGCCGTCGAAGGCGCTGCGCGCCGTCCGCTCGTTCTTCTCCCTGCAAAGCCACAGTCAGTGAAGTCGCAAGTGGGCACCGGGCAGGTCCTGCACGCCTCCACCGTCCACGGCCGCTTCGCTGCGCGTCCATCCCGGCCATTAGTCGTCCCCCGTCCGTGCGTCCCTTGATGCGTTCAGTATTAATTCGCCCCACAAAGCACTCGCACCGCATCTCCAACGCCCGACTCCGGGGCCCGGCGTCCCCACGGCAAACTACCTGTGCCATATACTGCGAGATAACATGTATGTACGTACGCTAATGCACCCGCCACCCTCGACCGCGACCACGCCTCCTCCTCCTCCCCCTCCCCCTTACGCCCCACTGCCCTACGCCCATCCGCCGCCCTCGCCACCACCCGGCTGTCGCCCCCCATGACGACGCACAGCCCGTCTTCAAACGGATCGCTCGAATATACGATCGGATCTGCCCCCCACTCGCGCCCGTCGTCGTCGCCGTCCCTCCCTGCCTGCCCACCGCCCATCCCGGAGAGAACCCCTGTGGTCGGGGCGCCCACGTCCCCAACGCGCTCGTCCCACCGGCGAGGGGTCGCAGAACACGAGGGTGGACCCGCCCGAGTCGGACGTGGCGCGGGTGGATTCGCCGCGGTCGGAGAAGTAGTAGAGGCCGCGGAGGGCGAGGATGAAGCGCGAGAGCGTCAGGACGGTGTACCTGCGCGCGTGAGCACGTGGCGGGGGGACGACGGGGGTCCGCGCTCACACTTCGCAAAAGTAGGGCCAGACGGAGAAGATCGAGACGGCGGTCTGGGCCACGCGAGCGGCGTCGGAGGGCGTGCGTCAGGCGCGGGGGCGCGTGGGGCGTGGGTGGCACTCACGGCGTTCTGCACGTTTCCGGGCGTCAGAATCTACGAGAACGTTCGCGGAGGGGGAAGGGAGTGACGTACCGGGTTGGCGTAGAGTTTCATGAACAGGTTGACGAGAAGGAGACTGTCGAGTGCGGGACAGAGGTCAACACTCGCGCCGCGGGGGTGGGACTTGCGCGGTACGCACATGAAGTACACTGAGCCTGCGCGCGAACCCGTCGACTGAAGGTCAGCGCCCAGGTTCCCACACAGCGCGAGAGGCTCCACCCACCGTCGCGCATGAGCAGTGTGGCCAGCGGGGAGCGCAGGCCGGATTCCACCGCCGCGCGCCGCACGGCGAGCGTCTTCCACCATGTGAGCAGGATCACGATGCACGTCGCCGCGATCGTGCATGCGATGCTCGCCATCTTGACTGTCGCATCAACGACAGGCGTCAGACCTCGGGGCTTCGAAAGATGCTTTGAGGTGCACTCACGCTCTTGCAGGGTGCTCCTGGAGAACCAATAGTCGTACCTGCATCCTTCAGGCCCGGGAAGCTGGACCGCAGTGTAGGTGGATGTCTCCACCTGAGTCCACACACAGTCAGCCACATTCGTCCGCTTCTCGACTCCTTGCCGTCACGTCCGAACGCGTAGCACAGCCCAACGAGCGCAGACTCACCAGCACGAAGATGGGCTGGACGAGGAGCAGTGGCACGACCACGTACAGCACGCGGCGGTCGCGCGCGGCTATGGCGTACGCGCGCAGCGCTGTGAACGCAACGATCGCGAAGTAGTTGATCGCGTAGAGGACGTCGTCGGTGTGCGTGAGCGCGGCACAGGTCTGGTCGGAAGGGCTCCAGAGGACCTCGAGGAGGATGACGGCGCGTTCGACAAAGAGCGTGTATCGGATGAGGATGTAAGTGAGGGTTACGGAGCTGAATGGATTCTTCCAGATGCACGCCACCTCCGCGGGGAATGTGAGCAGGAAGTCGTAGGAAGCAGGGCTGAAACGGCAGTGCCGAAAATGTGAGGATGAAATCGTCGGACTTTGGGAAGATCTTACCTGTGGATGCTACTAGGAAGTAGTTCTCAACTAGCCTGATCAGATTTTCTATCAGAAGCGAATCATGACCAGAGAACTCTCGAATGTCAGCGTACCTCTTCTCTGCAAGCATCGGCCAGATCTAGTGTCCGGCCTGTGTTTGTGGGACGAAGCGACGGGCCGGTAGGTGCAAGGCGAGTGGACTGCAGTGGGCGAAGAACGTAGCACCCCCAGCGGGCTTCTGGCTATTACTTCACCTGACAATATGGAATTCCTGCACTGCGCCGCCCGACAGTACGGTATGGCTGGCCGTCATGCCGCGCGATAGACGTGGCGGAGCGGTCTGCTGAGCGCCAAGTGCTGACCTCCGGCTTTGCGGGACATCGGTCCCAAGAGTTTGCTGCGACCCGACCGGGGACAAAAAGACTGTGGGACATCAGGCTGTGAGTATAGAAGCATGCACGGATCCTGTCCGAGAAGCCGCCAGGCGTGTGACGCCGATGTTAGCGCGGAAAGACGTCGAATCGACGCTTCGGTAGTGGTTGTCAGCGTTCTGCGCAGCGTCCATGTTGTGGGGAATGCCACTCTGTTCTCACAATGGATGGTACAGTTCTGCCAAACGTTCAGAGAGCATCAGGTCAAGCATTGACAGATCTGCGAGTTACCTGCCGCAAACTCCGCACATTCTGCCCAGAATGCACCATAGTAGGACTGCGGCACCACTCTACGATTCGGTCTCGTGATGTACAACGGGTTCATACTACATCGGTCAACCCACAACAAAACCGCCAGCATTCAGGACAATATCAACATCAATATGTTTCATAGCCGCTACGCACCTTATTAAACGATCTCTTCAGGATGGACTGCGAGGTGCGACGCCTGGTGTTCAAGGGAGTCCCGGCCTGAGCCAGTCTCTCCTGAGACGGGTTGTCTACAACGCTCGACGATGCCGATGAAGGAAATTGCATCGTTCCATCCATGGAGATACTCTCGCTTTCACGCGCCTTATCCACTTCCCGAAGGTCGAGCATTAATCGGGTATGAAATATCGCGGCCAGACTGCAAACGCGTCAGCACGCCACCACGGCGGCCCGTGTGGGAGAAAACGCACGCTTCGCCGAAATAGGCGCATACTAACAGCTGAGAAGGGTGAGTAATGATGATGGGCGTAAAATGGCTGGCATGGCGGCTTACCGAGTCGGTTAAGTTGGTGACTATGATAGCAACCTGGAGGAGCACCAAGATGCTATACTTTGACGTCAGCGAATCCACATCAATCGAGTCTGCGGTTTGAGCGTACATGAAATAAGTCGTTCCTACACTCGCAGCTGTGATCAGCGACATCGTATGAATACAACCGCCTTGCACCTACCGTCTATGAGGAAAAGTCGAGTAAAGAGGGTGGGCCTCCCCACACGTTCCATAGCGCGATGGAGCCCATACGTCGCTCTCCATGTGATCACGAGCACAATGAAGTCCGCAGCAATCGTGGTTGTCTCCGCAGCGATGACGTCTGATGCATCGGAGTTAGTTCTGGTTTGAAGCCTGCGCCAAGCCTGTGCTTACATCTAACAATTGTCAATCCCATCACTGTTGATGAAGTGGATAAAGTAGAAGGAAACTCCGCACCTTGTCCAGGTAGCATGGGTGATGTTGCGGTATATGTAGAGACATCCGATCGACGGCCCCCCTTGCACAGCCTCGTACCACGAGCCTTCGTACTAAAATATCATCGTAAGAGGTCATGCGGCATGCTTACATACGCAAGTGGACGTACGGCGAGGAGCACCGGTTTAACAAGGGCGAAAGGGGCGATAAGAAGCAACGGTTTCCAATAGCCACACCCGGCTAGGGCATATCCCCGAAAAACAGTGAACGCTGAAAGAAAATGAGAACGCTTGACTGGCTCCAGAATGCGTGACATTTACTGACCTCCGAAGGCAGCATGGGTGAGGACGACGAGCACATCATCGCTCCGGGTGATAACGTGGCAAGTCTGAGAGAGTGAAACGGGAGTCAGTGACTTTGCATATATATGAACGGCGATGTCTAACCGTGTCACTCGAGCCCCAGATCAGCACTGCGGACACGAGAGCCACCCTCGAGACCAGGGGGAAGTATCGCATGCATAGGAACACAACCGTCGCGCCCGAAAAATTGCCGCCCCAAATATGTTCAACCTCAGTTGGGAAAGTGAGGATGAAATCGAACCACAAGAGCGCTGCGAAACACTATCGTTAGCAATTGGAAATCTCAAGTCCTTGCAAACAAGGGTGACTCCTCCCGCACCTGTGGATGCTAAGATACAGTAGTTGGCGTCCAATCGATACATGAAAGCATGGACCGGTTCCATAGAGCTTGGATGACTGTGGGAGCGGTGTCAGATGCAGGTCGCAGAAGTGTCTGGTAAAACGTTATTCACAAGTTTGGATAGGCAGAGTTAATGTCACCTAGCGCCGGCTCTTCCGAATCGGCAACGAACATGTTTAGTCTTGCTCGCATTGCGGCTCCACAAGGTGGTAGATGAGCAACTCAGCGTTCTGACGGCTCGTTAAATAGTGGCAAACGAGTAAGCTTTGATTGCTTGTCCTCGTCCACCGTCCGCTCATCATGTCCGCTGAGATAGCGGAACCCTCCCAGGGACAGCTTCATCTCGTGGTCACCTGTCAATCTGGCTTTTCGTGAGTAAGTAAAATACGAATGCGCATAAAAGAGAAGACAAACGTGCTCCAAAGCTTAGTAGAAGGCGGACGAACTCCTTGCTGCACCAGACGAGCTTTGTGAGACTGTCAGATACTCATCGATGAGATAGCGATAACGGCACGGATAACGTACATGGATGACATTGGCACGGAATTTTGAGGTGGATGTGCTGATGGATATGAAAGGAGGGGTAAAATGACGTTTCGGACAAGCGCTTTGGTTTGCTGGAATGTTGATGAGATATTTTTGTCGAGGTCCCAGCTTGTAGGGTGTTGGCCACGAGTTGACATGGTGCTTGTGACTTTGTCCATGTGCAACAAATCTCTAGGGGCATTCTGCTCCACGAGGAGACGCACTTGTCAGGAGACGTCAGCCCGGCGACTTGGCGGCATCGCCGGCACCTGAACAAGGCCTGTCAAACTCGTACGATTACACTGGACACGTTTCTCGATAGTGTACATGGCATCTTGCTGATAATAATCACTAAAGCTGACAGATGTCAGCACCAAGTGTTCACGCTCATACAAACCCACTCACCGTCGCTCCAGGCATTCGCCGTCGTCTACCTCTCTAAGTCTAGCGCTCTGTCCGCATCCGGTGCCGCATTTCCCCCGCTTCAAGGAGCCCTTTCCTAAGCGGATCTCTTAGATCTTGTGGGGGTTCCATAGGCGAGTATGGCGTCCGCTCTGACGGGTCCTGCCGCTCGTGTTCTCGTCGACGTCCGGGCATGAACGCGCTGTCGAAGAGCGTCCACGGTCCGAGGGTGGCGCCCATGTTGCCGACGATCGCTGAGACCGTCGTCTCTTGAATCGTGGTCGTCGGATCCGCGGGGTCGCTGTCTTGGTAGTAGAGGCCTCGGAGGTCGAGCATGAAGCGGGAATGAAAGATCACGACAAGGCTGGGGAAGGAGATCCGGTTGGTGTCAATGGGAAGACGTTCAGAGCCCAACAGAACGTACACATCACCGAAGTACGCCCAAACAAGGAGCTGACCAAAGCAACCAACATCGGATTCAAACGCGGCACGAAGGATAATTCGTGGTGACGCACCGAGTCTACGATGTTAGAAATCATGGTCGCGACCTGAATGAGAGTAAGAATGCTGACTACCCGTTAGCACATCTCGTTCAGCGAACATAACGAAATGGCATACAGGAAGTACACAGTCCCTGGAAGGCGCCTCATCAGAATTGTTAAGACCTAACAAACGGCATCAGCTTACCGTCCACAAGAAATAATGACGACACGGTGGTGCGGATCCCTAAGCGAGCCATGTCGCGATGTACGTTGAAGGTCTTCCTCCATGTAAGGGCAATGACGATGAGATCAGCGGCGATCGTGGTCGTCTCAGAAGCAACGATGACTGCGGAATATAAGGCGTCAGTAGTCATGGCAAATTCGCCGACGTTCATTCCTTACGGCTAATTAATTGGCGTTAGGGGAGCTTCAAGGATAGGAGTAAGCAGTCAGAATAACGTACAAGGTCCACGTCTCATGGGTAAGACCGTGATAAATGTATAGGCAACCGTAAGGTAAGCCTCCTTGAACGGCGGTGTACCTGGTGCTTTCATACTACACGTTTCTGGTCAGCAGCTATCTTTTCGACACTCGTAAGAACAAGACGTACAATAGTGAGAATTGGCTTCACGAGGGAAAGAGGAGCGATGACCAGGAGTGGTCTCCAATCCAAACAAGTGACCCCATAGCCTCTTAGAATCGTGAACGCTGGCGACGATGACGTCAGAACGGTCGTGAAAGGGCACTGTACACTCACCAGCAAACGCGAAGTAGTTCGTGACCAGCAGGACATCGTCTCCGCGAGTGATCCTATGACATGTCTAAGATAGACGGATGCTGAGCTCTTCTTTCCCGCACACGATCGGCATAATGAAACTCACCGCGTTGCTCACCGTCCAGCTGAGCACCTCTGAGACGAAGAACGCCCTCGCTAGAGCGGCGCTATACCGCGTGAGGAGGAAAACGACCGTCGCACCCGTGAACCTCCGCTGCCACATGCGCTGAACCTCGAGTCCAAGGGTCAGCAAAATATCGAGCCACAACAACGCTTCATATAAACACGCGGCGCGCGGCCATCCGTCAGACCCCACGTGTTTGAGAGCCACGGCGTTAGAAGCTCACTTGATGACGCCAGGACACAGTAATTCGCGGCGATTCTTGCCGCCGCCGCTCCGACTGGGTTGGAGTCTGGAGAGCTAGTCCGAACAGACGTCGTCGCGATCAGCCTCTAACTGTGTCCAGACAAGCGACGGATGCATGGACTCACAAGTTTGGGTACGCGGACGCGACGTCCGAAAGAGTGTCCACTGAAAACACCTTCAAACCTGCGACCATCGCGGGCCGGTAAACTGTGACGTGGCACGGGGACGAGTACTGACAGCGATTCAGCTCGGATGATAGGCGTTGTCGAATTCGGAACCTGGAGCGACCTGCGAACGAAGGTCAGTGCTGCGTGGTTGTTATAATGCAATAGCTGCGCGAACATCAGGGCGGATTGCTTTGTACTTGTTGCGACATGACATCTGCCCACGAAGAATCGTGCACTGGCTGGACGGTGGAAGCGGTTTGCGGTCTCGAGGGCAGGCTCTGGCAGACGTGGGACGCGTGCGGTCGTAACACACGATGGGAGATAAGCCGTATGCAATGGGGGACAGGTAGAATGGTGGGATGTTGGAAATTCGGAGCTTGGTCAGGGCGCGACGAATCATGGGCGAGTGAAGCATAGATTACAAGGCAGACGATGCCACGGTGCAAGGACAGCCTCTGTACCGCTTCAGCGCTTCTTGACGTTCTGTCCACTGAGCTCAGAGGATGTGAACTCATTTGACTGGAGGATAAATAGAAAGCCATTAGTATACAGGCGAGTGGATGAACTGCAGTGGGGGGTCTTTACCAAAGAATGCTGGGGGCGAATCCTAGTACCAAGTTTGGCCCTCGGGGCTGTGTACTCGTGGTGTATGTGGAAAGATGCCTCGAGGCACGCGCCAACGGAGGTTGCATTGAGCTTCGTCGCCCTGGGTTCCTAGTCGACGGCCTCCCGCGGGCCGCGAATACAACGCCTTCTTGTCAAGCCTGAGGCTTCGGAGCCGTGAACAAACCTAACCTGGGCAACGAGAGCCGTTAGTCTCATAAGACTTCGAGAACATGACCCGTACCTCTCAGCTCACATTTTTTTCGATGCAGAGCGTTGAAAGAGCCTAGATAATCGCAATTGTGGCACGACCTAATACATAACGGGTTCTCCATAAACGAAGCAACAGAGTTCGACTGAGCAAGCAATCCAATCGACAGATCTAATGTACAACAGCAACAATACAAGACAAGAGACCGGGGGTAGTACTAGGGGAGCATCGACGTAGTGAAGCATATGTACATCGAACAAACGCAAACGCAACTGGGATAGATGGATGAGATGCCAATAGATAACGTACGTTCCGCAAAGTTTGGGAATGAAGCAGGCGTGATGACCTCTCCATGGGGTAGATGACTGCAGCGGATGACGGCGACGGATGGTGGAAGCGGGGGCGGCGGGGAGTGCGCAGCGAGGTCGTGGCTAAAGATAGGGTCGACAACAAGGAGTGGTGGTACAGGAGAGCGTCGTGACGTGTCGTAAACCCTAGCCACGGCGAAACGTGGTCAAGGTATCAGGGTATGGATTCCCGGTACACTCCACCAGGTGGTGGTATTTGGAGTGGTGTCGAGGTATGAGGGAATAAGCGAGGGTAAGGTGTGGAGGCGAACCGGTACAGCGTGTCGATCGACGACAGGAGCGAAAGCAGGCAAGTGAAAGTGGACAGCAGTGATGACGGTGATGAGTAGGCGACAGAGGGACAGGGAATGCGGGCCCGTTCGAGTGTGGTCGGCGTGGGAGTACTATGGCGAGAGAGTTGAGGTCGAGATGTCGACTTCATGGTGGATGGAGAAGCGATGTCCAGTGTCCCGACCAGACGATCTTCGCGGAATCGAGGTGCACCGGAATGGGGAACTGTGGGCCATTGAGAGAGCGAGGTGAACTGAGGCCAAAGAAACTTTGTTGCAATCTCGGAAGCGTGACGACGGCCGCCGGTCCACACAAGACATGCGTGGCGATGCTGCAAGACCCGCATGGTCTCCAGCACTGCCCGCTACAGCGCGCGATGGCAGTCGTGACGTGTTGATCCGAGACCACAGAGGGCGGAATGCCGTATGCCGTAGATGGTACCAGGTGTTCGTGCGAGGTCACCGAGGCTGGGGAAGCTCTGGATGCGGGGGCAAGTCGACCAAATCTGCGAGGGGAACGACGACGGCCATGTCAATATCACGAATCATTCCCAGCCATATGGCGTAACCGCAAGAAGCGGCAAAGCACTCACCGATCGGTGATGTGAAGTTGACTAGCTGCGGGAGGAAAGCACATGCATTGCCATCAGCATCTGAGTACTGAATGACCGGAGGCGTCTGCAGCCGCACCGGTCCGCATGGGCACAATGATGCATACCCCGCCACTCCCAGCTAGCACATGCACGAGCTGTTGAAAAGAGACTCACATATGGATGTAGCGTTGATGCCCCACCACCTTGCCCTCTCCACCCCGACCCTCCTACCCCATGCCCGTGTCCAACGACGGGTGCCCCAGGTCCCGGGTTCAAGTTCACTAAGTTCATCGACACTCCCGACCCGACAACCGGAGGCGCGTCTGGGCTGATGTTCGCGATGAGATGAAGACTAGCCCGTTGCGTGTTCGCGCCACCAGTAAGTCGGCGTTCTTCCCAGTCCCATGTTCGCCGCTTCGACTTGACGTCTGTTGTGGCCTGAGTAGAAGGGACGAGGGGTTCGGTATGTGCGCGAAGTTGTGGGCTTGAGTGGACGTGGTGGAAAGGGCGCTTTTGGGGAGGGTGTGCCGTATCAGGGGCGACGGAATCTTGGTACGGTGGTGCTCGTTCTTCCTCATCCTCTGCACCTTCGGCCCTCCCATCGTCCGGTTCCTTCCCTCTCCGTTCCCCCTCCTCCACTTCCTCCAGTCTCCGTGCCTCGTCTTCATCCTCTTCCGCGAGGGTGTGTGGCGTGTGTTTCGACCTCCTGCTCCCTCTTCTGGACGCCCTCTTCTGCATTGCTTGCATCGCGCTGAAACTCGTCGTGTGTTCTTCACTACCATCCTCGGCTGAGTACGGCGCGGGCGAGTCATAGATCGACTCTCGTGGGGAATACGCGCTGAGACTGTGTGGATACAGGCTTGGCTCCGTCTCCCATCCGCTCATCCCCGTCGTGGTGTAAGCGGTGGTCCTACCCGTGACGCTGACGCGGAAGCCGTTGGCATGTGCGTACGCAGCCAGGTGCGCTGGTAGTATGGATTGCGCTGCAGAGTGCATAACACGCACTCCGCCGGGCATCCCGTGCTCAGTTGGGGTTATGGGCGAGCCTTTGGGAGAGACGGGGACGGAGTTGGACACCTTCGGCTTGTAACCTGCTTCGCGAACGATCGAGCGAGGAAAGAAGATGAGGAGGGTGATCATGGAGGAGACAATGCAGCCGATGCCTGAGATCATCTGTAGGGTGTCCGTAACAAATCTAAGAGGACGTCGTTGGGTCAGAGGGTGTGAAAAGACGGGACAGTAAAACACGCTTTACATACAGGTTATGGTTGATCGAATGGGAGTGGCCAACGATTCCATCCAGCGCGAGGATCAACAAGGGGATTGTGAAGAGGAAACGGAAGACTACTCTTGCTTGCTGTGAACAGTGACTTCAGTAAGTAAGGTTACGAGAGGAGACACAGTAGATTAACACACATTGAGCTGATAGAATGTTGCCAGCCTGACAACAACGGTCGGGTCAGCACCTTCGATCTTGACATGTCTGATGAACTTCGGGAACCGCCAAAGCACGTAAAGGAAGGCGACGGTGGTGGATGTCGAGCCGGCCGAGCCAACGAGGAAGATGTAAGCATCGCACTGCCCGTATGTTAGCGAAGGGCCTGCGTATACAACCACTTCTATATTTACCGTAACAAGATCATTCCTAGTGATGAGAGCCGTGAGAGGCATCCCAATCACCGCAACGATGCTCCCTGTTCGGCTGTGAGTGTGGGTGAAAACGTTCGTAGCGATGCTTCGCACCTAAGTACCACAGCCTGTACTCCCAGCTCGAGAACCACGCCTCCTTGTGGGGTTTTTGATGCAGCAGGTAGAGCCAGAACGCGAGCTCTGTAAAGAGATGTGAGTGATGGACAACTGCAGGAAGATGAATCGACGCACCTTCGAGATGGGTAACCCTGACGGCGTGAATAACGGCGTCAGCATCAAGCACGGGAAGTAGCGAAATCGCAGGGATGATTCAGTACGCCACCGCGACATCCTCGCTATACGATGCGGGAGTCCGACCTAAAGAATACAGAGTTCATAGCACATGATGCAGGGCGATATGGTTGGTGCATTATACAAGGACGTGAACACTCTTGGAAGGCGCGAGCAGGAACGAGGGTGATGGGGAGAGAGAGAAAGGGCGCGTACAGCATCTCCTTGTGTAATACGCAAGAGATGCTACTCACATTTCAAGAGCCCAGGCAAAACTAAAAACGAACTGAAGAGGCAGCACCCAGCTGATGTTCTCAGGTCGGTAGAAATCGATGGGAACGGGAATGACTGTATACAGTTGAGATGTTTTCGCGTGATACTCAGGATTTGAAACTTACTCGCGCCGCCGGGTCCTACTGTGTATCCTGTGTGCACACATATAGTCAGCTGGATCGAGATGAATGGGTCAGACACGCACCTTCGCGGACCTTAATGACCGTCATGCCAACACTGTATATTGCTAGCAGTGGTACCGCGCTCACATACGAGTACTTAGAGGGCGGTATCGTTCAGCAAAGAACTCAGACGACACAGGCGATTAGAACATACGGTCATGACGCGCTTGAAGGCACCTGGCTGGCGGCCTGCAGACCAACGAAGGCACTTGAAGCGGTCGTACGCCCAAAGATGGTGGATAATGAAAACGAGAAACTGAGGGGAAATCAGCATACATGCATGATATATGGGGGGCGCAAACGCACGAGAATGGAAAGGAAGGACCAGAGCGAGAACGCGCTGGCGGAAGCGTTACTCATGGTGTGGGCGAGAAAAGGCGGAGCACCCGCTGGGGGCGTAAGGGCAGACGAGAGGGAGGTGGTAGTGGCGAAGAGGCAAAAACACTGGCTGGGAGGGTGGCATTGGCGGGACAGGAGCAAAGCAAATGCCTGCGTCCGTGGGCGCCAAGCTCTTACATAGCTTCGCCCGTGGGATTCCAATATTCAATTCTGTCGGTGGGGCCGCGCGCCCATCCGAGCAGAGCCTACAAGCAGCTACGGACAACTGCGTCTGGCTGTTCGGTCTTACTCTTGCATAAACACCATCGGTCCTGCAGCCCTCAGGGAGCTCATCACGCCCTCGACCCCACTGCTTCAAGTCTATTTACGGGTGATGGAATGACGGTTGTTTTACGGCGGCTATTCCGTCGCCCACATCACGAGAACATCTATCTGTCATCAGCTGCCCCGAACATCAATCCTGAAGGCGTGAACGTTGAAAGTTGGACGTTGAACATTGAACACTTCTGTCTTGCTTTCCCGTGAGCTCTTGGTGAGCTCGTCTTCGCGTGCGGTCTGCGCGGGTCTCGTCGTTCAACGTAACGTTCAATGCTTTTTTTTCAGACCGAGTTGACTTTGGGCGTGTGCTGGAAGCGTCCGTTACCACTCCATGCAATAGCCTATGGCCGCGCACAGGTACATACGGTCACCAAGCATCGCATACACCTGGCAAGGAACGGCAGCGAACGGCATTGATGCGAGACGGAGCCTGGTGAGCTATCTCTGTCAATATTCCGCGCGGTGTGTCCCCAAGCCTCAAGATTCGCAGAAGCGGGACATCTCTGCGGGCGAGTGTCCGTCACCCCCCAGTGCAGCACTGGTCGGGCGAGTGGAAAACCCGCGCTCGCAGGAAGTCGTGCCCTACATATGGGCGCGAGTTGTGGTACTGTTCCCAAGTGTTCCCACCACCACTCCGCGAACGCCGCTGAGCGCTGAATACTGAGTACTGCTGACGTTCCTGAGGTAGGTTCGCGTCCGCGTTGACCGCCTCATTCCATTCAATCCCGACGGGTGGAACACAATGCGCCGTCGCGTATCATTGTCCAGCGCGCATCGGCGCACCCGATCGCCGAGACCAGCTGCTGCTCGTGTGGCCGGGTATCGAGCATGGTCTTCACCGCGGACTCGTCGTCCGCTACAAGGTGAATCATCCCGTACATCCGCTTGGTGACGGACGTGATGCCCAACCCCCCAACCCTGCGTTGTACGAGACCGCATGTCCGCACGCGCGGCCATTGCTGACCAGTAGTCCGTTCGACCGGTACGCGCGAAATGCGGTCACAGTCGGGGTCGCGGAGCTCTTGTCTACCCGATAGTTGTTCACTGGGCTCACATCGGCTTCTGCCACCTGGCGAAGTCCACCTTGCATTGCAATGCTGTCGCCGATGCATGCATGACGTGCCCAAGACGCTCCAACGTGAAAGGTGGGTTTCCCAATGCTGGATCGGCTGTGTTCTCATCACTCGTAACATCTAAGCGTGAGCCAGCAGGTCCTCCAAAACAACAAGAAGGTTCACTGCGGTTCAAACTCCAACGTATCAGCAGTGTTCGGATGTGGCTCAGGGCATAGAACATCCGGGACTCCGAATAAGCCGATTTTTGAGAGTCACGATGCCAATAAATAAGAGACATGCTGCTGCATGAGTAGTGTGTACTCTGAAGCAGATAGCCACGAGACACTATTGAATCAGTGGATCGTGCCCCTTCTGGCGTGACACAATGTGAGAACTTAGAAGGCGACGCCACACGGTAGGTACCAGAGCTAGCGAGATAGGCAAGGTGAGTGAGAATCCCTGAATACAGCACCCAGACTCCGACATGTGAGTTGTGCAGGTGCTTTGAGGTTTTTCAACGGCCCAAACTTCAAATCGGCTGTAGATTGTATCTGAGCTGTAGCCATTGAGCGCGATTATCTATATATTGCCCTCCTAGTGACCATGACCCTGACTATCAATACCCAGCCTAATCTCGGCAGAATTTTTTCACCACCATCCACAGCTAAGTTAAAAGTCCTTGGCCCCCAACCCCGTACCGAGATAACCCTCGGGTCGGCGTCGTTGCGGAGCGCTACTAGCTCTTACGTACAGTCTGGCGCCTCAGGAGTCAGGAGTCAGTTCCTGGGACGCCGGACAGATGCGCCCAACGCCATCCATGTCTTCTGGTGTCACACAGCAACGCCCCCATGTGCCCCTTGCGCGACGTCTTCGAGGGGTAAGAGCAGACTCCAAAATGCGGAACGGAGTGGAGTTCATCGGTATGTGTTATCCTCCAGATGCCACCTCTCAGCTCTGGCACATTCGCTCGCTGATTTCGTCCACATTCCGACTCCCACAATCCAATTCACTACGACGCTGCACAGCCCGATTGTCTATATGGCTCCCTTGGCGTGCTGTCTGCCGTCAACGGCACCATACGCCGCAAGCACCGGAGCGCACCCGCTGATTCTCATCCCGGGACGTCTCACTGCTTTGCCAATGTGGGCGTATCTTGAATGGCACGCAGACACCGGGCTGCTCAAAAGCCTGAGTGCGGGCATCGCAAAAGTGCCAACCCATACGCTGCACACCCCCAAGTAACATATCTGCTCCGCACTACACGGAAATGAGTGTAGACGTCCCCATCGCTGCCTACGAGAGATTGTGAGTCACATTCTCCTGAGGCCGTTCTTCAACTTCGTTGACACTGCTTCGTCCAGGATCTTCGAAAACTATTGCATTGTGGCATCCAGCGGCAAGTCATCTCCACTCTCGTAGAAGACGTGCATGCTCACTCCACCCTCAAGTGCTGCTCTTCTATGACGTTGCGATCACTTTCCAACTGGAGGTCCAGCGTATCTGGCGGCGGAGGCACTCGGGTGCTACGTGGATCTTCCTGTTCATGCGCTATAGTGCCGTCATCGAGCGCGTCTTCTTTATCCTCGAGGTCATGGTGTGGTATTCAACAGACGCAGTGCGTAATCTCCCGACTCTCTTAAGTTCACACGACGCTCACAACAGAGTTTCCATTACTAGGCCTGCGGCGGGATCAATCATACAGATGATACGCTCACCATCTTGAACTACCTCTCCATCGCCGCTTTCACAGCCCTCCGGATATATGCCATATGGCTCCGCGATTGGAGGCCATTGGTCGTAGTGATACCTCTGTCTCTCGTGAGACCTGTGGAATATCTCGTGGGTTTTTCGTTTTCGCTTCTTCGTGCATGACGCATAGCTGACCCCGAAAATCCGACCTTGTAATTCTAGTATATCAGCACCATGAACACGGCTTTACAAGGCGGACCTCTTATTGGCTGTATCAACATGCGATCCCCAGTTGTCAGTAATTTGGTGCTCGCAAAGTGAGTGTCTTATCGCAGCCTCCGATTCAAGCACTTACGCCGCGCCACAGCTGTGAGATCTCCTAACTAAATAGTAAAAGGGTAATTCACAGCACTCATTGTATTTCACCAGTGTCGACGGCTGGCAGAGCAGCGACAATCGCGTGCGATGTGATCCTCATCGTTTTCACTTGGATCAAGACCTTCTCTCTATTGCGAGATTCGAAACGAACGAACATGCGCGACACGATTGCCAAGCCCTTACTGCGCGACGGCACGGCATACTTTCTGTGCGCAAATACCACCCGATGTCCCCAGTTGAACTCTGACGATCACGATAGCATCATTCTCGCCGTTCAGGTCATCACAATAGCCGCAGAATATGCTGCAACCGTGAGCGCTTGCTCCAGGCCTCTCCCCCCGTCCATTCATCTGACCGCGCTGAACTTAGAGCACATCCATCTGGGTCGTCTGGCCGTACTTCGAGCAAGCGTACGCTACCCTCGCTCATCTCCACCCTCTCCCATACTCACGGCATGCCGCGGGTCCGCAGGCTGACGGTCATCTTCTTCTCGCGCTTCATGCTCGACCTCCGTGGCGTCTACTACGCCCCTCAGGGCGAAGGCGCGAACACCTTCCCCGCGCTAGGCGGCAATTGCAATTCGAGCACCTTCTCCGACCTCCACTTCGCCACCCGACCCAGCGCGGACAACGAGACGCACGGCGCGCGCAGCTTCAGTGCGCGGGTCGTGGGCAACATGGGCGCGACGCTCTCAACGACGCTTTGGGATGGCTCGTCCGCGCGCTCGGAGCCGCACCTGCGGACACCGATGAGCGCCGGCCCGCGCGATGACCTCGAGGCGGCGGCGAAGGCAGGGCTGTGGGAGATCGAGGAGGTTGAGCGGGAGGAGTGGCGCGTGCGCGAGGAGGACGGGGACGAGCGGGTGACGTATGCGGTGCACCCGTTCCAGGTCGGCCTAGGAGCGGACTCCGTGCCCCACGGTGCGGAGGGCCGCACCAGAGCTCTTGGCTTCGAGCTGGCGGAGGTGCGCGTGGGGAGGGCGCGATTCGAGGAGCCTATCAGCCCGCAGAGTCCGGAAAGCTCGGTGAGTTTGAGTTTGTTGGACGTCGGCGAAGCAACGTACTGATGGCGTTGAGCTCGCAGAACATGGGATCTAGTGCAGTCTGAACAGAATACCTATACCCTTGTACCCCCTGTAGAGGCCAGCTTTCATGTACCATTTCCCCGAACCCCTGGCCAGGCTTCTAAGGATACACGCTCTGGAAGGATGAGTGCTCTCGGCCTCCGGATTTACTCGTGTTGTCGGCACCTTCGTCCACTCGGCTGAGGTTGTTGATAAGATAGCACTGGAGACTTCTTCGATGAATAAGTCATGTGCCGTTGCCTTGACAACATGACGTCGATCCTGCATGGCTGTACTTCTCGGTTTCCTTGTCTCATCGAAACTGCGCGGCGATTCGGGAGGAGTGGGAAGAACGGCGCGAGCGCCCAGATTGCCCGCAGCCACGTGGGGCTGTTCGTAGCAACGTCCTGGCAGTGGCATGTGCTCGAGTCCATCGGCCGTTACTTACTCTGACTCTGATTCTCTGAAAGAGAAAACATTTCCACCCAAGGTAACTGGACGCAGCATTAGAGTGAACTGATGATGGTAAATTTGAGCTAGCGTTTCAGACTTCAGTCGAGTCTCAGCTGCATCAACGCGATGGCCCCAGTATCACACTGTTCCTGGGTTCGCTCCTGATGGGATGATGTGTATCGACTTCGTCGCGATCGAACAGGATCGAATTTTCCCCCGGCCCCTCGCCTTTGTTTGGTCGGCGTGGCAGCCGGCTGTCCGACTCCTTGCGGTGCGCATGCCTTCCACGATCCCGCCGAATATAGGCCCCGTGCAAGGGTCGCAGCAAGCTTTCTTCTTCCCCTTCTACCTCTCCTTCCTTCCCGTGCTGGTGCTCGGTATCCTCTACTAGGCCACCATGTTCGGTGTCGCGACTCTCGTCGTCTTCCTCTCGCTCTTTTCTTCTCCCGTTCTTTCCACCCCTTCGTTCTACTCTTCTTCCTCTTTTCTCGATTCCATCTTCCCCTCTCATGCACCGCGACACTCCCCCTGGAGCAGGTCCCACCGGCGCACAAGGGCTCCTGCCCTAAGCCAGGACGTCGCCGCGAGGGACGTGAACGCCGACATCAGCACGATGCGCGAGCGCCGCATCGCACTCGACATCGGTGCTATCAACATGACGCTCGTCCCCGGCATTTCATCCTGGTCCGTCCAATTGGCGGTGTCTGAAGACCCGCAGCGCTAATGCTCTCACAGGCTCAGCACCATCGGCGATGACGGCAAGTGGCCCGACTCAGAGATCGACTACACTACTGGCTGCGACGGACGCCGCGCGAACTGGCCCGCGGAGGACCATTGGGTCCGCATCGGTGCGTTCACTGTCTCCGTCGTTTTGCGGCCACAGATTCAAATGAAGTCGTGCGCGTCGCAGAAACCCTCGCGGCGGCCTATCGTGGTGGCGTCCCCGGCGCGGAGAGCTTCGTGAACGACCCCAAGGTGCTCTCCACCGCGTCGCGCGCGATGGACTTCTGGTTCGCGAACGACATGGCGCAGCCCGACTGCCTCGTCAACGGCGGGAAGGGCAGCTGCCCGTGCGGCACGCCCGGCTTCTGGAACTCGAACTGGTTCTCCAACGTGCGTCCGCGCCCTCGCGCTCGTTCACGTGCGCGACCACTCACCCCTCCGCAGGTGATCGGCACCACCGTGCTCGTCGGCGACACCTGCCTCATCCTCGGGAACGACTCCCTGTCGGCCACGCAGTCCGGGAACTGCACCAAGTTCCTCAGCCGCGCGTTCGACGTCTTCGGCTCCGGCAAGAGCTTCCTCGCGGGCGCGAACATCCTCGACATCGCCAAGAGCGGCATCACGCTCGGGATGTTCACCCAGAACGAGGCCGCGATCGCGTCGGGCTACGACCACGTCCACAAGGAGGTCGTCCTCCAAAACAGCCTCCGCGCGGACGGCATCCGCGGCGACGGCAGCTTCGGGCAGCACGAGGGCATCATCTACAACGGCAACTACGGCAAGGACTACGCGAACGACGTGCTCGCGCTCGAGATCGTCGCGGCTAACACGCAGTTCGCGGCGCCGAGCGAGAGCAAGAGCGCGTTCGAGACCCTCGTCGACGGCGACATGTGGATGGTTTACCGGAACGCGCAAACGGGCACCGTTCATTGGGACTTCGTACGTCACAATCAAAGCAGGTCTTTGCTGATCTCGGCTGAATTGGATGCAGAACGTGCTCGGTCGCATGCTCACCTTCACCGTCAACGATGAGCAGTGAGTAATGTACAGTCGTCTCCAGAAACCCCCACTGACGTTGCTTAGGGCGAGCGCAGGCCTGCTGATCAACACGACGTGGATCAACGAGCTCGGCCAGTTCTGGAACTCGGACGCCCTGAACGGTGCTTTCTCCGCGCTCAGCGCCAACACCACGGACGCGAACGTCGGCGCTGTCAAGGGCAACCGTATGTTCTACGCCAACGACTACATGGTGCACCGCGGGCCTGGCTATGTTTCAACGCTCCGCATGTACTCTTCGCGCACGCTCAACACGGAGTGCCTCAACAACCAAAACGTAAGCGGTTCCTCGACCCCCTCGCGACGTGTGCTGACACGCGAGTAGCCCTTCGGGTTCCATTTGTCTGACGGCACACTGTACACCTACCTCGAGGGAGACGAGTACGAGGACATTGCTGGCATGTGGGATTGGAATCGTGCGCGGTCCGCTCCTCTCATCCTGTTTAACTCTAACGCCCCCTCCAGTGATCCCCGGCACGACGACCGACTACAACAACACACCCCTGACCTGCGACACCGCGAGGGTGGCCGGGAAGGAAGACTTTGTCGGCGGCGCCTCAGACGGCACCGTCGGCGCCGCGGCCATGCGCTACACGAACCCGACCACGGGCGCGCTCGCGTTCCAGAAGGCGTGGTTCTTCCTCGACAACGACGTGCAGCACGTCATGCTCTCCAAGCTCGCCGCCTCCGCCTCCTCCGCGCACCCCGTCATCTCCGTCCTCGACCAGAAGCGGCACTCGGGCGACGTCATCCTCGACGGCCAGACGCTCTCCGCAGGCGGCAACTTCAGCAACGCGCGCACGCTCTGGCACGACAACGTCGGGTACGCGTTCCCCGTCGGCGCCCACGTCTCCGTCGACTGGGGCACGCGCACCGGCGACTGGGGCCGCCTCGGCATCTCCGCCGCCGGCGCGCAGTCCGCGGACCTCTTCTCCGCGTGGGTCGGGCACGGCCGCGGCTCGGACGCGGTGCTCGAGGCCCCGATGGCGTACACGGTGTTCCCCGCGACGGCGCGCGACGCGCTGCCGACCAAGGTCGCGGCGTCGCTCACGAACCTTGCCACGGTGCAGAACGACGCGCACGTGAGCGCGGTGTGGGACGCGGGCAGCAAGCTCCTCGCCGCCGTCTTCTGGGACGGCGCGGGCGGGAAGGTGACGTTCACGCCGGGGAGCGGGCAGGCGGCGCTGACGCTGTCCGCGTCCGCGGGCTCGGTGGTGCTGTACCGGATGGACACGGGCGAGGTGATGGTCTCGGACCCCACCCAGACGACGAGCTCGGTGGACGTGACGGTCGCGGCGGCAGCGGGGGGGACGCGGCCGACCGGGTTCGCGAACGGGTCGGACAGCGTGAAGGTGAGCGTGTCGTTGCCTTCGGGCGGCGCCGCGGGACAGAGTGTGTCGAAGAAACTTGGCTCGTGATGTGTATATACTATGTGCACGGACATCAAGTTTAGCAGCATTCTTATTTTATTGTTATTCTTTATTCGCGGATTTTGCTAGAGACGTCCGACACACGCTCACTCTTAGACCCTTTCGCTTCTGGCTCGCAGGCGAATCGAGCACCTTTTGCGGATACCCGGAAGCCTGGAAAAGATTCCGGGTGATACTAAGTGATGGTCCACGGAAGCCGGCCTCGATGCGGAGTAGTAAAAGGGTATATCCTGCTCAGACTGCACTAGCTCCCATGTTCTGCAAACTCAACGCCGTCAGCACGTTGCATCGCCAACGTCCAACAAGCTCAGACTCACCGAGCCCTCCGGCCTCCGTGGGCCCACAGACCCCTCGAACCCCGCATCGGGACACGCCCTCCCCACGCGCACCTCCAGCAGCTCGAAGCCCTCCGCCCCGTGGAGCACGGAGTCCGCCCGGAGGCCGACCTGGAACGGGTGCACCGCATACGTCACCCGCTCGTCCTCGTCCTCCTCACGCACGCGCCACTCCTCCCGCTCGACCTCCTCGATCTCCCACGGCGCCGCCTCGCCGCCGCTCAGGCGCGTCCGCACGTGCGGCTCCGAGTGCGCACTGGACGAGCGGTCCCAGAGCGTCGTCGAGAGCGTCGCGCCCATATTGCCCACGACCCGCGCGCTGAAGCTGAGAGTGCCGCGCGAAGCGCTCTCGGCGTCCGTGCTGGGTTGGGTGGCGAAGTGGAGGTCGGAGAAGGCGCTCGAATTCCCGCCTCGGGCGGGGGAGGTGTGCGCGCCGCCGTCGCCCTGCGGGGCGTAGTAGACGCCCCGGAGGTCGAGCATGAACCGCGAGAAGAAGATGACCGTCAGGCTGCGGACCCGCGGCGTCTGGTGAGTACGGGAGAGGGTGGAGACGGGCGAGGGTAGCGCACGCTTGTTCGAAGTACGGCCAGACGACCCAGATGGATGCGCTCTACGAGATGTTCGGCGCAGTCAGATGGATAGACAGGGGCGAGGCCTGGAGTAAACCGCTCACACTTTCAGTATATTCTGAGACTATGGTGATGACCTGAACGGCGAGAATGATGCTATCGTGATCGTCAGAGTTTAACTGGAGGACGCCGGGTGGGATTTGCGCACAGAAAGTATGCTGTGCCGTCGCGCAGTAAGGGCTTGGCAATTGTGTCGCGCACATTCACTCGTTTCGAATCTCGCAATAGAGAGAAGGTCTTGATCCAAGTTAAAACGATGAGGATCACATCGCACGCGATTGTTGCTGATCTGGCAGCCGTCGAAACTGACGAACTACGATGAGTGCTCTGAAATCAACCCTTTAGTTGGGATATCTCACAGCTGTGGCGCAGCGTAAGTGCTTGATTCGGAGACTGTGATTAAGACACTCACTTTGCGAGCACCAAATCACTGACAACCGGAGATCGCATGTCGATACAGCCAACAAGATGTCCGCCCTGTAATGCCGTGTTCAAGGTGCTGATATACTAGAGTGACGAGGTCGGACTTTCGGGGTCAGCTATGCGTCATGCACGAAGAAGCGAAAACGAAAAACTCACAAGATATTCCACAGGTCTCACGAGAGACAGAGGTATCACTACGACCAATGGCCTCCAATCGCGGAGCCATATGGCATATATCCGGAGGGCTGTGAAAGCGGCGATGGAGAGGTAGTTCAAGATGGTGAGCGTATCATCTGTATGATTGATCCCGCCGCAGGCCTAGCAGTGGAAACTCTGTTGTGAGCGTCGTGTGAACTTAAGAGAGTCGGGAGATTACGCACTGCGTCTGTTGAATACCACACCATGACCTCGAGGATAAAGAAGACGCGCTCGATGACGGCACTATAGCGCATGATCAAGAAGATCCATGTAGCACCCGAGTGCTTCCGCCGCCAGATACGCTGGACCTCCAGTTGGAAAGTGATCGCAACGTCATAGAAGAGCAGCACTTGAGGGTGAAGTGAGCATGCCCGCCTTCTGCGAGAGTGGAGATGACTTGCCGCTGGATGCCACAATGCAATAGTTTTCGAAGATCCTGGACGAAGCAGTGTCAACGAAGTTGAAGAACGGACTGAGAGTGCGACTCACAATCTCTCGTAGGCAGCGATGGGGATGTCTACACTCATGTTCGTGTAGTGCGGAGCAGAGATGTTGCTTGGGGGGTGTGCAGCGCACTTTTGCGATGCCCGCGCGCAGGCTTTTGGGCAGCCCGGTTTAAGAATTGGCAAAGGAATGAGACGTCCCGGGAGGAGAATGAGCGGGTGCGCTCCGGTGTTTGCGGTGTACAGTGCCGTTGACGGCAGAGAGCACGCCGAGGGAGCCAGATAGAGAATCGGGCTGTGCGGTGTCATTAGTAGTGAATTGGATTGTGGGAGACGGAATGTGGACGAAATCAGCGCTCACCGAGCGAATGTGCCGGAGCCGAGAGGTGGCATCCGGAAGACAACACATGCCGATGGTCTCCACTCCGTCCCGCCTTCTGGAGTCTGCTCGCATTCTTCGCAGGCGTCGTGCAAGGAGGGGCCGCATGCCAGGGGCGTTGATGTGCGACACGAGAAGACATGGATGGCGCCGGGCGCGCATCTGTCCAGCATCCGGAGAACTGAGGCACCGGAATGTACGTAATGGCCTGGTCGGCTGTCCGCGGGAAGGGCCGCGGGACGGGTCTCCGCGCCCCCCGAGACGGGCGAGAGCCCATCCCGGTCAACAGTCTACCGCGCGTCTTGCTGCGGTTCAAATTCTCGCCATGCACGCACCTCTCCCTGTCAATATCTAAGTCATCACGGCCATGGCAGTCAATAACGAACCTGTCGCATTCCTCGGTGGCTGCAGCTTGCCAGTGAACACCTGGAACCGAGGTGTCCCCGGTCGTCCCGTTGCGCACCCTGCGCAACTTGCTGTCCTTCACACCGAAGATCTTGAAGGAAGAAAAATGAGTCCTGCGAGCTGTGTGGAACGCGGAGTGAGGGGACCTTCTAACTTCTGTCTGGACATTGAGCGGGCCTGAGGGTTTCGCCGTTGGGCCATCGCAGGACAGACAGTCTCTTCGATGTTCTCAACTTTGCCCGGCTTCCATCTAGGACGCGCACCCATGCGCATATCCCAAGAGACGTATTCTCATGTCGTGCCCAGTCGATCCCATTCCGTCTTTGCTCGTCCATGGCATCCCATCTCGAAACGTTGAATCTTCTGGTTGATTTGATACAAGCGAGGTGCACGAGAGCGATAGAGTACAAGAGTGATCCGTACATACTCGAGAAGCCATCGTCCGTCCAATGCGTAGCATTTCTCCTGACGCCACCGCACCCCTCACGGCAGACTGAGCACGGTCTGCATGAACTGATCGTAGTTGATCTGTACCCATCCGTCGCGGTCCGTGTCGAGGCGCTGGAAGGACTCCGAGATCTGCTTGATCGCGACGCATGCGCGGACGAAGCGGTCGAAGGTGATGCCTTGCGCCTGCGGCGGTGCCCCGTGTGCACCGCTTCGCGGGCCCGAGCCTGGCGCCACGTCTACCCCGTGCGGGTAGACCAGTCAGCGGTGTGCACAGGGAACGATGCCGAGAGAGCGCGCAAAGAGGGAGAACAGCAAGTCATGAACCTCCAGCTGATCAAGGATGCGCGAAGACGTCGCATCTTATCTCAGCTGGCTTGGACGGATCCAGGGGTGGGGAGGGTGGCGCGCAAGCAAATGGTGGAACGAGCGGACTCACCGTACTTGGCCTCAACAAGGCGCAGGAGCTGAGGGGAGAGGTTGTACCCAAACTGGCGGAGCGCCTCGGTGAGCTCGTTCGTGTCGATTGAGCCGGACCGATCGCGGTCAAAGTGGCGGTAGACGTTCTGCCAGTCCTTGATGTACTTCCATAGTCCCGCGAACTCGTGGAAACCGATGGTACCAGAGCGGTCGGTATCCTACAAGGGCCAGGCATGGGCGAGGATGAGATGGCGAAGTAGTGGTTGAGGATGATGAACGTACGAAGATAGTCATGAGCATCTTGACCGTGTCCAGGTCGAAGGCTGGGGATCCAGACCACACTCGCGTTAGCACGAGCTCGCGCACGCGACACCAGCCTGAGGACACTCACGAGTCCAATCTCCGTTGATCAGTGCCTTCTCTACACACGCACAAGCGATCCATGAGCATCCACAACGACCAACGCCACTCGCCACTCACGGAGCTCATGAACAGAGATGTGACCAGATCTGTCGATATCGACGGCCGAGAACCAGCTCCAAAGCCTGGGCATCCACGCATCCAATAAGCAGAGAGTATACATCGGTGACCAAATCACTTACTGAGGGTCCACGCCGGGAGGCGGCCCAGCGGGAGCAGGGGCGAACCCGCCAGGAGCACTACCGTACCCTCCTCCACCGCCGCCGTAGCCTCCACCGCCGTAGCCGCCGCCACCACCTCCATAGCCGCCACCGCTATATTGGGATTGAGGACCCTATCGCAGACGACATGATGGTATCAGGTTGAATGAGAGGGCGGCGCGCCGGGAAAGGAGACGCACTCCGTAAGACATGTCTGTGCGGGCTTCAGACGCCGGGTTCGTGAACAGGGGCTGGGGTGAGGGTAAGAGCGAGAATGAGGAGCGTCGGAACTCACGCGCGCTGGGGCTTTAAGGCGCGCTCGAAGGGAGCAGTACAAGACAAGAAGCACCGGCGGGGGCGGTGGACAGTGCCAAGGGGTGCGGCCGGCAGCGGCGGCACACAGCATGCATCGCCCGGGCCGCCACTCGCCGGTTTGCGTCATCGGCCACAGCGCCCTCTGCGATCGCGTTGGCGCGCACGGATCGCGCGTTTTGCTCCTGGCCACATCATCGACTATATTCGTGAGCTCCTCACATCGTGTAATCACTCCCGGTCGACAAGACTGCGAATATCCACAGGCATGGCCACCGTCGACACCCTTCCCTTTCCTGCCTTCGCGGGCTCCATCCCTTCCGCGGATCGTGCTTCACTGTCAGGACTTTCGGACGTTGCCATTCGCGAATATGTCGTCGCCAAGGCAGAGGAGTACCGCGAGATCGCACTGTCTCTGCTCTCTCTCCACAGCTCAATCGCGCCGATCCATCGCGAAGTTTCCCGGCGGAACTCCTCTCCGAGGTTCTGTCACACTGCTGGCACGACATGCGCAGTGTCCGCCTCATGCACGTCTGCCGTGTCTGGCGCGCGACAGCACTCAAAACCCCGCAACTGTGGGCAGACGCCGCCGCCGCTCCGGGCACCCAGCTCACATTCAACAAGGCCAGGATCGAGGCGCAGTGTCAAGACCGGGAGGAGGGCCGCATCTCGTTTGCGGCTTCCGCGATAAAACTGTCGTCTCCGACACCGCTGCGCCTTAAAATCCATTTTCTCCCCAATACTCTATCCCAGACACTCTCGTCACACAGCTCCCGACTCGTCGATTTGTTGGTTCGCCTCCAAAGCGCCGCCCAGTTCAAGTCTCTGTGCGCACTTCTTGCCAACGGCGTACCCAACCCCACCGTCCTCGGCATCGCGTTTCCCGGATATACAGGGATGTACGGAGAGTGGCTGGCGCCGGGAACCAGAAGCCACTACGACGACATCGACGAGCACGATGACCACAGGAACCTTTCCAAGGAACTCACGAAATGGAGCTCGGGTGTTCAAGGTCTGATCGCGGACACTCCTCGTCTCCAGACCCTCAGATGCGTTCCGATAGATCTCGTATCTCACTTGCCCCACCGTGCGCGACATGTGTATCACTCGCAGTATACCACTTGGAGGCCTTCGTTCGCACGTTGAAGAACACTCCGGACCTCAAGGCCTCATGCGTCTCGATCTGTGCATGGAGAACAGGAGCAATACCCGGCTCAGGCCGGACGATGAAGCACCCGGGTGGGTGGCCAGCCCCGTCGACCTTCCAGCGCTGTGGACGTTGGTATTCAACCTCAACGGCAACATAAACACGGCACAGTACCTGGATCTCATCTCCATCTCGTCTTCCGTCAGCATCAACCTCATGCAAAGCGACCCTGGCCTTTTGCACCTCTACCAAGACCTCCCTTCTCGCCACACCCCGCTCATCCAGTCTCGGGTCCAGTCCGCAAGCACCGTGCACATCTACCACTCTTACGACCGGTGGGTGACCCACACCGCCGTCGGCGGTGGTGGGGACGTACGTTCCAGGCCCTGGGCTATTTGACCAGGAGGAGCTCGAGAAGCTGGTGGACGGGCCGGTCGTCTTTGAGGGGTTCACGTACCAGGAAATCGCTGAGTAGAGTGCGTTCGTGGCGCCTGGGCAGATGGCAGATGGATGCACTTTGTGACTTACTGCGAGCGTTGACTCCCACAGATCAGCCTATTCGGCACGAAGTCACCGATCTGACGCCGGACGTGGGGGTGGAGGTGGAGAACGTCGCCGCCACTGTGCATGTCCGCGCCTGCTGTGCGAAGCTGGTGAGCATGCTCGACCAATGAGCGGTAATGGGATCGCGATTGGAGACACTTCGGCGGGCAGAGCGCAAGGCTGGTGGCGAGCAGCCGTGCGAGCGCGAAGTTGAGACAGAGACAGAGATGGGTGCTGCGAGACACGCTTATTCGACGCTTCATACAGCATTAATTACTTGGTAAGTAAAGTATGAGTACAAGAGACCACAACGTGCCCATTAGTAACCTCGTATAAATCAATTCATCGAGCCCAGAGAGGTCGTAACGCTCCGTCCCGCCACCCCGCCAGACGGCAGCGACACGCTCACCGTCACCTTCGTTTTGCCGTTGAACCCAGCGGGCAGCTTGTTCGCCCCGGCCGCCTCGAGCATCTTGTTCCCCCCGGCCACCTCGAGCGTCACGTCCACGCTGGACAGCGTCTGCGTGGGGTCCGCGACCGTGAGCAGGCCCTTGTCGACCCGGTAGACCACGACCGCGCCCGCCGACGCCGTCACCGTCACCTCCCCGCACCCGGCGAGCGCGAACGTGGCGTTCCCGCCCGCGGCGTCCCAGAAGACGGCCATCGCGACCCGGTGCGTGGCGTCGAACGCGGCGCTCACGCCCGCGTCGTTGCGCACCGTCGTGAGCGCCTTCTCGACCCTCTTCGCCTTCCCCCGGAACGCGCCCTTGTCCGTCGCGGGGAAGACGGTGTACGCGGTGTGCGCCGCGGCGGCGTCCGCGCCTGCGCCGTGCGCGACCCACGCGGAGAAGAGGTCCGCGGACTGCACGCCGGCGGCGGAGATGCCGAGGCGGCCCCAGTCGCCGGCGCGGGTGCCCCAGTCGACGGAGACGTTCGTCCCGTTCGGGAAGGAGTACCCGACGTTGTCGTGCCAGAGCGTGCGGGCGTTGGTGAAGTTGCCGCCGGCGGAGAGCGTCTGGTCGTTGAGGACGACGCTGCCGGAGTGGCGCTTCTGGTCGAGGACGGAGAAGACGGGTGCGCCGGACGCGGAGGAGAGGTTCGAGACCATGACGTGTTGGACGTCGTCGTCGAGGAAGAACCACGCCTTCTGGAAGGAGAGCGCGCCGGTGTACGGGTTCGTGTAGCGCATCGCGGCGGCCCCAATCGTGCCATCCGAGGCGCCACCGACGAAGGCCTCCTTGCCGGCAAATTTAACCTGGCTGCAGTTGAGGAAGGTGTTGTTGTAGTCGGTCGTGATCCCGGGAACCACTGAGTGGAAGACGTCAGAGACTGTAGAGATCACAAATTCCGCCTACGTACGGTTCCAATCCCACATGCCAGCAATGTCCTCGTACTCGCCTCCATCGAGGTAGGTGTACAGGGTACCGTCAGACAAATGGAAGCCGAAGGGCTGCTCGCGTGTCAGCACGCGTCGCGAGGTGGTCAAGGAACAGCTTACGTTTTGGTCGTTGGTGCATTCCGTGTTCAATGTCCGCGAGGAGTACATGCGCAGCGTTGAAACGTAGCCAGAACCACGCTGCACCATGTAGTCGTTGTTATAGAACATGCGGTTCCCTTTCAATGATCCAACATTTGCGTCTTTCGCACTCGAGGTGAGCTGGGTTGCCGCGGAACTGATGACATCTGAGCCCCAGAGCTGACCGAGCTCTCCAAGGAGGGTAGTGTTTATCGAGATGCTCGCAGTCGTCCTGTGCTCCACGTGTTAGTCGCCATGCCATATCCGGTGCCGCATTTGTTACTCACTCCCCATCGGAAACAGCGAAAGAGATCATGCGACCCGTAACGCTCTGTAGCCAAATGAGATGCGCGTCAGAAGAAGCAACAAGACAACAAGCAGACCACGCACAAAGTCCCAGTGCAGAGTGTCGGTGTTGATGTTCTTGTAGATCATCCACAGATTGCCTTCTACAAGCGTCTCGAACGCGCTCCTGCTCTCGCCGCTCGCCGCGAAGTCGGTCCCACCGGCGGTGATCTCGAGCGCGATGACGTCCTCAGAGTAGTCCTTGCCGTAGTTGCCGTTGTAGATGATGCCGTCGTGCTGTCCAAAGCTACCATCGGCACGGATCCCATCGGCCACCGCCTCGTTGTGGACGACGACCTCGGTGTGGATGTGACCAAACGTGTCTTGCACCCCGGTCGTGTTCTCCGCGAGCAGCCCCGCGGCGAGCCCGCACTTGGCGATGTCGAGGATGTTCGCGCCCGCGACGAAGCTCCTGCCGGAGGCAAATGTGCCGAAGCTGCGCATGAGGGTGTTCGTGCAGTTCGCGCGCTGCGTGTCCGAGAGGGTGTCGTTTCCCAACATAAGGCACGTGTCCCCAACAAGCAAAGGCACCCCGATCACCTGTCCGGACGGTGCGGTCAGTCTCTGCATGTACGGTGAGGATAGAGAAGGGGAGCCTCACGTTGGGGAACCAGTTGCCGTTCCAGAAGCCGGGGGTGCCGCACGGACACTTCTTTTTCCCTCCATTGTAGAGGCAGTCGAGGTTGGGCATGTCGTTCGCGAACCAGAAGTCCATCGCGCGTGACGCGGCGGAGAGCACGTTGCTGCTGTTCACGTACGCATCCGCACCGGGTACACCGCCCTGCCATGCGGCCGCGAGGGTTCCTGAAGCACAAAGCGCGTAGCGCGCATACGTCAGATGAGAGGAGCGGGGACGGACGAACGGAGAGAAGACGCACGGATGCGGACCCAGTGGTCCTCCGCGGGCCAGTTCGCGCGGCGTCCGTCGCAGCCGGTGGTGTAGTCGACCTCGGAATCCGGCCATTTACCGTCGTCACCGAGTGTGTCGAGCCTGCTTGAGGTCAGCAATCGGCTCTATGATCGGTGGGAGGGGAGAGAACGTGCCAAGAGTCGATTTCTGGGACCAGCGTGGTGTTGACCCCATTCACCGCGAGCGCAAGGTAACGCGAGCGCATCGTACTAAATTCGGCATCGTCCGTGGCGCGGTCTTGAAATGCCCTGATGGAAGCGCTCCGTCGTTGGTGGGTGAAAGAAGAGTGAACAGCGAGAGGAAGAAGCGAAAGTGAGATAACGAGCGACAAAGGCACAGTCGCCAACATGGCTCGTGAACCTGGAGAGAGAACTAGGGAAGGTGTGGGGGAAGCCAGGGCGTGTTAAGTACCAGCGGGTTCACTCAGGCTAGCCCGTGATGGTTGCATATGGATGTCTGAAACAGTGAAACCCGATGTAGTTCTGTTGATCGAGCACGGCGAGAGGCCAAGTAGACAAGAGTAGACACTGCTTGGCTCCAGAGAGCTGAGGAGAAGTTAGTCGTTCAAGTCCGACAATGTAGACCGGCCCTGCAGAAGACGTGGGCAGCAGGGCTGGCATTCGTTTTCACTGTCAGCCTCGGTAGTGTTGAAAGGTCCTGCCAGCGTCGGGAATGCCCACTATGAGCTTCCCAGGCGCACATGCCCCTGATGGAGCCCTGGTTGCGCAGTGTCAGCTACTGTCTCAGTCGCGTGCGACTCACTCAGCCTCTGAGACTCGGACTGGTCTCCAGGGATCCGGCTGATCGGTGTGAGACTTGAGTCTCAGCTCAGAGCCCGATCGGGTCAAGGGCACGTGCCCGCGCGGAGACACGACAGAGGAAAAGTTCCATGAGAGCCTAGAGGTGTTCAGCTCTTCGCGTATGAACCGACCGACAAACGCACATCTTTAGTGAGAAGGTGGTTGGAACGTTGATCAGTGTACAGGGTGTCTGTTATGTTGCGACCGCCTCGGGTATCATATAGGCACGTGCAAGCTGTGCTGGCATAGCCGGCCGCGCGGGCCTCGTCAGCCAAGGAATCCAACACCGACCTTTGAACCTCCTCCTGACTCACCCTCACAAGGCCCCCGACAAGAAATCTTCGCGCTTCAACTTGGCGTGCACTCGGGTTCAGGGCGGCTTCTACCAAGTTGGAGCCAAGCAGCTGGGGCCAGGTTTCTACACCTCCGACTCATTCCCGTTGAAGTAGGCAAACTTAGACAAGAACGTTACATAGTACGATGAATTGGAGCACCCAGAAACGAGCATCGGTTCCACCCAAACGCGGCGTACGAACAAGCTCTTGGATTCGATGCTGGCATAAGTATGCTGCCCCTCGGACCTGGACATTTGTATCGGCGACTTCGTCATTGTGGCTGGCCCGTGGGATGAGATGAGATGAGATGGATCATAGACGTGGACTCCAAGATGGGTGACACCTGAGCAAGGCTTGCGTTCATTTCCGATGTCCTTCTCTTCCTGACCAAAGCGACACTCGGTGTCCATCCTCCTCCTCCGGTCGAACTCTGACCGTTTCAAGTGCCGACTGTGTACCCGATCCATGCCTGTACATGTGCAAGTACCACCGGGAAGCTGGAGATCACCTGACGACTCTTACTACCACAGCCAGCCTCAAGTTGAAACCTCGAGTGAGTAACGAGAGACGTTGGGAACCTCAGGCGGGCAGAGATTGACGAGCCTATCCCCTTGCGATATGGATAGGTTTTGGCCCCGTTGGCCCGAAACGAGGAATTTGGCCTGTGCCTCATATAATCCTCACCCACGGACCGTGGAAGGGCGCATGCAGCCGGAAGAGCCTTGCGTCGATGGGTCGAGATGTGAGTCGTCTTCTCCGTCCCACCGCCTAGGCTCATACGAATGCATCCAGGAGCTTCTCGTGTGGATTTTTGAGGCCCGCGTATGGCAACCCAATTCACCTGGGGAGAAGTTCGTGACGGAGACGCACTACGACGCCGATTTTGCGCGCAAGCACAAGCTGATGGCGACGTTTCACGACATCTACGGTGCCGCGGACCAAGACCCGCTCGACCTCACGCCGATGGGGTGGAAGGAGATGATCGAGAACGTGATCCAGATCGAGCTGGTTACGAAGTGAGCGGAATGTGCGAATAGCAGTGTTGAGTGCATCTTCGATTGCATGGTCTATTCTGCCGGCCGAAGGTGTGCACCATGGCCGGCAAGAGTCCGACGGTAGCATGTTCACCCACACCTCAACGCTCTCGCTCTCCACCACCGGCGAAAAGTCGGTCTGCTTCGTCGCACAGAGTCGACATCCAGACGTGGAGGGGGAAGGGGCCTCCCTGCACCGTCGGGCTCGGTGAAATCGTGGCCGTCGGGTAACCTTGAGCGTGCACCCATATGTGGGCATAGAGGGGCGGGCGCTCGATAGATGCTTGAGGAGGAGCAGCCGCAGAAATGTCGGAGCGCGGTCGCGCGCGAGCGTGCTTCGCGGCTCAAGTGCGTTCGCGAGTGCGCACCGCGTCCTGCGCACCGCCGTTCACCCCCTCTCCTCGCCCGCGCACCCCGACGGCGACTCAACGCGGCCTGCTCTCGCGCGCCTCCCTCGCGCCGTGGTCGAGACATCGATATCGGCGCGGACATTCCTCGGACGCCGCCGGGAGATGGAGGAGGCGGCGACGCGCGATGGCGGGCCCGAGTTTAGGCCATATAAGCCTCGCGCGTGCAGCAGCGATAAGCCCCCTAACCCGCCGTCGCTCACACCGGGACGAGATGGTCTACCACATCCTCGTCGCGTCGTACGCAAACGAGGTCTCGACGCTCGCGTTCGACCCCGACGCGCCCACGCCCTCTCTTTCCCTTACCTCCACCATCTCGGTCGGCCATCACCCGTCCTGGATCACCCCACACCCGACCGACAAGAGCATCGTCTTCACCGCGCTCGAGCAAGACGATGGGAGGCTCATAGTGTTCAAGGTGGGCGATGAGGGGCGGCTTACCCATGTATGCGAGAGATCCACCGGCGGGAAGGATCCGTGCTCTCTGGTTACACTCAGCGAGCCTGATGAGATACTCGTTGCCAATGTGCGTACCCTTCTTCCTCATTGCTTCCTCCCGGTCCACACCCGCATACAAGGAGCTGATGCTTGCCAGCGATAGTATTCTTCTGGTGCCTTCACTGCAGTCCCCATCACATCCTCTCCGTCCTACATCTCCACAACTTCCCCGGCACCTACGATCACCTTCTCTGGCACTGGTCCCAACACCGACCGCCAGGAAGCGTCGCACCTTCACCAAGTCGCACCCCACCCTAGCTACCCGGAGCTCCTCGTCCCCGACCTCGGCGCGGACAAGGTGCGCCGACTGGTGCGCAAGGACGGGCAGTGGGAGGAGAAGGGCACCGTCGACTTCAAGCCTGGCTCGGGCCCTAGACACGTCGCATTCCACGGTACGTCCCACCTCCTTCCTCCTCTGCGCGCCGTCGACCGATGCGTCTTTCCCCCCCTCCCATCCACCGCGATCACCTGACCGCGTCCCTCCCTTCTTCTCTCCTCCTCCCACGCCCCCGCACGCAGGCGACGTGATGTACACCGTCCTCGAGCTCTCCTCCGAGCTCGCTGCGCACCGCCTGCCGCCGCTCCCCGCGCCCGCGACGCTCCTCGACACCGTGCCGACGATGGCCGCGCCCCCGCCGCCGGAGCACGCCGCGGCGATGCTCGCCGCCGAGGTCCTCGCCCCGCCGCCGTCCGCCGCGTTCCCGCGCGCGCTCGTGTACGTCTCGAACCGGAACGACCCGTCGCCGCTCGGGGACACGATCGCGGTCTTCGGCGCGGTTGACGCGGGGGGCAAGATCGCGCTCGTGCGCGAGGTGCGCTCGGGGCTCAAGCACCTGCGCGGGATGGTCTTCGGGGGCGCGGACGACCGCTGGCTCGTCGCGGGCGGGGCGCAGGGCGGGGGCGTGAAGGTGTTCGAGCGCGTCGAGGGCGGGGCGGGGTTGAAGGAGGTTGCGAGCGTCGAGCTCGAGGCACCGACTGGGTTCCTGTGGCTGTAGGGCTGTCGCACCACCTCGGAGGATGGAAGAGCGAGGGTGTGGACTAGATGGAGAAGAATGTAAGTTTGACGTAGTGCTATTCAAGATTATGCAAAACTCTTCGTCACCGCGAACGTGAACAATCTACGGCCATGCGCCCTTGAAGTCTCTGCGGCCGACTACGCATTTCTCAGCGCTCAGCAACGAAGGAACTGTACTGTCTTTCCTGTGAACCGACTGTACGTTTCGCACAGTGCTCGTTTGTCGTCATCTGACGGTCCCCTTACATACAGCCGCTGAACGCCCAAAGCATTGATTTCGTTTTTTTCTCGGAGCTGATCTTCCATTCCTCACAGTGCCGGCGGTACGATAAGTCATGGCTTTCGATGCCGAGAATGTCGGTGTCCAGATTAGTGGCGTACCGTGTGGGAGACTTTCTCTCAGGTTCCGAAACATGACGTGAGTATGATGGCCTGGAATATTGGAATATGAATTCTGTCCGAGGACGCGCTCATTCTGCGACAGGGCCCGGCCTGAAATCGACTTGCGTCGTGTTGAACAGCAGGTTGAAGTGAAATCGCGTCAGGTGAGCCGCTCAAGGCATGCGAATATCCCAGGACGCCCGGCTAGAAGCTCGCCCGCCGTCCCCGCCTCAACCATCCAGGGCTGCTTACAGGGCGCCGTCCCGAGCGCAGGTATATATGTCATCCACTAAACGTCCGCTTCTCGCACTGTTCGCCCCTCCAAGCTCGCCAAGTCCACGCTGCGTTCCCGCCACACAATCGCTGGCAACGGTGACAGCTGTCCGGAGTCAAAGCCCCTGCGCAGCTAGATAAGTATAGCAGACCCCGCGACCTTGCGCCGATCCTGCCAGTTTCCGCGAGCCTCCCGCTGCCGCCGCCGATCGCCGACTGGTTCTCCCCCACGCCGGTCCCTGCCGCTCGACGTCGCCACGCGCCCTTCGACCCTTCGACCCCGCCCGTTCGCGCGACGAGCTCGCAGTCGCCTGCCTGCAAAGCCGCTGGAGTCGGCGTCAGAAACTCGGCAATCGCGCCATGCGCGAGGCGTCGGTCGTACATAATATCCCTTCCCACTGATTTTTTCGCAACCAACCCCGCTCCCTACACTGTCGTCTGTCCCTGCGTGCTACGACCCCACAGGCATTCATATTTCCGCCACCTGGGCAGCGTCATTTCCTCCGTCTCACAGTGTAGATACGGCCCTCGGAATACCTCCTACCGCACAATGGATGTGGACCGCTATTCATTCGCGTACGTGATATCAGTGCATTTTGTCGCTCAAGCTCACGTTTTGCTCCCTTAGTATCACAATACACACGTGCCTCGTAGCCTCCGCATGTGTGTACTCTCAAGAGTCTCTTTGGGCTGGCATAGCCTCTTATACTCCTCCGCATTTTGAATCCAGCGTTGCTCGTCTTCGACTGGACGGTGCTCCTCCCGGTGGAAATCTCTCGTATATGGCGACGGCGTTTCTCGCCGGTTACCTGGATATATCTGGTCAACCGGTACACATCCTTGGTCGTCAAGTGGACGTTGATAACGTCGTTTTTCTGGAGTTCCAGCCCTCAGGTATGTCAGTGCTGCAGGATTCACATCGCGTGGCTCGTCTCTGACGATGACTTACAGAGGTGAGTCAAGTGCGGACGCATCGCGGCGCCGTTTCCAGGGTTAAATCTACGAACAGCTGTGAGGTTGTCAACCGTTTGCAAGACGTTGTGGCAATCATAAAGTATTTTGGGTTGGCGTGTGAGTAGAGTCAGCTGGTGCCCTTTCGTTTGAACTCACCAGCTGCGGTAGTCTTCACGTGTGTACGCACCACCGCGATCTGGGGGTGTCACTGGAAATCGCTTCTTGCGATTGTGCCTCTCAGTCTAGTGCGGCCGGTGCTTTACGCGGTACGTACGTAACCAGGTCGCGTGAGCGCTAAGCTCATCCATCCCGGAATCTTGCAGGTTTCGAGCACCTCATACCATGTGTTGTACGTCGGTCCACCTCGGGGCTGTATACGAAACTACGACGGATTGGTCTGGCCTCCGGAGAACCTGGCACACGTGTGAGTTCTGCCCGAGCGTGACGGTGCCGTAGATGGGGAGCGCAGACAAATGTGAAGTTAACCCAGATCTTTCTAGAGGTGCGGTAGTTCACTACTGATGTTGAGTGGAGTGCTTGATGATTAACCGACTCCAGCTTCGGAGTGGTCGATCCTGGGAACAATAGTCTCGGAGGCGATATTGCTGATTGTTACGTGGTTGCGAACCGCCGAGATCTATAAGACGTTCAGGTCACTAGGGAAACCTACTCCTCTGACGTCTCTCTTACTTCGAGACGGTAAGTCATTCCTTATCTCGACGAAAACTCTCACCTTACCACAACATGCCGATAGGGACGATCTACTTTGTGTACGTCGCTTCGACTTATGGGTTGTTCGTTCAACATGCTTCGCGATCAATAACCGTGACTCGGCGTTTCCCAGAGGCTTGGTCGCAGTTAAAGCATTCAACGTGTACGCTCGAACAGTAGGTTCCAAATTGTTGCGCATCGATGAGCCGCATAGACTCACGGTCACGCTGCAGCATCGACCCGTATGTCCCTTCGGGCCTTAATTTTTTGAACGTCTCGCTTGACATACCGCTGATCGCCCCAAACTCTTAGACAACCGCGTTTCTTTTCTCTTGGACATTTTTCGATGAAACGTCGGTTCTGTTGTCCATGGCCTCACTCTGTGAACTAATGTCGTCCGCAGCTTGACGGACATTCTCCTGTGCCGCTTTATGCTCGACCTTCGGGGCATCCGTCCGGGTGCCGACGATCATCAGCTCTGTGCGCCGTTCTTCTCCAGCTGGGACTTCGACGAAGTGCGCGAGACGCTCCAGCGCAAGAGCACATCATTGCACATGGCGACCTGCCCAAGGCGCGTGGCCAGTAGATCCGTCGATCTCGGAACTCGGGATAGATGTGATTGTATTAACCCGCTGTCGACGAGGCCGAGAGAGTCTCGACGGCGCCGGTGAGCCTCTTCCGTTCCGTACACGCTATCTTCAACATCTGACGGCGCACATTCCAGTACAACAGTATGACCTATGTATGTTGTCCATGTGCTCTCCTGGTCTCTGATGGTGCCAATGTTTCTCACTCCACCTTCATCCTCCGTGGCATTACCGACGTTGCCGAACCTTCTCAGGGACGGTCAGCCACTAAAATGTTGAGTTGTTGCATTCTGTAGTGATCGTTGTGGTAGATATCGGGCGCAGCTTCCGGGGAAAATGTCTAAACATTACTACTGTTGCGGAATGCACTTCTAATGGCCGACTAGCTCAGTTGGTTAGAGCGTGGTGCTAATAACGCCAAGGTCGTCGGTTCGACCCCGGCGTTGGCCATTCCTTTTCTCCTAGTGTTTATGGCTCCGACAACCACTGATGACGACTCTCCTGTCGCTGTTTTACATGAGTTAGGTCGTGCTGTCAGGCCTCATTACTGTTTTCCAGGGACGCGACATGTCAGGGACGCGCCACGCTGTCTGTCAATGCCGTAAGTGGATGCAGCCCTCAAGCGCTCATCGCCGACCTGATCAATGTCGTCCTGTTTCCAGACAAGTCCGTTCATGCACACGACGACAGCTCTCCGACTGAAACTATGAGTTTGTTCCTCAGTCTACATACCGCATTCGTATGGTGACTCCCAGTCCTTACGAGTCCCGCTGTTGCGCTGAAACCATCCGACAGTGCTCTCGGTCGCCCTGCCGCACGTTGCCGTTCGACATTGCGTTGCGGTTGCAATCCCGCACGGACATCACACTAGTACTTGTCTTGGAAGGCCGTCTCATCGGACTCGCCCCAGGCCTCGTGCGTCGAAGGAATCTCGTAAGACTCTTCGACGGTCTCGTCCGTCAACGCTCCCACACGCCACGCGTCAGGGCCTCGCAAATCCCAGCAAAACGGCCGCAGACCTCCCACGTCCATATAAAAGCCGCGGCCAGCGGGTAATCTGCCGCGCTCTCGTCATATCCACCCCCAGCTCCCTCGAGTCTCGGATCGCGCCCTCCCCGCGACCGTCATGGACAACCGTTCACCCGTGGTCGTCCTCGGAGTCGGGGCGCTGGTCTTCGGTCTCTACAGGCTGTGGACGCGACCCTCCCTGTCCGACGTCCAGGGCCCCCAGCCGAAGTCTTTCTGGCTCGGTGAGCACTGGCGCGTTCTGATGTGCCGCGTCCTCGTCGCGTCCTGACACGGCGTTCTTCACTTCCCCGTCCCCAGGTAACTTGCCGGAGCTCTTCCAGGAGGAGTCGGGCGAGACGGAGTATGAATGGCTGAGAGAGTACGGCGGGGTCGCGCGCGTGAAGGCGCCGTTCGGAGTGAGTGCCCGGGCCCCATTCCATCACTCCGCGCCCACACTTCCCCTCCCCGGCACACGTCCACCCCTCGCCGGCGTCTTGATTTGTCGCGCGCGCGAAGTTCTGATGACCGGGTCTGTCCGCAGGAAGACATGCTCTGGATATCAGATCCGAAGGCGCTCCAGTACATCTTCCACACCTCCGGCTACAACTTCCCCAAGCAGCCCGAGCGCCGCGTCATCTCGCGCCTCATCGGCGACACCGGGCTCACGTGGGCCGAAGGTACGTAGTACGTCGCTCGTGTGGGTGCGCACCGCGCGTTCGCAGCGCGACGCTCACGCAGCCGCGCAGGACACGACCACCAGCGGCAGCGGAAGGTGATGCTCCCCGCGTTCGGCTCGCCCGAGTCCAAGGCGCTGCTGCCCGTGTTCAGGCATTATGCGGAGCAGGTACGCGGCCTGCCACGCCCTTGGACGGCACGGTGGCGGCACCGAATGCTCACAGGACTGGTGCAGGTCACCTCCAAATGGAAGGACACGCTTGCGGGCACTGAACACGGCGCGGCAGAAATCAATGTGCACGAGTCGATAGCCCCTGCGACCCTGGAAGCCATAGGGGAAGGTATGTGGCCGAATGATGGTTGCGCGCAGAGCTTTACGTACCTCCCGAACCCTGCAGCGGCTTTCGATTACAAACTGGGTGTCCTGGGCAACGAAGCGAGCGAGTTGGGGGGAGCATACCGGAACCTGGTGTGAGCGTTTTCCTGCTTAGCGTGCCTGCATGCGACTGCTGAATGTCGGCTTAGTGCTAGCATCTTCTCATCGCCATCCAATGCGCGAATATTCTCCCAGGCTGTCGCGCACTACATCCCGATGTGGATACAGGACTACATCTACGATAACATTCCCAGCAAAGGGCTCGAGAAGGCACGCATCAACCGTCAGGCGGCGCACAAGGTCGCCAACGAACTTCTCGAAATGAAGACCGAGGCTCTGCTCTCAGGAAAGGAGCACCGCGACGTCATGAGCATCCTCGGTGCGTGCCGCTCCCCCCACCCGTTGCCTTCGCGAGCGCAACGCTGACTGAGCCGCGTCCCACCCCGGCAACCTGGACATCCGTGCACCCTTGGCACCTGCCCCCTGCCTCGCACTCGCGCAGTCCGGGAGAACGCCAAGGAGCCGAGCGAGTCGCGCCTGTCCCACGCCGAGATCGTCGCGCAGATGCGCACGCTCATGCTCGCCGGCCAGGAGACGACCTCGAACACGCTCTCCTGGCTCCTCCGCGAGCTCGCGCACCAGCCCGCGGTGCAGGCGCGCCTCCGCGCGGAGATCCACGCCGCCGAGCGCGCGCTCGTCGCGCGCGGCGCGGCCGAGTTCACCGTCGCGGACTTCGAGGCGATGCCGTACCTGCAGGCGGTCCTCAAGGAGCACCTCCGCTTCAACCCGCCCCTGCCGCACCTCTTCCGGCAGAGCGCGCGCCAGGACGTGCTCCCGCTCGCGGTCCCGCTGCGGACGCGCTCCGGCAGGGTCGTCACGGAGCTGCCCATCCGCGCCGGCCTGCGCGTCGTCCTCTCCATCTGCGCGTACCACCGGTGCGTTCCCGAAATGCGCCCGCCCGCCCGTCCCCCTTGGGCACCCGCTGACCCGTCTGGCATCTCTCGCCTCCGCGCGGACGCAGGAACCCAGACGTGTGGGGCGCGGACGCGGACGTCTTCAACCCGGACCGCTGGCTGGACGCGTCCAAGGCGCGGCCGGCAGTGAACGTGGGCGTGTACTCGAACCTGTACGTCACCCCCACGGCTTCCCGCTCTCATGGCCCCCCTTTTCCATCCTTTCCCTCCCTCTCGTGCGGCCGCTGATACAACGTTTTGCCTTCTGCGCTCGCACGCACGCTTCGCGGGTTCGCGCCCCGCGGCCTCTCCCCCGTCCAACGCCGTGCCCCCACACGCTTATCCGCGCTCCCAGGCTCACCTTCGCGGGCGGCGTTCGAGGCTGCATCGGCTGGCGGTTCGCGTGAGTCCGTCCCTCGGGCCTCAGGGCGGGGTGCGAACGCCGCTGACCTCGACCCCGCAGGATCTACGAGCTCCAGGCGTTCCTCGTCGAGCTCGTCTCGCAGTTCCGCTTCGCGCCCACCGACGCCGCCGCGCGCGTGCGGAGGACGACGGCGATCGTGACGGTGCCCACGATCGGGGACGCGGTCGCGATGCCGCTCTCCGTCTCGCTCGCGCCGCGCGACGAGGACGCGTGAGGTGCGCGTTCGAGTGGGGACGGAGGCGGGGAGGTAGGCGCACGAGACGAGGGCGCGACGAGACGAGGGTACGAAGGGGTGGAGGTAGAGGACGCGGCGAGGGCCGGGGGACATACCCAGTTTACGAATCAGGCGGCGCGCGCGTCGCCACGAACTTTATGCATGCTTTGCACCTGCGCTGGTTATATTGCTTATTGGTAGATCCACGTATTCTCGCGCTTTATACCTAGCTTTCATGCTTTTCTACCCCACCCACACTCTACAGCGGATTCAAGCACGAGGAAGCCCGCACACGCGAGGCGGCTCGTATTACGAGATCTACTGAGGGCTACAGAAGTATACGAGGCTGGGGGTAAGGGTGTATGAGTGATCCGAATCCAGGTCAGAGGGGCACGACAAGGGGGCAAGGATGCTGGAGGCGCGAAACCAAGCGATACGGAACCTGGGGGAGGGGAGCAGTAGGGATGAGAGGGGCGAGATGTAAGTACATGCCACACGTCATATCGAGTGATCGTAAGTCGGGTGGTGCATGTGCAGGAAGGGGAGACTATATATACAGCAGGGGACGGCGCGGCGCGTCAGGGGGCGTAGACCTCGAGATAGGACATACAATAAGCAAGCCCAAGGGAAGATACATATGCTTGGTTGGGTTTATTGGAGCTTTATGAGAGCATGCGCGAGCAGAGGGAGAGGGGGAGGGACAAAGGAAGGAAGAGGTTGAGAAACAGAAACCAGCTGCGCCCGACGAGGCAAGGAGCCGGGGAAAAGTCTCGACCGTGCGCAAGTGACCGTATGTAGAAAAACCAATGTACAGCCCGTACCCGTACCCGACGTAACGTTCGTGTGTGCACGTAGACGTCGGGTGGGTAAGCGGCCGCCCCACGCCCTCCCATCCCATTCGCGGTAGAAGCGCGGGAGAGGCGGGGATGAGATACACGTGCGGCGCCGTTTCACCGGCATAGGGACAGATGGAGCGAGCGGGACAGCTCGCGGGAGGAGGCGCCGGCGTCTCCGGAGCACTCGAGGGCGCACTCGGGGCTGCCCTCTGGAACTTTGAGGGGGGTTGCTCGTGAGAGCTTGCGATGGATGATAGCGACGGGACAGACTGCTTGAGCGAGTTGAGCGAGCGGTGTTGGTAGTGGTGCGGGAGTTGATAGTGTGGGGGAGCCGGTTGAGAGGGCAAAGGCGAGGGACGAGGAGAGTGATCGAGAGCCTGGGCATTCGAGTCATCCACCCGAGCCGCAGGAGGGGCGCATCAACGTACCAAGCACCCTGCTCTGCAGGCCCTCGTCAGTCCTCTCTTCCAGCTCACAAACCCCCATCACAGCGCACCACATCCAGCCCGCCTACGCTCATTCAGCCGTCCTCAGAGTCCTGACCGGTTCAGGGTTGGTCAAGACGAGGTGGGGGAACGGGTGCCGAGTGCCGGGGCGATTCTTTGTTGAACCTGTGTCGGGAGACGTGGGTGGACGGATGGCAGGCCGGCTACCCCGCGCGCGAGTCGAACAGGCTCGTCTGCGCGTAGGTCGAGTGCGACTTGTCCTCGGGCCGGCACGCACGCTGGTGCGTTCGCGCGCCGCGACTGGTGCCTGGCCGGCGCGAGGTCGTGACGATCGACACCCGACCCTCTTCGACCGACCTGATCCTGGGACCGCGGCAGCAACCCAGGGTCATCTTCGGGAAAACGGCGCGTAGGGCACCCGAAGCGGCGGCGGAGCGCGCTGGCAAGTTGAGCTTGGCGGAGACGAAGGCGAACGAGGCGCGGACGACGGGCAGCAGCACGGAGTTGTCGGCGAAAGGACATTGAGTGTCGGAGGCGGAGTGTCGGGTGTGCATCATGAACTTGTGGTAGATCCGCCACGAGATGACCAAGCTACAGTCGAAACGGGGTGTAAGCACCCGAGGCAGATAGGACAGGTTGGGGGCAGAAGACGCAATGTACCTTACTATATCTGCAATCGACAATAGCGCGTCAGTACGCGAAGAGCAGTAGCCTCAAATGAGTCACGTACAGCTAACGGATGAGGTGGTCTGAGGAGATAGGTCGACGCGTCAGAAATGATTTCGGCAAGATCTGCAAACGACTCACGAAGCTCCGCCAGGCATTCTTATTTTGGTCAAAAAAGAATAGGATCTGGCAGACTCTTCAACCACGATCCCGGTGCAACCAAATGTACACTTACGCATGTGAGCGTCGTCAACACCCATACGGTTCCGAACTCCAGTATGCATGCGTCCGTGGCCATCTTCCAGCAGTCATTCCTATTGAAATGATGCTCGTCCCTTGTCTTCCAAAAGACCGAGTAGAGAGGGGCGGCGAAATTACACGTGGAGAGAACCACGGCTGTGTGACCCGGCATTTGAGCCCACGGTAGATACACACACGGGATTGAACTCACCTATTGCACCGTCTGCGAACTGCCAACCTAGCTGATGGGGCGTCATCGAAGGATTGCGGGTATATCCCAAAACTGTGCCGTTGGTTAGCTAGAGATCGCTGAGAATACTATGCGTGCATACGTCTCATCTGGATAATGGCGAAGCCAAGCCAGAGTAACTCTTGCGCCAGCATGAAGTAGGAATGTCGTGCAAGAGAGGAGCTTGACGCCAAAAGGCATCAGCCGCAATACGATGAAAGGCCGCATGCATGCAAGCAAGGTACAAGGACTCACGACTTGACGACCATGATAGCGGAGGAGAATATCGCAGACAGCATAGAGAGGGCCTAAGGGGTAGCGTCACCATGTTCAATACGACCTCGCCAACGGAATCCACCGTTGAGCACGCACCCAACAAACCCGTCTAACGGACTGCAGATCATGCGTGAATAACCGCGCGCATACGACCGCGTGTCAAAGAAGTACTCACCGTGAGTTCCATGGCCAGAAGTGTATCGTTGTACACCATGAGGAGCACGATGGAGAGGATACCCAGGTACCTCGCCGGAAGGTAAAACAGAAACGCGCTCGTTCGGCACCCGACCTTGCCGCGCAGGAGTCGGAGGTCAAACCACAAGGTTGAGCCGAAAGCCACGCTGCCACCACGACGCGACCATGTCAATGTCAATGCAGGAAGCTAGCGCGTTCGCGACTTGAACGCACCAGGCTGCGCCACTGAGGAGCGTTGGCGCGATTAGCGCGGTCGGCCCGGCTTCTAGAACCATATCGCGTACTATGAGCAATGAACCGCGAGGTGCGCGGTGACACGAGAGGAGGCGGAGAACAAGGAGCAGAGGACGGACGGAACGCGGAAACGAGGACGAGCAGCACTGCAGCTCACCCGCCGCGGGCTCTGGCAGAACCGATGACGGAGGAGAGGTCGCGGTCGCGAACGCAGGATAACGCAGGGGGAGCGGGGAAGGAAAGAGAGGAAGGAGGCGACCGCGGACGCGACATGTTAAGGCTGGGGCGCCCGTCATGACGCGCGAAGCTTGCCGCCGGGCGGTCCCAGCCCAGCGGAAGCAACTGAAGCGTAGCGAGCAAGCGGTGGCTGACGGCGTCTGAGAGATGCGCGGCGGCAACTGCGGACGGAGGCCTCCTGATGGGGGGACCGTGGGCGCGAGCGGGGGAAGGGGGGCCGATGAACTCATGAAGAAATGTAAACGCACCAAAGCCTGCGGCACCCTCGAATCCGTCGACGCGCGCGACGAGCGCCGCGCCGGTGAACCCTCCCGACATGCGTATGAGAACGCTTCGGCGCGACCTGGAAGGGCGATATTTTCTGTTCGTCGCGGGCGAGGCCGAAGCTGGAGGCTATCAGCCGGGGAGCGGAAGAGATGCGGCCGTAGATGGTAGCGAAGTGGGCGAGGGTGGGAGCGCTGGTCGACGTCGGTTGCCTTCGGCGGACTAAAACGACGGGTCACCAAGGCTGGTCCGCGTCCGAGGCCGGTGTGCTCGCTTAATCCTGACAAAACGGAGGGAGATGGGTCGCAGTCGCCACGGAAAGCACAGGGAACGGGCGCGGTGCTGGAAGACGCGTAGACGACGTCAGTGGGCGAGGGCTCAGCAAAGCAAGGGTAGTGTGCTCACCCGGTGGAATTGCAAGCCAGTCGAGAGGAAGGTGGGCCTGCTGGGGGTGCGTCTCAATACCGACCTGAGGTGCCGGTGGAAGGAGAGGTGGTCAGAGAATCCAAGGCATGGCTGGAGAGAGGTATAGGAGGCCAAGAAAGGCAGAAAGAGGGGACCGCCAGGTTCGAGACAAGACGCACTGGTCAGGGGTCTGACCGCGCAGGTTACGTACGTGATCAAAGGTTAACTTGGACTCACCTTCGCCCTCTACCATCAGGAACCGGCCACGCGAGCGAGTCCGCCGGAGAAGTCGCCCCAGAGCAACACGGTGAGCGGAGAGTTTGTGGGCACGATTGGCCGAGGAGTTCTGCGAGGCCAAGCAATGCGAAGGTTTCTCATGTCGCTGCGAACGCCGCTGGCCTGTCCCTGTCTCGAGCCATCAACGTTCCCCAGCACCGTTTTCACTGGCGCATGTCACGTCTTGTTCCGATCCGGCGGCCCCCATGTCAGCGGCACGAATGATCGAGCAATCGACACACGACCCGCCAGAATTGCCCAAGTGTCGGCCTTCGCCCAAAAGAACGAGCTTTGAGAGCGCGCAGTGAGTGACGGTGATCAGACGTTCTCACTGGTTTCGCACCTGGAAAAAGGTGCACACTGCGCGCATATACGCGGTCATGCCGACATCTCCACACAGTCGGAGCGAGAACAGCGATGAGCGGAGGCGGACTAGCGCCAAGAATCGGAGGTGCCGCGCTCGGCAAATCACTCGGCCCTGACCGGCGTCGCCGAGAGACTCTGGGCCAGCTCTCTCGCCTCCAGCTTCCTCCGCAACCAACTCATCCGGGACGCGGTCAATGCTATTAGTTTATACGCGGTAGTTGCGGGAGAACCAGCGCGACCGTGATGCATCCCAGCAAAATTAGCCCTTGAACGCTGCGCACCCTGCTCTCACTTCGCCGTGGCAGCGGCTGCCGACGGCTGCCGTCACCCGTGTTGCTCCACCAGGTGGTCTTGGGCTGTCTGACAAGTCGCGACCCTGGAAGGGAGGACGTTTGGGCCAATCTGGACCACTACGCGACCGTTTGCCGCACTACCTCCCGCTCTCCTAATCCCGATCGCTGGTATCCTCTCCCAGCAGTGGCTGATACGTGCGTATGAGAAAACACCGTGCTTTGCTTGCTCTGCGTTCGTTTGTGTAAGTGTAACATACACCTTCACAAACCTCTCTGCCTCTCGCCCTGTCCATACGTTCTCGCCGCCCTCCCAGTCCCACACGGCTTCTTCACCACTGTGCCTCGGTCGCGATCCGACGAGAACGCATTCAGCTGAGCAAGCTCTCGCGGCAGTCACACACGTGGATTAATAAGTATCACTTCAAGCGAGGATCGGTGACCAGTCTACGATGACGCCGCTCAGTCACCACAAACAAAGGTCATTGTGCTTAGCGTGACATTAGATCTCGGAATGACGCTTGTGTCGGAGTGAGCAGTACCTCATCACTTCCGACACCAGACGCAAGTCATATTGCTCGTTCTTAAGCACCGTGAGGCTTCAATCATACTAGCAGTACTGCCGAACAACATGATCAAGGTAGAATGATAGCTGTAGACCATACAAGTACAAAACATGTGAACACCGTCCAGTTCAAATAAGAACAGCAGAAGACCCACACAGCAAACAGCTGAGCACAAACCCACCTCTCCGAACCTAGCATACACAACCTAGCATATAACACACTCCGCATCCGAACCCGGCGCGGCGAGCCGCGCCTCCAGCCTCGCAACCAGCGCACCGTCTGGCTCCAAGTACGGGCAGCCCCTGTCGCAGAGGGAGAAATGTACATCAGCGGCCGCGCCCCCTTCTCGCGTAGCCCGGTAAAACGGGACTCACTGGTACTGCAGACTGTTCGCCAGCGCGTTCCCCTCGAGTGCGACGATGACCCCCCGGGCCCATGTGTCCCACCTGTCCCGCGGCGCGGTGAGCTGCTCCGCCGAGCGCAGCCGCACCTCCACCGGGGGCCGCACCTTCGCCCCCGCGGCGGACTCCCCGCGGGCCACCATGTCGCTCACCGCGCCGAACAGCGAGCGCGGCGCACCCGCGGCGGACGTCGACGCCGATGGGGAGGCGGGCGCGGACGGCGCGAAGGACGACGACGACGACGACAGGCGCGGCGCGGCGCGGGTGCGGGGGTCGTCGATGACGAACCGGGAGTCGATCACGGTGGGCGGGCTGCTGCTGAGCAGGGCGAGCTTGAGGACCCAGCTGCCGGTTTTGAAGGAGCGGTGGCCGAGCTTCCGCCGCGTCCGCTCGTTCTCCGCGGCGACGATGAGCGAGAGCTCCCACATGCGGCCTGTCGAGCGCCGGTCAGCGTCGGCATCCCGTCCGACCAGAGGGGTGCACGAGAGAGCCAAAGCGAGACCTCGGACGCACCTTTCGCGATGAACTCGAGCGCGATCGACTCGGACACGCGCATGCGCTTCTGGAAGAGCGGGATGCGGAAGCGCGCGACGAACGCGCCCTCGTCCTCGGGCACGTCCAGCACCTCGACGTCGTCCACCGGCACGCTCCCGCCCATGATGATCTCCTCCTTGCCCGACAGCGGCGCGAACGCGGGCGTGCGCCGCAGCCGCTGGAAGAGCCCGTTGTCCGTCGTGTGCAGGCACGCGAGCCGGAGCTCGTCCACCGTCGCGTCCGTGAGCGGCGCCGCGTGCGTCAGGAGCGCCGTCACCAGGTCCGGGCCGTCCGCGTCCGCGGGCGTTGGTGTTGGGGGGCTGGTCGACGTCGACGTGGAGGGTGAAGGGGGAGGGGGCGGGGCGGGGCGGTTGACGACCGCCCAGTAGAGGGCGGAGTGGCCCTCGAGCGAAGGCTCCTGGAGGATGGAGGGGAGGGAGAGGTCGTACGTCTGACACGCGTCCGCGCACGACTCGAGCACGCCGCGCGCGGCCGTCGGGTCGCCGTTCTTGACGAGGTCGCGGAGAAGGCCCGAGAGCGTCGCGCGCACGCCCTTGACTGCGCGGAAGGAAGGCCCGAATGTGAACCACGGGAGCTTGCCAGCGGCCTTGGGCGAGACGGACCCCGGCCCGTGGGCGGGCTTGTCGTGGGGATATAAAGAAGAGGAGGGCGGAGGAGGGGGTGCGGGTGCGGGTGTGGACGGTCCGGCCTTTTCGTTTGTGGGGAGGGGGCGAACGGGAAGGTCGTCGAGGGCATCATAGGAGGGGGGCGCGTCCTCGGTTGAGAGCTCGACCTCGTCGCCCAAGAGAGGTGGCTTGTCCACGATCATGCAATCTTTGTCGTAGGACATGTCGCTGTGAGTCGAGCGTACGAGAGCTACTGGTGTGGTCAGGGCACACACCTGGTGTACTAGGGTCTGCGGTATGAACCGATGTGGCTGCGCGGTAGTCGCGGGGTCGAGTCAAGCTTCGAGTGGCAGAGGGATGCACTTGTGGACGGCTGCGCGAGGCTGCGCAGGGACAGAGACAGAGACGACAAGCCTGACATCGCGCTGCGCCAAAGGGCCGATCGCTGCGGCCACGAGTAAGGCGATACGAGGTTCATGTAAAAGTGTAAACGTGGCCAAGCGCACAACACGGTAATGATAAGATTAGATAGTGCCACGCACATCTCAACGTCAACATCAAGCGCGTGCTGTTGAAATGGCTGGTCAAACCAACTATGTAATAGATTGAACACAACCCGGGCCAGTTTGTCACAACCACACCCGAGCTCTCCGGCGGGGTTGGACGGTCAAGATCTGGAACTCTTTTCTTTCCGAGTCCGCGAGGTCTGCCTTGTCCATGAAGCCATGCATGAAGCGGGGGGAAAATGCGTCAAAATCACAAGATGATTGAGAAGACAACCCATATGTATGGGTTGAAGCAGACTCGGGAATGTGCTGGGTGGGGAGGGCAGAGGCTGCCATGTGGGTTGCAAGCAGTTGACGAGATCCTCAGGGAGAATCTACCAGCGCCCCGACGCGGTTAGCCCGGACCGCCCCCAAGTTGCAGAACACATATGTACCGCTACATGGCTTCTTTCTCATGGGAAGGATCAATGGCAATGAGTAAGGAAATTGTATGGTCGGCGATTCGTAGAAGAGGTGTCCTACGTCTGCGCACGCTGTGTATTGAATGCTCAAGCGTCAGACGACGTTTGCCAAGACTCCGGCACATAACACGACTGCTCCGAAAATTTTGCCTTGTCATTCACGTTCCTTTCTCAAAAGCGTCTGGAGGCAGATCATCAAATACACAGACGAGTATGTCGGCGAGGTGATCTACTAATATCCTGTGTCTTGTTTTGGCAATGCAACCGCATCTAGATCATGGGTAAGATTTTGACCAACGTTGAGAGCCGACATGATATTCTGCCTTGCACAGCAATATTAGTAGGAGCAGCAGTAGCCATGAAGGATGCATTCCGGGATGTGATTGCGATCAGAAGAGTGGTAGCACATGGTACTAGCCGAACAGTGGCTGCCATACATGCCCCGTGTACTGACGCCGACCTGCCCTGAACGTAAGGTGATACGCGCAAGTATATGCCTCCAGACCGCCCTTCCTTCTCCTCCTCATCCTCCTTCCACCAGAGTTGCTGCAAATTCCAGCGAACTCTGTAGCACAAGCATCTATACATGGTAAACGCGTAACTGCTTGCGTCTGCCAGATAACACGGCGGCGGCGACCATGCGAATGCATGCGTCCACATGGGAAATCAGCAATCGCCGGAGCGACACATGCTCGAGGTACGTCCCGACCTCATGACAAGGTGACGTGCGTCCTTTGAAGGTTGCCGCCTGAGAAGCCAAAGAGGTCGATTGTGGACTGAACGCGAGCGGTCGCGATCAGGCGGAGGTAATATACATATGTCTTCTTTGTCCGGACAAACTATCGTGCCTGACCTTTCCGACTCGACGTTCGCTCGCCGACACTAGAACGAGCTCTTTCCGCAACCATCAACGGTATGTTATCCTCTTTTAGCACATTCTGTTACTGATCATAGTTGGCTGTGATTGGGTTAGATTCACTCTCAAGGTGAATACGCCATATTCGGCTTGCACGGGGCTACCACCGCATCCACAGCCGATCGGATTCCAGGAAGATCAAGACGGCGGCCCTTCTCATTCTCGAGGACGGCCATTGAATAAGGCAGTTTCTCCTGATGCCCAGCCTTTTGTCCGGCTTCCATGCCCTCACGGCGTTCCGATAGAGCTTCAGCCACATGCCTCTCGACACAGGACTCGACGCTCGTGATCTCGTACCTTGGTTGCGTCTACACCATCCTGCAGACCGTCCCAGCAAACGCGACTATAAGATCGGCGTCCGAAACGACGCCGTCCCCCGTGCCCGTCCGCATCTCCACGGAACCCCTCTACGCCACTTCCCTTCGCCACCATGGTCGCAGTCGCGAATCGTGTCGTGTTATACTACCAGACCCAGTACTCGCACGGCAACAGCGGGACCTACGTCTCCCCACTCCCCCTCATCGGCTACGTGACCCACCTCCTCCTGGCCGCCTTCCACCTCAACATGGGCCACGTCGGCCCTGACATCGTCCACCTGAACGACTTCCAGCCGTCGGACCCGTGGTTCGCCCCCATGTGGCCGGACATCGCGATGATGCAGGGGAAGGCACGAAGGTGCTCGGAATGCTCGGAGGCGCCGCACCGGGGACGTACGCCTGCCTGACGGACGACCTCTTCGACACCTACTACCCCGCGCTCAAGGAGGTGATCACGACCTACAACCTGGACGGAATGGACCTGGACGTTGAGGAGTACGTGTCGTCGGAGACGATCGCGCGCATCATCACCACGCTCAAGGCGGACTTCGGGGACGAGTTCCTGATCACGCTCGCGCCCGTCGCGAGCGCGCTCACCGAGAGCGGGAACCTGTCCGGCTTCGACTACATCACCCTCGAGCAGACGCTCGGCGATAAGATCGACTTCTACAACGCGCAGTTCTACTCCGGCTTCGGCACCTTCTTCCCCGAGACCCAGTACGAGGCGATCATCAACTACGACCAGGGCATTGACCCCGCACGCGTCACCGCGACGGTGCTCACGAGCCCGAACGACGGCTACGGCTACGTCTCGACGGACAACGTCGTCCAGAGCATCGAGAACCTCATGGAGAAGTACGGCACCGGGTGGGGCGGCGTCGGCGGGTGGGAGTACTTCAACGCGCTCCCGGACTCGAGCCAGCCGTGGAAGTGGGCGGTGACGATGAAGGAGGCGATGCGCGTCCAGAAGGCCAAGATGGAGGCGCGCGAGCGCGAGAAGGAGCTCGCGGCGGCGGAGGTGGACCGGCGACGGATACGCTCGCGGATGTTCAAGCTTCCCGCGAACGAGAACTGAGGGCGGGAGGAGGGTGCGGGCCGTGCGCGACCCACGACGCGATGAACATCATCTTGGGCAATGTATCTCTAGTTACGATCCGGGCTGCAGGGGTCTCCTCTCAGGCGCAATGTCATGATTACTCACGACCGTTCATCTTCCAGTTCTTATCGCCGCGCGCGCCCCCGCGGGGCAACGGATACGTACGCGCGAGAGTGCGAGACTGGACAAGTCGACAGTCGAACGTTCGAACGCTGTCTGCGAAGCTTCCAGGCGGCTTTGTACTCGGTCCGTAAATGCGGCGCGGCGCGCTCGAGCTCGAAGCGTCCGAACCCGAGAGCGCAGACAGGCGAGCGAGGCCCGACTTCCGACTGAGGAGCGCGGAAGTCCAATAGGAGCCGATTCCGCCAGGTTACCTGCTGCGCCCTCGCTCGCCGCTCTGGAGGGGCGTCGGATGTGTGCGCGGAAGGCTTTGCGCGGAGAGCGCCTAGCACACGCCGCGCATGCGAGGTGTTTATAAGAGCGGCGAGGAAACGACGATCAAGCGTGCAACACATCTTCACCCTCACTCACCAACCAGATTGCGCCTGATCCCGCGCCCCCTTATCGTTCCTCATCCACGTAAACGCCTCGTGTGTTCACTGCGCTCCACGCAGACTCGTGTTGTTCTCCACATAAAGTGAGTCCTTCATCGACTACCGCCAACCCAGCATCCCTCCCTCCCTCCCTCATCTCGCCTTTGATACTTGCAACTCTTTAGGACATCTGCCTTCGGCTTTCCTTCCGCAACGACCCCTATATAGCCGCCAGTTAGGAGATATCCGCTGCACTTTACCACGACGGCAATGACCGACACCCTGCGTCTGTGCATCCCGACCGCCGTTAAGACCCTCGTCTCGATGGAACAATACCCCTCTTCCCCACTCCAAGTCTTTCCCCCACCCGCACCCTCCACCACCAGTCGCACCCTCCGTGAGCGCTGCAACGTTCAATTCTCCCTGGTACTGGAGACCGCCATCAACGCTAAGGCGCCTGGCAAGCCCGTCGACCCATGGGCCGTGCGCGGACACCCTCAGCCCCATCGCACGAACCTTCCGCGCATGACGCGTCGCCGTAGCAGCATGCGGCAGCGCGCACCGTGCGCGCATGACGCCTCCAACGAGCCCGCGCCTCCTATGCCCTCCGTGCCTGCCCCCGCATCGCCCGCAGCGCCACCCCCCTCCGAGCCCGCGTCGCCGAAGCCCGCCCCCGCCGACGTCAAGGCCATGTACGAGCCCCGCGCGCCGCCCGAGACCGAGCCGTCCCTGCAAGCGATCATCCCCGGCGCGTGGGTCGCGTTCGGGGGCGTCAAGCACGCCGCCGAGTGGGGCTTCACGCACGTCGTCGACATCGACTACTACGCCGCGCACCCGCGCACCCGCGGGATCCTCAACTGCCGCGCCCCGTACGGCTCGCCCGTGTCCCCGCCGACGTCGGACGACGGGGTGGAGGTCGGCGCCGGGGGCGTGCGCCGCCTGCGCCTCCCGCTGCCCGCGACGGTCTCCGCGCGCTCGGTGTCGAAGCGGCTCGCGCTGTCGGACGCGCAGCTCGCGGTCGCGCGCGACTTCATGGCGGACGCGCTCCCGCCGTTCCTCGCGGGGAGCCCGTCGCAGGAGGCGGTGCGCGTGCTCGTCAGCGTGCCGCCTGGGCGGACGGCGGACGCGATGAGCGTGATGGGCTGCTACCTCGCGTGCGTGGCGGAGCGCGGGGTGGAGGAGGTGTTGCGGTGCGTGGACGAGGAGGACGCGGTGCTGAGCGTGTGGAAGGCGGAGGTGAGTGGGGAAGAGGCGGAGCGGCTGGAGGCGATTGCGCGTGCGCGGGTGTTAGACCCTGGGCTCGAGGTTGTGGAGTGGTAGTGAGCGGGCCGTCCTGTTGTATTGTATGGATATGTATCAATACCTGCCCCTTGTTGTTTTTGTACTACCCCCTGCGCGAGCCCTGTGTGGTGTTGAATTCCGGCCAGAGACTTGTGCGTCGAAAGCAAGTGCCATTGATAAAACGCCGTGAGAGCATAGACAGGTGTTGTACAGGGTATCCAGCTAGACGCGTCGACGGCACGGTACCAATCATACAGTCATTTTGAGGACGCCGTTCTGAGCGACAATTTCTGCAGAGTTCAATGGACGCCCTGTCCTGACATATGCTAAGCGTAGTTCCTGAGCCAGAATTTGTCAGTGCGACAAAGAACGAACATGTAACATGCGCATACCTCAAAGCTATGCTGATCATAGGGAGGCATGCTGTTGATGCTTTGTAAACTATCACCATAAGAGCCAGATCGATGCAGTGTCGAGCCAAGAGAGATTCCCGGAAGTAATTTCGCTGCATGACACATCAGTGTTAGGTTTTCGGGATCTACTCCACCCCAAGAATCACTTACGTCTAGCTGGCACTGGGAGGGATGGTTGAGGTACATCGGCGGTTTTCTTCCCAAGTTTATATGCTTCAACACGTAACTCCTATTCAACGAAGACAGTTAGAACCATAACCGTAGAGGCCACAACCAGGGTGGCGTCACCTCAAAACAATACGTTGCGTATTCGGGCTGCGCCACGATGGATTGCATGAAGGCATCTGAACTGTTCTCGGGTACTTTCGTGGCCGTGAAAGCCTGCGCCGAAAGATTTGCAGTCGCAGACGACGTCGAAGGTGTAGGGGTTACTGATTGAGAGCCATTGACCGAAGCGCCTTCGATTTCTGTGTAGGGTTCGAATAAGGGAGGCAGACCCAACGCAGCTCGTTGGGCTTTGTCAGCAGGTTCTTGAGGACACGGTGCCGGTGGTTTGCCTGTGGTGCGAAGGGCATGCAAGTAGTCGGTGATTCGGCGTTCCTAACAGGTGCAAGTGGCGATGAGGACCTGCGCGGTTCGGGAACGAGGAGATCCAAATAATATTACCTCAAAGCTCTCTTCTTTCTCACCGCGCGTAGCGGGGACATTCATGAAGATCACACGTCCTGCCATTTCGTAAGTGTGATAGACGAGAGATCACTTGCCGCTGATCGTCTTCTTGTGGTGTCTGTTGTTGCAGGCGAAGGGAGAGCCCCAAGCTCGTGTGTTTGGTTCGGTGCCACAGACGAACATGCATATTGACAAATGTCCGTGATATATCATTGCAGATGCTACATTTTATGGCCGACTAGCTCAGTTGGTTAGAGCGTGGTGCTAATAACGCCAGGTCGTCGGTTCGACCCCGGCGTTGGCCATCTTTTTGCTTTCGCCGCTACGTGTCCTCCCCCGCGCGTGATCTAAATGTAGCCGTGACCGTTCCCGCACTCAGTACTCATCCATCTCTCATCCTCGTCCTCGCTCAGTGCTCACCCCGCGCCCCCTTCAGGCTGCTTGACCGGCACCCTGCTCTATTTTTGCTGAGCGACAAGGAACTCCCCGCGCAGCAGCTGTAGCGCGGTCTTCGGCACTGCTGCGCACTGTCGCCGCTGACAGCCCCCATTTTGTGCAAGATATGGCGCTGGATCGCAAACGGACCCAGCACGACTACTCGTCTGACGGGGCCACCTCCTCTTCATCTGCGCGCGCAAGGTACACGGCCAGCCCCCGCGCCCCCATGAACGCCGAGCCCTACAACCCCTACCGCACCGAGTCCCCGCCCGCATCCGCCTACTTCTCTCACTTCGACGGCGACCACCACCATGAGCCGCATCCCACATGGCCGGACACAGATGCGCATTTTGCGTACAGCACAACGCTCCGACGGCACACGCTAGAGGGACCGCTGGGGTTACCACCACCCTCTCTGGGCGAACTCAGGAACGCGGCGGAGACGGAGGGACCGAGAGGGGTCTGGGACCGCACCGTGGGGCGGCTCATCGCTGCGTTACCCAGCGCGACCAGTACGAGCTGCTGCCGACGTCGCGCAAGGAGGATGCGCCAACGGAGAGTGCGTCTGCGCGGTTCGCGCACTACTCGATACAGGTGCGTCACTCAGGTTCGTTTGCTTGCATCGTCTGACCTCGCGAAGGACACTCTGGCCAATTCGGGACGTCCGTGACTGATGGTCTGTCCGCACGAAGGGTGTCGGACCTTTTGGCGACCCATGGATACAACGAGTTCACCGTCTCTACTCCGGAACCCATGCTCATCAAGTTCGCCAAGACGATATACGAGAACCCTCTCATCCTGTTACTATGCGGAAGTGCGGTGGTCAGCGCGGTCATGGGCAACATAGACGACGCGGTTAGCATCACCGTTGCGGTGCTCATCGTCCTCACTGGTGAGTGCGAGGCCTTTGGCGGTGCGAGCAAGGTTTGACCGGTCTTTAGTTGGCTTTGTTCAAGAGCAACGGTCAGAGAAGAGTTTGGAGGCGTTGAACAAGCTTGTTCCCCACCATTGTCATCTGATTCGGTAAGTCTTCGTGCAGAGTCTATTTTACGGTTTGAATTGTCCCACTTTCGTCATGCGTGCTTCATGCTCATCCGATTTGTTCAGAGAAGGAAAACCTCTACACGTCCTTGCCAACGAGCTCGTTCCCGGAGACATCGTCACCTTTTCCACCGGAGACCGCGTACCCGCAGACGTTCGGCTGGTGTCTGCGGTTGACCTCGAGGTGGACGAGAGCAGCTTGACGGCGAAACCACGACGCGGCGAAAAGACACGGAGACATGCACTCCGATACAATCAAACGGGTACCCCAACGGAAACGGGAACGGGTATGGCGCTCCTACAGCGGAGCCTGTTGCCTTGGCAGATCGGTCATGCATAGCGTACATGGGTACTCTGGTCAGGAACGGTGCGTGTTTGTTTATTCTCCATGCAACTATGGGTTCAAGCCGGTTGCCCAGGCAGAGGAACAGGCATTGTGATCGCAACTGGGACCCAGACGGAGTTCGGGATGATCTTCGCCATGATGCAAGAAGTCGAGGAGAAGCGGACACCCCTCCAGCTGAGCATGGACGAGCTTGCCACCAAGCTTTCCATGATCTCTTTCGGCATCATTGGCGTTATTTGCCTCATCGGAGTCATTCAGAAGCGTCCTTGGCTGGATATGTTCACTATCGGAGGTACGTCTCCAACATGTCTTGCGCATATACCCGGGTTGTTCAGCACAGTTGGTGGAACGCAGTCTCCCTTGCTGTGGCAGCCATCCCGGAAGGTCTCCCCATCGTAACGACAGTTACGCTTGCTTTGGGCGTGTTGCGAATGTCAAAAAGGAAGGCTATTGTGAAGAAGCTTCATTCAGTCGAAGCCCTCGGTTCCGTTTCTGTTATTTGTTCCGACAAAACAGGTATATATGCTTTTATTTTTTTTCAAGAAGAAGCTGACTGTGCCTGTGAACAGGCACATTGACTAAGAACGAGCAAACTGTGACGGAAATCTACTCTGTAGATGAGACCATCACATTGGATGGGTCTGCATCTGTCGCCCCTTCCACGACCATCACCCCCTCCCTGAGCAAACATTGATCATCGGCTCGGTATGCAACAACGCCATCCGAAACGACGAGGGCGCTTTCGTCGGTCAATCTACCGATGTTGCCTTACTCAACGTGCTTTCACTCTTTGGCATGACGGATGAACGGCAGGTGAATCTCCAAAGACCGCACGCGAAACGCCGGTCCTTACTTGTCTTTCTAGTTCTTTGTTCGTAAATCAGAGATTCCGTTCAGCTCGGAACGCAAGTACATGGCAGTCAGTGGTGTTCACGGCAATGGCGCTCAAAGGGAAATGTACTACATCAAGGGTTCCATCGAGGCCATCCTAGACAAGTGCAAGTTCTACTACGTCTCGACGAATCCACGCCCGCACTCGAGCAACACACGTAACGTCATCTTATCGAAAGCTAATGCCACCGCTTCACGAGGCCTTCGTATCATTGCTCTGGCATATGGCTATGGTTCCGTCGAGACGCCTTCTTCCACCGCCCCTTCTTCTCGTGCCGGCACCCCCAGCTCTCAAGTAGACACCCACAAGTCCAACCTCGTTTTCGTTGGGTTCCAAGCCATGCTCGATCCTCCCGCAAAGGCGTTGCCGACGCGATCAATCTCCTCCAGTCCGGAGGTGTGCAGGTCGTCATGATCACCGGGGACGCTGAGGAGACCGCTCTCTCAATCGCACGCGCCCTCGGGTTGCGCGTTGGGACCGGTGCGCACAGCGGATGCCTAACGGGTCAGGCGATCGACCGGATGACCAAGGAGCAACTGCGGGAGATGGTCGGCGGTGTGAGCGTGTTCGCGCGGACAACACCAAAACACAAGATGGCCATCGTCGAAGCGTTCCAGAGCCGTGGCGCGATAGTCGCGATGACCGGAGACGGCGTCAACGACGCGCCTGCGCTCAAGATGGCGGATATCGGTGTTTCTATGGGCAAGAGCGGCACGGATGTGGCCAAGGAGGCGGCGGACATGATTCTCGTGGACGACAACTTTAGCACTATCCTTCCCGCAGTAGAAGAAGGTCCGTGTCTTCGCGCCCCTCGGTGTCTCGCTCGGTGGCTGACAACTGGTGTTCTACAGGAAAGTCTATCTTCCACAACATTCAAAACTTCCTGTCGTTCCAGCTCAGCACGGCGTGCGCCGCGCTGACGCTGATCACGCTGAGCACTTTCTTCGGTCTGGACAATCCCTTAAATGCCATGCAGATCCTCTTTATCAACATCCTCATGGACGGTTCGTGTTGCGTCTAGGCCTTGAGAGAGGCACGTTGGCTCATTTTAAATATTCGACAGGACCCCCGAGCCAGTCGCTTGGTGTAGACCCTGTCGATCCTCAGGTCATGCGAAGACCCCCTAGGAAGAAGGACGCGCCCGTGATCAGCAAACGGCTTGTGTACCGCGTCCTCTTCTCCGCATCGATCATCGTTGTTGGAACACTTTTTGTCTATGTATATGCGCTTGCGGACGACCAAGACATGACGAGGCGAGAACAGACCATGGTTTGTGCCTCATCTGCTCCGTTCTGTGACACCAGCCTGACATGATCCTGGATCCCCACAGACCTTCACTTGCTTCGTGTTCCTCGATCTCGTCTCCGCAGTCCAGAACCGTGGCATGGGCTGTGGGCTCTTCCAGAACCGCATGCTGGTCACAACCGTGTCGACGTCGTTCCTAGTGCAGCTCGCGCTTATCTACGTCTCCTTCCTTCAAAGCATCTTCCAGACCGAGGCGCTTGGCTTGTTCGATCTGTGCACGTTGCTGGCGCTGGGCGCAGTGTCGGCGACACTACACGAGGCACGACGGAGGTACGAGCGTTCATTGAACGCGACGATGACATATTCTAGCACAGTAGAGGAGCTCGCGTGAGCATTCAGAAGAAGATACGCTATATAGAGGATGGCATATAATGTGGATTAATATCAGTACCGGGTTCAGGCTCGCCGTCCGCGTGCATTGGGTCAAGAGCAATTTCTCATGCTCAAGTCCTATCCTCTCGGTGTCTCTTCGATCCCAAAGGGGAGTAACTCCTGGAAGCTTTCGCTAGTATTGTTACTGCGATCCCATGACCGTGGGTTGCGGGTCCGGAATTAGGGTACACCCGAAGACTTCACTATCGCGCTCGTCTTGCTTCAGCCGACGATGACCTCCGAAAAGTACAACATTCCTCGCCTCCAGTGGGCAGGAACTCCTTATGAGGTGGGTGCGCATCACCTCACTCCTCGTCTTCTATCTCGCTTACCCTCTTTCATCTCTTATCTTCCTCTGCGCATCCAGGTCGGCTTGCAGCATGGCGAGCAGCTGGCGCCTCAGATCCTCGACCAGCTCGCGATCTATCGCGCCATGTTCGCCGAGACGTGCAACTTCGATTGGGCGCGCGTGCGCGAGACCGCCGAAGAATTTCGCGCGACGATAGCGCACCTCGCGCCCGCGCTCCTCGACGAGATGCGCGGGATCGCCGACGGCGTGGCTCGCGGCTACAAAACGGGGGCGTGGGACGGGCCCGTCGACGCCGTCGACATCGTCGCGCTCAATGCGCGCAGCGAAATCGCGCTCGGCCAGTGGGACGACGGTTGCACGAGCGTCGCGTGGCGGGTTGACGGCTCGCGGCAGCTCCTCGCGCAGAACTGGGACTGGCGCGAGACGGTGGGCAAGAACCTCGCGATGGCGTCGATAACCGCGCCAGGGAAGCCTCGGATGTGGATGGTCATCGAGGTCCGTGCCCCTCTTCTGCCCCGGGGCTAGTTCACCGAGACCGACGGGCGTATGCAGCCAGGAATTGTGGGCAAGATCGGGTTCAACGCCGCCTCCGTCGGGGTGTGTCTCAACGCCATCCGCGCGCGGCCAATCTCCACCTCGCTCCTCCCCGTACACCTCCTCTTGCGGCTGGCGCTCGAGAGCACGTCGGCGGAGGGGGCGATCAGGACCTTCGAGCGGCTCGGCGGGTGCGCGTCCTCGCAGCACATCCTCATCGCCGACGCCGCCGGCGCACACGGCCTCGAGCTCTCGCCCAACGGCGCGGAGTACCTCAAACCCGACGCGGACGGCCTCCTCGCGCACACGAACCACTTCCTCGCGAACACGCTGGTGGACGAGCCGCCCTGGCTCGAGGGCTCGCGGCCGCGCCTCGCGCGCGCGTACGAGCTCTGCCGCGCGCTCCGCGACGAGCTCGGTGCGGAGAAGCTCCCAGGCACGGTCGACGGCGCGCTCCTCCGCGGACGCGTGTTCGCCGACACCCACGGGGGTCCACAGGCCATCTGCGGGCGTGCGGACCCCGCGCGCGCCGCGGCGATTCAGACGCTGTTCAACATCGCGATGGACCTGGGACCGGGACACGCGCCGACCGCGGAGGTCGTGTTCGGGCGACCGGGCAGCGGGGAGGAGAGCAGCGTGTTCTGCATGCCGTGGTGAACGCCATTGCGAGACGGTCGTATGACCTGTCGCGCGACAGCAAGAAGTGGCTTGTACGTTAACCCCGGTACATGCGATGTATACAGCGGAACGGCGTCACGACGAGGCGGACGCCCGCACCTCCTTGACCCCATTATTTTCCCACAACGCCGGTCACCTGCAGCCGCGCGAACTCCCCCTCGGAGAGTCCGAGCTCGTCCACGAGCACCTCGCGGTTGTGCTGCCCGAGCTCCGGGCCGGCCCAGCGCGTGGGCGCGTCGCAGCCCTCGAGCACGGGCACGACCTTGCTCATCTTCACGGTCCAGCCCGCCCCGCCGTCCGCGCCTGGGACGGCGACTTCCTCGACGAGGCCGCGGGCCTTGGTGTGCTCGCTCTCGACGACGTCGCGCACGTTGAGCACCTGGCCGACGGGGACGCCGACGGCCTTCAGGGCGTCCTCGGCCTCCTGCGCCGTGCGCCCCGCCGTCCACGCGGCGATCGCGGCCTCGATCTCGGCCTGGCGCGCGACGCGGTGGTGGTTCTGCGCGTAGTCGGGGCCGACGAGGTCCGCGCGGCCGATGGCGTGCATGAGGCGGGCGTAGATGGAGTCGGCGTTCGCGCCGATGACGACGTACGCGGGCGCCGCTGGGGACGAGGGCGCGGGCTTGCACGGGTAGGCGTTTGTGGGCACGATGCCGGTCACCGAGGAGCCTGACGGGCCACGGATCTGCGAGGCAGCCTGGTCACGGGGGGAGCGGGAGGACGCGCGCGACTGGGGGGACACACCTTGCCCTTGCGGTCGTACTCTGGGATTATGCCTTCCATAAGGTTAATCATGCTGTGTGGCAGGGAAGCGTTTCAACGGGTATTCAGTGTTCATCGCCAGAGACGTGATGGATTGGGCGTGGCTCACCTCTCGAATATGCTCACGTCGACGGTCTGGCCGCCGCGCAGGCCCTGCGCTTCCCGGTTCTTGCGCGACAACAGCGCGAGGACGGTGCCAAACGCCGCGTGCAGGCCCGCCACGGAGTCTCCGAGGCTGACGTTCGGCCGCACTGGAGGTCCGGAGAGCGCCCCGGTCTGTGGGTCCGGTTGTCCGTTGATATACCGGAAGCCGGACTCGGCCTCGCACACGGACGCGTACCCCGGGCGCGAGGACCAGGGACCGGTCTGACCGTAGCCGCTCACTCGCGTGAAGACGAGGGATGGGTTCAGGGGATGTAGGTCGTCCGGACCGAGGTTCCACTTCTCGAGAGCTAGAGGTGCAGTGTGCGATCGAGGAGAGCATGTGAGCAAGAAGGCGCAGTTGCTGCGTGTGGACTTACTTCCGGGCTTGAAGTTCTCGAGGATGACATCACTAGTCACTGCGAGCCTTTTCACGAGGCTAGGAATAGGAGGAAGATGAGTGAGTCTCGTAGCAGCCACTAGTGGGAAATCGTGGCTTACTTGCGGCCCTCTTCTTTGCGCAGGTCGATGGTGACGCTCTTTTTGTTTCGGGCAATGCTTCGCCACCAGGGGCTGATACCGTCGACATCAAGCTCTCTCCAGACGCGAAGTGGATCACCAACGTCGGGAGGCTCCACTTTTATGACCTCGGCGCCGTAGTGACTATGATGGCAAGATTCAAATTCAACATAGAGGAAGTCGGGAAGCTAGTACATACCCCAGGAGTTGACCGCAAAATGGACCTGCGATTACCTGTCCGACTTCCAGAACGCGGATACCCGCTAGGGGAAGCGTGTTGGAAGGAGCGGCAGATTGGATACCCCTCTTGGTTGATTGAAGGTCCATTCTAGCATATGTATTTCTCGAAGAAAGCTGTGAAAGACGCAGCGGCAGTGGTCCAACACAGTGATGCGTTTTCAGTTTCATCGTGCAGGCTAGTACTGGTACCAAGGGTGATTGTCAGAGATGGATGATGCAGGAAAAACAAGAGACTCAAACATTGTGTACTGCTAGCTGCTGTATATAAGCCTCTGTGAAGAGACCAACTGGGGTTAGTAGAGCCAAAGGGGTGCTTTTAGTCGGAGTTGTCGGTTACGTTTCGCTCGTCGGCCGAAGCTACTGTTCGTAGTCATGAGACCTCGAGGACCCTAGATATGGCACAGTTTGCACCAGTATTTGACCGGTAGCCTCTAGTCGTTGAAATAAAGCCATGGTTCCTGGAGAAGTCTAGCAAATTCAGTAAGTCGAGGTACAATCAGACGGGGCGGCCAGTAGGCGATTGAATCGGAGACCGCGGACCCCTCCGGACCGGCGTCGTGCCGGAGCAGACCGAGCCACCCTGTTACACGAGGACATCGCGGGGCACGCTTAATCCCCCACACAGCGATTAGCGACGTGTCCACATTGACAAGGCTAGGCTGTCGCAACCCTCCGAAGAAATCCCAGTGAAACAGGTGTGAGCGACAAGTGAACGTTTGAACGGTCCAGTAGCGCTTCAAGCTCGGGGCCGACGGCGCGTTCCTTACGACTGGGATGGTAACCGAGACGTCATCAATATCTGAGGTTATCCGCACCAACACCCGAGTCGACGCTCCGACCTGCGTGATGGTAAACAAGGGGGCTGTCTGTAAATTAGACCTGCGGGTTGGACATTAAGCCGTGGGTGATCACGCGAAAGAGAGTTACAGCCGCTTCCCAAGCGGATCGGAGTGCTTAATGGATTTAATAAAGCGACGTCGGACGGGCTTGAACCCGATCCCGCCTGGCCCATCTCTTCCTACCTGACCATCACCTGGCGCACCCCGAGTTTCGCCATTCCACGGATTCTTCTACTCCATTTCCCTGTTTCATTGCGCGCATCCCCCAGGAGAACGAGTCGGAGACCAGGCGGCTTGCACGTGTCGTCCAGAACGCCCAACGTGAGTACTGGATCTCTGCGCCCACACGGCATGTGCTACAGCCACGAACAGCGCATACAACAACACAGGCAACCTGTTGGACAGCCCACAGGCCTCGACCTCCGGCGGCGCGCCCGCTGCGGTGGACCTGGAGTTGCGGGGAGGAGCGCGGATAAGCAACGGCCCTGCGACGGAGCCAGGTGAGCTGCGATCGACGGAAATGAGCTCTTTCTCCGAGAACACCACCGCGGGCGAGCCTCGTTCTCCCCGCGTGGACGGCCCCGAGCCTCAAGAAGAGTTGAGCAAATCCACGACCACCTCCGCCTCCGCTTCCAGCTCCCAGGTCGCCCCCGCCCCCCCTCCCCCGCCGGCCACACCGCCCTCCGCCGCCGCCGCGCTGACCGCCCCCACCATCCCTCCGATCCCACCACGATCCCCATTGCGGGCTGCAGCCATCGCAAAGGCCGCTGCGTCCGGCCTACGACCCCAGCTCTCTACCTCCCCGGCCGTCGCGACAAGCGCCCCCAGCCGAGAGACCGACGGTATGCCGCTCGTGCACGCTCAGAGCTACGGCTCCTTCTCCGGCCTCTTGGACACCCCTAGCGCTATGCCCCGACGGCCCAGCTCCCCCGAGCATAAGCCCCTCCCCCGCATTCCACAACCGTCGGATGGCATCTCTTTGTCCGCGATGGAGGACGAGGACGACGCGACGCTGCTTGCCTCCGACTCTGTGCGTTCCTCCGCCACTGCTGTCATGAGCAAGCGACAGTACGCCCTTTTCGAGCTCGTCTCTTCGGAACGAGCGTATGCGCATGACTTATCCCTCATCCGCGACATCCACATTCCCCTAGCATTGGGTGCGTATCCAGCTCCCTAACGGATGTCCCGAGCGTCGTCTCACGCCTCACAGGCCAACCTATCCCTCCTGCGACGCCTGCGACACCTCCAGGGTCGGCCTCGTCGTCGAGGGCTGTGTCCGCAGCATCCGAGCCGCCACCAATGACCCCAGAGGACGTCAGAATCGTCTTCAACAACATTGGGCAGATCGCCGACTTCGCAATCGACCTTGCGGACGCCCTTCAAACTGCTCTGGGGCAAGTGGGAGAGGCTGCGTTGGAGCACGGGAGGGACAGCATGGGGAGCATCAATGGCGGACTCACGGACGACGAGCTCGGGAAAGTAATGATCGCCTCTGTGAGTCACTCATTCTCTCTCCCGCGTATCGTTTGTGGATGCACCCCCTCTTCGCCTGTGAGGAGGTCCTGTTCCCGGAGCGATGGGGAAGCGTGCTGGCCATCTTCCGACCCTCTCAACGATCGTGCCGTCAGCCGATCACACCGCGCTGTCTGAAGAACCCTTGACAGTCGTCACGGCTCATTGATTTCTGGCATTGGCTGTACGAACCATGGATCGTACCCCGCAGTCGTCCATATTCATTGGGTATTGGGCCATCCTCAGTGGCCCCTCACTCAATGGTCACGGTCGCTGTATGCGTTATTGGCAGGCTGTCTCGTCCCGACTCGTATGTTCCCATGTCCAAAAGTGATACGGACATCCACCCTGTCGTCCACCACACGTCTCAGGTCCCCCAACCGGAGACTGTAGAGCAATGCGGTCTAGACCAGGTGGACTCGAACTGAAGAACGTGCTCGGGCGCGCGTGCTTGGGCGGGTGATAAATGAACTGCCGCATTGTGAATGGGAGCTCGTTTTAATGCACGGGGTGGGTATATCGAGCAGGCCCCACCGGGGCTTTTCCGGCACACCCTTCGGGCAACGCTGGCAGTCGACCCCCCTCCGGACTTTGAACGCTCCAGATGTTTCTCCGCCTGCACGCCTCGGGAACCATGCTAATTTCGCGCGGCCGCGCTCCCACCCACACAGGTTGCGGAAATGGAGGCGCTCTACCGACCGTACATCACCAAGCACTCGAACGCGCTCGAGCACCTGAAGAACCTGCCGCAAACGCCGGCGCTGACCTCGTACCTCGCGCACACGACCGCGCTCGCGTCGAGCATGTCGCACGCGTGGGACCTACCGTCGCTGTTGATCAAGCCCGTGCAACGGCTGCTCAAGTACCCGCTCCTTCTCGCCGCGATCATCGACGAGACCCCGGATACGCACCCAGACAAGTCGTGGCTGCGCGCCGCGCGCGAGTCGCTGGAAGAGGTCGCGCGAGGCGTGAACGAGGGTCGCCGGCGGCGCGAGGTCGTGCGCGAGGTGCTCGCCGGTGGGCACGGGATCGTTGCGACGCCACGAATAAACGACGTGAAGGGGAAGAAGAAGACGCTCGGAATCGGGCCCTCCGTCAGCCTCGGACGGATGAAGACGATACGTGCGGCAGCGCTCACAGCCAAGGAAGGCCCAGAAGCGAACGTGGAGGCGGAGGAGGTCAGGGCGCTTGGCGACCAGCTGAAGCGGCACGACGCGTTCGTCAAACGGTTCGCGGAGGACGCGCTCGCCTGGGTCGACGCCGCGGGCGACATGACCGCCGCGCTGGACGAATGGGCACACGTGTTCGGGAACGTGATCTGGATGGACGACGACGGCGGCGGCTCAGAGGCGTTCGAGGCGTTCCGCGACCTTATCGCGGACCACCTCCTCCCCATCTGCCAGCAGACGCGGACCGAGATTACTGAGCAGCTCATACCCATGCTTGACGCGCTCGTCAAGACCACCGTCGCGCCGATGCGTCTCCTCGAGGCGATGAAGACGCTCGAGCCGGTCCACTACGGCCTCCTCAATGTCGACGTGACTAAATCGCGCCCCCCACCGCAGTTGCTCGACATGTCGCAGTCGTACGTCGCGCTCCGTGAGCAGCTCGCGGCCGAGCTTCCGCAATACCTCCGCCTATTCGACGCTGCCGCGTCCGGGTGCACACTCCGGTTCGCCACCATCCAGAGCCGCTACTTCTACCGCGTTCGCGAGCGCTGGTCCGAGCTCTGGGACGCGCTCAAGGTCGACGAGGAGGCCAACCTCGGCGCCCCCGAGACGCTCCGCGTGTGGTGGTCTCGCTTCGCCGAGGTCGAGGTCCAGCTCAAGGCGCTCCGCATCATCCAGCCTCCACCATCGCGACGCGCGCCCGCAGAGAAGCTCCGCCTCCGCCAGCCTGCGAACGGTACGCCACGTGGACGCGGCGATGGGGATGTCGCATCCGTCGCGGTCGTGTCGACCATGCTCGCTGCGCTCGAGCCGCTTTCAATCCCAACCCCGAGCCCGACGCGCGGCGCGTTTGCGGCGGGGACGTCTCCGCAGAGCGGCAAGACGCGGAGCGTGCACTCGGTGGAGGGCGAGGGGCGGACGGTGATGTCGCCGCGGAAGTCGCAGGAGAGCATCCACTCGAAGCGCTCTGGCAAGTCGCACCGGACGCCGTCACGCGGGACGAGCCTTGGGGGGATGCATGACGAGGGCTTCCACGGCCTGCCGGGCCTCACGGCCCTCGCGCCAACACGGGAGAAGGACAGGGGGAAGCAACGGGAACAGCGACCAAATCGAGAACAAGACCCACACGACGAGGCGACATATTCGCGCTCGCGGAGCATGCCGCTCGCCACCGCGCCGCCAATGGGGAAGGTCTCGAGCTCACCGTCGCTCGGCAAGTTCCTCGACGTCCCGGACGAGGAGAGCTCGAACAGCAGCAATCCGAGCATCATCAGCGTCGTCCTCGACGACCGGGACGGCCGCGGGCGGCCAGCGCGCAAGCCGAGCTTCCGCCGCCGCCTCACGGACAGCTTCAGAGCGAACCCACTTTCATCCGATGCTGCCGCACAGGTCCAAGCGCAAACACCTCCGTCAACAAGACAACGCCGGTCGCCGTCGCTGCCCAACCCATCGCCATCGCCCACAAAGGCGAGCTTCGCCTCATCCGCGTCCACCTTCGTCCCGAGCCCCTCGTACCCGCGCGGACTCTCGCGGCGGCGGACGAGCGGGCAGATGCCGTCGCTGTACGAGTGCCGGGTGATCCACCGGTGCGAGCCACCGCCTGGGGTGTCGTACCGCGACCTGCCGTTCTTCACGCTCCGCGTCGACGACGTGTACGAGATCTTGGAGGAGGCGGGGCACCCGTCCACGCACCGCGACCTGCCGCTGTACGTCGACGACGGCGAGGACTGTCTCCTCCTCGCGCGCTCGGCGCGCGGCGACGTTGGCTGGGTGCTCGCCAGCTTCCTCCTTCCTGTGGACTAGCGGCGGGCATGGGAAAACTGCGGTCTGTATCGCACTTGGCGGGCCTCGGACCGCACCCGCTGTGGGTGACCAGGTCCTGCAGCTGCGCCGCCGCCGTCGCAGATCCCGACGACGGCAGCTCCCTCAGCCTGCCGCTGCCACCGCAGACGTCCGCTACCTCAGCGCTCCTTCTTCCACCTCGCCTCCGCTCCCGCGATTGTCGGCTTCCTAGGGTTCTTTCGGGTCGTACCTGGTATCATGCTGTAATCTCCGTCCGTAGATCGCTCGTCACCGTCCCCCCGTCGCTCGTCCTTCTCGCGCGTACCCACCCCCCTCCACCCTCTTGCCATCCCGCCGCTGTATTCCCTCGCCACGATCCCACATACCACTATACTACCCTCTCTGCATGCCCCACGCCGCCCATGGGACCTTGCTCTCGCGCTGTTGTACGAACTCCCTCTGCCTCTGTCCTCCCAGGATCCCATGGACCGGACCACTTCCTCGCGCTCTCGCATCACTTTTTTTGTCTGTACTAGCACCGCCCCCGCCTCGTTCCTGTTCTTCCCGTAGTAATCCTCGCCACCCGTAGTGTCTCGCTTGTGTCCACTCCTCTCCCCTCATCTCGCGACCTCCATGTACGCACGCACCGCACGCAATCCGTTCTAGAGAGAACCTAATGACAATGCATCCCCGTTGGATATCGGATCCTGACACGCGCGCGGAGCGGAGCGCGGACAAGCACGTTCATTCGCGCAGGATCAGAATACAGACGGACGTAAGAGATGCCAGCGACAGCATTGAAATATTGACCCATTAATATGTACCACAGTGTGGGGGAGAAAGAACAGAACAGAAGGCTTGCATGTTCCAACAGGCGCCGAACCTAACCTCATCGAGCCATAAGATCTTGAGACTCCGCGAAACGCCCCCTCCCGCGCGCGCGCTCACGGCGACGGGGGCTCGTTCACGAGCGCATCGAGCGGCTCGCCGCGCGCGTCGAGGGGCCAGAAGCAGTTCCGGAAGACGTGGTCGGGGTCGTAGCGCGCCTTGAGCCCGGCGAGCCGCGACCAGGAGGCGCCGAATGAGGCCATCGTGCGCGACGCGGGCTCGTGCCTGCCGAGGAAGGTCGGGAGGGGCCCGCCGGTGGCGACGGGTGCGATGGTGCGCTTCATCCACTGTGTGTGGTGGTGAGCCCCGGGTGACGGATGGAGATACAGAGACAGGAAAGCGACGACGGACGAGGATCCCGCCCGGCGCACGAGAGCGAAAGTTGAACGGACGCACCTCTTCGGCGGTCTCGATGCACCGCGGGTCGTCGATGCCCATGTCCCACTGGTGGAGGGCGGCGACGGTCCACGTCGCGGCGCGCTGCTCCTTCGGCAGGCACGTGTCCTCGAAGTCCTCGATCGCGCCCCCGGCGAGCTCGAATATCCACGCTGGTGCGCGCGGAAGCGAAGAGGAAAGGGTCAGCGATGCTTAGCGGAGATCCGAAGCCACGGATGGGGGGAGGACCCGGGGGGCGGACACTGACTGTAGGAGCGGTACTCACTGCAGCCGATCGGCGTGTTCGAGAACTCGAGCACGGTCTTGTTGATCACCTCGTCTGGCAGCGAGGTGATCAGCGACGAGCGCAGGAACCACTGCCTGCCCACTGTCCTCGCGTCGGTGTCACTTCATGTGCGAGACGGGAGGCACGGCGCACCTTTGCCCCGGAGGACCTGCGCGACGCTGTCCTGCTGCCGCAGGAAGCTCTTCTCGTTCACCTCGCTCAGCAGGCTCGCTCGCCGTCCCAGCTGCTGATCGCCTGGAGGTACGCGAGCCCGTCCTCGCGCGAGCCGGCGTAGCACATCTGGATGACGACGAGCGAGTCCTTGTCCGCGGGACCCGCGGTGAGGAGCACGTTTGCGTACAGCTCGCGCGGCGCGTTCTTGACGCAGTCGCGGAAGTGTTTGATCAGCGACGCCGCGGTTGCGCGATGGAAGCGGCTGCGGGTGCGCGATGTGATCGGGACCAACGAGGGGATGGAGGCGGTAAGGAAAGGGGTAGGAGAACAATATCAATACGAGAGAAAAACCGAGAATCGGATGGGTACGCACTAGATGAGATTCCCCGCAAAAACGATGGGAATGGGGTGTGCGCGGACCTTGTAGCGCGTCGCGATCCCAAACGCCGGCCCGGCTCCTCGAATAGCCCACCACAAGTCTACCACACAGCGTCAGGAACCTCGTTCGTCCCCGCAGAGAGGCCAAAGGACCACGCACCTGGGTCGCCCTCCTCGCTCGCGACGACCACCCGCCCGTCTGCGAGGACCATCTCGACCTCCACCACGTTGTCCACGCTGAGGCCGTGCATGCGGCTCACGAAGCCGAAGCCGCCGAGCATCATGATGCTCGACCCGACCGGGTGCGCGGACATCGGCACGTAGTACGGCACCGCGTGCTCCTCGCGTACGCCCGAGACTGTGTTCTGCCCGGGGAGCGGGTGCGCGGCCGTGTACGCGTCGATGTCGCGCTGACGCATCCCCGCGCCGAACGTGACGTACGCGTGCGGGTGCACCGGGTTGCGCGCGGCCGAGGACGAGTGCGAGCGAGAGTCGGCGGGAGGCGAGAATGGGCCCGCGGCCATCCCCGCGTTCATGCCCATGCCTATGCCCATGCCCATGTTCATGCCGGCGCCAGTGCCCATCGCGGAGGTGCCCTCGCCCCCGCCGAACGGTCCCCGGAGTGCTTGCAAGAACGCGGGGGACATGCCTGGGGGGACCGACCCCATCGACGGCATAAGTGGCGGCATGGAAAGCAACGGTGTCGCGCCCATCGTGGGCCCAACAGCACTGAAACCCGTCGTGGCGTTCCACGCGACCACTCCTCCGGACGGAGGCTGCACGAACGTCGTGATCGGCATGGACGCCACGCCCGCCCCGGAGGCCCCGCCGATCGCCGCCGCGGGACCCACGACCGAGGCCGAGGCGGGTTGGTGACAGGGGCAAATGCGGAGGCAGATACGGACGAGGGGCTATCGGAGGCAGACCGTTTGTCGGCGGGAGGTGTCGTCGACGTGGTGGAGACGGTGTGTTCGGAGGTGTGGCTCTTGCTGCCGCTGCCGGAGGACCCGATGGAGCCGATGTTTCAGGCGAGGAGCGCGAGGTGCTTAGAGGAGGAAGGCCCATACGTCCGTCCGGAGAGGACGCCTTGGAGGCATCGGTATCAGCAAGCGTGGACGTTGCCACCGCCGCCTCAGCAGTGGGGGGTACGACGTCAACCTCGATCGCCCCTTCCGGCTCTGGGTCATGCAGCGCGGGCGGTTGGTCGGGGGTTGTCGTGGAGTCTCTCCGGGAACGGGAGGCAGTGGGGGGCCACGGAGGAAGGATGCGACAGAGGACGAAGCCTTGTCGTACCGTGTCATGTCCTGCGACAAGCCGATGTCGGGAGAGGTGAGCGCCGACGCTTCGAGCCCGTTTGCGCCTCTGAGGAGGGTGCGGCGGGGGCAGTGGCGGTGCGCGGCGCGAGTGGAGGATGTGGAAGGTGTGGGTCCAACCTGGGCTGTACTCCTTCGCGAAGCTGGGCCTGCGTCGGAAGGAGTGGCGGTGGCGAGGGCAGCCCCGACCCGAGCCGCTTGTGTGCTGTCTTCCGGACTTCGTGTTGTCTGAATCTGGAATCGGGGTGTCCTTGAGCGGCGTCCAGTCGACCTTGGTTCCCTCGGGGACATTGAGCGGAGGCTCGATGGCGATGTCGCGGAGCATGCTCATGTCGACAAGAACGTCGCCCGAGACGGCCCAGCCGGGGATCGCGTACCCGCCAGCGCGGACCGAGGGCGACAGTTTGTGCTTCAAGCAGAACTTGATGACGGCGGAGACGTCCTGGGCGTTGAGAGGCGAGACGAGGACGCGGCATCGGGGTTTGAGTTTGCCATTGAAAGTCTTCGCGCGCTCGGCGTATCTGTGGGCGAAAGGAAGACAGAAAGTGTCAGAGATGAGTGATGAAGCACCGTAAGGGAATACTCACTCCGGATCGGTGGGCCAGCAGACGGGGCCTCTGACGAGGGACACGAGCTCGTCGAAGAGGCTCTGGGAGAAGATCGGAGGCGGCTGGAGAGCGAGAGGGGGCGGAGGCTGAGCTGATGGCATACGGACGGCAGGGGTGGTTCAGGCGTTATAACGAGACGGCTGGCGATCGATGTGGCTCAGATCAAGACAGAGAGGAGCCCAAGAGAGTCGGAGGCGGCGCGCCCCTGTGCTTGTGTGGGCGTGGGTGGGGAGCGAGGTGGTGTGGGACGACAGGGTCGCGTGCGACGCGCGGGGGGTGGAGACCGAGATGGAAGTGGGCGCGTCGCTGTTTGGCCGAGGAAGGCGGCAGAGGGATAGCCGGTTAATAAAGCCTGGGGCGTCAGGCGGTCGGCGTCGGTAAGCCTGATGACGGCTGTCAGTGGGGCGCCGGGACAAGCGAGGTGGTTGCCTCGTCCGGGGGGAGGAGCAGAGGTCGTGCTCTTCGATGCTCGAACGCGATTGCCGGTGGATGCGGTGCAGAAGGAAGGAGGGCAGGGGCGGGGCACTCGACGTCACGTCGAGCTCAGCAGCGGGCCAACGTCAACGAGCACCAGCAACGACGGACGCGGTCCTCTTCCCGGCGAGCTCGGGCAGTGGTGGGCGCAGGACGAGTGGGGAGCGTGCGCGCGGGCTCCGGACGGCGACGGGGCTACCGCTCGCTCGGCCCCGGCAAGAAGCCTGCCGCATCCGCGCAAATGCACATTTCGCACTCCGCGAACCGGACGCCCGGCGTGGCTTCGTGCCAAAGTCTGTCCAGCAGCTGACGGAACTTGGGCCCACCTCAGGGCGACGCTCCCACATGAAAGGGCCGAGGTGATGTGAACGCAATAAGTCCGCACATGGATCCTGCGCGGGGCCCGTCTGGCACGGCGGAACCGCAGCCCTGCAACCGCCGCGGAGCCAAACGCGACGATCTGGACCTATCTAGACCCCGCTTCGTGACTATAACACGACGCTCGCGACAAATGCGCCGCACAACGCCGCCAGGCGACGTGCGGTGACCCGCACACGCCGTGATGTATGTGCTTCCGCGACCGGCAGAGGCGCATATACCCACATTCGAGTACTGGGGGTGGGGCGCATAGAGGAAATTCCGACATGCACGAGGAAGACACACCTTGAAAAACACACATCCGCTGTCATTCGTCTTCTTCGCCCAACCCCACTCGGGTTTACTTGATCCCTGGACCCTACCACAGTTGAGAGCGGGACAGGTTTCACGTAGAAGCGGGATCCGGCCACAGAGGGAGCAACAACTTGAGTCTTGGACCAGGTCAGCACTGAGCGCTGAGCGCTGAGCGCTGAGCACGCATGCGCGTGCCGCAAGTTCGTGGGGAAGGGTCGTCAACAAAGCGAGAATACGGTGGTGATAGTGGAATGGGGCAGAGGACCCCAGGCGTCATGCATCATGTCTGGGATCCACTGGAGCACAAGTCAACCAGCGCTACCAGGCGCTACGCGTGATCAGGGGAAAAATATTGGCGGGAAAGATGCAATTGGACACATTGGGAATCGAACGACGTGCAATGTGCACGAGAGTAGCACGGCCATTTCAGCCCTTCAAAAACTATGGACACGTCCGGGATCGAACCGGACCCCTCTCGCATGCTAAGCGAGCGTGATAACCAACTACACCACGTGCCCTTGATGAAGGTTTTACACATTTAATACATATTTTACTAATACACTGACGTCACTGAACCCATGTCATGTCATCCTAAGTTGCCCTAATCACCACCCCATTGCATGTACCGGCTAGCCGACAGACACACATGTTTTCCACGTGTGGTCTTGCGCCAGTGACGCAGCGTCGTGGCAAGTCCCTCCATCAAACGCAAAGCGTATCCCGTTTTTAGATCCACAAACGACCCGAACCTGGTTCCTGGTGGACGCGCTACCAAGTGTGCTTTACGCGATGCGTGACGCCAAGGCAATATAACCGATTCTGAACTATGGCCTTGTCCTCCCAGATTCCGCCTCCCGCACGCCCTCAACTTGACTCCTTCACGACCGCGATCGAGTATTAAGCCCCGAATGCGTCGATGATCCCAAAGTACGCCGACTTGCGCACAAAGTTCTATGGATTCGCCACAAGGGTCAGCGCGAGCGAAACTGCACGCACGAGACACCCGCGGCTAGCGCAGTGATGCAGGGTTTGGGGCACCGACGACGTACCTCGTCCCATGGGCAGGCGGAGCCCTGACCGGCAAACGTACCCGGGATCCACGAGTACTGCGCGCGTACGCTTCGTCAGCCTCTGTCGGTCGCGCCCCGAAAACGCGCAGGGAGCGCAGGCCGCGCACGCACCTTGTCCGTGAAGTCCCACACCGTGACCCCGACGCACTTTTGACGGCCTTGCACGCCGCGATGACGGTCTCGTAGTCCTTCTTTTGCTGCGCGACGCCTTCCGCGGTCGGCGGCAGCGCCTCGAAGCGGATGTCCAGCTCGGTGAGCGCGACCTCGATCCCGAGCGCCGTGAACTCCTGCAGGTTCTGCAGGAACGTGTCCGGGACCTGGCCGACGATCAGATGCGACTGGATGCCGACGCCGTCAATCGGCACATGTTCTTTCTGCAGTGTCTTGACAAGGTTCTTCAACGCGGTCGCCTTCGCGCCTGTGACGGCCAACGCGTGACACCATGCGACGTGCGCGTAGTTCGGAAAGGCCAAGTGCACGTCGCGTGGTCCACAATTAGGGTGCGGATAAAGAGTGTATCGTACACAGATGCGTCAGAACATAGACCCTTGTCCGCGGAAAAAGGAAGAGAGGACGCACCAACACCCTCGATATTGAAGTCATTGATGTAGAGCTTCGCGTGCGGATCCGCGCCCGTGCCGCGTGCAACGCGATGGGGATGTACGTCGTGTTGAGCGTGTCGAAGAACACGTCAGACCGGAACGTGCCGTCGTCGTTGAACGGTTCTACGTGTGGATATCGAGATGAGAACCTGTGGTAGGCAAAGGAAGGCGCTCCTACGCACCGTTGATCACGTCCCAGCTGTCTATGTTCGCAAATGCTCGTCATTTCTTCTCCATGTAGTCCTTATCGTGACGATAGACTCACAGCTGCGCATACACTCAATGTTAACAGATCTCATTGCAGAATTCAGTGCTTTAACACTCACACATGTCCCCGATAGTGCCTCACGAGCGTCGAACAGTGCCGTTCGACGACGAACGCAAGCTCCTCCGGTGTAAACGTCCCATTCGCGACCCAGTCCGGCAGCTGGCTATGCCAGACACAGTTGTGCCCTCGGAGGCGCTTTCCGGTCGTCCGCGCGAAGCCCGCAATGATGTCGGCGTCCCGAACGTGAAGTTACCTGGGGAAGGTTCCGTCGCGAACTACCACGAGGGCCCCACATCAGCGTGCGGAAGGGAAGGAGGAGGAGGACAACGCACCCACTTCATCACGTTCGCGGCCGTGATCTGCCCAAACTCCGAGCTCCGGAGGATGTCGAAGTACGTCGTGTCGTTCCACTGCTCGCTGTTCGTCGCGGTCCCGAAGTAGAGCTTCCCCGCAGCCTCCGCGGCGCGGTTCAAGCTCGGCGCGGCGGGCAGCGCCAGGCCCCCGACAGAACGCCGAACAACGCGAGTAGCTGGGAGCGTACCATGACCAAGAGCTCGCAGGAGAGTAACACAGAGCAGAACGGCTCACCCTTGCTCACGCTCCGCCCGCGCGATATATAGCCTCCCGTCCGCTCCTCGCGGCCCGTCACTGTCTACGCCCCGCCCTGCACTAGCACACCTGACTGTGGTGAGCCATGGGCGTACATACCCGCCGCCCACATCCGTTCCAGGAATATCGCACGTACCTCGCGCCCACCCCGCGTGACGGCGGACGGGGGCCCGCCGTGCGCCCAGCATCCAACACGCACGGGGAGCGAGTGCGGTCGAGGGGCAGTCGGGGGATCTTTGGGCTATTTTGGGGGTGCAGGGCGCGGTCATGTGGTCGGCACGTCGAGACGAGACGCAATAGCAGAAGAGACATGAGGCGACGGAAGGAGGTGGGGGCGGGAAATGTCTTGACACAGTTTGATAGGAGCGCGAGTTTTTATGCTCACTTTGGGTGCAAGTTCTCTGGCTGAAGACATTGGAAGGTCGAGGCGGAGGCCGTGATCTGCGGGCAACCTTGTTCGATGATGTGATGGAACTTCGATATGGTAGGGTGTTAAAGAGAATGGCGGTCATGAGATCAAATGGGCCGCTTGGTGAAGGCTGGTGAAGGAGAAAGGAGAGAAAGAATATTTTGATTGGGTACGGCACTACGCCGGGACTACAAGACGTGAGACAACACGGAGGAAGGGGACGCATGCATACGGGTCTGACGCTTCCTCGCGCCTCTCCACCAGACGCTTACATAGGACTCGCATAAATATTTCTTCTCCATGCATGCTCCACGGACCACGATCTAGAAGCCGTTCAGTCTTAATAAGTATGCGAGAGAGCAAACGCATGAGAATACTCACCCGTAGCACAACCTCCTTTCTGTACCCTCAATTCCATTCAAGGCAGAGCATTAGCGTAGCCAAGAGGAGTTGTAACCTGGATGGCGATGAAGGTAGGAGCAGAAGGTGAGACGAAGCTCAAGCGCCGATTCCCTATCCAGGTAGTAGCTACTTGTCATGGTTCACGACAAGTTTATACTATGTGTGTGCGCTTAGTATTTACAGCTGAGGGTGGGAGAGTGCGCGCCGGCGACTTGCAGGTCATGCGCTGGCACTGACTTTTGTGGACAGAAGCATATATCGATATCGGCATCGTTCCGCTCAAAATCGACGTCCTTGCCCTGGTCGAGCGGATCAAGGTAATTGACAAGAGTACCCCGGATGGTCTACAACCATGTCCTCCGTCTGAGCCTCCTCGCGCAGACAAACGTGCGATTCCTGAAACTTATGCAAAGGGCTGTACAGTGTAGACCTCCGTGTAACCTCGTGATAAATATATTCCCTAGCAGACTCATCAACGCCAGCCGGAGTTTAATCGCCCAGCATACACCTTCTGTGAACAAAACATAGAGGAGTCTACTGCGCGAGCGAAACCCGGAGAGGCATCTGAGGACCTGCTGCCATATCACTCTTCACTAGTGGAGCGACGAGACCAGCGGGGTAGCGGAGGATCTCGGGCTTGTCGTCTGGGATAGCGAACTCGAAGTGCTCGATGAGCTCGACCAGGATGGCTTGCATTTCGATGATCCTGCGAGTGGGTGAGACCTCGGCCTCGTGTTAAGCACAAACCACCAAAAGGAACGTACGAGAACCGCCAGCCGAGGCACGCCTGCAGCCCAGCAGAGAACGTCATCAAGTTCGAGGTGACGCCGACGTAGGTCGAGCCCATCTTCTTCTCCTGGTCTATGAACCGGTGCGGGTTGAACTCTTCCGCGTCCGGGCCCCAGATCTCTGGGAGCCTGTGTTACGTGCACACTCCGTCAGCACGCACACCCTTGCTTGTTAGCGCAGGACGGTCTCGTACCTGTTGTACGCCCAGATTGAGATTTGGATATCCGTGCCCTTCGGTACTGGGAGCTCGGTAACGACTGTACCGTCGACAAGAGTGAGCGGGCGGGCGAGCGGCAGCACGTCATCGCGCGAAGCGTAGCGGACGAGGGCGTAAACGATCGGGTGCAGGCGGAGGATCTCCTTCATTGCCGCGAGGGTGTACGTCATCGTGTCGAGGTCCGCGACGGAGTACTCGGAGTCGCCGCGCCCAGTCACGCGTGCGCGCACAGCGCGGACCTCTGCCCGGATCTTTGACTGGTACTCGGGGTGCTTGGCCAGCTCCCAAAGGATCCAAGTCATCGAAGAGGCGGTCGTCTCGTGCCCTGTTGACGATAATTAGCTGCGTTAAAAACCCGGGTCGGCCCAAAGACCCGGAAACGCACCAGCAAGCAGGAAGGTCGCAACCTGGGAGATCATCTCATCCTCTGTTAGGCGCGACCGCGGGTCCTCGGAGGCATTAGCGCGGACAAGAAGGCTCATGATATCCTTCTTATTGTCCTTGCCTGTCTGGGCGTGAGCCGTCTTCTCCGTGATAAGCTCCTTCGCGAACGCATTGATCACGTCAAGCGTCTTGCGGAAGCGCCTGTGGTCCTTCGTCGGCCAGTACTTCACGTACTTGAGGATGGACATCGGGATGAGGTGCCATGTAGACCGGAAGAAAATCGTGAATTTCGACGGGTTCGGGATGGCGTCCGCGCTGGCAGCCAGATTGATTATTGGACGCTCGACGCCGCGCTTTCCGGGATGAGCACTCACAACATGTTGTTGAACGCCTCCATAACGGGGTTAAGCGAGTCGTCGAGCGCGCCACACTGGACATCGAAGCCGACTGGACCGCGTGGAGCAATCAGGAACCCGTAGAGAGCGCGCATCGCGACTGGAACGCACCCTCTCCAATCACGTCGAGCGTGCAACGTGCGAGCCAAGACGTAACATTAATCCTCTCACCACGCTCGTCGGCGTTTTGCAGGATCTCCTTCCACTTCTGGCCTAGCTGCAGCATATAAAGCGCTCATCAGCGCGCGTACGGAGAAAGATAGGGGTGGCGGGACGGACCTTCTGAGTGGATGAAAGGAAGAGAGGGAGGAATGACTTGAGCTGCGCGGCGGTAAATGCAGGGTTCATGATCTTGCGGATGCGCGTGTGGTCCTTGTCTGTTTCCGGAGCGGTTTAATCCCGCGTGTGCGAAGCGCGAGAGACGCGGACGCACCTTGGGCGAAGAGGATTCCTGGACCCGTGATCTCGCGCGAGAACTGGCGCGAGGTCGCTGTCTTGGGAAAGTGGTAGCCAGACTTATGGAAGATGTATTGAAGAGCCTGCGCGCGGTATTAGAACGGGATACAGAGGAAGGTTGCGCGGGGGAGACATACCTTAGGGTCTGCTATCTCAAGGGAGTTCTCCTGCAATCTCAGTCGCCTTAGACGAGCATGCTCAGGCGGCCCAATCCCGTTGACTACTCACACTCATTGTGCCTTTCATGCGCCAGACAAGTCCATACTCCGCGATCCATTTCTTCTGGAGGTCACCCACCTCCAACTGACGGCTGATTTCTGGCTGGTGTCCTGCGCGTTCGACGAGCGGCGTTGGCACTCTGTGGCGCGCGAGATGAGAGGTACTCACCAAGGAACCAGCTCTCAGCGGGCGGACCTCTGACCTTCTCGAGCACGCGCTTCGCGAGTAGAGGCGCACGGCGATTACGAGGAACGCACGCCGCGAGGAGCAGGTAAAGCTTGGGGTCTTGGACCACCGCGAAATCCATCGAGGCCACTGGGTGGGCTTGACTTTGAGGCTTAAGGGAGGGTGGAGATGGAAGGGAGAACGTGCGGAACACAGTGTGGAGGAGGGCGCAGTGCCAGCTGCCCTTTATATATGTGCATATAGTTGGTGGGCTTCTCGGACGGAAGGCCCGAGCCGGGGGAATGTTTCCCGGTGACCAACACTTATGATCTAAGAAGTCGCGACGGAAGAAACTGGCTGTATCGGTGCGTGGCCCGAGGCGTGCATTCTGTGCAGTGCATACCCACCTCAGTTGCAGCCGTGACCCTGAATGGCGTCGGAATTGCCTCGCTGAACCACAGGAGTTTGCTTCGTGCGCTTTGTGAGACAGCGAGGGCAGGAATTTCCAACATGAGGTGCAGGATGTTGTTGGCGGGACGACATGCGTGAGAGACGGAGACACAGTATTAAGACGTGGCCGCTGCATGATATGATCACAGGCGCCTAGTAGAGTCGAATTCACCCACGCTTTCTCCATGCGCGCGCCGCCGAAAGTCGCGATGGCTGTGTTCATCTTCCCTCGAACATGCCATTGGCTGACAGCCATGGATGGGAGCAGAGTTTGCTGAGCGGCGAGCGGGCTTGTTAGCGCCGTCCCTGCCGCGATGATAACGTGGAAGCCATGCGGAGATGAACGTTTGAACGTTGAACATCACTCTCCGCTCGACTCGAGGCTAGGCACCAGAAGACGAGATTGAGAAAATCAAAGCAGTACATCAAAAGATAGCATGTAGGTAGTGGTCTTGTCGTGCGAGGCTGTAAACAAGGGCAACAGCGAAATGCACAGATCTAATCGTCGTCGTCGTACTCGATCTCGACGATGAAGCGCGCATTGGGCTCTGCTCCGGCCTCTGCCATCGTCTCGTCTCTCTTGCACACGTACCGCCGCTGGAACACGATGTCGTCATCTTCCCCGGCTTCCTCGATCACCAGAGTAAGCTGTGCACTATGTGCAATGATCTCTGTCAGCTCTCGATCGATCTGCGACCCACATGCTGAACGCGCTCACCTTTCGTAGTACTCTTCCAGGCCGAAGGTGCGACAAGCCTGCAGCAACACCTTGGATACCATGTGCCGGCCACGGGTCTTGAAGAGCGACCGGCTATCAGGGTCTTCGCTGTACTCGATTACAACGAGGAAGCTCTCGTCGGTTTTCGGCATGTGTGATGACGGCGGCTGCGAGGGGGGCGGCTGAGAGCGATGTGACCCCGTAGGGGAGGCCCTCGAGGATTGTGGAAGCACCTTCTTTGTCTTGATATTAGGCTCAGGCGCAGCTACGAAGAACCATTAATATAGACGCATACATCCACCGGCTGGAACGGGTAGACATACTTTCGACATATTGCAGGGGAGACGGCTGTTCGCCTTTGCGCACGCCGGGGTGCGGTCCCTCAGGGTCCCCGTGTGACACGCTGCCCGCACGCGACATCCTGCCTGACCGAGCCACCGAAGCAGGCGTGGGTGACTGTAAAGCGGAGCGGCGGCCTAGCAGTTCGTTGCCTTCGTCTTGCTCGTCTGTGTCGTTGTCTATGCCATAGTCTGATAGGATGCGCGGTCGGGTGGCGTGCTTCTTCGTTGGCGAGCGCACAGGCTCTTCTTCCTCCTCCTTCTCTTCTTCTTGCGGTTCTAGAGCGGGCTCGTCATCGTCTAGCTCCTCGATCCTCGACGGTTCGTGTGACAGCACCCTCGAGGCGGGAGGACTATCCGCAGGTCCAAGTGACGAGCGAACCAACGGGGCGCTAGATGGACCGGGCTGGCTGGTGAAGTCTTTGTGCGACGTGGCGACAATGCTGGTTGGACGCGAGCCCGTAGCGCTACGGCCCCCCAGGAACCTTGCTCTTGCGTCCGTTGAGCGACTGTCGCTCCACGACGCCGTTGCCATTCACCCCAACTGTGCCATTTGACAGACGCATTGGAGCCCGCCGACGACCGAGATGCGCTTCTGCGAGAGCCTGCGCGAGCCACTGAAGGTTTCCGAGGGGCGCAGACGGGCGGCTGGGCAGCAGACGGGGCCGCAAGAGCATGGTCGACACGAGCGGTGACACATCGTAAGACGGTACGGATGCCGTCCCAGGCGCGGCGGTGTATGCGGACAGTCCCTTCTTCTGGGCCGAGGAGGTCGGTGGTTTCGAAAACGAGGTCGCCTATAAGCCCAAATTCGTCGCGCACGACTTGTTGGGCGTCCTACAAAGTAAATCAGTGATACATGCATATCGTGGTATTCCTCAGACGAACATCGTATGATTTTGGGAGAGGTACAAGGACGCGGTCATGTCCATGGCTGAAGATGATTAATTCCTGGGTAGCTTGAGAATTGAGAGGGTCATGAGACGACCGAAATAGCATGGTATCGTCAGAGTCGTGCTGTGTTAGCCAGGTCGTAGTTGTGGTAGTTGTACAAAGCGTCGCACGAGGCGACTAGATGGTAGAGAAACAGAAACGCGCGCGGCGCCTTCAACAACGCGACGACGCGCACCAAATAAAGTCAAACAACGCGTGGGTGGCACGCGTCCGTCACGTTGGGTCACGGCATTGTCACTGCGAACCGGAATATTCAGGCGCTAAGCACGTGCACTCTAGCAGCTGACACCAAAACGTTGACCATACACAGGCGGGAGATGCTTGATACAGAACATTCACAAAACGCGAAAACTGTGGCATACAAGGACCACTTAGACTGTCCGAGTCAATCAAACACTCGCCCGGACTTGTAGGGCGTCCACTCCTCCGGCTTTTTCTCCAGCCGCTTCCATGACACCATCTCTCGGCTCTGATCCAAACCCGCCCCTCCACTCCTCCACGAAACCCCCTCTGCCAACCATCGCACCACCAGCCGTGCGCTGGCCTCCCTCCTCTTCTTCCGGCGTCCGACCGTCCCGCGCATCCACCAGTCGTCGCTCGAAGTCACGACTCTGCACCTGTGCCTTTCCCCTCAACATCGTCACCGACCGCACGCTTTCCAGGACACCCCCGCGCCCGAGCAGTGCCTCCAGCACCGCGACGTCCTCCTCCCCCATCAGCCGTTGCTCCGTGAGTACGAGCGCCGCAACGCCCGCACCTGTCCCAGCGGCGTCGGACGCACTTCCAAGGTGCAGGAACTTCTGCACGGCCTCAAGGCCCAGCGAAAATGAGATTTCGCTCCAGGAGGCCGAGTGGAAGGTGCTGACGGTGCTGATGCTGGCGGTGCTGGTGCTGACGGTGCTGGTGCTGCGGCCGCTCCAGCTCCTCCGACGAGTGGAGTCGCTGCCCGCTGACGGCGACTCCGGGATCGGAGGAAGGAGCGCGAGGAGCGTCTTCACGGTATGAGGCCCGCGTATGACGAGGAGCGGCCCGTCGTCCGCGCAGAGCTGCCATCGCCGGCACCCCGGCCGCCGTCTCGGCGCCCGGTGCTGGGGATCGCAAGAAGCCTGGAGGATCCCGAGTGCGTGGGGAACCACCCGCGGACGAGCGGGGCGAGTGTAGCATGCACGCACGGGGGAGGGATCGGTCCGGCGAGTGTGAGGCATCGAAGCGCGTCGAGGGCCCCCGCGGACGACAGAAGGTTCGTGAGCGCGTGGGAAGCGGCACACTCGGCCACGGCGGCGGAGACGGGGTTGTGTCCAAGCTCCGCGGGCCACGAGAGCCCCAGCTCCAGGCTTGGGCCTGCGGGCAGAGGGGGCGCGCCAGGGAGGAGAGGGAATGGGGCGACGTCTGCGGGTTCCGTACGGGGTGCTTCGTGAGGGGACGGCGGACCACCATGGGTGTTGGACGGCACAGGAGAGGCGGTGGAGCCGCGAATGGTGAGGGAAACGACGGAGGAGAGCATGGGGAGGCAGCTGAGCGACGGCAGCGCAAAAAGTTGAGGCTTGTGGGCGTCGGAGATCGGTCGCGAATGCACCGTGTATGCGCTAAGGACGACCGACGTGAGAGCAGGAGAGGTCCGTAGGGTGGAAAGGAAAGCGGAGAGTAGACCGAGCTCCATGCGGACTCGCAAGGTGCGAAGGTGCATAAGGGGGATAGGGGTAGAGGGATCTGGCGGCACATGCGAGATGGGAATGCATCCGAGGATGAGCTCTTCGAGACGTGGACATGCACGCAGCACGTTTGAGAAGGGCCATCGCCGGTGGCGAGGGATAAATCCGAACCCTCTGGGTAGACGATGGACAGTCGTTGAAGACCAGCATAATGGGCTGGCTGGTAGAGTAGGCGACAGTTGACGAAGCTTCCCGAACGAAGAAGGCCCGCTTTATTTTGACCCGCGTGCACGGAAGCCGACCGTCGGTAATGAGGTTCAGTGGTCGGGTGACGGAGAGTTCTTCGAGGTTGGGGAACGTCTTTTCGAACCAACCGACCCCAGGCCAGTCGCGGACATCGAGGTTGCGAACGAGATCGCTGTGTGAAACGAGGATATCTCTGTACCCGGCTTCGGCTGGGGTGCGGATGGAAAGCATCCCTGGCACGATGACATGAAGGAGTTGGCCCCGATTCTGTGCCATGGAGAAGAGTCGGCGGGCTTTGATGGCAGAGGGCGGGAAGGTGAAGTCTGACCAGAACGGCGCGTAGGCGTTGCAGACCTTCCACCAGTGGAAGCATGTGTACGCTACAGCCAGCTTATCGTCGACATCCATTCCCGCTGCCTGGAGGAGGATGGGCCTAAGGATCTCGAGGGGGAGGGTGTTGATGCTGATGAGGGCATTTCTCCGGCGAAGTAGCTCGACATTTGCTCGGGAAAAGGCTCTGCTCACGATGTCGTACGCTGATTCCACCTGAGAAGCGAGGCCCTCCAGTGCAAAACAGCTGCAGAGTTTGTCCTCGAGGATCTGGTCGTGTATGAGCGGGTCAGCATCAATATGTTTCAAGGTTGATGGACTGACGCGTGGACGATGGGGTAGTTCTTCCCGATATGCGTATCTACTCGATATTGCAGGTCATCGCTGTGCTTGATACTGTTGCTAACGAGCTCTTTGAGGAACAACTCGAGGTCGGTATCCGGGGTGAATGTGTAGTGGTTGATGGGCGTCATATTTTGACAGCAGGCGGGGATTGCCGGGGGGAGTGGGCTACAGATGCGGGAGAGGGGGAGGTGGCCACAACCATAGCGTGTCGGGGTGCCTCTTATCCGGCCTCTGAATGCGGCTGTGCCACGCGCGTGTCCCTGTATTTCTCGATCGATGGGTCTTGAGGTAAATGCGGGTCATGCACTGCCTACAGGCAGGCTGGCGGGCTTCGCGGAGGACGCCCGGGATATTACACGGCTGCTCAGGGACGGTCGAACACCGGATCGTCTCATCCAGAATTCCCGACAGAACGCCTTAAACACGGGTAAGCTAGCCCTCAGTTCACTGCTTCGAATGAAGTCCCGCCGCCGGAAACCGGTGTCCAGCCAGTGACGCCGCTTGTTGGTAAGGCTACGATCCCAATTGACGAGTCGTCATGTTGACGTGATCCTAGCGGTTCAAACACAAGGCCATCTGCGGGCCAAGGTGAGAACTTCAATGTTATTGCTCGTGCAATGGATATCAAGCATTTCCCCGCCATAGTAGTCAAATCTCAACGAACGGATCCCAGATCTGGATATAACGCCTTTGTGTTGGCGTATCCGGATTCCGGTGAGTCGCTAGGACTGCCTTCTGGGTGCGTGCTTAGACGGTTGAACGTTGGACCATCATACCTTAACGGCGCCCTATCAATGGATGCAGTAGGGCCACCCAATGCATGTGCCATATCCGACTCTGTGCTCGTCAACCCCCACATCCCGGAAGAGAGCCAAATCTCGGCATATAGCCGCTTCTTTTTCCGATGGGCAACACGAGCGTCCTGAGGCAGTCCAGCGGCGGACGCATTTGCAGTAAAAGCAGCCGGTCAGCAGCATGTTCCGAATCGAATCGGAGCTCACTTGCTCCCCGCTTGTTCAGCGCATATGGGAACTTGGAAGTGAGGCCTTAAGGTGGCGCACCGCCTTGAGTACGGAGCGACGCTCGTTCCGCATTCCTCACAGCGTGTGGGTGAGTTTATGACTCGGTTTGTGCTCGATACGCCGGCCGCATGAACCGGATACCTGTTTGGGTATGTGGGAATCGTGGGGCGCCCGCAGCCTGCCATATACGAGGGCATTGCCACACGGCAGAATGCAGCTGGCGTGAGGGCATGGATACGACAACAGACGGAATCACAGACATAGCTATGCACGAGACCTGTGGTGTTGCACAAGATGCGAGCGAACCGAGGATTGAGGTGAATAGCAATTCGCTTGAGCTCATGGCAGAGTTCTGAGAGGCTGTGCTTGCACAGCACAACGGGCACATGGGGACTGTATGAATGACAGACAAGGAAACAGACATTCGCGACAGGGACGGACAGAGAAGTCGCTTAGAAAAGACATGGGTTCCTACATGAGATACGGAAAACCGGCGATCAAGAGTTGAGCAAAACATGGGAAGCATATTGTGACAACAACCAATATATGATCAAACATAACAAGAAAGAGGAGGATAGGAGTGTGCGGAAAGACCGTCTGAGACTAGGGATGGGGTGGGTGGGTAAGGGGGAGAGAGCCAAAAAGGGAAGGTATACGAGAGGTCATCAGAGAGGAAACAGTTCCAATACAGGTGGGACAGAAAGCAGCGGAATTACGATGCGAGTGTGGTGATGTAGTGTGGTGAGGAGGCGGTGGGTGCAATGCGACGACATGCCGATGGGAGGTGCGGACTGTGATACCTGATGGAGCAGATGATGGTGGATATACAGAGAGCGTCCACAAACGACTAGATGGTAGCGTACGATATAACATGGATAGCGAGTGATCGAAGGATCGGGGGATGGCGAGAAAGCCAGAGACTACAAGATGATACAATAAATCGTTTGACAGCAGGACGCACGCCGTAAGGGGGAGGCCGGCGAACGTGATCGTAAAGCGTCTGATAGGAGGACTCAGCGAATAAGCCGTCCATAGTCCAGTCGGCTCTCCTGACGTGCTTGATGGTTCTCTCTCTTCGGGAACGCATTCCAGAAGCGAAGTGTTTCGTCACCAGCCCCGGTCACGATGGTCTCGCCTTCGGGGCTCATCGCCAAGTAGAGCACACGATGTGTGTGGCCTGTCAGAGAGGCGACCATGTCGAGCGACGGGTACTTCCAGATGCAGATTTGGTTCTGGGCGGTGGTAGACGAGAATCCGTGCGTGGAAACGATCTCGTGCGAGGTGAGAGACCATATCAGATTGCAAACCTGGGCACACCGAATCAATAGGTGGATGGGGTGAGCGCAAGATTCAAGTAGAAAAACTTACCTGACTCCCCGTGTCCAGCTCGTTCAGCATCGTGCCCGTCTGGACGTTCCAAAACCGGATATGCTTGTCTGCAGTCCCTCCACCGGTGGCCAAAATACCGGAAACGTGGGGGTCCCAAGCGAGAGCCTTGACGGCGGCGGTGTGTTCGTGGAATTTCCACAGAGGGGCATCGCCGTCTTCTCAGCCGTGTTGTTGGAGTTTCCGGGAACGTTTCCTACGCGTCCGGGAGGTGCGCCTAACCCGCCTGGTCGCTTTGAGCCTCGAAGATCCCATATGCAGACCTTGTTATCGTTCCCGCCGCTCGCCAATGTGGCGGCTTGAGCACCACCATCGCCACTCCACCTAAGCCCGCAGACCTCTTGCCGGTGGCCCTGACATCGTTTGAACGGTCGCGACCCTGCTTCTCGTACGTCGCGATGGTGGACCATACGGTCACGAGACCCGGAGCTAAGTATGTGTGAGTTCCATGAAAGAGCACCAATACGTTGAGTGTGGGCTCGTTCGTATGTTCTAGTAAGTTGCAGAGTGTTCGCGTCGTAGATGTGGAGCCGACCGGCCAACGTGCCCACTGCAAGGGTAGTGCCCTGAAAGTCTGGTCAGAACTGCAACCAAGGACAAAAACGGGACAAGCAAGAGGTGGCGGAGCCTATTGTTCTACCGCTTCCCTTGTTTGTCGGTTTATTGATGGGAGAGGAGGGATATGAAGGAGAGTATAGGGAACACACCTTTTGCACCCATGAAACCGAGCTGATAGTATCGCGGAAGTTGTTCAGATCGCAAAGCTTCGATACTTGTGCAGTGTGTGCTGTCCAGAGATATACGCAAGGACCCAGGCCTACTCCGAGGACGTTGGTACTGGACCAATCAACCAGGTTGAGGTAGAAATCGTCCGCGAGTTCTGGGGCGTCCAGGACTCGATACGGTGTTTTGCATACGCTCCGGAGCTGTCGTCGGGGGCTTTCTAGGAGATGTCGGCTTTCCGCACGGACTGGACTCAGCGAGTAGGCTTCATCGGTGGGCACATCTAAGCGCCTGGAAGGAGTGGCTGCGTTCGACCTCGACGGAGAGTTGTAGGCAAAGAGACGACGGCGAGTGGGTGTGGAAGGTAGGTTGGAGGTTGACGCAGTAGGCTGACGCACGGGTGACCCTGCGCGATGAGGCGAGACGGGAGTGACTTCCGAGTGCAAGATTGAGCCAAATAGCGAGTTTGCTTGTTCTTTAAGCGCGTCCGACTCTGTAGGAATCATACGATTCTTGGGGGGTGTGGACGGAGTAGCTTTTTCCATGAGGTGGTAGGTAGTCCGCATGTCGCCTGCGTCGCGCGAGGGTACAAACCGATCTCCATAATCGCGATGCGCGCCGCGCTCGGGACTCTCCGGTGTCGCGCCCTCGCTCGAGCCTGTCCTCGAGTCGAGAGAGGGTGTAGATCCTGATGGCGTGGGGAATGCAGGATGAAACCGTGACCGGTTTTTCCTGGGAGACTCTTCATCTGCTCCACGCAACCGCTTGCCAAAGGGCGAGTTCTTGAGTCCGGACATGATGGTGTTGGCTGTGCGTTGCAGAGGATTTACAAGCGTCGGATAGAAGAGGAGGGTAGCATGGGACTGTGCGGGGATGGTGGTTGGAGAGGAAGGTGTGGAGGTGAAAGCTGCAGTTGAACCCTCTCAAGTCGCGTCGCGTGTTACCTAATCATCGCAGTTCATTCCCCGACAATGGGGGACTATTACCGAGTAAGCTAAAATCTAATTCCCAACTAAGCGCCATATACCATCGGAGTCTGAATGTCCTCCTTGTTTCGCAACCCTCACCCTACCCACCGAATGGACCTGCTATGAACGTACGCCTGCTTGCCATCCATCCGGTTTTCTCATTGCTTACTTGGCGCACCCACAGAACCTCCTCAAGACTCTCACCTCAAGCCATGTCAAGTCGTCGTTGCCTGAGTCTGAGCTCAGACTACTGCTAAGCGCTGTTAAGGAGACACGGGTAAGTGGCCAGTCTATCCTGCACGCATTCCCCTGCCGATAGTTCTTCCAGAGAGCGTGTAATGATCCCGCAAAGCTTGCGGACGCGTTCTACGACTCTTTGGAGGGTCTCCTCCAAGACCTTCGCATGGTCACAATGGTCAGTCCGTTCAGCCACCGCGATGACTTCACGTGAGCCAACGCGCGCGCAGGATAATCGTGATGCAGAGGCGTTCTTGAAGCCTGTTGCACGGTCGGAGGTCCCGGACTACCTTGACAGTGCGTACTTTACATGGTGTATATGTCTTTCGTACTGACCCCCTCGCAGTAATCTCGACTCCGATGGATCTCGGAACCATGCTCAGGAAGGTCAAACAGAGGCAATATAAGTCGAAGAAAGAGTTCAAGGATGACTTGGACCTCATATGGTCCAACTGCTTCACGTATAATGCGACGGAGGTGAGATATTTTGTTACCTCCGCGGTATTCAGTCCCTCATCGTGAGCCACCGGCCACTTAGGATCATCCCCTCCGCCTCTGCGCGTCACGGCTCCAGATAAAGGCGGATCGACTCCTCAAACACATCACCGACTTCAAGGAGCGTACGGACCCCATCATCCCCGGTGAAGTTCCCACTCGCGGTGTCGCGCGCGTGAACGGGATCACCACCAATGGCGTCGGTCGCCACCTCTCGGGGGCGGCTTTTCGGTCACCTAGTCCAACGAAGCAACCTATCGTAGTCCCCGGTCAGACGAAGAAGATCCCCCGAGACTCAAGCCTCCCAGAGTCCCTTGCCTTCGTTCGCACCCAAGCCGGCATGTCAGCATTCCTCCAGCTGGATCATGACTTCGACGAGTACATTTCGCGCGACCCCGACGTCAACCTTATGGAACCTTCGGTTCAACGGCTGAAGGAGCGCTTGATACAGTACGCCTCTACGATCGAAGACGGCAAAGAATTATCGCTTTTTGGAGATGGGGAGGTTGGAATGAAACGCAAGCTGTAAGTACTTCCCATTGATCGCTCTCTGTTCACGCCGTTTATGTCTCATAGGAATGGCTTCGTGGATGATCGTCCCCGTAAGCGAGTTCGGACGCAGAACGTCGCGGATAAGAACATGATCGAGCTCTATTGGGACGCGATGCGTTCGGACGAGATGCTTACCAGTGGAGTCCCTTCTCTCACCTACGTCACCTCTGTCGCCTCGACTTCTATGGCAACCCCTTCCATCGTCAAAGATACTCCACGGAAAGCTGGTCGCCGGAAGAAGAAGAAGCAAGACGTCCCTGCCCCCGACACCCTACTATACCATATGAACAACAACGTCCGCACGTTGCGACGAGTTCGCACAACGCACGCCAAGTTTACCGCCCTTCAGCAGAGCTTAGAAGACGGGAACGGCCTATCAGCGCCCCCTATCAACGATATCCCAGACGACGTGGACGATGTAATGGATGAGCTGCCATGGAAGCCGGTGGGGAGGGGCATAGAGATGGGCGAGGAGCATGCGAATGATTGTCTGCATTGGATGGGACGCAAGGTGCTAGAACATGCCGGGTTCCAAGGTGAGTCATCTATTCGTTTTGGTGAGTCCATGCGTCCAACCCTTGCATCCAGGAACCTCTAAGATGGCACTGGATGTGTTGTCGAGTGTGATGGCTGAATACATGCACAATGTTGGTAGGACAATGCGGTTCTTGTGCGACAAGTACGGAAACCAGATGACGGCCGAGGTGCGTCTGTTCTCACTAGTGTGGGCTCCCGGTCTAATCTCTGGGCTTAAGGAAATCATCCTACATACCCTATTTGAAAGCGGCATCACAGAGGTTAGCGATCTCGAACGCTATGTCAAGGACGATATTATTCGATATGGCGGCCGTCTCAACGAGCTAGAGAAGAAGCTCACCAACGCATATAGCGAGGCTGTGAGTTGACTTTAGTCTCATAAACCATCTACGATCACTTATGCTATCATCAGACAACCGAGGAAGCTTGGGACGACGAAGCTTTGTTCCGCATGGAAGGAGACGAAGAGGAAGGCGGAAACGAGTTTGTGATGTGCGTCCTACGACTTCATAGCAGTCACGGTCTTGAGCTAATGATTGATTTGCAGGGGCAACTTCGCTGATTCGTTTGGCGACGATTTCTTTGGACTGAAGGAGCTCGGTATCGCCGACGAATTCGGGCTATCGAGTCTCACCGTCCCGAAACGGTTGCTCAAAGGCAGGAAAGCCGGACTCAAAGAAGGACCTTCTATGTGTGTCAGATCCCATCACCTGCTCTATGCACAACCACTGACATGGCATACAGCGCGAAGCCGACCGAACCACCCCCGCCATTCCCTCCTCCTCCACCTTTCGTGCTCTTGGATTCGAACAGTGTCGACGATCAGATTGGATTGCTCAGGTCGTTCTACCAGTCCCGTGTGTCGGAGATATCCACCTCCGTCGTCGCTGCTCCACCGGTGTCCAGTCTCCCTCCTCCCCTCGCTCCGCCCGGTATGCCCTTCGCTCCTCTCCACCCAGGAAGCCTCGCCCCCATTCCTGCTCTCGCACCACCTTCTTTCATGTCCGTCAACCCCACCTCCGCCGAGGCAGCAGGTCCCTCCGAGCCTCCCGTCAATATTATCATCCCCGACGACGCCGCCTCGCCATCGCATGCGAAGATTGGCCCGCTCGGCACGATCAACAAGGCAACCCCGGCCGCGAGCACCGCCAAGAAGAAGAAAGCGAAGCCTCCCGTCGCACCCGATGGTGCCGGAGACGGCGACGCTGGACCGACTGCTGGTGGCGGAGGTGGGGATGTGAGACCTCCGATGACCCCAGCACTCGCAGCCGCGCTGCCCCCGCCGATGATGAGTGCGTCGAGCACGGGCAACGGGAGCGCGGGCGGGGATGGGCCCAAGAAGAGCAAAGGGACGCCGAGCAAGAAGAAGGCCAAGGTGGACCCGTTCCCGCCAGTGGTCATGGCGAGCGCGTAGAGCGTCCGTGGCTTGTCGCTTCTTCTTCGTGCCTGTTGATGACAGGGTAGCCGTTGCGGGGAGTTGATTATGTTTACTGCTGGGGACAGTCAGCTATTGTTGTCGGATTTGTGGTGCACTATACCTGTATCATTATCGTATCGTTGGATATTCATTGCCCTGTGGGCATCAGACCTGGAGGTCACAGCTATCCGCGCGTGAAGCTGCATTAGTCTCATCATTTCCTCGCAGAAGGGTTGACTGAAGGCGAAGTGCAGTGGATTAACTGGTTCAACTTCGGATCGAATTTGGTTCGATTGGTGGCGCTTACTCAGCAGGGGTTCACTGACTGACCCATTGGCTTACTAAAGCCTTCACTAGGCTCTCAGCGACCATGGGACGGCAGCCCGTGAGCTCAGGCTTCCGCCGTTCCACGACCATCACACACCAGTACGCTGCTCAACCCCTGCACAATGCGGGCAATTCTTGTGAAAGATGGCAAAGGCCCGGTTGAAAGCTTGTACTTGGGGGAAGCCGAGCAACCCAGACCTGGCCCAGGGAAGGTACTTGTAAAGGTTTGTTCAATGATCTGCATATTTTCAAGACATTCACACTGTTCCACATCGTAGGTCAAGGTATTCGGTTTGAATCGCATGGACATCCTCCAGCGCGAAGGAAAATATCCAATGCCTCCGGGCGCGCCCACGATCCTCGGCGTCGAGTTCTCGGGCACCGTCGTCGAGATCGGCGAGGGCGTCGTCGAGTGGCGCGAAGGCGACGAGGTCCTCGGACTCGCCATGGGCGTGAGTCTTGACCCTGTTGACCCACGAGTGTCGGGCACTGATTGAAAGCAACGCCCACGCGACTTCCTTGAAACTCCCCTCCGACATGGACAAATTACGAATGATATTCCATTGACCAGGGAGCATACGCCGAGTACATCATCGCGCCGCACCGGAACCTGCTCCGCAAGCCCGTGCACCTTTCTTGGGTCGAGGCGGCTAGCATCCCTGAGGTGTTTCTCACCGCGTTCCAGGCGCTGGTCGTGCTCGCGGAGGTGAAGAAGGGCGACGACGTGCTCGTGCACGCCGGAGCGTCGGGTGTAGGTCTAGCCGCGATCCAGTTGGCACGTCTCAACGGGGCGTGAGTCTATCCAGCGCATCCAATCTCTGCGAATATGAGCTCATTTGCCTCTGATGCGACAGGACCACGGTGACCGCCACGGCGTCCACCCAAGAGAAGCTCGACATGCTCCTCAGCATTCCTGCGGGCGCAACGCACGCAGTGAACTACAAGACTTCCAACTTTGCCGCCGCGGTCAAGGAGACTACGGGCGGGAAAGGCGCGGACGTCGTCATCGACTTCGTCGGAGCCTCGCACTGGCAAAAGAACATCGACAGCTTGGCGTTCGATGGGCGCATGACGATACTCGCGCTCCTAGGTGGTACGTCTATGTCGGTTTTTTCATACATGCCCTCTGTCGCTGATGACTTTACCTCCAGGCTCGCTCGTACCCGAGTTCGACCTGCGCATGATTCTGTACAAGCGACTGAGGATTCAAGGATCGACGTTGCGAGCTCGTTCGGAAGATTACCAGGGAGACCTTATAGCTCGGTTTGCACACGATGCCTTCCCTCACATCACTGGGGCTGAAGGCAGCGGCATGATCAAGACCTACATCCATAAGGTATACCCGTGGACGGAGATCCAAGAAGCCCATAGTGAGATGGAGGCCAACAAGAATAGGTAAGCTCTACGCGTGTATAAATTTCCCTCAACGGTATTGATTGTGATTTCAGCGGGAAGATTATGTGTGAGATCGTTTGAGGTTGAGGCAGTCTACAGTGTACTCTAAGACAAAGTTCAAACAATGAATGGTTGCGGAATCCCAAGTATGACTCTTGCGAACCCATTCATTTCGTACCTATTACATGGTATCGACCCGCGGCTTCCACCTGCACCGGGGGGACATGTTGATGTCAGCTGACTCATCGTCTTAAAACTAGCTCCACCGTTGGATCCCCCTCTCACGTTATCCTTCAGCTTGATATCAACATCGTCTTACCCACCACCATTGCCAACCAACCATCTCGCCGTTCGTGATGGTCAAGTTTGTAGTCACAGGAACCACCGGCGGACTTGGGTCTCACGTCTTCAAGCACCTCCTTAAGCTCGTCCCAGGTGAGTGAATCCAGATCGGCATCGACTTTCTCTCATTTGCCGACCTTCCCCTCCGCAGCCTCCGACCTCATCGTCTCCTTCTACAACCCCGCCGGGCCGTCCCCCGCCGCGCTCGCCTCCGGCGCGACGTTTCGCCACGGCGACTTCGCCGCCCCCGCCACGCTCGACGCCGCCTTCGCCGGCGCGGACGCCCTCCTCCTCGTCTCCTACCCGTCCATCGCGCACGCGGTCCGCGTCGAGCGCCACCGCGCCGCGATCGACGCCGCGGTCCGCGTCCGCACCGTGAAGCGGATCTACTACACCTCGCTCGCGTTCGCCGGCGACAGCGCCGCGGCGGTCATGCGCGCGCACAGCGAGACGGAGGCGCACCTCAAGCGCTGCGGCGTCCCGTGGACGATCGTCAAGGAGGGCATATACAGCGAGAGCTTTCCGCTGTACTTTGGCCTGTGGGACGCCGCCGCCGCCGCCGCCGCGTCCGTGGACGCGGGCGCGGTCGAGGAGGTCGTCGTCCCGCACAGCGATGGGGGGATCGCGTGGGCGAGCAGGGAGGATCTCGGGGAAGGGACGGCGCGGGTCATGGTCGACGTGAGTTTCCGCCGGTATCTTGGGAATCGCGTCTGGATCGCGCTAACCGTGCTTCGTCGGAAGGGAGGGTACGAGAACGAGACGATACTGCTGTCGGGATCGCGCGCGATCACGCTGTCCGAGATCGCGGAGAAGGCCTCCGCGCTGCTCGGGCGCACAATCAAGCTCAGGGTCGTCTCGGAGGACGAGTACGTGCGACGGAATATTGGGAAGGGGGGGCCGCGCGGCGAGGAGGAGTTCTTGCGGAGGTGGGCGACGACGTACGTCGCGATGGCGAAGGGGGAGCTGGCTGTCGTGGACCCGCTGCTGCAGAAGGTGCTGGGCAGAGACTTGAAGAGATTCGATGAGACGTTGAAGGAGACGTTGTTCAAGGAGGCATCGAGTGAGGTCATGACACAGTATGCAAAATAGATGCTGTATATGACTGCAATCGGGGCTGGATGATAAAACCATTGAAGTCATCGATATTTATTTGTTGTAACAAATGGAGAGGACGAAGGTCCTTTGCAGGCTATACAACGGTAAGTTGATACACTTCTCGATTATCCTCACAAAGCATTCGAACGCCATCTCAGTCGCATCGTCAAACGGGGAGTTGACCCGGGAACGAGGAGCAGCTTTAAGCCGCCACCGAGACTCGAAGCGGCATCGCTGCACCTAGCTCAGGCTTTCCGTCCACCATCGGCATCATGATTGCCGCAGGCGTGCGGCGAATATGCGGCTTGTCGAGCGGGAGCGCGAACTCGAATTGCTCGAGGAATTCCGCAGCCACCGCTTGTATCTGGTACAGTCTAAAGGTAATCAAAAGTGAGCAAAGTGACGGACGGGTGGGGGGTGGGTGAACGCACCCGAACTTCCATCCAATGCACGCATGAGGACCCGATGCTAATACAGTGATGGTGAGGTTGTGAATTATATGGAGTAGTAATCTCTTACAAAAGGACATTCTGCAGAGCATGGGTCGGTTAGCCGATAACCCAGAACCTTCGCAGCAGTGGCAACTTACAGATTCTCGTAAATGCCGATCTTGACCTGCTTCGCGGGGTCGAGCGTGAACCATCTGTCCGGATTCCACTCGTGCGCGTCGTCGCCCCACGCACTCTTCAGTCTACAGAGACCCCGTGCACGCCGAAGGTGAATTCATTGCTCTCACTGCATCGGGGACCGACCAGACGCACCGGTGGTAACCACACACAGAGATGTGGACGCCCGTCCCGGCGGAGATCGGGATCTCGTGAATCCACTGGCCGTCCGCGCCCACCACCGGCTCGGAAAGCGGGATTACGTCCGCCACCGCCGCGACGCGCCACAGGTGGAACGCGGTCGGGTGGTAGCGCAGCGTCTCCTGCTCGCCCCGCGTAAGCCCTCGGATCTCGTGAAGACCGTCGCCGATACGCGCGGACGCGACGCACCTTGATCGCGGCCCGAGCAGCCGCATGCCCTCGAGCTCCTCGACGGTGAAGCCGTCGGGGCGCGCACCCCCGCGCGCGTCGCGGACTTCCCGCCGGATGGCCGCTTGCACCGCGGGCCGCTTCGCCAGCTCCCAGAACATCCAGGAGAGCGTCGTCGCCGTCGTCTCCTGCGCCGCCGCGGTCAGGTTGTGCATCTGCGCGAGCACTTCGTCTTCGCCCAGGCGGGTGCTCGCGCGCTCGGTCCGGTTGGCCTTCACTGTACAATGGTCGGTCGGGTGTGAGCGAACGGGTTCAGAGACAAGGGGTCTGCGCGCGCGCGAGCACGCGGAACGGCAACCACTCACCCAGCACGCTGAGGACGTCGCGGCGGGCGGTGCGGTCGCCTGACTCCCAGGCGTCCGCGGCGACGCCCTCGCGGTAAATCGGACGGCCGATGGCGGCGAAGCTGGCGTTGAGCCGGCGGAAGCGCGCGAAGGCCGCCGCGGGCGTGTGCTTGGTGAGCAGCAGGATCCGTTCCGGGAGGAGCGTGAAGAGAGCCCATACGGCCAGGATGCCCTTGCTGGGCGCGAGCAGGGACTCGCCACTATCGAAACGTCAGCGCCGGCCACGCGGAGCGCCCTAGCGGGCGGAGGGAAGCCTGGAAGCGGGGGCCGTGGAAAGGACGCACATGACGGCGTTGATCTCCTTGCCCAGCGGGTTCTCCTGCCCATCAAGGGCACCGAAGTCGTAGTCGAACGCGGCTGTGGATGGGAGGCGCGGTCAGTACGTCAGTGGTGGTTTCGCGCGTAAGGAGGGCCGCTCTGCGCGCACCTTCGCCTATGATGTCGAGCGAGCCGCGCGCGAGCCACTCGTTCACGAGCAGCGGTTTCCCCGGCGCCCTCGCGATCTCTGCCCGCCATCGTTGCGCGAGCTTTCATCACCGAAAGATTGAATGGAAGCAGAATTGGAGCCGGGAGCGGAGATAAGGAGGACATGAGCACCGTTGATAGCGGGGAGCACAACGCCCACTAGGCGCGGTCCCGAACGCACCTTTTGTGCGGTACGCTGGAAGAGCGGCACGAAAGCACGGATCTGGGCGGGTGCAAATGCTGGGTTCATGACCTTGCGGTGTCGGTGGTGCTTCTCGCCTAGTTGAAGGCAAGAGGCGGTTGAGTAACAGACGGCGTGAGCACGACATCAGTTCATTCACCTTCCGCCCACAGAACACCAGGACCAAGCATGAGATATGTCATGTGGTTGAGGTCCACACGTTTGTAGTAGTTGTATCCGGCCTTGTAGATGTGGGCGAGAGCCTGCAAAGGGCCAATAAGAGACTTCATTAGCGAGGGTTCGAGGTCGACGCTGGGTGCCACAGGCACACCTTGGGGTCTGTCGTCATGACCTGCTCGGCCTGGGATATGGTGGAGTCGTGGTGAGCGATGAATGATGGATAGAATGGAAGGGACCCACCCCAAAGTACCCATGGGTACGCCAGGTCGGGCCATATTCCCTCATCCACGCAAAGTCGAGGTCGCCAGTCTCGGCCTGATGGAAGAGCTCGTACTCGTTGCCTGTGTGATGGGGATGAATGAGCATCGCGAGTCGAGGCACGCAAGACGACGTACCGAACAGCCAGGACGGGGAGGACGGCCCGCGGATGTTGCGCAGACTCCGTCGGCGGCGGATCCTCGTGAGGACGGCGACGGCGACCGCTGCACCACAAAGGGCGTACGCGTATATGGGTTCCATGAGGAGGGAGCGCTGAGTCGCTCAGGCCTCAGATCCCCTGCGTTTATATCTGGAACCCGAGCGGCATGGATGGCAGTCCGGAGGGCGCAAGGTTCCGCACTTGCCCAAGGTCTTGTTCGCTTCCCCCGACCGCCCCGGAAGGTTTAATAGCGGCGCTCGGGCCAAACACTGGCAAGATGAGCGCGAGGCGTGGGCTGCGCGTGCTGCTCGCCTGCGCTAAACACATGTGGATTCAAGGGGCGCGCACCTCGAAAACAGCCCGCGTGCAGTGCGCGGTGACCGGAGGTGAGACTGTCGGCCCCACGTGTAGAGGATTTTACACGATCTGTGATAGGGCCCGACAAGCTTGACAGATCAAGAGTGTTGAGGCAGCTAGGAACGCGAGTAACAATAACTCATCTCCATCAGCACCAGCTTGCCGATGAAGTGCATCTCTGATAACGGCATGCATATACGATTGGGGGATCTGATTCCCGGATGAGCTCGCAAATCTGAGAATTGCTGGAGGTCATGCACATCGTGAAGAAAAACTGAAAATCGCCATGGTTATATCGCACATCCCTAATACACGTTGTCGTATGAGCTACGGCAGCGTTCTCATTCATCCAGCCATTTGCACTGCAGAAGTACGTTAGTCAACGATATGTACGGGCGCATTTTACTCACAAATTGACGGAAATGGATTGTCTTGCCCTTCTCCATGATCTCTGCCACCTCCTCGGAGGTCAGGTCCGGCAGGGTCTCCGTCGCGAGATATTCCTTGATCCGCTCCACCTTCGAGCTCGTCCTGGGATACAGCCACAATCAGCACATGGTAGTAGAACCCCGCCTCGTGTGGGAGACATACGTGATCTCAACGACGTTCTGTGCCTTGAGCCAAAGACCGAGAATCTGGCCGGCAGAAACAGGCTTCCCGGCATCCCTCTCGACGCGCTGCCGCACCGTCTCGAGCACGGGGTCGATCGGCCCTCCCGGCTTGCGCACAATGGGCGTCAGGCCGCCGTAGGACGCGGTGACGATGTTGAACTGCTTCTGGTACTCGATGATCGGGGCCGCCCACGCCGCCGTGTACGGGTGGTACTCGATCTACAGCCAGGTCTGAGCAACACTGACTACATGCGCATAGAGAGATTGCGTGCGCACCTGGTTCACCGCGGGGACGATTCGCGCGGTCGGCATAAACTTCTCGTAGTCTTGAACGCGGAAGTTGGAGACCCCGATGGTGCGCGCGAGCCCGGCGTCCTTGCATTCCTCCATCGCGCGCCAGACGGCGGCGAGGTCCGCATGGTGGATCGGCATGTGGATGAGGAAGAGGTCGACGTACTCGAGCCGAAGCTTCTTCAGGGACGCGACGAGGGTCTCGCGCACGGTCGTGCCCTCGGGGACCTTGCCCAACTTGGTGGTCACCCAGAGCGCGTCGCGCGGTCGGCCGCTCGCAGCGATCGCGGCGCCGAGCGAGTCTTCGTTTCCGTAGAGCTGCGCGCCGTCGAGGTGGACGACGCCCACCTCGATTGCGCGTTGGACGGAGGCCTCAGCGTCGCGGCCATAGAGTGCAGTGCCTGTCCCGAAGCCGATGAAGGGGATCTTGCGGCCATCGTTGAGGGTGATGGTGTGCGGTGACATGGCTCGTGCGGGGATGGGGCGAAATTGGGCTCGGAGGGAAGTTGAGAGGGTTGAGACGAGTAGGGGAGGAGGTTGGAAGAGGGGCTTTATCTGGCGGACAAGCATGGATAGGATGGGAGAATGCACCTGCGAGAGGGGCGCGGGCCGCGACCAGCTCCGTGGATCCTCCCTCACTCATGCTTTGTCAGGACGAGTGCATTTGTCGGGTACATGCATACCCGTGCGACAAGTGCGCATGGACGACGATGGTGTCGTGCGAACAGGCTCGCATGGCGACTGAGAGAAACATCGACGAATTGTTACTTAGCACTTTGAGCTTCGGCCTTGCGGGAATGTCCATGGCTTGAATGCGCATTCGAGCAGTGTGTATGGAGGAGAGTTGGTGGTGAATGGGGGCAGCGGAAGCCGGCGGACCCACTCGTCCCGCCACCAAGTGCTCACGCGCTCACGCGGCTCAACGGACTGACAAAGCGCGGCCTTCCGACTTCATGCATGATCAATGCTTTACCTGTCCCCATTAAAAAAAGTTGAACTTCAACACTTCGCCAATATTCCGACCGTCAGAAACCAAGGCTCGTGTATGCGCCTCCAATTGTTATACAACTGCCAGGGAAGAATACCACTGATGACATCATACGGGAGCGCGCAGGGAGCGCAACGACCAGCATATCACGCGCGCCTGTCAATGCTTGAACCTGGCCCACTGCCAGGCAGAGCACTCAATCTGCGGTGGTACTCGGGGATCGCACCAACACATCGAACCGACATTTGATGTCTTCTGTGAGTCATGCAGTACTCCTCTGATTCCCTACTATGCTCACCTCCTCGTCATCAATAGACTGGAGAGCACCCTCCGTGCCGGGTGGAAGGTGAGAGCCTCTCATTCTGATTTTGTCATGGATCAGTGTGCCAAATTTGCACCGACTGCGAAGGTACATGGTAATTTGAGCGTATTTGCAACCCAGTCTATACTGATTGCAAATATACGCTCTAGTATGTCGATGATGTCGTCTGCGCGCCGTGACGAATCGTACAATGACATCCGCCGGGGTGCTTGCTAATCTGTTCTCACTCGCAGCCTGTGCGCTGCAATCATGTCTAAACAAGAACACGTACGCTCCTGACAGATGCGACGACCACGTCCGCAAGCTGTATAGATGCTGCATGCACATGTATCGCGAGACGAACGGAAAGGGCGAGTCGACAGCCTGCCCGATGGAAAGCGTGGTGAAACGGTGGCTCAAACGCAAGGGACTAGACGTACAATAGCGCGTCCGAGAACGCCATATGATTTCGAGCCGAATATCGCTCACAAACATGGTTTTATCCGTGTTCTCTAGCTGGTCTTCTCGGAGATGGACCTCTGATGAATCATTATTCCAGTTCGAATATACATACTGCTGTCGCTCAGAAAGGCTGCTCTTCGAAGTCGCCTTCGAGCATACAGCCGTCCGCCACAGATACAAGAGGTGGCGATTTCGGGCGCGAGGGTACCGATGGAGCATTGCCCTCCGTGAGCGCGGGCCAGGACCTTGGTGAATGCGACCCGTTGCCAGTCGCAACCTCCAGCCAATTCCGCGGCTTTGACCAAGCACCTTGCGTGCCGGGGGCCCTCTTGCTTCCGGCGGTAACATAAGCAGCAGAGCCTGTAGGGGCAGTAAAAACCCTGACTGACGCGGCGGCGGGCTTCTTGGTGACTCCAGAGGCAGGCGCAGAGAGGCTCTCGTCGATAGAAGCTGGCCTACAAGTCGTCTCCGACGGCGTCCGCGCGTTCGCTGCCGGGGCCGCGGCTTCACGCACGACCGCAGCCGCGGGCCCGCGCGACAGGTGCGCGGGCATCGCGCGCCCCCCACCCGCGCGTCCGTCTTGCACAGGCTTCCCAGTCCCATTCTCGCCGCGGCCGTGCGCGCGGAGATGCGCGGGCATCTGGCCGCGCGCCGCCCCTGGCTCCTTCGCCCTGGTGCCACTGGCGGACGCCGCGCGGTCAGTCCACCCCTTGCAGGTCGAACGCCGCCTGCCCTTCTCCACCCGGCGTTGCTTCAGGGCCTCCTCCTTCTTGCGCGCGGCCTGCAGTGCGCAGATGCCGGACGAGCACAGTGCGCCGTGCACCTCGCAGGTTTCCTGGACTGAGGCGTCCTCGGTGTCGTACCCCGCCCATAGCGACTCTGAGCGTCGGGGGACGGTGGAATCAGGATCGCCGTTGCTGTCTGTGTCGGTTGTCAGGGGCTCTGTGTCGCCCTCAGCCGTCGCTGGGTCACGATTGGCAGGTGTAAACACCGGAGCACTGGCTGGAGGGCGAGCCTCGAAGTGCGCCTGAAGAAGAGGTCGGCAAATGGCGACTGCAGTGACGTTTTCCGTAGGAGGCTTGCAGAACGTAGAGGGTGGGTAAGGGAACACTACTCTGCTGGAGATGGGAAATGTCAGAAAGTCGCGGCGGAGATCACAGAAGGTATGAGGAACATACTAATCACGTTCTGGGGACCACTTGTTGAACCAGGCCGTAGAGAAGTCGGTCCGCATCCATCGGGCCTTGTCGAGATCCCAGGTGTTGTTCTTCGTGCATTGGTATACGCAGGTGGCCTGCGTCTTCTCTTCCATGGAAGCATCTTTCAGTAGCTCGCCCCACTTGTGCTGGCCTAACAAAAGACGCTGGTCAAAGCCATCCCTTGTGGTTTCCACAAGGACTATGTTCGAGGACTATGGACACGGGAAGACACATGGTTTGGTCAGCTTCCAGAAACCCGTAGAATCATCAACGGGGATGTACGCTCGGTTTGTACCAAAAGGAGATTAGGTTTTCTGCACCCACAATACATGCCAACCATCGCGCAAATGTCTTCTTGTCGGCGAGGGTTCCCTGCGGCTGGCATGGATACGGGTTGAAGACGGCGAAGAAGGCCGAATCGCTGGTGGACGGGGGCGGGGGGAGAAGGTCAGGCATGATGGCGGATAAGCGGCGGGATGTGAGCGATGTCTTCCTTTTTATACGTCCCAATCAAGTCGCGCTACGGTCGTCTTGGAGTGCATTGAGCGGTTGTGTTGGAGGCCTTTGCAACAAAAGCTGACGAAAATGGTCGGCCATTGAAACGTCACAAGCATGCTCGCGATGTCCTGCCATGATTGTTCATGCTGCGCTCACAATAAATCATCCGGGCCATGTATCGAGGTGAACAGGAACGGCGTGAGTGGTTGAGACAGGAAGGAATATTGGAGGTGAGGGTCGACCGCCAAACGCGCCGCCAGGGAAACGCCTGTCGGGCGCCAAAAGCCCACCGAGGAAGTCACGCCATTCACAGGCTCACTTCTACTCTTTCCCCGAAACCATCTCTCGTGGCTAGTTAGTGGGTGCAAATAACGCTTCTCCGCCTGTTTCGTACTAACCGATCACATATTTTTCTGGCTGCACACAAGCCATTCATGGACTCTAGAAGGCTGAACGATGACATCCTACTGATGGTGACGAACGAGGTGTCCGAAGCACAGGACATCGTCAAACGTTGTTGATGCCACTCAATCGTTGTCTCCACCATGAAGGGGCGAAGATAGTACTCCGCAGACCTGTCTCCATTCGATCACCGCAGAAGGCCCGTCTGTTCCTTCCCTTTCTTAGAGCCGAGAATGGTACTCGCTGTCGGTACCTTACCTCCCTCGATTTCTCTCCAGGCGACATCTCCGAAGACGTTGCCGGGCTGTATGCGAAGCTCGTCCCTCGCCTCATCAACCTCAAGGTCCTCATTCTCGATGGTGGTGATGATACGCTCGAGAGATACAGCGCTCTACCAAGCGCCTTCGCATCACTCCCCTCTCTACAACGGCTCCAGATGAAGAATGTCCAGGAATTGTCGTGTCTTCTGGTTGAACAACTGAAGTCAACTCTGTCCCGCATCTCCCTCAACTTCATCGATCCTGATGACCGTTTGGGCAGAGGGACTACCGAGGAAGAGGCCCTCCCCGTGCTCCATCCACTGTCCTTGCTTTCATCCCATTCTCCTACTCTTCAAGATATACACGCTGTGAAATGGCCGGCCTGGGACCGGTCAAATTCGTGCTCCGTCTATCCTAGCGTGCGACGCATTTCCTTGGATCGAGGCCGGATCATCAAGTCAGGTTGCCTCGTCCGCGCATTCCCTCACCTGGAGTCCTTGGAGTACCATGGCACTATCGACTGCCCATACGACATCAACGGGATACGAACTCTCCGCAGCGAGAACATCGTAGGACAGCCGGAGCAAGCGCGCGCCTGGAAATGCATGCAACTTTTCAGTGGAGGTCTTCTCGAACTCTACTCTCTCGGCGTTGCCTGTCATATCAGCCACCTCCAACTGAGGATCCCCCTGGGGGACCCGAACCCTCATTTCCTTGTAGAAGCATTAGACGAAATACTTCAAACCGCCCGCTCTCTGTACCTCAACCTCGACACCGACTGCCGCTTTCTCGGGGATGAACAAACAGGCTTGATCGCCATTCTCCGGAAGCCAAGCGCAGAAACCCTACGGTCCCTCGTCTATACGATCTAGCTAGAGAAACAGGATTGCGACTACGGTCTCATCATGGTGCGTCTGAGAACGTTCCTTTGCTCATCGACAAGCGTGGCGCTTACCTACGTCCTCTCAGGCGGCCCTGGCCGAGTCTTTGCGCCGGCTTCCGGCTCTCGCCGTTGTGGATCTGGATGTGTACGTTCATGCCCTGGACCTCACGCCGTTCCGAATCCGTAGACAGCTTGTAACCCCCCCTTCACACGTCCCCTTGCCGCTCACTGCTGCGGAGGAGTCTATCCTTTGTCTGGACGTTGACGAATTCGTGCGCGGGTTTGTCGGCGCCGTTCCGTCTCTCTGCAACGTCAACGTTGCTATCGATATACCGCGTAGAGGAGGGGTCCGCAAGGAGGCCATCTTTTCCCGAGGAACGGTGAGGCCAGAACACGGCGAATGGCGTCGTAAATATAGGATAACATGGGCGGATGAAGCGGCTTGGTGACTGAGCGTTGAACGTTGAACTGTGGTAGTAACTAGGTTGACTGTGCTATTGGGGGGGGATGGTATGTGAGTGTTGTACTATCTACTCGCGCTATCACAATCCATGGATGCGGCATAGTAGATAAATTCTGAAGTGACCAAACTCGGAATAGAGGGCATGAGGCTTAGTCAGCAGAGGCACTGGAAACACCAAGCGAGTGTTCCTGCTACCTGCCCTTCTCTCTTCCAACACTCCGTAGTTCTGCCCCCTCGTGTGCTGCTGCGTGCACATGTCTTTGTCGTGCCGTAACATGCCTACCACGTTTCTCTAAGTTTGATCATCTATTTAGCCGGGACTTACCGCAGCTACAGCTTCGAATCCAGGACTAGATAATACACGCTCGTCACGTTCGTTCTCTCGCCCCGCCAACACCGTCCTCACCCCCGTCTCCCGCCTAGATCATGGTCAAACGCGCTAAAACGCCGCCTCTTGATGATGGTGCAAAGTTCCTTACCGTGCTCCAGCCGTATCCCTTTCGCCCCGACATGGAACATGAAGGACACCAGAAGCGATTGGCGTGGTGGATCGCCTCGTGCATCGACGCCGCCTACTTCCGATGCTTTTATTACCGGATCATCGTAAGTCGCTCTTCGATCTGGCTATGGCGCGCACGCCTTGATATTCGCCCCGCGGTGTTCGCGCTAGTCCCCCGGAGCTGTGATCCTCGAGGTGGACAAGGGCTTGGGCACAGACGGCTTCAACAAACTGCTGGGAGCCCACAAGTGGGGGGAGTTCCTAAACAATCCCGGGGACCAAGCGGGGCTGGAGTCCAAGATCTTTTACTGCACGTACTCATCTGGCCGCGAGGTGCAGAAACACGGTATGTGCTCCTGCCTCTGCTGCTGCTACCGGCTCGCGTGACACCGGCGCTGCTTAGGGTGGAAGCGGGTGGACGTGACCGACGCATGGGTTATGAACCAGAAGGCGTACGTTCCGCTGCTTCGTCTACTCCTTGGCAGGACCTCATAATTGCCGTTCTTCGCAGCATCAATAAGCTGTTCGTGTCTCCCTACCCGCAAAGCCAGTGGTGCGCGGTTCCCCGCCGCATTGACGACGTCATCCAGAACGACCTTTGTCGCCCGCTTCCAACGCAGCAATTTCCTCCTCCTCCTCCAACCAAGCCTGCGCCTGTGGGTATGTCGTCTCACGTTTTCTTTCCGTTGCGTTCTTGCGTCGATGTTCTATTTGCAGTGGGAACAGCAGAGTGGCAGCGACAGAGGGATGCTCCTGCAGGTGTGCGCGGTCCAAGCAAACCCCAGAGCTCCGGTAGCACCCCGCAAACCGTTCCCGGAACACCCGCCATCGTTTCCCCGCCGCCGTCCTCTGCGTCGTCGGTGCACCACGAATCCCTTTCGGGAAGCGACGATCCACTGTCGCCTGTGACCCCCAACGACCGCATCCTTTCAATCGTGGACCTCGCTCTGGAAGAGGACGAAGACGACGCGGACTACGACTACTTCGATGGGAATCCAGTAGGCGACATCCCCCTCGACCCAAGCAAGTATCCCGTGATGACCACCACCGCGGTGCCGGAGAAAGTCACCGTTGTCGAGAACCTGTGGGCAGACTACGCCGAAGAGGGCTCCGACGACGACTACGAATTCGACGACGAGAAGGATGACGACCAGGAAATCATGAAGGAGGTCGAGAAGGATGACGCCGTCTGCCGCGTGCACGGCGTCGTCTGCGCGAAAGGCGTCTGCAAGTTCCAGGGCAAGCTGAAGCGCGAGGCGATCATCGCCGAGCGCAACAAGGAGATGCAGAAGATGCGCGAGGAGTCCGCTCGCAAGCGGGCGGCGCGTGAGGAGAAGATTGCGAAGAAGTTCGATCAAGCCGGCGACAGCGCGGGGGCGCGCCAGCCTCCTTCGCACCTACGCCCGACGGTCGCAGGCCGAAAACTCCCCTCACACCTCCAGGCCGGCGCTCCACCACTCTCCCCAGGAACATCGGTGCCGTGGTTCCCAGTTGACATCACTCAAGAGTCGCTCGCAGCGCCTCCGCCTGACGCACAGTCGTCCGTAGGCTGGAGCGGCCCTCAGGATCGTCCTCAGGACTGGGCACCGGCCGCGGGGCCCAAAGCACAGTCCAGTGCAGGCTGGGATGGCCCCAAGGATCACCCTCAGGACTGGGACGACCCCTCACCGCCCACGCAGAGGCCCGCACCGCAAACCAAGAAGATGCCAGCGCACCTCATGAAGCCCAAGCAGATGCCCGCACACATCCGGCCGGCCGCTCCCCCGCCGACGCCTCCCACTCCCCCCGCGCTCACTCCTCCCGCCGCCTCCCCGCCTCCCCCCGCGCAAGACTGGGGCGCGTTCTCCGGCAAGGGCAAGGGCAGACCGAACCCCGCCTCCGGCACTGTCAAGACCGGCTCCTGGACGCGCGCGCAGGGCCCCGCCGTGCCCGCCGCGGGCGGCGCACGTCCCTTCGCCACCGCGTGGGGCAAGGCGCCGTCCATCTCCGCGTCCTCCGCCGCGCGCAACCACGACAGCTGGAGCGAGAGCGCGCCGAGCGAGGCCGGGGACGCGTTCCCCGCGCTCAACGACGCCGCGAGCACCGCGTCCAGCGTCCGCTCCCAGTCCCGCGGCGCGCCGAGCACCCGAGGCAGCGGCAACGGCAACGGCAACGCTCGCGCCGGGCCCTCCGCCGCCAGAGGTGCTGCGCGAGCGCCGATGCGGGGATGGGGTATGTGGGGGAAGGACCAGCCGGCGATGTCGACGGCGGCGCCCGGGGCTGGACGCCAGGACGGGCCGTGGGGGAACAGCGATGCGGTGCGCGCCGCGCGCCCGCCTGGGCAGCCGGGCGCGGCGGTGCGCTCGCGGACGTGGGCGGAGGAGATGGACGACTACGACGGACGGTCCGTTGCGCCGAGCACGATCAGCACGGCGACGTGGGCTGCCCCGGAGCCTTTCTGAAGGCCTTAGGCAACCCAAGACGTGTCGATGACGAAGGAAGCGCCTTGGATAGAGGTGACGGTTCTGTCTCCGTATGTTGTGTTACCCTCCTACGGCCCCCTTGTTTCGTCGGATTACTCTCGAATCGCTGTTCTCTAGCTCTTTGATACGCCATGCCGTACCTGCTGTCGCATTCGCAGTTCTGTACACTCTATATCCTTGTACAATGTCCCTATTCCGGATCACCGAACCCTCTGTACGAGCAATGTCGCCGACACCATAGCATGTTAATACTCAGGAAATGAAAAGCAACCCATACATTCGCAGTTAGATCTGGCTGCCATAGGGCGCCTGGGTCATGAGCTGCATCGAACCAAAGTCGAATCCATACCCTTCCACATAGCCTCCCCCGCCCTGACTCTCCTTGCTCTGCTCTTGAGACTCGTCGGGCACCCGCTGAGCGGCGATGTCAAACCGGAGACGGGGCTCGTCGCCGATGTCGAGCTCCCGCTTGACTTCGATGGAGGTGCCTTGGACGACGGAGACCTGCGAAGACTGCGAAGACGGCCGCGGAACGGAAAGCGTCCCCGAGCGGAACCCGCCTAGTCTCGGTTCGACCTCCGCCGGCTCGTCGCCTGCAGGCGATTCGTTCGGCTGCTCGTCAACAGGCGTAAGGCCGTCTGGAAACGAGTGCGCTCGCGTTAGTTCGTCGTCGGAAACCGTAAGCTGCACGAAGGACGCACCAGTAGGGTTAGGGTTCGCTCTCGTCCTCCGTCCACCAGCGGCAGGGGTACTAGCGGACGAGGACCGCGTCCGACGCGTCGAAGGGGGCTTCGACGGCGCGCGAGGCTTCTTCGACGTGCCCCGACCGCCTGCCCTCGCCGCTGCCGCGGGATCCTCCGACTCCGAGGGATGTTGCGGCTGCATCGTTTGGCCCTTGGCTGCCTGCATCCTGGTGTGGGTCCGCGGAAGCGGGATTTTTGCCGGGACTGGGGGCGGAGGGGCGGGGGCTGGAGTCTTGGACCTGCTCCGGAGCACGCGGGCAGGGGCAGGGGCTACCGGCAGCCGCGAAGTAGAAGAGGCGGACGTCACCCGGTTCCTGCGCGGGAGGGGAGGGAGAAAGCTGGGGCCCGGCGACAGGTCGGGCGCGGCTTGAGGACGGAGAGGAGAGCCCCGTGGGGTGGAATATGCAGGGAGCTGGCTTGGGGGGGACCCGGACGCGAATAGGGGTAGAGATGGGGGGAACGACTCAACGGCGTGCGAGCCCATCTGCGACTGGGTGCTCTCAGACGCAGGAGCTTGCGAGGGTCCCGCCTGTGGACGGGGGGATGTTCCGCTTGCTTGTAGGCGGTGCCTTGGGCTTGAGGAGGCTCGGTTTTGGGACGCGGGATGAAGCTGTGTCAACGACTCTTCAACAGCTTGAGACGAGGTGATCGAGGCATTCGTAGGGCTGTCGTGGACCGTCTTCGTGCGAGGGTGCTAATAATGGGAGATGTTGGAAACAGTCCGGGAATACGCACTGTAATTTACGCACCTTTTCTGAGCGAGACGAGCGGCTGGAATCACTTGTACTCGGTCTGGAGCGCAGAGTGGTCGCAGCAGCCTGTCGCGGACTAGCTCCTGCAGGAGATTGGTTGATTCTAGAGGGGTGTATGTTGCGAGTATTGACCTTCGCAGACGCATTTAAGGCGTCGGCGATTATGGAATTCAGACCGGGGGACGGAGGAACAGGTCCGACTGAGGGAGTGGGAGACGACTGTGCGGCATAGTCCGCAAACGACATTTTGCGACGTTTCGCAGGACGTGACGACGAAAGAGGAGTACCCTCATTTGATGTAGAGGAACACGAGGTTTTGTGGGGAGGTGGGGATGTTGGACTGTGAGTGTTGGGCGCGTTGGACTGGAATGCAGCGAGCATGCTGTCTGTAGGACGCGGGCTGAGCTTTTCCGGCAAAGAGGTTGGCAACACGGACGTACCAGTAGCCCCACTCATCCCTTCTGTCGAGCGCAGATACGTGCTCCAGTCCCGCTTTGCGATGCTAAGGATGGCACAGAAATGCGCCTCGTGTAGATGCTGTCGCAGCTCGCCCTTGTCGTGGAATACGTGATGGCACCAGTTCCAGTTACAATGCCACATTGCGACAGCATGCGACGACATGGTCAAGCACGACACAGGATGGAAGATGTGATGGAAGGGTCGTCTTCAATGGTGAGTGATGGAGAGGGAGGAGGTCTGAGGACACAGGAGGTGGTGGACGACTCCCAAGTTCCCGCCTACAGCCGAGAGCCACCACGAGCCGGAAGCATGATAAGATAGACGCCCATTGACTGATATCGTTTGCAAGACGACATCTGCATCCGGGCCCAGCGCCGTCTACCGCAGCATAGGGGCGCTAACGCAATTCCTGCCCTCCGACCTCGGGGCGGAACGGGCAGCCAGGCAGTCAGATGCACAGACCACGAAATCAGGGCAAGAGTTGGCGCCACCTTACCAACAGAAACGTTGTCTCGGACAGAGGGCGACGGCCGTCATCGCGAGCACCGGGCTCCAACATTTGGGGAAAATCTCAAGGCGCAGATATCCGTTTGTCAACGCTGACACGCGGTCAGGGTATGATGCATGTAGCTTTGCTCCTCGTCTGCGCTGATGAAACGGGTACAGATACCAAAGGTCGCCAAACCACTTATGGCATCAGCCAGCTGTGACTTCTGCGGGGTGTTTTTTGACTCTGTGCAATGCTTGACCATCGCCGATGATTGACACGCCGGGGTGACCATCTTTCTAGTGCCGCATTAAAGCCGAGAGAAAGACAAGTAAGATTTTCTTTCGCCCATAGAAACCCATAGAAATACTTTTTCTGGCTGCACATTTATTTTAAACATTATAAACAGCTCCTAGAAAAGCTCCCAGAAAAATGGACTCCGGCTCAGGCAGGTTGTATCTGTCTGGCACCCTTGACTCCTCCGCCATTTGGTGATGCTGCGCGTACGAAGCTTGTTTCCGTATCGTGCAGCAGACGGGCATGCCCGGTTCAACGTCGGGAATGAAGGCTTCTCAGTGCGCGCCCGCCTGACGATGCTTCCTCGGGCACTTTGCGCAGGCTGTCCTAGGAACGTGCCCACTGCCCATCCCACATGCGAGCATTAAGGGCTCGCAATCTCACTGGGGCTGTCCTGGGAACGAGGATGGTGTACGGCACGCCGTCTGTCAGATGAAGTGCTTCCTCGCTCGGTGAGGCTCTGGCCAGGAAGGGGCCCGTCGCACCCGCCTGTCTCGGCTAGTGGTTTGTGGGCGCACGGTGATGTGCCACGCGGTTGCATCGAGACACGCTGAGCCGTGATTTCGAACAAGGACACCCGTTGGCGCGCCCAAAGAGCGTGCGGACGCCAAAGACTGAGCCTTCCTCGGCGTGCTAGTAGTTCGGTGCCGGAACATCCGAGTGTAGCATCGAGCAAATCCTGTTATACATTGCGCAAGATAGTACAAGACCGATGTCGGATAAAACACAAGGCACAATAGAAGTCATAATGTATAAATACTACAACGCTTGAGCCTGACACGGAGACGATAGCGAGGGGAGAGGCAGAAGATGGCGGAGGACGGGACCGCGACGGAACGACGACAAATTACGGGGTGACGGGGGACCACATCACGGCGACGAGGGAGAGGGGAGAGACTGAGTCGACTCGGAGACCATGCGGCGGCCCAAGTAGTGGGTCTGGAGGGACCAGAGCGAGGAGAGTATCTTCGATGTCGGGGGACCGAGCCGGGGAGAGACGCAGCGCACCGGCGGCAGGAGTGGGAGAGAACAACCACTGCTCCGCTCAGATCAACGACGATGGCCACTGGGAATGGGTAGAAGGGGATGCTTGGGAAGGAGACGACGGCGATGCCATGGACGATGACAACGGGGCGGGTGTAGGAGATAACGGTGGTGGGAGACCGCCGTTAGGATCTGTGACATTCGAACACGCCGATGACTGAGGAAGCGTCAACGCCACACTGTTGTCCATCTTCTCAGCACACACAGAGTTGAAGGTATCGAAGAGTGTGGCCTCGGTGGGTTGTCGAAGGTGAGCGTCGCGTCTCCTCCCCATGTCCCGGTATGAAGTGTATTTGTGCCTGCTCGTGCGTGGCGCACTAATCCGAGCACACACCGCGGACCAGTAGCGCTTGAGATTGACCTTTACGAAGCTATATTTTCGCCTGTCCGAGGTCGACGACGGAGGGGAGGAGAAGCCGAGGGTACCACATTCGAGCTTGTCAAGTGCGGTATTGTTGGTGATCGATGCTGTGCGAGTCTCGGAGCGAGATTCAGAGTCTGTGCGGACATGAGTGAGCACATATCTTGACATTGTCAACAGGTTCTCACCATTGGTAGACCCTACTGGTCCTTGGCTGGGGTGTAAGCGCAGACGCTTGCGCATTTCAGACGCACGACGCTGAGAAATGTCAACACATATTTATGGTCTAGAATTGAGCGACATACTGCAGCGATGGCCCCAATAAGCGCCAGTTCGCCAGAGTATCGGTCCATGTCCGACCATGTTGTGACCCAAAAATGAAAACGGTTCCACCACCAACGACTAACAGTCAATTGGCCCCGCTGCATCATTATCTTGTCTTCAATTCTGTATGACACAACCTGAGCAGCCGAATTGATTTCGTATCGCGCAGGAAGTGCTCACTGGTCTATGTCCTTCGACTTTTTGACAAAGAAGTCATCGTCCAGAAGTCCTTCGGCGAACAGCTTCTTCAGGTAATCCCTGGTGTCGTTGCACTTCGTCTCTGCTTGGCAGATGAGCGTGTTTGACGGGGTGCACAGCAGATATATGGTGAGTGCAGTGGCGATAATCCCAATGACTCCGGAAACAATGCCGAAGATAGATGTGAAATCGGCCATTGTGGATGCTGAGCGGTGAGCGTTACGCGTTGAGCCCAATGAGTTGGAGGCTGTGGAGCGACAGCGGTGGGGATGTCGCAAAGGGGAGCACAAAGGCAGGAGCAAGGTGGGGGGTGCTGGGCAGAGACGGATGGCAGAGAGAGTGCTCCTAAGGAGACGGGGCTGGACGGGGTGGCGGCAGAGAGAACAGCGCTCTGAGAGGGATGGTGTGGCGCATCGCGCGTATAAACGCGTCGCTAAAGTGCTCGAAGGGCAGCCATGGGCCGGGATCATGGACTGGCACACTTCTGCCATGGGCGCGCTCGGGGCACCATCTTCTGGGCTGCCGCGTGTGGGGGAACCGTCATCGAGGTGGGCGACACGACGGGCAAGCGCCGAATAACGGAACGTGCGGTGGGAAATCCAATGGGCGCCTGTGCCCCGGGCCCTCGCTGCCCGCACACGGTTGGCGAGTCTCGACGGAACAACGCACCAGCCGGTCTTCGATCCGCCCCGATGTCCTCCGCCGCCCCTCAGAGACTACCTTTTTGGGCGCTTCTGCAGGACCAAAGCGCGGTTGATGGCCAAGCTACTCTCGTTCGAGCCGGTACTTACGATCACAAAGATCACGAGAAGCAGTGGGTTGCACGCCAACCCGCCCTCTACGAACGGGGATACTCGCTCAGGCCGCGCTACGTTCCGGGATGGAAGCCGTCCTGGGAAGGCACGAATCGACATCCTTTGTACTGCGAAGATTCGGTTGCCCCACTTGTGAGTCCCAAATCTGGTTTACTATACGCTTTCCCTTTGATGTCATGAACGTGTTAGATGACAAACGTCATAGACGCTGCACGCCTCAGTGACGGCAAGCTCGTGGCCATCAAGACCACCAACCGTCAACGGGAGCTCGATATAGCTCGATACCTCACCTCAGTGAAGGATTCTCAAAACCACTGTGTTCCCCTGATAGACGTCCTTCCAGATTCTTTGGTCCCTGAGTCGTTCTTGGTCGTCATGCCTTACCTTCGTCCTTTCAACTTTCCTCCTTTGGACAACTTTGGAGAGCTGTTCACATTCATTGACCAGACGTTGGAGGTACGAGTATTCGACCATCTTCGGAGCAGCGCTGAGCATTGTGATTTTGTCTGCCTCCTCGTCGGTAGGGTCTATCCTTCCTCCACAGACACAGAATAGCGCATCGGTAAGCACAGAGACAACATTTGGCCAAGTTCTAGGCTCACGCTAGACACTACAGAGACATTTGCCCCCTCAACATCATGATGGACGCCCGGTCGCTGTATCCTGGCGGACACCATCCCGTCCGGCTGGACACTACACCCGATACAATATACAAGGCGAAACCCCTCTCGAGAACGACCTATCCAGTGACATACTACTATATCGATTTTGGTCTATCACGCCGTTTTGCTGAGGGAGAATCCACTATGGTTCTCGGCGACGTTGGACAAGACGCAGATGTCCCCGAACTCTCCGAGACTGTACCATACGACGCGTTCAAGGTCGATATCTTTTCCCTCGGTAATCTGTACTTCGCAGAGTTCTTGCAGGTGCGCGGCATTTTGTCTAATTTTGTCTGCAGCCCATCGGAGTAATGTCATCTTCAGCTGTACCAACGACTGGAATTCGTCAACCCATTGGTCAACGATATGAAACAGCACGATCCAAATGCGCGTCCACACATCGATGACGTGATCAAGGGTTGGAAGAAGATCCGGACTGCGAACGAGAGCAAGTCGTCATGGCGTCTGCTTCGTCACTCAGAAACCCAAGTATCACGTTTGATGGAGGACGTTACGACCACTCTCATGACGGGCTTGTTGCACGTCGTGGACCGCTTTTCATAGTCGTAAGCATCCAATCTAACTGTTCCAAAATGTATATGTACTAAGTATTGTCAGGAGTCATCATCGCTATCCGCTTTCCTAGATGCTATCGCGACAGCTGTCGAACCCCGGTGCAGGCGCCCACCACGTTGCATTGTATTCATATCTAGCACGCGCACGGAATTCATACATCCCTCCCTATACTGGATCCTGCATAGAACCGGTGCGGCACTCTGCTGTGCCTCCTCTCAGACAAGCAACGTCACGCCATCTTGATTTAGTACAGTCACAGACCCAGCGAGTCAGGTGCAAGGTCTTCCTTCTCCTCCGGGACAGCCATCAGGCGTCGACCGTACGGCGTGTCCACGGCCCCGCTTCGATTACCTCGTTGCCAGACGCGCTGCGTCCACCCGGTATCTCATTAAAGTCCTGGGTCCGGGTCGTCGGAGCGGGCTGTGAAACCGACGGTCCCTCGGACGCACGCCACGCCTCTGCCCGCGGCCGGGGACCGTCCCTCGTGCCGTCCACTGCGTCCGTGGACGCGCTTCTCGAAGTCCCGATCTCGCCGATGGCTGTACCCTTCCTGACGGCTTTGGCGAGCTTGTTGGCACGCGTGCACGGCGTCTGCCTGAGAACGGCGCGGTTGGCAGTGGAGGCCATGCGGGCGTCCATGGCTGGGGACGTACTTGGTTTGGAAGGAAGGAGGAAGGTGCATCGAAGAACTTGCAAGCGATCGACGCCACAGGGCGCTGAGGGGTGCAGACAAGGTCGGAAGCTCCAGAGGGCCGTACGTACGCTTGACGATGGAGACTCCTGGAGTATCCTTGGTACTGGCCAGGTTTGTGCGAGTTGGCACAGAAATGACGGGCTCGAATGGTGACGGCCGTTGTCTGAAGAAGCGCACTCGACGGTCGCGGCGAGCGAGCATACGCACCGGCGCTGGAACGTCGCGAGCGCGAGGCACGCATGGGCCATGGCTTCTGCGCACAACAGGCCTCGCGCGCGGCAGGCACCGCGGAGACGTCCCGCGCACCAGCCAATTCGGTCTCTCATCTCACCTTGCGCTGCCCAGCCGGGCTTCCAGCTTCCCAAGTTAGACCAGGCGTCTTCCCATCTCATCACTTCTGCATCCTGATCATGATGACTCAGGCTCGCACACGCGCGGCCAGGCCTTTGGCCGCAACTTCTACGGGCCAATCTCGCGGCTGGCCGCGGAGGGATGGCAGAGAGATGGCAGAGAGCCTCCGCACCATCGCATGGCGAACGCGCGCGCCGCGACCGGCTGGGCGACTGGCCTCTCTCTTCTGACCTCCGATCCCTCGCGCAATCTCGACGCGTGCGTCAAGCGCGAGGGAAAATACCCATCGGTGCGTTTGAAGGACGGTCTTTGCGTGGTCGTGCACGGCGTGCGATTTCGCTTGCATCGATAAGAGCGGTGGGTCCGACTCCCGTGCACCGTGGTGTGAGAAGGGCGTAGTAGCGGGTCGAGGAAGAGGGTGAGTCCGGTCGGTCCGCCTCCGGACCCGGCACTAGCCGACGGAGACTGCCGAGCGGATCCGCCATGGCGCTCTAATTTGCCCAGACGTCCCGCTGCGCAGGACCGTGTCCAACACAAGATGGCGGAAACCCGTATGGCACGAGAGATGACCATGATTGCTTAGGGGAAGTGGCTTTGTGCGCAGGCCACCACCGGAAGGTACCGGTTGCCCATGCGTGTGAGGCGGCATGGGGGAAGATGTCCTAGTAGAAGCACGGACGTCGGACGGCCGTCTCATCCAGCCCATCCGCCGAGGCTCCGAATCTGACCGGCTGGGAGGGGCTTAGTGGTTTGTGGGTGAACTGTGATGCGCTACGCGTTTGCCTCGAGGCAGGTCGAGCCGCGGCTCCCGAGTGGCGGTTGATGAGCTCATGGCACCAAGGCGCAGAGGAGGCTGAGCCTACCCAGCGCGTCTCGCCTCTTGGGCACTAGTCGCGTGCAGAACCGACCGAGTCCTGTTGTACATTGCGCAGGAGACTGATACAGGGACGTTTACAAATATGAAGGAAGCACGGCAGAAGCAAAAACAAATAAGTACTACAACACTTGATAACAAGGGCGCGACAACGAGAGAGGAAGGGGAAGACAACGGAGCTTGAACAAGACGGAACAATACAGGAGTAGGGAGACGACGAGGCTGAGTGTTGCTGGGGACTGTGTGAGGGTCATCCAAAGCGCGCGCTTATGGAGGAGCGCGAGTGGCGTATCTTCGACATCAATGGACACAACGCCGACACGCTGCAACGGTAGCAACGAGTGCCACGGAGCCGTGGGGCGTGTGTGTGTGAGGGGGGGGGGGGGGGGGGGGTTGAGACCGGTGAGTCCCACTGGAACGCGATAGAAGCCATCGACGACCACTGGTCCATTCACTGCGGCGGAGACGGCGGATGGCAAACAAGACTAGAGGGAGGATCTGAAGCTGGGGACAAAGGAGGCGCGGAAAGCGGGAAGGAAGGTTTGGGAGACGGAGTTGGGCGTGGGAGTGGTGACGCGACACTGTCGTCCTTCTTCTCAACGCATGCGGCTTCGAAAGGGTCGACGAGAGTGGCTTCAGTGAGTCGTCGGCGACGGGTGCCGTGTCTCTTGTCTGCCTCGCCGGATGTAGTCTCGTGCTTGCTGGTGCGTGACGCCCCGACCTTGGCGCGCACCGTCGACCAACACCGCTTGAGATTCGTCATCACGAGAACGTGTTTGCGCAGACGGGATGCGACGCTTCGCTTATCGGCGCTCGATGGTGGCGGAGAGTTGAGCGTACCGCATTCGAGCTGGTCGAGTATGTCGAACGTCGTGGTTTTGCCATCGTCGTCGATGACGAGTTCTTCAGACTGCGCAGATTCAGGGTCTACAATGACGAACTTAGAGAGCAATCTCACTTGACTCGCGAATGTGCATACCTTGTTCACAGCCTGGGGCTTTGTTGTGCAGCTCTTTGCGAGCCTTGGATGCGTGGAACTAATCAAGCGTCGTAAGTACTGAGCTCCCGATCGAACAACTGCGGGAAATGGCGCCACGTACAGCTATATCCGCCTGAACTTGCTTCAGGTTGTGGCAGGCGATTCGCACCTCTCTCCACGTCGTGGCCCAGAACATCAAACTCTTGTACCACGGACGAGCGTCATACAACACCCCATGGAGTTCCATTATATCCAGTTCGATGCTGTCAGCGCATATCCAATCAGTATCCAGAATTGCCTCGGGTGCGAACATGATTCGATACTTACCTGCTGATTTTCTTACTGACCTCGAAAAGGAATCTCTCCTCGAGAAGGCCATCGGCGAAAACGTTCTGAAGGTACTCCCTGGTTTCGAGTCGAACGCGCTCGGCCGTCTCAATGAGACCGGTAGGGCGAGTGACCGCGAGGTAGGAGGCGAAGCAGGCCGTGATGATGCCGAGAATGCTGGCAATTACGCCGACGACGGTTCCGAAGTCTGCCATGGGCGGCTCGGCGAGCGAATAGTAAGAAGGAGGTGCGAGTGGTGAGTGGCGTGCAAGCTGTGCAGGAGTGGCGTAGGCGAGCGCAAGAGGATGGAGGAAGGGGGGGTGAGTGGCGGCGTGTCGGCGAGACGCAAAGTGGCGATGGAGGTCGAGGAGGACGACTCCGAACCAGCCTGGCTACTAGGAGGCACTGTTAAAAGCCCACCTCGGCCGGGTTGGGATCTGGAGATGTGAAGACGCAGGCATTCCCGGCTCATCAGAAGGTCACCGCGTGTCTTCCGTGTGTGAGGGGAGGACATGATGGAAGCAAGAAGGGTATGAAGCAGGTCGGTTTCCGCGGCGTCGCCCGCGCGGCCGCTGCATGAGCACAGGCGCTGGAGCGCGGGAAATTCCAGCTGACTCGAACGGACTGGGCGCTTGGGCGCTTGAGGCCTCGAGGCTCGAAGTTGTGACCACGCCTTCGGTGAGCGTCGCCAGCGGAACAGCGCACGAGCCGGCCTTCGATCGCTGGCCCCGATGTCCTCCACGGCCCCCCAGAAGCTCCCCTTCTGGGCCATCCTGCAAGACCAGAGCGCGGTCGACAGTCAAGCACGCCTCAATCAAGCCGGTCGCTACGACCTCAGCGAGTCCGAGCAGAAGTGGGTTGCACGCCAGCCCGCCCTACACGCACGCGGCTACTCGCTAAGAACGCGCTACATCCCGGGATGGCAACCGTCGTGGATAGGCACCAATCGACGCGCCTTGTATTGCGAAGACTCCATCTGCACGATAGTGAGTTTTACCTCCTACCCCTGCTCTCTCCCGCTGATAGAACGAGGTGGTCAGATACCAAGCGTCATGGATGCTACTCGACAAGAGGACGGTCAGCTGGTTGCCATCAAGACTGTCTCCGAATCTCAAGAACTGAAAATAGCGCAGTTCCTTACGTCACTGGACGAGCCTCGAAACCACTGTGTATCTGTCTTGGACGTCTTTCCGGACTCCCTCGAACCTGGCATCACGTTGATGGTCATGCCCTATCTTCGACCATACAACAATCCACCCATGGCGACTATCGGAGAATTGTTCGCCTTCATTGACCAAACGCTCGAGGTATGAGTCGATTCTCAGAGGGCCTCAACGAACATTCTCACCTATCCAACTTCGCTAGGGCTTGTCGTTCCTCCATAGTCATCGAGTTGCACATCGGTGAGCGCTGACGTCATACCTGAGATATGTAGGCTCACGTCACATATGATAGAGATGTTGCACCGTCAAACATCATGATGGACGCTAGTGCGCTCTTCCCCGAGGGCCATCATCCTGTTCGACTCCAGGCCACACCCGATGCGGTGTACGACGCCAAGTACCACCCGCGTACAGGCCGACCCGTACGCTACTTGTACATTGACTTTGACTGCGCCACCGTGTTCGACGATGGCAAGCCTTCGATGGTCCTTGGCGTCATAGGTCGCGACAGAGAAGTCCCGGAACTCTCCGATTTGGTACCGTACGACGCCTTCAAGGTCGATATCTACGCTCTGGGAAACATGTACTTCAAAGAGTTCTTCATAGTATGTGTGCGCGACGTCCTCTCTCAAGCGCATCCTCTGACCGACTGCACAGACACATAAACATATGGAATTTCTGCAGCCAATGATCGACCATATGAAACAGCACGATCCGTCAGCGCGCCCTTCTATAGAAGAAGTTATCCGACAGTGGGGAGCGATTCGGAGCAACAACAAGTCCAGGTCATCGTGGCGTCTAGCACTGAAGACTGAGACATCGGTCTCGCGGTTAGTGGAGGGAATCCAGAACGTCGCTATGAACGGCCTGGAGAGCGTTTTGACCTATCTAACATAGACGTGAGTTCCATGTCAGGATGTTCTTACGTGCCTCTGAACTCTGAGCCTGTCTAACGCCAGGTTACTGCTACGCTTTCATGGCTATCTCATGCTTTCTCAGATGCTGTCCACACGTCCCACAGCTGCCACGACATCTCCACATCGTTCCCAATCATCTCATTGCACAGTACTGTACTTTGTATCTTCACATGTTATTCTAGTAGCAGGCATCATGGATCCACACATCATCATTTACCCACAACGTCTAGTCGATCTTGTAACACGAGAAGTCCGGTTTGTGTATCATAAATCCCTACAGATACAAATCACATTGGTCGTTCATGTTGATGGAATATGATCAGTCATACGCGGAGCGATGAAAGAACCACCTGTGTCCTGCGGCTCGCCCGCGACCGGTCTTTTATCTCACCCTATAGCAGGCGGAGGCTCGCAGCGAGCTTCCGCGCCATGATTTAGCCCGTGGGGTTTAGCCTTTGGGCGTAAGGCGAACGCGTGGTCTGCAAGGCGAACAGCCTCTGGATCCTGACCTGGTCTATGTAGACTCCACCGATCTGCATCCCAGTTAAGCACGCGCACCCAGAAGCCTGCGTCATGCCCAGACTTACGGCTCTGGCGCACGCTCTTTGCGTGATTTCCGGAGATCGTCGAGACGGATGATGCGTCCGCGTGAATAAGCATAGCGCATCATCTGACACTGAGTGTGCACAGAACAACTCCACGACGACGGAGGATGAAACTGAGCTTACGAGTTGAAGTTGAAGTTACGACGGTTGCAGGTGGATCGGTTTCCTCGCCATCCCTCATGATGGGCGGTACCTCAGTGAACAGGTCCCAGGGCGGCCATCCCGTAGGCTCATCCGTGCGGTTAGAAGTGGTCGCACGGAGTAGAGGTGAAAAACCGTATGCGGCTATTTGCCGGAGTAAAGAAACAACTCACCCGTAACGCCTTTCCTATATTACAGGGATTGGTTTCAAAATTTTGTGCGCAATCACAAACACATTGCGGATGAAGATGTGGGTGCCAGCGGGCGCAGTATTAGTAGCTGTGGAGGGGAAAGAGAGGAAGAGAAAATCGTTATCACCCAGTCATAAACCGGAAACTGCCGACGGAAACTGCCGTCCAATGGTAAGCCACGGCGTCGCCCGGCGGGCATTCACCCGGAAGTACCCGTCGACCCTGACGCTATAAGCGCTGAACCACTCACTCACGTATTGTAGTTGGAGTCGGAGGCACCGAGCGACGACCGATTGTCTTGTGTACGTCGTAATATCATGTTGTCTAGGGCAACATCGCTTCTATGTGTTCGAACCGTGGCAACGCCGATGGGTAGGTTCAGCAGTACCGAGTCTGACATCTCAAGTATATATGTAGTAGATGGTAGTATCGTAGTTGTGCTCGTCCGGCCCCTCCGTCGAGCAGCGGGACGCTCACAGGACGGCGCGGGGGGTCGGTCGGCCGCCGCGCCAATCCAGGTAGGGCACCTTCACGGAGCGCCGACGCCAGGCTCCCCCTCTCTCTTTCCACATCGCAACGGCTCCTCAGGCTCCCCGAACTTTTTCGTGCTCTCAAAAACACCAAACGATGTTCCAGGCTTCTTTTTCCTCCCATAGCTCGTTATGAAAGCGTCGCAAGCGCAAGAAGGTTCGAGTGTCACAGTGAGAGAGTTTGGATGCCGGTGAGCGGCCATGTCACTTTCGTGTTTTTCGCGGTCAGGGTCGGAAGGCTCACGCTCAAGTGTGTTGCTCTTGTAAGTTATCATGCACCTTTTTCCGACCGCTCCTCTATTGATAGGGTTGCCTGTGATATGTCGTCTCCCTCCCAATTACGACCACGGTCATGCAGGGCCACATTTTCCCCTCTTCTACCAGCAACATATCTCAACAACTTCGGTCCCTCTCAGGAAGCGAGCGGTCTCCAGGTCCGTCCTATCTCCTCTCATCATGGCCATTTAGCCTCGTCACTCCAACACCCAACCATGCACTCCTGGATCTTGTCGTCCATTTTGTCCCAATCGCCCACCCAACTTTGCTACCCTATACCAACACGGCACAACGCAACGTTCGCGCCATTGCCTTCGTATCGTCTCTTGCGATCCCGTTTGTATCATCGTTATTCTGTGCAATGCATTACCTTTCCATCTACCTCCTGGCCGAACGCCCACCCCTTCCACGTCACCTATAGCACTGACTTATGCATCGCATCGGTCGGATGGTTATGACAGAAGTTCATGACACTCGTGGCAGTAATCTCGCCAATCCATTAGACTTAGACAAGGTACAGCCATCGGCGAAGTCGGGGCTTCTGGAACAGCACCCACTGCGGCACTTGACTATGACATGTACGCGAGGACGGCCTGCGGCAGGCGAGGGCGTGTCGGGGTTCTAGGGGCGGCAGCGCAGTCGGCGGCCGAGCCTTCTGCCACAGCGAGGTCATCTCTGCGAGCGGAAAAAAGTCCGCCTGTCCTAGGAACGAGTGTCGCGCGCGGCAGGCCTCCGAGTCCTCGCAGATTAATTAATTTTCCTATCCGAGAGAATACGGAGTCCGGACCTCGGCCCCGGCGCGCTGCCATGCTCGGTCGAGGCGGGTGCCTCACGCGGCAGACTCGAGCGGAGGTGATGAGCGATGCGGCAGGCCGGTAGCGGAGTCATGGCGGTCCACCACGCTGCGTCCTGGCGGTCGCCGTGCTCTGGGATTCGGGAAATTGTCACCGCATCGGATTGTGGTCCATGCTGCGCGGTGCGGAGGTCGCCTTCGCGTGTCTGGCATCAGCAGAGAAGCAGGGTAAGCATAGGTTCTTGACGGATGTGGAAGCCTTGGAATGTAATCCGTACTGGTTTTGGGACAAGACGATACCGAGTGCGCGTCCTGGTGGAATGGAAGTCCGCCCGTCCGAGCCGACGGCCCTTCTGTCTTGCTACGGCGACATTAGGAGTCACTATAGTCAGGACTCCAATTGTGTACGGACGTGCGCGTCGGGATGTCAACAGGGGGTGCGGTGACCGGGCGAAGACCGTCATTGTGTACGAGAAACGTCTGCCATTCGGCCGAAGCTGGTCGTATCGATGGACGCACGACTTACGTGGTGGACGTCCATTTCAACGACACCGGAGACAAGGTTGTCAACGCTGGGATGGCCGGTGTAAACCGACAAAGAGGATCACGTACTCACGACTCGACGAGGCGTGTCTAGACACGAGAACAATAACCGCCAATGGCGACTGGCGCGTAGCGCGTGCAAAGACCCTACGAGGTCCAACATCGTTTCTACTCGATGGAGGAAGGATCGTTCACGGCTGCCGGCTACAGCGACGGGACAACGATGTAGTTTCCGACGCGCATGGAGACCCCTGTACACTAGCGTCGGGCGGCGCGGCGGTCTGCCCAAAGACAAGGTTCCGATCCGCGGCGGATACTTGGAACTAAGTTTCCAAAGCAGGCATGAGCGTTTGTGCATGAACGCACCATACTTAGTCTCTCGCGGCGTTCTCACTGGACGTGACTGTGACGCTCACTTCAATCACTATTGCCCTCGAGAAACCATTTGTGTGCATGCCAAGGGGATGTATGGGGTCTGGTGATGAGGTGAGACGAGGACGACGGATCGTCTCACGAATCTGGGGGAATCGTCGGTATGTGGTGACAAGAGTCAATATATCCAGCCGAGGCAGCGTGTGCGCATGAACTTGTATTAGTATTGTGCATTGTACAAATGGGGATAGCAGGAACACAGCATGATGGACAATCCATGATAACAAGGGCAGAGTGATGGGACAAGGATGGTACAATCTGCGTGAAGAGATGGATCAGCGCGACGCTTCATGCTGCAAGCCGACAGAAACGTACTCTGGCGATAGCGACTCGTACGAGCTAACCGGTGAGGGATCTAATGCCTTCCCAAGCCACCGATACCGTTTGCTGGATAGCCCGCTCAACGAACGTTTCCGCCTTCACTGACGTGTGTCGACTTGACTGTGACACAACTCTGGCGCGAATCTGCTGCCATTGTTGGTGGACCTGGTGGATGGTGGGACGAAGTTTGGGGTCGCGTTGCCGCATGGAATCGGTCAAGGGCTCAAGGAAACTGAGATGGTAGTATTTCTGTGGGGAATAGTCGTCAGCGCTGAATACCTCTGTAGGCTGAGAGACTCACCTCCTGGAGATCGTTCAGGTACAAGCTTCCAAGAGCGTGAATGTCAACGGGTAACGCCTCATAGGGAATGTCGATGGAAAGTTCTGGAACTGTGTCGTCTCGGCCAATGTCGCCTACCACAAGCTGGGAGTCTCCTTCGTTGAATCTGGCTGAATGGCCAAAGTCGATGTAAAAGTAGTTAACCGGAAAGTCTGTTCGCGAGCGCGGTTGAATCCTGTATACGCCATCAGGGGTCCGCCAGGGTTTGGCGGGATGCCAGCCGCCAGGCAAAAGATCGCGAGCATCCATCAAAAGGTTCGTCTCGTGAATGTCTCTGGCGGTCATTCAGTCATGCAACACCCATCACAACATGCAACTCACCGATGTGCAATCCGATGGTCGTGGAGGAACATCAATCCCTATCAAACACCACACATAAGCCCATGTTTCAAGACGACAAATGTGAAGAAGGACTGACCTCAATGCTCTGGTCAATAAATGAGATAACTTCCCCGACAGCGCAGAACTCGGGGTCATTGTACCTCCGCAGCAAAGGAAGAAACATGAGCGTGAGATGACGATCGAAAGGATCGGGCAGTGTCTCGAGGATTGTCACACAGTGACAAGTGGGGTCGCGCTGCGATTCGATGTACTTGAGTATTCGTATTTCTTGATTATCGTTCTTGACTTTCTTAATCGCCACGAGCTCTCCTGTGTCTTTCCTGCGGGCGTCCATGGTTCGTTTCTGCAAAGGATTGAGATGAAACAATGCATACCGGGCGTGACGTAATACCCACGGGTGATATGGCAGGCGCATCCTCGCAAAAGGCGGGGTCGCGCCTTGTCCCAATCCACGATGGCGTCCAATCCGGTTGGTAGCGCGCTCTGAGTAGATATCCGTGGTCGAGTAGGAACTGCCTGCGATCGCGCCAAAAGATCTCGGTTTCGCGGATGGCCCATGTGCCCTGACGGGTTTGCTGGTCACGCATGGCGAGAATCTTATCGCTGGAAAAGAAGGCATAGGACGGAAGCTGCTCTTCTGACGGTGTGTGCGCCATGGGTGACCGGGGGTTGATGTCGTGGCTGGGAGTAGGCGGGGGCAGAGGCGGTTCACGCCAGGCGGGCACGCGGCAGATCGGCATATGCCGAGTGTCCGTCCACTAGGCGCCAGAACCGCCTCTCTCAGGCTCGCAACTCGACCCCGTCGGCGGTCAGCCCAAGAACACGCTGCAGAAGCGTGATGAGCCCAGAAGCCCGGCTCCGCGTGCCTCACGGTCCAAGATCCATGCTCGATATGTTACATCTCCCTGTCGGTCTGCATCCCGCATAAAGGCCCGCGCAGGCAGCATCTCCGCCCCAGGACCGCCGTCGCACCCACCCCCGAGTCCGCCACCGACTCCCGCCACTCCAACATGCTGTCGCCTGATCTCATCCTGTCTATCGTTGGCCTGATACTTGGCTTCATGACCTCCTTTATCATACGGAGCATCTTCTCATGGTTGCCTCATGGACGCCTTCGAATCATAGAGCACAGGCTCGTGGAAACGGAGAAACGACTGGCCATAGTGCTTCAAGATGGTTTGGTATCGTCAGAGAACCTTCCAGCGATTAAATATTTGCATGAGGAATATTGGGGGTTTGTTCTCTTCCCTCCTCTTCTGTTACGACACTCATCCGTCCCATACCAGGTGTGTCGAGACCGCGAGTAACGCGCGCGAGTCGCTAGGCGAAAAGGACGCGTGGCGAACCCTCTGGCGCGAGGCGTTTTCCAGGATATCTGAATTGGTCACCTCGTTGAATGACGTTGACAGACAGATTATGGTTTGTGTTGCTTCCCATCTGCCTTTCAGATATCACAATTCTCGCTCTAGACATACAGCGAGAGATGTCGCCAGGCTCTCGGTTCTCAAGCCCGCCAAGCCCATTTCGAACGCATGGTTCGCCAGGCGGGTGCGTTCCATTCCTTGATTTATTGTTACCTTTCCTTTCTAAATACACCTACGCTAGGTTGCGAACACCTTCTACGTGGCGATCAGACACATGAGCATTCTACCATGCCATTGGAGGAGCCGGAAGGGGTCGATAGTTCAGACGCCACTTCTCTTCCAAGCCCACCATCCTCTCCGGAACCATCTCAGTCTCCATCGGATGGATCTTTCGATATCGTCTGCTCTCCCGCCCTTCCGCCATCGCACCCCCCTCCGCGTCCCGCTCGATCTCCGCTCCGCCCCGACCCGGAACCATCTCTCCCCGAATCTGCGCCCCAGTGCGCCATGGCCTCGGACCTTAGTTCTGTGTCCACTGTCGAGTCGACGATAGTCTCCTGGAAGGAACAGTGTATAGATGAGAGAGGTCAGCACGCCTTCGTATCGCCGAAACTGCTCACTCATAGTATCATTGTCAGCCCGATCGGGCTCTCCGACTACTAAGGACAGAAGGACAACGCTCTCCACGGAAAACACCGATTCCCTCGAAGATGCGACACTCTGCTCGTTGCCGCCACCGTCTACCGTCCACCGACAACCGGGACGCCCCCGCTACGTCCGTGCACTTCGAGCGCTCTTCCGACTCCCTCCGCCGCCGCCGAAGCACAAGGCTCAGTGCTGTGAGCCTTAATCGGGGACAAACGCGCGGATGACAATACCTGTCCTTGGATACCATCGCCGACAGTCCTACCATCCGTCCCTCCGCCATCACCATCCAAGACGACGCCCACCTCAATGTCACATCCTTCGCTCTCCGCTGCCTGATGGACGTCGGAGCAGACGTCCACGACTCGTCGTGGGGAGTGCTCACCAGCCTTGAGGATCCACCCCGGGCCAATCGGCTCCTCGCCGCGTGGATATCGTGTTCGTAGACCGCCGCCTCCCAGCCCCAGCCCTCCCGTTTCTTCTCGCGTCTCTCGTCCACCCTGCCTCCTCCTTGTACTATGTTGCGATGTCTTATTGATCGGTTGTACGTAAAGTAAGCGTTGTTGTCAGCGTTGTTCCCCTTATTGTATTCTGTATCCGTGATCGTGATTGTAGTTCGTGGTGAAGTGTACAACAAGGCTGTGTCTATCGCGCGCAGAGGCCGCTCCTACCTCCACAATTGTGGAAATGCCTTTGGTCCGCGGCGCCCGTCGCGCGGTCCATGCCCGCCCAAGACTCGCCGAGGTGCATATTTGAATTTTGTACGGACATCGGATGTTGTGATGCTTTTGGAAGCGAGGATTGTACTTTATTCGTCCTTGTGTTCGCTGTGCGGATGTTCCTGTAGTGAGCTCCTGCGCAATGACGTATAACAGCCTTGTTCTTACGCGCGAGAGAACGCTTCAGTAACAGCTCACTGGGCCACACCGGCCCGCGCAGATCTCACGCGCGCGACGGCGCATGCGCTGTCCCAGGAACGAGGCCCGCGCACGGCGATTCGGAGTCACGCAAATGAAACGGCTCCGTTCATATCCTTCCAAGCAGCTTGATCCCGGCGAGCGCGTTGATCCCGGCTGGTGGTTTGTGGGCTCACAATGATCTGCCGCGTGGATCACGGCATATCGACGCAGAAGGTCGGGGGTCGGGGCAGTGGAGCCAAGGCAGTCCACCATGCTGCAGCCTGCAGGCAGCGGTGGCCCGACGGTACGAAGTCCGTCCCGCGCGTTGCCAGAAGCGTACGGGGTCTGCAGCTGCGCGCGTCAAGTGGTCGGAGTCATCGGATGGCCGACATCAGCCGGGTGGTCGTACAGGCACTGCATACATAATGCGGAAGGCCTCACCTTGCGATTCCGCCGGCACTGATAAGTGAACGCTGAGGCTTGAGCGCATGATGGCGGAGTGGAGAATGATCTGTGTGATTCATTGGATAGTACAAGAGGGATCCAGAATAACGTGCAGGTCGTAACGACGAAGACAGAGGACAACAACGATAGTACAGATTTAGGAGGCTTATTGTGTCGGCGTTGTCAAGGACGCCTGGAATCAGAGCGCCTCATCCGACGAGGGACCCGACGATCGAGGCCGCTTGCTGGATCACTCTCCCGAAGAACGTCGCCGCCTTCGCCGATATTCGTATGTGCGACAGCTCCACTGCTTCGGAGCGGATCTGCTGCCATTGTTCGTGAACTTGGTGGATGGTTGGGCGACGTGCCGGGTCGGGGTGCCGCATAGACTCTGTCAAAGGCGCGAGGAAGTCCAGAGAATAGTATTTCTATGGTTGCAGAGACACCGTCAGCAGTGCATGCGTACCGAGGATCCAACACCTACCTCCTGAAGATCTTGGAGATAAAGGCTGCCGAGCGCGTGAATATCGACGGGGAACGCCTCGTAGGGAATGTCGTGAGAGAGCTCCAGAACCGTATCGTCCCTGCCAATGTCGCCTATCACCAACGGGCGGCAGCCTTTTTTGAACCTGACCGAGTGGCCAAAGTCGATGTAGAAGTACTGAACAGGGAAGTATGTTCGCGAGCGAGGTTTGATCTTGTATACGCCATCCGGGGTTTGCGACTGGTTTACCGGATGCCACTCAGTAGGAATGAGATTACGAGCATCCATCATAACATTTGCTTCTGCAATGTCTCTGATGGCCGTTCAGTCGTGCGGAAATGGCTTAAAGGATCTTACTCACCGGTGTGCAATTCGGTGGTTATGGAGAAAAATTAATCCCTGACAATCGGAACACGGGCAAGTCTGTACCCCAGGTCATGACGGTAGATGATTAAGAGTACCGACCTCGATGCTCTGGTCAATGAACGAAATGACTTCGCCAACAGCGCAGAAATTAGGATCGCTGTACCTCCGTAATAAGGGAAGGAACATCAACGTGAAAAGAGGATCGAGTGGATCGGGCAGCGTCTCGATAATTGTCACGCAATGACAAGTGGTGTCCCGCCTCGATTCGATGTACTTGAGTATTTGTATCTCTTGGTTATCATTCTTGACTTTCTTGATTGCCACGAGCTCTCCGGTGTCCCTCTTGCGAGCGTCCATCGTGCGTGTCTGAAGAGCTTCATTGAGCAACATCGACACCACACCGCACAAGAAAACACGCACAGGGAATATCATGGCCGCATCTTCACAAAAGAATGGATTTCGATTCGTTCCCAACCACGAAGGCGTCCAGCCTGGCTGGTAGCGTGGTCTGAGCACGTATCCATGTTCGAGCAAATATCGCGCGCGATCTCGCCAAGTAATCTCGACGCTGTAAAGATCCCATATACCGTCACGGGTGAATTTGTCGCGCTTGGCTATACGATCATCGTCCAAGAGGGCATAATCTGGCAGTTGCTCCTCTGACGGTGGATGTGCCATGATGACTGGGTGGAGAAGCGATGTGGTGGATGCGGGGGGAGAATTGACATACGCACCGCCGCGGGCCCAAGTTGTACTTATCATCGAGTGGCATAGACCGCGGTGAATACCGAGCGCTCGTAGTATGCGCGGCCAGGTACACGGCCCTCGCTGGCTGCGAGTGCGTATAATGTGGTGTTCCGGAAGGCCTCGACGCGGCTTGTTCTCTCAGAGAGCCTGGCATCGGGATTATTGTCCCTATATCTACCGAGATGTCAGAATAAGGCGATACAGAAGAACAACAGATCTAGAACAGCTCACGGGTCATCCACATACAGATGATGTTCAATAGAAGTAGGGCCAGTCAGCAATACACACATCATCATGCGATCCAAATGGGGGGTACCACAACCGAGATACGGTACCGTTCTGCCCGCGAAACTATATGAGTGCGAATGAGGACACTTGAAAGAGCGTGAAGCACCTATCCCGACCGACGCTCGTTAGCCTGCCAGGGAAGATAACGTGAGGGCAAAGTTACGGCGGGGTTCAGGCAGCAGCTTGAAGTGCGCTGCCAACCTCCGACTCATGTGTTGCGGTGTTCCCAGCGCCTCACGAGTCAGCGCAACGCCCCATCCTTGTCTCCCTCCTGGTCCACCTTGTTCCGCATCTCTCATGCAGAAGATGCGCGCACGGTGTGCATCTCCACGACATTATTGGGAGCGACTTCCCCGTACACACTTCCGTCTCTACCACTTCGGCCCTGCGGCGCCCATAGTCAACATACCCAACTCCTCTATCTACGCCTTCGATACCCCAAACCCCGTCCTCCGCGACGTCTCGCTCTCGGTGTACCCACAACAAGCGTGGGCCGTCATCAGCAAGGATGCTGCCTCTGGCAAGGCTGCTCTCTTCGGCGCGCTCTTGGGCACCCACCGCATCTCGCCCCCGTCCCCTCTGACCCACGCGCCCTCGCTCACCCTCGACCCGCACCGGCACATCCAGCTCGTCAGTTTCTCGCATCGCGGGCGCGGCTCCGGCGCGGGCTTCTACGACTTCACCGCACGGTACGGCGCGGTGCGCGAAGAAGACAAGGTGACCCTTCGCCAGACGTTCTTCCCCGACACCGCGCCGCCCCTCCACACGCTTGCGGTACCGTCGCTGCTGAAGAGGAACGCTCCGGAACAAGACGCTGGCTCGCCGGGGAAGGTGAAGAGAATGCGTTGTTTGAGTTCCTCACGGAGCAGCTGAGACTCGCGGACTTGCTCGATGTTCCAATGATTGCCCTCAGCAACGGCCAGACACGGCGGGCGCGCATTGCCAAAGCTTTCCTTGCGGAGCCGGAGCCAGAGCTGTTGCTGCTTGATGAGCCGTTAAGTGAGTACTGTCTTTTTATTCAGCAGGTGGTACAACACCGGTGGACGATGGACGCATCGGCGAAGACTCCAGCGACAGGCGTGGGGGAGGACCATGTCAATGACACATATGCTAGCTTGTGTGTATCTACTTTCTTCGCCGCAATACACATTTTATTGTCTCTTTGCAATGTGGCGTGCATTCGTCCTGGAAGTCAAGGTCCCGCGACTAACGTGAGTTGTTTCCAGCTGGACTGGATGCCAAATCCCGCGAAATCCTTCTCACGTTGCTGCAGGAGCTCAACACAAGACCAGATACGCCGCAGGTCATCCTTGGTCTTCGCGAGAAAGACCCTCTTCCGGAATGGACGACGCACGTCGCTCTCATCGACGCCGACGGCAAAGTCCAATCTGGCCCAAAGCAAGATGTCTTCCCCTCCGCCTCCCACCCTTCGACCCAACCCGCTCCCACCTCCTCCCCCTCACGCCCGCTGCAGCGCACCCTTGGTGAGCCCCTCGTCGACATCAAAGATGTCTCCATCGCCTACGGCCCCCGCCGCGTGCTCTCCTCCGTGCGCTGGACTGTCCACGCGAACTCGCGCTGGCACCTCGTCGGCGACAACGGCGCCGGCAAGACCACGCTCCTCGCCCTCCTCACCGGCGAGCACCCGCAGTCGTACGCGCTCTCGCCCGTGCTCGTCCTCCTCGGCCGCGAACGCGCCGCGTGGGCGACCCCGCACCTCCACCGCCGCATAGGCCGCGTCTCCCCAGAGCTCGCCGCCGCGTTCCCGCGCGGCGCGGGCCTCACTGTCTGGGACGCCGTCGGGACGGGCTTCGGGGGCGGCTTCGTGCCGCAGGGACGGCGCCACGTCGGGCTCTACGAGGACGGGCAGCCCCTCCCGCGGATGGGGAGGAGGAGCGGTGGCGGCTCGGGCGCATGCGCGCGGCCATGGACGCGCTCGGGCCTGCGCGGTGGCACCCGCGTGGAGCGAGCGGCGCGATGGACGAGGCGTTCTGGCGGAGGCCGTTCGTCGAGCTCGCGCCGGGGGAGCAGGCGATGGTGCTCCTGATGCGCGCGCTGGTGTCTGCGCCGCCGATCGTGCTCCTGGACGAGCCGTGGGCGGGCATGGACCGTGCGATGGTGGACGCCGCGCACGAGTACTTGCGCGACGGCGGGGGTGGGCTGTCGAAGCACCAAGCGTGCATCGTCGTAAGCCACTGGGATGAGGAGGTGCCGTGGGATGCAGACCAGGGCGTGCAGCGGTACAAGTTGGAGAGTGGGTGGGGCAGGGAGTTGCTTTAGAGCTGAAGTGTGTTTGACCATATGACGTATTTCGCAATTAGATGGAATGTTGGTCATGCTTCTTTCCTCGTAGTGCATGTCTGCACAAGTTACTTTCCGAGGTTTCTAGCAAGTCACCGAAGATCAACGACTCACTCCAAAGACCTTTGCACGCAACCAGACGTAACCGGTGTATGTTGACATGGCTCAACATCGCTGGAATCTGCATCCAGAGGGTGGCTGACGCCCCTTGGTTCCTCAAGCGCTACTGTATGATTTGCCTTCCAGGGGGCTCTGTATGTATAACAAAGAATCAAGCAATAGAAGGGCGGCATAAGAGCATATTGCATAAAATGGGAGGCATAGTACATATGTGGCAGACGGTACACTGGAGGAAACAGAGAAGCATAGTGGGTCGTAGGCATAGAGGAGGTTGGCATAGATAGGAATAAGCATAAGCGAGTCTTCTCGTACATCTCTGTCGTCCGATCCAATGCGCGTACGGTTCACGGACTGTGTAGCCTCGCTCCCTGCGGGAAACCCTCTCCCAGCGCCGCTCCGCGTGACGGCGACGCTCGAGCTCCGCCAGCTCCTGCTCCGAGAGAAAGAAGGCTTCCATCGCGGCGACGGCCCACGGAAACACGGGCCGTGCAAGCCAGAGGAGGGAGCTGAAGATGAAACCGAGGAGACCGATGACGGCCAGCCAGACGAAGGGGCAGACGACGTCGAGGAAGCCTCGGTACAATCTATAGAGGAGGCAGTCGATCCACTTGAGGCCGTCGAGGATGTGGCGCAGGATGTCGAGGAGGATCCAGAAAGGGACTTCCACGCGGGCCGCAGGACATCGCCCACGAAGGCCAATGCATTTGAGACGTCTGAGGAAGATGCGTTTCGTAATCGCTCGACGGTGTTCAGCGCTGACTCTCTGACTGATGCCCGTAGTTGACGTGCCGATACCATGGACGCTGTGGGTTGCTCTACGGGCGAGGGGAGCATACGTGAGAAACAAACGGCGCATATGCGACGAGATGGCTCACCAACTACCCCGATCACATTGTTGTTTGCAAGGAGCATCGCGAGTGAGACCGCAGATAACTTCTCGACAGGCTCTTTCGTCAAGCGCAGCCTCTCGTGCCCCGATTGGATGACCTGCACAGGGTAGATATTGAACATTGTACGCCGTTGTGAAAGGAAACACACTCACATAGCAGTTCTGCATGCCCCAAGACTTCGTGAGCCCCTGCAGGTCGAGGCTGCCGTCGACCTCCAGTTGGACATCCGTCCAGAGTATCCCCAGTCCTTTCGGCCATCTCCCTACAGCCTTGGTCGACGGGTACCACTTAACACGAGCCATACTTGATGGACCGTTTAACATACATGCTATAAGCGATAGATTCGCGACTCACCCCTTCGGTACGGGAGGCACGGCGCGCTCCTTGCCCTTGGACGTCATCTTTCGTGCCAGAAACTCCGGCCCTTCGAACGGGTACCGCACGAGTATGTCGGCAACTTGTGCAGCAAAACCGGTGGTCTCTATAGCCCTAATGAGCCACTCCTGCCGTCCCTTGCGATTCGCGATGGTACGCCAAGTGCTCGACTCGCGGCAGGTATCGCGGAGGAAGTCGGCACAGTCGCTGGGGTGAAGAAGCGAGTAGCCCAAGAGCGCCATAGAGCGGTAGATCCGGTACTCGCCGTGAACTCTTCGCCGTGTTTTGGGGTGGTGACCGCGTCAAAGAAGTCGGCGAACGTAGGGCTGTCGTCGTGCTTCTCGGGCTCGGGTTCAGGAGCAACAGAAACGATGCGGTAGTTGTCGTCCATTCTGTACCGGGATGCAGATTGCGGCATGTTTCTGAGCTTCGAGAGATTCCGGAGGCCAAGCGGACGGCATCTTCAACAGAGGAAGGATATAGGACGAGAAGTACAAGAGATCAGGAGCCGAGGTTGTAATGCAGCCAGAGCGAGTAGCCAGAAGCAACTTGGACAAGAGCCATAGTTGTGCACAGCAACAGGGTCGCCTTGAGGTGATCAGCCAGCAGAGTGGGCCTTGACGGCAGGAGGACAAGGAGCAGGACAAGGACACGCTGGAAGACAAGGTGCACTTTGACCCTTCGAAGCGCTCACACACGAGCGCCCTCACCTACTACCGTGCTTCTTGCTCTTGTTCTCCAATGTTTCCTACGTGATCCCACATTGACCACAACGTCTTCCAAGTTCTGGAACACACACTCCTTTTCTTCTCATGTGAAAGACCTAAATTTTCCACCGCTGCAGCAAGAGCTATACCGATTTTTGCAGCTCCCTCGCCAATCGCAAAGTTTGTTCCCTCGATGCAATAATGATGCAAGTTATCCCTTTCTATCTCATGTGTGGTGGAGAAAACGGCGGAATGAACTAAGTGCTCATGTGTCACTGTGTTCAAAACTTTGGTTTGGTCGTCGGGGTGCCGGCGCAGCACCTCGGCGGATTCGGGCCGTTGTGCCCTCCCCGCTGCTCCTTGCCACCAGTCAGCGCTTCAGCCGCGGTCGTCACTGTAGATGCGATGCTATCGATTGCACTAGAGGAAAACAACGAGCCACAACTCCCTGCCGTTACCAAGTCATCAACCCGGAAGAGGGCGTGTGATTACTGCAGGCAGAAGAAATGTAAGCTCGCTCTCCGTTGATGTGGGCGCGTGCTGTATGCAATGTCTAACACGCGTGTTTCGCAGCACGCTGTAGGCCTTCGTTCACCAGCTTCACGCTCGCTGCCCACCACTTAATCATAACGAAGGCGATGGTGGAGAGGTGTCGGAGCCCCGATGTTCGAGGTGCATTGTGGACGGAATAGATTGTACCTATGACCCCAACGTGCGTGACCGACTTCTTCCTATCGTCAATCTTCTCATCCTGGCATAGGTTCGGGCATATGGCAAGAGTTATGTGCAATCACTTGAGGACCGACTGGATAAGATGGAGAAGCTGGTTGCTCAGGTGCGTCGTGTGCATGGCCCAAGTTTCGCTTTCCTCCGTCTCATGCATACATGTACCATCAAGCTCTGCCCCGACCCTGAGGAGTTGGACAGCATGTTAGAAAGAATTCGTCTCAAAGGGCAGGAACCACGTTCAGCTACCTCACCGGCCCTCCCTCCCTCCCGCCCATCCACCTACTCGAGTCCAAACGACCTGACTCCACTTCCCCCTGGCCTCGATGCCTCCATCGATTCGGACGACCTTGGTTTAAGCGACGACGACGGACCGGCAACAAAGGTCAAAATGTTCGGCAAGATCACACAGGGAGTCGAGATACCACCAGGTGGTGCTCTTCGGTACCACGGTGAATCGAGCGACATGGTGTTCCTCCAGGCTATGATGGATCTGAAGGACCAAATGACGGGAATGCACCTCGAAGTCGCTCCGGGAAAGGTTATGTGGTCGAAGGAGCAGGCCAATCCTTTACAACTGGGAAGGCCTCCAGTGCAGACTATGCAAGAGGTACGTCCAGCATTGACATACCGAGGCTTATTTACCGCCGTGCTATCATTACACGTGCTGACATCTCCATAGCTCTTGCCCGCACCGCATACGGGCTTCCCGCCGCGCGACCTGATCGACAAACTCGCCAATGCTTACTTCGACGCCTTCAACATGTACCTACCGTTGCTACATCGCCCGACTTTTAACAAACATCTCGACGATGGCAAGCATCTCACGGATCGCGGCATAGGCTCTGTCGTATTCCTCGTCTGTGCCCTCGGCGCGCGCCATGTACTAGATGATCCTCGGACCGTGGTCGGACACAAAGATCCTGGTTGGCACTGGTTTGAGCATGTGGACCGCGCGAAATGGTCTGTCCGCGACCGGCCAAAGCTCGAAGACCTACAGGTGTGCGTGGTACGTCGATCCTTTCTCAGTTTTTTTTGCCGGTCCGCACTATGGGGGTTCTGACCTACCGCGCATGTGGTCACGTAGCTCACTGCAGCATATTTGGTCGGCTCGGACGCGCCCCTGAGTGGCTGGAACATCGTCGGTCTCGGCATGCGTATGGCCCAAGACGTTGGTTGCCACCGCAAGAAAATGTACCGGTCGAAACCCACTGCGCACGACGAACTGTGGAAGCGAGCATTTTGGTATGCATGCACACCAGCCACGGCTTTGCTTGGGGTACATCTAATTCACGTCCTTCCAGGTCTCTGCTCGCATTTGACCGCATGGGGAGCTTTGGATTAGGTCGACCTGCGGCGATTCATGATGAAGAGTATGTCTAACACTCGCTATCATCCGTTCTCGAGGCTGACGCTCCGTTATGCCAGCTTCGACACAGAGCCTTTGCTTGAAGTGGACGATGAATACTGGTTTAACGACGACCCGGAATTATGTTTCAAGCAACCAGAGGGCAAACCATCCACAGTCGCACTCGCGAACTGCTTCGCGAGGCTTTTGAGGATTTTCGCGTTCGCCAGTCGGACCATCGTGCGTGTCTCCACGTCGGCTGCCTTGCGCGTGAGCTAATATGTATAACTTCGTATAGTACTCTATCAACAAGAGGAAGCTCGGCTTCGGTGATGATGGATCTGACTGGGAACGCCGAATCGTCACGGACATAGACTCTGCCTTGAATAGATGGATGGACACAATCCCAGAGCATCGTGAGTGCAATTCTTTGAATGTATCCGAGACTTGATATAATAAACTGAGCCAGTGAGATTGGACAACAAGTCAAAAGAAGGCGTGTTCCTAAGCCAATCCACGGGGCTCTATTGTTTCTATTATTTTGCCCAGATTTTCGTTCATCGACCATTCATCTCATCTCCAAACAAGCCTTCTCGTCTCCCGTTCCCCTCGCTCGCCATATGCACGAGTGCTGCACGCTCCTGTATCCATCTAATTGACGGGTATTATCAGCGCGCAGGTAATGCAGAAGGATTGCACCAGGTATGTTTATTAGAGCTACGATATGTGGTTAACTTATGTGATATTCCCAATAGTTGCCCCTTTTCTCCTCTGGACTGGTTCTTCTCCTCAACATGTGGGGCAACAAGAAGGCAGGCGTCTCGTTCAATGCCGATTTCGTGGACGTGAAGAAGTGCCTCACTCTACTAAAGACGCTCCAAGGACGGTGCGTCTGTCCTTTTCACTTGTCATTTGAACCCCAGTCTGATTCTGGCATCTGCAAAGCTCCCTTCTTGCGGAACGTTTTTGGTTTGTGCGCTTCCTCTGACCTCGGATACCCATCTGACTGACGGCTGTTTCTCAGGGACATTCTGAACAAGCTGCTCTCTATTTGCGACTTCATCGTACCTGATACCTCCTCAAAATCCAACGTTTACAACACGATGCAGTACGATCGGCCGAAGGCTCCCTCCAGTGGAGAACCTCCTATGCCGCACTCAGGCAGCAAGGCTGAGGACCCCATTCCAACATCCGATGCGCTCTCCACGGACGCCTACACGGACTACCCTACCTTCTCAACTGAGCTCCTTGGACCACAGATGGAGGTAGAGTTCCTTCAAGACGCTACCCTAGGGCTCGCACCTACCGCTCCAGATATCGACACGCCTATGGTGGAACCGCTCCCGCAGTACAGCGAGCTGTTCGCCGTGCTCAACGCCGCGTTCGCGGGCCAAAGGGACAGGGCGGCGGACGCCGTGGCGGCGATGGCGATGGCTGCGGGCGAGGTCGAAGGTTTCCCCACCGGCGAGGGCATGAGCATAGACGGTTTCCCGATGGGCGTTTTCGGAGGCGGAGGGCTTCGCGGGGAAGACTTCGGTGTTGGCGGCGGCAGCTACCAAGGAGGCTTCTCTGGAGACTTTGGGATAGGCGGGATCTACGGAAACATCAACGTGGGTCAAGGAAGTCATGGTGGCATGGAGGGTGTGGCTAGTGAGATGGGCGTCGCAGGGCTGGCCAACGTCGACTCGCTGCCGCACCCCGACGCGGACGCGATGATGATGGGTGCGGAGGGCTCCGCGTTCCCGGAGACGGCGACGAACGCGTGGAACTCGGACCCGGCGTCGTTCCAGTGAGTCGGGCAGGTCCCGGACACGGCGCGCTAATGATCTGATGGTGTGTATAGGTGGATCGACTGGGAAGCATACCTCGGCGCAGTGGGCGGAGCGCAGCAACAAGGACCGCGACAAGGCGCAGGTACAGGAGTGTAATTCAGACACGAAGTAGAATTAAGATCTTGTATTGACATAGAAGGTTTCCTCTATGTGCGTACCTGTTCTCCGTCGCGTTTTGGTTCATGGCTATCGTTTGGTTATCGTCGCAGGCATACTGTAGCGTACTAATCTGATTTTTCGGATTCAGACGCGGCTACACGTTTCTACACGTTTCCCTTTAATCTGATTACGAACGCGGATTCCTAGGTAGATTTTCTCTCTCTTGCTTTGCGGCATGAGTCGCTCATCCACAGCTGCGTCCGCAGCGCAGTTGTGTATAACGCAACCCCGGCATGCATCCGGAATGACTCGATGCGCAGAGAGCACGAAGCGCTCTGCAGCTACGCACCGGCACATGGCACCAAGGCACCCTCCGAAAGCAGCTCAAAAATCAGCTCCAGACCGCTGTTCTGGCAGAAGAGGCGCCGGGCGGAACTGCGCTTTGCCGCGCCCGCAGCACAGCTCACACTCAAGCTTCGGACGGAACATTCAGCAACGCCTCCGGAGCCGGCCTGTCACTGCGGACCCATATGCCAGCATACACACGCCATTCACCCACACCTGATATTGCATATTGCCTGTGGCGCGATCTGTACATAAGTGCGGGGTCTGCATCACACCCCCCTCGTAGTCCATCCTTTCCTTCCTCACTATGAACCACGCATCCGTCCCTCAAGACCTGGAGAAGGCGCCCCTCGCCCTTGCTCCCGGCGGGCAGCACACGCCTCCTCGCTACCAAGCGGTTGCCGAGGGCGTGTACTACCAGCCTCCCTTCGTTCAGGACCACCCCAGGAATGTCCGCAGGCGACGCTTCTGGCATTTCCTTGCCTGCTCCATTCTCGCCATGACGGCCTTTCATCTTTTCATCCACCCTCACCATTTCAAGCATCTCTTCGGCGAATCGGTAAGCGCTCTAGATTTGACCGCACCTGTAACGGGTATTGAAGGATCTGGTTCCTCAGGCCCACGCTCGCCCCTCTGGTGGACAGATCGCCGAGCCCCGCGACTGCTACGAATACGCTTCCTGGACCGAAACCCACCCCCACGAGAATTTACACTACCCTTACCATGCGACCACGTCCTTCGAGCTCCCGATCGACGCCGCTGAACTGCTCTTCACGTCGTCCGGCCCGTACCACAGCGGCGTACTAGACGTAACTCAGTCGTCCGACGTGCCCGCAGACAAGGCTATCGTCGAGGTTGATGTCCACTACTACCTGCCCGAGGTCTTCGAGGACGCGACGGTATGCGCTCGCAACCCCGCGGATGGTGTCTGGGGTGTTGGGATTTTCGTCAGTGGTTACCAGCCTTGTACGGGTCCATATCGACTGATTTATCCCATCCTTTAGACTCCTGATCCGCCTCCTCACCGCAACCCGCACCGCGAGTGGCAGCTCAACTTCGCTGTTCGCGTCCGCCTCCCGGAGGGCTCGACGGACTCACCGCTCAAGGTGAACACGCTCAAGACGTTGATGCACAACTTCGCCCTGCACCTGCACGAGCTCGCCTCCACCGTGTACTTTGACAACGTCGACCTCAGCACGCACAACGGGCCGATCACCCTCGATGTGAGTCGTTGGTTCAAAGCTTCTTGCTAGCATATATTGAAGCGTAGTCTAGTCTCTGACCGGCAACGTCTTGTCGTTCTCGTCCTCGAACGGCCCGATCCGCGGGACCTGAGCGCGCTCAGCTCTCTCAACGTCCACACGTCGAACGGCCCAATCATTGTTCACGGCAAGGTCTTCAACGGCGGTGACGACGCACCCACCACCAACATCTCCCTCAGCACCTCCAATGGGTGAGTCTCACACTCCCGCCGGCCTTTTCCCCGTGCTCACCTTCCCCTTCCTCACACAGCCAGATCGACGGGGGGCTCAGCCTGCTCTCCAACGCATCCTCGGGTACCGGCGGCGCCTTCTCCGTGAACGCGCGCACCTCCAACGGCCCGCTCGCGCTCACGGTCCACGAGATGCCGGTGGACGCGCGCCTCGGCGCGATCGCGCACACGTCCAACTCGCGCGCGCGCGCGTCCCTGCCCCCCGCGTTCGAGGGCACCTTCGCCCTCCGCTCGTCCGCGTTCTCGCGCCCGGTCGTGCGCCAGACCGACGTCGAGGACCCCGCGGGCCGCGGGCGCCGCCGCGTTCTGCACCAGACCGTCGCGCGCCGCGGGGAGACGAAGGGCACGGTCGTGTGGGAGGGGAACGCGGAGGAGAAGGGCTCGTTCGTGCTCGAGACGTCCAACGGGCCCGTCGAGCTTACGCTCTGAGCGGAGCTCGCTGTCTTGCCCGTGTGTGGCGAGCGGTTGAGGTGTGGGGAGTTCTAGATTGGGGGGTTCGGAGAGGGTTGGAGAAGTTGCTTTTGTTTTCTACCGCCCGTACCTGCTCTTGTGTTTCGCTCTTCCGATGTTTTATTACTTAGCAGGTATGTAAACAAGTTTTACCCCCAGTTGCGCGCTGATTCCACCAGGAGCTTCAGTGCGCGGCTGTAAAAATGTTGTGTCGGTTGTGCGTCACTGCCGTGTCTCCGTGTCTCCGAATCGCTCTCTTCGTCTCTCTGCCACGCGAAGTAATTAAAATATACTGTCCTCTATATCCCAACACCTTGTATCTTGCACTACCGCAACATCCAAATCCAATCAACACAGTTTTTTATCTCTTGCACTAAATGTCCCGTGGACTGTGTTTCAATGTGACACCATTGATGATACTTACGTAAGCTAAACTAACATCTCGCCCAGCTGCTCAAAACCCTCGTCTCGACTTGATTGACACTAACTACGATGAACATGCTGTGCGCTCCTTTCACGTTCAGGCCCATGCTGATGCTTCTCTGCAGGCCATCCCGAGCATATATCTTGTCAAGACCAGGCTGAACCTTCCAGATTTCACCTTAGCTTCACCTCCATGTTGCGACCAGTTCAGATTGCAATGCCAGCCTCCAAGACCCGCAACCCTGCCCCCAACAGTAGAAAGCCGCGTGCGTCCCAGCCCATCTCCCTCAGCCTCTCGAACACTCTCCACATCCCAACAAACCCCGACCATGGCTGGCCCCGAAGAGCAGACTCCCCGTCCCCCCGCCGCCCGCCCCCTACAGCAGCTGCTCACCCCCCTGCTGCGCGGCGCGCCCCCACCAAGGTCTCTCCTACCGCGCGCGACACCCCTCCGTCAACCGTTGTCGACGCCCCTCCCGCTCTTCGTCTTCCCCGAGCCCTCGCCGAAGCACCCCCGGCACGCCTTTCCCTGCCACGTCCGTCCCACGCGCGCCCGCGAGATCCGGCACCACCTCGTCCTCCCCGCGCGCGCGCTCGACGACGCGTCCGTGCGCGCGCTCTGGGGGCTCGACGGCGACCAGGAGGGCGTCGCGGCCGGGGCGCGCGCGGCGGCGTTCCGCCGGATGTGCTGGGTGCACGGCGCGCTGTGCCCCGTCGCGGACTGCGAGGAGCGCGCGCGGGTGCTCAAGCCCAGGCCGCTCGCCGCACCCAAGGCCGCCGGAGAGGAGACGAGCGGCCAGGTTGGCCAGGCCAGGATGCGGCTGGGGGTAGCGGGAGCCGGCTTGGGCCACGGCGGGAGGACCTGGCACGCGCGCTCGAGATCGGTGGGTGCGCCGCCCGCCGCGCAGGGGCTTCCAGTTCGGTCCGGGGGAGGTCATCGCGAGCTTTGCGCCCCACCAGCCGCACCAGGTCTATCGCCCTCCTCCTTTCTTTGCTGGTCCTCAGCCAAACGCGGCTCTCAATCCTCAGGCCACCCCCTTCGTACCGGGGCCGTTCCCGGCTTCAGCTAGTCAAGGTTCTCCAGCGAGCAACAACAGGCTGACGACATCCGCATCGATGCCGTATGTGCCGTACATGTAATATGTTTCTGTGTTGTGCTGTCTTGTGTTCCACTGCATAATGTTTACAGACGCTCTGCCATCGTACTCCATCGTTTTGTCGCTATGACTTCCATGTCCCCGATTATAATCATGCTTGTTGCGCTTTAGCTCCTCACCAACCCCAAACACCACATGGACTGCACGCTGCGGGAGATGAGCATCAAGAAATATGGATGAGATAAGTACTAGAAACACAACTATAAAGTAGGACATCGGCCACTCTCCCGTACCCGCAGCAAAGAGTCCGTCTGTTCCGTTCTGTCCGCAAATACCAAGATCATACGCTACCTAGTGAGAGTGTATGTACGTAGTGTGGGAATGGACGACTGGGAGAGTGGGGGGTTGCGGAGAGTACAATGGGGTGGTACGGCATATATGCGTGGGGACCAAGAGAGGAGGTGGGTTGTATTCGGGTCGTGGGGTGACTATGGTATGCTGAAGGAGAGCTCGGCAGGGCTGCCTAAGTTGACGCTGAGCTGGGGCGGCTCAGGTGGGAGTTTGTGTGGGAGTCTATCGTTCGCGAACAGGTCTTCGTCCTCTTCGTCCTCTTCGGGTATGGGCTCTTCGAACTCCGCGTCTAGGTCTTCGTCGTACTCGCCGTCGTGCTCCATCTCGTGTTCTCCTTCCTCCTCAAAGATGGAATGGAACTACAGAGCCGATGAGCGACGACACCGAAGAATAAGTCCAAGGTTACACACATGAGTGATGAGTATCTTCGTTGCACGATGGCCCGCGGCCATGTTCGAAAAGAATGTCCCGAAGTCGTTGTCCGTCGAGCGCAGCAGATTGGGGGCAAAAACGGTGGAGAGCGATTCCGCCGTCATCTGGTTGCTTTCCTCGAAATCGGTCACCCTGCGCGTGTTCTAGATTAGCAGTCTGGTAATAAGAAGGGGATGGCCTAAACTCACTTCTCAAGATGCTCCACAATGCGTTTTAGGAGATCGAAATTGGATGGCGGGAGGAGTGAACCATGTCTCTCACACTTGTGACCCTGGCTTCCAAGTCTACGGTGTCACCGCCTGTATCCCAAAAACGGTTGAGCTTGAGCCGGAAAACATGTACGGGTAGGTGCGTACCCGCAGCAGCTAGGATCTGTCCATAGGTGTCCGCTGGGAACAGGCCACCCGGCAGTACTCGGAACCATGACTTGATCAGGTCACAGACAGCGTGAATGTCCGTAATCTCCGAAATCGGCCATTCGCCGCGGTTCAGAGCATCGCGAAGACTGTTGACTTCCGAATGGGCGCCAGCAATGCGGTCTATTCGCAATCACCGGTGAGCATTATCATCCATGGAAGAGAGTAGACATGAAACTCACAGATGCCGACCTCCGTCAGACCGCGCCGTTCAACTTCAGCAATCAGACGCCCAAGGAATATCGGAACGGCGCCAGGTTGAACTTCCCCGTCAGGTGCCTCGCGTTTGAGTAAGAAGTCAAGATCGACGCCAAACACTAAACCCATTTCATCACGTCAGTACGTTCCAGACTGGACGCGAAGACGCGACGCACCCGCTACGGGATCGCGTGTCGCCCCTGCAGGCCTCGAGATGAGGTCGTCCATCTGAGGTCTGGCCGGACCGAGGTAGGTCAGCCTCCGGTTGGCGGTCGTCTTCGATACACGCTCGATGGTGTCGATCCATTTCTTCATGTCCTGCTGGCTTGCGGCCTGGAGGAGGTAGTGACCGCCATCCTCCGAGTCGATCTGGAAGACGAAAGAACGCTCGTTGTTGATGAACTGCGCGACGCGCACGCCGGCGACGGAGAGAACGAGAGACGGCTTGCTCGACGGCACGAAGTCAAGCTCCGCGGGTGTCCGCGGGGCCTTCCCGGGCTGCCGCCGACAGAGAGCGTGTCCGAGGTGAATGCAGAGGAGATTGGGCGCATGAGCTGGAAGAACGCCGAGCTCATGCTCTTCTTGTTCCGGTGCGCTTTCGGCATGACAGGGTTCGGCCGGCGCTGGTTCATGCCTTGTTGATCTGCTCTTCGCGTCGGTCATGACGTTGTTGCTCAGCGCGCTTCTCCTTGCTGAGGCGGTCTCTGGAGACCTTGTCCCGCCGGTTCTTCTCTTGCTGTACGGCGACTATCAACTGGAACGGTCGGTGGACGCCCTTCTTCGTCGGGTGCCGAACTGCATGCCTTCCCGGTGAGCGTCTTCGCGGAGGGCCCTCAGGTCGAAGTGAACGATGAAAGCTCGCGCTCCATGTTGTTCAAGCGCTCGAACTCTCGGCGGTCGGCCTCACGTCGGCGATGTCTCTTGCTCGATGTCACGCCCGAAGCGTTGGCGAGCAGCGTCTGCAATGACCTGTCATAGCAGCGTCAATACGCCACATAGGACCCTTCTGTAAAACAGCCATACCTCCGCTTCTCAAAGTTGACCAGAACGGCCCTCTCTTCTGATGGCGACTCGAGCACGTCCGGTAGGCTGATGATCTCGAGGACCTTCTCCATGAGCCAACCAATGTCCACGGTGAGGGTGCCTCTCGACGACAGATGTGTGACGACAGGGCGCGCCAGGTACGAAGCCAGAGAGTCACATCCCGTGCCACGGCCGACAGCTACACCAAGCCACGCACGCTGATACGTCCGACTTTCCACGCTGAGCACGGCCGACGTCAAAGCTGACTCGACGAAAGACCGAACGCAGGGGCGCTCGTGGATGGGGCGTCGGCGTTTTCTCCGTCAAGACTGCGGCGTCGGGCGACCTCGATGGCTCGTAGTACGCGCTCCATCCTTTGCGCTCGTCCTTGGAAGCCAAGTCGGGATGCAGCAATCTTCGAGATGAGCCACTTGCGGATGATGCCGAAGGCGCGGATACAGCTGCGCACGGTGGGTGGCAGAAGTCGATAGAGATTCTCCTGGGCGAGCTCCGAGATGAGCGGGGAAGGCTCAATCTCGAGGATGTACGAGTTCATCGACTGGATCTCGACTTCGTCCGCGATTGAACTGGGGTCTCGGTTCAGTACCAGCCCGTACGATCCGCCGACTGGAGTTCTAGCAGGTCCGCAGTCGCGAAGAAATCCTGACAGACAGACACAAAGGTAAGATCACCATCAATCAAGCTACATTCGAATAAGCGTCAATGTACCTCTTGTGTTACGTTGCGGAAGGTCGCAGAGGCCATCAGGTTGAGGTTGTTGACAAGCTCCTCGGGTTCGAGCTGATCGATGTCGGGGAGCTCGGAACTGTAGTTCCCGGCCGCCATGCCGTCATTCGCGCTTTCTGTGTAGGCGTGTTTTTCAGGACCGGCCGCATTGCTTGCGAGCGGAATACCGCGAGTAGGTTTCGCCGTGACATTTCGAGGGTCCGGAGCGCTTGGCTGGCGTCGGACTCTGGCTCCGACACCGACTCGAGCATCTTCTGTTCCGTTGGCTGACTGAAGAATGTTATGAAGGACTCATAAAGCGCCCCGTCGTCAAGGGAATCCTGCGCCCCACCACCCTGCGTGATCCACTCGCTCATCGTGTCCAGCACCTCCAGCCGCAGGCGTACAATGTGTGAGACCTCATCTCCCGTCAGAGCGCGTCCAGGCTGATAAGCGCCAATGTAGCGTTTCCGCATGAGCTGGTTGGTGGGTGTTGAAATAGCGTCAGCCTCATCATTGCGCAGCTCACCATGAGCTGACGCACCTCAAATAGCACCTGGGGAGACACGAAGCACCTGAAGACGTTCCACCACACTTGCGAGAAGTCGTCCATGTCCACTTTCACTTCCCTCGTCTTCTTGTCCGTCAACGGTATCTCCCCGTTGTCGTCTGCAACCGACACCGACACGCCCTGGAGCCCATGAACAAGGACATCAACTAGGCGATCTAAGGTCCCAGCCTGAACGACAACACGCAACGGCCGTCGGAGCTTGTCTCCGTGACGATGAGACTTGTCCTTTGAGAGATGGACGGCAGGAGTTGCGACGAGCGAGGCTTGACTTGCGCTCTGCTCCATGGCCATGGGATGAACCAGGGGTGACGCGGATGGACGGATTGCGGTTGAACATTTTCTCGGCAATAGGTGAGTCCATCGTTCCACCACCGGTGGTACGACTTGGAGGACGAGAAGGTGCTCGGGACGCGGGTCTCGAACTAGTCATCGTGTCCCCACCCGGTTGAACGAGCAACATGAGCTCTCCGCCGTACACAGGGATCAGCGTACCGCCGAGGTCGAACCCGACCAACTTTGGCTTGTCCATACGACTCGCCCTCTCGCCATCCGGTTGAAGCCGGAGATCGTGAATGTCCTGGATGTTGAGAGACGCGGAAGCGTTGCTGTCCATACGGCCCCGGAGGAGCTGTGCGCGGTTGATGACCGAGACGGCAGGCAATGGCTCTGGAAAAAGCAGCGCGGCAAGAGGGTGTGTCGTGGGGGGCATTGACGCTCGGGACCAGAAATATGGCTCATACAAGCCCTTTCTTCGAGGCTCGGCGGCAAGGGAGAGCGACATGAATTGCTCAATCCTGTAATTCAACAGATCAATAGAACCCCAGCGCCGCGGATCAGCGAGGCTCACCTGAGAAACTTGCGGCAAGGCCTCGGTTCCCGCCAACGGAGGACAGCGTTTTCCAATGCCGTACAAGGACATCGACTGCCGGTAAGTCAGGCGCTTCGCTCGCAACCGCCGCCGCCTGCATAATGCGAGGTTCCCTCGGAACGCGTCGAACTTCTCGCGGGCATCGCGCATCGGATTAACTAGCCATTCTTCGCCACACCGTGCCTTGTCTAATGCGTCGCGGACGCTCTGCTCCGCGTCGCCAATCCATGGGCATGCGAGGGGCACAGTCTGCGTTGGTTGATCGCCGCGGACAAGAATCTGTGCCCATCGCTGCACGACAACGAGCGTCTCGGGGTCGATGCGCTTCCAGACTTTGTCGAGGCGCGCGATGGCGCGCGAGCAGAGGGCCGCCATGATTGCGCGCCATGCACACTCGTCCCCACCGCGGCGGGCAGCCTCGGCCACGCGCGCCCAGCCGGCAATAACCTCAGAGCGTGAGTGCGGGCGCGGGTTCTGCGCTCCTGCCGGCTCTGGAACGAGGACTTGGATGAGCACGAGGCGTGTGAGCCAGTGCGGCCGCTCGTCGCTGCCGAGGAAAGGGGCAAGAGCGGAGCCGGGGGAGGGTGAGATTGCCGATTCTGGAGGTGTGCCAGCGATGAGGTAGTTGACGGTGAGGGTTCCGAGGTCTGGCACTTCTGTGAGGGAGGTCTTCTGGCATACGAGCAGCGAGCGAGCGACGACAGATGGGTCGAGGTTTAGGAGCACGTCGCGTGAAAGGCCTTCCTCTTCCAGTGCTGTGCGAAGGCCATCTGGGGAAATAGTAGTGGGTCGCTGCGAGGTCTCTTGCATGGCTTCGATAATCGACTGCATTCTACTGTCGCCAGGACGGGGTGAGAAGGCGCCTAGATCTTCGATGCCGGGGACGGAGAAGGCTGCGTCGTTGCCGAGGATGACGATACGGCAAGCTCGTCGGTAGACGAAAATTTGGGGATCGTGTCTTTAACCCACGCGTCCCAGGCCTCTTGACTAGCAGGGGCGCCGTGGTAGTCGAGGTACTTTGCTGCAAGCCACTGAACACGCCTTTGTTCTTCAGGTTGCGCTTCATCCGAAGCGCCGTTGATGAGATTTGAGCAGATCCGCTGGAACTCCGTCTCAAACGCGCCATTGCCTACGAGCATGGGGAGTAGAAGCAAGATGGTGGCCGAGAACCCTTCCATTCCGGTCGATACATCGCCTCCGTCGGCGACGTGGTGCAGTGGCAGCAAAGGTCGTTGCGAATACGGCTTCATGAACAAGGGCTTCGGTGGAACCCTTCTCCACGACGCCGGCACTGACGGTTAATGCAGGTGCGTACCACGTCCCCAGTAGGCTCGGCGGCGACGCATATCCTCCCGCTCCTTGCTCTTCCCTCCGCGCGAACCCATGTCCATCTCCGAGTCCTGGACGTCGACGCTCAGTTCAGACCCGGCTTCGTCTTCCAGAACAGCGACGAGCTCTGTAGGAAAGAGCTCCCGGATGCCGGTGCCGCGATCACTGGGCGGCTTGTAGAAGTAGAGCTTGGAGCCCTTGAGCACGAGCTTAAATGGCTTCCACCCCTTGGCGAGGACAGCCTGCGAGCCGCCAGACACATACGCGTGGTGTGCGCGGCTGCTGAGCATCGAGGGTGAGAAGTCGGCCATTCGGTTGATGAACCCAGACTGATGGACCATCTGGGACGAGCGTTTGCCGCTGTTGTTGGTTCCGTCACCCACGCCATCCTCGGGCTCAACAATCGTTGGGGGCGCAAGGAGTGTAGGAGAGGAAGGCCCTTGGCTGACGTGTCCGTCGACGAAGTAGAGGGGTGCAGGTTTTCCACCGCTGAAGCCGAACGGGAACGGAGACCGAGCAGCAGGGCCGCTCCCCGACGAGCCCTTGTTGCTCTCGACATCCCTAGACTCCGACGACGTAGACCCTTTGCGTTTGGGGCTCGGAGGAAGGAGTCCCGCAGACGATAGCTTCGAGGGAAGCCGTGGGGTGAACGAGTGCGATCGGGAATGCACATGGTAAGACGACGTCGTGGAGGCTGGTGTGAGAGGAGGCGTGATGGAGGATGCACTGACAAGCGGTGGTCCTAGACGAGCGTTTGTGGCTTTGGGGGGAGATGTCGAGACGTCCGCCGCGATGGCTGGGAAGGGATAGTTCATGTTGAATGATGCCGTGGATGGAGAAGGAGCCGGGGATGGGGTCGCTGCGACACTGCTTCCTATGCTGTCGCTGCGATATGTCCTAATCTTGTTATGAAGCGTTGTGTCAATGGGTGTAAGAGCGGGTGTTGAGGCGGATGGGGACATCTTCCCCAGATCGTCAGCGGACTTGGACCACGGTTTGCGCGAGAGATTGCGCAGGTCGCCCATGGAATACCCGTCGAATGACGGCGGCGACGGTGAGGATGGTGTTCGATTATTGATAGGCCTAGAATCTGTCATTGCTGTGTTGGTCCGAGCTAATGATAGATCTGCAACGGACCTAAGAAAGGGTCAGTAATGCGACGATCATGTGAGTCCTCAGAACAATGCAAAAAAAACAGGTCAAGTTCTCTCGCGCTTTTCGCGGCCTATTTAACCGCAGATCCTCGCCGGACACCCGGGAACCAATTGAGAGCACACAGTGACGCCTAGAGCGTGCCGAATCTCCTCGAGAACGTATGTGACTGAATGCGGATGACTGGAGAGCAAGAGACGCGTTTGACCCCTCAAATCATCGAAGGAACGCGGGACATGGAGGATCTCGCCCGTCCACTTGCCCGGCAGATGTCTCGAGAGCACGAATGTGCACTCGCCCGGCGAGGTGGTCCGCGTGTAAGAGAAAAGGAGAGTGGTGCTTGAGAACAAAATGAACGAGCCAGAAGGGTTATTTGGAACAGGAGGTGCGATAGAGCAAAGGAACTCCGATCCCAAGCCATGGAAATGTGATATTCCAGTGCACAGGGCGGAAACTCACCTGCTTGCCGAATGCATCCCTAATCCTGCTCCCTTCGGAGGAACAAGCGTGTCCATAATCGGCCGCGGGTCGGTCGGGTGCGATATCTTGTGCTTGCGACCAGAGCTTGTGCTCGACCGCGGCTCGCTCGAACTGATGGACGTGCGTCCGGCCCCACTGGAGTTTGAGCGAAACCATTTCGTAGGCTTCGTGATGAACTGGGTGAACCCGCCTGAGGGTGAGGTCGAGCGAGGTTGGCTTAGGAGGCTGGCGGGGGAAGAGGGGGAAGGAGTGGTGGTCGCGGGGGGACTGAGAGTGTTGGACGCGGTCCGTCGAGGAGCCATGGGTGAGGAAAAGAACGTGGTGAACGGTCGAGCCAGAGAAGAGAAGGAGGGATACTGGTGGTGATGAACGCGTGGGTATCAACCTAAAGGAGACATATTCATGATGAGCGTTATGATGAAGGGAATGTCTCTTACTTGGAGCCGACGGCAGCCACGAAAGGGAAGATAAAGCGATGGACACTGACGCTTCGCCCGTCAACAGCTACCTGCAACCGCTGATGAAGACCATAAATGGCCTATTGGTTGATCGTGGGCGTATATGCGTCGCGAATGCACAGCGGGAGGATGAGGAAACAGTGGCGAATGTACAGCGTCGTGGTCAAGTCGTTGAGAGGCGTTGAAACGTTGAAACGAGAGCGGGCGAGAGAACGTGACAACTGGAAAGAGATCGCAATTACAACGTGCGTCGTGGGAACGTAGTAAGCCGAGCCCGTCGATCTGACCACACGTTGATCGCCTTAAATCTGCCTGTATTCGCCATATATCCTACAAGTTTGACATTCGTATGTGAAATGGTAAACGTACGGTATGTATGAAGGGCGTAACAACGAGTAATAACGACCGGCGGAACCCCTAACCCCATCCCAGGGTCTACGGACCGAAGTGCGATCTTACCCAGGCGCCGCGGGCCACCGCGAGCAGGAGGGCCTTGTCCTCTCCCACATTCTACTCTCTCTGGTCGCTTGTTCTCTGCCGTTGTTCTTCGTCCGTGCACTTTCTTATTGCCAGAGCTTCTTCCCCCGCGCGCTCTTAAGACATTCCTCCTCAGGAATGCTTACGGACTACTTCGAGCCTACCTCCTGGGATATGATCACCCTTGCGACCCTTCCCTACGACCTTCTCCTCAACATTGCGCGACACCTGGAGTTGAGCGACATATACAATCTCCAGCTTGTGAGTATTCCCTCTGCTACCTGCTGTGTTATGCCCTTCTCTTCGATCTGTGCGCGCGCAGGGTTATGCGGTCGCATCCCCGGCGTGTCGATCTCTATTCAGCCCCATTCACCACGACTCCTGGCTCTTGGTCAGCCGCTTCGAACGCGAATTTACTAGGATATTTGCCACACTTTTTATGGCGAACAATGCACGAGTCCTCTGGACGCAAGCCTGTTTGACCGGCAATGTTCCTATGCATTGATGGATGATGACCGCGCTTCGCCCTCCACGCTCGTGCGTGTCATTTCGTACGCCATGACCTACCACAATCCAAATCTTCACGCTACGACTTTATCTTCGCGATCGGAGGATCTTTGCCGAGCTGAACGCCCTCTCCACAGTCATGTCGATCGCTACATGCGTTCGCGGTCACCCGCCCGGTCTACCGCAACCTCGCGTCCCTGCTGCTCCGCCGCTGTCGCGCGCTCCCGCTCCACGGCTTCCAGCGCTTCACGGACCTCACGGACCAGCAACTTATCGACGCCGTCAACCAGGCCGCGCGATTAGAGGCGGCATGGCTCACACGCGGGCCGAGGCCGGCGTCCGCCATGCCGTTCGACGGGCCCCCAGACGAGTTCGGGCTCCCGACGCGGACGTGGTACAAGATCATCAGCGCGCCGCCTGACGAAGAGGTCGACTGGCTCTCACCGATCACGTCAAGCTACAGCCTCTGCGCGACGAAGAGCGGCAAGGTCGTGTGCTGGGATGTGCACCGGGACATATGTCTCGCGGAGTGGAATCCGAAGGAGCGCTGGGAGCTGTGGAAGTGTCGGGTTGAGTTCGACGTCCGGACGGTGTTCTTCACCATGGCCAAGATCATCTCGCGACAGTGCGTAGTTTGGTCTGTGTATGCGGTTCCGCGAGTCTAACGCCGCAGACAGGTTGGACGACCGGCTCATGGAGTTCGTTTTGATGAAGCTTCACTTTCCAGAAAGCGGTGAGCCTCAGTTCGTCGAACTAGCCACCTTCAAGACGGTCGGCGTGGTCATGAACGTCTTCCTGCTCGACCCATCATCGCGTCTGCTAGCCGCCTTTGTGTGGGTCTCAAGCTCGAACACCATCGGTCTATATACGCTTCTGGATTGGGACATCGAGGAGTACGTCTTTATTGACACGGGCATTGATTGCGTGAGTTCTGTCCCTTATCTCTGTGAGATTATTACTCATGTGATGTAGCAGTCGATATCTTCGAATTGGTCGTGCATCCTTTACAAGGAACAGATCGTCATACACTGCGAAGAGTCCGACGTCGCACACCAGTACTTTTATCCCCTCTCCCTCCTCCAGCGATATGTGCGGCCATCGACGCGCGCGACAGGGTTTATCCCTCGCATCTCTGAGCGCGTCTCCCCCATGGCTAGAATGACTGCTGCGTTCGTCTTCCCTCCTCGGTCCCAGTCTCAGTCTCGGCAACAGAGCCGCGAGCCGCCCAACGGTCCTTACCAGGAGACTTACAGCTCTGACGACGAAGTGGAGGACCGAGAGGATGGAGACGGAGAACAAGATGGAGGGGACGACGGGGACGACGCAGGGGACGACGCGGGCGAAGGAGACGACGAACCGGACCCGAATCCATTTCCCTATCCGCCGTGGTATCCGGAAAGCGCACACTTCGTTCGGCAATGGTGGCCGACGCTCTCGTCGGTACCGAAGCTCAGCTGCACCGTGCTCCTTCTCGCGGACCACGAGCCAGAAACGCACAGAACGCGCTACGTCCTCGCACAGCACTACTTCAAAGTGCCCCTGGTGGAGCCAGAAGAGGTTGAAAATGCGCCGGAAGAGGCCGCGAAGGCGGTCGCGGAGGCGTTCGCTACCGACGCCAATACCAACGGGCACGCCCTCGCGAACGGCTATGCGAACGGCCCTCCTCTGCGTCCCCGACACCCTCCACTCTCTCCATCGACAGCGCCGGCTGGCCGCGGCCGTCCACGGTACCAATCACACCAGCGCGCGGAGCGGAGTCGTCAATGATGCGGCTCTGGTACGTCTCCGAGGCGTTCGAGGTCGTTTGCGTGCTCGACGAGGTGGACGAAGACATCGACCCCGAGGGGGCGCAGGAGCGCCCGCGTCCGCTTATGGCCGTGGACTTTGGCCACGCGGTTTGGATCGAATTCGCGTTCCCGCTCGACGTCTCCCGGGACGAGAAGCGACTCCGATTCGTGACCTTCCCTCCCGTTGGCGCGGACCGGCACGCGATGGCGCGCGGACGCGACGGGGGCGGGCACGGGGGAGGTGCGACGTCGGGGACGCTGGAGGGCGTGGTGCGGACGCTGGAGGTGCCGCCGGAGCTCAACTTGGACACGGTGGAGACGATCAATATCGACCAGAGCCAGGGGGCGATCATCGTGTCGGTGCGGGACGGGAAGATCTTCATCCTGTGCTACGACTGAGCGGTGCATTCGCACGGGGACCTAGAGGGTAGGGCGTGAGCGGCGGTAGGTTTGGTCAGGCACAAGGACAGCGGGGAGGAAGCAGGACCTACTTGTATCGTGTTCTCTGACATGGTAGGCTCGCAGGTCGCAGGATGAGTCAATGTATCGTCTACGTAAAACACAGTAAGTGTATCAACAGCAAACCGGATACCCGCCCTCCGCTCTCCTTGCTCTCCATCTGCGCTGTGCTACTAGTTTCCTTGCCTCTCACTGCTGCGTTATGAAGACTGGTGACTTTCTGTAGATCTATACAGGTACGCGTGCATGCAGATTGACACCATACTCTTGCGTTCCACATGATAACCCATCCAGAATTAATCGCGGTGGCTGAAACACTTGTCTGGAGTCGCTCTCGCTGACATCCAACACCTGAAGGCGGCAACTTCCTGGTCGCATCTGTCTGAGGGTCGCGAAGTTCGGACAGCCGCGGAGGAGCGAAGCGAGACGGGCGTTGTCAGATTAGTTGACCGTTCGCTCTACAACGTGTTCATCCCCAAAGGACCCCAGCTCGAGTTCTCTTCGATCCGAGTGCTCTGTTCTATCCGCCAGAATACCCAGGCGCGGGGTCAGTGTACACATTGCAAACTGTCGCGCGAGGATGGCCATTACCCGAGCCACTTCCTTGGCTATTCCGCGCGATCGAGCAATCAGGACAGCAGCCGCAAGGGCCCCGGAATCCACGCCGCACGGCCAGCTCTGCTGGCGCTCGCTTGTTACGTGCTGGGAAGGCGATGAAAGGAATGCATTAACCACGTTATGATGGTGGACCACCAATCCGCTTGTGAGTTCCCCTTTGCCGTGTCTTGGGCTCCTCGCGCATGGTCGTGCATTGGTCTGGATGGCAGTTGAGGGATGGCGTATGCGCAGCACTGTTGCGCCCGAGCTCCACCTCGAGATTGGCGAGACGACACGATGGCGGGGGTCGCGCCGGCCGATCGAAGGCACCCCCGATAACGTGTGGGCGGAGGCCATGTTCTTCCATGTTCAGAGCATCCGCCGCTACACTTCTGGGGTTCGGGGCATTTAATACGTCCCGCCTGTGGGTACCCTCGGCGCCGTCGTCTGCGTGCGCTCGACGTGGTCATCCTCGCGGCAGAGCCTGGCGGCGAAAATAAAACGCAAAACAAGTCGTCCCACTTTCAATGATTGGCGCTTGAACCGCGATTTGTTCTCGACATGGCGCGGACATTGGGGGAGATGGGTGAGATAGCGGGGCATCAACTCTGGACCAACTCCGGGGAGAGCTGATCAGGGGGCGCCGCTCCTTCCTGACAGCGCGCGCTGGCTGAGTAGACAGTATGATCGTGGTCCTCGCTCGATTGCGCACGGCGCGCTGGGCTCTGGGCACGGCATGGGCAGAAAGCCACTGAAACGGGGCGGGAAGGGAGGGAGTAGGGTGCGCAGCGGGGCGCGCGGAACGGAGGGAGTGATTTCTGACATACCGGATCAGGAAGGGTAAAGCCGGCCGACGGCGGCGCGTACCGCTTCGTCTTCGACACGTTCCTCGACGTATATAAGACCTCGCGCATCCTCTCTTGCCCCCTTATCTTCCTCTCGTCTCCCCATCTCGCTCCCTCCGTCGGTGCATGTACTCGAACCAACTCGGGAGCTCTCACAATCGCCATCGAGGAAGCAAACACACCTCCGGCGACGGTCTAATAAAGCATTAACTTCCCCTTCCCCCAATCGTCTTCACTCTACTTCATTATGTCTTCCAACGGTACGAGCACTCCTGAGTCCCAGCTGGAGTCCGTCCTTCCCATCCACCCGACGGCTGTTCGCGGACGAGCCCCATTGTCGTCCAATCCGACCGCACGTCGTACTCCAACGAGTACATCACTTCCAAGTTCGTCAACCGCGGCGCCGATGTCACCGTCGTCGAGGGTCAGTACATCGTCACACCCACCGAGAAGCCTGTCGAGTTCCAGACGGCGCGCCAGGTCGCTAAGACTGGGTGAGTTTATTTTTCTCACATACATCACTTTGCGCGTGCTACTCGCATTTTGCGCACACACCAACCGTTCGTGAACTCGCATGCTCATATTCGCACGTACAGTCTCATGATGATCGGCTGGGGCGGCAATAACGGGTCGACGCTCTCCGCGACGATCCTCGCCAACCGCCACAACATCATCTGGCACACCAAGTCCGGCGTCCAGCAGCCCAACTACATCGGCTCTCTCCTTCGCGCGTCCACCGTTCGGATCGGCGCAGACCCGGCGACGGGCAAGGACGTCCATGTCCCCATCTCCGACGTCATGCCCATGGTCCACCCCAATGACCTCGTCCTCGGCGGCTGGGACATCTCCGGTTTCCGCATGGACGACGCGATGAAGCGCTCCCAGGTCCTCGACTGGGACCTCCAGCGCCAGGTCATGCCCCACATGGCCGCGCTCGGAAAGCCCCTCCCGTCGATCTACTACCCCGACTTCATCGCCGCCAACCAGGAGGCTCGTGCGGACAACGTCCTGCCCGGCACCGACAAGCAGGCCCACCTCGAGCACATTCGCCAGGACATCCGTAACTTCAAGGCGGAGCACGGCCTCGACCGCGTCGTTGTCTTCTGGACCGCGAACACGGAGCGCTACTCGGACATCATCCCGGGCGTGAACGACACTGCGACCAACCTCCTCGCCGCGATCAAGGGCTCGCATCCGAGGTATCCCCTCCACGCTATTCGCCGTCGCGCCATCCTCGAGGGCGAGCCCTTCGTCAACGGCGCGCCCCAGAACACCTTCGTTCCCGGTGTCATTGAGCTCGCCGAGCGCCACCAGAGCTTCATTGGCGGCGACGACCTCAAGTCCGGCCAGACCAAGCTCAAGTCGGTCTTCGCCGAGTTCCTCGTCAACGCCGGCATCAAGCCGCTCTCCATCGCTTCCTACAACCACCTTGGCAACAACGACGGCCAAAACCTGTCCGCGGAGCGCCAGTTCAAGAGCAAGGAGATCTCCAAGAGCTCCGTCGTCGACGACATGGTCTCCGCGAACGCGCTTCTCTTCAAGCCTCCCCAGGCGGGCGCGCCCGCGGGCTCGAAGGAGGCCAAGGGCGAGCACCCGGACCACGTCATCGTCATCAAGTACGTGCCCGCGGTGGGCGACTCGAAGCGTGCGATCGACGAGTACTACTCCGAGATCTTCTGCGGCGGCCGCTCGACGATCAACATCTTCAACGAGTGCGAGGTGCGTTGCGTCCGTATTTCCTGCTTGAGCGCCAGCTGACTGCCTGTTCTTCAGGACTCCCTCCTCGCGACGCCGCTCATTCTCGACCTCGCGATCCTCACCGAGCTCCTCACGCGTGTCAAGTACCGCGACGCGACCGCCGGCAAGGAGTTCAAGCCGCTCTACCCGATCCTCTCCTGCTCTCGTACATGCTCAAGGCGCCGCTCGTCAAGCCCGGCACCGACGTCGTCAACTCGCTCAACCGCCAGCGCAACGCGCTCGAGACGTTCCTCAAGGCGTGCATTGGCCTCGAGGGCAGCAGCGACCTCCTCCTCGAGACGCGCATCTGGTGAAGAGACCGTTGGTGACGGTGGTTGGTGCTCGGCGATAGACTGTGTTGCTAGATAGATCGTGTCATGAGGTGAAGCACGCGACGTCCTTCAACGGCGGTCGTGTCGCGGAAGAGCGCGCCGCGCAACCGGCGCGCTCGAGTATTTCTCGTAACTCTTCAATGTCTCGGTGCTCGTTTCAATATACTTCGTGCTTGCTGCAGGCGTTGCGTTCCACAACGTGTGGTGCCGTGTAAAGACCAGGATATGTACAGTGATGTGAAGAATCAAGTGGCGTCGAGCTGAACTGCTTGTCCACCAGGATGGGTGCTGCTGATTCGCTCCAACAAATCTGCCGGGTACATGCTCGTTGCACATGTATTGCGTTCCCTAAACTGTGTGAACAGGCGTTAACGACCGTACACATCTGTCAAGCCGTCAGGTCTTTCGTGCAAGGCTCCACAAGAGGTCGGAGTGATTGATACCAGCACGCACAGGAACCGCGGCAGTCACCTCCGAATCTGTCAGTCCTGCATCACCGTGACCAGTGGTACTGCAAGCCCGAGCGCACTCAGAAGGGCGCATAAGCGTATGGGGATGTCGTAGATTAGCCTGAAATACACTAAATATCTAGTCGAGTGGTGATGAGCCCCTCCCGTCCGTGCCATGCCGCACCCGCTCACGGCGCCTTGGCCGGCTGGCCAGCGGGCGCCGCCGCGACGACCGCCGAGCTCGCGGCGGCCCCGGGCGCGCCCGCGCCCTGTTGAGTGGGCGGTGCGCCGTCCGCGGCGGGCGGCGGGCCCATCATCGCCTGCGCGGCGCCCCAGAACGTGGAGGGCATCTGGCGCGCGGCGGCCTCCTGCTCCTCCTTGATGAGCTGGTCGAAGTAGGCCTTGTTCTTCTTGAGGTACTCCTGCTCCTCGAGGTACTGGTGCTGCGCCTCGAGCCGCTTCTGCTCGAGGTACGTCGGCGGGGCTTGCGAGCCCGACGCCTGTTGCTGCTGGAGAACGGGGTGAGCGGGGGACAAAAGGGACGGGGTGGGGGGCGACGGACCGGGTCGGAGCTGCCGAAGAGGCTGCTGAGCGTCATCCCGCCGCGCGAGAGGCCCTTGCGGGAGTGCTCCCACTCCTCGACGTGCTTGCGCTTCATCTCCGCCTCCTTCTTCGCCCACTCGATCGGGATGTTCTTGCCGTCGTACGCCTCGAGGATGGGGCGCACGTCCTGCGTCTTGAAGATCGCGATCGCTGCGTGGCGCGGGCGCGCGCGTCAGCGCACGATGGGAGTGAGCGTTTGGTGGGCACTCACATTCGAGGAAGGGGATCATGGCGACGAGCCCGCGGTCCTTCGGGTCCCCGGCCCACTTCGGGACGATCACCGCGTTTTCGGGGTTCGGCGTGACGTGCTCGCGGTGGGTGTCGAGGAGGATGACCTTGGAGAGATCGCGGTTGAGGTACTTTAGGTCCTTCACCGGTTGGCCGTTTTCTGAGCGGCAGGCATCACGGAAGAGCTTGTGCATGATGAAGAACTGGTATGGGTCCAGCTTCTCCACCACGGGCAACGCAGTCTACGGCACGAAAAGGGTTTGCGCGTGAAGGCAGATGGTTCATAGCGGGTACGTACGTAGTACTGCTGGGTGGTGAAAATCACAACCTCGTAGAACTGAGAGAGGTAGGCGAGGAAGTAGTCGACGCCGGGACGCTTGGCTGTTCGCCAACCGTGCTGACGCTGTGATGGACGGATTCATTAGGGCACATCAGTTCACCAGCTGGAACAGTGTGCTCACATCCCACGTAGACGCTACAAGCAGGTCGTCGATGGACACGAGGAGAGTGTAGTCCCTGTGCATGTGGCCCTGCAAGGGTGGCGGGAGGAGTTCGGGCCAGAGTGGTTCTGTGAAAGTCTACGACAAGAATGAACTTGCGCTCGAGGGCATAGGAAAACTGAGGGCGAGGACTCACGTCGAACACCCCGGTGAACCGCGCCCTCATTCGCTCCCACCGATTGTGCGTAGCCTGTTCGCGGGACTGCAAGCTCGTCAGGAGGATGTCCAGCCATCGCGCACACGGGCAAACACGCGAAATGTACGCGCACGCCGGAACGCACCATGTGCCGCGCCTGCAGCTCATCGTCCTCCCACTCCCGCCCCGCGTACCACGCGCCCGCGCCCGCGCCGAGGAGCACCATCGCGAACGAGACACGGCCCAGGAACCGGCGGCGGCGCTCGATGCTCGACAGCGAGTCCTTGGACGACCGCGCCCCCGTCCGCTCCCTCTGCATCTCCTCTTCGCCCTCGCCGGGCGCGAAGTCAAGGCTGGGGACCGACTGGGACGTGAACGCTGGTGCGGGCTCCTCTCCCGGAGTCGGGGCGGACGCCGGCTGTCCAGGTTCAGGTGCAGCTCCGGGCTTCGCTTGGGCCTGTTGGGAGGAGGCTTGGGCCTGCTGAGAGGATGCTTGCGCAGGTGGCGGGGGAGGCTTGGGGATCGTCGACTTCTTCTTCTTCGACGCGAACCCCCTCGCAGCCTGGAAGGCGAGGGGGGGCCGGGCGACGCCGCGGGTGGCGGAGGCTCTGAGCGCGGCCTGGAGCATGTTTTGAGAGGAGGAGGGGAGGGGAAGGCGGCTTCAAAGGGAGCGAGAGTCGAGCTGGTTGAGACCGTCGCTCGTCATCGCCGAGGTGAATTTCAGGGCGCCTGTGCTCCTTGCTGGCATCGGCGTCAACGGCCCGCTGCGACCCGGAGAAGAGAGGGATCGCAGGGTTGCTGTTTATCTCTCTCTGTCTCCCTCTGGCTGTAGTTGTAAGACTTGGGTGGAACGAGGTCGGCGTCCGGTCATGTTTATGCAGCACTAGGTTCAAGTATACAATATACGCTATTCAGTCTAACAGCCCAGTACTACCAAGGTACCCTCGTCGCGCAGAAATTCGGGAGCCGTTCTAATACACTCCCTAGACCACCGTTGTCTCTCCCAACTTACAAGTCGTGAACTTGCCCTCAGGAATGCCCTCCTTCTCGCAGGACTCTTTGAGCAACCTGGGTGGCTCCATGATGTCCTCGATCGTTAGCTTGAATGTCCTGCAAATCGCCCAAGGCGTTATCAGCTCTACACATTCTAAATAACCGAAATGCGCGCTCACCCCCAGTGCATAGCAAGGGCGCGCTCCGCCTTGACGTCCTTGAAGATGTCCACGGCGTCCGCGGGCGACCCATGCAGGCCCGACCACATCCACCGGGGCTTGTACGCTCTGTCCCCCACTTCGTCAGCACGAGAGCAGCCGTCTCGAGAGGTCCAAACCCACCCGATGGGAAGCAGCGCGAGGTCGAACCGCCCGAACTTGTTCCCGATCTCCGCGAACACGGGGCAGGTCGCGCGCTCCTTCTCCTTCTCGCCGCCATGACAGTCTGGTAGCCGGTGTCGCCCGCGAAGTAGATCTGCTTCGGCGCGCGCGCCCCGGGTCGGAGGCCGCCGCGGCCTGCAGGTGCTCCTGCACGACCCAGCCGCACCAGAGCGACTGCCAGCGGTCGAACGCGGTGCGCCCCGCGGTGTGCTGCGCCGGCGTGCACGCGAGCGTGAACGACGCAGGGACGCGCGGGGCGTCTGTGTCCTTGGCCGGGAGCTCGACGGTCACGGAGGAATCCTCCCACCAGTCGTGCAGGTTGATGTGGGTCTCGGGGATCCGAAGGCCTTGATGTAGGTACGGTTCCCGAGCGGCGCGAAGATTTGTGGCCGGTGGTTCTTGAAAACGGTCGTGGTGGTGTTGCAGTCCATGCTAAAACATGTTAGCCGAAGTAGGCCCAAACGCGCTGTGCGAGATTCTCACTGGTCGTAGTGGTTATGCTACGAATTGGTCATCAGTGGCGCCCGCGAGTACCGCATTGCGAAGAACATACCGAGAACGCAAGCACGTCGACTTCCGGGATGTCTTCCGCCACAACAGGTGGGGCTGCAAAGCGCACGTTGGTATTCCTACGGTGACACCAGATTGAGGGATGGGGTAGACTCACGAAGCAGGCGCGCCGGACCGGCCCACTGGGACGGCGAGGCGCGGTTGGAGAGCACCGGGTCGAAGAGGATTCTAGGTCCGCGCGCGGCACCCTCGGGCGCGGGCAGCTCAACCAGCCACCCGCGTGTCTGTTCCCGGAAATGCGCACATACGCCCCCGCGCAAAGTCAGGTCGGTTCGCGGCGGCACGAACGGAGAGACGCACCCGAGCCACGTCGCCTTTGCGCCCTCCGGACGGGCCATGCCCCAGTCAGGCTTCACCGTCGGGAGTAGCGTCGCGAGGTCTTTGGGCACGCTTGGGTCGCGGGTGATTGCCTGGAAAGCGGCCTGCGGGGTGCGCGCGTCAGCGCGCGTGGCCATGTGGTCGGAGCGCGTGGCGGCGGGGCGGCCCAAGGGAGAGAAAGGGATGCAGGAAAGAACACGCACCTTGGGCCAGTCGTGCCAGTTGACCGCCCGCCAGGAGTCCCATGGGTTGGTGAAGAGCGTCTGGGTCCGGTTGAGGTGGTGCGCCGGCGGCTGGTCGTTCACCCACTCGACCGTCGTGCGCTTCTCCACGCTGACGTTCCCTCGGGCCGCGCCCTTCGTCTCGGTGCACCCGATGGCCATCGCGTTCGTGAGGCGTCCGGTGGGAGGTCGGGTCCGAAGTGTTGGCGTGGTAGGAAGCTTGAGCTTGAGAGGAAGAGAGGAGGAGTACGCAAGACGACGTGCGACGGCCAGGCGTTTTATATGGGTTGATGCCGCGCCGGACGAGGAGGGGCGGAGGCTCAGTGCGAGCGGACGCATGTGGGTCGCAGTGCACCGGAATCGGTTTCACTTATAGATGCCGCATGAGCTCGCCGACGGGACGCGCGGCGGCAGCCGAATCCGAGGCGTCGCCGGATGCACAACACCGCGCGTCCCCGCCCTGACTGCCCGAAAATCAGTGCTGTTGTAACAAAAATGCATGCTTGGTGTAAATGTTGAAGTTCAGGTCGTCGTCCGACAAAGCGCGCCTGAGCGGCTGTGGTTACCAGTGCATTAAGTACAGTTGACATAGCACCTGTCGTCGGTTTCGGGTCGGGACTAGTAGAATGACGGGGACCGAAGCGTATTCTCCGATCGGCATGTACAGTGGTCTCTGTTAGATGTCGGCGGCTCGGACGAGGTCGGACGAGGGGATAAAGGCGGTCGATACGACGCGGTTGGTCCCTATGGGCACCGGGAGGCGGGTACAGACGGACGCGGGGGAGAACGAGGTGGTGGGGAAGGGCAAACGCGGTGTGAGGCTCGAGTGCGGGATGAGAGGCGGCCCGCCCGACGGCGGCTATCTACGTGATGACTAAGCGCTGGTACAGTACGACACGCAGTAATAGTCCAACAGTCTCTGCTTGCGAACGAACTCTAGCTATTTGGCTGTGCAGTATTTGACAAGTGAAGATGCAGCCTGAGACAATACTTGTGGGGCCGGCCGGGAGAGATGCCTCGAAGCCTGCACCGGAGGGTCGCACAGCCGAGCCTTACATACGCCAAGGCGATTGTGCGGTGTCGACCGGAGCGCGAGAGTGTCTCGTCGTGTGACGGAGAGACCCTCAAAGCACCAAAAGGGGGTGGAGGGTGGGCCGGAAAAGTCGACAAGAGTGTGCAGCGGGAGAGAGAAAAGTGATGAGGTTCACGCGCGCGAGAACTCTCAACATTCGCACTTCGCTTCAGTAAGCATCCGTAGCGCTCAGGCCTACGCAGAACTCCACAGGGGCGGACGACCAAGGAGAGAGAGAGAGGGGTCGCGGCGGTCCACGAATGTCACTCAGGAGGGCGAGCACAACAGCAGCAAATACTAGGTGTCCATATTATACCGGAGAGTGCGAGTCGGATGCGACCATCCACCTTGACACCACCCACGTCTTTACTGGCGACCCTTCCCGCTTCGTCGTGTAGTTATGGAAAAGTCTGCTGTGAGAGAGTTTGCCCCCGTCCCTTACGCGTACGCCGCCATGCGCATCGATCACCTCGCAATGGTCGAGCATCTACAAGACCCAATCGCCTCTGCAGCAGCAGCACAATTGTTGTCAAAGACCTACTTGTATATATCACCGCGGTCAGTGGCACCCAGCGCACTTGTGTACTTATGGACATCCGTTGATGAAGCAACTCCACAACCAGTGGCTAGGTCTCCCTATTCCCGGAAGCAGCCACTATGGCTGTGCCGTCAGCCTCATCGGCAACGTCCTCCCGCCTGCGCAAGAAGAGTTCTTTATTGGACCGGAGACCTGTGTACCCATCTTCCCGAATGACACCCATCCGGATAAGAGAGTGCCCATCCGCACGCATCCCACTCCATTCCCCTTCCAAGACTGCTGCCACTGGCCCACCCCAACTCTCGAAGTCCGGGTAAAGCCCAAGCGGCTGGATGGGACTCGAAGAGGTCCTTTAGTCTTCTCGGGGAGGGCTGGATACAGCTTGGGCGATACTGGCAGTCGGACATAGCCCGTGCACGTGAGCTCTATCGTCTGTACGTTGAGGAGTTGGACAAAGAGGATGAGGAAAAGGAAAAGGAGGCTAGGCTTAAATGTCCCGCAGGTGCGTTCGTCGTTGGAGTGGTGCTGCGCAACGATTTCTGATTGTTCGCCATAGACCAGCCTTCGAATACGGGCGACACCCTGAGCCTCCGCGTCACGCCGAATCATCCACGGCGCACCCAGGCACCTGCGACTCAACCCCTGGCGTCCAAAATCCGCCTCGCGTCAAGTCGCCACCGCTCGTGAACGAACCCGATCCTGTTTCCCTCCTACCCATCGTCGACCTATGGTATGAACTAGAGGAGCATCTTCAGCAAGAATCAATAACGCGTCCAGACGAGATCGAGGAGGAAGTGGAAGCCGTGCAGCGGTAAGCGGTCCGTGATCATCGCAGTCTAGGCGTCTAATGATGGGTTCCAGTATCATCAGGGAAGCTCTGCGGCGTTCATCTACTGTCGCAGACGGAAATGGCGAGGCTTCTTTCGGAACAAAGAAAAGTCATCTCTGAAGCGGAAGGACGCCGGTCAAGAGATCGCACAAAGCGCGTATATGTGTGGCTTATATAAGGACTTGTAGTATCGCGCTCCGTCGGTAGAGATTATCGCATTTGTAGTAAATAGTAGAAGCACAACAGTTCCGGTTTTCGCGTCGCATGTAGCCTTAGCAATTTAAGTCCATGGTGTTGAAGAAGCCGCTTAGTGAGACTGGTCCCACGAAGCGCATATGCGACGTTGTTCAATCTTCGACCGGGCCCATATATTCGGATGCGCCAGTGTGCTACCAAAGTCACGGAAACGCTCACGGAACAGGCTCAGATGCACGCATGAAGGTAGGCACTGATAGCAAGAGAGCTGATTCATCGCATTGCGTAGCGTGCGGCACTGCAGCACGCGATACATAAATCGGATGCAGCATACTACTGCACCTGGGGCGGCTAGCGCGAGGTACTATGGAGTCTACAATAATATGGAATGATGTTGCCATAAACGGGACCAGGAAATCTACAGGGCGACACATGCACCAGGCCGGCCGCCTCACAAAGCACTGAGAGGATCAACTCGGTTGTGGCGGCGACGGCGGTGCGCGCTGAACACCGAGCGCGGCATGTCCACCCTGCGCCCGTTCGCGCCCCCGAACGCGACGTTCATTGCCGGCGCGGCGAGGTAAGGACCGTTTGAGGCCAGCCAGTTCAGTCAGAACTCAGGACTCAGCAAGCGGGCGGCGACGGTAACACGGAACATATGTCAGAATGCATTCATTGATGTAGAGTCTAGACACACTATCATAAATGTAGGCATACACTCGCGTTATGCATTGAATCCTATGGGTGGTTCTAGTCTATGATACACACTGAAAAGCGCATAAGGCTGCAGATATCGAGCAGGCGTGCAGTACACGCACCGGGCGCCGAAGCAAACCCACCTGCCCAGATCACGCGATGTGCACGGTGTTCTATTCCGCATGAGGGGAGAGCAGTACGAGGGGTCGTGTTTAGAGGGGAGGGCGCGGTGGACTCGGGCATACCTATTGGTCGTCGGGGCTGCTGATGTAGTGCTGATGACGATGGCTTGGAGGTATGAGAGGAGAGAGAGAGAGAGCGGTTCGGCGTCTCCCCTAAAGGGAGAGCGCGATGAACGTCAGAATTTTTGCATGTGTCAGATTTGTCAGAAAGTCAGACTTTTGGGCTGTCCGACATCTGACCCTCATCAGACCAGTCCGACGATCCGATTTTTTGGTGCTCAGCCTGTTTTCCAGCTACACTCAGTTTCAGGGCAGGTCACCTTACAAAGCATAGTGCTGAGTCGGTCAGTTTCCATCCATTCCATATGTCGAGACCGCACGTGAAAACGGCAACTTTGCCTTTTTGCACCTTCTTCACGGCACCTGCGACACAGTAGTTGTAGATGGATTCGTATGCAAAGCGAAGAACTCACCGTCAGGCTCGCGACCGAAAACCATTCCCCGCACAACCTTGCTCCCCGACAAACTCCCCCATGATCTTCACCACCCGAACGTTGTCGACGTTGAAATTCTTCAGATTTGGCGGCATAACGGCAAGCGATGCTTCCGCAACCAGCCCCGCAAGCTGATCCTCGAAGCCATATTGTTTTGACGCGATCGCGGGCTTAAGAGCGGTGCGAGAGACGTCTGCGTGAGAGGAGAGGGCAAGGATGATGTTGAGAGGTCTGGCGTGATCAGTTAGCCTTCTCTCCCATCGGAGACGACTAGAAACGTACTGTCGAGCTCTGCGAGAGCTTTTGCGGATGCGAGCTCGTAGCCCTTGATGACTTCACTCGGATGAAGACCCATGATCAAGAGCTGCTCCGATTTCTTGAGCATCTCGCCGGCAAGGATCACGACGGTGTTGGTAGAATCGCCCATCTATGCTCCCTGATAAGCTTATATTTCTTCCAATAGAATGACAAAGTTGATAGGAGAATGCAAGGGTTTGGGAAGAATCCTGGAGGAAGTGGTCGAGCGTACCTCAGACTCTGAGCTTGAGATGCCATGACCAGCAGCTTTGCTGCCGGGTGGACGACCTCGATCTCACGGATGATCGTCGCAGCATCGGAGGTGACGAAAAGCCTGCCCAGATGGTTGATCACAAGCTTATTCCTCCCTGCGTGTCCGGTCCATGGCTCACTACGCGAACGGGGAAAAATGTAGCACGCACCGTTGGGACCAAAGCTCGTCCTGACAAGATCCGAGAGTTCCGCTACTGCCTGGATATTGCGCAATACCGCATCCTCCAGGCCAGACATTTGCTGCAGGAAGGGACGCGTCAAGCTCAGGTGCAAGACGAAATGCGCGCAGCGCGCAGGCGGATATTAACCTTGTACCCATCCTTGAAGAGCTGGATGTTCTGCGCCTTCGGTATCTTCAGGGAAATCGCGCAATCGTGAACCAAAGGGGAAGGAGCGGAGAAGAAAGGAGGAGGACGCGCGCCGCGATTATTTCGGAAGCCGCTGGGCGCTGGAGCGCGATGAGATAACGGAGCCCTAGCCTGGGGTTATGGTAAGTTCTTTGGCTCTTACCACACTCCTGACTGCGACAACGTCTGGCAAAATGTACACCCACGCCCCTGCACGCGACACATATCCCCCCAGTCATAAATCGTGGTCGCTACTCGATACCTCGGCCCTTTAAGATGACAATCACCGTCTCTCTCAACGAACACCAGGAGTTCGGCACCCCTTCGACGAATCTCAAAGGGTATGAAAAGCCGAACATGGCGGCTCCCTCGGCGGAGGATGATGATCCTGCATGCGTTAATCCGGTGTTGAGAAGCTCAAGATGGGCATTGCAGGTACGTCTCGTCGCGCTCTCTGATCTCTTTCGTACCGACGCATTCGTTAGGAAATCAACCTGGTGAAACTCGACGAAGATGGCATCACATCTGCTGCCCGCTACGTGAGTGCTTAGCTTGTTTACACGTCTCCCTTCCGTGCAGCACCAACCGCCCATATATCCCGCATGGTCGCGTGCTCCCACTTCGTTCATGCGTACTCGCGTACGAGCAAACGCTGACACTGCCGCCCATATGCCAGATCCATTCCCGAATGCACCGGGAGGCCTATGTCCCACGCAGTTGGCGAGACCACGCCTTGCATATCTGCCCTGAAGAGCCGTTTTCGTGGGCGAGCCCCTCCACGCGCTCATTCCTCGACTGGATCTTCCTCATCTCGTCCCTGAACTTCAGCTTCTGGTCCGAGCTGGAAGGCACCCCGAGGCGCTTTGGGATAAAATGGCGCGAAGGCTGGAAATCGGACAAGCAGGTCGTCCACACAGGATACTGGTCGCTCGTCGCTGCCGTCAATCGAGGTCTGTCTGCCCCGGCTTCCGCAATAGCCTAGGCCAACGTTTACTGGTATTTGTGCAGCTTTGGAAGCGGGCCTGCCAGTAACGGATCCCGAATTCTACTCTTCTCCTTCCCGCTGTCCCGATTCCATGGTCGCGCACATATTCCGTATGGCGGAACAGTCGGACGAAGGAATTCCTTTGCTATCCGAAAGAGTGTCCATTCTTCGTGAGAATGGGGATATCCTACGTTCGGTAGGTTGTTCTTTCTATCTCAAGACGCTCTGGCTCATCATAGATCTCGTCGATAGCAATTCGATGGGTCATTTTACGGTTTCGTCCAAGCGTTCCGCAAGAGGTACAATGACTGCGGCACTGCCCTCCAGCTCGTCCAGATGGTGACGGAGACGTTTCCTTCCTTTCGTGATGAGCATGTGTACAACGGCCGACGAGGTTTGGTTGACCCCCGCTTTCATCGTCACGCTGTTTTACTTAGCTCTCCCTCGCTCATGTACAGTGCGCATTGGAAACGCGCACAAATCCTCGTTGCCGAGACCTGGGCCGCACTCTACCCCGCATCTCCCTCCGACCGGCACCCAGTCTTCCCGTCCGGCCCGAAGATCCAAGAGCTAACGATGTTCGCCGACTACCGCGTCCCACAGATCCTCCTCCTCGAAGCCCATACCCCGCTGAAGAGTGGGTCGAAAGAAGAGCTGAGCATCCGGGTGGCCAGCATCGTTGGGGTCGAGAGGGTGAGAGAAGAGATCGTGAAGCTCGTCCGAGCGGAAAGTAGCGGCGGAGAGCAGGCCGAGGACGCAATCAGCAGCGTCGTCATTGACTTTTATCTCTGGGATCTGGCGAAGCGGGTTGAAGGATGTGCCGACGAGCTCGACGGGATTCAAACGGCGCCGATGGTTCCCGTACACAGGACTAGGTCAATTTGGTATTGAGCGCAACAGTGTGCATGCTGCACTCGGGCCAGCATGCTCAGTTTGCACTAGACATCCCACAGGACAAGACATACGATGCCGAACGGAATTATGGTCGCAATACTTAGATGGGTACAGCAATACAGGATTTGTCTTCGAACGTTACGCTCGCGTTGTGCTAGTCGGTCTCCGTGTGGTCGGTCGTGGTTTCATCGGTATGCGCCCTTTCAGGAGACGGAGGCCAACACTGCCATGGCGGCCTGCGCGAGCGCGCGCGCACAGGCGGGGTCGAGAGTACTGTCAAACCTTGACACCGAGCTTCGAACCTCTTGCGTCGTAGACTCTCGTAGTCGGGTCGTCCGGCTTGAACGTCACGTTCCGGAACAGGACAGGCTCGAGAGAATCCCGCCCCACTTGACTCCGAACCCTCCAGTATGCATATCCGCATCGAGCTCTCCTTGTCTGACACTTTCGCGAGCAGCCCGAATCCCCTCCGTGTGCCATCTTCTCACGGCCTACCCACTCTCGTGCGGAACCGTGCAGATACGTGCATGCGGTGGGCCCGCCTTCCAGTCTCTCCCTCCCTCGGGGTGAGCCTCCGTGCCTCAGTTCCTCTCGCCCCACACTCCGGCTCACTATCCACATCTTCACAGACTCCATCTCTGAATGTCTCAAAAACGCCCTCCATACCGTCGCCATTTTGAGTGCGTCGCGCTGAATGCCACACAGCGGCGAGTGTGGTGGTGCACACTATATTGTCCAGATATCGGGCCACAACTTGTGCACGCTCACAATTGGCGTGTCTCGCATCCACCTCCGCTGCATCCCACTAGTGGACGCATGTGAACACATCCTTAGCCGTGCGCCTGGACGTGCTTGCTTTCTGCCATTGTCTTGTACACGACCTCCCGCGCAACCGTACTAATGTCTGCGTCTGGCACACACATATATTTCGTAGTTGTGCCAAAATTAATTGGGTGATAAGCACTACCCTGTGTGATGTTCTGTGTATGCGTATTCATGAACTCCTGGACGTCCTAAAGCCCCCATTTGGATCCCTGAAATCCCTGAGATCCACGGAGTTTGGAAGTTACTGATGCGCCGCCCGCCCGGCGAGACTGTGAGATCTGGGATCTGAGGCCTAGGAGCCGGCCCGGTGGCGAAAAGCCACAACAACAGCAAATACTGGGCGTCATATTGGGAGAGCACGACCATATGCATGATCCACCTCAACACCACCCACGTCTTCCCCCTCCCTCTTTGTCGCTAGTCATGGACGAGTCTGCTGTGGCAGAGTTTGCCCCTGCTCCTTACATGTACGCCGCCATGCGTATCGATCCCGTCTCAATGGTCGAGCATCTACAAGACCCCATCGCCTCTGCAGCAGCAGCGCAGTTGCGTCAAAGACCTACCTGGTATATATCACCGAGGTGAGTGGCACCTGTAACTTGTGTATGGACACCCGTTCATGGAGCAACCCCACCACCAGTGGCTTGGTCTCCCGGTGCCTGGAGAGAGCCACTATTGCTATGTCGTCAGCTTCATCGGCAACGTCCTCCCACCTTTGGAAGAAGAGTTCTTTGTTGGACCGGAGACCTGTGTGCCCATCTTCCCGAACGACACCCATCCGGATAAGAGAGAGCCCATCCGTACTTATCCCACTCCGTTCCCCTTTCAAAACTGCTGCCACTGGCCCACTGAAGGGCTCGAAGTCCGGGTGAAGCCTCAAGCGACTGGATGGGACTCGAAGAGATCCTTTCGTCTTCGCGGGGAAGCCTTTGTACAACTTGGGGAATACTGGTCGTCAGACATGGCTCACGCACGTGAGCTCTATCGTCTGTACCTTGAGGGGTTGAAAGAGGAGGAGGAGAAAGAGGAAATCTTTGAGGTTAGGCTTGAGCCCGGGCTTGCCAAATGTCCTGCAGGTGTGTTCATCGTTGAAGTGTTACTGCACAACGATTGTTAATTGTTCACCATAGACCAGCCTTCGGATATGGACCAGGATCACCACACTGTGGACGACACCTCTGAGCCTCCGCTCCACGTCAAAGCATCCACAGCGCACCTGGGCGCCTGCGACTCAGCCCCTCACGTCCAGTCACCACAGCTCATGAATGAACCCGATCCGTTTCCCTCCTACCTATCGTCGACCTGTGGTACGAACTAGAGGAGCATCTTCATCAAGGATCAATAACACGTCCAGATGAGATCGAGAAGGAAGTGGAAGCCGTGCAGCGGTAAGTAGTCCTTGATCACCACCGTTCAGATGTCTAACGTTGGGTTCCAGTATCATTAGGGAGGCTCTGTTGCGTTCATCTACCATCCCTGACGGAGATGGCGAGGCAGACTCTGGAACAGAAAAAAGTCGTCTCTGAAGCGTAAGGACCACTCTCGATTGGACCGATTGATACTGACACCTTTGCGCATCCAGAGTGTCGGTCAAGGGATCGCACGAAACGCGCATATATGCGGCTTAGATAAGGACTTTTAGCATCGCGCTCCGTCGGAGAGGTTATCACACTTGTAGTCAATAGTAGCACGACAGTTCCGGTCTTCGCACCGCATGTAGCCCTAGCAATTTCAGTCCATGGTGTCGAAGAAGCTGCTTAGTGAGACCAGCCCTACGGAGCGTATACGCGACATTGCTTTCTTCGACCAGTGGGTCCATGGTACATGATGCGCTATGCTACAAAAGTTACACGAAAACGTTCGCGGAACAGGCGCCGATGCACGCATGAAGGTAGGGATTGATAGCAAGAGAACTGACTCATCGCATTGCGTAGCGTGCCACGGCACTGCAGTACGCGATACAGAAATCGGATACAGCGTACTGCACGCGTGCAGCCTGGGGCGACTAGCGCGAGGTATGGAGTCTACAACAATATGTCTCAGTGAACAATGATATCAGCGATAAACAGGAACCAGTAATAAAGGAAATACACAGGGCGACACATGCACCAGGCCGGCCGCCTCACAAAGCACTGAGAGGATCACCTCAGTTGTGGCGGCGACGGCGGTGCGCGCTGAACACCGAGCGCGGCATGTCCGCCCTGCGCCCGTTCGCGCCCCCGAATGCGACGTTCATCGCCGGCGCGGCGAGGTAGCCGTCGATGGCGCTGCGCGCGAGCTGCGTCTGTGTGTAATCCCACTCGGTGTAGCGCTGGATGGCGATCGCGTCCGTCTTGACGTCGAAGACGACCCCGTACGTGACTTTGCCGCTCTGCGGGCGCGCGAAGAAGTTCGCGCCGGAGCCGGTCGCGCCCTTGGGCGAGTAGATCTCCGAGATCGCGTGGGTGACGTCCTGGCCCGCGACGGTTTCGAGGATGTCGAGCTCGCCGCACCCGCCGGGGCCGACCCCGCGGCAGTTGCAGCCGTACTGGGCCGCGCGGACGATCTGCGCGTTCAGGGCCCAGATCGCGGGGACGTTGGCCGGGTTCGAGGAGGCGGGCATGTCGAAGGTCATCACGAACATCTTGCTCGCTGCCCAACCGTGGTTGGCGGTGCCACGAGAGAATCCGTCGCATGCCTCTTCGGCGCAGGAAGTGTTCGTGACAATGTTCTGTCTCGACGTCAGCCACGTAGGTACTGCACACGGATAGCGATTACGTACCACTTCCTGAGTCTCGGGCAGGAAACCGGGAGCAAGCTCGGCGTTGGGCGAGGAGGCAGCGTCAGTCCAGTCGCCGTTGGCATACGACTGACTGGCACCCGCGCAGACTGATTGAAAACGGTACGTTGGATACATGCGGTTATATGCGGGCAAGGTGAGGGAAATACGCACTAGACCACTCCCCACTCTTGGAGCCACCCTTGTTGTTCATGAACACCAAGTTGGACGGCTTCTTGTCCGCCGCCCATGAGCTGACCTGCTTCCAAGTCGACCCCGAGGAGTTGGTAGGTTGGAATACGGCGATATTGTAAAGGTTAAGTGGGCCGCGGAAGGCGATCGTCATCTCGTCATCAAATGGCGCGAGGTTTCCTGCGGGACAAGCGGGTCTACCTCAGTCTCGTTCCGCCAATCCCATCGCGACGGCGGTGTGCCATGTGGTCAGGATGCGCGCGTGTGCAATTTTCAAGACGAGGCGGCCTTCGCGCTCCGTCCGGCTCCGGAATCAGCGAGAAGTAGCGCTTCCCACTGCATCACCGGGCCCGCGCGACAACCAATCCACGCTTTGACGCCGCGCGGTGGCAACGGAAGCCGCGCAATAGCAAGAGTCGGTACTCACCGCTGATCTGCTTCGGGCTGGTGACGCAGAACGGGTTCGCGCTGCATGTCGGGAACGTCCCAGGGATGATGTCCGTGACCTGGTTGTACGAACCCGAGCCGCCGACCTTGGTGTACTTGATGGCAGAAAGCGAGCCAGAGGTCGAAGCTGCGACGAGGTTGGAGGGCGTGAGCTGCGCGCGGACGGCCGACGCGAGGGCGAGGGCGGCGGTGATGCTTGCGAAGATCATGGTGGATGTGTGCAGGGGCAAAAGAGGGTGTTGGTCTTGAAGGATCGTTGAGGGAACGAATGTCTTCACTTAAAGAGTGTGGGTGTGCGGCCGAGCAGCACGCACGTGCGGGGGGAGGGCGGAGAGGAGGGAGGGAGAGGGAAGGCGGCGGTGGGCGACTTGAAGGTCGTGGTCGATGAACAAGAAGTTCGAACGGCAGCAATCCGCCCTCGCGATCTTTTCATAGCTCTCTCCGGCGTTCCCAGCAGCGCCGAGCTGACAGCACGAGGGCCCACGCTTGGCTCCACAACGCACACGCTGGGGTTGATAGCGGCTTGCCATCTTGGGCACAGTGAGACCGGAGTCCTATTGTCGTTAAGAGGGTTTCCAAAAGACCTCGTTTAAACTCGGAGTGTATAAGCGGCAGCAACAACACTCGTCGCTGGGACTATAGGTTTCCAACGGCTCGGAGAGTACCGACCTGCAGTGGCTGTTGCTTGCCGTCATCTGAAAGCGGGTCCAGTGCCCGAAACAACAACACCATCGTCAGTCAGTGCATGACAGATACAAGTCAAAGTGGTACAGACGTACCGCATGTATCGAATGAGACTTGGTATATGGATCTACCAGGGGCATGAACACGAGCCAAAAAGGGTTCATCGTGGTCGAGGACAAACAGTGGGCCGTGGAACATAGTAAGCGCCTAGCATTGGCGACTACATGGCGACGTGAACAGAAACAGCATTCGTCGGACAGCATGCATTGGGTGCATGAACAGTGCGCCACACACATGGTTTGCATTTGCATGGTCGTATGGCATTGGAACGTATGCATACAGAATGTAGTGTCATGGGGAAAGCGGCTGGTGGCACTAATGGCTCAGAGTACATAGCGTGGGTGTAGCGAAGGGCAGACGACAGTAAGCAGACAACGGCCGTTTAGATGAAGCCGATCTGAACATATTGCATGAGCACGACAATCGCAACATATGCGCGAGGTCCACGCACCTTGTTCGCCACGTCCAGCGCGTCGTGGTCGGCTGTCAACCGGACGTACGCCTTCTTTTTGCCGTCAGGACTATGAACATACGTCAATTTGAGCACGGAGATAGCATAGCGTAGCAACAGACGCACCGGATGAGAGTGTTGACCTTCGCCGCCTGGACGTCGTAGAGCTTCTTAACGGCGTCCTTGATTTGACGCTTGTTCGCCCGGATGTCAGTGATGAAGACGAGAGTGTTGTGCTCCTCGATCTTCTTCATTGCCGACTCCGTGTTCAGTGGCCTGGCCGCCGGACGATTGTAAGGACCCGCTCTGCGCAGTAAATGGAAGGCATGTGCTCACGAGACGATCGTCCTGAATTGGTCCATACGGGGAGCATGGGGGATAGACTTGCGCGGGTACTTGGGCGCACGAGGAAGGCGGAGGGTCTTGGGGCGGTGGAAGGAGACAGAGGTGCGCACTTTGCGCGCAGAGTGGGCGTGCGTGCCATGGAGTGCAGCCTTTTTCGCGGACTTGGCCTTCGCGGCCTTCGCATCCTTCGCGTTGCCTATCGACCATGCGGTCGTTGAGACGTGCGGACAAAAAGCAGGCAGCCGTGAACGTACCCTTCGCCGCAGTCTTACCCTTCGCAGTCTTGGTGGGGGCCATTGTTGACGGAGTGTGTCTGAGGACAGAAAATAAGCGGTTGTAATGGTAAATCTCGGTGATGGTCCTGGGACGAGGCTTGTTGCTTGCGGACTGGCGTCCTTAATCCCTCTGTTTCCACAACAAAAATCCATAGGGACGTGTAGACCCGCGTTGTTCCTGAGTATGCGTGGACGGTCGTTTCGCCTTCCTGGCGTCATCCTCAAGCCCGCCCGGCCATCCAGCCCATTCCCCGCCAAACCTTCCAAAGCAACTCCTTCCAACGTGTATGAAGCTCGTCCCAGGACCAATTCCAAGCGATTCTGATGCATAAAGAGGGATACTCACCTTGAGGATGCCGCCTGCGATGTGGATGACAGCCTTTCGGCCAGGGCGCGTTGTCGGGATGTGTGACTGTGACAGGCGCTCATTGGTTCCGTCACGTACTGTCACAACACCGAATCACCGATGACGTTGCCGGTGGTCGCGCGGGCCGCCTGGAAGCGAACGCCGCGACCTGCCGCGACTGTCCAGACGTCCAGGACTCCAGCCTCGCTCCAGCCAGCATTAGGAGCGCAACGGCTTCCTCTCTCCACTGCGTGCTGCCCTCGCTATTCTCTACTGGTACGACGTCTTTCGTCGTCATATTCTCCTGGCCTAGCCCTGCATATTCCACGGCGAGCTAGAAGACTTCGCCATGCGGTTGAGTGCCGGAGCCTTGCTCCGCTTCTCAACATCCCAAATAACCACTCTTGTCGTCGTCCTCTACGCAGCTGTATTTATCAACGTACTCAATTTCGACAATTTGCCATCTATCCCCCGGGATACTAAGGGTTTGAACTTGGAGACGGCGTATGCGGCGTTGAACAAGGTATGTTGCGCTTTGCTTGTCAGCTACGTTGCTCGGCGATGTATGTGTGCGGTTGCTCGCTTGACCTCGTCACCACGTCAAGCCGTTCATGTGGAAGTGGGCGGGTATTCTCCACGTGCTGAAACTGCTGTTTTGAGGTCACTCTTCGGCCTCGTCCTTTCATTTCCCATGCAAATGACGAAGTCCGTGCATACATCCTCGATCGTCTCTCTCCCCTCGCGGCGAAACACGAACATGTGCACCTTTCCAACGACTTGAATTCCAACGTCACCTTCTCGCCTTCCAGAAACTACACGGTGTATTTTGAGGCCAACAACGTTCTCCTCAAGATCGATGGCACCCATCCCTCGTCTGATGGTGTTCTTTTCTCCTGTCACTTTGACTCAGTTTCGACGGCCCCTGGTGCCACCGACGACGGGATGGGTTTAGCCACACTCTTGGAGCTTTCCGAGTTTTATTCTCGGCAGCGCCCGCGACGAACAGCTATCTTCTTCTTCAATAACGGCGAGGAGGACTTCTTGAACGGCGCTCATGCCTTCTACGAGCATCCTTGGTCCAACCTTACCTCTACTTTTGTCAATTTGGAGGGTGCAGCTTCCGGCGGGTCAGTGTCTGTGAACTCGTAACCCAACTCCTGCGGCTGATAGCCCTGTGCATTCAGACGGCCCCTCGTGTTCCGTAGTACCGGATATGGAGCAGCACGTAGTGTTGCGGGCAATGGGGTGACACATCCTCACGGTAACTCTCTGACATCAGACGCCTTCTCCCTTGGGTTCATTCGCAGCGCAACCGACTATGAAATATACGCTCGTGGACTCAAAGGCAAGATCCCGGGAATGCAAGGCGTCGACTTCGCTTTCTACAAGAATCGTGCGTATTATCACACTCCGCGCGACTCCATCGCGGGTATGGGGGAAGGGCAAGGCCGCAAGGCACTCTGGGCGATGATGGAGACAACACTTGGAGTGGGAGATGCTATGCTGAACGATGCAACGCCTAGCGTCGACGCTCGGCCGTCGGTCTACTTAGATCGTAAGTGAATGCATCGTTCGACTGCTCTCGCGCATCACTAATCAGCGGGTTAGTGTTTGGTCGGACCTTGCTCATTGTCCCAATGAGTGCGTTGTATGCGTTCAACGTCGTTCTCCTCGTGGTCGGGCCCATCGTTTTGATCGCGTTAATTGCATGGGTCATGCTTGTCGCCAAAGAGCAGTCAAGTCAGTCCTGTCGGCACTTCTCGTCGTGTTTTAGACTGACTCTAGGTGCTAGCCGAAGAATTTGCACCACATTATCAAGGAGCACGAGGGAAGCTCAAGCTGGTCGTCAAAGCTGTGGCAGGCTGGGAACGCTTCTGGATTGCCCTTGTTATCTGTGCACTGGTGCACGCGGGGGTGATCACAGGGTTTCTATGCCTTAATCCCTTGGTGAGTCCATGTGATCACATCTTGCCGCTAAAACTCACCGCTCTATAGATCGTCCACTCCCGAGCCTATGCTGTCATGACGGCGTTCCTCGCCATCTCGTACCTAACGCTGGTTACCCCTCTTCAAGTCCTTCACTACTTGATTCCCCCCACATTCGTTTCACAGAAGCTTGCAGTCATCATCTCCCTGTCTGCATTCAGCTGGCTTCTCCTTCTCGCTTCAACAGTGGCTATCGCCCGACTTAGCATCGGGTCGTTGTACCTCGCAACCTTCCTGTATCTTGGTGCTTGGCTCGCAGGCATCCTTGAACTCCTCCGCGCTGTTGGCCGACGTGATCCAGGGAACGAACTCGGTCATCGCAGTGAGTTGTTCACTTCTCCAACGGAGCAGAATGCGTCTTTGGAGGGGGAGGTCCCCAGTCGCCGACAGGTGCACGGAGTCATGTACACGGCGCCCACCGCAGAAGACCATTCCGCTGATCAAATTCAAGACGGTCAAGAGGTTGAAACGGACCCCACCGAGATCACCCCTCTTATGCATCAACATCGTCGCACAACTCAAGGCGGCCACGAATACATCACGCTCGATGCGCCTGGCAGCTTAAAGTCCACCAATCAGCCGGCTGAAGAATACGGGTGGTGGATCTTGCAGCTGATATTCCTCGTGCCGATGAACGCCATCGTGTTGTTCCAACTCGAGACCTTGCTTTTGAATGCCATGATGCACACTCTGGTGGACGGCAGCCCCGCCCTGACACGTGCGTCCTCGGCTTGTTTTTTGGCGTGTTGTGATATTCACGCAACATCTCGACAGTGTACCTGATGCTGGCGGTTTTCTCCAGCCTGACATTTGTCCCTATCATGCCTTTTGCACACAAGCTCTCGAGAAGTCTCAACACGATTCTATTTGCCCTCTTCATCGTGCTTGTATTCGTTTGCTGGACCGCCTTCCCCTTCACCCTCGAGTGGCCCTTCCGCGTCTACTTCCAGCAGTCCGTTGAATTGACCCCGTCATCCGGCTATTCTTCCGGCACCAGCATCGTCCGTGCCAGTACGGCGCTCACCGGCCTCGACGGATACATCAATCGCTTCATCACTCCAACCATCCCGTCCTCTCACACCTCGGAGAACAACCTGACTTGCGATCCACAGGGGTTGCGACCTGACCTCATGACTTGCTCCTGGTTCACCGACCTATACCCATCCCCTGGCAACTCCACCCTTTCACTCCTCCCTCACCCCAATCACAAGTACCTCGACGTGCACACCTCCCGCTTGAACGACACGCGCGCGCTCATACGCGTGCGCGGCACGAATACCCGCGGCTGCCGTCTCTACCTCGACCGCCCGATAACATTTTTCCACGTCCACCCGCGCGACCGCCGCGCCCCTGCTACGCCATCGCCGTGGGGCACGATGCGTATGCAAGGCGGGTACGAGATCCCTGCGGGCGGCATACGCGAGGCACGGCTGTGGAGCCGGGAGTGGGGCCAGGAGTTCGTCGTCGAGGTCGGATGGGAGTCCGACGACGCGCTGCCGAACGACGGGGCGATCACAGGCCGCGCGGCGTGCGAGTATGCCGAGTACGCGAGTGCGGGCGTCGGCGTACCGGAAGGCTCGGGGCGCATTCCTGCGTTCGAGGAGGTGAAGGCCTTCCTCCCGTTGTGGGCGCTGCCCACGAAGACCGCCGACGGGCTCGCAGAGGTGTGGATGCGCTTCTCCACGTGAGGCCGCTCGGCTGTGCTCGTGGCGAAGATGCTTGCATGTATGATTGGTGAGTGGACGCACGCTGAGCCAGGCACGGATGAGCGCTGACGAGACCATTTGGTTTGTCTAGGTTCCGTGCTTGATTGACTGTGGAGTCCATTGAACATTCGTTCCGAGCTTTGTTTTGTCGTCGCTTTCGCACACAGTACCGGTTCAAAGCATTTTATATGTGATCGGCGGACCCGTTCCGACGCCACAGCCGCCAGTGCTGGCGGCTCCTTGCAACCGCCGAAATAGTAAGTATGCCGCCGTTGTTGTGAGCTTTGGTGTCTTTAGTGCCGTTAATATTGCCAATCTCTTTGATACATGCATCGTGGCAACATGGAACGAGGTCGCTGTCGATATGTCTGAGTATTATGCTAGTCAGGCCGCCTATCGATTCAGAGTCTAGACCATATCCGAATTTAAACTCCGATAGGGACGCAATAGGGTGGATTGAAAAACAATTCAAATCTGGCAGGCCTTATGGGGTGCGCACCCCAGAAGTTGAGACAGCATCACCTCCTCGGCGCCATCATCAAATCTGCGACATATGCATATGTGCCCACCATCATCTGCACCACAAGGGTCTAGAATCAGCGGGAGTGCTGGATCTTGCGAGCTTCCTCATATGTACAGGTTCAAACGTCTCAGGGACGCAGGATTGGTTTAGCAAGGTATCACACCTGGTGGATATCCGAAGCAGGCGAGGAAGGCGGTTGCGGGCAGTGAACAGCGCATCCCCGACTCAGGACTATATCCGCATCGTGGGGCGCAGGTGCGCTTCTCTTCTTTCCCTTCCCTCTCGGCTTTCCCGTGCTCTTGGCCGGGGTTTTCCCTGCCCGCTCTCTTTTCTCTCCAAGTCTCACTCCTTGCTCCCAGTTTTGGCCTCCACTCCTTCACACATTGTTTGCACCATGGTGAGTGTTGACACCCTCAGACGGGGTCGCGAGTGCGCTGACCGCGAGTCCCCGTCTATCTCCGATACTGGCAGGTCTCTACGGGATGGCGCACAGCCGGTACCGTCATCATTATTATTGTCGGCGCCGCCCTCCTCACTTTCGCCGTCTTCATCTATCGGAGGCAAAAGATACGACGCCAATTCCCGAAGTATACGGCAACGCAGCAGCGGCATATGGCTTCTTTCGCTCAAGATCCCGAGTCGCACATGCCCCTTCTCAATGGCCCCGGAGAGGGCCTTCCGCCGCTGCCGCCACTGCCGCCAAAGCACGAGAAGTTCGGACACGAGAGGGAATTGTCGGGAGGGAACGTACTGGATGACATGGGCTACCGGGTGCGAAATCCCCCATCACGTGTCCCCGTCCCTCCCATGTTCCCCATTCCCGAGCCTGCAATCAATATTACACCGGAGGAGAGCTCGCCTACGAAAGCGTCCTCGCCTTGGTCACCCTCATTCTCTGGCATCTCGTTTCCGCGAATAGAGTTCAAGCAGAAAGGCCGGATACCGTCCCTACGCATCCAGTTCCTCCGCGAGTCCAACCAGATCATCTCGTCCCCCGCCATGGAGCAGTTCGAGCCGTCGACGCGCATCACCCCCATCTCGAGCACAAAATCGCGGCCGGTGAGCCACAACCGTCCGTTCGCGAACATGGCGCTCCCCCCGCTCCCCCTGGTCAGGCCCATGTCCCCTATTTCCATCTCTCGTCAGTCGGCAACAACAGCGGACGAGAGCATATCAAGTCCGCCGTACGATGCAGCCCCGGACCGAGGACAGCAAGCGCAAGCGCAGTCCCCGACAAGTCTCTACCCCGGGCCATCGCACGCTCGGGTGGATTCCACAGCAAGCATACAGACGATCGGTAAGGGGCTCTTCTCGCGCAAGCTCTCCGCCGAAGACGCCTCTTTCCAAACCCTTTCGCGCAACTCTTCAGCTCAGGCGACCGGGAGTGGGAGTGAGAGCACCACGAGCAGTGGCCGCCCGCTCTCGGAACCCATGGCCAGCTCCATCCGACGCAACTTCTCCATCACCTCCCTCGGCGGTGGCTCGTCTGTGGCCGCCGGCCCTGCCACGCGGATGGGCGGTGCGCCTTTGCGGCGCTCGACCACATGGGTACCCAACATCCTTGCCAGCTACTCCCCCTGGCGCGCCCTCGTCCAGCCTGGGGACGGTGAGGCGGACAGCGAGCAAACAGGCCCGGAGTCGCCACCAGGTTACATCCGCTCTGCAGACGCATACCGACCGATGCCGACCGTGGAGGAGAGCGCAGAGGGCCCCCCGCCCGTGCCTTTCCCCACCGCTCATCCCGCGCCCGGCCCCTCAGCACGCCCACACCGGGACTACCTGAGCGGCATGCTCCACCAGGCCAACGTGTCGCCCCAGTCGATCGCAGTCACCCTGCCTAGCCTGTCGACAGTGTCGTTACGGGCGTCGGTGGCGGAGTCGTCTGTCCCGCCGACGCTGCCGCCAAAACCGTCGTCGCCTACGGTGTTCGAGGCCCCGCTGCTCCCGCTGCCGTCGTACCCGGATGCATACGTGTCATCACCGCCGGCGTTCCCACAGCCCGATGTAGGTGGATCTTCACCGCCTTACCCACCAGGCTCTGCGTGAACTTCGTGGACGGGTGAGACCGGGGTCGGTGCCATACGGACTGAGAGTAGAATACTTGTGATTGGCACCCCAGAGGTCAATCTCTGGCCCCAGTGCTATGGACATTCGTTGTAATTTGTATGTCACAAGATTGCGTAATTTTCTTCTTGCATTAGTTACCACATATGGCCTGTACCCGTTGAGTCTCGAGTGAACACAAGCTGACAAGCAGGTATGTAAGGTGTCTGCCTAGTTGTTTCTCCGAGAATGCCGGACGAGAGCGCGCAGTGCGTCACCGCCCGCGGACGCGTGTGGCAGCATCAGCTCGCTCCTGCATCGACCTTCCTCCACATCGTCTCTCTCCCCTTCACCCCTTGGTTTTTGGCTTCCATCCGTCGTATCCTGCACTGGTGTCTACACTCTTTCCCAAGCAAAAGGGTGCCTTGAATGGTTCTAGCAATTGTCTACAGCGCGGTCACCACCGTACTCCCGTTCAAGTACTGGCCTCATGCGGCTGTCGGTACGGCAGTCCTAGTGGTTCTCTATGCGTATGCACAGGGCAGGACGACGAATAGAGAACGTGACCTGCACGCCAGAGTAATAGTTCTGACGGTGAGTATTTTGACGGTCGGTTGTATGCATTGGCTTTTAGGGAAGGAGAAGTCGACGTCCTTTTGGATCCTCCCTCGTGCTGCTTCATCATGAGGCTTTGCTAGATTTGTGCTATATCAGGCCGTTCTAGACGGGTTTCTCAGACGTTTTTCCTGAGAAGGGCAGGTGTATGTGGAGGTGATGGAGAAGGGTACACTTTCTCGACAACTGAGGAATCCGCTCACTCGTCCCCTTCACTCTTCATAGTCTTCCGAGAAAAAACAGCATGCTCACATTTCTCTAGGGTGCATTCAACCCTCTAGGTCTTGTAGCACTTGCTGCACTGGCAAAACGGGGTGCAACTGTCATTGCCCTGTCTCCCTATCCTTTGGACCACCCGGTTCCTTCTCTTCTCCTCCCTCTCCTCCGTTCCACGACCAACAACGACAGCATTTACGCTGAACCCTGCGATTTGAATTCTGCGACTTCGATACGCAAGTTCTGCACAACTTTCCTCACGGGAAACGACACACGAATCGACGCTATTGTACTCGCCCATGAATACACGAGCATCGGTCGGATATGGTTCTTTGGAGGCCAGGCACAGAAAGACAAGGAGAAACGTGAAGAGGAGCAGCGCGAGTCGACCTCTCTCTCCTCTTTCCTTCTCATCACCCTCCTGCTCCCTGCTCTCCTTGTCGCGCCTGTCGAGCGGGACGTCCGTATCATCTCCATCGTAAATCCCTTCTATGCTGCGGCCCTTCCGACATTCCCTGCCTTCCTCAACTCCACCGCAACATCCCCCGCACATACATCCACTCTCCTCTCAGCTGAAGGTCTTCGGTCATTGCGTACCGTAATCCTTACCCGACACCTCCAGCGGATCCTGGATTCGCTACCCAACCGCGCGTCCGACGCCCAGTCCAACGGACCCCCCGCTTCATCATCTTCAAAGGAGACCCCGCCCTTGCCCCCTCCTCACCCGTCCAACATTCTGTCAGTAACTGCGTGCCCAGGCATGTCCCGGCGGGACATAGTGGCGCCACTCGTCGGCACCGGTGAACGTGGCTGGTCGCTCGCCTACCTCGTCCTCGTCCCCTTCCTCCTCTTCCTCACCAAGTCGTCGAACGCCGCGATCCAGACGCTCCTTCACGTGCTCTTCCTCCCGACCCCGCTCAAGCGGATGCAGGCCAAGGTGGACCTCGCCGCGGACGAGGAAGCGCGCAAGGCCGAGGAGGCGGCGGCGCGCAAGGCGCGCGCAGAAGACGGGGAGGACGCCGCGGCCCCTGCGAGCGAACCGGGGGCGAAGGACGCGAAGCGCGGGCCGCCGAGGGTGGGGAACGTGGAGGTGCTCAAGCCGGGCGCGCTGTACCGTGAGTGCGCGATCGTCCGGCTTGACGTTCCGGTTCCACCGCGGCCGGTCGTGGAGGAGAATGAGCCCAAGAGCAAGGCTGACGGCAAGAAGGGCAAGGCCGCCGAGGCAGAGATCCCGCTGGAGGACGACGGCGAATTTGGTGGAGAGGCGGTCGGGCGTGCGGTCTGGGAGTGGTACGAGGTGCGGTTGAAAGATTGGGAGGCGCGAGACAAGGAGCGCGTGAAGGCGGAAGAGGAGGCGGTAGCGAAGGAGAAGGCGGAGGCGGAAGCTGAGGCGAACGCCTCGGCACCCGCTGGCCCGACTGTGGTGGTGACCGAGGCGGACGACACACCCACTGCGAACACATAGCACACGGTATGTTGCCATCTACTCTTGAATGCATCGTCATGAACGCCGTGTAGGCTTTGTGAGGACGTGGCGGCGATCGCAGCTTGGCCCTTGATGTCCGTGTCTCGCCCTGCCTGGCCGCCACCGGGTACGAGCTGGTACGAGCCGTGTGCGATGTCGGATGCGGAGGACGGGCCTAGCACGGATCGCAGTCGTCTCCAGGCTGATGCGGATTTGGTTGCTTTGATGACCGCCTCTGAGCCGCGCCGTGCCTTCAAAAGCTCGCGCATGGCGTTGTCGCTCGCTGGTTCACTCCCTCGTTCACTCGCACCCGGTCCCTGGTTGGGCTTCACGACTCTTCGTATCTTCTTCACCGTTTTTGTTTCTTCTTCGCCCGACAGCTTGACGCCGTCCCATTCGACTTCCTCGCATCGCACTTTTATCGTTCCTTTCCACGCCTTTCAATCCCAGCCATGCGTCTCTCCACCACCTTCGTCGCGCTCGCTGCGTGTGTCTACAGCACATCCGCGCAGACGCTCGCGGCGGCAACGTCGACCTCCGGCTCGCTCTCTGGCCTCAAGTACACGAAGGTCGGGAGCACGGGAACGTACAACCAGGTGACGAACATGATCCCGGGAAACTTCCCGAACTGCGACGCGAACCCGTCGTGCATCACCGCTCCGAAGCAGATCAGCGGTGCGTGCGCAGGTCTTGATGAATGCGTTTGATGGCGGCGCTCTGACTTGAACTGCCATGCTGTACTCCTTCTCGCCTTCCCTGGCCCACCATTCACGCTCGTCTCGCTCACACGGCACGGTCCCGCGATGCTGCAGGCAACCTCGCTCCTTTTAACGAAGAAATGACGTTCAACTTCCGCGGGCCGATGAACCTGTTCAACATCGCCGTCTACCAGCCTGACGCGGCCGGCGCGACATGGAACCAGGTCAGCTCGTGGGCCGCAGGCCAGGCCCCGAACAACCTCGTCTTCATGAACAACAAGGGTGGCGGAGCGAGCGGCGAGTTCTCCAGTGCGTCTTTCCTCCCGCACGATCGGAGCGCTGCCTTGAATGTATGATGCATTGGTTGGTGTGCTGACACGAGTTCCCATCGCGCAGTCTGCCACGGGAACAGCCAGTCGTTCGCCAACGGCGCCTTCACGGACGCCGTCGCCACCGCCAACGCAGAAATCTACCCGGGCAACCTCCCCGGCGGTGCCGAAGTCGTCAGTCTCTCGTTTGCCCTCACGCTGGCCCGGTGCATTCACTCACCGCCCACCGCCCCATTCCAGAACATCATGACCGGCGAGACCTGCGCCTCGCGCGCGTGCGACGGCTTCTCGCGCGGCACCGCCAACCACGGCTGGGTCGACTCCAAGCTCCTCGTCGTCTCCTTCAACATGCCCCCCTCCGCCGACGCGTCCCAGGTGCCCGCGATCTGGGCGCTCAACGCCCAGGTCGCGCGCACGGCCGAGTACGGCTGCAACTGCCGCGGGGTCGGCTCCCCCGGCGGCTGCGGCGAGCTCGACATCCTCGAGGTCCTCCTCGGCGCGGACGCGGACCGGGGGATCTCCGAGATCTACGCCGTCAAGGGCGCGACGGGCTCCGGCTCGGCCGACTTCTTCGCGCGCCCGACGGGCGACCGCGTCACGTACGGCGTCCTCTTCGACGTCGCGTCGGACCAGATCGCGATCCAGCTGTTCGACGCGTTCGACTTCGCGCAGGGGAGCGTCGCGCGGGGCGCGGTGGACGCGATCCTGAACGCGCCCGCGCTCGAGGTCAGCTTCGCGACCGGCGCGCGCAAGCGGGGGGTCGTGGGCGGCAAGCCGCGGGGGAACCACATGCACTAGTAGCTCGGACGTTGTGTGATGTAGTCGGTGCTTGATGGATCTGCGTCTGCGGTTCGTGCGTTGCGAGGCGTGCCGGATCTTCGACCGCAAGAGTGTCCTCGTTTGCGCTTCACCGCCCAAAAATGTAGCGCCATGATGGACATTTGATCAAGCGGAATGCAGAAGTCCCAAATGCCGAACTTGAACGGGATGATCACCCCGCTGGCATCGCAGATCACGCACAAGCGCGCGCGGCGTTCGCATGAGGAAAGAAAAGAAAGCGACAATAAGTAATGTCCGAGTCGTACGGTACAAAAGATCCACGTTGATATTCTAAAAGTCCAATCGCGCGCCCCCGCCACTGCGGCCGCCCTCCGAACTGCCGCACCACGCGACCCGCTCAGTCGCTGTACCGCAGCTGCGCCCGCTCCGAGTCCTCGTCGCCCTGCTGCATCTTGAGCGGACGCGCGCCGACGGGCGCGTACCGGCCCGGCGCACTCTGGCTCTGCGAGCGCATGCACATCGTGAGCGTGAGGCCGAGCAGCGCGACGCCGACGGCGAGGTTCGCGCCGAGGAGCGCGAGCGCGATCGTGCCGTACTTTGCGCCCCAGCTGTCGGTGCTCCCGGACGAGGACGAGGGGGAGTTCTCGAAGGCGCCGGCGATGGAGGGGGAGGAGGTGGATGAGGCGGCGTCGGTGGTGGTAGTGGTGGTGGTGTTGGAGGGGTCGGAGGAGGCGAGCTTCGAGACCGTCGCGATGTCGCCGAGGGGCGGGAGCAGCGCGAGGGCGGCGGTGCGGTTCGCGACGAACTCGGCTTGCATCGTGGAGCCGTCGGTGGTGGGAAGGAGCTGGACGAAGGGGCCCTGGCCGTCAAAGGTCGTGTTCGGTTGGTAGTTGCCGTAGTTGTACCTGTGGAGGGAAGCGAAGGGATGATCAGGCGATGGCCAGGGGATGTGACGCCCGAGGATTGACGTACGAGGCGTATACGTTGCGGAGGAAAGAGTCCCCTAGGATGAGGTCGAAGCCGACGAACTCGGTGGGGTCGAGGGTCAGTCCTTGGAATGAGCCTAAGCATCCCGTGATGTTTCCAGAGGGGGTGGAGAAGACGGTGGTCAACGTCAGGTCGAGCGGGTGCACCGGGATGTCCTGTCCGCTAGCGAAACTTCGTCAGCACCTAATTCTGCCACAGCGTACAGCTTGGAGAGGACGACGCACCTAAAAGTGAACACCACGGTCGGCGCCGCGTCACAAGGCACTGCCCAAAAGGGTTCGGAGTAAACCGCGCCCGGGATAGACTCGTAGATCGCGTTCGCGGCGGCAATCGGTATTTGCGAGAGGGAGAAGCCAGTGTCGAGCACTGCAGCGACCTTCCCTGTGGGAACTCCAAGTACTCGCGAGGCGTTGAAAGCGAACGGCGTGCCATTGACCGTCATGCTGTCCATGGCAAGACTCCAGTGCTGAGAAGTAAGGCTTCGGAGCATCGGAGCAGAAGTGATGTTCTGGAAGGCATCGTCGTGTTGGGAGATCAGGAATACACCTTCGGCAACGTCGTTAGAATCGGGGGACACTACCCGCGCGAGCTGCACATCGAAGAAGTTGGGGGTCGTAGGGTCGAGCGCAAAGAGGTTGGTGATCGGCGAGCGCGCGAGAGCGTCGGCCGCTTCCGTGCCCCAGTTTTTCTGCACGACAGGGTAAATGATTGCAGTGTCGAACGCCATGCCGAGGAGACCGTCGAAACTGGTCATAGGCATGTCCTTGATCTCGACGGCGTTTACGAAAGCTGAGAAGCCGTGGTGAGGATAACAGCGCAGAGTTGACGAAGAGCCTATGTGCTCACCTTGGTTGGGAACGGAGAAGTCGCCGATAGTCATATCGGCAAACGAAAGCCATCCCGATACGCTGCCCATCCCGTAACCCTCTGTGATGTTGAGATCGGTTGTATTGGTGAACTGCAAGTTGCGCCCGGTGGTGTTCAACCAGAGGTCGCTTGATCCGGTGTCGAGTTGGACAACGAAGGCTAGGGACGTGCGTAAGGATGATGGTATGGACAGAGCATAGACGGCCGCGTTGTGTCTCACATTCACCACCGAGAGTAATATTGACTGTGTACTGGAGCAATGACGAATGATCAGAAGGTACAAAAACAGCGACGATACTTGATGACGCTCACAATGTTATTGGTTTTGGTGGAGATTACATCGCTCAATCCTGCGGCAGAAGTGGAGACACGGAAGCCGGAGGAAGCAGCGCGGGCGGCGTTCGCGTAAAGAAAAACTGAGAGTAGAGCATTGAAAGTCAACATGATTAAGGAAGAAAGAGTAGGGTGGGGGCAGATGCCAGAGACACTGGAGCTGCTGCTCATATACCTTGGCATCATTGTGACTGATCCATCGACATCAGCAAACGCGGCAATCGAGATCCGGAGACAAGCTCTGCCTCGCGCCATCAGCGTGGGGCGGTGGCAGACGGTGACCAGGGCGTGTTTCGTTGCGGTGCGACAACCTGGAAAAGTGCAATTCAGGACCCCGGACGGCGACAACGACGGGCGGCTATGCCGGCACATGGCCACATTGGCCGTTTCCATCTGGGGCGTCTCCAGCGCTCCCTCCAGCCAGGCGAGAGACATCGCGGTGCAAAGCGGACGGACTGTGACGGCAATGGTCTTTGAACCACACGCAGCAAGCAACGTCAAGATGCGGAATGTCATGTGGGCGAGTGGAGCGGCCGTGGCTGCTTACCGCAATATAGAGAAGCGAGCCCAATGTCCGATCGGAGCCATGGCCTATCGGGAGCGTAGGTGTGAGGGGCATGAACGATCGGGTAGGAGACGACGGTGGCCGTGGCCAGCCTTCTCACACGAGCCTCACCCTAGCTCACCCTGCGTACTGCCACCTGTGCACTGCCTGTGTGCACGCGGACGTGCGTGTCCGATTTTGCAAGTTTAGCGTTTTTCTCTCGGCGGGGTAGAGGCTGACAACCAATTGCAGGGAAGTGAAGCTTCAAGTCCCGGAGGAGCGACAGAAGTTACAGACCCCTGCATGCGACACATGTTGGACTGCCCAGTGCGCGCACACGGCGAGGACTCTGATTTGAAGACGGCCACGCTGATGCCGCGTGTGTTCCCCGCGGGTGGCAAAGGCTGGCGATCCCCCGAACCTGGGGGCAGTGCTGGCAATCGATCTCTCGAGCCTATCCCGTTCTGGAACACGTCCAGGCGGGACGACCCGACTACGACGCAGTACGGAGGAGCGTACTTGTCGGTTGTTCTAGACACAACGTTCGAAGTATGGTCCCTACATAAAGCTTAGAGACCTCTTGAGAGGACTCATGAAACTGCCTCTGAACAGTCGATCACTTATCATACGGCCCCCATCGCAATCGCAGAACGAGAACGAGCACGCGACAGTGGGCCGACTCCAAGCTCCTCGTCGTCTCCTTCCCGCCTCCGCCAACACGGCGTCCTGGCAGGTGCCCGCGATCTGGGCGCTCAACACGCAGGTCGCGCGTACGGACAGCGACATCATACCTGCACGCATCTAGCTATCCACCTGCGATTTCAGATCTCAGCAGCTCTCATTTACAGCTATCTTATGCAGAAGTTAGCAGATCAATTGAACATTTGTATATGTTCCAATATTGCACGCATTTTGGGGGGTGTGAGGGCTCTGTGCAGGCACACCCAGCCAACTGTAGCTATTTCATTTTCATTGTGCACCATTATGTGCGCATTTTAAATAAAAGCAGATGGCAAAACAAATGGAGGGAAACGGATGGGAGGGCAGGGCAGGACGGAGGAACAGCGAGCTCGCTGTCGGGAGCGACGACTCGGCCGCGGTAGCGGAGCAGTGGCAGAGCCAGTATAAAGGGTGTGGTTGTTAACTGTATGCGCTTGTTCGACTCCGGCTCAACGTGTTTGTATTTTGGTTGGCAGTAGTCTCCGGCGCCAGCTGGAGTCACTTCAAGCGCCACCAATTTCCCTGAGGGAAATTGGTGTCCGTTGGGCGAACGGTACAAATGTACGTATATTCACGTACTTAATTACATACATGAGATCGCGCTCCAGCGGTTCGACGCGTTCAACGTTCAACTTTGGGACCGGCGCGCGCAAGTGGGGGGTCGTGGGCGGGAAGCCTGGCGGGAACTGGCATAGTATGCACTAGCTCGGACGTCTATGTACAGCAGTTGGTGCTTAGATCATCATAATGGGTCGGTTTGCGTGTGGATACACGGGTTGCGAAGCGTGCCAGATCTTCGACGGCAAAGAGTGTCTTTGTACGATCGTCCGGGCGCAGCACGAGTTTCATGAGGCTGGAGCTCCATCTTTGCGCCTCACGGTCCAGGAATATAGCGCCATGACGGACATTCGAGCAGAACGGGTGGCCAATCGCGCTGGTTATCGAACATGAACAGGATGATTACCCCGCTGGCATCGCAGAATCCAGAGCACGCACGAGCGCGTGCAGCGTTGGCATGAGGGAAGAACAGAAAGCGACTATATAAACATTAAATAATGTCCGAGTCGTACGGCGCAAACGATTCACGTTAATGCTGAAAGTCCAATCGCGCGCGCGCTTCGCTGCAACCCTCCGAACCACACCACCCGACCCCCACTCAGTCGTCGTACCGCAGCTGCGCCCGCTCCTCCTCGTCGCCCTGCTGCATCATGAACGGACGCGGCGTGTACCGGACCGACGCACCCTGGCTCTGCGAGCGCATGCACACCGTGAGCGTGAGGCCGAGGAGGACGACGCCGACGGCGAGGTTCGCGCCGAGGAGCGCGAGCGCGGTCGTGCCGTACTTCTTGCCCCAGCTGTCGGTGCTCCCTGACGGGGACGAGGTGGACTCGTCGAGCGCGCCGGCGACGGAGGCGGAGGAGGCGTCGGGGGAGGAGGCGGAAGAGGAGGCGGAGGCGTCGGAAAAGGCACCGAGCTTGACGAGCGTCGCGGGGTCGCTGGCGGGCGGGAGCTGCGCGAGGGCGGCGGTGCGGTTCGCGACGAACTCGGCGTGCATCGTGGAACCGTCGGTGGTGGGGAGGAGCTGGACGAAGGGGCTTTGGCCGTCAAAGGTCGTGTTCGGTCGGTAGTCGCCGTAGTTGAACCTGTGGAGGGAAGGGACGGTCAGGTGATGGGCAGGTGGCGTGACAATGGGGGATCGACGTACGAGGCGTATACGTTGCGGAGGAAAGCGTCCCCTAGGATGAGGTCGAAGCCGACGAATTGGGTGGGGTCGAGGGTCAGTCCTTGGAATGAGCCTACGCATCCCGTGATGTTTCCAGAGGGGGTGGAGAAGACGTTGGTCAACGTCAGGTCGAGCGGGTGCACCGGGATGTCCTGTCCACTAGCGAAACTTCGTCAGCACCTAATTCTGCCACAGCGAACAGCTTGGAGACGACTTACCCAAAGGTGAACACCACGTTCGGTGCCGCATCGCAAGGCACTATCCAACCGAATTCGGGGCTGCATAGCGCGCCCGGGATAGACCCGTAGATCGCTTTCACAGCGGCAATCGGTATTTGCGGCAGGGAGAAGCCCGTGTCGAATACTGCAGCGACCTTCCCTGTGGGAACTCCAGGCGCTCGCGAGGCGTTGAAGGCGAACGGCGTGCCATTGACCGTCATGCCGTCCATGGCAAGGGTCCAGTGCTGAGAAGTAAGGCTTCGGAGCATCGGAGCTGACGTGATGTTCTGGAACGCATCGTCATGTTGGGAGATCAGGAATACACCTTCGGCAACGTCGTTAGGATCGGGGGACACTGCCCGCGCGAGCTGCACGTCGAAGAAGTTGGGGGTCGTAGGGTCGAGCGCAAAGAGGTTGGTGATCGGCGAGCGCGCGAGAGCGTCGGCCGCTTCCGTGCCCCAGTTTTTCTGCACGACAGGGTAAATGATTGCAGTGTCGAACGCCATGCCGAGGATGCCGTCAAACGTGGGAGACATGTCCTTGATCTCGACGGCGTCTACAAAAGCTGAGAGGTCGTAGTGAGGATAGCAGCGCAGAGTTGATGAAGAGCCTATGCGCTCACCTTGGCCGGGAACGGAGAAGTCGCCGATAGTCATATCGGCAAACGAAAGCCATCCCGATACGCCGCCCTTCGCATAGCCCTCGGTGACGTTGAGATCGGTTGTATTGGTGAACTGCACATTGCGCCCGGTGGTGTTCAACCAGAGATCGCTTGATCCGGTATCGAGTTGGACAACGAAGGCTAAGGACGTGCGTAAGGATGATAGTATGAACGGAGCGGAGATGGCCGCGTTGTGTCTCACCTTCACCGCCGAGAGTAATGTTGACGGTGTACTGGAGCAAGGATAAACGATCAGAAGGTGCGAAAACAGTAACACGACTTGATGACGCCCACCAAGTTGTTATCGCTCGTGGAGACTACATCGCCCAGGGAGGTAGCGACATATCCTGCGGCAGAAGTGGAGACACGGAAGCCGGAGGAAGCGGCGCGCGCGGCGTTCGTGTAAAGAAAAACGGAGAGTAGAACCTTAAAAGTCAGCATGATTAAGGAAGAAAAAGTAGGGTGGGGAAGACGAGGGACACTGTCCGAGCTGCTGTTCATATACTTTGGCGTCATTGTGACCGATCCATCGACATCAACAAACGCGACAACCGAAGGTTCGGAGACAAGGTCTCCCGGAGTCCCTCAGGCGTGGCTGGGCTTACCGCGATATGTATAGAGCAGTGAGCCCACGTCCGATCGGAGCCATAGCCTATCGGGAGCGTGGGTGTACTAAGGGGCATGAACGACCGGGTAGGACGGCGGAGACAGATGACGGCCAGCCGTCTCTACTTAGGTGTAAGGCATGAACGGTCGGGTAGGACGGAAGAGACAGACGACGGCCACTGGCGAGCCTTACCCTGCGCACTGCCACCTGTGCACCGCCTGTGCGCACGTGTTCGTACATGCGGACGTGTCTGATTTTGCAAGTTTAGCTTCTCGCTCTCGGCGGGGTAAAGCCTGACAACCAAGGGAAGTCGACTGGTGAAGCTTCAAGTTCCGCAGGAGCGACAGAAGTTACAGACGCCTGCATGCGACACACGTCGGGCTGCCCGGTGCGCGCACACGGCGAGGACTTGAAGAATCAAGATGGCCACGCCAGCGCTGCGTGTGTGCCCTGCGCTGCCCCGCGGGTGTCACGGCTGGCGATCCCCGAACTCTGGGCTGGAGGCAGCGTTGGCAATCGAGCCTATCCCACACGTCCACCGACTACTTGCAGTTCGCCGGATGTGCAAAACGGATTTTGCACAAGCTGTATCTTGTCTATTCCGCTCTCGATCCCTCTCGGATTTGGTACACAGCTTTTAAATCATGTAAGGTATACCTTCTTAAAAAAATTCAGAGCAAACAGAGGAGAAGTATACAGGAGATATCCGAGAGGGGCACTGTTACTATATACACAGGCCGTTGTCACGAAACGTCACGCCGGCAATGACGAAGCGCTCTATACAGCCGACCGAGCGCTAATGGCGGATAGTCACTGAGCCAGAACGTCTGGACGTTGTAAATGCTGTATAAACCTGTGGGCGTTGGCCTCGGGGGTATAAAATCGCACTGGGTGTATATAAAATTAAGATCCCAAATTTCACGAGGATCGCCCGAGATGTAGATGCGCGCGTTCATCCACACCGGTTTTGAGGTGGGCAGAAATGCACACTTTCTCCGTTCCTCAACACACTCTTATCCCCTCCCTCTGAGATTTGGCACATGTCGTTCGATTTATATTTAAACAGTATCCTGATTTCTCCAAGATTTATTGTACAGGAGGGACGGGGACGATCACCATTTTGCACTTCTCTCACGTTTTGCGTGACTCTTGGTGAACCGCTAGTACGACGCAAGAGGTTCAAAGCTCGGTGAGACCTGCGGGTGTCAACAGATGCGGGGTTTGACGGTACTAATCCGTCGGTGGTATAGTACAGAGGAACGCACGTACTTGTCAGTTGTTCTGGGCGCAACGTTGGAAGTGTGACTCGGAGCCGTGACTGGGCCGTATAGCTAGGCCTGGCACATCGCACTGGTGTCCCTACACAAAGCTTAGACGTTGACGATGTTAGAGACCTCTTGAGAGGACTCACAAAAATGTCTCTGAATAGTTGATCACTTGTGATACCCATCGCAATCGCAGACCGAGCGCGAGCGCGCGACTTCGCTACATCGCCGCACACTGGCACGCGCCGCGCAGTCGTGCCTCGGGTCGCACCTGGACCTCGCCGCGCGGCGTCTGCGTTCGTCAGGCTCGACCCCGCCTACAGAGGTCGCCACCTCGCTGTTTTCCCGCACGCGGGGACCAGAATGTTGTAAATGGTGTGCGCTCTCTCGCGCAGGCCGTAGATTTCGTAGTACCTTGCCACGCGCCGACGGTGACGCACGGTCAGCGCACGTTCTGACGAGCAGAGCGTGGACTACAACAGTGTGGTGGGGAGTCCGGAGGGGAGGGGTGACGTGCTGGTGGAGACTACGACGGGGCTACGCTCGGTTGGAGGTGCGTTTTAGTAGGTGTGTTGGGTACCATTGAGCCCACTCAGTTGTGGTTTGATGTGGGTGATACTTACATAAGCACGGATGACTTCCGTTGTGAAGTTACAGCCGGCGAGTCTGCGGTCCGGTGCCGACCCCGGTGCGATGACGCCTGGCTGGCAGTGACGTCAGACGGGGCTCACGCCTGCGCCTCCCACTCCCCATGGCGCGCACATATAACGAGCAAGGTGCCCGCCAAGCCTAGCACCATACCCCAACTGCCATACCACTACCGTCCTCCAGCGAGTTCAAGATGAACGCCCAGAACCAAGCTTCCGTCGGCGCACCTCACGAGAACGAGAGTTTCCACCCCACCATGCCCTCAGAGACTGCCGAGCCCACCCAGGTCGATACACCGACCCAACAAGGTATGTGCTCTCTACACGCCGCGGCAGTCAACAGCCTTCGTCAACACTGCACCTTCAGCCAACACTGCGCCTGGATCGGGCAACGCTGTACACGTCGTCATGCAACCCGCGAACCCGTCTTTCGGACAGAAAGTTGTCGGTATGTCGGCGCACCATCCCGGTTCGGTATAGGTTGAGCTGATTGGCTTTCAGGTTACGCCAAGGTGCGCCTTCGGCCGAATGAGCATCGGCATGCGTTGACATTCCCGATATGTATGGTCCGGATTCCTTCCTACACTGCAGGAGGTTCGCGGAACGGTGAGTCAACTTGAAGTTTCGTCATCCTCCCTCGTGTTGACATCGTGTATTGCAGGTTTTGAAGAAGGTATGCGCCACCGGGTGCCCTCACCGACTGCAGTACTGATTGACGTCGCGTAGCCATCACTTAAAGAGGAGGGGGTCAAGATCCGCATGGGCGAGGAGCCATGGCCTCCGTCTCCAGACAAGGCGCATACCGATGAACCCACGACCGACCACACGGAGACCAACTGATCACAACGCGAGCGTAACGTCCGAAGACGAATTCTGTATCGTTGTACCCATCTATTTCGACCATAATTCCGTTCGGCTTCGTATGTCTTGTCCTGTGGTATGTCTAGTGCAAACTGAGCACACTGGCCCGAGTGCAGCATGCACACTGTTACGCTCAATACCAAATTGACCTAGTCCTGTGTATGGGAACCATCGGCGCCGTTTGAATCCCGTCGAGCTCGTCAGCACATCCTTCAACCCGCTTCGCCAGATCCCAGAGATAAAAGTCAATGACCACGCTGCTGATCGTGTCCTCGGCCTGCTCTCCGCCGCCACCTGCCGCCCGGACGAGCTTCACGATCTCTTCTCTCACCCTCTCGACCCCAATGATGCTGGCCGCCCGGATGCTCAGCTCTTCTTTCGACCCACTCTCCAGCGGGGTATGGGCTTCGAGGAGGGCAACGAGGGATGGTGGGTAGGATAAGATGCGAAGACGGTGCAGGACCTGTGGGACGCGGTAGTCGGCGAACATCGTTAGCTCTTGGATCTTCGGGCCGGACGGGAAGAGTGGGTGCAGGTCGGAGGGGGATGCGGGGTAGAGTGCGGCCCAGGTCTCAGCAACGAGGATTTGTGCGCGTTTCCAGATGTGCACTGTACATGAGCGAGGGAGAAGGTAAGTAAAACAGCGTGACGATCAATACGAGGATCAACCAAACCTCGGCGGCCGTTGTACACATGCTCATCACGGAAGGAAGGAAACGTCTCCGTCACCATCTGGACGAGCTGGAGGGCAGTGCCGCAGTCGTTGTACCTCTTGCGGAACGCTTGGACGAAGCCGTAAAACGATCCATCGAATTGCTATCGACGAGAGCTACGATGAGCCAGAGCGTCGTGAGGTAGAGATAACAACCTACCGAGCGTAGTATATCCCCATTCTCACGAAGGATGGACACCCTTTCGGATAGTAATGGAATTCCTTCGTCCGACTGTTCCGCCACACGGAATATGTGGGCGACCATGGAATCGGGACAGCGGGAAGGGGAAGAGTAGAATTCGGGGTCCGTTACTGGCAGGCCTGCTTCCAATGCTGCGCAAATACCAGTAAACGTTGGCCTAGGGTATTGCGAAAGCCGGGGGCAGACATACCTCGATTTACGGCAGCGACGAGCGACCAGTATCCTGTGTGAACGACCTGCTTTTCCGATTTCCAGCCTTCGCGCCATTTTATCCCAAAGCGCCTCGGGGTGCCTTCCAGCTCGGACCAGAAGCTGAAGTTCAGCGACGAGATGAGGAAGATCCAGTCGAGGAATGGGCGCGTGGAGGGGCTCGCCCACGAAAACGGCTCTTCAGGGCAGATATGCAAGGCGTGGTCTCGCCAACTGCGTGGGACATAGGCCTCCCGGTGCATTCGGGAATGGATCTGGCATATGGGCGGCAGTGTCAGCGTTTGCTCGTACGCGAGTACACATGAACGAAGTGGGAGCACGCGACCCCATGCGGGATCACATGTACGGTTGGTGCTGCACGGAAGGGAGACGTGTAAACAAGCTAAGCACTCACGTAGCGGGCAGCAGATGTGATGCCATCTTCGTCGAGTTTCACCAGGTTGATTTCCTAACGAATGCGTCGGTACGAAAGAGATCAGAGAGCGCGACGAGACGTACCTGCAATGCCCATTTTGAGCTTCTCAACACCGGATTAACGCATACAGGATCATCATCCTCCGAGGGAGCCGCCACGTTCGGCTTTTCATACCCTTTGAGATTCGTCGAAGGGGTGCCGAACTCCTGGTGTTCGTTGAGAGAGACGGTGATTGTCATCTTAAAGGGCCGAGGTATCGAGTAGCGACCACGAATTATTCCTGGCGGGATATGTGTCGCGTGCAGGGGCGTGGGTGTACATTTTGCCAGACGTTGTCGCAGTCAAGAATGTGGTAAGAGTCAGAGAACTGACCATAACCCCAGGCTAGGGCTCCGTTATCTCATCGCGCTCCGGCGCCCAGCGGCTTCGCGAAATAATCGCGGCGCGCGTCCTCCTCCTTGTGCTCCGACTTCTCCGCTCCTTCCCACTTCACTCCCTTTGGTTCACGATTGCGCGATGTCTCTGAAGGTACCGAAGGCGCAGAACATCCAGCTCTTCAAGGATGGATACAAGGTTAATATCCGCCTGCGCGCTGCGCGCATTTCGTCTTGCACCTGAGCTTGACGCGTCCCTTCCTGCAGCAAATGTCTGGCCTGGAGGATGCGGTATTGCGCAACATCCAGGCAGTAGCGGAACTCTCGGATCTTGTCAGGACGAGCTTTGGTCCCAACGGTGCGTGCTACATTTTCCCCCGTTCGCGTAGTGAGCCTCATGGGACGCGGACACGCAGGGAGGAATAAGCTTGTGATCAACCATCTGGGCAGGCTTTTCGTCACCTCCGATGCTGCGACGATCATCCGTGAGATCGAAGTCGTCCACCCGGCAGCAAAGCTGCTGGTCATGGCATCTCAAGCTCAGGAGTCTGAGGTACGCTCGACCACTTCCTCCAGGTTCTTCCCAAACCCTTGCATTCTCCTATCAACCTTGCCATTCTATTGGAAGAAATATAAGCTTATCAGGGAGCATAGATGGGCGATTCTACCAACACCGTCATGATCCTTGCCGGCGAGATGCTCAAGAAATCGGAGCAGCTCTTGATCATGGGTCTTCATCCGAGTGAAGTCATCAAGGGCTACGAGCTCGCATCCGCAAAAGCTCTCGCAGAGCTCGACAGTACGTTTCTAGGCGTCTCCAATGGGAGAGAAGGCTAACCGATCACGCCAGACCTCTCAACATCATCCTTGCCCTCTCCTCTCACGCAGGCGTCTCTCGCCACCGCTCTTAAGCCCGCGATCGCGTCAAAACAATATGGCTTCGAGGATCAGCTTGCGGGGCTGGTTGCGGAAGCATCGCTTGCCGTTATGCCGCCAAATCCGAAGAATTTCAACGTCGACAACGTTCGGGTAGTGAAGATCATGGGTGGTAGTTTGTCGGGGAGCAAGGTTGTGCGGGGAATGGTTTTCGGTCGCGAGCCTGACGGTGAGTTCTTCGCTTTGCATTTGAATCCCTCTAAAACTACTGTGTCGCAGGTGCCGTGAAGAAGGTGCAAAAAGGCAAAGTCGCCGTTTTCACGTGCGGTCTCGACATCGCACAAACGGAAACGAAGGGCACCGTCCTGCTCAAGAGCGCCGAAGAGATGCTGAACTTCACGCGCGGCGAGGAGCAGCAACTAGAAAAGGTGCGTACATCCACAGTCTTCACCAACTCATCCGCTTACCTCTCCCCCAGATATTCCAAGAGATCGCAGACTCAGGCGTGAAGGTGATCATCGCTGGCTCATCCATCGGCGACCTCGCGCTCCACTACCTCAACCGCATGAACATCGCCGTCCTTAAGGTGCTCTCCAAGTTTGACCTCCGCCGCCTCTGCCGAGTGATCAACGCCACGCCGCTCGCGCGCATGGGCGCGCCGACCGCGGAGGAGGCCGGCCATGTCGACGTCTTCGAGTGCATCGAGATCGGCGGCGACCGGGTCACCGTCCTCCGTCAGATCGTCGAGGGCGACCCGGACTACGTCCCCGGCGCGGGTCCGACCGAGAAAACGCGCACGGCGACCATCGTCCTCCGTGGGGCGACGATGAACCGGCTCGACGACCTCGAGCGCGCGGTCGACGACGGCGTGAACGTCATCAAAGCGCTCATCAAGGACCCGCGGCTCGTGCCTGGCGCGGGCGCGACGGAGCTCGAGCTCGCGAAGCGCGTCGAGGCGTACGGAGGCGGGCTCAAGGGCCTCAGCCAGCACGGGGTCAAGCGGTTCGCGCAGGCGCTCGAGGTCGTGCCGAGAACGCTTGCGGAGAACGCGCTCGGCGGGGCGGAGGGCAATGAGGTCGTGAGCCGGCTGTGGGCGAAGCACGCCGAGGCGGACGGCGCGGCGTGGGGTGTTGATGTCGAGGTGCGTGGTTACGTTCGCCTTGCCTGTAGACGTGCGCTGAGAGAGGGGAGCAGGCCGAGACGGACGGGACGCTGTCCGCAACGAAGCACGAGATCTTGGACTCGCTCGCCGCGAAGCAGTGGGCGATCAAGCTCGCGACGGAGGCGGCGATGTCGGTGCTCAGCGTGGACAGCATCATCATGAGCAGACCGGCGGGCGGACCCAAAATACCGCAGCAAGCGGGCAACTGGGACGAGGACTAGTTGCTGTCTGAGGCGTTCGTTGGGGAGGTAGGTTACCGAAGTAGAGATGAGTATTAATCAATCCTCTTGTACAATGCTAGAGCCCGTTTGCTTGAAACTCGGCCACGAGACTCGCGTCAAGCTGCCGGCAGAAGTTATGCACCTGTATGACCAGCTTGCATTTGTCGGCGTTGTGCCAGTCGACAGGCGCCCCCTCTCACTTCGGCTGGAGTCACATCTCTCCCGCAACCGAGCTCAGCCTAGATCACCGCGCTGCCCCCGCGTCTTGACAAAACACAGCCCTGGTCCGTGCGCCGCGGTCTCGAGCGTAAAACCCCCCTCTGCGCACAACAGCAACTCATACTTACCTTGATGGCTCGTGCCCCTTCATGTCCTGGGTGCTTGGGCCGTGGGGGTCTCCCATAGCACGGCGACCATGTCCTCAGGGGAGCCTTGCGGTGGGCTTCGGCTCGTGCACCGTCGCAATATTTCCCTGTCCTGCTTCGGCCCTCGGGCTGGGCAGGCCGCTCTTTTGTTTGCTTCTGCGCGGGGCTAACCCTAACCCTAGAGTCACTACAGCAGGAGGTGGCGGTTTGAACGTTTCATGCCCTTTTACTCCACCACCACCACGGTGCTTGTCTCGCGCTCGTTCTGAGATTGCAATGATGATTGCAGGCTTAGAAACGGTTTCCGTGAAGCTTTGTGAGCTCTATATATTCAACGGCATGTCAGCATTTACACACAGGCTTTATGTAGGGATATTGCTATACGGTGGCAAGTACGCGCCTTTCGAGCCGCGCTTTGATCATTATGTCTAAATACCTTCCAAATGGCACGCTCCTACGTTCAAGAGTGAAATTTGCGTCGCTAGCCGGTGGGGCTGACAGTGAATGCCAGTTCTGCCGGCCACAGGGACGACTGCGGAAGAACCTCGAGGGCTGACACATCGGGTGTCGGTATAATGTATACAGACGTACTGATGCATATGCATGCATCCGCCTTTTCCTAAACCTCCCATCCCTCTCGCCAAGTTGACGTCGAGGCAGCCATGTTGGACATTGTGTCTTTTGAGTCACCTCTCGCTTCTATTTCACGAGTTCTTACTCCTACCGCACGCTCCTTCCTTTCTTTCACCCGTCCACACCCCCGTGCTTTAATAATACCCTTTCAAAATCCCACTGTGAGGGATGTGGACTTCGGCACAATGCGCTCGCGTCGTGTCGCGCTCGCGACTGGTGGAATCAATGCTACGCTAGTTCCAGAGATCGAGTCTTGGTATGTGCCTCTACCTTCCGGAGGGCGGCTCGCTGACCTTCTCCAGGCTCGACACCCTTGATGACAGCGGCAAATGGCCGGACTCCGAGGTCGACTACACCACTGGCTGCGACGGACGCCGTGCGAATTGGCCGGCGGAGGAACACTGGGTCCGCATTCGTGCGTCTTCCATCTATTTTGCCTCCGCTCAATCTCGTCTGAAGTATGTGCGCCTCAGAAACACTCGCGGCCGCGTGGCGCGGCGGAGTACCTGGGGCGGATGTCTATGTGAACAGCACCACTATACTCGCCGTGGCGTCACGCGCGATGGACTTCTGGTTTACAGACGATATGCCCAACCTCGACTGCCTGTACGCTGGAGGCAGCGGCAACTGCCCATGTGGCACTCCTGGTTTCTGGAACACCAACTGGTTCCCCAATGTGCCCTTCCCTTCATAATCTACCTCCCCGGCCATGGGCCCGGAGCCACACGCTGACCCCGGACCGTGCGCCCTGCAGGTGATCGGCGTGCCGGTGCTCATCGGGGACACATGCCTCATCCTGGGCAACGACACCCTCTCTGACACACAATACGGCAACTGCTCGAACATCCTCCGGCGCACATTTGGCACGTTCGCTTCCGGTCAGGGCTTCCTGGCGGGCGCGAACATCCTCGACATCGCCAAGTGCGGGATCACTGCGGGGCTGCTCACGGAGAACTCAAGCTGGCTCGAAGACGCGTATGGACACGTCCACGACGAGGTCGTCGTCCACGACGCGAGGGGCTCGGACGGAATCCGTCCCGACGGCAGCTTCGGCCAGCACACTGGCATCATCTACAACGGCAACTACGGCAAGGACTACTCGAACGACGTCATCGCGCTCGAGATTATCGCCGCAGGGACCGAGTTCGCGGCCAGTGGTGGCAGCAGGAGCGCGTTTGAGACGCTCATGGACGGCAGCCTGTGGATGATCTACAAAAACGTCAGGACTGGTACGCTCCACTGGGACTTCGTGCGTAATTCGCTCGTTTCTTCGTTTGACAAGCATCCAATATGTCTGCAGAGTGTCACTGGTCGTATGATCACTTTCGCCGTTGCTGATGAGCAGTGAGTGAACAGTTTCACGAAGAGGTCTGTGGTGACTGAGGCAATACAGGGCGACGTCGAGCATTTTGATCAACACGACACTTCTTGGAGAGCTCGGGCAGCTCTGGGATTCGGACATCATCAGCTCTGCTGCCATCCAGCTCACTTCGGATACTGACGACGCAAACGTCGGATTTGTGAAGGGTAACCGCATGTTCTACAACAACGATTACATGGTCCACCGCGGTGATGCTTACGTTTCGACGCTGCGCATGTTCTCCTCCCGGACCGCCAACACGGAGTGTACCAACAACCAAAATGTAGGCTCTTCCGTGATCCCTTCACAGGACCTGCTGACACACGAACAGCCCTTCGGCTTCCACCTGGCCGACGGCGTGGTTTACACCTACCTTGAGGGAGACGAGTACGAGGACATCGCCAGCATGTGGGATTGGAACTGTACGTCGGCTGATCAATGATCCATGATCCTCACAGTCCCTCACCTCCTCTATGCAGTGATTCCTGGGATCACCACCGATTACAACAACACTCCCCTCGACTGTGAGAAAACCAGGGCGTCCGGCAAAGAAGCGTTCGTTGGTGGCGCATCGGACGGTACGATCGGCGCCGCCGCGATGCGCTACACGAACCCGCTCACCGGCGCACTCTCGTTCCAAAAAGCCTGGTTTTTCCTCGACGACGACGTCCAGCACGTCATGGTCTCCAGCCTCACCTCCACGTCCTCCGCGCCCGTCATCTCTGTCCTGGACCAGAAGCGCCACTCTGGCCCCGTCCTCCTCAACGGCCTCCCGCTTCCCTCTGGCGGCAACTTCAGCGACTCCCTCACGCTCTGGCACGACGGCGTCGGGTACGCCTTCCCGAGCGGGACCGACGTCTCCGTCTACTGGGGCACGCGCACCGGCGACTGGGGCGCCATCGGCGCCTCCGCGTCGGGCGTGCAGTCCGCGGACCTCTTCTCCGCGTGGATCGTGCACGGCGCCGCGACCACGCCCAGCACCGCCCACTACTCGGCCTTCCCCGCGACGGCGGAGTCGGGCGGGTTCCTCGCCAAGGCGGCGAAGACGGCGGCCACGCTCGTGACGGTGCGCAACGACGGGAGCGTGAGCGCGGTGTACGATTCCGCGCACCGCGTCGCCGCGGCGGTCTTTTGGGACGCGCGGGCGGGCGGGAACGCGACGTTCGCGCCACCCGGGCCCCTGGCGGCGTGCGGGGCGGTGACCGTGTCCGCGTCGACGAGCGCTATCGTGATCTACAGGCTCGATGAGGGCGAGATCACGGTTGCAGACCCCACGCAGGCCCTCTCGAACGTGGATGTAACGCTCGAAGTGGACGGGGTGGGCACGGCGCCGGTTGGGTTTGACGGCAGGACAAGGGTGACGGTGAGCGTCCCGCTGCCGTCGGGGGGCGCGGCGGGGAAGAGCGTCACGGTGTCTTTGAGCTCGAGCTGACACGGACCGGGTTAATTGGTAGTATCTAGTGGTAGTCTCTTGGACCGGTAGTAGTACTCATGGATTTAAGAAAGTTGGGGCGGTCCACTCGAGTCAGAGCCGCTGTCGGCGCCAATGTGAAACCAGATTTACCGCCCGTCAAAACGCCCATTCATCCAAATACAACCTCGTGAACCCAGTGTCCGACCTCAACGCCACGTTCCCTCTCCCTTGGTTCTCGTCTCCCCACCAAATGCTCCCCGAAACCTGCCCGTCATCAACCCACTCTGTCTGGACGTGTCGTGCGCGCGCTTGTCCAGTGGGGTCTGGCATGCCGTTCGGGCCCCAGCTCACTTGCGCAGTCCGTCCGGGCCCGACCGCCTGCGCCGTGAACGTCCCCTCGAATTCGCTCCTTAGCCTAACGTCAATGCTTCCAGTCGCGCTCGCACGGAGGTCTAAGGGTGCCTCGGCGGGGTGGTCGACGATCGTCAGTCTAAGGGGGCTGATCATCCCGGCAGAAGAGGCCGACACGTTGAAGGCGCCTGGGCCCGAGGAGGAGGGTGAAAAAGGCGCGTATAGTCCAATGGTGCCGTAAATCGCCCTGAGAGAATACGGTTCGTCGTCAGCGGCAGCTTTTATAGGAGAAGAGGGGGGCTACGAACCCGGAACGAGAGGACATCACGAGAGTGGTCGGATGGGTCGCGTCTTCGGCGGAGTCGGGTTGCAGGTTGGCCCTCACGGTGATGGTCCCATCGCCTGCGTTGAGGTCGAGGGTCTGAGAGACGTTGAAGTATCCCGAGATGATGTTCATGCCCTCGACGGGGCTGTGGGGGCGGTTGCTGCCGGTGACTACGACCGTTTTCGCGACAAGTGTAGACTAGTAATAAACTTTGCATAAGTATTGACGGCCATCTTGCTGTTTACAGGGAAATGACAGCACTCACTTGGGCGGCAAGGCTTCCGGAGTACAGCGCGATATTGACGTTGGAGAAGCGGACGACTCCTCCCAACGATTCGTCGAACGTATGATCGAACAGGGGAAGGTTCGTCTCGAACGGAGGCATCAAATACGGGACATCAGGATGCTTGGGAACAGGCAACTGGACGTGTACCTCAAAGAAGATGCTCTGAGAGATGGGGAGAGGCCACGGCCCTGGAAAACGCTCCCGCGGTGTCTGAAAAGGACTCTGCGTGTTGGCAAGTTGAATCTCTTTCAAGATCCTGGACGCGCACGATTATCCCAAGTGTTTCGTTTCCATCCCTGTGTCCCTGACACACGATAGACTCCTCGAACGTACGTGTGCTGTTAAAGTACATGTCGACCGTGATTGATGCCTCTCCAGGTTCGAGCGACTCGCTTGCAGACACGTTGAATCGGCCGCCCGCAGAGTCGCCATTCAACCAGAAAGAAAGTTCTGTAGCGCCGAGCGGCATCGTCGTGTGCGACACGGAATGGTACAGCCAGGGGACCGGAAGCGCGTTGAAGACTTCTTCTGGGGAAGAGCGGTCAAGGAAGACTTCGCAGCGCTTGTAGGGATTCGGGCGCAGTATGTTCAATATATAGTTCTAGATGATACATCATGGATAGTGTGACGATGGCGAGCATGTCAAGCTGCTCACCTTGAGTTCATACCTGCCAGGGAGTAGTGCGTTCAGCGCGAAGACCGCGGTGGTGAGCAAAATGAAGCGCAAGGCGAGGACCGCCATTGAGGCGCAAATGGTCGTGGACCCATGCAGACGCGAAGGAGGTGGGACGGAAGTAAGCCGATGAGTGGACGCATTGTCGAGGATTGAGCCCAGCTGTGCCTTCTCTTCGTCCATAGTCGAGCGCCGAGCCGCGAGTGGGGAGATAGTCACCGGCATTTCGTCGAGGATGGGACATACTTATACTTCCAGAGATTAGGTTCCGCGACAAGCCTTTTGACAGCTTGAGAAAACACGCCCCGATTGGGCCCCTGAAGGATACGAACCACGGACGTGAACCGCATATGTCCTACACCGATGGCCGCGAAGGATGGCCGGGATGGTTCCCGGGTTTCTTCGACCCGCTTCGATTCTTCTTCACTTCAGAGAGGCCGGGGATGGGTCCACAATTTTGACCTTCAGCCGCCGGCGCGCGTCTCGTCTGTTCGGCATGTCATCAAACGTCGAACCTAGGTTGCGCCGCAGCGCCCACTCTGCCGCCCCTCAAGCTTCAAGCTCAAGCCTCCCCATCCAACAACAGGCTCGCGCTCCCGATCGCAGTCGACACCACCACGTTTCCCTCCCCGCCGCTCTCCTCGCCCCACGCCACGCGCCCCGACACCTGCGCGGTCCCCTTCCGCCGCACCTGGACGTGCCGCTCGCGCCCGGGGCGACGGCGGACGGGGACGAGGGGGCGTAGAGAGAGACGTCGCTCTCGATCACGCTGCGGCGAGATGGGGCCCGTTACACTGCACATCACGCCCAATTTCCTGTCAGGAAATGTTTAGGATAGGTTGTATATCCAACACATATCCCGCGTATATCCCGGGATCCGGATTTCCGGGCCATTTTCGATGACAGGCGACCAATCATGTCCACGTGACCTGCTCACCTCGCGCGTCTTAACGCGTCTGCGCGTCGAGAAGCACCTTGCATTTCCCTTGCTACATTCCCCCATCCTTCCTCAGGCCTCAGGCTTAAGTGCCATGTCCAGCCATCCCTATGACATCCCCCCACACCCCATCGTGCAACGCCGCACCGCTCGATCAATAGGCTCGTCGTCCGACGTCCGTTACCTTTGAGTGCCTGTGTTCAGTGGCGGTTTACTTATCACCAGTCAGGTGTGCCTCACCTCCGATCAGGCTAGATCAAGCGCAGTTATACATGCATGAAGGGTGTTACGGGCTTTCCCGGGATTTTTGGGCGGATACAGCAGCAAAGGTGAGTATTGCTCATTCTTTGGGTGATTATATGCGCACTGAGTTGTGCTATAAAACATCCGCAGTGCGACCGAACGGTGTGGCGATGATGCCCGGGTACGTCCTTCGTCTCATCTGCGTGCTGCCTTGGAATCGATACCCCTTTGAAGTCAGTGCGACAAGATGGACACGATGGACGCAAGTCACAACGGAGCGCCCGAGTCGAGGTGAGTGCAAACACCTGAGAAGTGGTATAGGTTGCAGCGCGTGTGCCGCTTTGCAGTCGAGACTGGCTCTCTGCTCCCTGTTTGGTTGTCTCATATATACGTAGTCATATTGAACTAGCTACAGTACTTGCAAGAGTGCAATCGTCGGCCGCTCAAACCCTCACCCAAGAGCGTCGCACGGCAGCCGCGAGCCCAACCTTCGCTGAGATCCCGCCCGAGCATGTATGGAGGATCTGGTCCGCGATGGGCATCGGGTGCGTTCTCTGCTCTGTCTCCCATATCCTCGTCCTCGCCATCCCTCCTCTCCATCACGCGTGATCTGCAGGATGCTCTACATGTGGGACTGGCCGCTCGTCAACCCTCCCTAGAGCACCATACCGAGGTCCACGATCTCCCTCAAGGACTTGGCCCTCGCTTGGCTCCCCACCCATCTCTTCGCGATCTGTGGCCCCGCGTCGGTCTCGTTCCTCAAGATGTCTCTCAGGTGCCACCCTACCCGCACCGCGACCCGATCGAGGCGCTCAAGGCGTACTTCTACACCCGGCGCACGTTCCCCTTCCTCGACCGCATGCTCGGCGTCCTCAGCGTCCTCGGGCCCTACGGGCGCGCGCGCGAGGACATGGGGCGCCTCCAGGGCTGGCAGCGGAACGCGCAGGCGATCTGTGCGGTGTTCAACTTGCTCAACGACGCCAAGCTCCTCGACAACGTTCCCCGCTTTGTCGGCCGCATCGACACGCTCCTCATGCTCGTCCGCACTGTCCAGGGCGAGGCGCAGAACATCGGCGTGCTCGGCGTCATCGACGCGCGCGCGTGGGCCACCGTCGCCGCCGCCTGACGTGCCGTCCATGGCGCGATAGCGGACCCTGCTCCCCGACTGTGGCCAGCTGCTGCGTATTATTGTGAATCCAGGTTACCGCTAGTATCTCTGCATCCCTGTAGCACGTGTCAGTAGCATAGACGTCAGAATATATACATGCTTTTACCAATATTGTATGAACCACGGTCCACGAACGCGCCCGGAATAGCGAGTACCCTGGAAGCGCCAGCCGGGATGTGCACAGGATATTCCTGGGAAGTTGTGAGGTTTCGAGGAATGTCCCAGAACTTCCCTGCCAGGAAAAACCTTGGATAAATCTGCGATATTCATCATATCCCAGACATATCCTGACAGGAAATTTGGCGTGATGTGCAGTGTTAGAGGCATGCGAACGGACCGGAGAGCGATGGGCGCACCCGTTGGCGGCGGTGAACGAGGCGGTCGTGGGCGCGCCGGCGACGTCGGGGTCGTTCTCCGGCTTGAGGTGGGCGCGGACGTACATGGCGCCGTTCGCGAGGTTCAAGTTGATCTCCTTCGAGACTGGCCACTCTGGGGCCTGGAGCCCTGATGCCATCCTATCTTAACGCTCAACGAGACCAGCGTCTTCTGACGAAGGCATGCGAAAAGCACAGGCGAACGTCGTGCAAGTACTGCGCTCACCCACAGACTGAATTGCGGCCACCTCCAAGTAAAAATACACGTCGCGAACCTGGAGCAATACGTCAGCCACAGTCTAATCAACGTCCACGAAGCACGCACATCCAACTAGTCCCACTGGACGGTCTGATCCAGGTTCAGCCGCAGGGGCCCCGCCCACGTCTTCACCCTCACCTCGCCCCGAGTCCCGCTGGGCGCCACGGGCAGGACGGCGTCTCGCCGCGCGCCCTCCCCGTGCGTCCATGGAGACCACTCCACGCTGCCCTCCGTCGTGCCGTCGTCCGTCTCGCTCACGTTGGCCACGCGCGTCCGCCCGAGCCCCTTCGGGTCCTTCACGCGCTCGCCCCAGCGCACGTCCGGCGCCTCCGAGGCGTCGAGCGAGAACGTGCCTTCGAAGGCGGGGTGGAGTGTGATGTCTGTGGGAGAGTTGCCGTTGGCCGCATCGAGCTTGAGGCGCGCGTCTGGGGGGAGGGCGGGGAATTGGAGCCAGAGGTGCTCGCCGTTGGCGCGGGCGTCGACGTGGAAGTTCCCGCCAAGAGACGGCCATGCGCCAGGAGCGGCGGCGGGGACGGTCGAGTGGAGGTGCAGGGTCCCGGCCAGGTACCTGAGCCGATGTCAGGGCAGGGGCGCAGGAAAGGGATCCCTGATGAGATACGCACGAGTTGGTCGTCCGGAGCGATACCTTCGTAGCGTCTCCACCGGGCTCTGCGTCGTTGAACGCGTGTACCACCGCCGACACCCTCTCATTCTCGTTGTGGAGCGTCAGGGATCGTGTCACATTGAACTGGCCGACTAGGAGCCTATTCGTTGTCTTCACGGAGATGGTGTTCGCGACCAGGAACTGCAAATGCACGATAGTCAGCCTCCAAGAAACGGTATGGGGTGTAAAGGAGTCGCACATCAGGCTGAATGAAAGCATTGACGCCTTCGATGTCGATTTCGTCGAAGTGAACATCTCTGAGTCGGTTAAGATACTGCCCGAAAGAACCCATCTGAGTCGTGAGCTTGTTCAACTTGAGCGCCGCGCCGGACTTTGGCACAGGGACGCGGACGCGGACCGATACATCCAATGGCTTGTCGATGTCAACGTCGGGACCAAGCCAGGGCGTAGGAGTCTGAAGAGAAGCAAGTCAATGGTGGAATGCAGCCGAGAATGCGTGCAGTTACATGAATTCCAAGCCCGTGCTTGCCGAGCTTGTTTATGCGACAAAGCGACAATGCGTCAAATGCCGCACGGTCATTGTAGTAAGCGTCGACCTCGACGATAGCGCTTGTCGTGCCATATGGCGCATCGGGGACGACATGGAAGGTCCCCGAGGCAAGAGGGGCGTCCGCGAGAAAGACGAGCTGAGGCGCGTCGAGGGGGAGTCGGATAACTGCCTTGTAGTGCTTGCGGAAGTTCGGATTCTTGGTTGTTGTGCTGGCGGGGCTTTCGAACCAGTCAACTGCACTGTGACACTCGGGGAAACCGTTGAGACTAGGGCGCCAGCGGAGGCTCTGCACAGACTAATGAGAGAGCGAGTCCGACCCAATAAAGTATGCCACACACCAGCAGTCCAGATAGAGTGTATAGCCAAATAAATATCACAAGCGCGACAATAGCACAAAGCCGCAACACAGCGTTCAAGGAGCGTGGGAGGCCCCAGAGGCGACGTGGCGATGGAGGACAGTCCAGCGCATCCTCCTTCTCCAGGTCAGGGAACCGGTCCATGGAGGGAAGAGGCCTGTCGCTCCCAAGGAAGTTGTAGGTATATATAGTCGCTATCTCTGCTATTTGCAACACGTTGAGCCGTGGTCATTCGTGTTGCAGTAAGGCTGTCCCTGGGAACGAGATCAAGCACTCACCGAATTGCCAAGGAGATTCCCCACCCACTGCCAGAAGTGCAAGTGGTGGTGTGGTGCGGCGCGTTGGCGAGAAGAGAAAACGATGTACGAGCTTGCCAGGGTCCCGGCGACTGGCGGAGGATCGTTCACGAGCTTCGGCACGTACCCCTTTGACTCGGTCGGACACCTACGTCGCGTGGTGTCGCGACTGAAGCTCTCCTGGCCTCCATCGGTTCAGTTATCAGACCTCCGAGAGCTGTGTCCAACATTGTCCGGTCCGGTAAATGACCAAAATCTGACCCTGACCTGGGTCCTGACCTGACCGGGCTATTTCGACCGGTCTGAGAGTCCAGCCGACGGTTAGGCGCTAATTGCGGAGTCCCTTGGGCGCTCGATCGAAACGGCAAATGGGTCGGAGCGTGACTTGTCTTCCTGTTTCGAACTTCGAACGAATCCGTGTCTCTGCACATTCTGACGCTTTAGCTTGACATCCAAAAGCACCTTGAGAACCGGACCATCAGCTTACAATCATCCGAAGATGGATGCCATGGCACAAAGTCAACCACACTCCCTCAAAGTCGTAGTCGCACAGTAATGACATTGAAACATCGTGTCGAGTCTTTCATAACTGAAACATGCACTCTACCCCAGCTTTATGGTTGGGAACACTCATGTGCGTCGCGAACCACTAGACTCCAATGACGCCCAACGTTCCTCTGTTACGGTCGGTGTCCCTTAGCCTTACACAGTCGATGACTGGATCGAAAATATATCTCTCGCTTACCGGCATGAAATGTGAGTCCATGTATTGCCGCACGAGACCTAAGCTACTGACGTGGGTATGCGTAGTGACGCGTTCGCTCTCAATGTCGGGCCTGAGGGGTGGCAGAAGCAATCGGTGGATAACTGCTTTCAGGCGGCGCGGCTGTCTGGATTGCCCTTCAAGCTATTTTTGAGCTTTGACATGAAGTAAGTACGCGATGCCTTGCTCCGATCTGACTCATTGATCCGTTCCATCCACAGCGCAATTCCCGGACAGGTCGAAGACGACGTGCTCCTGTTGCGCTCGTATTTTGAGGCCTTTGCACGTCACTCACACCAACTCCGATACAATGGAAAACCTGTGGTATCTACGTTCGCGGGGCAACAGTGTCTCTTTGGGTGCGCAGATCTTGATGCAGCCTGGACACACGTAAAGCGGACATTGGAAGACGTAGCACCCGTATGGCTCGTGCGATACTTGGCATACTCTTTCACTGACGCTTTTTTAGATCCACTTCATACCATCTTTCTTCATAGACCCTCGGCGTTATCCGCACATCCACTCCATGGACGGCTACTTCAATGTACGTTCTCGCTCAAATTAACACGCGTATAGTTGTTCATAGTGCAATGCTACAGTGGAATGGCGGCTGGCCAATTCACTTGACACCCGACTCTCCACGACGAGATGTAGAGCTACCTGAGCTTGATACAGATCGTCATCACATACATCATCTCGGCGGCCGCACCTTCATGGCAGCCGTCTCTCCTTGGTTTTTCACGGTGCGCTTATCTTCTTTCCATCTTCGCCGGATACTCACCTCATTCTGTACAGCATTATGGCGAAAACTCGTGGAACAAGAACTGGATCTACCGCGGGGACGATTGGCTCTACGTCCGCCGCTGGGAGCAGCTTGTTGCCGCGCGTGATACAGTCGACATTGTGCAGATTGTTTCATGGAACGGTACACCCCACAACCCCTGTTTCACCCTTGCTACGGCTGACTCGGAAGGACCTACGACAGACTTCGGAGAGTCGCATTACATCGGCCCCATCAAGGGCGCGCAGCCGAAATCGGAATCATGGGTCGATGGCTTCCCGCACACGGCATGGCTGCACCTCACCCGCTCCTTCGCGCGCGCGTTCAAGACCGGCACGTACCCCACTGTCGAGCGCGACGAGATATACATGTGGGCGCGCCCACATCTCAAGCACGCGGACGCAACCCACGACGAAGCAGGGCGTCCTGAAAAATGGCAGCTGGTGAGTGCTCCCCGACAACCAGTGCACCGCGGTCGGCTCACCGCAGTGCGGGACTCCGAACAGACCGACGACAAATTCTGGGTGGTGGTGCTCGCGACAGCGCCTGCAGAAGTACGACTCGCGACGTCGGACTTGGAGGGGGAGGCGGCGGCGGAGCGCTCGTACCCAGTAAGGGAGGGATTGACGAAGCTGTCGCATCCGCTGGTCGCGCGCGAGAGCATGAAGGCGACGATGATCCGGGACGGCAGGGTGGTCGCAGAATGCGCGCCTGAGAGGGCTGGGTTCAGGGTGCAGGCGAGGCCGCGCACGTACAACTTCAACGCGTTTGTCGCGACGTCGATCCCGAGTATTTAATTGATCAGTCGCATTCTGTGATTCACGTCGGCGTGAGGGCGAATGGGGTGAATATTTAAATGTCCGCACAGCCAGCTGCTCGGCGGCGCCCGCCCTGGCATCAAGCGCCGGTGCCTCGAACATCAATTGAATCGAAATTCCCAGGTACCACTCGAGCCACACTCGAGCCAAACTCGGCGCCGACTCGAATTCGCTTGTCTCTGTTGCGTCTCAACGTTTTTCACCTGTCTTACATAGGGAGGCCATAGCTCTCACTATTTGGTCTGGGGTAGCAGACTCAACCCCATTCAAATAGTGACGTGGCAGGCGCACTATATATACAGTACTGTAATAAGCTAACAGTGCAGGCAAGTTGTGGTACTACTCTACTCGGCGACACAACGCTTTGTGCGTCGCCTTGAGCCAGCTCAATATAGTCTGTATTCGAAGCCTAGCAAGTCAGCCTTCCAGTGACTCCTCAAACGCCACACATTCACGGGTCCGGCGGTGAGCTTCTGCCCAGTGTGGCGCGTTGAGTCTTGACTCATCGGGCATTGATACTACTTATCCACAGTCTGCCACACTTCCGTCCTCTCCGCGACAGCCAAGACCAATCATGGGCGACCGTCGCACGAAGCTTAAACAATTCGCACAAGACACGCTAGAAGCAATCGAGAAAGGCTCCTATACCTTAGAAGGCGTCAAGTACGACCTCCGTACACTCACCAGTCGCTCCAAGCAGCATACCGAGTACTACGCTCCCGATTCCATGCTATCTCAGTGGTCCTCGGCCACCCCACCCCATCCCGCCGCCCACACCAACGTTTCCATCCTTGAAGTATCGACACTCGAAGGAGCCCGCATTCTCCACTCCGCCCTCCATTCCTCCACAAACCCATCATCTCCCCCCGACGCTTCAGCCACCAACTCGTCTCGCATCGGCATCCTCAACTTCGCCTCCGCGCGCAAGCCCGGCGGCGGCTTCCTCTCCGGCGCGCAAGCGCAAGAAGAGTCCCTCGCCCGCGCCTCCAACCTCCACCCCACCCTCATGACGCGCACCGCCCAGGCCTTCTACACGCTCCACAACCGCGACCAGAAGGGCGGGTTCTACACGCACGCGACCGTCTTCTCCCCGCGCGTCGCCTTCTTCCGCGACGACGCCGGGCGCTGGCTCCCGCCCCTCCAGGCGGACGTCGTCACGAGCGCGGCGGTCAACGCGGGCGCCGTCCGCGGCTCGCTCTGGGGCCGCACCGCCGTCGCGGGCGGCGCGGCGGGCGCGGCGGGGATGGAGGCGCGCATCGCGGCGGTGATGCGCGAGCGGATGGCGCGCGTGCTGCACTTGCTCGAGCGCGCGGGGGTGCGGCACGTCGTGCTCGGCTCGTTCGGGACGGGCGTGTTCCGGAACGACGTGGGGACGGTCGCGGGGATATGGGCGGACCTGCTGGTCGGCGACGGCGCGCGTTTCGGGCGGTCGTTTGAGAACGTGGTGTTTGCGATATTGGGGAGGGAGACGTTTGAGACGTTTCGGGATGTCTTTGAAGGGAGGGGTGCCATGGGAGGTTCTTGAGGCGGTGCGTTGGCTCATCGCTTTCCTCGTTGTGGTGGGTCCAGCTAATGTCGCGTTTCTTTTCTACAGGGGGGTGTATCATAGCTTCTCCCCGAATGACATATGACATACTGGACGAGTCTCTCCTGAGGGCAAAGGTACAAACCCCTGAAACAGGCAAAGACTGGTACAGTGCGCCAGTGCAGACCGAAGTCCTTTGACCTTGTAGGCTATTTCGCAATTTCAGGTGCGGAGAGTATGTCACACGTTGCTGTGAGTACTGATCTATGATTTAATAGGTTGCTGTACGTGGAAATGTTGATCATCCAGATGGTCCGCTTACTTTCTTAATGAACAGTCCCACTCCCACCCGCTCTCTATTGCACTTTAGGCGGTGGTGGGGGTGGTGCAGAGCGGACAAGACACAAAATCCGGCCCGAGCCAAGGCATTCCGACGGGCCGTGATCTGGTACGAGAGGACAGTGGTCTCGGATCACGGCACGGAGTTATTCAACTTATCAGCGCGCATCGAATCCTCCCCTGGCCCTCGTCAACAGCGTCAACCCACCGCTTGCGTGTAAGGCACTGATCATACGATGGAATCCCTGCACCCACAGTCGTCGAGTGTTCGGCCATCTGGTGCCAGACAGTTCTCTATCCTGCTTCCCACCAACTTATCGCGCCAGCACATGATATATTGATCTCGAGCGACTCGGCGTCTTGGCCTTGGCGGTCCGCCGCATGGCGAGCCTCTGGCGAACACCTATTTGTTGAGTTCGTTTTTCATCGATCCCTTCGTGTTTTTGTTCTCTCTGAGCTCATGACGTGCCCAATTTCGACAGCGTACTGGGCATAAATATGTAATTATGTCTGGTTTGGCTTGCGTCGGTCCGCCTGCCACAAGACATGCCAGTAGCACGCTGCCCCTATAGAGACGCACACTCAACGCACACAGCCAATCATCCTCGATCCGCCATCCGCGTGCCAAGACAATTCGCTTTCTGCGACGTCTCCGGAAATCCAACTCTGACAAACGTCCATCTCCCGTGAGCTCAACACCTCAGTCACGCGAACAGCGCCCTCGGTCACGCGAACGGTCCTTTCATGTTCGTACCTGCAGCAGCATATGGCGTGTCTACCGTGATCCCCCGCGATCAGTGCGGGGATGCGGGGGACGCGTGGACGATGGTCGTTCCCATGACCGGATGCTGCATTGTCACCTTCAGGTATCCTGTTCTGGTACCCGATCTACACCTGGGTTTCGCACCGTGAATCGCGATGCCCCACCCGCGCCGACACATGTGGACTGGCGACACCGGGATCCAGCGTCGATATAAGATTCAGCGTAGGGCGACATAGCTAGTTGTCGCTCGCCTCCTCGAGTCGCTCCCCCTCCGGCCTGCTCGTCGTTGCCGTCCCCGTCTTCGGCTTCATATCCCTCCAAGTACCGACACGGGCTTCGACTCGACGACTTGCACGATGCACTTCACCCTGAACACCCTCCTCGGCAGCGCGCTCCTGGCGCTCCGCGTCGCCGCAGTCCCCTTCCCCGTCCCGGCCCCCGCTCCACTGGCTCCAGCTCCTGTGTCGGATCTCGAGACCCGCGCAGATACTGCGTCGTTGGTATCGGCGGCGCAGATGTCGAGCTACAAGCCGTTCACCCAGTTCGCGCGCGCGGCCTACTGCGACGGCACGGGGACGTGGTCGTGTGGTGGTCCGTCCTGCTCGCTTCGTCATACGCACGCGCTGACGCCAACGCTCGTCTCACAGCCGCATGCAGGGCCAACCCGACCTTCCAGCCCACGCTCACCGGGGGCGACGGCAATGCGGTCCAGTTCTGTATGTCCCTTTTCCTGTAGTGCGTTTTCACATGTCGCGGACTTGTCGCTGACCGCGTGACCGCAGACTACGTCGGGTACTGGCCTGACCAAAACGCGGTGATTGTTTCCTACCAAGGCACCGATCCCACACAATTGTGCGTCTCTTTTCCTTGTATTCATTCTCGCTTGTGTCCCGGCCGCTAACGTTTTCACGTGTGCTCAGGCTCGCAGACCTCACGGACCTCGACTTCTTCCAGCAACCGTTCGACTCCTCCCTCTTCCCGGGCGTCCCTTCTTCCGTCCAAGTGCATGGAGGCTTCGCTGACCAGCATGCAAAGGCAGCTGCGGTCATCCTGAAGGAGACGAAGCGCCTCATCAGCGCCAAGGGCGCGACAACTGTTATCACCGTACGTGTCTTTGTGCTCTGGTTGGCCTCTATCATGTTTGATTCGAGCCCGTCTCGTACCTCCAGGTCGGCCACTCGCTCGGCGGCGCACTGGCCGAGATCGCGGCACTCCACATGACCCTCAACCTCCCCTCCTCGATCCACGTCAAGTCCGTGACCTACGGCACGCCGCGCGTGGGCAACCCCGCGTACGCGTCCTTCTTCGACGGCAAGGTCGCCGACTTCGTGCGCATCAACCACGACCACGACCCGATCCCGATCGTGCCCGGGCGCGGGCTCGGCTTCCAGCACGTGCACGGGGAGATCCACATCCTCGACTCGAACGGGCAGGCGTACGCGTGCAGCCCGGACGACAACGCGTCGAGCGACGCGTGCACGATCTCGACGGTGCCGAACATCTTCGTCAGCAACATCCTCGACCACCTCGGGCCGTACGGCGGGATCTACCTCGGCACGATCGCGTGCTGAGCGCCTCAGAGCCAGTGCTCCAGGATGTCTGGGTGGGGTTGCGGGCGGATAAGCTCGCTTTGTGTATTTGTAGATTTTGGGCGTCCAGCCCAGGTTGTAGTTTATGTTATGTCATGAGATTCGATATGTAAGGTCACGAATGAAACGATTTGTATGCTGCGGTATCCCCTTGGCTTGCTCGTCGGTCATCCCCTGAAGTAACTGCTACCTCCAAGTTGAAGGTACTGGTAAGTGTGGGTTTGAGCCTCGCCGCCGTCGGCCGATGAAGTCGTAGAAGCGCCGGCAAAGAGGGAGCAGAGCATCGTCTGACTTGCAACGTGGCCCCCACCCCGCGCGTTTCTGTTCGTGGATGCAATACAGGGAAGAGTCTTGGTCAGGGCAGCAGGCTGTACACACGGCATCAAGCACGTGCAGGAGGCGCCGCGGCGGGAATATCCAAATGGGGTATTTCCCGGCGGCGCTTCAAGGCGGCACACACGCATCCCGCACTTGACCGCATCTCCTGTCCTTCTCCGAGTCATCCTAGGGGCGATCGACTCATCAGGACGTTCCCGGCGCACACGAGACTCGAGCCGACAGCCGCCACAAGACCTACACCGCGCACCCCATATCGCTGATTCAAATATTCCAATGCGCAGCGCGAAGGGCTATAAAGCTAGACTCGACGTGGCAACCCTCGATGTCTCCAACCGTCGACCTCACCGTCGACGACTTCGTCCCAATACTTGACATCTAACCCCCATCTCTGCGCCATGCCTCAACCCCCCGAAGCGCAGGCTTTCATCACCCGAGTACAGAAGCTTCCCCCAGGACCTGGGGCCGCGCCCCTCCTGTCTCAGGTCCTTCAGCCCTCGATTGAAGACGAGGCCGAACTTCGCAAATTGTGGGCCACCGATCGGAGCAACGTCCGCCTCAACGATCCTCACGTCGGGCTCGTCGACATCTTCGACGCACCGGACGACATACGCACCACCCGCGCCCGCGTCGTCGCCGATGATGCAGACCTCGCTACCCACTTCATTCACCACCTACCCGCCGAGCGGCGCCGTGGAGAAGGCGCGCCCGCAACCGTCCCGACGCTCGACGCGTTCAAGAAGAACTGGGCGGTCTTCACCGAAGGCTCGCTCTCACAGCTCACCGACTGGAGCAATGTCGTCGCCGCCGGGGGCGCCGTCCAGGCCTGCCTCGCCCCGCTGCCGGCGTCCGCCGAGGCGTCGCGGCGCGCGCTGCGCAAGCACTACCACAACGTCGCGTTCCCGATGTCGGACGTCGACCTTTTCCTCTATGGCCTGACACCCGCGGAGGCAGAGAAGAAGATGCAAGCGATCTACGAGGCCGTGCGCGACTCGGTGCCGTGGGACGTGACGTGCGTGCGGACGAAGCACACGGTCTCGATCCACTCGCAGTACCCGTACCGGTCGGTGCAGATCGTCCTGCGCCTGTACAGCTCGCCGGCAGAGATCCTGGCCGGGTTCGACGTGGACGCGCCGTGCTGTGCGTATGACGGGGCGCGGGTGTGGGCGAACCCGCGGGCGCTGGTCGCGATGATGCGGCAGTGCAACACCGTGGACATGACGCGGCGGTCGCCGTCGTACGAGGTGCGGCTGACGAAGTACTCAATGCGCGACTTCGAGGTGTACGTGCCGTCGCTCAAGCGCGAGGACGCCGATCCCACGGTACGCCCTTATGACCATTAAGGGGCTTTCTTCCGCTCACTCGCATGATTCCTAGCTTTTTGAGCGTTCTATTCAGCGGGTACAAGGGCTCGCGCGCCTGCTCGTGCTGGAGAAGCTCATTGATAGCGACACTCGCCAACGCTACCTCTCAGACAGACGCCGACTGCGATCGAGGCCGGATACGAGTTTCTCCCACAGGCACATGATCAGGAAGTTGAAGGGCGACCTAAAGGCGAACACCGACATTGGAGGCATCGAGATGAACGACTACGACACCGTGTCGCTCCACATCCCATACGGCGCTGGCTGGGATGCTCGCCGGATCGAGAAGCTGGTGTTCCAGACCGATTTGAGCATGAACTGTGCGTTAACCTCGTCCATACTTGGATGCGATACGATCCTCATCCCGCACAGCGCCGTACAATCCGAAGAACAAGGATCGCCGTCTGCACCGACACCCGGCGTACTTTGGAACCCTCGCTGAGTGTCTCGAGGATTGCTGCGAGGTAAATAGCCTTCTTACCACTGCACCACTTGCTGATCCCGTTCGCAGTTCTGTCCTGAACCGGAAGATGACGAAGAAAAGGCCCTGCAGGAGGAGGAAGACAAGTCCTACGTCCGCGGCCGCATTCAGTAAGTCGGCCACACTTGTCGTACGTCCAAGTAACCTAACATGCGCTTCACAGGTTCATCGAAGAGGACCCCGGGCGACAGAGCATGTCCGGGAGCTTCAACCCGATCGACGAGGGCGAGTGGGCGGAACAGGCTTACCTGGGAGCCACCGAGAAGCTCTTCAACGCGATTGTCGCCGGCGACCGTGACACGGCCGCGCGCCTGGTCGCCCAGGATGGCTTCGACATCGACCGGCGCGACCACGTCGGGCGCACGGCGCTTCAGGTCGCGGTCCTCGCCAAGGAGCAAGACATTGCGTGCGACCTGATCGACGCTGGCGCACGCATGACGTGCCGCATCGTAGACGGGCGCACGGCGCTGCACCTCGCGGCACAACTCGACTTGCCGCGCGTTATCCACAAGTTGCTCGAGCGTAGTGCGGTCAACGATGAGAAGGCCAAGGAAGAGGCGAAGGACGCTGCGAAGAAGGCTTCGAAGGACGCTGCTGAAGAGCGCGCCGAGGACGAGATGGACGTCGACGAGGAAGAGAATGATGAGGATGACGAGTCGGAGAAGGACAGCAGCGAGGACGACTGGTCTTCCGAAGGCGACGAGGAGAAGAGCGCGCCGAAGGAACCCCAGGTGGACACCGACCAATTGCCCGAAGACGAGGAGGACGTACCGGACGTTTTCGAGATTGACGCCACGGACTGGGACAGAGGCTTCACCCCGCTCCAGCACGCCGTCAGCTTCGGCGCGCTGAGTGCCGTCGACGCGCTCCTCGCCGGCGGTGCCGACGCGACTATCATCACTCAGGCCAGCGGCCAAGGCCCCGCATTCCACCCGCTCACGCTTACGACAATCACCCGGGACCAGGACGTCGCCAGCGAGATCCTGCGGAAGCTCGTTGCGGCGGGCGCATCATCTTCCCAGGCCGACGACAACCTGTACACGCTTTTCCACCGTGTCGTCTGCGCGAAGAAACCCAAGCTCGTGGAGTCTCTCCTTGCCACGATCCGAACGCCAAGGCCGTCATAGACTCTCCTTACGTCGAGGCCACCAGCAACATGGTCTTCCCCATTCTCAGCGCCCTCGGAAACGGTGATTTCGCCACCATGGCGATCCTGCTCGCCCACGGCGCCAAGGTCTCGTTCACAGAGGAGATGTACAGCAACGCTAAATCGATGAGGTGAGTTTGCCGCTCGCGTAGTAGAGGGATATGTGCTCACCCAACATTCAGAAAGAACCTATACAACCAAGACACCAAGTGGTCCTGTCACATCCCGTGGCCGCTCGAGTCGGCCCTCGCGCGGCGTGGCGAGGACTACGAGTTCCTCATCGACATCGGCGCAGACTTCAACAAGGGCGTTCAGCGCGCGTATTACAATCATACACAGCCGAAAGACCACAAGTCCCTCCTCGACGTGATCCGCGACCTGTGCGATATTGCGAAGCGGTTCATCGCCGAGACAGAAAAGTTCCTCGCTGAGAACAGTGCGCCGCTCGCGATCCAGGAGTTCGGGAGGCTTGCCGAGATGAATGACTGGAAGGGCGAGCTCGGGCGAAGGATGCTGGCGCTGCACGAGGCCGAGGAAAAGGAGGATGCCGCCCGATGTGCGACCCAGGATCGCGCCCCCCAGTTCCAGGTGATCCGCCTGCGTCGCGCGTTGGCGTGGTACGAGGAGGTCGAGAAAGTCCTGGTTGAGAACGGAGCGAAGACGTGGCTGGAGCTTCACCCCGACGACGAAGATGCGCAAAGGGAGAAGAACACGAACTACTTCGACTATTACAATTACCTTTCCCGCCCTTACTCGCCCCCCGTCACTTTACGCTTCTTCATGGCACAAGGCGACTCTTCAAACCACACGGAAGTTCCTACGCACCTAGTCGCCTCGTACGAGGCCTTATTCCAGGCCTGCGTGGATGGCGACGACGCGAAGATTGAAGAACTTTGCCTCCCCAAAGACCGTGTAGATCCTGCCAAGCCGCTCATTGCTATCTCCTCCCGATACGGTGAAGCTCCTTGGGGTCAGTTGTGCTGGCTTTATTTTTGGACACTGAGATGCTGACATTCTCCGCAGGTCACACTCCTCTGTCGCTTGCTGTAGAGAACCGCCATTGGTCCACTGCTCGCGTGATCTTGGCCGTCGCATTGGCGCAGTACAAGCCGAAAGATGCACAAGCGCCGAGGTTCAAGCTGCCAAAGATATCCTTGGGTAGGAAATATCCAGTCTCGCTCAAGTGGATGGTATGACTAACTCGATTTCCATAGACAACGAGTCCGAGTCCGACGATTCTGACGATGATGACATGGACGACGACGAGGACAAGCCGGACCCAGTCAATTTCATCGACCTCGCCCGGCGTCCTTCGGAGATCAAGGTCGCCTTCTCGCCCGATAGCATGCTGAATGAGACACACTGGTATGAAGACCCGAAAGCGAGGCGCAAGATGCATGCAAATCTCATCACCAAGGCGATCGTGGAAAACGACTTCGAGGCCTTTGTCCAAATCGCCGACCTGTTCAAGTCTCTACCGGGAGAGGTCAACATGGACATCGTGCCCCTCGCGACAGCCATCATCCACGATCGTCCGGAAATGCTCGACGAGATCATTCGACGCTTCGGCGCAGGAATAGACGTGCCCGTCGACGACGACGACGACGAAAACGAAACCATCGCAGACGGCAAGAAACCGTCCTCCAAGCGGAAGATGTACCTCGGCCTGAACGTGCACGGCAAGAAGCGCAAGGACCTGGTCGCGAAGACTGACCCGGACGCGCCGGTTAGCTACGGCGCGAGCTATGACTTCATCCACCTATGGCGCGCTGCGCACGAAGGCGCTGCGGGTTGCGTGCGCTACCTGGCTACAGAGCGTCCGGTCGAGGCGTACCGCTACTACGCAGCCACTCACAACGACGCTCGGGCCCAGTGTATTCGCCGCATAGGCGACCAGCTCCCGCAGAAATTGGGGTGGAGCACCAACGCGCTCAATGAGTCCGCGGTCACCACCGCGGTGATGGGCAATCAATTGGACATCCTGAAGATGCTCGTGGACTTGCGCCCAGCTCAGATTCAGAGCATGCTCATGACTCGGTATGATGCACGTTTTTGTTTGCCTTCCCATGCTCACCAAGTGCGACACAGCATTCATTACGTCGGGTTCAACCACCTCAGTGTCGCGGCCACCTTTGGCAGCTCCCCTGAGCTGTTTGACTACCTGCTTTCGAAGGGAGTTTCTCCTACTGAAACAGACTGCCGAGGGTATGCACCAGCCTTGTTTCGTTCAACCTGCTTAGCATGTTCATACTTCACTTCCAGATGGAACATATGTCATCTTCTCGTGACGGGCAATCACTCTGTCCCCGAGCGTCTCAGGCTGCTCAAGCATATCTTGTCGACGCTACCAGAGGACGTGGTTACCAGCATGATGCTTCAGCAGTCCAAGGGTGCCCTGAACGCTGTAAGATCCCTCTTCGCTCTCATCGCTAGTCCAACTCTCACTCTGCTTGCTCTGCTTAGCCTCTCCACCTCGCGTCAAGGATCACAGTCTGGCTTCTGTCAAGCTCCTCCTCCAATCCAAGGCCCCAATGTTCCTCCTTCGGGACCGCAAGGGCCGCACGGCCTTCCACATCGCAGTCCACGAGCGCCACCCGGACCTCACGCGCCTGCTCGCCGAGGCTGGGCCCGACGAGATGGTCACCGCAGAGGACGGCGTCGGGAACACGGCGTACGAGACCGCGGTCACGCACTGGCTCGAGTCCGCCGCGAACGGCTTGGCTCGCAACGTCGGCCGCCTTGGGACGCTCAACAACAGCATCGACCAGTTCAAGCACCGCCGCGGCAAACCGCCGTCGCGCGAGGACGCGCAGGCGCTCGCAGACACGGTCGCGCGGCTGCACGCGCAGGGCCGCCTGCGCGACGGCACGCAGCTCGCGACGGCGCTCGAGGGGCTCGTCAGCGCGTGCGGACAGCGTCGGAGGGTGGGCCGGAGTGGACAGATCCGGTGGAGGAGTCAAGACGAAGAAGGAGCGGAGGACGGCGAGGACGAGGAGAAAAGGCGGAGGGAGAGTTCGGCCCGCTCTGCGCCCGGACGAACGAGCTCGAGGTCCTGGAGGTCATCGAAGAGATCGCGCGCGCCAAGCCGGGAATGCGCCGGCAGCTCATCCATCTCATCGACGTGCACCAGTCGGTGCAGGGCAGCTTGGATTCGAGCGCTGGGGCCGCGCGGAACGTTCACTATAATCGTGTGGATAGGGCGGAAGGCGGGTTGGACCCGGAGGTGGTGGTGACGGAGGAGGATACGGCGAAGGGCAAGAGCGCGTTGAAGTGGTACTTTGGTGGCCCTTCGACCCCTTCGGCGACGACACGATGTAGAATAGCTACACCGATGTGATTTATACTTGTAACTACGTTCTTCAGTGCACTCGAACCTCTCGTATACCCATTCTTGAAACTTGGACCGCGATCACTATTTAATATGTGTGCACATGATGTGCCTTGTCTAGACATTTCGAGGACTTACTGCGAGTCACCACAGCGAAGGTTCTGCTGCGCCGTCAGTCGTGCGAGCCCACATATGAATAGGGGTCTGAACTTCCTCTATTCTCTCGTGATCCCCTACGTCGACTCAGATTCAACATCCTTCAGCGTGATCCATCCAACTACATTCAACCCAACAGTAAATATTCCGTGTCGACATGAGCAACGACTCTCTGCCTTCGCACACCATTCCCGTACCCTGGGCCCTTCCCCTGAGCTCTTCCAGGGCGAATTCCACGCGCAAGCGACAGTTGAGCTCCCTCTCGCCGATGCTACTACGCTCGTGTTCGAGGCGCTCGGGTCGAGCCTCCACGGCGACTTTAAGCTCGCACAGGCAGATGCAGGGGACCCTGACGTCGAGCATGGGATAGTCGTCGTCGACATTGACGCTTTCTATCGGGGGGCGGACGCGCTGGAGGACGTGCAGGTTGGATACTTGCATCGTGAGGTTTACACTGGAGTGGAAGAGGGCGCCGGGGTTTACGACATGACTGACGCATCCTCGGTGTCGGTGTTCAGAAGTGCCGGAAAGGAGGGAGCAGAGCATCGTCTGGCTTGCAACGTGGGTCCCACCCTGCGCGTTTTTGTTCGTGAATGCAATACAGAGGGAAGAGTCATGGTCAGGCTAGCGGGCTGCACACACGGCAGAGTCAAGGACGTGTATGAGGCGTCGCGGCGGGAATACATAAGTATCCGAATGGGAAAGTTCCCGGCGGCGCTTCCAACTGAGTCCATAACGTCATCCGTGTTTCAAAAAAAGTTCACCTGGGCGTTCAGCGCCCAGGTCGCGGGCACCTGGGACGCGTCGGCGGAGGCAGGCATGTTGAAGGAGACGACGAGGAGCTTGGAGTCGGCCCACTGTCGCGCACTCGTGCTCGTTGTGCGATTGCGATGGGTATGATAAGTAATCAACTGTTCAGAGACAGTTTCGTGAGTCCTCTCAAGAGGGCTCTAAGCTTTATGTAGGGACACCATGTAGGCCTTACGGCCCTCCGAGCCACACTTAGAATGTTGTGTCTAGAAAAACCGACAAGCACGCTCCTCCGTACTACTTATACCACCTTGAACCGGGTAGTACTTACCGTCAAACCCTGCATCTTTCTTGCGTCGTAGTCGGGTTGTCCGGCCTGGACGTGTTCTAAAAGGGGATAGGCTTGATTGCCAGCGCTGCCTCCAGCCCGGAGTTCGGGGATCGCCAGCCGTGACACCCGCGGGGCAGCGCAGGGCACACACGCAGCGCTGGCGTGGCCATCTTGATTCTTCAAGTCCTCGCCGTGTGCGCGCACCGGGCAGCCTGCCAACGTGTGTCGCATGCAGGCGTCTGTAACTTCTGTCGCTCCTGCGGAACTTGAAGCTTCACCAGTCGACTTCCCTTGGTTGTCAGGCTTTACCCCGCCGAGAGCGAGAAGTTAAACTTGCAAAATCAGACACGTCCGCATTTACGAACACGTGCACACAGGCGGTGCACAGGTGGCAGTGCGCAGGGTACGGCTCGCCAGTGGCCGTCGTCTGTCTCTTCCGTCCTACCCGACCGTTCATGCCTTACGCCTAAGTAGAGAAGGCTGGCCGTCATCCGTCTCCGCCGTCCTACCCGATCGTTCATGCCCCTTAGTACACCTACGCCCCCGATAGGCTATGGCTCCGATCGGACGTGGGCTCACTGCTCTATACATATCGCGGTTTGAAGCCCAGCCACGCCTGAGGGACTCCGGGAGAGCTTGTCTCCGAACCTTCGGTTGCCGCGTTTGTTGATGTCGATGGATCGGTCACAATGACGCCAAGGTATATGAACAGCAGCTCCAGTGTCCCTCGTCTTCCCCCACCCTACATTTTCTTCCTTATTCATGCTGACTTTCAATGTTCTACTCTCCGTTTTTCTTTACGCGAACACCGTCCACGCTGCTTCCTCAGGCTTCCGTATCTCCACTTCTGCCGCAGGATATGTCGCCACCTCCGCCACCTCCATGGGCGATGTAATCTCCACCAACGACAACAACATGGTGAGCGGCATCAAGTCGTGTTACTATTGTTCACCTTCTGATCGTTTATTCTTACCCCAGTACACCGTCAATATTACCCTCGGTGGTGAAGGTGAGACACAAGACGGTCATCTCCGCTCCGTTTACACCATCATCCTTACACGCGTCCTTAGCCTTCGTTGTCCAACTCGATACCGGATCAAGCGACCTCTGGTTGAACACCACCGGGCGCAACTTGCAGTTCACCAATACAACCGATCTCAACATCACAAGTTTTTATGGGCAGGGCAGCACATCGGGTTGGCTTTCGTTTGCCGATATGACTATCGGCGACTTTTCCGTTCCCGGCCAAGGTGAGTGCATAAGCTCTTTGTCGGCCCTGCGCTGCTATCCTCACCACGACCCCAGCTTTCGTAAACGCCGTCGAGATCAAGGACATGCCTTCCACGTTCGACGGCATGCTTGGCATGTCGTTTGACGCTGTGGCCGTTTACCGTGTCGTGCAAGAAAACTGGGGCACGGAAGCGGCCAATGCTCTCGCGCGCTCGCCGATCACCAACCTCTTTGCGCTCGACCCTACGACCCCCAACTTCTTCGATGTGCAGCTCGCGCGGGCAGTGTCCCCAGATCCTAACAACTTTGCCGAAGGTGTATTCCTGATCTCCCAACACGACGATGCCTTCCAGAACATCACGTCAGCTCCGATGCTCCCAAGCCTCAGTTCTCAGCACTGGAGCCTTGCCTTGGACGGCATGACGGTCAATGGCACGCCGTTCACCTTCAACGCCTCGCGAGTACCTGGAGTTCCCACAGGGAAGGTCGCTGCAGCATTCGACACCGGCGCCTCCTTACCGCAAATACCGATTGCTGTTATGAACGCGATCTACGAGTCTATCCCGGGCGCGGTTTACTCCGAACCCTATTGGGTAGTGCCTTGTGACGCGGCGCCGACCGTGGTGTTCACTTTTGGGTGTGTCGTCCTCTCCAAGCTGTACGTTGTGAATTAGGGGCTGACGAAGCTTCGCTAGCGGCCAGGGCATTCCGGTGCACCCGCTCGACCTGACGTACACCCAGGCTTTTACCTTCCCCTCCGGCAACCTCACGGGATGCTTTGGCTCATTCCAAGCACTGGCCCTCGACCCCACTGAGTTCGTTGGCTTCGACCTCCTCCTAGGGGACGCTTTCCTCCGCAACGTATACGCCTCGTACGTCAATCCCTGGGCGTCACACCACCTGCCCATCACCTGACCGTCCCTTCCCTCCACAGGTACAACTACGGCAACTACCAACCGAACACGACCTTTGACGGCCAAGGCCCCTTCGTCCAGCTCCTCCCCACCACCGACGGCTCCACGATGCACGCCGAGTTCGTCGCGAACCGCACCGCCGCCCTCGCACTGCTCCCGCCCACCCTCGACCCCGCGACGCTCGTCAAGCTCGCCGACTCGTACGACGCCTCCGCCTCCTCTTCCGCCTCCTCCCCCGACACCTCCTCCGCCTCCGTCGCCGGCGCCCTCGACGAGTCCACCTCGTCCTCGTCAGGGAGCACCGACAGCTGGGGCAAGAAGTACGGCACGACCGCGCTCGCGCTCCTCGGCGCGAACCTCGCCGTCGGCGTCGTCCTCCTCGGCCTCACAATCACGATGTGCATGCGCTCGCACAGCCAGAGCGCGCGGGACCGGTACGCGCCCGTCGGCGCCCGTCCGTTCAAGATGCAGCAGGGTGACGAGGAGGAGCGGACGCAGCTGCGGTACAACGACTGAGTGGGGGTCGGGTGGTGTGGTTCGGAGGGTTGCAGCGGATACCTTACGACTCGGACATTATTTATATAGTCACTTTCTGTTCTTGCCTCATGCCTGCGATGCCAGTGGGGTAATCACCCTGTTCAAGTTCGATAACCACCGCGATTGGCCACCCGTTCTGCCCAAATGCCCGTCATGGCGCTGAATTCTTGTACCGTGAGGCGCAAAGAGAGAGCTCCACGCTCACGAAACTCGTGCTGGGGGATATTGATCGTACCTCTAAGACACTTTTTGCTGTCGAAGATCTGGCACGCTTCGCAACGCATGTGGCCAAACGCAAACCGATCCATTATGATGATCCAAGCACCGACCACATCAACATCCCCCGTGGCGCACGCGCTCGCGGACACGGTCGCGCGGCTGCACGCGCAGGGCCGCCTGCGCGACGGCACACAGCTCGCGACGGCACTCGAGGGGCTCGTCGAGCGCGTGCGAGTCGCGTCGGAGGGTGGGCCGGAGTGGACGGACCCGGTGGAGGAGTATGAGGCGAAGAAGGAGGCGGAGGGAGGCGAGAAGGACAAGGAGAAGAAGGCGGAGGAAGAGTTCGGCCCGCTCCGCGCCCGGACGAACGCGCTCGAAGTCCTGGAGGTCATTGAGGAGATCGCACGCGCCAACCCGGGAGTGCGCCGGCAGCTCGTCCATCTCATCGACGTGCACCAGTCGGTGCAGGGCAGCTTGGATTCGAGCGCTGGGGCGGCGCGGCACGTTCACTACAATCGCATGGACAGGGCGGAAGACGGGTTGGATCCGGAGGTGGTGGTGACGGAG